TATCAAGAAGTCAGGACTCGTCTATATCCTGTCTATCATGTCCCCAACCTACACGGACGACTACTCTCTATGGGAGAGTTTCTTCAACAACGTGGACATTACGTTCACGGTGATAACAAATCGATCGGCATCTATAAGCCTGATCAATCTCAAGCTATCGTTTGCCGTCCGGCTATACCCGGTCACACCATTTTCTGGGTTAAGACTCGGATCACTTCCGTAAAGAGTCTAGCAGCAAAACAGCTCTCGATGGTTTATTCCGTCGACTACCAAACCATGCATCGACGCTTTGGGCACCCCTCAAAGGAAGTGCTTGAGAAAGCGAAGGGACATACCAAGGGTTTCCCACAGAATGTCTCTGTACCCGAAAAGATGTCTCCCTGTAAGGGATGTCATGAGGGAAAGATGCCATCAAAATCGTTCCCACCATCAACTTCTCGTGCGAAGAAGCCTTTTGAGAAGATTCACTCTGATCTTAAGAGCTTCCCGGTAGAATCCTATCACCGGTACAAGTACTTCATCGCTTTCTTCGATGACTATACCTCCCACGGTTGGATCGTTCTTCTCCGAAAGAAGGATGATGCCATCAAGGCCTTACGCGACTTTGTTGCTATGGTCAAGACCCAATTTAACGCCTCCATCAAAGAGTGGATGTCGGATGGAGGGGGAGAATTTAAGTCCGAAGAATTCGATAACGCACTGAAGGAACTTGGCATCAAAATCCTACAGAGCATTCCGCGTCAGCCCCAACAAAACGGAAGGGCTGAGCGTTTTATCAGGACAATTATGGATAAGGCCCAGGCACTTCGCTTTGACGCCTGTCTTCCTGAGTCCTGGTGGGAATTCTCGGTGTCACATGCTGTGCATCTCTACAATCGCACGCCTGTCAGACGTCTTAAGTGGAAAACTCCGTATGAGCTATTACACAAGAAGGTCCCTGACATCTCGCACTTACATGTCTTTGGTTGTGGCGCTTACGTCTACCTTCCCGAAGAAGTCCGAAAGAACAAACTATCACCCATATCTGAACTTATGGTGTTCTTAGGATATCCTGAGGGAATGAAGGGTTATCTCTTCATGCGCTTACACAACAACAGTCTCTTCCGAGGCGCTACGGCTGTCTTTGATGAGACTTACTTTCCGAAGTGTCCTGGTGCACAACCTCAACGAGGTGGCGTTCGTGCCGGCGACGAACCGCCTCCACCATCGGATCGCGGAGATGACAACATTTCTCCTGAAGGAGGTGACGATGATGACTTTATCCATCGTCCCAACTCCCAAAATGATGACCTTCCCCAAAGGGATCGAGGGGGAGATCGTGACGACGATCAACCTCAAGATCCGCCGCCACCTGCCCTGGGAGATCAACCAGAGGAACCACCGGCTCCGGAACCACAACCGGACCAACCTCGAAGATCTGGCCGTGAGCGGAAAACCGTTACTCGCCCAGGCTCCATCTATGGGGATAAAACCCCTTCACAAATTGATGCTCAATCGCAGCGTGATTGGAGAAAGACTGTTGGAGATACCGAGCGAAGGCCTGCCGGTTACCACAAGTCTAGAATGCAAGATGAGGTTCCCAGACCAAATCCTGCTGATAGTCCAAATCGCGATAGTGGCACTGCTGATGAGCGTGGAGACCTAGAGAAATGATTGGCCCGATTGGTCAGGGAAGGGGGAGTAGAGTTTATCACATACTTGCTTTCTAAGGCAGTTTCGCCCGATAAACCCCTTCAGAAGTCGCCACGTGAATACACATTCCGTGACATCCAAAAACTTCCGCCTAAACAGCGTGAGAAATGGTTAGCTGCTTGCAAGCTGGAGATTGAGGCACTTCAGAAGCGCGGCGTCTATATTCTCGTCACTCTGCCTGCTGGTCGTAAAGCAATCAAATGCCGATGGGTGTTCGACGTCAAACCAGACGGTCGACTTAGAGCCAGACTTGTCGCCAAGGGTTTCTCCTAGTGATCACCACGGGTCTGGGAAACCCGCCGGGTTACCGGGTAAAACCCGCCCGGGTGCGGGTACAGGTCAACAGATGTGAACCCTCAGCCAAACCCGGACCCGGGAGGCGGGTTCCCACGGGTTCGGTACCCCAAAACAGGGCAAAGGTCGGCTTGGTCCAATGCCGCAGGGTATAACTTTTGCCCCAGTGCCACAAATCATCAACTATACAGTACCGAACTTTTATTTTCCAACATATCATAGTTACGTAGTGCTAGTAATTTGGTAGTTCCTCTAATGTGCATCTCTTCCCCCTGTTCCGATGAACCCTCCCGGGTTTTCCGGGTTTTCTCGGGTAACCCGCCGGGTTGTGAACCCTGCGGGTAACCCGTACCTATACCCGGACCCCTCTGACGGGTCGGGTTGGACCACGGGTACGGGTCCGGGTCGACTTTCCGGTACCCGGGGTCAACCCGTGGTGATCACTAGTTTCTCCCAAGTTGAAGGTGTTGACTTCAACGAAATCTTCTCTCCCGTGGTTCGTTATGAATCAGTTCGCACGATGCTTGCCGTCGCTGCACTCGAAGGCTGGTACGTCACCGCCGTCGATGTCAAGAATGCCTTTCTCTATGGCCAAACTTGAAGAGGAGATCTATATGGAACAACCCGAAGGCTTCAAGGTACCTGGTCAGGAGCATAAAGTGTTCCGGCTGCTCCGAGCTATCTACGGTCTCAAACAAGCTTCCAACTCCTGGTACAAGGAACTTGTAGAGTCTGCCAAACTTCTTGGCTTTAGACGACTTTCGACCGATACCGGAATCTTTATTTTCCAGGAGAAAGATGGCAACTTCGTCATCATGATCGCATACATCGATGACATCCTGTTCATGGGACCCTCCAAGCGACTTGTCAATCAAAAGAAAGACGAGTTCAAGCAAAAATGGGAATGCCGTGATCTTGGCGAACCAACCGAATTCCTCCGAATGCGGATCAAACGTCAAGGAAAAACCATACACCTTGATCAGAAAGACTACCTCAAAACAGTCTTAGAACGCTTCGGAATGATGGACTGCCGAGTGGCTCGTACTCCCATGGTTGAGGGATACAAACCTCTTCCGAATACTGGTCCCGTGGATCACCAACTTCGACAACGTTTCCAGTCTGTGATTGGATCGCTGCTATACCTAATGTTAGGCACTCGTCCCGACATTGCGTACACTGTCACCAAGCTATCGCAGTTTGCAGCAAATCCGTCCAAGGAGCACCTCGACAAGGCGCTCTACATCTGCCGATACCTCCGAGGGACTATGGATTACGCCCTGGTCTTAGATGGTTCTTCCTCACAAGGACTCATCGCCTACTCGGATTCGGACTTTGCCGCTGATCCCATCAAACGCAGGTCCGTGACTGGATTTATCGTCAAGTTGGCTAATGCCGTTATCTGTTGGACTTCCCATGCCCAGAAAACCATCGCTACTTCGTCTACAGAAGCCGAATATATGGCGCTTTCTGATTGTAGCCGTCAGGTCATGTGGCTAAAACATATGTTCAACGAATTAGGCATGCCCATCGACAAAGTGCCGATCTGCACGGATAACAATGGAGCTATCTTCATTGGCTCAAACCCTATCTCAGGAACGTCGAATCAAACACATTGATGTTCGCTATCACTACATCCGCGAACGTGTTGAAGATGGAGACGTCGAGATTCTTCGCGTCGACACTAATGACAATCCTGTTGACATGTTTACCAAACCTCTCGGTCATGTCAAATTTGAGCATTTCCGTGAACAACTGGGACTTGAGTTTGGAAGGGCTTAAGTTCTTGAGTACGCTCAGCGCGCTATTCATAGCTGCACTTAGCGAGGGGGAGTGTTGAACTTATCTTATCTTATCTGTAGATTATATCGTAGATTAGATTAGATTAGTGAGACTCAGTCCAGAACACTCTAGAACATTCTAGTGTAGAACATTATGGAACGTCACATGAGTATAGGGAAGGACAGGGGTAACCCCTGGGTAGCCGGACACCTACCCTTACCCCCACCCCCCAAAACCCCTACCCCTGACTGAGGGGTAGGGGTAGTACCCTTACCCCCAACCCTGGGGGTTTTGACCAAGGGTTTTAATCATTTTGGCACTAACAATCACTTACAGTTGTCTATATGTATATTTTTATGTGTTTTATTGCGCATACAGCAGTTATTTAGTAGAAAATATACATAGATGCTGAAATAAATGGGTTTTGATTGATTTTTATCAAAACCCTTACCCCCGACTGGGGGTAGGGGTTTGGCCAAGGGTAGCCGGAGACCTACCCTTACCCCTACCCCCGCTCTACCCTTGGCCTCTACCCCGGGGGTTTTAAAACCCCTTGACCATCCCTACATGAGTAGGTGCTAATACTTGCACCATATTGCGTCATTATCGCTCATGATGACTCATTCGCTTACTCACCCGTCACACCTTCCATATTTATGTAGTATACGTCACATCTGTCACGCTTCCTGTAAACTATAAATACCGGCCCTCCCTGGCCTTGGAATAGATGACAGAGTTCGTCACAACTCTTGTAGTTAGCCACTAGTTAGCCTCACATAACACTCTACCTGGTAAGTCTTAGAGTAGACCACCTTAGCTAGATAGTGTTTGCTCGACATGCAATACAGCGAGCCTAATGTTTTGTGCCAGGCGTAGTGGAGAGGATGAATGAACAAAAACGGACAAAACTTTTCAGTCTCAATTACAGATTTTTGATTACACATCGTTTCTACCGTTCACTCGGACTGTGAACTCATCCTCGGAACGTACGCCTGGGTAGGAGGCTGATCGACGAGGCTAATAATTTGAAACCAACACTCCTCACACAGTAGTTCAGTAGATCTGCGTAGTTCCATTCACTTTCAATACATTTCCGTTGGCCTCTCTATACAATGTGTTGTATTATGAGAAAAAGCCTCTATACGGTAATTACAGGGTATTCCATACCCTGCCATAACCCAGACATTTTATGGGTTATTGCGGTGTTGACTGCAATTGGTATTACTATCAACTCTTTACAAGTCGATAAAAGCCTTTGCAATCTCCGTATGGAACCGTTTAAGATAATTTAGCAGGTCTTCATCTGGCAGGGATGAATGATCATGCGCTTGTTTGAGTTGGGTGCGAAGCTGGAGTGGATTCTCAGCACATGGAGGATATAACGGTAATAATTGCGAATCAAGGAAGGGAAATCAAGCTGCTGTATACAAGAAAAGATGGAAGGAAGGTACTGGTACATACCTTCAGCAACACCTTCCGCCTCATTGCAATCTTGGAGCTCTCGCTCTCCTCCTCATGTCTCGTTTTGAGGATGGACAGCTGTTCAGCAACGCGCTTGGCTTCGGTTAAGACATCTGGTGGGAGGTCTGCCAATCTGGCAAGTTCAAGGCCTGGGGAATGCAGGTCGCAATCATAGCATATGAGTGAGTTATATTAGGGAAATCGCTCACCGTAATGCGTGTTCTGATCTGATACGCCGTCGAGGATCTTGTACCGGAAGGCCATCCCAAAGTTGGACGTTGTTTGCCGTGTACGCTAACCGGATGTCAGCTCCAGAATCGATGACCGGGGGCTTGACTGAACCTACCTGAACCGAAAGGTGAAGGCTAGGGGTAAAAGCGAATCAGTACCAGGGGCAGTTGGCAATGAATGAAGAAAATGCTAACTTGACAACTGAAGGCCGGCGCGACAGCGTCGTTGCGAGTTCGGGGAAGTGGCTGAGGCCTCGTTAGCTATCAGTCTACACAGTTGGGATGCAGAGGAAATCACGTTGCAAAGAAAACGTAAGGCTAATGCCCCAGTGCAGTTATCAACATCGGCCGAGCAGGTCGTGGAAGGGAAAACATTCACCTTGGCCTCAATCAGCGCCTCGGCAATCGCATGCGAGATTCCAACACCTTCTTTTGGAGAAGTGCCTCGACCTAGCTCGTCAATAAGAACGAGCGAATTCGGTGTAGCCAGGCCTGAATTCCACGATATAATCAACAACTCATCCGATGCCATAGAGGAAAGATAACAGACCAAGAATCATCGCAGAGCAACTCATTTCATTCGCAAAAGTACTCAGGCTCTTTTCAGGGTCGTCATCGTTCGACAAGCGGGTGAGGAGAGCGTCGTGGATCCTAAGTGATAGGATTAGATGTGGGTTTGACACAAGGACGAGCGAAATCCACAGCGTACTTGAAGCTGGCGTACTCTGCTGGGACGAAGCACCCACACATAGCCATCACTGTGAGGAGACCGATCTGGCGAAGGTAGGTGCTCTTGCCTTGGGTATTCGCCAACCGGATCAGAAACGACAAAGAGAAGGAGGACAATAGAGGAGAGAAGTCCTACCAGACATACTGCACAGCGAACAGCCATGGGTCAGTACCAACAGGTAGTGGATGAACGAGGAAGACATACTTAGGACCCTGGATAATCTGGAACGACGACGACGCATCGCAGTAGAAATCGTTCGCTACAACCGTCCCAGCCGCCTGGACAGTTTCGAGGATGGGATGCCGGCCAGATTTAATTGCCAGCGTGCCTGTAAATTCGGGACGAACTGCACGGAGAAAGACGGCCACAATGAGCAGGGTGAGTGAAGCGGGCAGGTCCGAGACACTGACTATAGTTTTTGACTGTACCAGTGATGTCAGTATCGTAAAAACAGCGACATGGGGACCTTAGTACGCACTGATTGAGGTATGTGCGAAGGACCAGAGCATATCCACCAGAGCGATCTTTTAGGTCGGTGGGTTAAGGAGAGTGTGAATGGCAGATCTGGTACACGAGACCCACTGCTTCAGAAGCCTTATAAAGTGCACCAACATGGTGCACAATCTGCGCTGCCAAGTCTTGGATGATTCTAAGGGAATAATGAGCTGGGAAGACCACGAAGAGCAGCGGCCCATACTTATCACTCAGCAACAGTGTCTCATCCAATGCGTCCTTCAATCTCGCATTCATCTTTTTCTGTGACCAAAACAGTCAGGAACCCGTGCGTAACCGCAATCCCCGTAATTGAATACACACCAACTCCATGCACGAAAACATATACTTCCCCTTCTTACTGGTCACATTTAAAAACCCCTCCGGAAGCTCGCCCTCAAGTTGATCCTTCTTGAGTGAAAACACGAAACCCGTCGCATCTTGGTAAACAAGCGTCAGGGGGAGGTCATGGGTTTGCGAGAGGGACCGATTGAGCTGGTAGATGTCGCCAATATTTTCTTTATAAGTTTCACGAGCGACGTCGAGGAGGCGGTTTTGATTTGCCTGTCAAGGTCGTGGTTACGAATACATATCGGCGGAGGGTAAAGGTATTCTTACTTTTACGGCGTAGACTCGAGCGTTGACCGCTCCAATTCCTCCCTGTCCAAGGTCCTGATTAGACGACAATGCTAAGGACGAAGGGGTCCTAGGTACCTTGGCGGGCGTTGTCTCCTCATTAAGATTGGCATTTACCAGCTGCTGGATGATCTCCAAGCGTTCATCCGCGATCATCTAAGAGACTTCGTGAGTGCCGTGTGAGAGCAAGGACGTAGAGAAAGCCGGTACATCACATATAATTCGCAGAAGCTGCGATCGACATCCTTGAAGCGCAGTCCGCAAGAGCGGGATCTGGGCCACAATGTTCCGAAGGTTAAGCATCTGGGAGACGCGCTGGGAGGCCATTTTGGCGCTTGACGTTTCTCGCGCCTCGGACGATGCGAGCTTAAGTCATGAGATCAAAAGTAATCGGTTCCTCTGTATGTGTAGAGGAGAGAGAAACGGGGGCTTACTGAAATGATGAGCTTGTCCAGGTCCATTTTGTTGAGTGCCTTGAGAGCATCGCGCACGTAGTTGAATCGATCTTCCGAGTTGATTAGCTCTACGAGGTAAGTTTTCAGATGGTTGGTCTGGAATGGCTGGGGTGAAATGACCTTCGACTGAGTCTAGTCGGGCATGAATTGAGGGTTGGACTGGAGTGAGGTGGGTAAGAAAGCCTGAAAGTGTGCTCGCGTAGCGCACCTGTGATGGGCGAGAGGATATTGACTCGCAGAAGGCGGGAAGCCATTGCGGTATACGTATGGTTCAAGACCCTGTGCCAGTCAACGTCGAAGCGGGAAAAGGCGAACAGAAACAGCTACCCAAATAGCGAATGCGGAGACTTCTTAAACGTCATGTTCCCAATCAACTCAAGATTCCGCGCAGTATCCCTGTCAATCATCATGGTCCCTTCTACTGGGACGTAACGGATCCGAAGAGATCCTGCTGCAAAGCGGGTGTTCATCTTTGCTTCATAGTACTTGAACAGCGCGCATGCAGCTGAAAGAGCATAGTATCTGCGCGAAGAGGTGTCAGTGAGTAGCATATGAGTGGCTAGTGATGTGCAGCGTCACTTATTTTGAACGGCGAGAATTGTCCCAGCTCGTTCGTCGTCATCCACGCAAAGTTGGAGGATGAATTCAAGGCCTAGTGTCTTTCAATGCAGGATTCCGAAGAAGAAGAAAGGGCGTTACCGCCGTTGTCATTCCAGTATCGTCTACCAACAGGCTCAAGCTGCGCGTTGGGAAACTCATCCTGGACGTATTCGACCAAAAGCGAAGTCGATCCTGGTCGTTTCCCGGAAGTCGAGAACGCGGCGTCAGAAGCAGAGAGAAAGGTATCAGGGACAAGGACAACGGAAGGAAAGTGCAGATGCATCTGGTGCAACGTCTTTACGTAGGTTGGGCAGTCGGCAACCTGAGAACGTAAAAAAGGCGTTCAGGAAAAGCGCATATAGCCAGGTTGGGTTGTCATTCGCATGATGCTTCACCTGTACGAGCGTTACTTGGCCAGTGTCTTTGTTGAGGGCAGCGATGCCTGTCTCTCGCGATACACCGCGCCCTTCAAGGAGCGCGACGACATGATTTGCCTCTGGCTGGAGCATCGTTGAAACCCCTGTCTGGGGTCGCGACTGTGCCGTCCACGGGCGTGTGCTCTGCGCCGTCCTGGGCCGCGATTGGGCTGTCCATGGACGGTTCTGGTTCGTTGAGGGCCGTGAGGAAGACATTGTTGTCCGTCGTGGATGACGATGAGCAAGAAGATGGTTTGACGCGTGACAAGGGACTGCGGGATGTGCCACGTGCTGTGCAAGCGGAGTCGAAACCCGCTCAGGGCCAGTACCTGGTCTCTTGGTTATCCTCCAACTACATTCATTCACGTTTCTTGTCAACCATGCCGCCGCCTCATTACGACTTTCTTATCAAGGTATTCAATTTCTCTATTCACTTCTACGCATCCTTTACTAACCAACAATATAGCTTTTGCTCATTGGCGACTCTGGTTAGATCAAACAAACCCCCCGCGCCAGCCTCGTAACCGCTAATTGAACGCTATCTAGGTGTCGGCAAATCCTGTCTCTTGCTGCGCTTCTGTGACGACGCATGGACGCCTTCATTCATCACAACCATTGGAATCGACTTCAAGATCCGCACAATCGAACTCGACGGCAAACGTATCAAGCTCCAGATCGTATGTCCTGCTTTGGCCTTCAACATTCGGCCCCGTTCTTAACGAGCTTTTTGGCCTGTTTCTAGTGGGATACAGCCGGACAAGAACGGTTTAGAACTATCACCACCGCTTACTACCGCGGTGCGATGGGTATCTTGCTCGTCTATGACGTGACGGACGAACGCTCCTTTAACAGTACGTCGTCCTTGTTCCCTCCGACAACGAGTAAGCACGAACCCGAACTAATCTCGCCCAAACCGCGCAGACATCCGAACATGGCACGCCAACATTGAACAGCATGCCTCGGAGGGTGTGAACAAGATTCTTATCGGCAACAAGTCAGACTGGACAGACAAGCGCGCTGTAACGGAGGAACAAGGCCGCGAACTCGCCAATGAGCTCGGTATCAAGTTCATGGAGACGTCTGCAAAGGTTAACGAAGGTGTCGAGGAGGCGTTCTTTACCCTTGCACGGTCAGTCAGCTTCCGCGTTCCCCGTTCATCAATGGGACTTTGCATTGGTTACTCATCTACCCCTTGTGTTATGTATCCACAGAGACATCAAGACCCGCTTGATCGATTCGCAGGCCGATGCCGCTGGTACCCCTGGTGGGCCCGCAACCGACTCTGTAAAGGTCAACCAACCCACTGCGCAGTCGCAGCAGGGATGCTGTTCATAAAGAACTCGCTATCCTCGTGTTAAGAGTTCAAACTACGCATGACCAGGTCATCCTACAGGACGACGACGATATCTTGTATGTACCCCCATCCCATTCATCGCCGATGACATACCGCATAATACGTGTTGTATCTTCCCGAGAGCCCTTCCCTAGTGCTGGTTCATTCCATATATCCTATAATTATTATTCCTGTGGTTTAAACGAGCAAGATTCAAGGCATGTGTGTTGAGGTCTTCCCATATGATGATCAGAGCACTGGATACAATACAAGATACGGAGACTCAACACCAGGGCGAGAAAGGTATGGCCCCAATCAAACCTCTAGATACTTCCATTCCAATTAGACCCCCACCACCTCTTAATCCTCTCCGGTCCATGCTCTTCATACTGAGCCTTCGTGACCCCAACAGTCCTAAACTCCTCCGTCAAACTAAACGCCGCCATACCCCTCCACGCATCCAGACTCGGGTTAGCAGCTTTCACAATTTCAATCGGCATCTCAGGCGGGAGGATCGGTCGAACGGAAGAGTGCAACCGCGTAGACAGCCCGGGGAGTTGGGAGGGAGAGCCAGTTAGGAATATGTTCTAGTGTTAAGAATCGACGTTAGCTCAAATGGAGGGCTGCAATGGGCGTGGAGAACGGAAACGCACCCCTACAAGCCGAGCTTTCTCTGCTTCAGAGAACCGAGCCAGGATATTCTGGATCACTTCACCAAGCCCTGCGGTGTCGATCCCAGCCATCCCCGGGGAAAAGTACGTCTCGGGCACGCGCCAACGTTCTGTGCTAAGGTGGATGCGGGTGTGGCCTATGATGAGGAGAGGGCTAGGTGTTAGTGACAGGGCATGCAGTGACATCAGGGCAATACGGCACACAACCTACCTTCAACATCCCCCTCTTCATAGAACGGCAAGAAAGCAGAAAGCAGAGCAGACCTCTGCGTCGTCAAAAACGCATGTGTATGCTGATCCGTGAACGTTGGATCATGGGCTAAGAGCTTTTGCTCGATGATCTGGAGCTGCGTAAGGTCGTCTTCTTCGTCCGATGAAGGTGCTGCTGTATTCTTTCCGCAGTGAACGAAAGTTAACTCCTACAAGATAGTATGTGTAATGTAGAGAAGGGACCGACGTACGATTTTACGATAAATCTGCCAATCCGCGTCATCTGCTCCAAACATATCCTCTGTACCTTGCATATCAGCAACATGCATAAAAAGCGACAGCAAACCACGTACCGCCATTTGCTCTTCGTTTCTTCCTCGGAGCCCCCGTATCATCTGCAGCAAGATTGGCGATATTCTTCATCCTCGCCTGAGCCGCCGCACTCTTCCGGTCGCTCAACGCAGCCTTGCGCCTATTCCGGTCCTTGATCTTCGTCATCAAAGCCTACAGCACACCAAAAGTAAAGCGTAACCTCTAATATACGCCTGTTCCCATGTAAGATAGATTGAAAGTTACCCACCTCCTGCTGCTGCCTTAGATTTCTCGCCCATCCATCTAGATCGGCCTGCCGTTCCTCCTCTTCGCGCTGCTCCTCCCTGGCTTTCTCTTCCCGCTCGCGCTCTTTCTCCTTGCGTGCACGCATACGGGCTTCCCAACCTGCTTTCATGAGCTTCTGCTTCCTCTTCTCTTTGAGTTGGTCCTCGTCTAGCTGTGGAACAGTGTGCATGAGAAACATATGGCCATATAGGTTGACGGGGTGTACGCACATCTGCATCTGGGATGTCGACTAACGGGAACGACGGCTCTTCCTATAAACAGGCTCTGGTTACAGACTCTTCGGAACGCACGGCAAGACACGTACCATAGGTTCGTCAACATCTCCTTCCTTCCGACGTGCCTTCTTCAAATCTGCTTCAAGTTTCTTGATCGTATCATCCAAAGCAGCATCATTATCGAAGCCCTCATCTTCTAGTCTGGCCTGGGAACAGGAGACATATCAGTAATTCAACAAATCCACGAAATAGAGGGAGGAAACATACAGCCCAATCCCGTTTATTCTCAGTACTCCTCAACTCTCTCAGCTCAAGCAACGCCTGAAGATCCGCTTCCTTCTTCGCCAGCTAATCGCACTACGTCAAAACACCGAACACACATACACAACGCGCCATACCTTCTCCATCCGACTTTTCGCAGCCATCTCCTGCAATTTCCTCCCCTGTTCCTTCCTCCGCTCAGCAATCTTCGCCAGTTCTTCTTCAGTCTTTTCCTCCTGCACTGGAGCAGCGAATGGGAATTGTATAATCCGCTCAGATTCCTTGAGTTTGATAGGATCCCTCAGGTCTCGAAGAAGGGACGGAAAGTCGGATGTGAATTCGCAGTGGTTTTGGAGCATCCACTATGTGGTATGGGAGTCGTTAATGCGGTGCTTATTTCGTTGGGAAAGACAACAGACTAACGTTTGTTTGGTTCGTCGTGATCTTGGTTGGGAAACCAGGATACTTGAGTTGGATGAGCTTGAGAAGGTATTCGGAGGCCTGGGAAGCACCCCATGGTATTCTGCGCCAAAGGGTTAGAAAATGAATACGTCGAGTTGTTGAGACTCAGAGTGATGTACCGCTTGGCATGACTAAGGATACCCTTTCCATTGAGCATTGGAATAACAGATGTAGATGCCGTGTTGAATGATAGCACGAGGCCGTCAGAAGTAAACGGTGAACCCGCCGGTGGACGATGGTTCTGGTAGAACGACATGAGTCCATCCACACAGAACGCAAGGGACGGGACAGAATAGAGTTCGAACATGAGTTCAGAAGTCACTGAATGGAATCGTTATTGCCTGAGCGATCGAACGAACAGGAAACACGCACGAGCTCTGGAGTGTAACGGTGTAGCCAACCGTTCAGACATAAGCACTGGATGGTTTACAGTTGGAGTATCAATTCCCAAATGAATAAACGTATAGTCCAATGCGTTTTCCTAAGTCTCATAGATTATCAACTTGTATACAATTCACAGAAAGATAATGTTTACCAAGGCGTCAAAGTTGAGGAGGACATCGCCTTCCCAAGGCGTACGCGCCTGGCCTCTAGCTCCACTTTCAGTGTCAATCCCCTCTCCAAAAAGAAGAAGAGGCTTGTTGGTGCGCCTCTCCTTGTATTTCGCGATAGCATTGGGACCGGTGTACGGTGTCGAGGATGTCGCGAACCCCCAGCGCAAGGTCGTAGCGCCATTATCAATGATCAACGGCGTCCCATTCTCGCGATGGACGTCGTAAGACTCTGCCTGGATGGGCAGCGACGGCGGTGTGTAGATTGGGAGATGGAATGTGTTCTGCATTGTGCGTTGAAGACAAAGTCCGGGATCAGTTCAAGGGCGCGTGCGCTGTTTGATGGCGATGGCCACGAGCCAAACAAGAAACAAGACGCGCCTTCGTCGTTGACCACAACCACCACCATATATTCAACGATGTCCTCCGCCGACCTTTCGTCGCTGTTGACGGCGAGCAAGGAGCTCACGTCGCATTTGTCGCGTCCTGACCTCCCATCGGTCAATCTCTCCCTTGATCAAATCGAGGCCCTTTCGAGACGCTTGGTTTCGCGTCAACCAGGGTCGTCTTCAGATGCAGACAGAGCGTATGTGATTTCTCTTGAATATAATGTTCTTCTATTGAACGTCGTATAGGAACTATCTTCTTGCGCAAGCCCATGTCGACGTGTCTGCATTGTCCAACTCCATTGCCCACTTGAACCCTGCAACAACATTCTCCCCGTTACAGCCTCTGCAAGACACCGATGTTGCAGGCTACCTCCGTGTCGCGCACGAGCAGAATCTCATTTCAACGATTGAAGAAGGAAGGAAAGAGACTCAGGAGGAATTCTACAGAGTCTTGGAGGAACGCTCTCAGCGCGACTGGGAAATCAAAAAGAAGCGTGTCTTTGAAGAGTTGGGCGGCAAGGTCGGTGGGGACAATCGTGCCTTGACGGACTTGAGGGCCAGTACGCACCAGAAGAGCAGCCTCATGGTAAGCTATTTCTGCTGGGAATACAAATAGAATGCTAACATGTTATAGTCGAGTGTTGGTCCCAACATTTCGCTGCAAATGCAAAGCAAGATGATGGCCTACGACAGGGTTATCACAGAACTCAACTCTGCCAGACTTCGCGGTACCTCTTTCCCCATCGTCCATGCACTCATTGACGCTTCCCTGGCTGTCGCATCTGACGTTCGTCTTTCCGCGTCCATTCAACCAACCCCACCTAACCATTGCTACAGACACGGTCAATACAAATGACCCAAAACTTCCACGTCCTCTCCAAAATCACCAGTGAACCACCCGCACTCCCGCCTATCGAACACGCCGGGGCGCATATCCTCAACACGCCACTGTTTGAACGCAAGTACGCGCGTGTTTATCTTGGCAACTCCGATTCAAGGGAAGCTGCTGCATTGAGGCAACAAATCGCAAAGGGCTCGCGGGAGGCTCTGGAGGAGCAATACTGGGACGTGTTGGAGCGAACCGTGCAGGCTAGACCAGCTGAGGCCAAGCTTGGTGGTGATCCCAGTGTCGCCAATAAGGTTCGAGCCTTCTTGTTGGTGAGGTATTACCGCAATGGGGAGTGGGAGGATCGAATTGAGATTATCGCCGGTCAACCCATCTGGGCCAAACTATTCTACCTCGTCCGAACCGGACATGTCCGCGAAGCTCTCAACGAGGCCCTCCAGTTCCAGCAAGCAATTGAACATCGCGAACCAAGTTTCATTGGCCACTTCCGAACATGGATCGAGTCGACGGATCGGAAGCTACCGAAACCCCACCGTGACCACCTCCAAGCGGTGTACAACGCCCACATGCTCCATTCATCGACAGTCGATCCGTTCAAACTTGCACTGTACAAGCTGATTGGCAAGATTGAACCTAACAGGAGGAGCGTGCCGCAGGTTACGACGACCACTGAAGATTGGTTGTGGTTCCAGCTTTCCATGGTGGGTCTTCACCTTCGTATTGACTCACCCAGCTAACGTACCCTTGCAGCTCGATGAGGAAGAGAACGGTGGTTTGGGCACCCTTACCGAAGTCCTGCTTGGGTATGGCGAGCGTCACTTTGATGGACCTCCGGGACATCCCAATTCGAGACGGGGTGTATGGGCTGGTGTCTTGCTTATGTGTGGACAGTTTGAACGGGTATGTCGCTCCTTCTTGATGATTAATACATTGCTTACATTCGTTAGGCTGTCGCTGCTTTGTGGGATCACCCCGAAACTGAAATTGAAGCCGTCCACCTCGCCATCGCGCTCGCCTACCATGGTTTATTGAGGGTTCCACCTCGCGCCGAGACCTCCGATATGTCTCCTCGTAAGTCTTCACATTTCTTCCCTTTCTCTCGCTCACACTCCCCTGCCAGTTACCCTATCCCCCGCCTCGCCTCCCGCTCTCAGCCTGTCGACCCTGATCTGGCGCTATGTCCGCCAGTTCGTCAAGATGGACGCAAAGGAAGCTTTGCAATACGTCTACTGCGTCTGCCTATCCGCAGACCAAGGAAACGGAGTCGGTAGAGAACAGGTAGAAAGCGCATGGGACCTCACCAGGCGGATCATCGTCCTCGCCAACAGCGGACCCGGATGGGAAGAACTGGTCGGGGGATTCAGAGCTGACGGTACTCGATTCGTACGTAGCCTTTCCCATAATGGTTTTTCCAAACCAACTGAAGAGGTGAACAGAGCGGTGTCATCGAACAAGGAGCCTCCCTCCTCCACCTGCACGACTCCAAAGAGTACAACCAAGAAATCCTCATCCGCGCAGCCCGCCACTCTGAAGAAAACGATCGCATCTCCGAAGCGATTAAACTCTACAACCTCGCTGGAGACTACGCTACTGTCGTCTCCTGCCTCGCCAACGCACTCGGAAAGACCATCGCGCAGACTTCTCCAGATGAGAAGAGTAGGGTGGTTGAGAAGACTGCGGGCGAGATTTTGAGGCATTATGAGAGGACGAATAGGGCGGTTGGAAAGGATCGAGACGCGGTGATCAAATTGTTGAAGATTAGAGAGGCGGTTGAGGCGAAGAATGCGGGCAAACCTGATGTTGCTTTGGAGGTGAGTCTCCCGTCAATTATATCAGCTTATGGGATATTGACCTTCCCCAAGATCATCGAGTCTATGGACCTGATCCCTCTTTCGGGTGACATCGCCAAGACCACGCGCCGTGCGGAAGAGTTCAAGGATCTCCACCCGTCATTGCAGAGGAACCTGCAGACGTATCTCACACTTACCATGGACGCACTCGCGGGTGTGCACCAGAAGACGAAGAACGCTTCTGTTGCCGATACAACGAGGCAAATGGTGAGTTGCTGTTTCTACTGTGTCGTAATGTCGGGCCCTAACATCAGTTGCAGACCCTGGCCGCTGTCAGGAAGAAGTCGCGTTCTTTGATGGTCTTTGCCGGTATTCTGAAGTACAGAATGTCCCCCGATGTTTATTCGTACCTTGCCAGACTCGATGTTGAGATTGCATTGTAAGGCTTCCATATCTGTATTTTCTTTACGACAACCTTTACGATGAAGTTATCTGTTTGTTGTATGTTGCGTGGCGTGCAAGGGTGTTACGAACCCGAAAGTGCATTGAGTATGTGTCATATAATTACACGGGTAGGTATACTTGTGACGGTATGTCTGCATGGAGATATAAAGTGTAGGGGGTTGCTTGCCTACCTTTGGGTAGTGACAAATTCTGGGGATTCTTCCTCCTGATCGTCGGCCATTTCTTCGTCTTGGTCCTGTCCTTCTTGTTCTGCTTCCTCAACGATGTCTTCCGCGGCATCTTCAGCTGTAGTAGGCTTAGCCTGCGAGGACGGTTGCTGAGGAGTCAGCTTCCTATGACACTGAATCCAGAGAGTCAGTTCAAATCTAGGACAACAAAGAAGGAAACGTACGTGATAAACAGCGGTCCAGTATCCACTCCAGTACATCGCATTCAAAGCCCTCGAGAACGCCTCATCTTGACTGGCCATTGGAGTAGAGTCTAACGAGCCCAGTGCAGTCGGGTCATACGTTGGCGCAGGTGGAGGTTCCAATCCATGACCATGGTCCCCCTCAACGCCATTCACTTCATCGGCAACGACATGTTCGTCGTCATTCTGTCCATGACTGGTATCCTGTGCAGGTATGAACCCTTGAGTCTGCGTAGAGGGAGGAATGTTATACCACCTACAATCACAAAAGATCATAAGTACCGATATGGTTGCTGAGGTTTTTTGCGCGTTAGAACGCGAAAAGGAGAAAGAAAACATACAGAGGTGCTTTTGTAACGGGCTGTCGCTTCCAACCTTGCCCTGATCCATGGAACGCTTCATACTCCTCATTCGCCGCGTTCCAGGCGTCTATGAGCGCCGAGTCGTCCCATATTTCTTCGTGGGTAAGCTCACGACTTTCTTCAAAGCCCGAGACATTGTTGCTTCCGCGACTTTGAGTCGTTGTGGTCGACGGCTGCTGGTTCGCCCTGTTTTTCGACTTTTGGTTGGATTTCTTCCGTTTTTTGGGTGGTGGGTTAGAATTGGTGGCAGTATTGGGCGGCGGTGGTGGTTCGGGAGCCTCATATGGCTCTGTGATATCTGCGTACGAGACGAGAGGTCGGCCGCTCATCGTGTGTTGAAGACTGAACAGCCAAGCCAGTGGAGAACCTGCACACCCAATTCGGGCTCCGCTTAAAATTGCTCAAAGTTTCTGGCGCTTATTCAAGTGCCTACAATAGTAGCGTGTGGTTAAATGGTTTGAGGAAACCTTCCGAGAATGTGATTAGAACTGACGAGCAAAGGCTGGTTGGTTGTCAAACCTTGAGACTCCGGTATTACAGCGTAGTACAGTGGCATGGTATTTCTAATGACTAGTCGGAAAGGTCTGACTACATTCCCAAAGGGATCGATAGCAGGACTCTCGCCATCTGATAGCCTTGGGCCTCTGCTCCTCCTCTTGGCCGACACCGTTTTTGCTTCTAATCGGAGTGCCCGGCTACAAGTTCTAGATGTCTTTCCTGCATGTTTGACGCCAGTGTCCCTCCTCTGTTTTCGTCAGAATCGCTTCCGAGTCCTCCTAAGATCCCCACCGATGTCAAGAACCTCTATCCCATTTATCGAAGAGATTAGGCGCGAGAAGATCTTCCCAGGCTTTGAAGCCTGCATGGTGTTCGCTGTCTGACGTGCCGAATCCTTTCGAGTAGCTTAAGCTTTCCACAGAAGAGTATTGGGGCTCCGATTAAAATCGCTGGCAAGGCACTCAAATCACGTTCGGGCGCTTAATTCCAACTTGACCCAACTCCCTCACATCCCGGTATTATCTGCGTATGCACAGCCAATAAGCGGGTAAAGTCTACCTTTGCTCTGTATATCAATTGGGACAGATATTATCAACATCGGTGAGGATCTTTTTCACCCACCCTTGATACCGCACTGAGTAAAGAAACAGGGCAATGTTGCGCAAGATGGAGTGAAGATGTCGGCGATCTGTATGATATTAATTCCCCTGTTTGATTGAAGCAGTGACAGAACCCGGACTGGGTCACCATATGACTGCGAGAATGAGAGTGGTCCTGTGTTCCGGACTCCTCGCGACGTCAACATCCGTGGTGGGGTGTTTGCTAACGCTGGGGGACATTCACGCCCACGTCAACAATTATGCGGCTGCGATGTCTGTTGAAGCTCGCCGTTCATTGCTCCGATCGGTCCTGTGTGCTGTTCGTCTACAGTCGGTACACCGAAACACTAGCCGTTACCGCGGAGACATGGACACCAGGGGATCGTGGCGAGGCTGGTCGACTGGCAGCGAAGCTAGGAGGCTTGAGGGGAAAGGAGATCTGAGTTTGTCGAGGTGTAGAACAAGATGATCCCTTTACGGCATTTACCTTCGCAGTCCGTTCTCCTTCCACCGCGTGTATGACCTTGGAGTAGGAGAAATTATTCCATAAGTAACTAAACGACTGAAAAGGGGTTTCCTTTTTAGTTCTTGTAGCAATGCCTCATCACCAATGAAACCACCCTGCCCTCCTCTTCGCCGTCCAATTTATCCCATCTACCCCAAACATTTCACCCACCCAAATTGGTATGTCTGTCCGAGGCTCAGATTCAACACGGAAACACAGACCGAAAAACAATTCCTCACCAGAGTAAGGCCGTCATCGAGCTAAATTACAACAAAAAGTTTCCATCAGCCATCTCCATGACCTTTCTGGAACAAAAGACTCTTCAGAAACGTACATGGTGCGGTATACCAACAGAACCACTTCCGCCGGTCGAATTCCCAGCGTCGATATCCCGGAGCCTGATCGAGGTCTGGGTCGTAATTCGTGAGGCTTCCGATGGCGAGCACGACGCAAGAGTGCTACGCCACAACGGAAATTTTACGCTATAGGTGTAAAGGCTGTCTATAGATTACACGAGGTCAGCGCTATTGTAGGCTTAAGCCGCAGTGCGCGGGGAGGGCACAGGGCAAGAAAAACCCATCAATGCTCGGGGATGCGGAAAGCCGGACGTACGGGAGAAAGGGCCATCAAAATCCTCATTAACCACAGCTGCAAGTTTGTTAGCTCAAGGAGCTGCGGGCTCTCAAAGCAGTTGAAACGCACACCACGGGTCCGAGGGAACTAGACGTATCATTCAAAGCACCACGTATCATACCGGTAAGCGACATAGATGATAGCTTTCTTTCGGGGAACTGAAATTACTCACAATAGTAATCACCCAAGAAGAACGCACGCACTCCTTCATCCAACTTGAAGTACCCAGTCTATGCGATGGCGTTATCAGGCATTCCATGCTCCGACTGGGGGGCAGGACAAACCACATCGATGCTCTGAATGCCATACGTCCAATCCTGGGGTTTCCTTCCAGTCGTCGAAGCAAATTCACTCAATCTTGTCCAAACCACGGTCCAAAACCAAAGAGGACTCACTGAATCAAGAAATCGACCCTACAATGCATCCTCGACGAATTTGGATGAATTCCAGGCCCGAATTCAATCTGGGTGTCTGGCAAGTGTACAGTGACGGCCTTTGTTTGCGCTGCAATGATAGAGCGTCAGCCAGAGGTTTCTATTTGCCTTTCAAGGTCGAGAAAAGGACGTACGATCCATCTCATGCCAAGCAGGACTACACCCAGGTCCAAAGGTCGTAACAACGGTGCTATAGGCATGGGATCAGCCTAAATCCACAGGCAACGGAGTCGAGAACATTACACGTTCACTCCCAGAGGAGCAATGTTGACATCGTCCTCTGTTGACTGTGTTTGTAGATTCGGTGCTGCAAGTGCGATGGATAAAAGTTTCAATACAGAGAGGAAGGCGAGATATTGGTAGAATCTCAGTCCGACACCGGCCATTTCTGAAGGGTTGGGGAAGGATCGACTTATTAGCATCTGGTGGGATCTTAAATACCCTTTCAACTTTCCCAAGAAATGCAGACTCCATCTTCAACAGACACGCATTATGCCATATGAGACATAGATTTCCCCAAGATCCAGCAGAAATACAAGAACAAAACACTTGAGGGCTTCTTTTAAGCGCCCGTCATGGTCACACCAGGACATTGCCGTCGAATGACCGCAGGAGCGCGCGTCGGGTATCTCGGACAGGTAAGGCGTGTAATTCCTGGAGAAATGAGAAGCACTTTGCGCCGCATCGATTGTCATCTACCCTCAATCTTGAACTCGAGTAACATTCAGAACCCTGAAGCCTCCAGTCCCCAATTCTTGGATAGGACTTAGCCGTAAGAACATTATTCAGGACATGGACCTGTATCTCAGAACAGCTGTTGAACACTCTTCATGCCAGGGGAGAAGAGAGGCTGGCACCAGGGGATTGAGGCGAAACTAGTCGACTTTCGGCAAAGCTCGGTGCCGGCTTGGGGGAAAGAGAGTCGAATTTATCGAGGTGTATAAGGAGGCGAACACTTTATAGCACTCCCCTTCAGTGCCCGTTCTCTTAACATTCTATGCATGGCCTCGCTGTAGGAGATATTGCCAGATAAAGGACAGAAAATGTATTGCCGCTCGTGCTATACATCACAACACCAGTGTAACTACCCGTCCTCGAATTCATCCCATCCACTATGTGCATCTCTTCAGCCACCCAAATCGGTATGTCTGCATATCCGAGGGTCAGATTCACGACGCGAACACAAACTACAACAAAATTCCTCACCAGAGTCAGGCCATCATCGACCTAATTTACAAAAATTCCATCATCCGTCGCAGTTGCGCCTGAGGCAGAAAAGAAACTCTTCAAATACTTACATGGCGCGGTATACCAATAGATCCACTTCCGCCAGTAGAATTCCCAACGTCAATATCCATGAGCCTGATCGCCGTCTGGGTTGTAACTCGCGAGCCCTCCGAGCACATGGCAAGAGCTCTATGCCACAACGGGAATTCCACTCTATAAGTATGAAGGCTGTCTATAAATTAAGCAGGGTTAGCGCTACTGTAGGTTCAACAATCCGCATGAAGGGTCATAGGAAAGGCCCAGGCGATCGAAGTGACGCCGCACGCGGAAAGCCGGATCCGGACGTACGGGGGAAAGGGCCCACAACAGTCCCGTGATTCGAAGCTGCAATTTCAACACCCATTAGCTTATGGAAGGGGCAGATTCTCGAGTGCTTGATACGCACAAGACGGTCCCGAGGAAACTAGAAGTGCCATCCGGTACTAGGTAGTAAGCGGTACAACCCTTCTTCAGCGGACTGACATTACCCACAATAGTAGTCACCCTGAATACGCGCCCGCACTCCTTCATCAAGCTTGAAATACCCAGTCTATAATGTCATTCGTCATTATTAGGCATACCATGATACAGACAGGGGACAGGACGAACCACATCGATACTCTGAACACCATATGTCCAGCCCTTCGGTTTCCTTCCGACCGTCGAAGCAAATTCAGTCGATATCGTCCAAAGCACGGTTTCAAAGCCACCGCCAAAAAAGACCCACCAAATAGAAAAACCAACGTTACAATGCACCCTCGTCAAGTTTGCATGGATTCCAGGCCCAAATTCCAGTTGGCTGCGTGGCAAATGAACCGTGGCGACCATGGTTTCTTCTGAAAAATAAATGGTCAGCCAAACGTTGCTGTTTTGCCTTCAAGATTGAGAGAAGGAACGTACCATCTACCTCAGACCAAGTGAAAGCTGGATCACAGCCATGTCCCAAAGTCGTGATTCCGTCACTATCGACATGGGGATCAAATTAAACCCACAGGCACAGTAGTAAAGTCTGTTACATGATCACTCCCGCAGGAGGAATGTTGACGTCCTCCTCGGTTGACAGAGCACGTATATGCGGGTTTGAGAGTGCAGCGGATAAAATGCTCAATAGAGAGACGAAGAGTAGATAACTGCAGAATCTCAGTCCCTCGACGGCCATTTCTGAGGATTGAGTGAGGACAGGTGCCAAATTCCATCAGTATCTACTGGGATCTTAAATACCATTTCGACTCGCCTAGAATTTCCAGGTGTAGCCCTCAGTATTCCCCGAGCCTGTCCAAGTGAAACACCGATTTCTTCCAACGGTCTGGAGGAACACATCAGAAGCCTTCGCTTAAGCGCCCATCAAAGTCACGAGAGAATCTTTGCAGTCTAATGGCCGCAGGAGCGCCCGCTGGGGATCTCGGACAAGGCAAGCGTGTAAACCCTGGAGAAATGAGAAGCATCTTGCGCAGCATAGCTTGCCATCCCTTAGGCTCAATTATGGCTGAAGCTTGATATCGCTATTTCACGAGTTCTGGTTCCATCGGTGCTTATACGGAATCAAATGTCAATCGAAGCCATGAAATCCCAGTCGTGAATGTCTGGGATTAGGCTGAGCTGTGAGAATATAGCCTCTTATCTCTTCGCGTTTCACTTTACCACTGTTCGTCGGCTTCCCCACGATACCGTACCTGGTGATCCTGTACTCAGGCCTCGTTGTACTTGCTCCCCCCAGTTTAGAATCCAACTGTGCCTTCTCGAGCCCAAGCCGACAGCGCGCTCCCTTCCTTAGGGGACCATCCCACCTTCGACCAGAAGTTCCGACGTCTGACCAGCCATCAGCGGGTACATTGGAGGTAATCAGCACCTTCCAAAGCCTGTGGTATAGTTGTAATCACTGCTAGACGATCAGAGTTCTGTTTGATCAAGCACATTCCCGAGAAGGTCTGTCCACTCCCTGACTTCTCTCACACCCAGTCCCAGCCCCTCAAGTTCGAGGGATTAGGACGACACCCCATAAACCTTCATCATCTGCTCCGCAATGACATCCCAGGCATCCTGCGTCCCATCCGTCTCCATCGCATCCGAAGACGGACTCTTGATGTCCATCGGTACGAGGATCATCCTCCCCCTCACATCCAACCCAAATGCATCCTTCCCTCGCTTCTCTTGGTGAGTCTCTGGCGGGGGTGTCGTATACTTGTAGTTCAGTGTATGCGAGCCAAGCTGGTAGGAGGGTTGCGCTCGAGGTCAGTATCAGCCCGAAAGCTGTACGCAAAGGGAGCACGCACCGAGCTAAGCAACGCATCCTCTGCATGGAAACTATAAATCCCATCCTCCGGTCGTCCAGCATCCCCAAACTTGCCAGTCCCATCCGTGCCTTCGGGCCTCTGCCTCTTGGTCCTAGTTTTCTTCTTCCGAGCTTGTGACGCAGGCAGGGTATTCTCCAAAATTGACTCCTCCTCAAGAGATAAGTGGTATGTCCGGGAAATGAACAGGAGATGCGAGAATTTGAAGGGTAGGTTCTGCTCAAAGCCGTCAGTTGAAAGGTCTGACGATAAGATAACGACGGAGGGCGCACTGCAGCGATCGAGTTGCGAACTTCGTCTCTGAGCATGTTATACAGTGGAGGGACGACTTCAACAGGCATATTGATCAGGCGTTCACAGATGACGAGACCGATGTGCTTTTCGGATTGGGAGAAGAGGGATTGGAGTTCGGCGTGCAAGGAGGAAGATGATTCTTCCTGGCTTTTTGATAGGCAGTACTGTGCCAGAGCTTTCATAGATGGGTGTTGCTAACGACTTCAATTCAATTCTCAGAAACCAGAAAAGAGATAAAGAAACACGCACATGATGTAGATGCATATTCAAAACAGTCAGCAGGGCATACGGATCGCTCTCCTCGCCATCCGTCTTGATAGTCGAACCAATATAGTCCTGCTCTAATATCAGTTCTGTTAGTTCATGCAAGTTGAACAGTTCAGCATCTCTGCCGAATAGCTGTTGTAAAAGCCTTTTGATAGCTTGGTAGTCCACCGATGAGTTTGGAGAGAAAAAGTCGAAAGAAACATCGACTAGAGACTGGTAGCAAATTTTAGGTTAATTCCTGGGACAACCACGAGTTTCAATGAAGATACTTGCTGTTTCCGAGCTAGAATCTTCGTTGTCGGAGACTTGGGATCGTTTTCCCATCGTTTGGGTCAAGTTTGCGGTGGAGGAAAGGGACAAGAAGGAATCGATTATTTGGTATCCTTTTCTGATCAATTTGATGGCATTTAGCGCTGGCGGCTATTGCACCTTTCACCACCACCACCACCGTGTCGCCAACTGTAAGCTTGACCTTTGGGGCTCATTCATGGTTCATATTGGATGTCATTCTGTACCTTTTCCGACCACTAGACATAGCGAATGTCGCAGACCTCCTGGGGAAGCGGGCGTATGCACAACGGAGAATTCCAATCCCCGCACGAAAATACTTACTGGTTAACCAACCTCACAGTCACCAGACAGAGAGGAACCTCCGAACAATCTCTTAATGTTCACTTGTAAAAATTGCGACTGTTGGAGCAATACCCTCAGGTTCGGAAAACCGGCACCCCGTATCCGTTGTGCACAAGGATCTTTCGGGTTTCCTCCTGGACCTGTTGGATGACTCAGGAGAATACTTTTAAGCACGGCATATGCATTTCCAACCACTAATTGCCTCCTGATGTCTCTCCCCACCACAGTGGTGGACTATATCCGCCACGATGACAACCAGCCCAGTCACCGTTCCAGTGCCATAGACCTCGGAAAGTCGCTACAAACCACATTTGTGCAGGAGGTTACAAGGAGCGAACCATCAATTGGAAGGGTCGAGGCGAGCGCTTCAGACGAGTTCAAGCTGCCTAGTCGTCGCTCGCTGTTCGTCGTCATATTTGGGAATGCTTTATTCCAGGTGTGTGCCCTGCCAGCGTAGCACCGGGGCGATAGGGGCTGAAAGTGGTATCCTCTAGGTCACTTTCTTCATCATTGTCTCATCTGCAAGCGCCTATGCAGAACACCTGGGCGGTACCGCGACCTTTTCTGGTCTAACTATCGGTATCCCAACCGTTTTCTCTGGCCTCGCTCTCCTCGTCACCACCCGACTCGACAAAGGTTCTTCTCTCCGTCACCAACGCCTATCTCCCTCTAACACACCTTTCCAGGACGCTACAACGGTTGCTTCCAATTCGCCTACCTCTGCGCCATCCTCGGAAACATAACCTACGGCCTCGCCTACCGCGCCAACTTCCTCTACCTCATCCTCATCGGCAGATGCATCACCGGCTTCTCCTTCATCTGCTTCATGTACCACAAACGATACTGCGCAGACCCTCGAATCGTTGGAATCCGCAGACGAACCACTTTAGCTAGTTGGTTAGTCCTCGGCCAGGCTTTCGGGTTCTCAGCGGGTCCTTTCCTTGGCGGAGTGCTTCACAAAATCGGGTTCGGGAATCGCGTGTTTAACGGGTACACAAGCCCAGGATGGATCATGGCCGGAGCCTGGTGTCTATTCTGGCCGCTCAGCAACTGGTTATTCGAGGACGCCCCACCACGCCCTGCCCCATCCCGTTCCACAACCCCGCCCCCAACATCCACACCCATACCAACCACAGGCATCGAACTCCCCACCCTCTCCCAACCAACCTCTCGTTCCCCCACTCCTCCTCCACCTCCCCCATCATGGCGTGACCTCTCCTGGCGCCAATGGGGCGTAACTGCCTGCATGTGTTGGTTCGCCATGACCTGCTTCAACATCCTCGGAGCATGGGAATCAAATATCCCCGTCTACTCCGCCATCGCGCTCGGATACTCCCCTTTCCAAGCCGGAAACTTCATCGCCCTAGGCGGGATATGCACCCTCCCCTTCCTCCTTCTCAACGTCCGGTACGCACGAAAGTTCCAAGACCGAACCACCCTCGCTACAGGCACCAGCCTCGGATTGGCAGGTCTCTTGATCATGCTCATTCTAATCAAAACCGACAAAGTCAGTTTCGGGCCTTTCTTCGTGTGTTGGTTCTTGGTAGCTCTGGGATTCAATCTCGCCAGCACCTGCACTCTCAGTTTACTATCAAAACAGCTGCCAGACGAATGGGTAACAGGCGTGAGCATGGCCATCCAGTACAGCAACTACACAGGACGTGTCACAGGAGCAGTTCTAGGAGGCGCAGGTGTGAAGATCGGAATGCCAAACTACCTCGGAATCCAAATCGCAATTGTAGGATTCGGAGGAGTCATGTACCTCGTCCTCTGGAGAGACCTCAAGGCCAAGACTGGATAGAGGCACCCCACGCCCGCCTTCCCCTCCTCGACACCTAGGATTAGACGGGATAGAAAGGATATAAAATTCCAAAAAAGAAATAAACAATCACAAAAACAGAAGGAAGGAAGGGAATGTGAAATAGGTAAAAGTACACTACACGAAACACAAAAAGTGAGAATATAAAGCAGGAGCGGGTAACCACCCTCCATCGACAACAAACAGTGGCCAGAAGAAACCCTCTTGCCACTACCTCCCAATGCCCATCTTCAAAACAGCACCCACGACATCGACATCGTCCCATCTAGGATCAATACCGGGTTCACCATCCATAGCCGCATTCTTCCTGTTCTGTATATGGATAAGGGTATTCCTGAAATGCCGTGTGATCATCTCGGGCGTCTGGACACCTTCAATGAGACCTGGTGGAGCGCGCTGCGATGGGTGGACGTCGGGAGACGAGATGTTGTCGATGCTGGAGGTGATCAATTCGACGAGGCTGTTGACGAACTTGGGCGCCACCTATCAAAAGTCCGGTCAGGGTCGCACAGAAGGCAAAGGAAATCATAAAACGCACCGCAGGTGTTCCGCAATCGAGGTAGTATAGGTATTGGTCTAGGGTATCGCAGTATAGTTGAATAGTGACAATCTCCTCAATCGCAGAATTTGCAATTCGCAAGGCTTTCTGTAGGCACTCTAGGACGCGTTTGCCATCTTGATGAGGGAACTATTCGCAAGCGTTAGGTCAACAAGTAACAAGCCAAGACAGAGAAACAAAACTCACGGCTTTAGGACTAGTCTCAACCTCCCTCTCCTTCACTTCATCCTTTTCCTTCTTCTCTTTCTCCTCCTTCTTAGCCTTCTCCCCATCCTTCTCCTTGCCCTCTTTCTCTTTACCCTCCTCCTTCCCATCCTCCTTCGCCTTTTCCCCAGGCGGCGTCGGAGCCTTAACAACCACAGTCTCAGCAGCTCCAAACTGGTTGGCCTGCTGCCACCACAAGTGACTAGCAAGGCCCACAGCAGTAGCCTGATGACTCTTCTTCAAAAGCTTTGCTCCATGCAGCGCAGCCTTCGTGATCAACGTGTCATAATTATCCACTCCAAACACTTTGGCACCCGCCAGCGTACCAATGATCAGTGTAATAGCTTGCAACTGCGCTCGAGATTCAGATATCGAATCCTCATAGACGCTAAAGGCTTGCACGTAAAAGTCATAAGCGAGGTCTTCGAACCCGCATTCATCGGCGATCTGGGCGGCGAGGAGGAATAGACGGAGGGCGATGCTTGGTGCTTCGACTTGGGTGGCAAGAATGGAGGTGAGTTGCCGTACAAACTTGAGGATAGTCGACACTTTGCCCTGCCAATCCGTTTCCTACACCACATAAGTAATTGGATAGAAAATGACTCAAGGCGAGATGGCACATACCACACTCTCCCGAAGCTTGTACCTCCTGCACAACTTGATAGAGGCAGTGATCAACGCAGGGAACGTAAACTTCATCCTCTCCCCACCCATATCGAAGTGTCTCCTCGCAGTCTGCAACAACTCAAACTGAACATCCAGACTCTCGGCCCTGAACAAATGAACCATCCTAGCAACCCATCCCTGTTCCTCAGCCATCTCCTCCCTCTCCAAGAAGAATGGTCCTTGTCGTCGGATTTCGCGACTACCAGGTTGACCGTTAGGTGGCGGCAGGTTGGTGTTAACATCGGATTGGTCTTTGATGAGGACATGGCAAAGGTCGAGAACGCCATCAACATCTTCGGGTGTTTCAACAATAGTCTCGTTCTTGAGGACGGACGAAACGAGGGAGTGTGCGATGGAACGGCGGGTGGAGAACAATTGTCGGGAGAGGAGCGGGCCGTAGTTGGGGATGGCAAGGAGAGTGAGGACGGACTGGTAAGAGTTAATGGGTGATACCAGTAGCGCTGCGAGATTCGCCGTTGTTTGCTGGGCGTGGAGGTCGGGACTAATGGATAATCAGCAATCAGCCTGAAAAGGTAAACTGGCGCACAAACCTATCCTTGAACTCCTTGATCTTGTCCGCAGCAAATCCGAGAATTTGATCCACGTATTCTAGACGGTCGGGGTAGCAGCTGACGGATAGGTTGGTCAAGGAAACAAGTAGAGCTGTAATGTCTTGAATGGAAAGATCGGGGCGGGCCTTGATGAGGTCGACAACCTGCTTCCAGAAGACCTCGAACAGAGGCACATTCTCCGGAATACCTCTGAACTTTCTCGTGGGGGAACCTTCCTTCTCCTTGCCCTTCGGCTCAGTCGATGGCGTGGCTGGCTCCTCATTGACCTTCTCCTTCTCGCTTTCTCCTGCCTCCTCGAAGCTCTCGGTGGTCCGGGGACTCGTAGGCGACGCCACCTCCGAAGCCCACGCATTCGCCTCTGGTGCTGTCGTCGGCGAAGTAGGGGGTGACGTAGCCCACCTCTGTTCCCTCGCCTTGGCTTTCTGCAACTTGACTTTCTCAGCTAACCTCTTCGCCGCAGCCTCTTCCTGCCTCTTGGTCTCCTCAGGGTCCTCGTTCTCGGCTTCGCGCGACGCGTAAAGGGCGAGCCGGTCGATCAAGGCGATGACGATTTGTTTGATGTTGACTTTGGGGTGGAGTTGGGCGGTCGCCGAGAGGAATGGGCCGAGAGTGTGCAGGTGGAACTCGTCGGAGAAGACCTGCAATCTAGTTGGTATATAATATAACAGAACAAAGAGAAATCGCACCTGAATGACGACCTCCATAAGATACTCCTGAGCAATCACATCCTTGCAGTTCACCACCTGCTCCAGGATACTTGGGAGGATAGTCTTCTGATACAAATCCAAATCCACCCCATCCAACTGACTTAACCGCACCAAATTCGTTCCAACCAAAATCCTCAACTCGCGGCGTTCCATCTCGCGCTTCTCGCGATCTCTGGAGTGACCCTGGTGCTGCAACCGGACCCAAAGCTTGTTCATCTCGATAAAGTTGCTGAGCAAGAACTCGATCGAGTCCTGTAGACATCCCGCAGGTCTGAATGGCGACAATGAGTAACCCTTGCGGTGGACTGCGGACAGAGGACATACCCAGGTACGTTCCCAACGGGTAAATGATCTCTGGTCTGGCCACTGAGATAGTGCCTCAAGAACAACCCTCTCACAGGGTTCAACACACCCCTGGACATCTCCAACATATCCTTCATAACCTCCTTGACCTGCGCATCCGGAACTGACATGTACACCGACCCAATTGTGATCATCAAGTACAACCGCGGGACAATGTTACCGGCATATTGCACCAATTCGTAGAGTTCCGGTAGGCTATGTCGTCCAGAGGTGTGCGCGTCATATAGATAATTGGAGAGGTATCTTAGAGCGTCGAAGATGGCCATATCTATCCCGCCAAACATCAGTTCAAAGCGATTTGGCAATCGTTCAACAACTCACAGAGTTCATAATACTGTTTAGGTGATAACGACGACGTCCGGAGCTCTGCCAACATAAGACTCGCACTCTTCAGCGCGTCCATAAGCTGGTCCAGTTCCTATACAACGATAATTCATCGAAACTAAGTCCATGAAAGAATAAAGGTAAACAGGAGGGTTGCGTACGAGATGGCGCTTCATCTGCTGAACTTGAACCTTGACAGTGCTCAAGGCCTCGCTGAGGAGCTTTCCCTCCTCCGGCGGCACTGGGTGTTGTGTTGTCGTCGCCATCGTGTTCGCTGCAGACGGTGTCGAAAGGCGTCCAGCAGCTGTCGAGTTCGTTACGACGAAATGTGGTTAAAGGCGCTAAGTTCTGTCCGCCTGATGCCTGTCTCTCTGGGCGACCCGTGGTCAGCGATTAGTCAGCCTTTCCTCATTAAGACAGTTTTTGATCTCCGCTCTTGCCGCCCTTTGCCTCGTCGTACCTCTCGTCGTACCGGGCAGATAGCTGGGCTGTTTGGCGCTCAATAGGGCCATTTGGATAATGCAACAAAAGTTTACTGGCAGGAACTACAAGCCAGTTTTTCGAATGCCGTGCCTACCGTATCCCTCGCGTTTCTGGGAAGCAACCTCGACAAACTTCTAGGCAACGTAGACGAGGCGGTCCTCGTGAGTAAATACTCGACTCCAAACGGTATTTGTATCAAGTTCCACGGCTCCTTGAACGTGTGTCTTCCTGAACGCGTAACCGCTTCGGGGAGCCCGCCTCGGAACGGAAGCAAGAGAGTGATCCGGGGTTATTTGGATTGCAGGGCATTGGCAAACACACATGTCATACTTGCCACGTCTCTTTCAGGCAATGACCTCCTCACAGTGACCGGGAACGTGTCTTCCTCCCTCCTTTTCCCTTAACCACCACAGTCCGGGACACCCTACGAGGACCCTACAAATCCATAAAACATGTCCTCAGCATCAGCAAGAGCAGAAGCGCGTCGCAGAGCCATTCTCAGCCGAGGCTCTGATCGTTTGGCGAAGCTGACCACATCAGCCCGGGGAGAAGATGCTCCAAGGTATATGAGTGAAAGTATGTTCTTACACCCTGAAATCTATGATTTGTTTACTTAAAATGCGGTCTCATAGGCACAGGCATCCGATCTACTTCCAGGACATTCCTAGGCGAAGATACAGCAGACATGCCAGTTCCAAAACCGTTGACTCCAGATGAATCTCAGGCTTCGTCTTCCGCACCTTCTGCTTCACGCTCTACAACGTCAACAACAACTGCTACCAACCCCGTAGAGGCGGCAGCAGGTCTGGGACTCGGACGACTACCCACCCCCGATCCCTCCGTCTGGTCTCCAGAACAACAACAACAATTCATGCGAGCTCTCATGGGTGCAGCAGCGATGCCCCCGCAAGGCCAAGGTACCGGCCAAACTCCTCTCCAGTCACCTCTGGGAGATCCAAATGCCCCAATCGACCCTTCCCTTCCACCCATGGACAACCCACTGGCAGCCATGCTCTTCCCTCAAGGTCCAGGTTTCAACCCCTCGAAATCGCCTGTGCAGGAGGCCGCACCACCTCAACCACCCAGCAAGTTCCAGCGCTTAATGCCTTTAGTCCACCTGCTAGCCATGTGGTGCTTGCTCGCGTACTTTATCTTCTACTTTGAACCCAAAGCATACGTGGAACAAGCCGGGTTTGTGGACGGTGCCAACCAATGGAGCCGCTGGGCGAACCTGATACGCACTAGTCCGACTGCAGCTACGATAACAAAAGTATTCAAAGTTCAGTTAGTGGTGCGTCATAATTCCTTTCACTTGCACAACTTCTTAGCTGACGATGACCCTAGCCGTTCTTCTGGGCGTTCCTCACACTCGAAGTTATGCTTCACTCCCTCCGCATCTTCTCAAAATCTGTATGTCCCTTTATTTCTGTCCTAGCAACCATCTAATTCCCTTGTTCAGGACAAAATCCAACCCCCAACCCTCCTCGCCCTCGCGCTTCCTCACATCCCCGCGCCATTCCCTTCTATAATCATCAACTCCCTAAAATATTGGCGCATGCTCTCCCTTTTCCTCGACGACATCGCAGGCCTGGTCGTCGGACTAGGTTTCATTATCTACTTTGCTGGATTCCTCTCATAGACAGACTTCAAACACTTGCTTAACACCAGTTTAAGTTTGCCTATTTAATGACCATGCCACGGAGACGCTTTGTACCGCTGTACTGTCTGTATCATCACAATGCCATATATTATACGATATTAAAAAGAGAAAAATCTACGCGCTACTCTGAACCTCCTCTACAAAGAAGCCGACGCCTGAGATGAACTGGAAGGCGCATCAGGTATAGGCGCTGCACCCTCCTTCCCCTTCGAAGACCTGAACTGCGACAGCGAAGGCAAGTCGGTCTTCACTTTAAGCCTCTGGCTCGGTGGCAACTCGCTCTTCTCCCCAGGGATAACCTCCCCCCCTTGAGCCTGCGCCTCCTCTTTCCACTTCTGCCACTGAGAGCCTCCACCAATCTCCATAAGCTCCTTAACGATCGACGTTGACCACTTTCCAGCAAGGTTGATGGTTTTGTTTTGGCCGTTTTCTGTAGTCGAAAGTTTCGTTGGGTTCAAGGTCCATCCCATAGTGTGAACGGAACGAGAATGAGAGAGGATGGGTAAGTCAAACATAAACCTCACGGAACGAGAACCAATACGCACCCAATTGAATCTCCAATTCGGGCCTCCACTCGTCCTTCGCAGTCTTCAGCACCTTCTCCACCTGAATATCCAACTCTGGGTTCGCCCATCTTATACGAGGAAGATGTTCCTTCGCAAAGTGCCTACAAAAGTGCATATTTGGTTAGCAAGCCCTCCAACTTGTCATGAAACGCATCTGGAAGTAATGCACGCCGCGACTGTGTCGAATATATAACAAGCCAACGCAATACCACAGTGTGCAGGACCCAGAATAACAGTGGAAGTACCCACCTGGCACCCCAATGATCATTCCGGTAGGCATATGTGAGCTTCAAAGTCTTGACACCCGTCAAATCCAACCTCGGCGCAGCATTCAAATTCGCCAAAATCTTCTGCAATTTCGAGGGTGCCTTGACGGCTTGCTTCACTGCATTGGAGGCCATACTTCCTCCTCGTCAATCGTGCTGGACAGTCGTGTGTTGTTGGGCTAGCGGACCGTAAAGTAGTCGTCGTCGCCTACAGAGGTTGGAACAACACGTCCGAGACTAATCGTCGTCTCGAAAGAGAATATAAAGTGTGACGGTGAGGCCCAAGGAGGCGTTGACGTTGACGAGCGCGTAACGGTAGACTCAGCGTCAGAATATTTTGCTGACTTGACACGGAGACCGGCGCGTTCTTTGTTTGCACGTGCTTGAATGACGGGATCACCTACAATTGATCCCGCTTCTCCGACGCCAGCACCAGCGCTTGTTTTTGACCACCACATCTGCAAATCATTCCTATCTATCGTTTTCCAAATCACGATTCAAAGCGGTGAAAACAGCTCTAAGCTTCTGTGAATCATGGACGAACACGACGAACCTCTCCAACTCCTCGGGACGGGTCGTTCACGGCGGAGCACAGCAGGGAACAGGTTCCAAGCAGTAATGGCAGAAGCAAAAGCAGAACAACCAAAAGAACCAGAGGCAGCTGAAGAAGATAAAGAATTTCAACTACCCAAACGTGAGCATCATACATCCTCCTCCTCCAGAGTCCTCGCTCTAAACTCTCATAGCGGTCCAGGAAGAGGATTACATAGACGAACAAAACGAAAACGTTGACTCTGACTTTGAACGCACCTTTTCTGGCGAGGAAGAAGAAGATGAGGACATCGAAGGAGACGAAAATGACCAATCTACGCGTCCAAGTGCAGCTGAAAAAGCGATACAGGATGAAGATAAACGTCTCCGTCAGAACGCCAAATCCCGGCTCGAGAAGGCGACGGCCATAGCACACGCCCGGAATCGAGTGACCTTCAACCCAGAGCTCTACGCCTCCGAAATCACTGGCTCGTCGAGCTCAAAATTGAAAGCCAAAGCGAAGGAGAACGAGGAAAGAGATGCGAGTGTATCTCTCGCGGACGAGTTCGGTGGACTCTATAAACGCCAAAGCACTCGAACGACCACAATCCTCAAATCATCTGCTACATACGAGCGTCTGAAGCAAAAAGAAAGTAAAAAGGTACGTCGAAACTCTTCTTGCACTATCGTCGCCAAACCTAATCATTGTCATATCCTGCTCAGGTACCCAGGCGCAAACGCAGCTCCACATCTACACCCCTCCCAACCCAGTCCGAGCTCATCGCCAAGGCTTTAGATAACGAAGAAGGAAACATAATCGAGCACCGTGATTACCTCCGGAACGAGGAACGCAAGCGAAGGAAAGCCAGAAAGGTGGAGAGGGTGCGCGTGACTGGGCCCGCACTGAGGTGGGTTAGTCGGATCGAGGAAATCGAGAAGAATGAGGAGAACGACCAAGAGAAGAGCGGGGGAAAAGACGAATCAGCTTCCCTGGCGGCCGACGGGAAACCTGAGCAACCTCTGGCTCCTACATCGAAAGAGACGCAGAGAATACGAACAAATTACTTGGTTCATCGCGAACGACGACCCGATTGGTTGGATACAATGGAAGCTGTGTTCGGGGACCACGTTGATTGGGACAAAGTCAAAGTCTACGTAGGGAAAGGACGACCTACATGTGAGTTCCCTGTTTCTCCCACCTTTCCTCAGGATTTGGCTGACTGGATTGGTCATTTTACCAGCTCGCCCAATCCAAATGTGTCCAATGACCGGAGACGTGGCTAAATACCGCGATCCAGTGTCGGGAGTTCCCTACGCAAACGCAGAGGCATATAAAGTCCTTCCCAAGGTGCTGGATCACCAGTTTGGTTGGAGACCTGAAGTGGGGATCTATACTGGAGACGATGGGGACTCCGACTTGGATACCTATCTCTAGCTCCCACCGCTGGGCAATCTACTGGGCAGGTTCTCCTGCTCACATCGCATTACCACCACTACAACCACAGAGGTCTTCCCCAGCTGGGGCTACCGAATAGCACTCCGAAGAACTCTGGTCGCATTCCCAACATGACCTCCACCTGCGCTATTCTCCCTAACTGCTGACCCTGGAACGACATATTCTTCCGCGCCACCAACCTCTCTGAACCCCTTGGAACCTACCTAGTCCTCCGGCAGAACTTTAATTGCAACCGCGTCCTCATCCTCCCTCTCCAACCCTCTGCCCTCGCAACAACAGAGCAGGAGCGTCTCTTCTCCAGCTCCGAAAATGCAATGTCCTCCCTAAGGCCTACAACCTCTCAGCCTTCCAGTCCGACCGGCTCGCGAAGAGAAGAGACGGCAATACACGATCGGACTTGCTCGCCTATCTCCAGACTCTTGAGCTCCACTCGCCTTACAATCGTCACATAATTACACCGCAAACCGAACGGACCCTCCTCCTAGCCGACTCCCGGGGCGTCGAAAGAGCGTTTGAAGAAGCCATCCGGCAGCTTCTATCCGTCGCTTATCTCCATCTCCCAGGGACCAGGGACAAACCTCGGTGGAGACATGTCGTTCCTCATTAAAAGTGTGTGTTGGATCCATTTCCATCTATGTTAACCGCTCACGTAGATTTCAAAAATAGGCTTCTCAACTCCTGCTTTGGACTTCCACGGGGGACGATCAGGTCCGCCCCCGCTCTGAGCTTCGCTCACGTTTCTTGCGAGCTGCTTCCTATTGTCTACTATCCAATAATCCAATCCAAAGGGGGTCTACTCTCAAGGTTCTGTTTTGATCAGACTAATAGCACCAGAATTCCCGTGCCGAACGCAAATCAGCCCTTCCCCGTGAACCTGAACCGGAACGCTCATTTCGACGATTGATTAAAAACATCCACGAAAGGTGCAAATGTTCTTTGTTCCTGAGAATCGAGGCAGATCGCTCCGCGCTCGATGGAGCACTGGGCCCCAGAATAACCTTCGACTCGAACACCTATGGCCCATCGGGATCCTCCAAACGACGAGGATTGATGACCGCACAACACCAGGTCGGGCAGGGGAGCTGGACCGGTCGGGCAATTAACCCTCATCGCTCAAATCGCAATACCTTTCAGGTGTTTCCATGGACCTAAATGCAAGACAATCCCATCTCACATACCTTTCATTCAATTTCATGACACCATCGGAGCTCGAAAAACGAAACCAAGTATCTTCTGGGTGTCATTGCAGCCGTGCTACATCCGCTTTTCCCGTTCTTGTCTACATACCTTCCGTCGTGACGGATGTGGCGACACCTTGATTCGCAGAGGTCTTCCCTCCACATGCGAGTAAGGACTATCCATGTTGTCTTATCTCTATCCAAACACCTAAACTACCTTATTGACTAACTAACAAGTCTTCCAGGCCCAATGATACCGAAGCTCATCATCCCATCCTTTATTACCTTATGGAAAACGGAAACCGAGGGAGAATGCTCGTGGACTAGTGATCGGCGATTGTGACAGTCGGAGCCTCGCTTCCAACAGGAGTAACCCCCTTCGATAATGGACTTTTCAAAGTCTAGAAGTCGGCATCACATTCAATTCATTTGACTTAACCGGCGCCAGGCGTTCGACTATCCAAATCTCTTGACTAACTGCAGTACACCTTTGGGAGATGGGAATAAAAGCAATGAAGGTAAGATTCTGGCTTCATTTCTCAGCTTTGCTTCCTCTCTCCCCGTAATGACCCAGGCTCTCGCACCCACTCAGCCAGCACTCCTGCCCAGCGCTCCCTTCCAACCTAACTCACCCTCCCGAAATACTTCGTTCGCCTCTTCGCCCACCGAGGTGGTATCCATCTCCCCGTCAGTAGACGAATCTCCACCCTCAGATTCTCTTAAAGGCAACCATGACAAACCCATAACCGAATTTCCGGAAGGAGGAGCGAGAGCGTGGGCCACAGTCGTAGGGGCGTAAGTGACCCTGTCTTTCTACAAGCACCCCATCAATTTACAACCTTCTCTCTAGTGTGTTGCTACAATTTTGTGGCTTTGGGTGAATGGCGTTCCTTGTCGTACTCGAATAGGGTGCATGCATGCTGAACGTATGTCAACAGGTACTCGACGTCGTACGGGATCTACCAAGGTTTGAGCTCCTTCTCTGAGCGTCCTTTCGTGTCATTCACCCGGCCCCAGATTACTACACGAGAGTGTACATCAAGCAATCCTCACCCTCAACCGTCTCGTATGGCTTTCTTTACTTCCAGACTAAATCCTACCTTGACATTCCTACACAGATGGATAGGAAGTGTGAACACGTTCCTAGTCATCTCTTTCGGCCTCGTCGCGGGTCGCCTCTATGACCGAGGATATTTGTGAGTGATTTCGACTAGATGTTCAGAAGTCCACGGCCTTGACCATGCCCACCCTGATTAGTTATCACCTAATCCTGGGAGGTTCGCTCCTGATCTCTTTTTCCCTCTTCATGCTTTCTCTAGCTCTCCCGGAGAGCCTTTATCAGGTCAGCAGATATTGCCCTTCTCGTCGGCACACTCCCCCTAACTCTGTCCTAGTGTTTCCTTGCCCAAGGGGTCGGCCTCGGGATTGGCGGTGGCATGGTATACGTGCCCAGCGTAGCTGTTGTCTCTCATTACTTCCGCCGGCGCCTGGCCTCCGTCATGATGTTCGCCGTCTCCGGTTCCGCTCTTGGGGCAATCGTACACCCTATCATGCTCAACAACCTTCTCAACCACACCAATCTTGGATTTGGCGGGTCCATACGTGCAAGTGCGGGCCTGGTTACCGGGCTATTGGTGGTGGCTTGCGCATTGATCAGGACGCGCCTTCCCCCGCCTAAAGAATTACCCAGCATCAGAGGGCTGTTCGCGAAGAGTGCGCGAGAGGTGCCGTTTGCGATTATGGCCTTATCGTAAGTGACATTACAGACAGTCAGGTATTGCAACTCAACTATCCATTTCAGACTTCTAGTCTTCGCCGTCGGATTCTTCTTCCCTCTGTTCTACATCCAACTCAACGCGATACATCACGGTCTGTCCAAAGAGTTTTCTTTCTACGCTGTACGTACAGCGTTCCTCTTTCCCTCATATCCCACTCTGATCCGCTCGCTAACCATCATGATCGCCCCCTCCCCTTCCTATTACAGCTGGTGATTCTCAACACTTCTAGTTTCTTCGGACGGCTCGTCCCAGGTTTCTTCGTGCGCAGACTCGGGGTGGTTAATTCAGTCATTATTGCCGCGCTTTCTAGTACGGCGTTGGTCTTTGCCATGATCGGCCTAAGGACGGTCGCTAGCGTTGTCATTATCGCCACACTTGTCGGGTTCTTCCTCGGAATGTGTGAGTATCGGCTCTCGGTCCTTCAATCCCATCCGGTCACTGAAAGGCTGACGGCGATCCACCAGTCATCGCACTACAGGCCCCCCTCGTAGCCGTCCTAACCGTCGATCCGGCCGAACTCGGGTAAAACTCCTCTGTCTATCCATCCGTGTTTTATTGTGCTCAAAATAGACCTCTAGGGCTAGGATGGGAATCGCATTCACCTTCTCCGGTACGTAAATACGACAGGCTCCACCGCGTTCTCTAGAAGCCTAACGGTAATGAATTCAACCGGTATAGCCATCGGAGCTCTCATTGGTAAGGTTCTCTATTGTGTGACAATGTGATATAGCTAATCTTCAATCCACCAAGGTCCGCCAATCAACGGCGCCCTGCTTTCAAGCGACTACATCTGGTGGAGACCAGCTACCTTTAGCGGGGTATGCAGTTCCCCTATTACCAATCTAGATGCTAAGCGGGTTTTCTAGGTGTGTTCTTTCCTTGGAGGCGTCGGCTTCATCGCTATCGCACTACACCTACGGAAAGACGGAACTTCTGAGAACGCAGCACCGATGGAAAAGGCAGACCCCTAATCATGCAATCGAAATGCATTCGTAAGGCAGATCCTTTCTCTGCCCGGAAAATCCAATTTGAATTTCAGAGCAACGAGGACAATGAAGTAGTAGTGAAAGAGTTTTGAAAGAGCAATATGCCTTTCCCTTTAGGACTCTCGGTCTACTCGGTGGGGTTCTTGTACACTCTCGAAGGGATTCGAGGATCAGGTGACAAACGCTCTTCCCATTAGGGCAACAATGGAACGCCTATACCCTCCATCCCCACAAAAGATATCCATTCGTTGTCAAGCGACTGACCTCATGGTACACTTCCTCTGCTTAACAAGAATAAGGCAGCGCAGTGATTATCTTAGATGAGTCGTTAGGAATGGAGACTCCCTTTTGTTGACCCTTTCACCCCAGCGTCGGTTGCACAGCTATGCCGTAATATTACGCTGTCCCTCCATTCTCGAAGCTCAATCCTGCATCTTGCTCTTTCCAAAGGACATGCATTTGCGGTGTGTACGCCGTGCGCCTACTTATTCCACTTCCATAGGAACAAACAACTCCAGTTCGGGCATACACCATGTCAATCGAACGTTATCGCATCAAAGGAAGTACAATAACAGCTCCAGGTAAAGTATGTCGAGGCTACGTCTTTCATATCCCAATGCAGGGTTCCTATTGTCCACAAAGCACCGTCCCCAGCTTCCAGTATCTTCCTTCGACTTATGCATCTGGGGTCTACGGCGAGTATATAAGATAGGAACGAGGATGGTGTTTACATTAAGTGAGAGCCTTACCACCGCATCCCCTTCGCGTTCTATCCGACTGGTTTCGGCAAATCGTTCTACTTTCTCCTCTCATTTTCTCTCTCGGGCAAGACATGCGACTCAGAAATTACAAGGAAACTGTACCCTACACGATCGAGGACACGCTACTTGACGTCCAGCCACATTCACTCGATGAGCCGTTCCATTGGTGTCCCAGAGTAGGTCTCTCCAGTGCCGAGCTGATGCTGGAATGCTAATCAAGGTTTCAGCCCGGTACGCCGGTCTGGGTAAAAGTCAGCGATGGTCCCGGAAACCCTTTGAAATGGCGGAAAGGGAACATCGAAGAAGAAGGAAGTCAAGTATACACACGCCAGGTAATGTATTCCCCTATATTGCCTGTGTTCTCCGGCTCATGATAAGCTCGAGCAGGGCATTTTCAGAACATATACCGTGAAGACCATGATCAAACGGAAGCCAATGATGTTCACGTTCGTACCGGGTCTTCAACCGGAACTCAAGCCCGATTCACCTGAAGTCAGAGAGCTGCTGAGAGTAGCGGGCGTCTTTGTCTAGAAACCGCTCATGCCTCGAATCATCCCAAGTCACATCCAACATTTTCCCTTCATCATCCAGACAGGACCTCCCACTGCATACGACACATCCTCAAGGCACAGTCTCATCTCATACGCATATCACTATACCCCTGGATCAACGTCATGACACTTGTAACATATACCACATCTACCCTGTATCGCTAGTCACCCAGTAGTACTTATTTGCTAATTTACACAACGTCTTTCGAGATTTCCTCGGTATTTTAGATAAATGGGGTACAATCTAGTCGCTAAAAGGTCTAGAGAGAGGTCGCAGTCGATCTGGACTGCCTTGAAGGATGTAACAGGATGTAACGCGATGTACTTTACTGATACACATCCAGGTCCAGGAACGTTGTCAGAGACCAGTGATCAGCGTCAGCTACAGTGAGAGCCTGGGCAGACACTACCAGGCACACGGAGCCTAGAGGAGAGAGGTAACAGAAACACTGCAGGCAGAAGCCTGTGGCTGAGGCCTGAGGAGGCAAACGTAAATAGATCATCAGCAAAACCTAGATATGATTCCAAGAGCTTACGGGGATGGCAAGAATGACATATCATTGTAAGGAATGACGTTTTGATCGGAAGCTCCAAAAGATCTGGCAAGCTTCGGCAAACCTTGCAAGGTTGGTCGAAAGCTTGTAATCTTTACTGTTACCTTGTAACGTCGGTATTACCTTGCAGTGTGAAGTGATGTTCTTATATTCTCTTCGGCTTCCTTCTAATTTTTCCAAGTCCTTGCAAACTTGCCTATCCCGTTTCTGGTGTGCGAGCTTCCCACGCCTCCCAGAGACCACTCGCCCCGGCTATGGTTGACGTTGTGACGTATTATGGATTTAATATACTTACTAAAGATCTGGAGTGCATCGATTCCCAGTCGCCTCAAAACAGCGCAGAAATGTCGCATATTAGTCCAATGCTATCAATTTTCCTGTCTCAAACCTTCTGGTTTGCTTCAAAGCTGGTCTCTTCTCTATGAGGGCAGCAGTGATCTCAGACAGCGTGACGTCGCGATCCTTGAGAGGCTTTGGCCAATCTTACAAGGATCCTGGGAACCTTGCAAGGTTCCGAGAAATCTTACCACGTTCAAGATAATCTTATAAGCTACAAAAGATCATGTCACTTTCCCACTTTTTCTTACAAGGTCGACAAGATCCCGCGTGTTGACAAGAAATTATGAACTTTACAAGGTGGCTAAAATTTCTGGTAATCATATCTGGGTTTTGCTGATGATGCTTCCCTGAGTAGGCGTCCAGCTGTCCCAATCACCGCTGCGCAGTGCAGCTAAGCTAGCTCCAATCAATCCATGTCAGAGACGAATGATACCTCAATAGGCACGTTGCTGGTCGACTTTAGAGCATCCACCTTTGAAGGTGGGATTGTCCCACAGCCAACCCAATCTCGTTGTTCGATAGATGCACTCGATTGGTATCCTCGCGGCTCCTGGACTCCGTTCCCAACGGTCCTGCGTCCTTTCTTCGGTGATTACCATCTAACGGACCACCAAGGCTTTAATTTATAGCGTCATTCTGAATCGGTGCAGCTGCGTTGCCGGGTAACAAATTCCATAAGTTGTTTTGCGGAGAGAGATGGGGGACAGAAGGCACTGACGAAAAAGGGGCACTCTTTCCGTTTCTGTCACTTTTGATTCCGAATTGGGTTCCCACGGATCTTGGACAGCAACCACCACGAGCACAGTGTCTTTCTCTGCCTGCGTGCATCATTTGGACTTAGACAGGTCCAGATTACATGTCATATTCACGATGGATGTCCTTTGCTATAAAAGCGCTGGCAAAATGACAGGAATTGCCGCAACCCACGCCCTATTCTCACATCCAACACAACCATGAAACTCTCTGCGTTCGCTACAGCTCTGGTCCTTGCCTGGGCTTCCACTATCTCTGGGTCTCCTACTGGCTCCATTGAGGCTCGTCAAGTAGTCTCACCCCCTCCGGGATTCGCAATGTACATGCTTCCCTGCTTTACTCTGGAAATGACATTCTGATGTTTGAAATGTTGCCGACTTCAGCACCAAGCAAACGGTGAACGGTTCTGGTTGCCCTCCTGGGTCCACTTTCTATGTCTTGAATGGCAAGTCCAATAAACTCTTTCTTTCTAGTCTATCTTTATAACCCTTTCTTCAGGGGACAAGTCTGCTGTCACCGTTGGCTTCAGCCGATACTACGCAGAGGTCGGGCCCAATATTCCCATCAGTTCTAACCGCAGAAACTGCCAGTTAACATGGAGCGTGAAGTACGTTTCCCCTTAATCACCGTCTCGAAGACAGTGCTTAACTTTGATTCTGTCAGCGTCCCTCCTGGGTTCTCCTTTGGCCTCGCAGCCGTCGACTACGTGAGCCGCTGACCCGTTCCTGTCACAGTGAAGCCTAGCTCACCTCTTGTACTACAGCGCGGCTGGTATCAACTCGATGACAAGGTCACGGCTTCTCAGCAATCTAGCTATTACTGTGAGTTGCGTCCATTCACTGTCTTTCAGTGCTCTGACCCACCATGGACAGTCCAAGGCCATCTCGCCCAAGGTGAGCCCGTTCCCGCGCCTTTTGCTGCCATTCTCTAACGCCGTCTCCCAAAGCGACTGCGCGCTCTGAACTGGTCGGTCCAGTCGCAGGTTTGTTTCGTCCCATCTCTAATTTGATCGTCCTTCTAATCTACCTTCCCCAGGCCGTGACTACTTGTACCAGGACCAGTTCGACCTTGTCTCTACGGTGTTGTCTCCCTGTGGTACCAGCACGGTCCTCAACATCCAGACGGACCTCCGCACTAACAACTCCAAGAATCCAAGAGGATATGGCTACATTGCCACCGACTCCGTGTGTCCTCATTCTTCTTTTTCTTCGTGGCCTTTCACTGATGTGATTCCAATCGAAATCATCTAGATTAACGCTACCCTTACACAAGTCCGTTAAATTAATTTTCACTGGCTTCTTCTGATCCCCCTGACCTATGTTTTGCTTCTAGACCTTCCACTTCAAGTGGCAAACTTGCAAGAATTAAACAAACTCCGACAGTTTGTTTCGTAGGCCTGGCGCGCCTGGTCGTCATCGACATGGAATTCCTGGTGTCAGAATCAATGCTCGACTTTACTGTACATGTCCCTCTGTGTTTCACAGTACATGCAATGAATAATGTCGAACGAACCTCAGGTCTCTCTGTACCGCCCCCCGGAAATCTTCCGACTCTCAACTAAGTCCAACGTGGTCAGAGATCTGAAGAAGCCTCTTCGTCAGGGCTAACTCCTCTATCCCGCCGCCCTTCCTGGCCACGCCTCTTTGGTCGTTCTCTTCTTTGCGCGGCAGGGCGCCCCATAGGATTAGACTCTGCCCAAGATTTTGATCCCCCGCAGGTAGCCCGCCCTGGGTTCTTTTCAGGCCAGCGGCGCTTCGCAAAAACGTGGCTAAGTAACTTCTCAGCGTCGATCAGGGAGAGTGGGCGGGTACGGGCGGATATGCGAAAACACTCTGAAAACAAATGAAAACAAGCAGGAGCGCCTACCAGCGCTGTGTAAAGTACACGAGGCCCTTCCAGGGCTGGCCACCTGCTCGATTTGGGTTTGGAATGCTATCTGCGGGAAGTTCCTGTCTTGTTGTTTCATCGTCCTTTTGTTAACACGCTCTTCCTCCAGGGGATCACGACTAGATGGTATTCTCGTCCCTGGCCATGTTTCTGGGACGGCGCCCGTCCTTTCGGTGGGTGATTCTTGCGATTAGAACAACAAGGAACGTTGCAGATGCATGGGGTGGCCATGGTCGCAATAGGCGCTTGAACGAAACATGGCCTGGGATGTCCGCCTTCTGTCCCTTCAATGGGAAAACAAAGTGACTGGTTCTCCCACCGTAAGCATGTGCGTGGGGCAGCTTGCGTAGGGCCTACACTGCGTCATCGACTCTAACAACGGAAATGGATCACAATTAACCATGATCCTATTGATAATTGGTTGATTGTGTGACTTCTGCTCCCGGCCATAGCTGTACTTCTTCAAATACTTTCTCGTAAATACTGCAGTTGGCTACTTGTAGCCCGTAGAGACATGCAGACCCTTGCAAACGTTGGCCGCGGTTTCCAACCAACCCCGTGTTTTCCTCCGACGACCATGTACTCGTGCGGCGATTGTTCGATGCTTCTCGCCCAAAACTATTCTTTTTCTCGCATTGAGGGATTAAGACGGTATTATGGGCGCGCTACCGACTGTCGGAAGAACCAGAAGTAGCGGTATGGACGGGTACTGGCTTGCTTTTGAGTCATTTGAAAACACAAGGTATGTCCTTTAGCTCTCTCAAAATACGCAGCGTTTCCCATTCAAAGGAGCCGTTTACGGTCTATCTCCTCAGCCGTTTACACGCCCCTCGGCTGCCTGGCGGGGCGACTACCAGCAGGCTGGCCAATTCATGGATGCTCATTGTCATCCGGAATATTTCCGTGAATTTAAGCGAGAATACTGTGAGAAAACGACATGGTTTTAGTGGCGCCAGTAGTGGGAGGTGCGTACAAAGAAGGTATCAACATGCCTGAGTTTGTTGATGGGGCCCAGTCCCTATGACGAGCATACTGTGTGATCTTCGCTTCATTCACATTTAGACTCGAGCTTCTCTTCCCCGGACGTTTACAGGAACTGGACTTGGCAACCCTATTTCAAGTCTTCTCCGTCACACGCCTGTCCCCGCTCAGCGAAGATTAGGGACTCCATCGCAAATCTCGACCCAGATGGCGGGCGGAAGCCAGGCACAACGAATGTCCGACAAATCTTCCTTCTAACCTGCTGACCCAGGTGCGGTAACGATGCGGAGTGAACATCCATCAAGTCATCTGGTCAAACTCTGCATATTTCGCGTCTTTGGCGCGGGTTGGAAAGCTATAAATACTGGGGCAACTTGACCGTTAGTTCTTCAGCAAGTTGCCCTCACAACTCAGCTTCTACAACCAACCCTCTCAACCACTCTTCTAACTCTCTACCTCTTCCACTCTTCTCAGTCAAGATGTTCGCTGCTCTTGCCACCCTCTCCCTCGCTGTCCTCGCTGCTGCTGCCCCTCAGCGCGGTGGTCTTCCCCCCATTGCTGAGCCCCCCACCGTCCCCACCGTCCCTGCTCCCAATGGCTTCAACATGTAAGCCCTTCCCCCGTGTTCAAACGCCCTCCTTTGCTCACTCCCTCTCAGTACCAGCTTGGGTGTCATCGGAACTGGATGCCCTCCCGGATCCACCTACTACGTCTTGAACCGTAAGCACACCATCATTTTAACCTTCCGTCCCGATAATTAACATATCATCTGCAGCTGAGAAGACTGCCGTCACCGTCAGCTTCAGCGAGTACTACGCTGAGGCCGGCCCTGGCATCCCCATCAGCTCCAACCGCAAGAACTGCCGCTTGACCTTCGGTGTCAACGTTCCCCCCGGCTTCACCTTCGGTATCGCCACCGTCGACTACCGTGGCTACTACCAGCTCGACAAGGGTGTCACTGCCCAGCAGCAATCCCTCTACTACTGTAAGATGTTTCCTCCTCTCGTTGAGACCTGTTGATCTAACTTCTCTCCAGTCCAGGGACAACTCCAACAGGCTACCGCTCGCTCCTCCCTCGTTGGCCCCGTTGACGGCAAGGACTACACCTATCGAGATGCTTTCGATTTGGTCTCCACCGTCCTCTCGCCTTGCGGCGTCTCCACTGTCTTGAACGTCCAGAGCGAGCTCCGTGTCTCCAACTCCGGCAACAGCAAGGGCTCCGGCTACATTGCCACTGACTCCGTATGTCTTCCTCTCAGCTTACCCAGTTCCAACAGACTACTCACCAGCGGTCCTCCTCTAGATCGACACTGCCCTCACCACCACCTTCAACTTCCAGTGGCTCAAGTGCTAAGCGCTCGGTTTCATAGGCGCCTAAGATACCCAATCAATTCTGCGGTTCAAAAGGATTGCTCTTTTCTCTCGAATCAAGTGTATTATGGCTTCTGTATCAACTTATTCATGATGATGTATCTATTTTACAATAATTCATCTCTTTCCTTTTTTCATTCTACTTGGTCGATCGAGAGCGTGTTAAGTGGTTCGAATTGAGGCTTTCCTCAAGGTAAATTAAGCCCCTATCTTTCTCCGCATGACGCAATCGTCTAGTTGTCGGAATCTCGATCTCGGGACGGAGGCTTTTATTTCGTTTCTTCCCTCCAGTCGCGTGGTCGAACACCTTTCACCCGATTCGTCGAAGATTGCTTCCACTTGTAACTATGGACAGCGGCAAGAGCGACCGTTAGAGGTTCTCTGCTTTCCTCCAGAGTCGCTTATTCTCCACAATCATAGAACTTCGTGGGGCTACCGGTCTTGACTTATCCATGAGAGGGTCGTCAGAACCAAGGGGAATCCCCCACAACACTATTGAATTGCTCGCTGTCCAGTGTCCGCTGTCTCCGTTGGAATTAACTAGGATAAACGATGGCGAAAGTCTACTTTCAGTTCTTCCAGCCTTTCAACACACAACTCCGGTGGGAGTGACGAATTCTTGACCCGAGCCAACTCGACGCAATAATGTGTATCTCTGTGAATGGTCCTTTCCCGTCGGCCCATCCGAGCTTGCTCGAGGCCATGCTTGACGACACTGCGTATAAGCGGCAACCCGTAAAGGCGGGTTTGGCCCCTCTATAGTCGAACATTCATCGATAATCACTTGGTGGCTCACTGTCCTCCCAAAGTCAGCTCTCTCAGGACCGCCTGTAAATGACAGGGGCTAAGATGGCAACATATAATCTCTTCCCCACTAGGAAACTTCCGGATCTGGAACCTGTCAATGTCATGAAATAGACTCGAGAGCCCTTTGATCGTGTCGATTCTCTTGAGTATTGCTGAGAACCATCCCATTGTAATTTCGTCAATAAACACAGCCTGTTCCTGTCAAAGAAGCACAGAAGTCAAGGGGCTTATTTCTCGAGCGTGTTTCACTCGGCAGAATCAGAAGGAGGATGTATATTGTACTAAAGTTGTTCTCCAGTAAATGGCAGGGCCGCACTCATCGCAAGGGGATTGGAAGCATCGTCGAGGTAGGAAAGGTGGCCCCGAAGACGAAACCGACATTCCCCCGGGAAATTCTACATGCGGCCAGGGGGCGGCATCGACAGGCTGGTACCAATTCTCATTTGTTTCAAGATGCACTTGAGCGCCCGCTCTACCTCAACAAATGGAAGCATTAACCCTTACAAACGCATTATCTCAACGTCTCTGGATTTGGCAAGTGGACATTCGCCCCTCGTGAAGAACCCGTCCCCAGCTCTTCACATTAGCACTGATTACCATTCTACCTTTAATCTATCTTGGATGCAACTCCTAATCTATCGGGCGAAGACGCACTGTGCCTTAGTCGTGGCTATCCAACTTGGAGCCCAAAGGCAAATGTTGTGGAAGTTCCAAATGAAACCTATTAATGAGTTTCCAAGAACCCTGCACACCTCTTGTGAGAGTTTCGAGTGATTTTTCTCAACGTCTCCTAGATCGCGAATGTCCAAGTGCCGAGGTTTTACGCACATGCCTCTCTTCTCTGCATTACAATCGTCCAGACGTTGTCCTCCAAGTACCTTCGTGATCCTAGCCAGACTATCGTTGCAAGAAGGGACTTTCATGGCATATACGAAGCAGTAAGGACGGCGATAACTGACACGTTGCACGTACAGTGACCTTATGATCACAAGGAGAGCAATGCGCTCAACGGACGATGCACGACCGTGTGACGGATTGGGCACCGATTGTGTTCCATCACGAACTGACCTCCCCGACGTGCTCGCAGAACCCACTTCGCGAAACATTTTTGAACTTCGAAGGTAATTCTTCCCTCTCAAAATAGACTAACGTAAGGCCAGGAAACAATTCTTGCGAGGCACATCCCAATTGCTCACCATAACGAATCCCCTCGTTGATTCTCATCCTCCTTGGAGTCCTCAACAGTCTTGCGGTATGTTCAGTGAAATGGTCACGTTAACTCCTCCACCAACACTCGGGTCTCGTTCAATTAGTCGAAATTTATCCGTCGTCCTTACAGCGGAGGTTAGGCAGGTCGATGGTCGCGCCCGTGGAAATTTACCTCTTTAATTCCACTATAACCTCTTAGCACCCCGTGGTTTATTCCGAGGTTGCGCTAATAAACCATGCTGTAGCATATGCTGGGTATTGGCATATCAAGCTTATAGGAGATGACTACCAGCCAGTGGTTTGGCTAGAACTAGTTGCGGAGCGGACATCCCCTCAAATTCAGCTTACATCTAACTTGAAGTGAAGCATTGCTGTGGTGCAACAAATCACGAGAATAATCCGGTTACGTATGAAAGGCGGTGCTACGCTGCGAGTGTGAGCACCCATAGCTATGGATAGGTCGAAAACGTATGCCCATTGCAGAGCTTTTTGTCGGGATGAGATGTTAGCGAGGGCGAGCGGCTAGCTAAATCCGCTGGACAAAGTCTCCGACACTGATTTACTCACGCCAATCCCAACGTACCTGCCCCAAAAGAAGCCAAATACCGCCTTGAGACGCTTAATGACTGGTCGAAACGCAGAAAACTGCGGAAATTTCGAAGAGATCACCGCAGGGCTCGGACGAAATTAACTCTCATCTGACCTCGACGAGTTACCGTTGTTGTTTCCTCCGTCGATGAACGAGAACCGAGGCCTCTCCATGCTGTTTTACCCCCTTATTCCCTATTTTTATCATAATTGATCTGCGCGGTCTCCGGGTACCTGTGGGGTATAAAATGGGAGAAGAAACTCGCAATTGGTAGGTCTGCAGAACCCTCTCAAGTTCGCAAGTCTTTAGCCATGTTCAACAAGCTTCTCTCTGTCGCCACTGTTCTCTCTGGTCTGTTGGCCATTGCCGACGGTGCCCCCCAGCGACCAGGCCTTCCTGTCCCTGTCCCTGTCCCAGCCCCTGCAGGCTTCAAGATGTAACGACGTATTTTTGCTCCTAGTATGCATGGTTGCTGACCACTACTCTCTAGCACGAGTCTCGGTGTCATCGGAACTGGCTGCCCACCAGGCTCCACCTACTGGGTCCTTAGTCGTGAGTATATTCGATGGCCTAACTTTCGTAGACGACAAGCTCACTCGTGATCATAGCCGACAACACTGCTCTCACTGTTACCTTCAGTGAATACTACGCCCAAGCAGGACCTGGCATTCCCGCCAACCAAAACCGAAAGAACTGCCGCCTCACCATTGGTGTGGAGTATGTCTGCGTTCTGTTGCATCTGATTACCACCTTTCTCATCGCTCCATCCTTCAGTGTTCCCCCAGGCTTCACCTTCGGTGTTGCAAGCATCGACTACGTAAGTCAATCCTTCGATGGCAATTGCACAAGTACTTTAGCTAACCAACAGAACCATAGCGTGGCTACTACCAACTCGACTCTCGTGTGACTGCCTCCCAGAACTCCCTCTACTACTGTAGGATCCCATGGCTGCTGCTATCTATCTATCTCTAACTTTCGACAAGTCCAGGGTCAAATTCTTCAAGCCACCGCTCGCAAGGATCTCGTTGGACCCGTCGATGGTATGTCGCCGGGATAATCAGGCTCCCCAGAGGTCATACTAACGAGTGAATAGGTGCTGACTACACCTACCGTGACATGTTCGACCTTGTGTCGACTGTCCAATCTCCTTGCGGCATCTCCACCGTCTTGAACGTGCAAAGCGACCTCCGTGTCAGCAACTCGCAAAACACCAGAGGAAGCGGCTACATTGCTACCGACTCTGTCAGTCCTTGCATTTCTTCTTCACCTTGGACATTGGCTGATGACTCTCTTCACAGATCGATACCGCTCTTAACACCGTCAGTATCACTGAGGCACGTACTGTGAGAGATACTGACTGTCACTGCAGACCCTCAACTTCCAATGGCAAGCTTGCCCCAACTAAGGCATCTTGGACCATCCTTCGGCAGTTGCACGCAGCCGGTGGTAACGTCAACGATGTAAATACGACTGAGTTAGGACATCTCTACGATCTTATAACGATTATTCTGGAACTCTTCAATCCTTTCTATGTATTCCTACGTAACAAACAAATCATAAACACCGGGTTTCTCTCAAGCACATCCTTTCCTTTCTGTCTGCTCAAGGTTGACTTCTCCGAGTCTGAGCTGTAATATTCAGAACAAGGAAGAGGGATTGTACAAGGGCGAGTCAGACTTCATTGCTCCCTCAGCTCTCACTCACCTCCTTCCCTCATTTCCCGGAATTCCACACAGGCTGGACTGACGGGAGCTGACAGGGCATCCGTGTTTGGCAAGGCGTCTACCCTTTCGGGCGCCCGTCAAAGAAATAAATGCCGATCGAACACCACTGCACCCGACACACCCTTGATTTTCGACCGCATCACAACTCTATTCTTGTGACAAATCTTCTCCTTTGACAGCAAATTTTATGGGACATGGAACTGCAGAGAAAGAGGAAGAACTTCCCAAGACTGCTTCGACTTTGTTTTTGTTATCTTATCGTACTGCCACCAGTGGTGCCGATCCTCTGCATTCCAGCCGCGCGCCAATGTGACGCAAGATCCGCCACTTGTCCTGTTCCCCAACAATATTCTTAGAGGCTGAGATCCGGCATGGATAGGTGCTCTATATAATGACTAGCTCGATGGTCGGAGCTGTTCCTCAATGTTCTCTCGCTTTCTCTTCACCACTTTTTGTCGTCCACCTCCCAACTGGCCTCGTCTGCGCTCCATAGCGACATGCTCAGCCCGTAGGCTAGCATTGCTTGGTACTCTGCCAGCAGGGTATATGATTTTGAATGGGGACGGTACCTTGCAGGCTCAGAATACCGAACCCCCACCATCGAATCCCCACCGTCAGCCCTTGACGGCCCTCGCTCGGTCCTATGTGGTCTATTCTCTGTGTTCAATACCAGCCATAGTTGACTATGCTCCAAGTCTCCTCGACTTCATCGGTCGGATCCCTGTCCTTAATCACGTAGCGTACAGCCTGATCAAGATAACCTTTTTCGATCAAGTGGGTTTCCTTCTACACATATCTGCACTTCAGCGCTGACACGGTGCATTGTCCTTCAGTTCGTGGGAGGCGAAACAGCAAGTGCAACCGTACCCCTCTTGCGTGCCTTACGCGCTGCCAACAAGGGAGCCCTTTTCGCCTACTCGGCAGAGGTAGACGAAAAGGAAGCTCTAAGTTCCGAATCTAAATCTGGCAAGCTTAAAGCACATCACAAACGCGTTGTGGACGAGATCTTGACCTGCATCGACGTCGCTGCCGACTTCGAGGACTCTCTTCGCGGAGCATCTAAAGCTCTATCTCCTTATCTCCATGACACAGCCTATCGTACCCCTACTTCTCAAGCTTCTATCGCTGCAAACAGCGATCTTCTAACAGGACGTAGGACATGGGTGGCCATCAAAGTCACTGCTCTTCTTCCTGATGCTCATGCGCTCATCAACCTTTCAAAGTATATCACTAGTCGAAGAGAACAAATGAAGGCGGTCTCTGCCGAGCAGTCTTCCCTCACTTCGGCACGTTCTGCACCCGCTACCTTGTCAGCCGCTACGGTACCCAGGGTAGAAGACATCCCTTTTCCTGGAGCCGCTCTCCTATCAGACTTAGACATCGTCCTGTCTCCATCCAGAGACGACGCTCCGTTGTCGACCAATGACATACAGCAACTCCGTGAGCTGTACGACGACCTTGTCAAGATCTGTGTACGTGCCGAGCAGCGAGGCGTACGTCTTATCGTCGACGCAGAGTACAGGTACGGCGATTGAATAAACACTTCATTTCGATGCATATCACTGACTTGCATTCAATCCATCCGTCTAGCTGGTACCAACCCGCTCTGGACGCCCTGACACTGGCCTTAATGCGTCGTTTCAACGCCCTCCCTTCCTCCAATGTAACAACCGGAACACCACCATCTAGTCCCAGACAAGGCCCAGTCCAACCACTAATCTACGCCACCTATCAAGCCTACCTCCGCCGCGTCCCTCTCCAACTCGCCCATAACCTACACGACGCAAAGTCCAACAACTACTCTCTCGGCGTCAAACTCGTTCGTGGCGCTTACCACCCCTACGAAACCAATGCCCACCGCACATTCAAAAACGGCGGCAAATCTCTCTGCATCTCTTCAGAGGATCTTCCCCCAGTCTGGCTGGAAAAACACGAAACCGACAAGGCATATGACGACTGCACCCGTATGGTTATCGAAGCGGTGAAAGAGGACGTCCTCCGCCAAAGGGCCCAGCAGTACGAAGATAACAAGACGGGAGACATACGCGTTGGTGTTTTGTTCGGAACACACAACTGGGACAGCTGTAACCTCGTGCTGGACGAGCTTGTCAGACAGGGGCTAGGGGAAGTGGTCAAGGGTGAAGACAATAATAACAAGGTGAAGGTCCGTTCCGATGTTGTAGAACGGATATGCATCGCCCAGTTGTACGGTAAGCAGAGCTTCCCTTGATCCTGGCCACCCATCCACTCACTGACTCGATATCTCTAGGCATGTGCGATGACCTCACCGACTCCCTCACATCACGAGTCCTATCCGACGTCCCGATGGTAACCAAATACATCCCATACGGAGGACTCACAGAAGTCCTCCCCTACCTCAGCAGGAGAGCAATCGAGAACAAGTCGGTTCTCGGAGATGGAGCCGCAGCTAGAGAACGACAACGGGCTCTCAGGGAAATTATGACTAGAATTAGGGAAACATTTTCTCTTCCTTTGCGACGCAACGAGTAACTTTTCTTCTCTCCTGACATTTGACAATGAACTTACCTTCATGCATGGATTGTTAACTACCCTAGTGCTACTCTTTGCTTCTTAGATCTCGTAGCTATAGGATATGGCATTCACTGTAGAATAATTCTTTGGGGCATAGGCAATAGGCTATTCAAATCATATCTGCAAGTTTTCTGTATCGCTCAACGCCAATGAGCACTCAAGCCTGTACCATGGCCTAAGACCCTCTCTCATTTCACCTAAGCATACTTGCATAACCCTTAAATATAGTACATAACTATAGCCATACAACATGAAAACGACAGTCCATTCATCACCTGCACCTAACCCAACGTCTACAAATCAATCAACAGGGCCTCCTTCCTCTCCTCCTGCTGTTCGAACTGAGGAACCGACGTAGGCGCCGAAGGGAAATACGTCGTCGGAGGAGCTGGGGCCGACGCAAGTAGTTGACTAGCATGGTCCTGGTGGTACTGTTGCTGTTGCTGGTGGTGGTGGTGGTACCTTTGGGCAGGCTGAGAAGGTGCGGATATCGTGTTACTACGGGCCAATTGAGGGTTCTGAGCGGGAACAGAGCGATGTGAAACGGTGTTGTGGCGAGCGAGGTTCGGAGAGTGTTGTTGTGGAGGGGGAGGAGGAGAAAGGACAGGTGCAGGTGGAGCATACGCATGTTGCGCAGGAGGTGATTGGGGTACAGAGACAGGCGGTGGGCTTTGGACAGTGTGGGGACCGAATGTTACGGGGGGAAGGCTAGGTTGAGCGGTAGGCGGGGCGTGTTGGGTAGTTGGAGGAGCCGATGGAGCATACTGGTGCGAAGATTGACCATAAGAAGCAGCTTGCGGTTGATTCCATTGCGATGAAGAAGCCCGCTCTACAGGGGTCACAGAATAACCAGTTGACTGCGGTTGGACCTGGGGAGTTGCCCATTGAGCGTTAGCATAACCAGCGGTATAGTAGGCATTGGCAGATGCTTGATAGGGAGCAGAAGGCGAGGCGATCGACGAGCGGTACCGGGGTTGTGAGACTTGCTGGGTCAAAATCTGATCGTAAAGCTTTACGGCTTCTGAAAGTTTATTATGCATCTCCGACAACATCTCTGCCCAGGGCGTTAGCTTTTAGAGCAATACAATCAGCCCAAACAACTGACCTTGTTTCCGCGTCGTATCGTCCAGGCTGAGAGCCAGCTTGGGCCGCAGACTGCTGGCCTTGTCGTAGAGCTCGGTAACCGCAGGATAGCGCGACAGATCCCTGCCTCCCGAAGCCTCTACCTGTTCCACAGTTTGGTTGAACGTGAGGATAGCATCGGTTTCCAGAGGATCCAGGTCGTGGTTCGGTACCGAAGGCACAGGTGGCAGACTTGGGGCATACTGGGGCTCCTCGTACCGCGGGGTTTCAACAACAGGTGCGCTTGGCCGGGGTGCGTTCGCCTCCCTCAAGCTCGCCTCGATGGCCGCCCTGAGATCCGGATCATCTTCCTCATCCTCGACCTGCTTGCTAGGGTAGGTACTTCGATCCACGATAGGTGGTTCCGAGATCTGCCACTTCGTCGGCGAAGGTTCAGAGGGCACATATCCCGACCGCATGTTCTGCGACTCTTGTAATGACAACTGGATCGCCCGCTGCAGCTCCGCATCCTCGAGGTCTTGAGTTGTTGTCCTGTTCGTTCTCGATGACGAGTGCTTCGAGGCAGAGGTATCCTTCGTCGGGGACCTTGGCTCTTTCTTCGCCCTCTCGCCTTTGCGAGTCAACTTGTTATAGCACCCATCACACACCCGCACATCCTGGGTGATCCCAAAGTGTGGTAGTGGCATCGACTTGGAGGAGCACTGCTGATCAAAGACGCCACCACAGTTGCGACAGTGGTGCTTCCGGTTGGTGAACGTAAAAGAGGTTCTACACCGCAGGCAGACGTCGGAGTCGATCCATTCTGGGGCGGTTTGCGTGTCTATCATTGCTGAGTTGGCAAGCGCAAGGTCTTTAGGGGGAAACTTGAAGCCTATATCATTATGCACATTCAGTACCAAAGCGACTGCGGCAATGCGACGATTCATTACCTTCATTCTTCAACATCTTGTACACCGAGCCTACATAGCTCAACGAAGGCTTGCCCTCAAAGGCGATACTCCAGTTCTGGATGAGGCGAAGGATGGTGTTCTTGACGTCGACGTTCAGCGCCGGCATCTTGAGGATCGAAACCAGATTGTCCATAAACTCTCTCGACGCCACTTCATTCAGAAACAAGTCCCCGCCATTCTTCACACAGATATCCGTCAACTGTATCAACAAACCATGAGCCCATTTGAACACCAGATATCCATGTCGATATGACGCACACTCAAGGTCAGCAACTGGACGTTGGGATTCTTGTGGTTCAGCCGTCGCTTCAAAGCGCGCATGGCATCCTTTGCAGGCGCAGATTTGGAACGAATTTGATCACATATCTCGAGGTTGAGAGCGATATCTTCTGAGCCGACTGGTAGAAGTTCTGAGGTGGCCTTGTCTGTTCAACCCCGGGTCAGTGCTTTAGCCCTATTACCGTTGAGTTCGTGAAAGACTGTACCGATAGCATCGTCGAGCTGGGACGTTCCCCATATCCAAGCTCCTAGGCCGGACATCTTATAAAACTGAAAAGTGGAGGTAATCGTTGGAGGAACACAACTGCAGTGAAGCTGCGCAACCTTCCGTGATGGATGGATGACTAATACTCCAGCCTTCCGGCGCCTATTGCCTCCCGAGCTCAACTGCTCGAGTCAATTAGCGAGAAAAACCGCTTCAATTGGGACCTGAGGCTGGGGCTAAACACAAAGAGAGGGTGACAGGCAAGTGCTACTTTCATGAACATAAACTAAAGTGTGCATCTCTCCCAGGATCTCCCAATGCAGATGAAAGGTCTGTCCGCAACCGAATCAGCAACCACCCTCACTCATCTGCAGGGCACCTCACTCACAGTTGCAAAGCGACGCATTGAACTAGCATTTTGAGCCAGTAGCCACCCAGGCGAGAGCCCAGCCTGAAGCATAGAAGTCGAAATCACTCATAAGACTGGCTTCTGCTCCTCCTACCGAGTCGGACATCAACTGGATAGGGGCCGAGAGCCGTTCACCACCTCGACGAGGCCAATAGTATATGGCTCCGAACGAAAGGGAAATAAATATGAAAGCATACTAGATACAATACAGTGAACATTCATCCTAATCCATCCCCGCCGTACAATGTCCCGCTCTTTATTAGAGCTTGGCATGCTGGAGCACATACCCCGAAGACGCCTTCCTCGACTTGACCTTATCAACATCAGCACGAGTAATAGGTCGATACTCGTGAGCATGGTTATATCCAAGTCTATACACACACGCCCCAAAAGTCAGCACTCCATCCCACGCAACTCCTCAAGAAAGAAAGAACCAAACTCACCGAGTACGTCCATCAACACCACCAGGTTTGTAGAACTCAGGTCGACGAAGAAGCGAAACAACGACCGCACCACCCAAGCCAACGTTATGCACAAGACCGAACTTGCCACGCTTGTCGGGGGTGTCGAAGAGTCCAGGAGCTTGCATCGGGCCTGCCCAGTCACGGAGTTGCACTGCAGGGGTATTCGTTAGATTCTCTGCACACATCAAAGGAACGCTCGAGACGTACTCATGATGTAGAAATGCATGCCCAAACCAGTCGCACCGAGCGGGTGACCCTTGGCTTCAAGTCCACCACTAGGGTTCACAACATACTTGCCACCATACTACAGAAAACACCCATCAGCAACCAATCCCAGCACTCGGTCAGAAACGCGCAACTCACGGTGTTATCACCCCTCTCAACCAACTTATGAGCCTCATTCTCAGGACAAAGTCCTAGAGCAGCATACGTGATCAACTACAGCCCAGACAAACCAATCAGCCAAACGATCCCTGAAGACCCAACTCAAGACAAGACGCACCTCATTAGCAGCAAAGCAGTCATGCAACTCCACAACACCGACTTGATCACGGCCCTCTCCAGGTCCAAATCCAGCATCTTGGAAGACCTTCTCAGTCGCCGTCTTGGTCATCTGGTACCCAACAACGTCCATGGCACTGCGGCCTTCGAACGTAGAAGCACCGTCGGTGGTCAGAGTGGTAGCCACAATCTCAATGGCCTGGTTCTCGAGACCATGTTTGCGGACAAAGTCTTCAGAGGCGACGACGCAGGCTGCTGCTCCATCCTACAGACAGGGGAGGTAAGCATGCGAAGCAAGAGTGCAGGAGAAGTAAACACGCACAGAAGTAGGGCTGCACATGAACTTGGTAAGGTTCCTCGTAATCTTGGGAGCCTTGAGGACCTGCTCAACGGACCACCCATCTCGGAATTGGGAGTAGGGGTTATTGAGCGAATGCTTATGATTCTTCGAAGCTACACAACACAGATATAGTTAGCTCTTCACTCCTTAGATCCACCACCCAACTCAAAAACTCACCAATCTTAGCCAAATGCTCAACCCCACCACCATACTTGGTGAAATACTCCTGAGCACCGTTATCAAACATCCTAGGAGCACCAGGACCATGGTTCTCTCCCAACACCTCCTCAAGCTCCGCAGAACGCTGGTTGAATAGAAGAATAGGCGAAGGTCGGTCAGGGAAGTTGGTGCCCAAACTGCCGGGCTTCATACGCTCAAAGCCAAGCGCAAGCGAGCACTCGACCTGACCATACTTGACAGCATTGTTGGCTTGGTAGAGCGCAGAGGAGCCAGTCGAGCAGTTGTTGTTCACGTTGATGATGGGGATGTGTGTGAGACCGAGGTTGTAGAGCGAGCGCTAGAGGGCCAAGGCGCGTGAGACGATTGAAGAGACAACAACGAAGCGGACAACGACGCACCTGGCCTGCAGTCGAGTCTCCGTAGCAGTAACCAACATAGGCGGTCTCAATCTCGTCGTAGGTGATACCGGCGTCGAGGAGAGCCTTGGTGGCAGCCTCGAGACCCATCTAAACGCCAGCAACGTCGTCAGCTTCCAGGCACCATTGAACGCCTGTAAACGCCTACATCTTCAGTGGTCCTCTGACCTCTGGGCTATACGACAATCAGTACCATATCCTCCAAGACGCAGTACACGCAACACACCTTGATGAACGCAGTGCATCCACCGCCAATGAGGAAGGTTCGTCGTCCAGCAGCAGGCATGTCGTACGCGGGTAAGAATGTGGGGTAAACCTCCGTATATCGTGCGGGGAAGAAAAGCAACCCTGTCTTTTAGATGAATTCACGCATTTGATTTCCTGCAATCTGGGGTATTGGAAGTTCCGGATAACCGGTTTCTGAAGAACAACTCTTGGACCACTGTGACCAAGACCCAGGTTCACATGATTGACAGGGGCGGCCGCCTTGATCCAATATCCACAGGAGTTGGCGCTCGATTGGCGCGCATGAACGGTAGAAAAGGTCGAACTCGCGGTCAAGTGAACAAACTGACCATTTCATTAGGCTAGGTGGTATGACTAACTACATAACCCCCTAACTCAACAAATACCTAATCAACTCCTCAACCACCCGCACATTCACGCTGTTGCCTATAAGCTTGTACTTTGACTTGGTCGATACCCCTGTAGGCCAGACAAACCCCTGCCCATCCCCACCCTTCCCCTCAAAGGCAAAAATGCGCAACAACTCCGAAGGCGAAAAGTATCGTAAGCGTAGAGGATAGAGGATCTTCACCGCATCCGCGTTCCCCTCCCTCGTTTCCTGCAAGAATTTATCAAATGTCTGCGTGGTCTGTTGGACGGAGGGGAGCATGAAGATCAATAAGCAGTCCTCGATTTTGAATTTCAAAAGACGTGGAGAAGGGACTTACATCAAGGTCTTCAGCCATTTGAAGGATAGATCCACTCCTTTCCACCAGATGCGTATACCCCCGCGTGAAGCAACAACTTCGCCTTCCAGAGGGCAGAACTATATCGAATAGCCGACCCCACTTTGAAAGGACCTTGTCCGAGACCGCAAACTCGTTTGATTCCTCCAAGGAAGTCTCCTCGTCAAGATACCCCCTCAGCTCCTCCACATCTTCTTCCCTCCATTCCGCAGGCTGACCAGGAATATGCCGTAGAACCCTATACTCTTCCTCATCTCCTTGATCCAACACGCTCACTCCCTCTTCTTCTCCTCGGGGCCCGTCACCAGACGATGAACCCAAACCCGGCCTTGAAAAATCCTTCCCCCTCCTCGCCAACATATAATACCTCAACCTCGAATTCGGAATCCCAAACTGCAAAGGCGTAAGAAGCAGCTCCTGGATATGATATCCCAACTCCTTCAAAACCTCAAGCTGCAACTGGCGAGTAGTCGAACCCTACACTCCCCCAAAACCCAATCCGCACAATCTGCATCAGTCTCTCTCATTTTTCCAACACCTGATAAACCACCCACCTCAAACCCAGCAACATTCTCAACCAACACATACCCAGGCAAACACCCCCTCTCCTCCAACCCAGGTAAAACATTCCTCAACAAATGCAGGTACGACTGCGCCCTCGGATCCTCCGCTCCCTGCGCATTGGGATTCAAAACCGTATACGGTTGGCAAGCAGGCGACAGAAGCCATATATCAACTTGACCATATTCCTTCGCAAGCGAGTCTGCAGTCAGGGTGGATATATCAGTCTACGTAGGCTTTTGAGATCAGCTTTGGATTGTTGATTCGGAGGGACGATTTTTTGGGAAGGAGTAGAGGACGAAGGATGTTGGACAGGGCAAAGAACCAAAGAATTCACTTTTTGAGCAACCCCAGATCCATGATTGGCTTCATACACTCTGCAAGCAGTCTGATCCCAGTCGAAAGCGCGTATGACTTTTGCAGTTGGACAGGCCCTGGTCAACGCGAGGTGGAGGCCGCCTTTATCCCATTGAGATTTCGATTGCCGTTATTGAGGATTAAGAAAGTCCAGGTTCATGTTGATCTACACACCGATACCACTGTAAAACTCTAGGGCCCGCATTGCTGACCAAACGGTACGACGAGGCGATGGTGATGATGATGGTCAGAAGACAAGCGCCGAATTGTGCCCCACCGCGTCTCGACTGGTGTTTTCCCAACTACTCACCCTTCTGCCCGAGTATCACCATCGGTTCTCACCACAGATTCGACAAAAATTCTATTTAAATACTATACAGCAATCTCAAGTACATAAATCATTCCGTTAGGTACTCGTCACCGTCCCCTGCTCAGGAAAGAAGAGGAAAGAAAAAAAAGAAAAAAAAAAAAGAGGATGGTATGTAGTTGCAATGTGTATCAATTGAATGTATGTCTGTATAGTACAAGTGATGTTGGAGTGGCCAGAGAAGTTGTGCATCGGTGTTGGTCCACGCAGCGAGACAGACCTGTCGAGGAACAGACAGGACAGTCATCAGCTGAAATAGTTCGTCAAAAAGGCGAATAAACAATGAATAAAGAAATTGAAATCAAATGCTGCGAAGTTTTAGAGGGACAAACCAATAAAAGAAATAAAAAGGCGAAGGGTGTATAAAGAGAGATGGAGAAAGGGGAACAACTAGGCCCTTTGGCGACGAATACGATATAAAGCAAGAGCAACAGTAGGAAGAAGGCTGCTTTGACATGAAGGAATATAGAAAGAAGGGAAAGAAATGACGAAGCAAGGGTCTCTTTCACTTTACGCGAGTTAAATTAGGAAAGGCGCACGCGTGCATTAGTCCCAAAACCCACAACACTCTTAAAGCGCGCAAGAACCAGGCAGCCGGACGAGGTGGAAAATCTAACGCGCCCGACAACCACCAAAAGAAATCAATCCTAAACCAAATAAACCAATGGATGGCTGACCGATGAACACCAAGAAATGAATAATGAACAATGCGTTTCCTTGAAAAGAGTATCCAATGGTCGAAAAAAGTCGATAGCAAACGATTGGTCCGGATAGTTCTGCGTGACAGCTGGATCTGGCATAGGACTGGAATGGTCGGTCGGCCCTGTGCATCTGAAAGGATGTCGAACGAGACCAGGCCGATCACGCCCGTCGCCGCAAAGGCCGCATCTGCGCTCTCGCATTCTCAAACTGCTCCCTAATCTTTGCGTACCCCGTTCGGTCGACCCGGTGGATGTAATAGCTGCCCCCACTGTTGCCCCATGAGACGCTTCCTGACGAGTACTCGCGCTCGGTGACGTCGAATATCGCGGTGATGTCGTCGACCTAGGTGTTAAGAGGGTTAAGTAAAGAGAGATATAGGGGTCTACGAGACAAATACGTACATTCCGCTCAGTCACACGAGCATTCAACGAGCTCACGAAAGGCGCAAGAGAGACAACAATCGCGCCTTCCTTTAGGTCCAGGAACTTTGGTTTCAAGGCTTCATTGACTATGAACAAAATCAGCTTAGTCCTACACGTCAAATATCCGGGTACTCACGGCTTTCTTCAAAGACCTTATTGTCCACCAACACAACATCTGCTTGAGGCATCAGCTCATCCACTCTCTTGCTCTTCAACATATCCCCCTTCTCCAACTCAACCTCCCCCATCCTCAAACCCCACATCCTCGCACGTATCCTCATCTGTTCTACCACATCCTCCGCGACCCTCGCAGGCTCAGGCATCAGCTCGATACCAAAGCTCCTGCACCCCGTCTGCAAACTCGCCTGTACCACTACGTTGCCAACTCCACTTCCTAGGTCCAGGAACAACGAATTCTCGTTCAGATTCGTAATTTTGAGAATTTCGTAGACAAGATTAGGCATCAATTCGCCATAGACCGTACTTGAGAAAGCCTCGTAGCGTTTCAGTTTGCGGACATTGGGGCCCACAGTGCGTTGGTAGTTTTCCTCTATTAGCCGCATTAGGACACCTTTAGGGAGACCGGTTTCTGTCCATGCTGTAGGTGCTGCCATTAGGCCGTTGCCGAGTTGTGGCGACATTATGTCTTCTAGATAAGGGTATTTGAGCTCGCGAAGGAGCATATTGACGTCGGCCATTGCCTCCATGAAAGCAGGTCCGTCGTGTCGATGTATTGCGCGTTTGAAGGCACGGATGATGGGTAGGGTCGAACGTGTGGTTCTGGGTCTGAATAATGGATTGCGAGAGGAAGATGTAGAGGGGGAAGGTGATGGCGAGCGGGAGGGTGGTGGGGATAGGCCTTCTGAACGCCAGTCATTGGGGTTGGGGCCAAACCTGGCTTGTTGTTCCTTGGTACAATAGACTGGACTCGTGTTAGAAGCAATATGGGAGGTTCGAATGATCACTTACATTCTATCATGGTGCACAATGTGCTCTCAAGGTCGTATACGGGGTTGTAATGGTCCTTGTCCTTGGGTGCCAGTAACAGGAATCTGTGGCGCGATCAACGAGCGCCCGGCGTATTCATGATCAGAAACCTACCGTTCAACAGCATGGGCATTCGGATACTCCAATTCAACCAAAGGAAGGTTCTCAGGTTCAAACGAGGTATCATCAGGATTATCGTGATTTCGGAAATCTGGAGCAAACGCGCTTTGTTTAGCCAAGGATACGTGTCGGGGGTCAACGCGTCGACTCACATGCTTTATAGGATTTCATTAGTTTTTTTACAACGTCCTCTGAGCTCAGATGATTGCTGCCTGGATCGCCACTTTCGTCTGTTCTCCATTGTCGTTTGAATATGGGTGTTTCCGAGTCTGATGAAGGGAATGCGGAGGTGGAACGCGACCGGCTGTTGCGGTAGATGGACGGCGCGAGGCTGCGGGGCCGGCTCGAGGGCGCTGGCGGGACAAAGGGCTTGGACCATCCAGGACCCTTTCGTCGCTTTGTCTTTCCTTTACTGGACGACGCGGTCCGCTGACGTTTGGGCTCGCGTGCAGCAGGCTCCGGGTCCACGAGGACCGCTTCTGGTTCTGGCGGTTGCAGCGATTTTCTCTTCTTCGGCGGGCTTGACGGACACGATGACGGTGTAGAGCGACTCGATGTTGCTGGCGACGACGATGGAGGAGGAATTGAGGACCTAATCGGGCTGCTTGCGTTGTGTTCTGTTGTCGGGGCTGCTATAACTTTCCATTCGAAACTCGCCGAGGTTGTCGAGGACGACGGCGACGAAGGAACCGCGTTTTTCCTGCATCTTCGTTTTCCTTCAAAGAACTCAAGTTCTGTGAGGTATGTCGGGGGATGAACGGCGGTCATGGTCGTCGTCGTTGTTGAAGAAAGGTTTGCACGGCGACTACGATGATGATGCGGGATCCAAATTTCACACAGGTTTTCCGCGCCGCCTTGGCACCGCCCTTGCCCTTCTTCCTCTTTCATATACTTATCTCGATTTTTCAATGCACGCCATTCAAGGGGATAATAATCGACAAAATTGGCGTACAGAGCGGCCAACCGAAACTGTCTAGCTATATTTTACGAGAAAGGGCAGGCGATCGAAGCATGCTGGAGCAACAAGGCTCCGATCATCCGAGTCCGTTCACGAAGATGCGGAAACAAAAGTCCAACACCAGAACTAGAGAGAACGAGCAGGACAATGCGATCTACATACCCGAGACCCCGTCAAGATAGGCCTCCTCGAACCTCTCCGCCTCGTCCACATACCCATCCTCCTCATCAATATTCAGCTCGGGTTTCTCCACAGGCTTCGGAGGAGGCTTCTCCTTAACAATGCCCTTTATCGCAAGTTCCAGATGGAGCCTGACCTCCCCGACGGCCTGCGGGACTCGATTGACCAACTCTTCCACTTGTCCCACCAGCCGTTTCAACTCTTCGACATCCCGGCGCTTATGTAGAGAAGATTGAGGTTCAAGCTGTTTGTGTAATTCCCTCGATAACTTGAACATCGAGCTATGGCACCGATCAGTTTTCAATGAAGACCAATAAGGGTGTACGTCATATAACTCACCTCAAGTCATTCATCCTTTTGTTCAAATCGTCCAGATCCTGCTTCTCTTCCTTCAAGAGCCTCTTTTTCGCCTTGGACTTGGCTCCCTGCGCATACGTCTGCACCGCATTGACACAAACCAACAAATGCGGTACGAGTCCCAGATACAGCATCCTGTAATACCCTCCATTCGGCCACTCCATCCCCTCCGCATGCTTCAAACAAACATGGAAGATCGAATCGCAACTCGCCTCAATCGTCGTTTTCTTCTTTTCGAGCTTTCGTTGCAAGAGTCGACGGCGGTAGCCTTTGAGGAACCTCCTGGCCACAGCCAGTTCTTCAGGAGTGACTTCCCGAGCAACAGACTTGGCAGTGTTGGCGACAACGACGTCACGCGAATCGATAATTTTCGTGTCGGCTTCTGGTCTGTCGATTGCTTCTTCCTGTTCTCCTTCAGCCTCTTCCTGTTCAGCCCCGTCCTGGGAAGCATTGCCTCGAGCGGGAGTACCTTGTGTTGATACTTGCTTGAATTTGGGTACGAACGCCGGGGCATCGGCACGCAGGGAAGAGAGAATAGTGGCAGTCGAAGTATGGGATCCCAAAGCACGCCGGATGTCGTCAATCGACTTGAAAGTGACCCGGGTGACGTTCGACGGAGGGGGTTTATTGGCGGGCTTCGATTCGTCGCACAGGACAACGAGATCATCCAGCGCTGACTCTGTAGTTGATTCACGGAGGGCCCTCACAATCCCTCCCCAGGAGCGAGCTGACGCATATCTAAGACGACTCAGTGACTAGTTGGGAGCAATCGCATCACACTCGACTTACTGGCGGTATGTCCAGTGCCAAGACTTCACCGGGTGTAGAGGCCTGAGGCGCCTCAGAATTTCCGTCCTAATTTGGTCGCTAGCGATATTGTAGCCCACTGGAAAACCGTCAGAATATGATTAGAATTCGCCAACGGGAGTGCTCACGTAAAGCCATTGCTCGACAGCTGTAAAGCTTGTTAACTAGTGTGCGACCATGATTTCTGAAATGTGACTTACAACGGGGCGACGTGTAGCTCTCGGATGGCCGGAAGGTCAGAGAGACTCTTGTTCTCGAACAGCAGATAGTTTGCTCCATCGCCTCCGGGGGTAACGAGCACCTTGATCAATTGCTCAATGCAGTCGAGCAACTGGTCGAAAAGTCGCGTGTCGGCCTTCTCTCGCCTGCTGACATGATGCAGAAGGGAGATGAACCAGCTTCGAGGGAGAGTGACGTTGTGTAGCTTGAACTCGACCCGGGCCAGAATCATCGCTCCAGCTAGAAACTCAACCAAGTGGCGGGCAACGTTGATATCGACTGGCAATTTACAGTCAATTATTTGCCTACATCAGAACGACGCGGTGAGTACTCCGAACGAAATGGGTCGCAAAGAAAACAATACTAACTTCAGGCACAAGATCCCAGCCGACAAGAAAGTGGTGTCAGAAGCTTGCAGCGCTTGAATGAGTTCGGGTATCACATAGATGGAGTCGTTTTGAACATTTCGGTAGTAGTGCCGGAACCTCTCAAAAGTGCGCAGGAATGCCCCTTGAGGAAGGTATTTCGAAGCTTCATACTTGTCGACAGTCAAACAAAGAACGGAAGCTTCATATATCCAAGTCAGAGCCAACTGGTCTGGCCCTCGAGGAGGTGGGATTGGGTGACTGTGGATCAAGTCACGGCACCAGTTCTTGACGGTCTCCAATGCCTTTTGCGACTCAGGTATCAAATCCAACCGTAACGTCGCAGCGGTACCAAGGTAGTGTACTGGCGGATGCAAAGTGTCGAATAGCTTTCGAATTAGAAACCTGATGGAGCTGTAAGCCGACGGGTTCCAGAGGTGAGGAAATGCAAAAGAGACTTGCCGTTGCTCCTTCAATCTGTGTCCCACCAACTCGAAAGGAATGCAGAACAGTGTGTGGAATATCAATATTTGCTGGAGGTACATGCGGATCTGGGCGGTGTACCACTCTTGAGTGAGGTCTTTGTAGTCGATGTGCTGTCGATGGCAGTTCTGCAGATGGCATTCTTCGTTCATGATGAAAGGCAGGCATGGACTGAAAGCTTTGGTACGTTGGCAAAGTTCGTTCTCCTCCAAAATACGTTTAACAAGGCGGCTCCAGAGAAGGAACTTGAGAATCTCCACGATCGTCTGACGGGAGATGATTGGCGATTCTTCGTCATGTTGTGGCAGAAATTCTTTGTGAGAAATTGCTTTGAGGCGATGATACACCCAGGTTCCTCGGGGAACATGGAACATGTTTTCCGACGCGGCTGGGGTAAGGGCAAAGAGGCGCTGGATGCCAGGGCTGTCCAGGTTCAAATTTGAAGCAACCTCCCTCATAAGCCTGCAATAAACCATAAAGTCGTCCAAAATCACGGATATCTTCGCATTCGACAGCCCCGAGAAAACGGGGAGAGCCATGAAACAATAGTCGAAGCAAACCAAGGCAGGAACCTTCTCGTTCCTCTTCAGGAACTGGATCCCAAGTTGACGAAGGGCTCCAAGGTTTTTGTCCTTGATGTTTCGGAACATGGCGACCTGGTAAAACATCCTTCAAAGTCAGTCCCACCCCCAATAGCTGTGATTAAGCACACACCTCATCACGCTCGGAAACAGTCAGACTCATGGTGTTCAGTTTGGAGGCCAATTCGAGCATGCGATGGGCTGTTTCGTTCTCCTTGTTGAAGAGGACGGCAAAGGAAACATTTTGCCATAATCCTTGAAGGATACAGGTGTTGGCCCTCTTGGTGGATTCCGGATTTTCCTGGTCTTCCAACAGAGTCTCGATCGCCTCCAGAGTACGGCCCTCTGCCAGGTGGACATCCGCTGCTTCTTGGTATCGACCCAATTCAACCAGAACGGCCGCATGACACTCGTCAAGTAGAACGTTATCCTCGAGGTACTCCAGTTGCTCCTCCACAGATTCGAACAACTTCTGAGCTTTCCTGAGGACACAGATGAGCAGGGTTAATGGTATACATAAGTCGCAGAAGAAGGACGTACTTCAACTCCCTTTGTTTGAAATAGAACAGCCTCGCAACATCAACCACGTTCTCCGCCAGACTCTGGTCCACCTTTCCTTTGTGCCCGACCACAATATTTACCGCCTCGTCGAACTTGTCACACTTGCGATACAAACGAACAGCAGGTGTGTACTCTTCTGCATCCTCGTAAGCTTTGGCAGCTCTTGCAAACAGGTCTAGCATGTCGAACAACTGAGCTGCGCGTTCGAAACAATCAGCGGCATTATGATAGAACACCTTGCGTCGCTTTCCGGTCGAGAAAGCCGCGCACTCCAAAAACGATTCGGCGGCCACCACAAAGGCATTTTGCTTCGAGAGCATGCCTTCTTTGTTGGTAGCGATGGCAGACCGAGCCTCCTCACGGAGGAAGTGGGTGTGTGCAATCTTCACCTCCCGTTCCATTCCGGCTCGCTGGAAGGCATGCATTGATTGCAGGTATCTCCTGTTGGTGAACAAGGTGCGCCCTGTCTTCGCCCATTCCTCCGGGGTGGAAGAGACCGCGAGGCGCGGAACATCGGTACCAGGGGCGCAGTTCTGGATGTAATCTTTCGCTGTCCACAATACCTAGCATAAGAAGTGAGCAGGATTCGTGATATTCGACGTTATTCTTGTACCTTCATTGGTTCAGCTTTGTCAGAACAATCTACAATCCACAGATTTTTCCTGGCCCTCGTGATCGCAACGTACAGGAACTTGAGCTGGACTCCGATGTTAGTATCCCGTTCCCTTGCACCTTTACCGGGGGACGTACCTCGCTGCAGACTCCAGCATGGCGCGTTTCGTCAAAGCGAGGTGCGATTTGTGTCCCATTGGCTGCTTCAACGAGATTCAAAACGACGCGCCATTGGCCAAGGTCGATCTTCGAATCTTCAAAGAACTTGTACAGCAGGACATCGTCGAATTCTAAACCCTTGCTCTCATACAGAGTCCTAAGAGCATGCGTCAACCATTTGTACCCAGTATTTACGGAATATGACCTACAAGATCAGTCCGATGTCACCAACTTGCTCTCGCAACTCTGTTCGAGCAATTTCGTCTCGGACAAGGATACCTGGAAGTAGAGGTTTAAGAGTCCATTCGGGCCAAGCGATCAAGTGGAAGCGCTTACATTGTCGAGCTCCGAACTCGATCCGATCCCCCCTATCCTAGAATCAGAGATGGCCAGTTGCCAGGATTACACACGACTTACGAATCACCAAACAAGAATTGTTCCTATTCAAAGATCAGCAGAAGCCTAGTGAAATTGGCGAAGCGGGCACTCACATATCTGACGGTATTCGTATCCCACCCGCTGAAAAAGACTGGTTTGGCCCCATCGACGATGCCTTGTTCTGGAGCCATCGAATCAATAGCGTATGGCCAGAAATGGGTGATGAGCTCGATGACTGAATGTGCACATTGGACAATCCCTCCATGCGAGCGGTAATTGATTGCGAGTTGGAAGGTTCGTAGTTCACCTTGCGCTCCCTTCCGACTATCGTCGAGCTTGTCCTCTCGACGTTTCTACGGCCAAGGAACGACGGTTAGATCAAAGCCAGAGAAAAGCGGCGGGTCGCGTACCTCCAATCTGTAAAGGAATGCCTTGAGATCATCAAAACGGAATGAACTTCCAATCGCGATGGTTTGAGCTGTATCGCCAGCCCAGAAGAGACCATCTGGGTTACGGCACAGGGATCGCAGAACTGCATTTCCACATATGAAGGAGTGAACATGGGTGGCTCTCATCGAAAAGACGTCGGCTTACGCATTGCATCTATGAGAAGATTGTCTTGCGCCTCGTCGACATACCTATCACTTGGTTAGCTCCAGCTCCCACTGATGTCGAAAGTGCGCGGCTCACAGGTAGTCAATTTTGGTCCCAGGAACACCGCGCAGCTCAAATGCTTTTAGAATTCGATGGGTCCTAGACAAAGGAGTCAGCCCACCTCTTCACTCAAAAAAATCGACACAAACCTGTCAGCGACATCCAAGTCCCCATTCTGACATTTTCGCTTGAGGTAGGCGGAATAAATCGCATAGACCGTCTCCCGCTGTTTTGCAAACACATGCTGAGTACGGTGACTCAAGTTCTCGTACGCAGACCGATCAAGATATCGTGAAGCGCAGCTCAGAGAGGCTTCGGACCCTTCGATGACGCCAATGAGCTCGCTGAATACCAGAGAAGGGTCTGCGACAAAGGTTCAGCACATGTCACTGAATGTGAAGACTGACAGGCTCACCGAGATTCTTGGTAAGGTTCTGAGGAAAGTGTGGCCAATACTGTTCCATGAAGACATCGTAGGTGATGAAGCGGCCATTCCTTCCCACAGGAGACTTGGGAGAAGTGGGATCATCGTCGAGGATATCACCCTCCAGCAATTGCGAGAGCTGCGAACGTCATGAGTTCCTGTTCATTCCTTCGCCGCGAGCACATGGCCTACCTTTTCGTATGTAACAAACAACGGGAAGTGCTCGTCTTCCAACAGACTGAACTTCTGAGGTAAGCCGGCTTTCCAGGTCACATCGTCCTCTTGGTCGTACAGCCCGGCACTGGTTTCTTCTTGCTGTGCTTTCTTCTCTTTGGCGATCTCCTTCAGCTCCTTCCTTGATTTCTTAGCAGCCGCCAATGAGTCCAGAAGCTTCGCAAAATACTCCTCGACTCGGGTTGCGAGCACCCGAGATTGTGTAACAAAGATTTGTCGAGGTTTGGTGACGGAGGCGTCAGTCTGCAACCCATAAGCTCGTTCTATGCCCAGCATTTTGAAGAGCATTGTGGTCGTTTTACTGTTGAGGTGTGGTTATCTAGAGTCCTGCGAGTAAAAATCAGAGTTTTCACGTACCCAGTCCCGCTACGACCAAGAACGTAGCACGAGTAAGGGTGTTCAATGATTTCCTTTTCCTGGGGACTGGTATATCGTAAACATATGGTGCGCCCTCTTGAATTTGAACACGTACGTGACGTTGAAGACGTGGGCCACGTCCAAGTCGGCGAGAATGCCTGGTAGGCGGGAGGTCAGCCTTACATGCTCGCTTGGAAAACAGAAGGACGCACTGTTCAATAGCTCTTGCGACAACATCACGAACTTCTCAAGCCTGCAAAAAGATATCAATGAAGGGCAGCTCATTAGAGGTGCCACCAGCCTACACTAAAAGGGAGTGAATCTATTCGTGACAATTGTGAGATCCCATTCGACCCGCGAGCCGAGGCTGCGACGCACCTCTTCCAGATCTTCCTTCGGCAACTCGGGTATCACTAGTGTGTCCTTCTCCTCCACCTCAACAGGAGGAAAGCTGGCCGGTGCGAAAACATTGTCGCCAGGATTGCGAGGTTTACTCCTAAATTTGCATCGATCCCGATAAACCTTGCCCCTCCTGGCCAACTGATACCCCATAGAATTCCACAGCCGTTTATCAATTTGCGCATGAGTGTAGATGCCAAAGATCTTGATAACCTGTCGCTCGTACTGAAACCCGTTGTCAATACAAGATTGCGGGAGGTAAAGATACTTCTCCTTACGTTGTTGTCATATTCTGGGACGCAATCAATTTGATACTGTCGATCATCCTATGAACAAAGTTCTCATGCAGCACGGAAGCAGAAGCAATACTCACGACAAGCCGGGTATCGCGAGTCATTTTGGCTTCGAAGATGGCAAAGTCGGCATTTGCACCATTCAGTCGCTTCTGATTGTCAGCAGAGAAATGGCCACAGGAGAGTTCCCTAAGGCAAGGTTAGGAACCGGGTATCGTTATGATGTCCACACGTACTTGATCTTCTTGATAATGATCCTGAAGAATTCCGAGTCTCGTCGCCGCCAATCTCGCAGATCACGGTCCGCACGCGTTGAAATGAGGATACGCCATTCACCAAGACCCTCGGCGCTGTCGAAGTACAATGCACTGGGTGGAATGAGCGACAGTCAATACGGGAAAGGGGAGAACTCACGCCTTCATCGGCTGTACAAGGGGATATGCTGCAGGCGTCGAGTCTTCATCGAGCGGCGCGTCTTCGACATGTTGCTGAACGCTCGGATCTGGAGAGGTGTCTGGTGTATCAACTTCAACAACGGAGACGACCGAGGTCTCCTGGATCGCGAGATATACGAAGTCACGGGCCAAAAGATCCATGTAACGCTGGAGGGTTGTCAGCACGGGATCCCTCAATCGATGTAAGGACTCGCCTCGAAGGTAAGCCTCAGGGTCCCCAACAGCGCAACCGTCAATGCATCCACATCACCCTGACATTGGGGAGGATCCAAATCCATCCTCTCGAAATCCTTGAGATTCAATGGCGCGGATTGCGTCGTCGGGGCTCGTTTAGCTTTCTTCTTTCGCTGCTTCTGTTTCTGCTTGACGGTGACGAAGTCACCAAATCCCTCCAAGGCATGATCGTCTTCCAGTTGGTCAAGGTGGTCGAATGTTAAAGACCCCAGAGACCGAAGGATTCGGAGACAGCTTTCTATGTCACTGTACCATTGACTGATAATTTGCGATTGCTCTCTGCTGAATCCGATGGGAAGAAAGTTGAGGCAGAGGGCCACTCTTTCGAGTACGGATTGATGCACAGATTCGAGGAATAGCGGTCGTGCCGCTGGAAATGATTTTGAAAGCCAACCGCGTAATTGAGAGCTCCAGCCGCCATCTGCGAAAGGGTGTCAGTCGAAGAATATGTGTCTCTAAAACTACGTACACGACAGAACCAGCTCAAGCAACTTCGGAAAGGGTTGTGTGGATGCCAAAAGTCCTTTCAGGACTGTATCAACGCCTAAATCGTTTAACGAATCAGGATCTAATCCGTTCAACCCTTTCTGAATGTCTTCAACGGTATGCGCTTCGTTTGGAAATTCGAGGCCAAAGGTAGTGTGCTCGGGCGACAAGTCTAGAGTGGGGCGGGGTGCCATACTCGAAACTGGTGGTCAAGCAAACGTTGAGGGGAAGAAAGGCACGAGTCCGGGGTATTATATACGTAGAGGTCAGGTGGTTGGAATAAGATTTGATAGAAGAAGGTTTGCGGGCAGCGTGGTCAAAGGTGGTTAAATTTGTGGGTGAAAGACGCTGCGGATCGATCGTGGGTGAAAGAGACTGCGGATCGAGGACAAGCGCAACTGATAAGGTAATTGGTCTACCGCGAGCACTCGTAAAACAACTGCGCGTCGTCGTCGTCACTGTTGGGTGGCAAAATGCACGGAATGACCTGCTGTCACAGTTGAAGTAGCCGGATAGGGACGATCCTGCCGATTTCAGACGCTGTTCGGTTGACATTGTATCGAAGGATTGGGCATCGTGGGGCTGCTTTCGATCGTCTTTCAGACATTACACGTCCACAGGGGTTAAGGAGCGTCCATGTTGCAGTGAAGAATTAAATCCAATTGCACAGAACTGTATTGACAGCACCTTGAGTCACGGTGAGACTAGCGCCGTACCCGTTCGTTATTAGTTTAGTCACATCCAGTCGCCTTTTAAACCCCTTGCTCGGTGTCGTATACATCGTTGAACGCGTCGTGCGCACTGCGGCCATCGTTGGGGAGAGAGTCAAGCGAAGGGCACGGACCCAGGATATTTGCCCGATCTGCCCACGTGACTGTTCCAGGCACGCGAATGCCGTTTCGGCTTGATCTCGGTCTCAATACGCGCTGATGATGATGGGGCGACGGAATTTTGGTCGTTGACGTCGACGACGACGATGCCGAAGGCCTAAAGCACAGCGACCAGGGCCGTTATCTTCATGCTACAAACCGCCAAGCGTGCGGCGACGGCTCCTCGACACTCTCCAGCATCCAGACGCGGAGTCCAGACGCTACGGCCCAAACCCAATCACCCCATCGTCACGCCCAGCGCTAAAGTTGACATCGTTCGTGATGCAAAGAAGATAGAGCTAGAGCGGGCAAGGGCCCTTAGACACGGTACGCACAACCTTTCCTGACATTAATGAACACGACTAATTGGAATCTCAGTCAAGAGAAACGAAGTTGGGGTCCAACTGTTGTCGCGGTCGCTTCACGAGCAGATATTTCGAAACGTTTCGTTTCCCCAACCTCCGCGTTCGTATATACAGATTGCCAAAGAACACCTGGCACAGCACGAACTAGACCCAGTGCAGGGCTCCGTACTCCCCGACATTGGCTTCCAGCTTCCACCGTTGCAAGGGTCAAACCTTCTGGAACACTTCCACCGTATTGGTCTTCATGCTGCAGAACCATGGTTGTCGCTGTCCAAAGAACACGCCTCAACAGTGCTCCCTCCGAAGCCGGAGTACTGGGAACTTCAGAGTGGATGGACCAAATACCATTTTCTCCCCGACGGATCCAGTTACCACGAACATGTCGACTTTCCAATGCACGACGGCAAGCCCGAGTCAATGCTCACATTTGACGTTGAAACCATGCCTAAGCACCACCCATACGCGGTCATGGCATGTGCAGCATCGGAGAATGCCTGGTACGCCTGGATATCTCCATGGCTTCTTGGAGAGACGGACGACCCCCAGCACCTAATTCCAATGGGAGATCCTCATGCGAATAAAGTCGTTATCGGCCACAACATTTCCTACGACCGTGCAAGGATAGGCGAAGAATACCGCCTCGAAGGGACCCAAACCCGTTTTATCGACACTATGTCCCTTCATGCAGCTGTATACGGCATCTCGTCTCACCAGCGCCCAGCCTGGATGAAACATCGCAAAGCCAGAGAGACGGAACTTCGGCAATTAGAAGAGGCCATTGAAGTCTTTCGAGGGCTCATCAAAACAGCCGAGGAGAAGATGGAACTGGAAACTGATCCTCAACAAAAAGAGGAATACCGCCAGACGCATCTGAAGCTCTCCAAAGGACTTCTCGAACTGCAGACCGCCAACGCGGAATGTGCAGACGAAGTGGAAGGCGACGCATCTCCAGACCCTGTCGAAAAGCGCTGGGAGGACATCACGGCAGTGAACTCTCTCGCAGAGGTTGCCAAGCTTCATTGCGGGATCGAGGTCAACAAGGACGCTCGCGATGACCTGTTTGAGGGGAACATTGAAGAAGTCCGTAACAACCTCCACGACTACCTGGACTATTGCTGCAATGACGTTCACGTCACACATGAAGTCTACAAGAAGATCCTACCGTCATTCCTCCAATCATGCCCACATCCAGTCTCTTTCGCGGGCATCCTCACGATGGGCTCGAGTTTCCTTCCTGTGAATCAGGAATGGGAAGCCTATATCGAACGCGCCGAGAAGACCTACCGCGATATGCAGGCCAAAGTGGAAAAGAAGCTGGTTTCTTTGGCAGAAGACGCGCTGAAGCTCATGGATAACGAGGCATGGAAATCCGATCCATGGCTTTCCCAACTCGATTGGACACCCAAGGTAGCTTCCAAGTCTCGAGGGGTTTATGCTCCGGAGGACCCTCCTCTGGAGGAGGCGGTCAGTGTACACAATTTGTCATGTCTCTTCTTCTCTCATATCGTTTATAGACACCAGAGGTAGACCCTTCAATCCCACCGACATGGTTCGACAAACTGTCTCGAGACCCTTTATCGACAGAATGCAGGGAACGCATCATCCCCCACCTTCTTCGCTTGACTCTGGACGACAAACCCCTTCAGTATACTGTCAAAGAAGGCTGGCACTTCCTCGAAGACAATACCATCCAGCCTCTCCCAACAGCTACCAGTAAGAGAACCGGCCAAATCCTCAACGCCCGCCACGCCCGTACCCTTCTTCAAAGCGGCCAGCTCCATTCCCCACACACCGACCTCGCCCTCCTACTCTCATCCGGAAGCAAAGGCGACGACGTCAAATCACAAGTCCTCCAGCTCGCCGAAGCAATGCTAGCAGAAGGGCGCGGAGGGGACGTCTCGACCAACCCCTGGCTTTCTCAACTCGACTGGTCTCCCGCGGGCCAGAAGAAAAAGAAGAAAGAGAAACCACCGAAGCCTCCTCCAGTGCTCTGGCCCAAGTGGTACTGGGAAGCCACCAAACCAAGGAAAGGTGTTCCACCGGGAACGCTCGACATCACCACCCGCGGGCGCATTGCGCCCCTGCTACTTCGTCTCTCATGGAAAGACTGGCCCCTCACCCACTCTCGCGAGCACGGGTGGATATACCGCGTCCCTCCCAACACCGACGCCATGATCCGATCCAAGCCCCTCGACTTTTACGATAATGCAGATGCTCACCTCAACGAGCTCAAGCTTCACCACGGGTATCAGTTCTACAAGCTACCACATAAGGACGGGGAGAAAGCCAATGTCGGCAGTCCACTCGGGAAGACCTTTATCAAGTATGCCCAGGACGGAACATTGAAGAGCCCAGGGGACGAAGCAAAGGAAGCATTCGACCTCAACGCCATCTGCAGCTACTGGATCAGTGCCAGAGATCGTATCATGAACCAAATGGTCGTTTGGGAGAAACAACGTGGTGAGCTTGGGTTCCCCAAGCCAGCAGAGTCACCAGACAGCAGCAAAGAGAAGTGGGGCATCATCGTTCCCCAAGTCGTCACAATGGGGACTGTCACCCGCCGCGCCATAGAGAAGACCTGGCTAACTGCAAGTAACGCCAAAAAGAACCGCGTGGGCTCGGAGCTGAAAGCCATGGTGCGCGCTCCAGAGGGGTATGCCATCGTCGGCGCCGACGTCGACAGCGAAGAGCTCTGGATCTCTAGCTGCATGGGTGACGCTCAGTTTGGACTACATGGCGCAACCGCCATCGGCTGGATGACTCTCGAAGGCACGAAGGCTGCTGGCACTGACCTCCACTCCAAGACTGCCAAAATCCTCGGTATTTCACGAGATCAAGCCAAAGTGTTCAACTACTCCCGTATCTACGGTGCGGGCATGCGCCACGCCATCCTCCTCCTTCTCCAAGGCAGCTCTGCCATGCTCCCAGAAGCAGCCCAGAAACTCGCCGAGAACCTCTACGCATCAACCAAGGGTAAAAATACCCACCGCACCGACATCTTCGAGCGCAAATTCTGGTTTGGCGGCAGCGAGAGTTATTTATTCAACAAACTCGAAGAAATCGCTTTGTCGGATAAGCCACAAACGCCCGCTCTAGGTTGCGGGGTAACCTACGCCCTCTCCAAGGAATACCTCCCAACAGGATTCGGCTCCGACTACCTTCCCTCACGTATCAACTGGGTAGTCCAATCCTCCGGAGTCGACTACCTCCACCTCCTCATCGTCTCCATGCAATACCTCATCCAGCGCTACAACATCAACGCGCGCTACCTCATCTCCGTACACGACGAACTCCGTTACCTCGTCACCGACCAAGACAAGTACCGCCTCGCACTCGCACTCCAAATCGCTAACCTTTGGACGCGGTGCATGTTTGCGTACAAACTCGGGATGGATGACTTGCCTCAGGGCGTTGCATTTTTCTCGGCGGTGGATGTGGACAAGGTGTTGAGGAAGGAGGTTTTCATGCCTTGCACGACGCCGTCTCAGCCAGATCCTATTCCCTCTGGAGAGAGCTTGGATATTGCGGGGGTGTTGGAGAAGACCAATGGGGGCTCCTTATTCGCCGATGGGCGTCCGATGCCCGAAACTGACTCCACCCCTCTCGTTGGGAACCTCGAGGGATTCCAGACACCCGACTGTCTCGTCCATCGAGCTCCCAATGCTGCATGGCTTAGAGCCCAAGCCACAACCGACTTTGCTGAAATCAAAGCACTCGCTCAGCAAGTATACGGGAAGCATTTTGATGGCGATTTGGCCAGCAGTGGTAAGAAACAGCGCAGAGCTGCTCCCAGACGTCCCAACGGGAAGAAGATTGTTGGTATCGGCTCGGGTGAAGGCTATGATTGGTCTGCCATCGTCGACAATCTACTCAGCCACGAAGGTGTCAACAGCCTTATGGATTCCCGTTGACCGGTAAATTATTCCCTACTTTTCCCATCCCTTCTTCGTATTTCTCCCATTCTATCTTTTCGTTGTCCAGCACCCTCATTCTTGCTTATCTTGCTATCGCGGAACCCGTATTCCAAATATCTACTGTAGAGCATGCCATCCTATAAAATACTGTACAAACCATGTAATGATTAAAAGGGTCGACCATTGGCCATTTGTAGTAAGTAGCAATAACACCACCAGCAACACAGCCTATCAAGTCTAGGTAATTAGTCTTGAGGGGGTTGGTAAGGTTTAACCAGCATCTCGCTGAACTCTTTAAGCTTCTCAGGACCTCTGACTTCCTCGGTGAGCAAGGGGAGCTTGACGATATGGAAGAATTCGTCGTAGAGTTCGTGAGCCTCGGCAAGGTATTTCTGTTGCATCTTGTGTCGGACGCTACAGTGTTCACAATTCGAAGCTGCGAGCAGGTCAGAAATGCCACAACTCCGATACAACGAGGTGTACTCACATTTCTTGGGGAACAACAACTGATTAACGACAATATTATGCGTATCAATCTCATACGCCGTCAACTCCTGCACCAACCTCTCCGTCTCGTACAAACTCAAGAACTCGGAGATACACACGCAAACGAACGTCGTCTTCTCGGGGTCCTTGAACTGGGTGTTGACCTCAGTAATGACAGCCCTCATCGACTCGAGCTTTGCAAACATATCCTCCTGCGAGCCCGCCTCGCCGCCCATCATGCTGGACATTTGGCTGATCATGGGGCCGAACCTCGAGCCTAGGGTGCTGAGCTTGCCCAAAGCCTTCTCGAGGACAGTAGGGAAGGAAAGGAAGCGCAGGGTGTGTCCAGTAGGCGCGGTATCGAAGACGATGACCGAGTACTGCATCGACTTGACATGCTTCATGATTTCCGCAAAGCTCATCGCTTCGTCCACACCTGGGATGGCAAAGGCGAGGTCCTGCATCATAGAGCCCATCATTCCATTCGAATCGGCTGTAAGAGAACACAATCAGGTCGTGTCCAATATTCAAAGCTGTCGTGGGCGCACATTGCTCGACCATCTCTTGGATGGCACTCGTCGGGTCAATCTCCATCGCAAACAGATTATCGAATCCATTGACTTTGGTAGCATCTTTGGAGAACTTTTGGCCAAAGGCATCGGACAAGTTGTGCGCCGGATCCGTGGACTGTGAACCAGTTCATTGCATGTCCACCACACAGAGGAACCGAAAACTCACAATCAAGAGAACAGATTCTCGAACTTTGGCAAGTTGGATGGCCAGAGAACACGACGTCGTCGTCTTTCCTGCAATGACACGTCGTTTAGGCCTCGTTGCACTGGGTCAAGGCACCTGGGGTAACGAACCTACACCACCCTTACCACCTAAATCCAGTTATCAGCAAACCCCGTTTCCCCTTGCAAATCCAAAACAGACACATACCACAAAAGATCCATTTCAAGGACTTTTGGTCCAAGATATTCTGCAAAGTCGGGGGTAAGAGTTCTTCAGACATCGTCGTCGTTGCCAGAGTTGAGTTTGCGACACGCTACGACTGCACTCTGACACGCGTCCCAATCAAACCCTGGAATCATTGGGAATCTCCGAGAACGATCTTGTCCCGCTACCACCATGTCCGACAAACCAATTATATCTTTCCAAGGTATTCATTCGTTATTCAAATCACAGGCTAGAATTGAGGTTTGTTTTAAGCACTCAAGGTCGCCAATGAACACAGAAACGCATATGGACTGCGATACAATGACCACCAGCGATATCGGTAGGATTCTCGCAATCAACGGTGATAAACCAACATAATTGAAACCATGTTCAGGAAACACTGTGCTAATCGCACCCACCGTCTGCGGTCATCGCTTAAAATGACCCACGGCAAGGGAAAAGACTTTAAAAAGTTGCCCCCACTGACCAACGAAATCATCAAGGACGGACAGTGAGTCGTACCCCGGTTCTGGTCCACAATAATCCCTAAGCGCCCACCAGTCTCCAACTACTCCTCTTCGAAGCCGAACGAGCCTGGTCTTACTCTCAAGATCTCCTCGCCCAGTCCCTCGAACCAACAAACGCCGACAGAGCGAGCAGCCTCCGCCACAGCGCAACCGGCCGCTTCAGGCGCGCCGTAAACTGGTCAACCCAGCTCCTCTCCCACTGCCAATCGCTCTACGCCGCCGACAGACTCTCCGCCGAAAACCTCGTCCAGGCGACGATCTACACCGTCATCCTCAACGGGCGCTTCCTGCGCTACCGAGATGACTTTGAGGACGCCCTTATCCAACTCTGCGTCGCAAGGCACTTGTTGGACGAGTTGGCGAGTACAGCCGTGACGAGTCGCGACCAAGCTCTCGCAGTTCTATTCGCAGATGAGATTAGCCCGGAAATCCGTCACTGTGCGCACGAGCTGGGGCGAGCAAAAGCCTACGATATCGACGGTATCGTAGCAGAACTTGCTCCCAAGCACCTCAACTCGATCGTCGAGAACAGCGACACGCTCATCGCAGCTCTCAAATCCCAAGGGCAGGCTTCTTCCGCATCCGAGTCGCGCACCAAACTTAAGGAACTCATCTGGGAAGACGAACCCGTGCCCATCCGTAACCCCGAGTTGGTCGACGTCCTACTCAAGGTCCAAGATGCCAAACAACGCCTCTCAGAAGCTCAAGCGTCCGCACACCACGCAAAGTCGAAAAAGGGCGTTGCGGCGTACGATGCCATCCTCCTCGCACTGAGCGACGCGGAGGAGCTCTCGCGCAAACTCTCCGAAGCACAGCAGATATCCACAGGTTCATCAGGTGCTGCAAGCGTCGGGCGAGACATCCACTTCGTCTACGCTTACATCGTGTACCAACTCTTGCGTTACCGAATCCAACGAGACCTACTCCTCATCTCCGCTCTCCTCTCTTCCCATCCTACTCCCCCGAGCTCGGCCTCCACTTCCAAAGCCTCGTCCAAACCCCAAAGTGTAGACAGCCGCCTCTACCCAGCCGTCGTCAAACTCCTCGACACAGTCCTCCAAAGCCTGGACCAAATGCGCACTCTAAGCGTCGTAGACGACAACCCCGACCTCGCAACCGCCGTCGACGCCCGCATCTCATTCACAAAAGCAAAACGATGCATCTACCTCGCGCGGTGCTACACGCCCATCAAGAAGTACGCCGAAGCATTGGCTCTCCTCCAACACGGTTCCCTCCACCTCCGCGAAACCAACTCGTCTTTATCCCTCCTGGATGGGACCGCAGATGCGTTATCGACATTCTTCCCCATCTCATCCGAATCGGTTAAAGAACTCGAAGATACCCTAGCGGGTGATAACACGCGCTACAAACGGGAATGGTTCACGTATAACGGCGGATCGATCACTGCAGACCCCAAAGACTACAAGAAACCCCTCTTCTTCGATATCGCACTCAACTATGTCGAGTTGCCGATGGACAGGTTACTCGAGAGGGCTGGGAAAGCGCCTCCCCCTGCTCCTGCTCAGCCAACCATCGCAGCTCCTGTCGCTGTCCCTGCTGGTAAACAACCACCCAAAGAAGCCGCTCCAGTCGCAGAGAAGAAGACGCCAGCGCAAAAGGCCAAAGTGGAGGAAACGCGGCCTGCTACTCCTCAACCCCAAACGCAGACCCGCGGTGGCCTCAGCTCGCTGCTCGGAGGTTGGTGGGGTCGCAGTTAAATCTAGAGGGTCTCATCTAGTCTCGCACTTCTTGATTTCTCTGTACAACCTAAACTGAATAAATCGTCTTGCTTATCAAACTAAAATACTTGGGTAATCAAGTTCACAGAGATCGTGAAATGGGTTTAAAGTTGAACAAGATGTGTATGTGTACGTACTCTCTCCCCCTCCACGCCTAATACACAATCCAAGGTACCTCGTACATCACAAAGTCGAAGAATTCCTGATCAAGCACCGACTGATACTCGCCGACAAAGTCTTCGGTAGGCGCGTTGGACTTCTTGGGGGCGCGTTTGTGAGCGGGGTTGGAGCGAGGGCCGAGGTAGGCGAATTGGGCTTGGAGCACATTGAACACTTTCTTCGCTGTCTTTGGGTCAGGCTGCAGAAATGAGATTCATTGTCAGTCGGGCGGGTGGGTGGAGGGGACTGGAGATGTGCACCCACCTTGATAGCAACGCCGATGTAATGTGAGGGAAGGCCGTATCGCAGTACGCTCTCCACGAAGAGACGGATAACTTTGATGTGCACCAAGAGTTGATACGATTCGGAAAAGTTGATCCTTGCAGATTGCAAGAGGTCGGTCTGTACGCGGTGGAATCAGCACTGCACCAATGCCTCGATAAGATGACATACCCAGAGCTCCCGCTCAGTAGCATTAGTGGTTTCCAATTCCTGCCTTTCCCTCTCCATGTCTTCCTCCGAGAATACAAAGTCTCGGACGATGAACCTGTTGATCCATAAGTGAGCTGATAGGAGAGGAGGTAAAGGATCCCTACTTTCGTTCCCGACATTTCTGGACAAAGTCGTCGTGTATTCGTTTGAAGATGACGACACTGTACAGTGCGAATTCATCGTCTGCGAGCAGCTCCCTGACTCAAAGAGTGAGCAATGCATCCCAGTGGACTCCTAGACATACGCACTTTGCAGAACGGGGCACGACCATGGCAGTCAGGCGCTCGTATGAATTGAGCCATTCCTTGATCAAGTTCCTGTCTATGATATCAGCACGGCGCAATTACAACGATGCATCGTGCGCACTTCGGAACAGCAACAAGAACCGTCTCCAGGTACTCCGAGTCTTGCACAAAGTCGTCGACAGTGACGAGGTCGACCAATGACCGCACCGATAGATTACCACTGAATGTTGATGAGCACCAAGGCCACAGACATCACACTACAAAACATACGTCTTCTTGCGCTGCATCTGGGTCAAAGACCCCTTGACCTGGTTATAATTCGTGACCTTATTCTTGAGTGCATTATCGATCGACGTCATTTCCTATAAATCCAATGATTAGTCCCAATTCCATCCGTCCAAGAGCGGGAACTGACCTCAGTCAATCCATCGACCAGCTCCCTGAGACTCCTCTGAACAGGATAGCGACTCTCATTCCACCTCCACTCACTCATAATATAGCTGTCCACGGGTCTCTCGTCCACCAACACATTCTGCGCGAGTTTAGCCGGGTCGTTGTTCAATAGGTTCCGCAGCGTATCGACCGCCTTCGCCACCGTCGCCGTAAACGTTCCATCGAGCTTTGTCAAGTCCTCCGATAATCCAATAAGCGAGTCCAGCGTCCCTGTCTGCCCTTGCACCATAAGCCTACGAAGCGGGAGAATCGGGGGCTGCAGGCGACCCACCTTGAAGGACGGAATAGGCAATTGTGCGAGATCGCGCAGTGGGAGTTTAGCCTGTGAGGCTAGTTTGGGCGCCAACTCTTGAAACAAACCTTCCGAGTCGCCATCCTGTGGAACAGCAATGAGCCAGGTACTCTGATCTGAAGGCATTTCCAGCGAAACAGTCTCTCTCCCAACCCACCCATCACCCGCTCACTTGCTCAATTCGGCTGTTTGGCCTTGCTTGATCCACACGCTCAACTGATCGGACCTTTTGGCCGCGAAAGGGGTCCGACCAACCTCAGCGGTTTGTTCTCGTCGTCGTGCACAATGAGCTTCATCTCCCGTCGTGTCTGTCGCGCTGCTATCATGTCGTCTTCACAGTTTGGAACGAGAGCGTACAGCTCTCAAAGGATCCCTCTCGTCTTGAGCCCACAGGACGTGAACAACCTCAGGCATTCCCAGCAGGAGCAATCCGATATTGCGCTACTCGATGCTACTTGGTTTATGCCCAACTCACCTAGGAACCCACAGAAAGAGTTTCTGGAACGACGTATTCCAGGTGCTCAGCGCTTGGACTTGGACGCAGTCGCGAGTGAACACGAACTCGGACTCAAACACATGATGCCCAGCAAGGCCATCTTCGCAAAGGCGTGTGGTGAGTACATCTGGTTTTCAGCTCTACTAGGCTCTAAGTTCCATTAAATAGGTGAACTCGGAATCTCTCCCGATTCCCATGTGGTAATGTGCGCATCCGAGTCAATACGCAATGACCCGGAGCACTAAACGGGATCCAACAGCTACGACAGCCATGGCGTCTTCTCCTCCCCGCGTGCACTCTTCATGTTCCGCGCCTTTGGCCACGAAAAGTCAAGTATCATCAACGGAGGTCTTCCCCGATGGATCGACGAGGGTCTCCCAATTGACACTGAAGCACCTTTGACACCTTCACCCGTCCAATATGAACCTCCCCCTCGATTCCGTCCAGAGACTGTCCGATGTATGTCCTCCTTCCCGACTGTTGCACTCTTAACAACTAAGCCTCTTTCAGCTTACATGGATGTCGTCCTCAACTCGCAATTCGACCCCAAATCCAACGCACTCTCCGAGCTCGTCTTAGACGCACGCTCCAAAGGACGGTACGCCTCCCTCCCTTTCCTTCATCTCCCCAACCTAACCACTTCCACCCCAGCTACCTCGGCACCGACCCCGAACCCCGCCCAGGCCTCTCCTCAGGACACATCCCGCACTCCATCTCCCTCCCCTTCAACCTCTTCCTCAAGCAGAACAAGGCCCAATCCGGTAACCTATCCTCCGACTACACCACCCTCCTGCGCCCCTCCGAAATCCGCCAGGTCCTCGAAGACACCCTCGGAGAGCAGGAGGTCGAGGACATCATCGCCGGTGACCGGTCCGTCGTAGCGAGCTGCGGGAGTGGTATGACAGCCGGCGTGTTGTGGCTTGGACTGCAGCTCTTGGGTGCTCGGAAAGTAGCGATCTATGATGAGGTAGGCGTTAACTTTCTTGTCAATGAACTGGTACTCACCTTGTCTTTTTTACAGTCCTGGACGGGATATGCGATGCGACCCGAGAGCAAGATCGTCAAATCGGACGGCGCTTAAAACTCAACAAGGCTCTGTTACCCGGTCCGACGATACCAGTGCTGCTCCTTGTCCTCTTCACCTAACAGATCTATCGGGCGAATGTATCTATCCTCGTTTCTCAATCCGGGAAGAATTGTACCAACATACTATCCACTGTGCTCATCTACTCCGTATTAACCAACCCCTTGACTTAGGATCCTCTCCCTCTTCCATACCTGCGGTCACACAGGCGACAAGACCGAACCTAATTCAGATTCTCTCCTCGGAACCGTTCTAGCTCCATTCTTGCTCTTAGACATCTAATCTAAATTTACAGAGCGAGAGACCAATTCTCCCCCGGGTCACTCTGTATCCGCTTATGAGTGCTCCCTACACAATCCAATCCACGTCTTACACCTCCGGAACTCATGCCGAGGGACGGAAACACCGTCGCGGCTAGGCGTGTCAGGATGACGAAGTAATCTCAGTCTGGGGATGGTGGATCCGTATCCTGGCTTACCTTCGGGCTTCACCTGGGCCTCAGACCACCGTCTCATGATCCAAGAGAGTGAGAGAAGAAAGCGAATGGATAACCAAAACTACATACGTCTAAAGAGTATAACTACAACCTGACAAACCCCACAAGCGATCCTGAGTCGAAACCTTCACGCGAAAAACCAAAGGAGGCGGGTATACAGCCTGCAGGATAACAAACACAAACGGGAGGATGCGATACAGAATACAAACACCACAGCTAATACAAATACATTTTCCCGCCTATTTACGGGTTGTCTTCCCTTTCATTAGTACATTAAAACATAAGTTAGATCGTAAAAGTGTCCGTTTGAGTCACGGTGTGCTTTTGAGTACAAGTTGAATGCAAGGTGTGTGGGGGTTGGTTGGTTGGTTTGGATGTGGATGAGGTGTGGAAGGAAAAAATGGACGAGATGGAAGAGACGGAGTGGGGATGTGCGGAGTCGAGGTGTAGGGACAAAGGGAGGCAGTCATGTGTGGAGGATCCCAATACACGGTGGACTCCTCGAGGACGGAGGCTTCCCTACACATCGAGCAGCTAATGAAAGGAAGGAAAACCATCAGCCAATCGGCACCACAACCAAAATCATACAAAAACACTCACGTCGTCCACTATACCGCACCTCAATCCTATGATGCTTATTCTTCCTTAATATCTTCAATTGCCAACTAAACAAACCGGCCCATTAGCATAACCTCCTCCCCACAGTATCCAAAAATAAACAAAACACACCTCTCCACAAGCAAGACATTAAACCCCCTCTTCGAAGCTTCAGACATCAACTGCTGCCTCGAGAAATTCACAGCTCGATGTAGGTCATGTATCCCTCTATACGCCTTCCCATTCGAAGGGTTGATATCGAACACATACGTCCCGTTCAGCTCAGTGTCGCTGATCGAGTCAATTTGCAATTCTACCAATTTTACACACAAAGCCAATTTGTGAGCGGTGAAGCACAAAGAGGTGAGATTAGAAGGAAATCCTCACCGTCATAAGACGAGTACGTAGGAACAGGGTCGACAAATTTGTTATCGACCACCTCCCAAGGCAATTCCTTCCGTCGAAAACGAAGTCTGAACATCGTGCCGAACTTGGGCATCGCTCGCCCAATGGTTTTGCGGTAAAGACGTTTGATTGTTGTCGAAATAAATGTGGAAGCAGGCCGCCTCCGAACTGAAGGGTTTGTTACAAGTGGTGAAGACGGCACCAAAGGGTGTTTGGAAGCGGTAGGTGATGCAAGTGGTAAGGCTGAAATTGGTCGTGGACCGTATTGGTGGTGATGGATCCCAACAAAGCACCAAATCCAGGTCTGAAACTCTACAGCACCAACAACTCGGTCTTATAACCCTCTCTCTCCGTCGACTTGATTCGTATCCGGATGATTAATCTGGAGCGAAATTGTGAAACACGGATCCGGGAGACGATCGAGTAAGGTGTGTACGCTGATGGACCAAGACACCGCCACTGGCCGCTGCTGTTAACCCTACTAGTCGCTTTCGGGTGCTGCGGTGGACGAAAGGTGTGTGTCGTCCGTGTACTGTGTATCCTGATTCGAGGGCGGGCGGTGGAGTGTAGACGATGGTCGTCGCCGCCGAGACTGGATGGGCGTGGGTGGCAGTGGGAACAGGGAATGTAGGGAAAAGGGGAGTGAGGTAAACGCCGTGCTGCACGAATGCAGTGGTAGATGTGGATTCAAAGTAATGGTCGATGGGAGATCGAAGTCGCCGAATCCGAATCCGAAGGGCGATATCGAAGCACGGAACGTGGAACGAACGTTGAAGGAACTCGTGGAACCCCCGGTTGAGGATTAGCTCAAAAATGGGAAGGAGGGTCTGTGGCTGCGGTTGCTGCGATCGAGAGGGGGGTGTTCGGACGTCGACTATTCCCGCAGTTGTGATAACCAAGATCTTTGTATCTGTATATATACCCAGTGGTATCCAGGATGAGGGACGGTTCCGTAGTTTCCGTAGTCGTCCGTCAGGGACACAGCTGGGCCCTGAGCTACATATGATAGCCAGTAGTAATCAGCCAACTGCCCTGGTTCTGCCGCCTGTGCAACGCCTGGATAATCAAATCTTTCCCAAAGATGTGATATCACTGTCAACGACCCGACGCGTGTCGCGGCAGCTGATTCCCTGAACTCCCATTCAACCATTGCATGACTCAGTCCTCGAATGCGCTAGGTAAGGAGCGCCGGTAAGGATTCAGAATTGGTGTGGTGAGGTGTCTCGGCGGCACGTCTGATGATGTCAGCTCGCACTGTCAAGCGGATAGGTAGAGACCGAGGGGAGTCAATCCAGAGACAGAAACAGCGCTGAAACGGGTAGCGATGGAGGACCAGGACGATTGCGGAGTAGAGGAAATAGATTGTCGGTTGGAGGTACTCGGAAATCTTGGCGACCTAAAAGGAACCAGGAGAAATGCGATCTTTGCGTCCTCGAGCCCCCCTTCGACCGATAAGCCAGCAGGGATTGGGGTAGCTTGATTCACTTGAATTCGCAGTCGGGTGCCTCCAAATCGCCTATAGCAAGGACCGCACATCAAGAAGCCTAATTCAACGCGGGCCCGCACAATCTAATCCAATCCGAGTTGGATGGTAATTAGACAGCTGGGATCGAAGACTCGTCTCGACCTGTAGATGGTATACGATATTCTGCAGAGAAACCCAGGCTCTCCAATCGCGCGTGGGTCACACTTCGATCAGGCCGCGTCCCCAGTTCCAGGTAAGAATTCGCTCGAATCCGCCGGGCTGTTCAATGCTTCAGAGAGCTTTATCCAGTCTAATGAGAGTCGCCAGTAAAGGGATGATGGTGGTAAGAAGGAAAGATGTTATTTATCATAAAGATCAGCGCTCCAACGTGCTGGGTGCCTTCGTCGAGAGAATCGTACGATGAGGAGCATATTTGCCTATGTTTGATTCGGAGGTTCTTGAGCGGATCATTGGGATTTAGACGCTCATGCGGAACTATCTGGTTTAAGCAGGAAAGGGATACTAGGAGCTGTGAGGCGCTTGAGAGAGCCAATAGAGGACTGTCAGAAAGTAATGGTACAGGAATAAGCACAACTCCTCAGCAAAACTTCCTCGTGCCATTACACTAGCATGTGGATTACAAAGTTGTCATTCCGGAAATTCATCGCAAACTAAAGGGACCAGAGATATGGGCCTATTCATGTACTGATTAAGTCTGAAAAATCTTAAAAGCCCTCTCTAACTCGCATCTTCCGGGGAATAATCTGAAATCGATGGTCAAGGCCAATTCCTTCCCGGCAATTCTTGGTCATATCATCTGATCATCGACAGGACACGCAATAGTCGCCTGTTCTAACTTTGCTCCATTGCTTAGGCGCGCTTTGGACTGGACGTTCAAGTGTCATATCGAGGGAAGATCTGGGGTAGGGAAAGCTCGCGCGCCATAAATAGTCCACAAATAGTGTATCAAACACATCGGAAAAGGTGTCGTTCTTGAAGACCAGATGTATATCAGCGAATGGGAGATAGAGGTATTCAACCACCCAACCCTCCTGCACCTTCCCGACGCCTGTTCTGACTGGACATCGAGTCAGGCGCGGCTAAGCGCCCGGACTCGACCCTATGGCGTGGGGAAAATGATGACTAATCACCCCGCCTCTTGTGGACGAGGGGGCGGTGAAAGCCAAGGGTTGCGCAAAGCCAACTCGTTGGAGAACCTCCAATCGACCCTTGTCTTCCCCAAATCTCTTTACAAATCCCCGAAAATCATCTAATGATTTTCGATCCCGCATCTGCTCCCCATCTCAAGCCATGGCTTGTCCGGACGCTTGAGCCAATGTACGTTCTTGACAAAATTTCATTGCAATCTGTTTAGCAAACCCTGTCCTTTTCATCTAGATGCGACGCTGAGCCTGGTGCATTGGCTGACTATATTCTCGCTTTGCTCAAGCATAATGTTCCAGAGCCAGAGATGCGAAAAGAACTGCAGGTCCAACTCGAGGAATTCTTGGAGAACGGTAACGTCATGTTCGTTTCATCTTTCGAACGAACCGTCCCTAAAACTATCCTCATTTTCCAGAATGCAAGTCGTTTATCGACACATTGTTTACCGTTCTAAGGACAAAATCGTATCTACCCTACTCGACTAACCCGCCTTCACCTCCGCCGGCGAACGACGAAGGAAAGTCAACACCGCTGGACGGAACGACGACGAGTGGGGCCGCTGGTCCTTCGAGCGACCGGACACGGAAACGGAGCTTTGGAGATGACGAGCGGGATACACGGCCGAGTAAAGGACCAAGGCTGAGCGCAGACGGCGATTTCTCGAGATATGGAAACGGCAGAGCGGATCAGCAATGGGGAGGAGGAAGGCAGGGGATGGTTCAGGAAGGAGCAGCCTACGGAGGTCAGATGAACGGCAGACGACAGGGGTACCAGCCGCCTGGCCAAAAAAGGGGTATCTGCCGTGACTACCACAGTGAGTATACCCCGCCCACCACTGATTCGATATCTTCTTTGGTTGGTGCTCATTTCTTTTCAGACCACGGTTTCTGTGCACGCGGTGAGACGTGCAAATACAGTCACGGAGACGATGCTGTCATTCCATCTCAGTTATACCCAATGGTGCCGCCAATGATGCCCTTCAACTACCTCTACAACATGTTCAACGCGCAACAACCTTACGACCCTAACGACGCAAGAATTGACGGCCATGCTGGCGGCCCGAGACAACACCAGCGCGCTCCCATAATGCCGAGGGAAGGCGGGGCGCACCCGCACGCCTCTGGTGAACTTCCAGTGATACAGGACCTGACACCTAGCGCTCCAACGGACCCCAATGCGCCCCAGAAACCGCCAATGCCCCAACAACCCTCAATGGCTAACATGTCTATACCACCGCAGCTTATGGCAATGATGCCAGGCATCGATCCATCCATGTTTGCCGCAGGCATGCCCCCATTCGCAGGTCCACCTATGGACCCTTCAGGCAATATGCCTCCCGGCTCCGACGCGACCGCCCCTCAAGGACCTCCATCCAATCAAACAAACCCTAATTTCCGTGGGCGAGGTGGACCCAGCAATCGAGGACGAGGAGGGTCATTCGGCGCCGACGCCAGTTCATTCCGACCCAACCGGCGAGGGGACAAAACGCTCGTCGTCGAAAAGATTCCCGAAGACAAGCTCTCCCTCGACTCTATCACTTCTTGGTTCAAAAAATTCGGAGAGGTGACGAACGTAGCTGTGGATCCTAGGGGTGGGAAGGCGCTGGTCAGTTTCGCGACGCATGAAGAGGCTAGGGCGGCGTGGAAGAGCGAGGATGCGGTGTTTAATAATCGGTTTGTGAAGGTGTTTTGGCATAAACCGATGGAAGGGCACGGGCAGGTTGGACAGAGGGCGCTGGCTGCTTCAGCATCTTTGGTGGCGAATTTGAACGCCAAGGAGACCGGTGGTACACAGGCGGGTTCTTCGTCCTCCACGGCGTCACAAGCTGGTGCTTCCGCGTCAGCATCACCAGCTCCAGCGGCGGCTCCCAAAAAATCAACGCAATCTTCAGCAGCAGCGGCCCTAGCAGCAAAACAAGAACTGCTGGAAAAACAAATCACAGAACAGAAGGCACTGATGAACGAACTGACTGGTGCAACTGCGGAGCGGAAGAAAGAGATCATGGCTCGTCTGCGGAAACTCAACGAAGAGATGACTACGGCAAAGGACACGCCCACGCCTCCCCCTCCGTCCAAGAAGCCAACACCGGAGTCAACCGATGCAAAAGGCCAGGACAAAGACACGGAGATGCAACCACCAGAGGGAGAAGCAACTGGAGAAGAAACCACAGAGCAGCTCAAAGCCAAACTCGAGCGACTCAAAGCCGAAGCTGCGAGCTTGGGCATCGAATCTGCCGATGCAAGTGGAGGTTATAGTGGATATCGTGGTGGATATCGTGGACGTGGGAGAGGGCGAGGGTTCTACAGAGGCGGGCCAGCAATGCGTGGCGGCCCTCCGCGTGGTAGCCTTAAACTCGATAACCGGCCGAAAAAGCTGTTGGTTAAGGGTGCGAATGGGGAGAGCGAGGTGCAGCATGTGAAGGATTGGTATGAGGTACGTTCATCCACCCTTCATTACCCGTGGATTGTGTTACTAATGCACTGTGTTTAGTCGCTCGGTCAGGTGGAAAACATCGAAACGCTCGATGGAGGGGATGTCCTAGTCTCGTTTAGGACTCGAGCAGCCGCCGAACAGGTACATATCTTATTATACGCCATCGTTCCCTTGCATCCGCTCACCTGCCTTCTCTTCAGGGCCTAGCCAAAGGCACATCGATCCCAGGCATTCCCAACAAGCTCACCATTACATGGCACGTCTCCAAGAGTCCAGCACCCTCCACAACCCCAGCACCTTCTTCCTCAAAACCGACAGGCGACGCTACAGGATCGTCGACATCCATGGCTGTAGACAAAGACCCTGGTGCTGAGGAAGATGGCGGTCGGTCGCCGCCACGCCACGAGGAAGAGGAGGTGGGTGGATGGGGAGGGTACGATGACGGGATGGGCATGTTGTAATCCCACCCTCACCGACCGGTGACCCACCGCTCAGGCTTGGTTAATGAATTCGTCTCCCTTTCGCGTTCACATCGTATCTGTACATGTAGTAGACCACATCTTCTACCTTTGCACGTCACATCAATACCTTTTGCCAACCAGCATCGGCTCCGGAATCTTCTACTTATTCGTCTGTCTACATGGACTTGGTTGCAAACCCCACCTTTCATTGTATTTATAATGTGTTTTGGCATACATAACTTGACCGACTGCTGGCTGCAGCAGCCCTATTGCCCTGCGCCGATCTAAACTTCATCCGATTCGTCCGTGAGGCTTTCGGAAAGAAACCGGAAACCGGTGGTGATTATCTGCCCTTCCTCCTCAATGAGAAAATAAACCTGATCCAAAGGTGATACTCCGAATTTCAGACCAAAATTCAAGGATTCCAAAGTAATTCGAGCAGGCCTCGTCTTGAGCGCCAAAGAGCGACTGGAGCGGGCAAGAGAAAGAGGCAAAGAGACGCCCGGGATCATTTCCAATCGCGAGGCACAAGGAAGATTCGCACGGTACCCCAAGTCCGATTGGCCGAGCGCCTGCAGCGAATTTCGTCCAACGTTTTCGGTTCCTCCCACATCCTTCTCCCTTCAACCATGTCCCTCACCGTTCTGCGCTCACTTCGCGGCTCACACCAAACTAGAGCATGGGCCTCATTCGCTCGTGTGCGCTACATGAGCGCAGATAGCAGCACCAGTTCGCTCGCGGAGCTCGACGTGGGTTTTCACGACTAACCCTTACCGACGAGTTTATCGTCTAAATCGCTGATTTATGCTTCTGGGACTCTGTGCGTGTAGGCTTCGAGAGTTGAGATCGTGAGGACGACGAAGCCTGGTGTGCCTCCACCCTCCAGCACACTCAAGTTTGGCCACACCTTTGTGAGTTGGTTCCAGGGTCTATTTCCGAATAACGAATTAAACACGTTTTTTGTAGACCGACCACATGTTGACCATTCCCTGGAATGTTATCTCTGGATGGGGAACGCCAAAAATTCAACCATGTTCGTATATTTAGCTTTTCCAGCACGGTACAAGTCTGAACTGCATGCTTTTTTCTCTCAACAGACGCACCACTCGCCCTTGATCCCAGCTGCACTGTCCTCCACTATGCCCAAACCATCTTCGAGGGCCTCAAGGCCTACCGTCAAGAAGACGGCAAAGTTACCCTTTTCCGACCCGACATGAACATGAAGCGGATGAACACGAGTGCACAACGCATTGCTCTCCCTGTACGCGGTTCCCAACCATCCTAATTCCACCAACTAATGACCCCGGGTCACCCGTCTCAGACCTTCAACGGCGAACAACTCCTCGAGCTCGTCAAACAGCTTATCCGGATAGATAAGGACTGGATTCCAAAGGAGCCAGGACACAGTCTCTATGTTCGACCTACACTCAGTATGTTTCTCGTGTCTTTTGGTCGGGGACGGATCATACTTAACAATAGCCCTGTATCTTCTTCATATCTTGCTCCGTGCTGATATGATGAACAATAGTCGGAACTCAGAGGGCCATTGGCGTCGGCCCACCCAACGAAGCTCTCCTCTTCGTTATTCTCAGCCCGGTCGGACCTTACTACCCTAACGGGTTCAAGCCAGTTTCTCTCTACGGCACAACCGAATACGTTCGTGCCGCTCCAGGCGGTACGTCCACCTGCACCATGCTCACACTGTCTATCTGACGGGTGCAATCCGCTCTCAATTTAGGTACCGGAGCCTACAAACTCGGTGTCAACTACGCACCAGGCATCCTCCCGCAACGTGAAGCCGCGCAACTCGGCTACGCCCAAAATCTCTGGCTCCATGGTCCGGAGCACTACCTCACCGAAGTGGGCACCATGAACCTCTTCGTCGTCTTCCGCGACCCCACCACCAACGAGCTCGAACTCGTCACGCCCCCACTCGACGGGATGATTCTCCCTGGTATCACGCGTGATTCCGTCCTGTCTCTTGCGCGCCAGCATGCAGATGGCAAGTACAGCGTTAAGGACCTACCCGCCAAGATCAAGGTCAGCGAGAGGCCGGTGACGATGCAGGAAGTGAAGGAGGCGAGCGAGAAGGGGACCTTGGTGGAGATGTTCGGTGCTGGTACCGCTGCTGTCATCAGTCCTGTAGACAGGATTGGGTACATGGGCGGAGATGTGCATATTCCTACTGGACCAGACGGCATGGGACCCGTCTCGAGGCCGATCTGGAAGGAGTTGGTGGGCAGGCAGACGGGCGAGATTCCTAGCGATTGGAGTGTTGAGATTTAGAGGAGGGATGAGTGGGAGTACTTTGGGTTGATATAGAAAGCTTTGGTTTTTAGAGCTTTTACTGGGTTGGGTTTGGGTGTTGTATTATTGCTGTCATGAACTATTTTTACCTTTCATTTAGGTTCTATGTTTGTGATACAAGGGCGCTAAAATAAGGGCGATATGCATCTCAGAAGAACTCATCGAGCTAGGAAATTGCGTTATTAAAGCGCCAATAGTAGCCACCAGAGAGATACATATGAAGATAGGCGCCCGCGCGCTAAGAACAGGCGAAGGGCACAAACCTTAACGCCTTGCAAAGGTGGACGATCTCGGGTTTCTATCATTTCTGAGCAGATCTGAGCACAAAAAAGTGGGTAAAAATCGCGCTGAGAAACGATGCCAGATGTCAAAATAGACGCGTCCGATTTGTCATTTCTCAGACGATCTCAGCGGCGGGAATTCTCGCTGGGCTGGAATGGCATTGTGAAACGCGAGCTTCAACTTGGAAGAACATCCGCGTTGAGTCGGCTGACGCGGTGTTGTGGCAAACAGAATAGGGTTCAATGGGGTCGCGTTTTTGGTCAGGGTGCGGACTTTACGGTTACCTTGAGAACCGTTAACCCTGTAGACCCTGACGAATTATAACGGACTAGAATACGATGTGTAAGAATCTATGAAATTCGAAGGTGAAGGAAATCCTAGTCTCTAGCAACCAATGTTTTGGCTCGCCTGCGGCCTGCCCTAAAGATACTTTCAAAGTCCGACTAGAAAAAGCGCTCAGCCCCCACGCTGTTCCTTTATCTTTTAACAACTACTCCAGGCGCGCTCACATGTTCGCCTGCCCCTTCTTTACAGGGCGGGTGGAAATCGAAAGCGTCTCAGAATAGTCGATGCACCCTTTGGCCGGTCAACCTGCATAGTGGTGGTTGCTCTCGGTCACCTGGTGTACCAACATTTTTTTTTTTTTCTTTCGCCAATCCTTTCTTGGTACTAGCCAATGCTGGGTGTAGAATTTGTACAATACGCACAACAGGATCGAAAGTATACGCAACGCTCTAGGCATTTCAAGTGATTTCTACAACGTCGGTGTGGGAGGATCAGGGCAACTTTCATGGGTCTTCTAGCGTTCGACTAAGCTTCCACTTTGCTGTACCGTTAACATCGACCTTGTTGTGCTCGCCTCAAAGTCCATGAGAATTAGACTTGAAAAGGAGGGGATCAGGGAACAAATGTTGGATCAAAAATCCATTTTGCCGAGTTAGAATTTCTCCCACGGATAACGGTGGTAGTGTCGGAGGGATTTTGTAGTTCGACACTTCGCCTCCAACGACCTTTATTGTCGTCGTCGTCGTTGCCAGCGTTCTCAACGCTGTTTCTTATACCCTTTTCCTTAATTCTCGGCGTTGACGAGGCCACCTTCTTTATTCCTGCTTTGTTCTCCGTCATTCCACACTCCCCGGGACCGCCAGCACCACCGTTCTCCCAGTCCCGACTAACCTATAAAAACAATGGCGCGGCCTCAGGACCGTCTTCCTAGGCTCAACGTCGTCCAGCCTCTCCATATGCAACAACCTCAGGCCCTGTATTCACCCGCGTTGCCAACCGGCATCCAGAGCGGGTTCCACCCACCAGCGTATCCAATGGGAGGCAACCCTCTCCAGACACCAATGCAACCCTTCTTCAACCCACACCCCCCACAAGCCCCAGGACGTCCAACACACCAGTCGAGAAACAGCTTCGCGTTTGCTGGTCCACAACCTCCCAACGGCTTCGCGGTGACCCCTGTTACGGGTCACTTCCCAAGACCCTCGATGATGCTCGGCCCCGGTCAGCCCCTCATGGGTCCCAACGGTGGTCACAGGCCCCATAAACGCCAAATGAGTATCGGTGGGCCACCCAAGGCCGTCCTCGGTGGCCCCGCCCGCAAAGTCAGCCCCAACCCAGCCGTGGCCGCGGTTGCCGCTGCAGTGCTCAAGAAGAAAGTGGTGGTCAAGCTGCCGGAGGAGACTGTCAAGGGAGAGGAGTCGGAGGAGCCAACGCGTGCAGAGTGGGCTAGGGAGCCTATCCCCCTGGACCAGGTGAAGGATGAGGAGGTTGTCCCGCCTGAACTGACCTCCAGAGAAACATTCCCTCCCGACACTTGGAGAACACAACTTCCTGATTCGGTCGACGTGTTTCTACCTAGCAAGGTACGCCTAACTTTCGCTTAGTAGATTAAGGGACCATTTGCTAACTGCTCCCGCAGGAAACATGGGACATCCTCAAGCAGCAGGTAATCGAAGCTAAATTAGAAAAGCTCGGTGTCGAGCGCGGTTCAGGGAGCAACGTGCCCCATATCTTCGCACCTCATGCTCGTGCTGCTTCGGTTAGTATCGTGATCCTACACGTGTTCTTGGTGGCTGATGCCATGTCACTTGCTCTAGATATCTTCACCGGCCGATCCAGCATTGTTGTTGTTCAAATTGAATAAACTGCAACAGTCACAGCAAAATTCGGCAAGTAATTCATTGGCACCGTCGCCAGTACCACCCCACGTACCTTTCGGTCTATCTCCACCTCCACCACAATCACGACCGTCACCTGGCTTGTTCCAGAACCGACATGGACACACGATGTCATTGGCCCAACCTCCCACCTTCGCGAATTCGACGTTCAATCCGTTCTCTTCTGGTGATAGCTTGAGTGTGACCGGTGAAAACCTCGATAGGCCAACCTCGGCGGTTTCCGACAGCGGGCTGTATCCCCATCAAGGACAACACTACGACGGACCGCCACCCCTCTCAGCCATTCCCAAGTCAGACAATCGACCCGACTTCATTCGAGGATTTGGATTGGAGATCCCAGAAGAGGAAGAGCCCGAAGAGGAGGAGAACGACGCTTCCCGCACCATTGATCAAGATGACGGCAACAATGGTGATACCGAAGAAGGGGGCCACGGCGAGGGTGATGAGACGCAAGATATGGATATCGATGAGGCAACGAGTATGGGCGAGAGAACGGCACCTCATAGTCGCATACATTCACGACACGGTTCACGCCATGTATCCCACTTGTCTGCTGCATTGTCCTTGAGATCCGTTGGTGGCAACTTTGGTGCCATCCTCGCTGAGAACGTCGAGCACCACAGCACTCCTCCCCGCCGGCCGAGCGTTATTGGTACCTTCGAAGGCATGGCGGAAGAGCGAGAAGACTTCGAAGATGTGGCTGCGGTTCAAGAGTGGACAGGGTCTGAAGAAGAGGGCTTTTTGGGCACCGAAACTTCGGATGATGAGGTGCGTTTTTTGACGTCAATTCATCAGATAAATGTTTTGACTGATGGGATAATGTAACAAAACGACAGTCGCTTGGCGAATTTTCCAACCCTTCGGATGAAGAAAGGGCACGACGCCAGCGCGTGGAGAGGCGCATGCGACGTAGGGCTGCACGAGAACAAACCGATGAAATACTTCAGGTCCACGACCAGCCTCGCCGGATCCCCAATTTCCCTCTCCCCCCTGAAACCACCCTCACTTTCATTCCAGCACAGAGGGAGGGCTCTGAGGATATTATTTCAAATCCTAGTGACGAGCACCACCACGACATGCACCATTCACATCCTCACCTCCATTCACATCACCCTCCCCACTATCTAGGTTATGGCCCCGGAGCTACCGGAGATTTCTATGTCCCTCGATCGGCGAGTGGCACTATTTCTCCTCGACATCTCCCACCTCTCCCTCACTCGAGAGGGACGTCTGGCCATTACTCGATTCACGACCCCTCCATGGCCCACTCGAGACACCCATCAGAAGCCATGTCCTACTACCCTTCGCAGAACCCGATCTTGCAGCAACATTCGGGCCAGAACTCGCTCAACAGCAGTATGCGCAAAGAGACGTTGAATCCGTTTGCAAAACCATTCGTGTTTGGAAAGCCCTTGCAGGAGCCCGCAAAGACGCCTTCTACCCCTCCCAATGCGGCCCAACCGCAGATGGCCCACCAACGTATTCCTTCGGCAGGCAAACCTTTGAACATTGCTGCACCCGAGTTCAAGCCTCGAGGACTCCCTACCAGTGCAGAGTTTACGTTCCGTCAACCGGACGCACCCCAAATGCCCTCACCGCCTCAAGACATGTCAACCTCCGAACCCGTCGGTTCTGCTTCCGAAAGTAATGTTGAGGAGTCTCCAGCGTTTAGAACGCAAGGTAGGGAGAAGAGGCCTCGGTTGGGATCCATGGGTTCAGTGGAGGAGGGTGACAGCATGTCCTCGTTCCGATTCCCACCAACTCTTGATTCGCCACAGAGCCTGCGCAAGCCTCAACCTTCCGAATCACAACCGCTCCGACAACTCGAACCTCCTGTGGAGCAGCCGTTCTCGTTCGAGTCCTTCTCGAATGTGGCCCACTTCCCTTCTATCCGCCCTGCTGCATCACGAAATGAAGACGAATTCAGCGAGGTTGATGAGGACGAGGATACGGCGGAGACTGCTGGGAAAGAGAACATTCCTCCACCCAGGGAAGACGTTGCGGAGCACAAGGCGCAAGATGAAGGACAGGAATTCACTCTACCTCTCTCAGCTTCCAAGCCCAAGCGAGCTCCTCTTCCGCTCGATTTCAAACATCCTGTCTCGAACAATACCGTTCCTGCAGGATTGTTCAAGGCTTTGGTGCATAACGTCATGAATGGTGATGACCGAACACGTCGCGTTCGTTCAAGGCTGGGTTCCAGGGAGGTGTTTGAGCATATGAACAGGCCGTCTATGGATGATTCCAACGTGCAGATGATTTCGAGGAGCAACAGGTTGGTGACGGACCCTGTGAAGAGGTCGTCGTCCGCTGGCGATGATGACGTGTTTGGATCAAGTGCGCGACACCAGAGGAGGAATTCGTCCCTTCCCGACGCGCTTCGGGATGACCTTTCGACGCCCTCTCGAAGCCCTTCGATTCACCCGCAAGACCTTACGAACCGACTGGAGGCTCAACATATCTCAGACGTGTTGGCGCAAATGTTGGACGACAAGTTCACGAGTCTTCGACGAGAATTGGTGGCTATTACCCGGGAGAGCCAGGTCAACACGAGCCAGAGCGGATTGACCCCTTCTTCGGAGGCCATGATTGCGGACGTTGTTTCGTTGTTCAGGGCTCAACTCCAAGATTCTGCCGCTCGCAGCTTGGAGGACAGTCAGATGGACGCCAGAGGCGAATTGGACTTCCAGATGATCAAGGACTTGATCGACGAAGGCCACAAGGAAATTCTGGGTATCATCAAGCAGCAAATTCACGACTTGTTCGCCCAGCAGCAGCAACAGAACTACGCGCCGTCTACCGACAGGACTGTCGTTCGCGACGTTGTTGCCCCTATCGTCGAGTCAGTTGGGGAGAGGACTACTCGGGCTGTTGTCGAAGCTATCTCAGAATTCTCAGCCAGGCAAGAGTCGATCGAGCGCGGTACACCTGCTAGGGAGAGGGACCTCTTGTTGAACGACATGATCAACATGCTTACGCCTATCCTCAACAACCTCCGACCCGAGACCATCGACTACGACTTCCTCACCAGTCAACTCGCCCAAGCTGTCAAGCCTCACATTTCGCAACTCATTGACCTTGCTTCAGACAAGCGGGAGACCGCCGGTCTTATCATCGACCAGTTGTTGCCTCTCCTTCCTTCTCTCAAGGGCGACACTGAGACTGTTACGATGCATCTGATCAACGAGGTTCGCCGCATGATTGCACCGATCGATCCCTTCGAGATCAAGGAGCAGGTTGCTGACCTCGTCGTCGAGCGACTCGACTCCCGCCTCGCCGTTCGTGACAAGGCTTTCAATGTCGAGACTGTCACCACCAAGGTCACCGACGGAGTCTCACAACTGTTGGAGGACCTCAACAAGGTTCCTTCCACGTTGCAAGAACTTGTCGCCTCCCAAGACAAGGCCAGGGCTGAACAGCAACATCGAACCGTCGAGCAACAAGAGCGACTCCTCTCCTCCATCTCCAACATTCCCAACCAACTCAACTCCAGGTTTGACTCTGTTCGTGCCGGCCAAAGTGAAGTCGTCACCAGGGTCGAGCAAATCATTGCATCCCTCCCCAAGCCCGAATCCGGTGCTGCCGAAATCAAACCAATCCTCGAGGCTTTGGTCGCCGAGAACAAGAAATTGACTCAACACACTGTCGATCTCTTCAACCAGCAGCAGGCACTGGGAAGCAAGGTCAACACCATCCCCGACGTCCTCCAATCCAACATCATCAACCTCCAAAACGGCATCGCCGAGCTCATCACCTCGCGGGACATTCCCAGACGGGATCTCGATGACCTGCGCAAGCTCAACTCTGACTATCAAATTCAACTGACCAAGGCTCGGGCTGCCCATGGCACAGTTCGAGTTGAGAAGGATATGTTGGGCGAGAAGCTTGCCGGTGTGGAAGCCGAGCGCGACCGACTCAAGAAACAAGTTGCCGAGCTGGAGAACGCGAGCAAAGCCAAGAAGTCAGAGACTGCCACATTGGAGAGTCGGACAACTGAACTCGAGGAGGCTCTTGCAAAGGCTCTTGCCAGGTTGCAAGACTCGGATGTGGCGACTCAGGCTGACAAGAAACGCATTGCTGAACTTGAGAAGGCCGCCAAGGATAGTGCCGCGGAGGCGCAAAGCCTGAAAGCCAAGGTTCGTATATTTACCGTTGCTTTGTGCGAAGTCGGTAGCTGACCGGATCTATTTAGGTTGACGCATTGGAGATGGAAGTTACCTTCTCGAAGCGCGACAAGGAGGCTGCTACCCAGGCTCTCGAGACGCTCAAGAAGCAGCATGACGCCTTCGTCACCCAACAAAGCCACTGGGACGACCTCCGGCAGGCATCCGAGAAGATTGATATGCTCACACAATTAATTGGTCAAGCGGACAACGAGGAACTGCAAGAACTGCGCCGTTATCGAGATCGAACCAAGCCTTTGGAGGCGGACTATGCTGCCCTCCAGAAGCGCGTCAAGGAGTTGGAGACCAAGGCCGCTAACAGCGAGCGAACGGCCACCACTGCTAAGCAGAGCTTGGTCCAAGCTCAGCAGCGATCCTCAGAATGGGAACGCCGTGCTCGAGAGTATGAGGGCGAGTTGGAGCTTACGCGAACCAAGCTTGAGCAAGCTGAGGAGACCCAGAGCCAACTCGACGCTGACTACTCATTGCTGAAGATTCAGTTCGAGGAACGTGAAGCTGACGATAGACTGTACAAGGTGCGTATCCTAAGCTTTTCGTTATTACTAGGGGGCGAACTGATTCATCTTCTGTTCATCAGGACCGCGAACAGAAACAGCGCGATCAGATCACTGCTCTCGAAGCCAAAGTGGTTCGTCTCCAGGAAGAACTGGTCAAGGCAAGGACTGGACAGAGAACTCAATCCCGAGTATCCTCTCTTGCCGCATCATCCCAGTCACCTTCACCCTACCGCCCTGCTCCTACAGCCAATGGGACAACCCAACCTCCCCGACCCGACAGTCGCGCGAGTGTCAGCACCGTGAACGGCCGCGACACCTCCATGTCCGATCGTAGGATGTCGTATGCCCCGACGAGCAACGGCACCCCAGGCACAACCCCTCCCCAAGGCTCCGTCTGGGACTCGATGCACGCACCCTCCAACGGCATCTCCGCCTCTTCTCGGTATAGCACCGGTGTTAACTCCAGCATCCACGCCCCGAAGAGCCGATACCCCCACCTCGGTCCCTCGACACCCAAGACTCGCCCTGGATACTCGCATTACACCCGCGCCAGCGCTCCGTCTCCTTCTCCCAGCATCGTCTCTGCTGCGCCCACCCAAGGCGAAGACGGCTGGTGGTCATGAACACGCTTAGTGCATACTGAAATGGTTTCATTTTCATCCTCTCCCTCCTCACCATTTTTTAATGATTAATGTACAATGCATCTTCTCAGGCCTAAGCCATATTCATCCACCTATTCACCTTCACGCTTCTATCTGTTGTTTTTTATCTTTTTTTATTGATGATTCGACATTTCCTGGTTTCCGTTCCGTTTCTTACATCTATGCAATCGTCGTCTCCCGTCTCAAGACTTTTTTTTTCGTTTTTCTCCATTTTCTCATTTCTCTTTCTATACCATCGTACATTACACTACCCGTCCTTATTGCATCCTTCGGTTTCTCTCACTGTCCTCGAAGCCTATGACTTTTTCTTGGGTTCCAGTCTCAGTCTCTAAATTTACGATCCACATTTTGAAGTAGTTGCTAGCTAGTACTTTCTACCCGCAATTCTAGTGTCATCCCGGTTTTTTTAGTCTCCTTCCCTCTCCGCTACCTACCTACCCCTTGTCGTATTATTACCCGACTCTTCCTTTTTCTCGTCTCATATACCGTATGCATGGATTTATCTGCACATACACACGCACACTGGTTAGTCGGACACTCGTCCCTCGCTTCTTGGATTTGGCTACTTTCAACGGGGTATACTTACTGTACATTATTTCTCGTCCCGTCACATCGTTACTTTGCAGGTGCTTGTCTTTGGTACTCGATTCAAATCCTGGCGCACCTCCTCTCATCATTTTTGTTGCTGGAATATTTGGTATTCGCCAATCAACGACGTTTCATTACATGCACTCGAGCGCAAAGACGACCGGTCGACCCTCACTTCGGCAATGGTAATGGTTTGCTCAATGGCGGCTGGTCACGCGTAGAGTAGTAAGTGATCGCGCGCCGGTTCTGGAACTGTAAGGGTTGCGTGAGTTGGAAATGCCTGGTCGCCCGTTCATATACGCACAAGCACTATGGGATGGGTGTAGGCAAGACCAAAGGTATGGAGGCTCGGAGGAGCCGAGGTAAGGGGCGCTCAGCACCCTCTGGTGCTAACATGGACAAATAGAGTGACGGGCGCCTCACTTCGTACATGCACAGGAATTATGTATTGAAACCGTGTCACGGTACCCGGTACCCTCACGTGACCAGATATCGCCTGAAATCGACGGTCTTTTCGACGATTTGGGAAGTGGGAGGTCTTTTCATGAGAAGTGGCCCAAGCTCGAGCGGATTTGGCAGGCGGTTTGGCGCCGAGCGATGCCGACGTCCATTTCGGGCAGCGAAGTGCCCGTTTTGGTCGTTTTTGATGCGGAGCTTGAATTCGAACATCTGAACTTCACATCTCTCCCACGGCCGGCAAGGTGCTGTCTGGTCGCGATCGGGCTCGTGCTGTCTGGTGAGCTGTCTGGTACTCTGTCTGATGGCTCGTGGAGGTGGCAGGTTGCTAGCTGCGTTTATGGAACGGACCTTGTATTGGTTTGGTTCGTAGTGTCGCGACTCGAAATTTGATTTCAACGTTCATAGGTTTGTTTGTTGATCTGTGCCACCGGTGGCTGAGAGGGGCCACGCCAGAATCGGTCTAAGGGAACATCACCGTATTATCTTATCAAGATTGGCCGCGTTTGAGGCACGTGGGAATTCCGGCCAAAGGTTCCCTGAGCCTGCCCTAAACAACGAAGCGCCCGAGGATTCGAAGGACGCTGTGCCAGAGTCGCCTTATCTCGTTTCCTGTCCACAAACTTTTGACGAGAATTTGAGAGTATGACACTAGGATACCTTGGTATAAATCAGACTAGGAATCTCGAATTGGAAATGGTCGAATTAAGCTACGACAAGAACTACGATCGGAATCTATGAAGGCTGTTCACAAAAATAATGACCCCAGAACTAATGCGGAAGGTACCGGCAGGCCGTTTGTAGAAAGCGACGTGAGCTTGAACTTGGTGAGGCCGAACGACAATGTGGGTGCTGTGGAATTGGTCATACACGAGGGTGGTAAAAAGCCCGGGATATCTGGCGTATGGGTTCTTCCGCTGGTCTTCATCTTGAAGGGCCACAGGGATTTGGACCATTAGGAACACCTCTTGCTGTTGATCGATTTCCAGTGACCACATTGAGTGAATAATTCCCAGCATGCTCTTGTTCGTCGACTCTTCAGAATAAATGATGGCACTATTTCCGGGATGTGAGGAATAAGGGGAGTACGTCCGCGTATTGATCTCGATTGAACGCAATGGAACTGCGTACGGTGAAAGAACAGTGGAATTGAGCGGGTGCGGGAGATGTGAGAAGTGCCTTAAAAGCGGTTTTCCACCCCGGCGTTGGTTGACGTGCTCCAGAATCTGGTTGTAGTGGTCGTCGGAAAGTGTGAGATCGTCATTCTTTATAGTTGAAAGCTTTGTGGCAGTGGAGGAAGGATGAGAAGAGGTGGGAAATGATGCGCCAAGGTCATCCGCAAAATTCTTGAGTACAGTCCCAAGAAGGCTTGTGTTCGACCTTGTAGTTAGAGACCCATTCTCGACACTACTTCCAAGGTCAAAGCTGTTGATGTATCTTCCCAAAAGGCCCAAGAGCCTTCCTCTTCGGCATATCTGACGCAGCATAGTGAAGTCAAGGTCGCCTACATGCACACATCAACTGCTAATATCAAGACAGCGATGAAGGAAGAATCACGTACGTAAATGCCCATTGGTTTTGATTTTTTGCAGATTGCCGTTGTGAGTTTCGCCTTGAAATTCACTGAGTCTGATCAACGGGCCCCAGTATTTCAAGAGATCGCCATTATGCATCGCGTAGTGATGATTTGGGCGTGTTGTGACATTAGGGAAAAGTTTCCGCGATGACTCTCGGTATTGAAGATAGTGCTTTGTGTACAAATCGGCCAAGTTGGCGGACGTTGCATAGGCACATACAATGTTCGTGCATGTTATGAGATCAGCAAAGTTGTCTAGAAGTTCTTGGTGACTTGGTTCGAGCCAGAGCTCGGGGATAACCATTGGTAGGAAGACGGTAGCAAGGACCAGCCAATGGTTTGCTTTGAGGTTCCCATGAGAGGGTTCCCCAAGGTTGACTGGTGGTCGCTCGAGCCATGATGGGACTGAGGCATTTGCAAGGCAAGCCTGTATTTGGGATATCTCTTCTGGACCAAAGATGCAAGGGCTAGATGCATTACCCTCGGGCTGGGGATCATGAGCTGTAGCGGATTCCTCAGATTCGCTAACATCCGTGTCCGACTCGGTTTCGGTTCCTGCTTCCACGACATCATCAAGGACAATGTCGAAGTCCATACAGAGAAGTGAGACTTCCGAACGAAGTGGCCTTGGTGCAGCACGAGGGGTTTGTAGAGGGTCGTCAACAGCCATTGCTGAGTCTTTTCGAGCCTTTTTACGGGCCTGTTGCGAGGTAGAAATGCCACTTTTCTCCTTCGATGATGGAATGCCAAGGCCCCACTTGACACGGACATGATGCTGCAAGACTCCTTCAATCCAGTTGTGCATAACGCCAAGAACGGTGTGGTGTATAGGATGTCGATAGGAAAGTCGATGCATGGAAGACCATCGGACCCCGTATTCTCCGAAAATAGCTGTACGAGCAGTCTTGGTTTTTGCGTCACGCCATCGAGCTGCGGCATCATATGTTTCCTCTGCTGTCCTATATTCCCATTGGTGCATCGCGAGTGAGTCGATGTCGTCAAGAGGGAGTTTGCACCATGAGCAAAAATGTTTGTCTGACGCATGGCCAGCAAACCCAAACGCCTTCCGGATAGCGAGAATATCTCCAATGCCAGGCAAAACAGCAGCACGCCGAATGACCCCTTGCGGAAAACGAGAGGTCCGGACTGAAATGCCTGTGTAAGCTTCTTCAAGTTGGTCGATAATGGGGTCGGAAAGCGCGGTAATTGTCGTGACAGTCGGTTCTTTGGGTGGAGGGGTGATGCCGGCAAAGAAGGTATTCTCAGGACGGTGTTGGAGCTCGTATGGGAGGTTCAAGCAAAAGAGCATAATTGCACCACAGGAAATCTTTTTCCCGGCAATCTTGTTCCCAAGCGGATTGAACCAGTCGATGTAGTAGCTGAACGTGAGGTTCCCAGGCGTTCTAGCATATGGACCGAGACTGTCCCATGCAGGGCTATCCCACACCGACTTCATCCACGCGTGGTTTGGTTGGTGATGATAAGACTGGTCGATTAAATCTTCGATCCCTGGCCGGGAGAGGAAATACTCCAGCCACGAATGGAAGCTTTGTGTGGTGTATAATCGCTTGGGAACTGTTGTTGGGCCTGCCCTAGTGACGACGGTGGTCCATAATGAAGCCCCGCATTCCCAGCTCCGTGGTGTTTCACGGTATGGGCAGGTTTTGGGAATGTTTTCCGCTGGATACTGAGTGAAACATTTGGGGCAACAGACTGAACGGTCGAGTTTGGGCTCAATTGAGAGTTCACTGATTGCAGTGCGGACGTCGACAGGAAGTGAGAGAGGGATAGCCACAGAGTCAAAGTTTTGGCCAGCAAGAAGACAGCCAAGGCGGAATGCGAGAATGATCATAGCAACCACAGCTTTAAGCGCCTTCCCAGTCGATTCACGACTAACCCCAGTAACAACATGGAGCCATCCTGCGAAGAGGTAGAATACAAGGGAGACTGTGCGCTTGAGCTCGCCAACAGCTAATTAAAATAATATTAATTCTGGCATGCCCTCAACGAAGAATTTGGCACTTACTAGCTGTCCTTTCACCAGTCATTGGATAGAATTGGCGGATGGACTCGATAGATGATTTAACTTCATCCTCACTACTAGCTGGTGTTATCGAAGGCGTGGCTGTTGGTTGCTCCGGCGCTTGTTGGTGTACCGATAAATGCTGAGCAGACGAGTATGGTCCTGATGCCGTCACATTGTCGTTTTTATCGCTACCTTTGGTTTCCTATCATGTTGAACTTAAGCTCCTATCCTGACTATCCCCGAACATGTACTAGACTGTTAACTTACCTTCTCGTCTTTCTTGTAATGGTCCCGTCTAGTCTGGGGTGCAACAAGCTTTCCAATGACAAGGTTTCCAAATTGATCGCGATAAGAGCTCTTCTCACATTTGGAGCAGCAGCAATGAACACGGACAGGAGGATTAGAGCCTGGGGCCATAGGATTCGAGGTGGGAGGGGTAAATGCGATGATACAGTTGAACGAAGTAGATATCAATTTATACAAGTTACGGCGAAATAATTACAAGGCGCGCGCTGCACAAGTTTCCATGACAGACATTTACAAGGGGCATGGACAATAACTTCGAGTGAACAAAGCAGGGAAAGTTGTAATACAACACTCCAGTCAACGATCTACTCAGTTTCCATGGTATCGTCACCACCTCCGTTACCTTCCTCGTCCTCCTCATCGCCTTCATACTCTTCGTCATCTTCCGCATATAGAACAAGATCCTCTGGGTTAACCCAGTTGTACCAGCCCAAAACCTGCTCACCAAACTTCTCAACAAAGGCATAGTCGTCTAGTTGCTCGTCCTCGCAGTTGGTGAAGGTTTTGGCGAGTAATTCGCCAGGGAGGAGGACCATATCAGGATCGGCAACCTTGGCACGCAGCTGAGGCGGGAGTTGATTGTAGAAGGAGGGGTCGTAGTAGTCGAGAGGCATAGCCTCGGGAAGGCGGGGGAAGGAAGTTTCCTGTTGTACCTCTGGCACGATCCGGACACGCTCCTTCGTGCGGCCCCCAGGAGCATATCTGGCAATGAGTTCACGTTGGCGGTCTAGCATGCGGATGAATTGTTCAGCAGCAGCCGAGCGTTCTGGTCGTTTCTTGATATGAAACACGGGGCGATTGTTGATAAAGGATTTGTTGGGGTCGCGTTCGTCGTCGGATGTCGCTTTGGGAGTACAGAGACGTTTGTATCGAGATGGAAATCCGTTTTCATCGATGAACTTGCAACGGAGATACGAAAGCTTGCAGGCGATCAGATGCCAGGTTATAGCAGGTACGAGAATTACTTACCCTAGACCTGTTTCGCATCGCGTTGCTGTTCTCCTCCATGGCTTGTACGGATCCGGGATTCCGAGCTTCTGCAACATACTTCTTATAGCCCAGGTAGAACACGACATAGTTGTAGATCTTTGTGAGAAGATCGATGTCGTTGAGGCGTTGGTGGTTGATCCCAAAAGGTGCGTAGGCGTGCGAGAGTGCAAGCTGACGCCAGGAGTCGATGGCCGCATTTCGACAGGCAGAATTGTACAAGGAGTAGGGGGCCTGGCGGAGATCGGGACAGAAGTTGTCCAGATTGTAGCGCGACAAGGTTTGCTTGACAAAGAGCATCTGGCAGTCATCAATGCGGCGGAGATGACGAAAAACACTTCGCCTGCTTGTAGGGTCATCCCAGGCACGGATAGAGACGGTGGTGGGCTCGATAAGGGGTTGTCCAGTACTCTGAGCGGCGAGTTGCTCAGGAGTCTGGAAGATGGCATTGAAACGGTTGAGAAGCTGAGGATCGGGGTCGGAGGGGATGAAGCCAGTGTCAAGGGTATTCCAAAGCATCCGGATGTGAAAGGTTAACGAGTCCTATGATATAGTGTTAGGATATATAACACCAATGATTCAAAATGAACATACCTTGATCCCCACCACATCCGGTTGGATATCATCGGCGTTCAACTGGTACTCCTCCCTTTTCTTTGATTTGGGAGTGGTGCCTTCGCTTCTCATCGCAGTTACAGCAGGCTGCTGATCCCGCGATGACGTAGGAGCGGGTGGAGATGCCTGCGCTGTAGCCAACGCATTCGGTGAGGCCCTTTACAATGATAGTCAGCAAAAGCGACACTAGAAATAGCTCTAATTCAAATACCTTCGATCTACAGGAGCTTCACCACCAGTGGGTACTTGGAGCGAAGAAAAATGAGCCTGGAACTGCTGTTCCAAGCTAGACGTCATGGTAGCAATGTGCTGCTGAACGAGCATGTTCAAGAACTGTTGCATTTGCGCATTGAAAGGGGTACTGGTGTTTGATGGCGACATATGGAGGGAAGAGGTCGATAGCAGGCACGTCCTGGATGATGGGGCAGAGGAGAATTTTGTTCCACCTTATAAGTGGTATCTGGTACCTCTGGAATCTGGGAAGCCCTCTCGGACTTCAAAGGGACAAAGAGATTTGAAAGAGATGCCATTTGATAACTCTCGTACTGAAAGAAAAGAATAGATGTGTATGCCATTGATCATACCTTTCTTCTACGTCGTCTACGTCTGAAAGAGTCAGGCATTTTGAAGGGCACTGAAAGGGTACAGACACCGATATCTGTAAAAAGAGCAGGCAAGAACAAGAACGCCGACTTCCGAAAATCCGTGGGAACCTATGACGCAAGTTGCCTTTCCAACAATCAACGAACCAGTTGTGTCTTGGTTGTGTCTTCCAGCAAAAACCGAACTGGGTGGAAGAAATACACCAAAGACCGTTGCTATACTATCTAACAGGCCACAGGACAGAACAGCAGACAGACCACCGGACAGCACGAGTCCGATCGCGACCAGACAGCAGCTTGCCAGCCGTGTCCCTTGCTCTCGATGGCGTTCGGTGCGTCTGTACATAGGTTCCACGATTGATTAAGACGTAGATAGATTCTATCTGTACTAGTAACTTAGAAATGGGCTCCCATCCCATGTGTAGGAGCAATAATCAACCACCCAGGGCTCCATTGGCCAGAATTTCGGGTTGAACTGGGAAGAGACATAGGATAGATGAGCAATTCACAGGATGAGAGCATAAGAAGCACTTAGATAACGCTTAAATGAGCCTTGTTTGACTCCGAGAGAGCGGTAGATGGTCTGGAGGTGGACAGAACATGAATTTTCGCACCTCTGACTTAAGATTAATAGGGGCTAGTTTACTACATTGACCAAATCAGCCGTTTTTCGCTTCGGTGGGTATCAGGGTGGTGGAATGACAGCGGGAACCACGCCAAGGGTTCCCATTATACCGTATAATATTACTGTGTACCGGTACCCCGCCCAAAAAGTGAGGGTACCCGGGGGTACCCCGGCTAGTGGTGAGTATGCCTTATATCCTATATAATGTATGGGCGCCTAAGCAGTATCCATCTGGATGTGATGTGACAGTTTCCGACTAACCTCTCCTCTTCGTAGTATGTACTTCACCACTCTCTTTCTCATTGAGCTGTCGATTAATTCTTTCACAATCATGGTATATAAGTCCATTACTTGCGAGCCTTGCACTTAAGCGGTAAGGGTCGATCGAGAAAACTGCTGTATATCACATGGTGCATGGTGGTAGACATATGTGCAAGGCAAATTCAATCTAACCGGCTAATAAACGAGTTTGCCTCTCTGAGTAAGAGCTCATAGTGTTCCCTTTCAGTCGAGTCCAAGAACGTTGCTGTCGTAATCGCAGCTTTCCACCAAGTCGATATGGCGAGAGCCATGGGCATATTCATGTCAAGCGCACACCGAATGATTTCTCTGCGGACCATATGCTCGACTGGGTGGAACTTGCATTTACCGGTGTCCCACAACCTGGCTGCCTCACATGGAGCCTTAAGCAAGTCAATCTTGTCCGGGGAGCGAATGAGATGCAGCATCGAGAACATACGCCTGGGCACAGTCAACCTGTATGATTACCCGTCTAGGATTCAGTTCATTACTCGTGCGGGGAATCACGGAATTTAACACACCTTTGACTTCGACTCCCTTGGTGCGGCTCCTTGAGTCGCAGCAGGTCAGTCCACATTGTATTGATCACCCTGGGTGCACATTCCAACAATCCATTGGCCCTGGGCTGCACTGCACGGACGAGGTGGTAGAAATCGATAGGAAGAGTGGTATAAACAAGGGATACCAAGGATATCGGCATTTCGTGTGCGAGGGAGGTGCGAGGATGCATCGACAGACCGTTTATTGACAGGAATCCATGTATCTCCCGGTCGTCAGATTGTAGCCTGAGCTCAGGAACATAATCTGGTTGACGGTACTTGAATTCCAATTGTTGAGGCGCATCGTGGTTAGCGCCCACTGAATGGAGAGCATCGAATACGCGGTACAGGAAAAGGCGATCCTGTGAACCCAGCCCGCACTCCGTGACGTCCAGTTGACGATGATAGGTTGTACGCCAATGAATAAAGCACTCGCGCAGGAGTGAAGGTTCAGCTGAGAAGTGGTGGTAACTTTCCACCATCTTCTCCTCCACATCGGATGCATGGTAGTAAGTCGACCAATGACGGAATCCCAGAATATCTGGTCCTGGATCATAAGCAAGGAAGAGACGAGCAAAGCGTAGAACCATGTGGCTGAAATCTGGCTTTACCCATACTCCGTAGTATATGTAGCACCAACCTTCGGATGGACGGAATTCTTTGGCGTAAGCATAGATGTCTAAACCACGTCGCAGTGCAATGGTCAAGAGGAGTTAGAGTAGACCACTGAAGATTGGAGTTGGTTCACTAACCTTTGCGTTCTGATAATGTGCTGGGCGATGGGACGGGGTTCTCCGACAGGTAGACCAAGCATCGATAGCGTGCAAGGAATGGCCAATAATTGTCCAGAAAGAACTCGGTCTTAGCTCGGACTGGTGTCCTAAGGAACTCGACCAGAGAGCGGTGGAATATCATGTCCCCAGACCATGCGTCTTTCACATCATCGTTTGGTACTCGGACCAGGGCATGAAGGCCACGGAGGGCGCGGGCCATGTCTCCTGGCTCACTTCCCATGATTGTGTCATAGGCGCGGAATAAGAGGTGGCTGGTGGTTTGGGGACGAGGGTTGAAAACTATCCATGCGAGCGCTTTCATCATTTCGTCGCGATTAGGTGTGGCTCCCAAAATCTGCCGATACAAATCATCCAGCTGTTGCATGGGGTGATGACTATCACGGTGGCTAGTTCTTCTGATAATGGCTTTCAGTTGGACGACCGGGTTGCTGTAAGGGTCGTCGAGGCAGCGGATGATGACATCGACGTAGGCGAATTGCCCGCTTGCGATGCCGATGATGTCCTGAACGATATCTTCAGGCGGCCATGGTTCGGTGAGCTTGGAGAAGCATAGGCGATGCCGCTTGCTATGTCGTATACGCTCGAGATGATCGCGGAAGTAGCGTTCAACGTCTGCACCCTTCTCGGAGTCTTCGAACAGGTCCAGTCGCTGTGTGGTATCGGAGAGAGATGGCGACTCCTCGAGAGCTTCTTGAATCCAAGCCTCAGGACGAGACGCGAGGAAGAAATTTAGTGGAAGGTCGGCATCAAGCATGGTTTCGATGAGATGGAGGATCAAGAGTTGCTCCTTCTCCTTATCCTGTGCGTCCGGCCGCGTCCCCTCGCATTCGTCCAGACCGTCGATGGCAACCACTTTATCGTCTTCAAGAGGCGGGATCTTCCTGAACGGCTCGATGATTAATTTTTGCAACTGGATGGGTAGTGCCTTGCGGAGAATGGCCGGATTGGCTCGCAAAGCCGCCCCGACGTGGGGCTTGAGTGTGGGGATGGAAATAGCGAGTTGGAGAGCTAGCGAAGCAACAAAGCGCTCGGCTCTATTCCTGTTGGCGTCCGTCCGCGAGAAGAAGAACGAGGCGCCAAGAATGTTCTTTGCCTCAAATTCTTCAGCAATAGTCTGCGCGATGGTCGTTTTGCCCATGCCCACTGGCGCATGGAGCCAGAAGAAGCGTTTCTCCCTGTCGACCCTAGGCAAAGTCCCCCAATGCTCTATGATTCCCAGCGCCCGCTTTCTGGTCTCCGCATGGCACCGTGGCGGAGGGAATCGCTCCATAGAGTCGTGCATGGCTCCTGGAGCACTACATTGCTCGAGAAACACAAGAGCTGCCAGAATTCATCGATAAGCCATCTATATTTGCCTTCGCTGTTTTCCAACTCACGATCCAATCCATTGGTTGAGAAGTCGTTGAAGTTGCCGCCATTGATGACTATGTCCTGGGCATGGTCAAAGAGAGGCATGCTCACACCGGTGAAGGTCGGGGACAGAACACTTGAACGGTCGCAGACTGAAAGCTGTCGCTGTAAACCGTAAACGCCCACATCGGTAGCATTCGTTACTAGCGGTCACGAGGACGGGGTAATCGCCAGGAACCAAGAGAACTGCGCTGTAAAAACCAATAATAAATCGCTAACTTGCCAAAATAATGTCCACGAGTATGTCCCCATCTGTAACTTGAATGCCGAAGTAGGGCCACCGCGATTCGCATATAGCGCACGTAGCCCTGTGCTTACTCGAAGAGAGGCATACTGAACTTCCTCACTACAGGAGTAAAGAGGTACAGTATGACAGGGAGAAGCTATTACTTGGAATGCCCACGCCAATGGCGGTGACATTTGCAAATAGTCACGAGGATTTGACCATGGGCGCTAATCAACGACGTTTCTGACTCGCCAAGCTGATCAGAGAACAAGTGGAAAGAGGTACCATAGAAAGTCCGCTCTAACAATGCAATTGAACTCGCTAGCTTCTACAGACGACCCGACATTGGATCCAGCAACCACAGCGTGGGCATCTGACAGTTCAAAGCTGGTTTCCAGGCCAAACAGATTGGAGGTAGCACCGTGGACGCGACTCGCAACCTATCGACCTCAGTCATTTCTCCCACTAAGAAAGCGATGTAATATGATCAAAATAACCTACAATGCTAAGTACGATTCAGTATAAGAAAACCCCGACAAAGGCGCGAAGACAACGTGCAAAAAAAGCTAGAACACTTGAAACGATCCTCCACTTCCCCCGGGCCTTGCCCTGTGCGTTGGGACTGATGAGAATCAGAGAGTCATGAGCTGAAGCTCATGTCGATAATGACACGGGCGGAGGAGCCGTAGACGTCGAATCCGTCGAGGAAGTAACCTCGGTCGAAACAGGCGCAGTCGTAGTCGCAGTGGTGGCTTCGGCTTTGACATCAAGTCCCGCAGGTGGGTCAGTTGGCGTAGGGAACTCGGGGAAAATCCATTGCTCAACAGCCTTGGTAGCTTCCACCGAGTCTTTCGGCAGCCTATGACCACAACCCAAAAACATCAAAACCACGCTGCAAGAACGAAAGGACTGAAACAACTTACACAAACTTGGGCACCCACCGCCCATCCCGCAGCTCAAAGTACTTGGGAATATGCTCTTCACCCCTCTCCTCTCGTATCCTCCGATCCTCTCTCTGCGCAGTCTCGACAAAGCTCTTCGCATCTGTCGCACGCTCCATATCCTTCGCGATAATCGCCTGCGTCAAATCAGACCATAACCGTCTACTCTCGTTGGGTGCTTGCTCAGATTCGGGTGGGACCCATTTGGGGCAGATGTTTTGGCCATCTTTGACAGCGTCGAACAAGATGCGCCTTTTGCCCGTCTGTTGGTGAATCAGGGAGGAGAGAGGGGGCGTGAGGGAGGTAATAGGCGGATGAAGAGGCTCAGACGAACCTTTGCATCCCTGAAATCCATAACATGACTCCACCTTCCCCCAATCTCACCAATCTCCGTCATGCCCTTGCGCACTTTACCCGCAATGGCGTTGTACGTCCCAGAGAAGAAACCCTACATCACACATCAATCGTCAGAACTACACATTTCCTAGCCAGAAAACAAACGCACCTTGGTCTTGAACTCCAAATCGCAAAACAAATTATGCTTCTCATTCTTCGCTATACACGTATCGCCCAACTCGAGGACCATCTTCCCAAACAGAATACCCCTCGCATACATATTCGGCATCGTTATCACGTACTCTGCGGATATGAGCGCGTCAGTTGACCTCCTCGGCGGGATAGGATCACAGTGGTGCAAGGGTACATACCTCCGTCATCAGGCTTACCCAACAACGTAATCCTATTCTCCCCCTCCATCGTCGTCGACACGCTGTTGCCCAAAAACTTGGACTTGGGTCGCAGTTCACCGATGATCTTGACGTGGTTAGCGGGCGAGACGTAGAAGAACGCGGATATTGGTGGATGATGAGAGACTATTTTTAGATCACCGTAAGTCAGAGAAGTGGGGCAGTGGAGAGTGTGCAGACGCACCCTGTTCGGCAATATAGAACCCATGCGTCCCATCTGGATAGTCATACCGACAACGGAAGAACTCGCCCAATACTGGATTGTATCTACAAGCCAGATCAGCGAGATGCACACCAAGGGAAAGGAGAATGAGGTAAAAAGGATAACAACAGATAAAAAGACGTACGGTTTCTTCACGCCCTTTGGCTTGATATGCCAGCCAGCGAGATAATACTGCAAAACGCGAATAAATCGTTCTTCTGGGTCCTCTTCTGCTTCGGCGCTAAATTCGAATTGCTTAGTACGCCCTTTGAGTCGCTCAGACAGAACGACGCACCCGAAAATGAGGTCAGGGTGAGACATAAAGTCGGTTATCCTCTCCAACATGCTACGGGGTTCGAGAACGAAGGTGGGGAACGTTACGCGAGATAGGTCCATGCCCACTCTACACGGTGCTCGTCAGGGAAGGTTCCAGATAACGTCGAGCAAAGGACAGTACCTCAGTTGGGAGATGAGTGAAGTGATAATGGATCCTTCATTCTCGTCCCTGCAGACATCGTTGTCGTCAGTACACGGGTCAAAGGCAAACATGGTCACAGATGAAAGTAGGAGGTAAAGGGAAGACAAAGGCACAGCAGCAACGGCAGTACCACCACGCAGCAACAGCCCAGGTGTGCACAAACAGCCAGCAGGCCAATCAAGCGGAGCCAACCGTGTGCAGTGAACGCAACCCAAAGCAAAAAGTCATAACACGCACAAGATAGAGGTATCGTCGGGTTCGGTGTCGCTGGGTGCCTTGTCGTCGCCTGGTCCGCCGTATCCGTTGGAGAAGGAGCCGGATCGTGGAGATGCTGAGGTCGACGACGCCCCCGATCCGTCTGTGGATGCTCGTGGCCCTTTGACCCTGTTCAGCACGTTCGTGCCCGCTGAGCTCAATAGGCCCATCATCTTGGTGGTGGTGTGGAGGACGGTGGTGGACGTCGTGGTGCGGTGGCGAAAGTGTGGTTCTGATTGAGTGTGATAGTCGGACTCGGGCCTGATGATCGCTAAAACAACGATGCCGTCGTATACTGATATGTTTCCCCGACCACCTTTTTCCCTTTTTTCGGGGATCTTATCCTCTCAGCGTTGAGTAATCGCCCCAAACTCCGGCTGGAGCTTACTTGGAATCTGTCGCTTGTTTCCTTTGTCGTGATCGCGCTCGACGGTGGTCAACGACGGGCGTTTCAGAGCAAACGGGGACGATATGGGTCCAATCCAAGAGGCTAAGGCCAACGGACAAGGCCTTTGTGCAATGTTTGAGAATGTTGATGTCATAACTGGTGACGCCCGTGCTCCAAATCCAGCTTTCTCCATTATACTCGCCGCGTCGTCGTCCTCAGTCGCGACGACAACGAAGCAATCGCGACAACGTTCTTACTGACTCCGGGATGCACTAGGGACACTCCTATATTGCTCGGGGTTCTGGTGCTCTGGGCTCTCGTCATCCAGAGACAGGGGCTGGCCGTTTTAGCCGCCCAATTCCAAAGACGACGAACGACTGCTGTAAAACAATCGGTTTCTACTCCTGACGACTATCTGACTGGTCGAACTGCTGTTCGCGTTGCTTCAATCTCGTGCCGTGGACTACACGATGCACTGCCCACTGTGCCACTCGCCCAAACCTGCCCCGTCTGACCGCTCGAGGAAATCTCACGTTGCACTGCACACCTCTCGAATCGTCGAGCCAGCATCGACTCTGACTGACTCAGTCTCGGGAGGGAGACACCTCGCCTCCTGGAATATCGACTCTGACTGGAACCTAGGACTGGCTGACAACCCACCCAGTCTGCCACCCAACAGCCTAAAGGCTTTGTCTATTTCGATCGAAAGCACAATGACGCAGCCCAGTCATGGAACAAATACCGGGAGGCTATATAAACCTTCCTGCCTCGTTCCTTTGCCCTCAGAGCCTCTCTTCCCTCTTCTCCAACCATCTCTCAGCCAAATAGTCAAACGACTACTACTGGCGGGATGAGCTCGCTCTCTTCAACGTCGACCATTTTCTATCCACGCCTTTGGCGGGATCTTCTACTTTATCGACACCAACTTGCTCTCTCTTGGACATCGTCGACTCTGGACTAGACCTTATCCAGTATGTTCATGGCCACTCATCTCTCCTCGATCGATCTTGACATCTCCCTTCGCAGTTAACCCACAAATCTGAGCTCCAGTCCACAACAATGGGTCAAATAACCACAACGCTAGGCGGGGGCTGACACAAAGTACGCCCGACACCTTCTTCCCCTCCTCTCAAAGTTAACCCTTCCCCAGGACACACACCCCGCTTCCACCCCAAAAAACCATCTCAACAGGCTGACACCACCCCAAAAGCCGACCCACGAACACACTCACACCACACCCGCACATTCATCCTCATACCGTGTAAACGGCCGGACTCCACGCGAGTCCCCTAAACACACAGCCCGTACTCGGGCGGGGGTCACCCAGAGGTGGCTCTGGTATGCAGGACCGCGCGAGGCAGTTTAATTTTCGAGTTCACCTAGTAGTCCGAGCCCTTGCTCCTCCTGTCCAGCTCTCCCACCGGAGTCCTGGCGAGAGGAGTATTGGGAATGGTGAGGAGAAACCGAGGATGTCTTCATCTTCAACGATAAGACTAGTAGGCTATCCTTTAACCGCTCGACACGCTTGCCCCTTTGAAGCCGACCGCGAGCCCGTAAAGCCCGGCGGCCAGGAGGGGGTAAGAGCCGGATGTCGCTCTCTTAGCACTACTCTTTTGCAGTAGTCGAGTGATAAAACGGGGGTGGTGTGACGTACTTCCTTGGTCGCTGGTGGTGCCTTCGCCTATGGATCCTGGGCGATACAGTATGCTTTCTTGCTGCATCCTTCTTGTGACTTGGACTGATTGTTCCAGATGCGAAATTGGGCAGAACTCTTTCATCGTACTGTGATATTCCGCTTCTTGCTCTGCTTGTTGCTAACTGTATTGGCGGTAGAAACCAACCACTGACAACCCAAGCAATATCCTATTCGCCCCGGATCCGCGTTAACGTCCTGCTTTGTTTCATGGTGCGCCTTTCGTTCTCGCTCTGGGTACGCTTTACTCACCTTTCATTAGATTTCTTTTCTCTCTCTCTCTCTCTCTCTGTAATCATAGTATAGTAAGTACGATACCGGACCGAGCATCACCTTCGGTCCCTCACGAACCTTTGCGCCAACTTCATGTACACCCCAGAAGTAACAATGACCAGCATGTACGGCAATGAAAGTCACCCGCATCTTCCTTCATCAGTCTGTTCATAAGTGAAGATATACAACAGCCAGCGCCCAGCAATTAGAAAGTAATCTTGGTGGGTCCTTTAGGCGCAGGAATATCATCCCGATAGAACGCCCCATAAACACTATGCTCCTTCTTTTTAATGGTCATCGGGAACTTGGCTTTGAGCTGCTCATTATCAAACCCTCCATCGCTCAACACCCGAGCAAACTCTCCCGCAAGCGACCGTTCATGGTTTTCACCCGTAAAGAACGTGATAGATTTGCCCGTCTTGCCACCACGACCTAATCCAACAGCGCGTTAGCAAACCGAATCGACAATAGAGAACGAGCACTCACCAGTCCTCCCAATCCGATGAATATAATCCTCAATAGTCAACGGGAACGTATAATTAATCACAGCTCCCACATTCGGAATATCCAACCCTCTCGCCGCCACATCCGTCGCCACCAGCAACTGCGTCTTGCCCGTCTTGAAGTTATCCAGTGCTTCCATGCGAGCACTTTGCGACATATCGCCGTGCAGGGCTCCGACGGTGTAGCCTTGTCTCTTGAGCATCTCTTCGACGCGCGAGGCTTCTTTTTTGTAGAGTGCGAAAACGAGGATGCGGGAGATTTCGAGTGGGGAATTGGCAGATGCGGAGGACTTTTTGTTTTTGGGGAGGAGGGCGCGGAGGTGGTTGTTGAGGCGTTGACTATCAGATAAAGATGTTAGTCAATGCAAAATAACTGTAAATTAAAGTGGAGACGTACTCTTTCGACCTCACATCGTCAAAGACTTCCACAACCTGTTCAACGCGGCTGTTGGCCGTCAGGTCGTCACTTCCGACGGTAACCCGTACAGGATCCCTCTGGAAAGTGCTCGCGAGTCTTCTTACAGCCTCTGGCCACGTCGCGCTGACTGTAAAACGGAACGCAAAAAGTCAACAAACCACCCACAGCAATTAGAAACATAAAACATAGCACGCACACATCATAGTCTGCCTCTCCTCCTTCTTCTTCGTAGCAGCAATAATCCTCCTAATATCATTCTCAAAGCCCTTATCCAACATCCTATCCGCCTCATCCAACACAAGATAATCAACCCCACTCAAATCTAACACCCCATCCTGCATCAAATCCAAAATCCGTCCAGGCGTACCAACCACAATCCTCGTCACCAACCCATCACCCCCCTCTCCTCCTTTACCCTTCTTAGATTTCGAGGAAGAAATAGACTTTTTAAGCATCTTGATTTGGCTGTCTTTTGACACACCGCCAAAGATGGCTACGGAGGCGATACCAAAGGAAGCTGCGAGAGCGGAGAGGTTGTCGTGTGTCTGGATGGCGAGTTCGCGGGTGGGAGCGACGATGAGGGTTGAGATACCCGAACCTGAGGGAGAGGAGATGAGGCGGTTAAGAGCGGGAATTCCGAACGCCAGTGTCTTTCCGCTACAGACAGTTAAACGAATCGTAATGAGTTTCAATGTCACATTATGGAGAAAACTCAAAGCTTACCTCCCGGTTTCCGCAATCCCAACCACATCCTTGCCTTCAAGCGCCGGAGGCCATGTACAAGCCTGGATAGGCGAAGGTTCCTTGAAACCCTTGAATGCCTCCTCCCTCAGCCTCTGTGGAAGGTTCGAAAGCTGGTCAAACGATACAACGGGGAGGACTTTATCAGCGGGCGAAGATCCCTCAGGGAGGGTGATCGTAATCGAGTGTTTGGCGAGGAATTCCTCAGCAGCTTTGGGTGTCGTTGGTGCAGAGAGGGCGAATTTCGTTGGTGAAGAAGAGGATGAAGGTTCGGCGGCAGGGGTGGAGGAAGAAGAGGCCTCAGCAGAGGCAGAGGACGTTTCGCCCTCTTTCCGTCGCTTCTTCTTTTCTTTCTTGCTCTCTTTTGACACGGGTTCGTCGGCCTCTGCTTCGCGTTTCCGCTTTTTCTTTTCTTTTCTGTCTTCCTTGGAGGACGATTCTGGTAATTTAACGTAGAAACGTTTGGTCAAAGGTGAGGAAAGGACAACATAAGATTGGACTGACCGGTCGAATCGACGAGCATAGGTTCGCCCTCCGTCTCTGAAGACTTTTCCTTCTCCTTCTTCTTTTTATCCTTCTTCTCCTTTTTCTTCTCCTTCTTATCCTCCTTCGACTCCCCGTTCATAGGTGTATCAACAGCCATAGCATCCCCATCCCCGCTCTCATCCTTCACCTCGCTCTTCTCCTTCTTCTCCTTCTTCTTCTTATCCTTTTTCTCCTTCTTCTTGGACTCTACGCCTATAACCCAAACACATAATAAATAAACTTTCAAAAATCGACACCAGAATAGCCAATACCACATACCATTCGCCTGAGGTTCAACATTCTCATTCGCAGCAGCCGCCTCCTTCGCTTGCTGCTTTGCAAGCTTCTTCAACCTCTTCCTCTCCTCCTTCGAGATAGTCTCGCCATTGATCGTAGGCGCTACAACTGTCATTTTCGTCTCTTCACGTCTTGTTCTAATTCTAGTCGATGCAGTGGTCCGATATGCGATATTCGAGTCGTTGATCTAACCGAACGGAGTGTCGTGAGTCGAGTCGTGTTCTCTCGTTACCGTGGGTAGCAGCAAACACCCTGGTCTCTTATAGTCCAAGCTTCAGGTATCCAAGTGGGCAACCAAATACCCTTTTGATGGAGCCGTCGGGCGTTAATGAGGGAGAGGAACGACGAGGAGAACGAGACCTCGAGGCTCTCTGTCCAGTTTCTGAAAAAAGTGTGGTTTGATCGCGCATCGTGATTGGCCATCACACACGGAACTATTTCTGGGTGATGCCATCAATTAACCCCTATCCTCAGGCACTTGCTGCTCATCGACGATGTCATCGTGAAAGGGTTGTAAAGTAGATCTGGTTGAGGTTTGGAGTCGTGACAAGAAGGGAGTTGGGGGAAGGTAAAATAGGGGAACGCAATGTTCTTGTTCCCGGAAGGGTAGAGTTTAGGATTGTACCACCACACCGATGATCGTGAGTCCACCACTTTAGCCTCATTTGAGAATCTTTGCATTCGAACATGGTGTCCAGTCCATCTCAGCTTTGTATGGAATGGGCCTACTCAGATTCCTCAACACCAAAGCTCCGACCACCTTATCTCAACGATATCTTTATAGCGAGCTTCGCTTCCATTCACCCAGGCATCTGCTCGATCTACATACATGCACTCGAGTCCCTAGATCCTCGACTCACATTGTCAGCTGTCACAGCCCATCTTCTTATACCCTTAGCCGCAGGTTGTGTCTTTCCATGCGCAGCTAGGCACTACTCGGCCCTTCATACCGTCTTTCTAAGACCTGCGGCGAGCAAAGACCGTTATCCAGTCTCAATCGGACACCCAAGCCTACCCTCGTACAGCCTTACAAACCAACTAACCACTTGCCAGTGCGCAGCTCTCCGTGCACTCGAAGAGACCCTACCCGTCTTCGCCTTCCAAGAACCACACCTTCGGACTTTCCAAACCGCGATAACAAACTCAGCAAGGGGTAATCATCTCGGTCACGAAATGCACTTCCTTCCCGATACCACTGACAGAATAGAAATGATTGAAAACAGGCGTCAGGTTCCCAAGCTACACCTTGCAAAAGGGGAGAAAGAAGAGAACTCATCTCTACAGTAGTCGTGTGCTGGGATATGTAGCACCTGCTCTCCTGATCTGTATCGGCAGTGGGTGGAGTAAGGACCTACCCTACGTCGAGTGTGTGCCGGAATGTACGGAAAGCGTTATGCGTCCAGAAAGTGTCTCGCCATTCATTTCAATGCGAAACCGGGTATAGTACACCGCACAGGGTGTATGTACCTACCTCGTCGATTAGACATCCATATCCGTGATGTCACCGCCTCGCTAATCCCCATAGGCCGTCCGCAGAGAAGCAAGCGGCAGAATTCAACAGCCTTCCAACCCAATTCCAACCGTGTTTGTCCAGAGAGTATCCACGGACCATGAATTGCATCGAGGCATTTCGGTCACCACTGCGTAAGAATCCGTGTCACAGGCAGTCCCTCCATTCTGACTAGCTGCGGAACGAGCTTGCGGTGGCTCTATCCGCCTCGGCTGAGCCCATACCAAGGGTATTTAAGCCCTACCTCGCGCGAGAGAGGCGAGGCAGCTGAGCTAAAAGTGGAGAGAGTGATGCCGTCCGTCATCTCTTGGATTGCATCGCCGTTCCCATGTGTCGAATAGAAGTGATCTGCATTGCCAAAGCGACCCCTGGGCAACCACAACACTGGTGTTTCTCCGCACATTCGAATAACAAGAGAGTAGGTTGGAATTCTTCCTATGTTTGAAGACGATAAAGTGAGACCACGAAAAAATTGAGAACGTTGTACAGTAAAAGGAAAGACAAAAAGGGATGACAAGGGGAGGTGCTGCGGAACTGGGTGATGATGTTTCTGACAGTCATAGTGCTTATGTCAGTGGTTGTGTGGGAGGGCGGCCAAGAGAACTGCCTTGCCCAACGTTGACCGTTGACCTCTTTTTTCTTTCCCTGCCACCGTCGATTTTGCTCTCGAAATCGCCAGGATAGGCGTTCAAGACCCTTTTAGCGACCCACCAGCTCGATATACCAACACAGCGGCATCGAAGGAGACTGCGCCGGCGACAGACACCGAAAAGCACAGCCCAGCGCCAAGGACAAACGGTCTCCTCATTCGCTGAGCAGAGTTTTATGAGCTTGGTCTAATACCCCTTCCTTCGTTTGGCCACATACCCTCTTTCATCCTCAACAAGGCGGTTGGCCAATATTTTCTGCATGAATAGACCCACTAAAATACTAGCGCTGGTCGTGGTATTCCTATCATCATGGTCATGCCTCGGTAATTCCCCACCTTTTTCTCGTCAAACAATAATCTGACACAGACTATAGCTCATAGTACACATGCTCCGTTGCTAAAACGAGCTCTTAATCCTCGAACAGTCGCTCTCGAAATCATCCCCCGCAACCGACTACCAGATCACTCAGCAAACCCCCTTGCCAGACGCAGCTCATCGTCACCAAACTCGCTCCGTTTCGACGACACGTTCCGACTAACGATCTCTGCCTTTGACGACGTTTTCCATCTCCATTTACGACCTAATGACCACCTGATCCACCCAGCAGCACGCATCAAGTACTACAAACTCGATTCCAACGGTAACCCCACCCTTGATCGCACAGAACCTCTGCTCCGAGAAAATGTCAAGGCTTTCTGGGGAGAAGTCATCTCGCCTCAACACACAGATACTCGGATGAAGGAGGATGCCGCCGGTGTCGTGCACCCGCCCAACCACCCCGCAGAGCTCGGGTGGGCACGAGTGATGGTCCACAACCCCGGAGACCCCGAAAAAGGAATCTCACCCATCTACGAGGGTGCTTTCTCAGCCAACGGCGTTATCTACCACATATCCACAAAGGACAACTACATGAGGAAGAAACACCCACTCGACCCTGATGCCTTGCCTGCCGGGAGTGTCATCGACGAAAATTTGGTCATTTGGAGGGACAGTGATGCTATGACGCCTGAAGAGGAGCACTTTGTCAAGACGGGAGAACAACCGATGGAACCTATGGCTGTACCTCAGTCTTGTGGTCATGATAATCTCGACTTCAATACTGACCCTGCTCTTAACCCTGTCCTCCGCCGCCCGACTCCGGCTTGGTTGAACGTCCTGCTCCGCCCACGCACAGATGATCATGTGTACCACCGGTATCGCCGCCAAGACGGCGATGCTCCTGGCACTGGGAACGGGGGTATGGGTACCAAGTACGTTACACACGCCTTGCTACATTGGATTTCATATAACATTATCCCACTAGCTTTGCTGAGAGTATCGGCCAGTCTGTTGGCTGCCCGACGACCCAAAAGATCGTGAGTTATTGTGCATTCTAGAAGGGACAGACGAGTTAAAAACGAGGATTAGATTTACATGGGAGTCGCGGCCGATTGTGAATACGTCACGAAACAAGGTGGTGAAGAGAATGCCAAAACTCAGATTCTCAATACTTGGAACACGGCAAGCGCCCTCTACAAGGTTAGTACTACGCAACCCACGCATTCTCCGAGGGCGAAGATTGACCTCGATTCGCGTTAATAGTCCACGTTCAATGTGAGCTTGGGTATTACGGAGTTGGTGGTTCAACCCAGAGAGTAAGGTTTTACCCTTGACTATTCACCTATCCTTATCAGGTACTGACCCCAATTCTTTAGGTGCCCTGCGCAAGTAGATCCTGCAATACCGTGGAATGTTCCTTGCGGTAGCGCAACGCTTAGCCGTCGGCTCTCTGACTTCTCTCAATGGCGTGGCACTCGAAGCGAAGATGGCAATGGCCTTTGGCATCTCATGAGTGGCTGCCCAACGGGGGCCGAGGTTGGAATCGCCTGGCTAGCTACTATGTAAGTTGATCCGTTAGCCTTCCCATGATATGCAGTCGTTCAACGCCATCCGTTCGCAGTTGCCGCTCATCTGCTGCAAGGACTAACACTGGCGTCGTATCTGGTACCGCCGTCTCGACATCTGGAAGGACAGAGTGGCAGGTTGTTGCCCACGAAATCGGACACAACTTTGGTGGAATCGTAAGTCAATCATCTAACTCTTGCTCGTGGACTCGTGTTGATTAACGTTGAATCGTATCTTTAGCATGACGTACGTGAATTTCAAATCCCGCGAGGTCGAAGGAGAGGGATGCTAATCGATTCATTGCCATTAGTGCGCCGAAGGTTGTTCAGTCTCGGACGTCAAGTGCTGTCCTTTAAGCACCACGACGTGTGATGCACAAGCTCGGTTCATTATGAGTCCTGTAGCTCAACCTGGAGAGAAGGTCTTCTCCCAATGCAGTCTAGGCAACATCTGTAAGTGCGATAACCTCAACCTTTTGCTATCTATCTCCCTTCTTCGGGATGGAAAGATTAAACGTCCACCAACAACGCCAACTAACCTAAACTTCTCCCCTTGCAATTAGGCTCGCTCATGCGAGGAGTGACCAATGCTAGGACGGATACAAGCTGCCTCATTGATCCCGATCCTGATCGTCCAACCATCTCGCTCCAAATGTGTGGCAACGGTATTGTCGAGAACGGCGAAGATTGCGATCCCGGGCAAGGAATTGATTCTCCGTGCTGCGATCCCACCACCTGCAAGTTCAGGCCCGGCGCCGTATGTGACCCGCAGAGCAGTCCTTGCTGTACCGACCAATGTACCTTTGCGCCGTCCTCGAGGGTCTGCCGGCCTGCCAAAGACCCGAAATGTGACATCGAGGAGAGGTGTACTGGAAACTCGGCCTCTTGTCCCACTGACGAAACTCTCCCGAACGGTAAGTGAAATGAACCATCAGGCGGAAGATTACTCTGCGCTTGTCAATGTAGAATTCACTAACATCAACCTGTTCATCTAGGTGAATCTTGTGGTGACAATGACTTGAAGTGTGCAAGCGGCATTTGCACGTCCATAGCTGGTTCGTGTTTTTATACTCAATGATTCCGATTCCATTTCCGAGGACACTCATCCTATTTTCGTAGAACAATGCAAGATGGTCGGCGCATCTCTGGGATTGTCACAACCTTGTCCAGACCGCAGTGACCAATCATGTCAAATCTCGTGCCAGGATCCCAGGCGAACAAACGCGTGCATTCGATTAACTTCACTTCTCGTCGATGGATCGCCTTGCGGTATGTTTCTTTTTCATTTCTGATGCATCTCTTTTGTCGAAATGGAGCTCTGAATCTGATCACTTTTCATAGGTTATGGCGGAACATGCCTGAGTGGGAAGTGCCAGTCGGCTGGATTCATTGAGACCGCCAAGGTGAGGCTCGAGTTTAGCTTTGGAGTGTCGATCGGTGAACTAACATTCTTTTGCAGGCGTGGTATACTCAGAATCTTCAAATCGCCATTCCTGTGACCGTCGTGGCTGGCTTGATCTTCCTGCTGATCGTATGGGGCATCTTCTCTGGTGCGTCCAATTCAATCCTCCCATTCCATTCCTCAGGTTGCTAAACATAATCTTCCCAAATTGCAGCCATCAGAAGATGTTGCAGTGGACCTCGTTCCCGTCCCACAGCGATCGTCGTCCCTGCAACAACCGGGGTCACACACCAACGGTTAGGAAGCCAGGAACCATTTTACCGCAGCACTCCACCTGAGCGTCGGTGAGTATCACTCCTTTATTACGACTGGCAACGATGATCCTCGGAAGGACAATGCCGTTAACTATATTTTTATTTCTTTCCCTTGCCTTGCTCTCCTATCTCCTCCGTTGGTTCCCGTGGTTCCGTCCTGACATTCCCTCCCCGCCTCTGGGATTCCCCTCCACCAAAGCAGCTCGCAGTACACCCGCGTACCCCCGCCGGCAGCGCACGACCGCACAGCATCCCAGGTCTATAACCAAGGTTACAACCAAGGCTACAACCAAGGTGGCTACAATATGAACTACGCAGCCAATAATCGTGCGAATTGGGTAGATGATCGTGATTACAATGGACCTAGCGGTGGTTGGAGATGAAAGCTTTGCTTTTAAAGGTTTTAAAGATTTGATTTTTTTCGTGTATTTGTGCTGTGTATTTTTTCTCTTTCTATTTACTCATTTTTCCTCCTTCACCGTACGTACATAAACTCCTCGACCGAGACCCGCTTTTGTTCGATCTAGGATATAGGATAGGATGTGTTTTTGACTCCCCCATCCGCTCGTTACATTCGATCTTTTAGTACTCACCTTCCCTGATCATCATCATCACCTCCTTCCCTTCCCCTTTCCCTTCATCCCCCCACATCGCTGTTCACTGCTGTCCCCTTTTCGCTAGCATTGCATTCCTTACAGTATGCGGACTACATGCTTGGTTTATCTTTGTTCTCGCCTGATCTGACTACTGACTCCTTTTTTTTTCCTCTCCTACTACTTACTACCTACTGTATCACCTTTTCGATGGATAGGGACTTGTATCTAATTTATCATGATCAGCTAAAGCGGGTTTGGGTTTTTAGGTTTTTAACAACGGTGGTTTGTTGGTTCTGTCCACTCTTCAGGAAAGAGAATTCGCAGATCCTCCGCACCTTGATCATCGCCAGCGGTGCACGGTAGAGAGGAAGGCCAGATGAGGCTGGGACACCCTCCCACAGTCATAGTCACCACAGCAGATCCCAGGCGACACGACAAGGAACAGGGTCACCGTGACCCAGAGGAACCTCGCTCTATTTATAAGTCGGGAACGAAACTCGAGTGAATCTCCCTACCCAATATTCGAAATCTCGATCTCGCACCAATCAAAACCCAGAACACAGGGTCGCGTCACACTCAAGTCACACTTCCTTCCTTCTCCCTCCCTGTCCAAGAAAACCCCATGACCCACTAAAACCACCAGACCCTTTGCCGCAGCTTCCAATACCTATGTGGCGTTTTTCTCCAAAGAAAGAACTAATTATAGTCGGAAGTTCGATGGCCTACTAGGGGAACTGAGATCTGTCATACTAGTATCATGACACTTACTTAGTGCTACTTGGGCGTTTCGGAGATTCGAGTTCGTGATATGGAAAAGGTGTCAGCAGAGCTAAACATAGGAAAAGGTATGCATGGACTTGCGATTGCGATTAGGTTGCTGTGACTGGATGACTGGAGTGGGATGATGGGTACTAGATAAAGATAACCAGAGTACTATGACTTTGGGACTAGTGAGTACTACTCCTGGATTAGATCGGAGCTTGTGTCATGTCACAGCACGAAGAAGTACTTCCTCGTCGTACCAAGGTTGGTCAGGGTAGCCCCCGGGGGAAGAGTACCTGAGAACGCCAGAGTTAGAACTTGCATCAGAGTTGCGTCAACATCGGTCGCGACTAGAGGCTGACCGTTGGTACCGGTCATCAGCAAGTCCCGCACATAGAACAGACATACTGTACCTGTCTATCTGTCATTTGTATGAAACAAGATCTAGGACTAACACTCGTCGAATCGTCAGACGATGCTCAAACCGCATACCGTATCAATATCAATAAAGAGTGAAGGCATCACCGCTCAAATGTGCAAGAGAGTCATAACCACCACCTCCACACAAGAAGGGGAATCATGATATAGATAGGCGAGAAGCCGCATCCCAAGACAACTCTTTCTCCACGCCTTCGCTCCATGTTTCCATCTTCCCAATTGATCTCCCCAGAGGAACCCAAGTGTGACCAGCTCGCGAAGGCGATTCGGCAAGGGAGAAGAAGAACTTCAACTTCAGAACATGGAGTCTTGTTTCATAGCGAAGATCCAATGAATGGAAATAATACAAATACGCCAACTGCATTGTCGCCGTATGTAGTACTTAGCCAAAGTTCCGGGGGTTCTAATTTCTTGATGTGTTTGGGATCCGAACGTGTACACTGCGCTCCTAATTTTGGGAGTCGTGCTCGTTCTAAATCTGATATCGATTCCACCCAGGGGAGGTAGATCGTGAGTTCTTAACGAGGGGTTCCAGGGAGGAGCATAGTCGAATTAAGGGGTAGCACTTACGAACGAACAACATAAGTACCACACAGCCCGAGACGAGCAACTCTCCAGACATATGCGCACCCTCTCGGAATACAGACAAATCCTGTCAACATTGTCAAATCTAACCTGTCCACACACCAAATACCCACCGATATCGATGGCGACTAATAACGCCCCCACGGTCCACCTCGTCGGGGATAAGTAATCATCAGAACGTTTAAAAGCGCCTATAGATGGCAGGTTACGCACGCCGAACCGTGCGTTACCCTCCAAGAAGGGGATTCTCAAAGGGAGTGACTGGGGATCGACGAACGAGGTAATTCCGATAATGACGCCTCGAACGGCTCGACCCTCCAAACATAACCTGAGAACGGGATACTGAATCCGTAAGTGTGTTCCAAAGAGGAACGAATCATGAGGGCATTGGCGCCTGAGTGGTCCGTCATTATCCATCGGCCGGGCACGCACGCAATCAGACTCGAGAAGCATCTTTAGCCCCAATCATGAAATCGCAGATTGAACCACCACACTAAGTACTATTTTGACGGCAACGAGTCAAAACTAAGAAGAGCCAACGCATCTAGATAAGCGACAATAAATAAAAAGAAGAAAAGAAGGATCAAAACCTGCTGTTGGGTGGTTCTTCTGGGAAGAGGTCGACTTGTTTGAGCGAGCTTCTGGACGCGGAAGAAGTTCTTGTCGTGTTGGTGCAGTCGTGTCTGTCTTCGGCCCTGACACCCACGGATGTTGTAATAACTTTGAATATAAACCAAGGTTCTTTCTAAAGTGTCATGGCCAAGGCTAAATGAACACGCTCACTTTAGTTCTCAATCTGTCCCCGTCCTTCTGATTCTCCGAGCCAATGCAAATTGGAAGCTTGGATAGAAGAACACCACCCGTCTGGGCACTTGGGAACTGCACATCCAGATACTCATAAGATGCACGTCAACATGGAAAGAAGCAAAGTCCCATCCGGGTTAACGCCATTACGGTGGGTCCTGATTGTTGCCATTGAGCAGTATAAAGGCTTCGAGGAGATGACAGACCTGACAATGACGGCCAACCTCGAAGTGGACCGGGGGAATGACAGAGGTTGGACGTGGATCGATGTTTAACGGCCTGACAAGGAGACTCGTGGTCCAAGTGGGGAGAACGCTGCTAAAGCTCGCCCGAAACCACAAGGGACATAGAATGGTGCGGAAGGTGACGCTTGAAAGCCGGCCATACTGGTTCATCGATGCCCAAGGCGGAGTAATGAGATAAGCCAATCCTTATATCCGTCAAGAGCCATGCCCGGCTGATGAGAACGATGTCCCGTTCAACGAAGTAGATCACAGTCCGAGCCGGGAATATAAAAGAATACAAAGGCCAGAGATTGGGGGTCGTCACAAGGTAGACTGCCTTCACTATGGTTCCGAGGAAGCACCCTCTTCCAAGGGTGGTCGCTTTTCGAGAATCCCATCGACGATTCCAAACTCCAAGGCTTCTTGAGCTGCAAAACAGCGTGTCAACGAAAGGGGGATCCATAGAAAGGGGAAAGAGAATTACCAGTCATATAGTAGTCCCGTTCCAAGGCGGTCTCTGGAGACAGCGTTAATTCAAAAGGCGTATACGAGTCAGAAGTTCTTATAGGACTCACCGAAACGTTTAAGCCCAGCGGCCTCGGTTTCACCCTCCTTTGCACAATGCCGCTGATAAATGCCGGTCAACAGCTGCCTTATCCGCAGGATTTCCTTAGCATGGATTGCGATATCCGTGGCCTGGCCAGAAGCACCACCGGAGGGTTCTGCGGGGAGAGATGTTGCCCAAACAGGACTGCAAACGGATAGATTCAGACTCACGATGGATCATGATACTAGCGTTTGGAAGGCAATGTCTTCTCCCTTTGGCACCGGCAGCCAACAGCAAGGAGCCCATAGAAGCCGCGAGACCGAGGCCGTATGTGTGTATGGGCGCGGATACATACTATAAAGCGGTTAGCCTCACAGGCTCGAGTCTCGATGTGTTCCACAGCCGTTTACCTGCATCTAGAGAAGCCATTAGACCGCAAAGAACTTCACTCTGAAGCCGCTGGACCACTCACTGTGTCATAAATGGCAAGTCCAGCCGTCACACTTCCACCCGGAGAATTGATGTACAGGTGTATTGGTTTTGTCGAATCTTCCGCTTCCAAGAACAGCAACTGAGCGACTACTAGTGTTGAATCTGTGTCTCGGATCTGTGCTATTAGAACTCTAAATTGAATTCGAAAACTCGGGAATACTCACTGGGCCATGCAACATGATTACTCTTTCTCGGAGTAGCCTCGAGAAAATGTCGTATGACCGCTCTCCTCTCCCCTACAAGTGTATTCTTTAGCCAGACTTCGGCCAATCAGTGTAAACCGACGAACCGTCTGTTCAATAACCATTGGCACGAGGTTGGACTGGGTCGGTTCTGACCATGATTGAAGTAATTGCGACGGTGGTATCCGAGCCAACGGGTGAAAGTTTCTGACTCGAGTGGCATTTGCGAGGGGCCTTATCGATGACCTCCAGAGTCTTGTAGCAAGCATCGTGAATGAACAACGTCGTAAAGAGAGAAGAAGCCTCCACTGTGGCCGTTGTCGGAAGGCCAAGGAGACGTGGGCGAAACGCGTCAACACAGCCAAACAAGTCTTGAGAACCGTGACGGCCATGTCTTTGCTTTTCGTTCAACGACACTCGGTCGCCCAGCTGCGACGTTCTCGGGCCTCACCATACGACAGCAGGGACAATAGGCGACAATGTCGAGGTTTGGCTATACGCAGCGCTCCAAGGAGGCGCCGATGGACTATGAGTGGACGAACAGGTCCCCAGTCAAACCCGCTTGGTCGAGCCACAGCGAAGACCCTAGCACGCCCAAAAAACGTATGCTTTTTTCATATCAGACGTGTACTCGAACTTAACCGCTCGTAATAGGACCGTTTGAACAAGTGAATCCCGCGACACCAGGGACAGGCGTACCAGCGACACCTACATTTGGCCGAAACCAGAACGTGCCTTTCTTATTCAATCCTACGCCGGTCCCACAAACTCCTTCAGGCTACCCTTGGGCTCCACCACCTCAATTCTCTCCTACAAAGGCATTTCCTCAACCTGAGATTCACGATGTCGACATGAATGAGGCCAGTCCTGCGAAGGACGAAAAGGAGAACGACCCGAAGGAAACAGAGGAGAAACGACCTGTCGCACCTGGTGCATTACGACGCGTTTATAATCGACGTACGCGTTCAACTGCGCGGTCTAGAGCGAGGAATAGGAGCGATAGTCACGATGATTCGGGTGTTGGATCGGCGAGTGAAGAAGATGACGAAGAAGAGGATGACCGCAGACTGGCTATTCGTCCAAAGTCTACCTCTAATCATTACACATTGAACTTGCCTGCACAACCATCTCCGCCATCTGATTTGCCATATGTCCTTCTCGGGTATGCTCCCTCAATTCACACTCGCCGTCCCTGACGCTAATGTCCAATTTGGCTCAGCTATACCCAATTCTTCTTCAACCTTTCACTGATCTTGATGTTCCTATACCTCGCGGTCCAGTTCATCTTGACCGTTCAGAGGGATGTTGAAAAGCGGGTGACTGAATACTCACAAGGTGTGCTTCCTGCCTTTTCACGTCACATTGCGTTCGCTTCACTGACATGTTACAGACATCGTACAGGAAATCGCGATGTGCGCCACCCGTTACACCGATAACGGATGCGCAACCACCCGGGCACCCGACTTGCTGCACAAATGTGCAGAGTATGAGGCCTGCATGAACCGGGATCCTACCACTCTAGGGCGAGCGAGGATTAGCGCCGAGCTGATCGCAGAAGTGATCAATAGCTTTGTCGAACCAATCAGCTGGAAGACCCTGGTCAGTGGTTCACGCTCGATAAGCATGCCTATCACTTACGATCGTTTACTCTGTATCCCCAGGCATTCACTCTGACCTCATTGGCCTTCATGACCCTATTCATTAACACTCTTCTTACATTCTATCGAACACGAACCCAACCAAACGCCGCACCCGCGCAACCAACAGCCTCATTTCCTGCTATGCATAGCGGCCCTTATCCTTCTCACCCCTTCGGCGGCTTCCTATCTCCAGCACCGACACCTAATTGGAGCCGCTTCAAGACTGGCACTCCAGAAGAGATGGAGTCTCCAACCAGACGGCGAAAGCTCGAGGGAGGAGCTTCGGCCAAAATTAAATGACTCTCTTGATGCTAATGATCACGATCCTACCTACTAGACTCATGTATTCGCAATGCCTCTGGAAATCTCACCATTGCATCTCTTCGGACGCATGTTTTGGGCCCGTCGCTTTCGAACTTTCCTTTTCATCCAATCACACTGGATGCCTGCGGGTTGGTTAATAGTTACCACTGTTGTGCGTCCACACCTTCCTTCGTTCACCCAGCATCTGTCGTCATTGCTGATGCACACCCCAGATGGATCGGTTATCTTTGGTTATTAGTTGGACTCTGCCTGCAGTTGAGGGGCAGATGCTGTTCGAAGTTCTTCTGTGAAGGAGCCAGATTGGTGTCATCGATCAACGGACCCTTCCGACGTTATCCCACTGTCCGTCAGCGGTCCTTCCTTTTCTCTCGCAACGGGCCTACATAAGCCAACTCAAAACGACCCCTCGGCGGTACAAGGGTTCACTACTTCCCAAAGTGGTGATAATCATGGCAATTCTTTCGAAGCCCTAGATTCGCCATGCGGACATAACGGCCCAGGAGATTGGGGGACGACTCCTCGCAGCGTCCTTCTCTCCACCAATGTATATATGTAAGTGGATACGAGCGGCGGGAATCCCCGCTCGGTACATGGCTCTGCAAGGGAAATGAGAATGCGGTACAGGTCCAGGGGACTCACAGAGCTTCCCTTTTATCGGAGAACCGACCCTTTCGGGAAAACAAGGACGTTCTATGAACGAATGAATGAAGATCACTCTATTGGCTGGGAAACTCTAGGCCAGAAGAGAACCTTCACGCGGAGGCTTTTTGGTGCCCTTGGGATAATATGGGTGAGGGAGCCCGGTAAAAAAAGAGAAAAACGTGCAGACTGCGGTAAGGTTAAATTGACACTAGCCCCGCCATGTAACTGGATCAACAGCACATTTAGAGACCTTTCCGTTAATGTCTGCGCTGCCACAGTGCCACTCCAAGGTACGTCCATTAGCGCCATGACACGTTTTATGACAGGGGACAGGTATTGACAACGTGCGGCTAAGCTTTAGGTGCATTGGTTATATGTATCTTGGTCTGTCGTGGTGTCCAAAATTGACAGTGGCAACCGGCTCGAACTTTAGGGAGAAAACGAGGCACCCTAGGAAGGGCTGAATGGTACTTATGTCAGTCTTCCCGGAGGCTATTTCCACTTGCATAAATGTTTGATTACTTCGTGGGCTGCCCAGAGTTACCCTGTTGGCGTTTTGACTTCACACCGGCGACCGCTCTACACCACTCCTTCCCAACTCCATTCGGTGAGTATCGAGTGACGTTTGGTTCTTGTCATCATGAAGGAGATAACTATTTATACAACGACAGCACCTACACGTCCGGGGTGTGCAACTAAGATCAGGTGGGTGTTGAATTATGTTAACGCTGGCCTTTTCGAGTTACCGCGCGGGGCGGCAATAATCATGATGGCTTCCGAATCCGAATTGCCACCACCGAGCTCACAAGGTGGCCGTGCCCAGAACATCTCGGAAAAGGTTATATATACTTCTCTGGCCTTTAAACCCTTGAGGAAAGAGAACCCTGTCTTGATCAAGGTTAGCGACTATAGGAGGGATGATCAGCAGCTCAGGATCAGAACCTTCCTATTCACCATCGGAAGTGGACTTCGTGGTCCTCTGAAAGACCTTGTCGTTACCTTCTGCAGGGTTACGCGATGGCGATGGACCGTGGTGCGAGTCCCCGCTCTCGGAAGAAGAGGAGTGGGTTTTGTATTGTTCACGCCATACATATCTGATTTGTATGTCAGAAGGTGCCCTCGATGGTTGACAGCGCTTACCACAGGCCGAGTAATAGCCTTTTCGTCCCTTGTCCGTCGGATTCTCGTCTTGCGGGTTTGAGCGGCTCCTAAACCAATTCATGGCAGGTCTGGGCAACTGGGCGTTTTTGGTGGAACTATGTCCCGTGACAAGCCCTCCCAAGACCTTTGACGGAGGAACTGGTAACAACATGATGACGCCGCCGAGGCGGGTTATACTTGATGAGAGACCCACGAGCCACGCACCGACCATGAAAAAGTGAGGGGTTGAGGAAGAGGAGCCTCCTAAAAAGGTTCCTGGAACGCAAGTGTGGGGCTGAATGAATGCGAGTTTAAACCTTTTCTCCGCGTGCTCTACCCGACTCTTCAGAAAAGGGAACAACACCGTCATCACAGGCCCTTGCATCCCTGAACAACATTATCATACCCAATTTACCGACAAAACGATCTAGATCGAAGAAGACCTGAGCGCGCGCGCATGTCGCCAATACCGCGTTTTTGTATTGATTGAGTGGATGACATGTTCAGGTTTCGAATTCCACTCCTTGTTAAGGGAACTGTCAAGCGAAGTGTATTCAAGGGCCTATTGTGGTCATCATCTCGAAAGGGTCTTTTCGGACCATCGCTCCATACCCCGGTGGACCGTGGCTTGACGATATCGCGTGTACATAAGGTAACCTTGGGGAACGATCAGAAAAAGGGGCGCAAGGGAGGGTTGATCCATATCCAGATGCCATACACGCCGTTGCATCCGTTTTGAATTTTCCGGGAGTACAGTGATCGCAGCCGCGGTCCACAATTGTCTTAGCCCTTAGGCTGCCTTAGGGGGGCCAGCGGTATGCACTTACAACGGCTGTGCATTCGGGAGGGATGATGCGGGTGCATGGTAGGTCACCGGAGATCGATTGGCTTGTATCCGCGATGATCAGTGTCCCGGACTGGGGAGTCACGCCAGCCCCTGTGTCGATGGTAGCTCCGTTGCTCCTCGTCGAAGCAAGTCAAAAGGGAATTGCCTTATGCTCGGATCGTTTTCAAGCCGAAGGGTCACAAGGTACGTCCAAACCCAGGGGGGAATCTATTCTTAACCCTGGAATGAAATCTCCGAATACACTATCAGCCACTACAAACCTTGTATTGAATGGCGTCTTCCGTCTATGTAGTCGACCCACATACCACCTACAGCCCACTCGTTACCAGTGCCCACAAACCACCTCAGAAATCCAAAGCAAAAGTATAACCAAAAATAAAATTCCCATAAATCTAGCATACCAAAAAAGCAAAGAAGCCCCCCGAGTGATAGCAGCGATTAGAGTGTACGATTGGAAAGCGATTGGGTTGGAAAGAAGGCGAAAGGGTGCCCCATCCACAGCGACGGAGGAAAGTTAACCTCATTTCTTACTACTACTCGCCGACCCCCCTCCTGCTGCAGCCGCTGCGGCTCTTTCCTCCTCCTTTCGCTAAAAGTTGATAATATCAAGCGTCAAAGATAGACCGGAAATGGATCGAGTGAATAAGGAAAAGGTCTTCGATACACAGGTGGTGGGTGAGATGATCCATACCTTCTGCTTGGCTCTTAGAGCCTCCGCATCACTGTGGATGTTTAGAGTGCGAGTATAAATGGACGAGGGATTCCGATGGGCAGAGAGAAGCCATGAAGCGGGTAAACCGATAGGATCGTAGGTTTGCAGACGTAGGTTATGCAGAAGGGGAATGGTGGGTCGCCGAAGAAGGGAGAAGCGAGTCACGCAAAGATCGGGTTATTCCATGGTTGAGCGACGACCGAGATGCAAAGCCAGAGTAAACGTATACGGGCGTCCGATAGCAAAGATAGACGCAGAACCCAAGATGGAGGATTCATCAGCTGTTCTGCTCTGTGGCTGTCAAGTGCTATCAGGTAAGGGACTTACGCCTCTTTGCGCTTTGCCAGACTGGTGTTGCTCTCCTTTGGCTTTTTCGCATTAGCAGCTGCCCTCTTTTGGGCCCTCAGACGGTCCATTTCACGTTGGTTTCCCCCTAAATCCCAGTGGCGTCATTAAGAGCAAAAAGGACCCCCCGAAAGCGAGTGAACGGTCATTCGACAGTTTTAAAGGACAAGTGCACGTTATGGAGAGGGTGAAAGGGCGGCCATTGGGACAATAAGGACGGACAACGTTAGTGGCCACGTTCCGTATTTGTTCTGAATTAAAGGAACTGGGACGTACTCGTCATTGTGATTGTAGGTTAGTTACGAGTGTTGTGCTAGGATAGGCGTTTGTTTGAGCGCAAGCAATAGAGAAACGGGAATGCACTGTTTCCGCCGTTGGTCTTGGTCAAGTACCGAGCGTCGTCGTCGAGCTTTGGTCGTCGTTTGCGGGCAACGATCAGCCCTGGAACATTCCATGTGGCTGTGCCCTAATTCATTCGGAGCCATTCGGAGTCCGAAATAGCCTCGCCTGCTCGTTCCTCTGACAAAGGCTCCATTTGGGCGGTGGGCACGCTAATCACCGCATCCAATCCTCCGAGCTTGGTGACAATGGAATCTAGATCATCACAACTGAAGGGGTTTCAAATGAATTCATACTGCTGCCTGGGTGGAACCCCTTTCCACCAGGACGTCCTGATGGTTTCCGTACGTACTCGAGTTCCACTTCGCTCCAGACGGTCCTTGTCTGATCACCGGAGTGCGGTCTAACGTTTATTTTAGGGGTGGGACTAAACCGAAAGACGTGGACTTCATTACTGTGCGGCCTGGTTGATATACATAGCATTGTCCAGAGTGAGGTCAGGGTTAGCGGGATCAGTCGATCGTTTGGTGCGGTGTGGATGGAGAGATGGATGAATTCATGAGCGGTTGAACGAAGCAAGCGAATTCGATGTCAAAGGACGCAGAAGGGGACTGATGTCCTAAATCGGGGCATCATATCGAAGTTCGGGACAGAATGGTCCCAGCAACGCAATCGAGATCCACCCCTTCCCAGCGCTTAACTTTGCCCGACACGTCGTCTTGTGTGTCCACACCCCCTTTTGTCATGGGAAATGACGAATTCAAAACCCAAATGATTCTGGGTACTTTTTGCAACGACATGTGGCGGTGGGGATATTCCGAGGTTTTCTCAGGAGGTCGTTTCAGCGACCAAGCCTCCGTTTTGGAGAGCCTGCGAGAGAAGGTCGGCGTTGTGAATTTTTCGAAGATGCTAAGCCCTCGAGAAGGCCGTTGGTTAAATTGCGCGTGGTGGACCGCCTAAAGAGCGTGGCACATGTAATCGGTAGTGTGCCGATATCGACTGTAACGGTAGCTTAAGCGATCAAGGTTGTATGGCAGCCGCGCTGGCCTGTCCACCAGCGAGACAGCGATTGACTGAGGAAGTCCACAAGCCGTTGGATAAGGACCAAGCTAGCTAAACGGAGAGCGCCCGTGTCCAGTCTCAATCATCGCAATACGAGATAGCGCATACCCCTCAGTCAAGCTCTTTTGATGATCATCAAGGATTGCAAAGAGATAATCGTCTTCCATTTCTTCACTTGCGCTACACCCTTCTGATTTAGCAACCCCGTGTCCAGGCAATAAGTACGTGTGTCTCTCAGCAGGGAGCTCGTTGTCAACAGGAGCCGATACGGGGGAAATAGGCAATGGGAGCTTCTTGGACTTGCCTCATCCCCCTCTCAGCGGGATTCATTCCTCCTTTTGAAGGGGGCCTGCACTCGGACCGGCCAAGTCGTGATTGCACATGTGTTTGGGAGAGCTCACCCCACATTACACACCCAGACATACAGATCGCCCCAGGACATCCACAGCGGAGATAAGTTTGGTTTAACCGGAGTTTCAACCTATGGTTGAGCATTTTCAACCCCCGGCTGTACGGCCAAATTTTAAGCCGGGGTCATCCCTATTTGCAACCCCTGTCTATAGTTCCACATTTTGCCCTCAATACATCGTCCTTTTGCCCTCGGGTTCACCGTCCAAACCAAAAATCCCACAGAAACACATCCAAGCCTTCGCCTTTGATGTCGGCATCGGTTCGTGCGTTGAATCCTGAACGTGAGTATCTGTGACGTCACGCGAAGCTCGGCGCTCACACTCGTTGAATCCAGACTGGACAATCACCACCAGCAGCGACGGTTCCACAGTGTATACCTGTAAAGTATGCCCTAATTATACCACTCCCCATATCCGTCACAGCACTGCCCATGAGCGCTCGCAAGGCCACCAAAAGGCTGTCCAACACGCCGAACTTGAGCAGACTGAAGGAGTCACAGACTTCTCACAGAACCCCTTCCCATCCGGCGGCGACGAGCTAGTTACCGACGATGTCCTGCGAAACATCGTCAGCGCATTGCATGGAAATGTTGTCGACAACCCTCCTCTCCCACCCTACCCTCCCAACCATCCGTCGCTGCGAGGTATTCAACTCGAGCACGACGCCCATTGGGACAGATCACCTGCCACTGGTATCAACTACGGAATCCACCAGGAACACACTCAAATCGAGTCGGAACACCTTCAACAGCTTGTCACGGAGACCACCAAGACAATAATGGACCTATTGGATTCCGACTTGAGTGACTTTGAGTGGGCGGAGAGGACTGATTCCGATGAGGACAGTTCCGAGAGTGATTCGGATGAATCTGGTAAGTACCTTCTTCCGTCCTTTTACCGATTACCTTTCTAAAGGACTTGTCAGACAATTTCCTGTATGGATATGACGAAGGCGAAGAAGGTGAACCAGACGGACCTCGAAAGCGTGCTAGAGGGCACAGGAGCGATCCGGCTACAGCGCGGTCGTGGTTTCCGTGGCAAGACAAGTTGGTACGTCCTCGCTGACCTCATTGCTCGATGTTCCTGCTCATATTTCCGATTTAGACCTGCTCCCTCGATCTCCTAATGCACCTGCCACGGTCCGTCTTCTCCCAACGGCAACTGGAGTTGTTTTTATGGCTCCTGCGGGTCAATGGAGTCGACGATGTACCTTCGGTGAAAGCAATGAAACGGATTAATGAATCCCTGCAAGACCTTTGTGGTATCGACTCAAAACCGTACCAAGGGGCGATGGGCAATCGGTTCTATGTCAACAATTTGTCCAAGATCTTAGCTCAGGTGCGCATCTCCCAAGTTTCATTTCTTTCTTCCACCTGTCTGAATGTGATACCCAGGAAATGGCAAACCCCCTTGTTCGTCCTCATCTTCAGTTCTACCCAGAGGATTGCGGAAAGCGAGTCTCCGAAGCTGTCCACGGTGCTCGGTGGCTTCATGAGCTCTCCCACGAAGACTCGACTCCCATGATTCGACGCGGTACCACAGACTACTTCATCCACGAGCCAGCGATGATCGTCGATGGATCATGCTGCATTCCTTTCCGCTGGTTCCGTCGGAAGGGCAAGTTCGTTGCCCAAGCATGGAGGATGGAAACACTTACCGACGAAAACGGACGCGAGGGATGCAGCTCCTAACGAGGACCATTCAACCTATCACCTACCACCAGCCCCATCGCGTCCTTGGTAAATAGTAGCTGATCTGCTAATCACCCGCACACGGTACTGGTAGTTGTACCTTCATGCCCTCATAATTATTTTGCTTGTTTTTGTGAATCTATTCTTCTACTCTATGCCATCTTAGTCTACCCAATGCTCCTGTATACTTCTTAAAACATCGTAGATTAAATCTCATATTTTGTTATCTTCATTGAAAAAAAGAACGACAACTCTTTTCTGCATATAGTACACAAAGCTCGAGGTGCATTTGGGAAATGAATAGGGGCGAGTTTCACGATCACGTGTCGCGGAGTTTCAACCAACAATTTGAACCAACATTTTTGCCGCGCCTCTCTCTGTTGACAACCATCGCCATCGCTCGTCGACGCTCCCCTGCACGGTGAGCAGACCATTGCCCGACACTGGGTTCTGCATCTCAATGCCATGTTGCCTCGGCTTCGGCTAGGCATCAGAATTGAGCGACAACCCAGTTGAAGGCAGGCTCTACTCACCAATTTTTGCTTGCTCCCATCTGCCCCTGCTCTCTGAATCTGTGCAAGCGTTCTGACATGTTCACCTAGTGTTTGGAAGTCGTGAGTACCTTTCCTGCTTTTAACTCGTGTTTTCCTTTCTCTGTCGCTGCTCGGTGCTGCACCAAGGGTGTGGTTACTCAGCACGCCGGGCTATGCAGTGCGCCGTAAATGTTATGATCCTTCAGTGATGTTTATCATTTATGCTAATTGACTTTGTCCAGGACCATCTCCTGACTCCAGCTCGTCGTTCTAGGGTCAACCGGACGGACGTTCGCCAGACCGCAGGTTTTCGATGGACGTCCTTTCTGCCTCACCATTCGCCGCAACTCTCTGCGTTTATCGCAGCATCACTGGCGGTGAATTCGAAAGCGGGTAGTTACCGGAAGCTTGGTACGTTTGCTGGCACCTTTTTCGACCGTTGTGCTCATTTCGGGCCCTCAGGTGTGCGTCGATATGTTGGCAATGGGATTTCTGGTATATGGTTGGTCCTTTGGCATTCACGTGTTCTGCTTGTCCTGACTTTCGCTTTGCCAGATGCCTTTTCGCCGCTGTCGTGACTCGTCCTCCCTCCCCGTCTTGTGAGTAGTTTCCTTTCACCCCCATGGCAATGACGGTTGCTGATGGCTGCCCTCACAGCTGCCATTGATCATGAGGATGGAGATAGTTGCGCTATGGAGCATAGGTACGCCGGTCCATTTCATACTTTTATTCATCAGGCTCATTTGTTCCTGCCCTTCAAGGAGTCGCTCGAACGCTCACGCAATCTTTCCACAAGTCCCATCTCGGTACCATAGTCGGGGTCCGCAGTGTTGTATTAGATAGTTTCAATATAATTGTTATTATTTAAAGAAGCGAATCGATGAGGGGAAGGCCCTAAGGAGGCAGGGAAGAACCGGAAACCTGAGGAAGTAGCACGAAAACGAACGAACCGACGTGGAGCTGGGGTGGAAACTCAGGATAACTTAGGCACTCCCTGAGGTCAACCCTGGGCTATACTCTGTCGGTATAACCCAGGGTTAGGAGTGCCTAAGTTCAGTTGGGTTTAACCCGCGATGAAACCTGGGACGGTCACATGGGGTTTAACCCTAGGCTGTCCTCCGGGTCCGGATGTGTATCCTTCGCTTCCGTAACCTTTAGCAAGGGTCACCCCCTTGTTCGCGTCCTTCTCCCAGGGATTGCTTCGAGTTCTACCGTTAATCTCGCGAGCTCCTTGTATACCGCAGCAAGTCTATAGCATCGCGCCCATAGACACGTTTATAATCCTTATCATGATTCGAATGAATGGAGTGGTAGCGTAACAACCTTGAATGGAGGACAAGTTCCGTAAAGTTCGAAGTTCGAATAGAACCGACATATGATTTAGAGCACCTGATGTATTCTGTGGCGGAGGTAAAGAAGTTTGTTGGATTGTTGGATGCTTACTGGTACGTACAGCGGTGTGGCTATGAAATGTCATAGGTGTATGTCAGGTTCCTATAAAGGGATGTAGGAGGCCGCACTAGTGACGGGGGAGTGTACAGGAAGCGTCAGGGTTGTAAGGAAATCACGGTGGATTATGTATACAAACGGGGAAGAGCTGATTTGTTGTGAGGAGGGGGGAAGATCTTGGCGGGGAGGTGGCGGTTCCGTAGTTTGATAAGAATTGGGTTGTGGCAGGTGCCTGATGGGAGAGGACAGATGCATCAAGCGATTCCAGAAGAAAATCGGAGCTGGAAATGGCCACGCGAGGAACCAGTTGATTCGTCTAAGCAGCACGGAAACAATCCAAATGCGGCATGACATCAACTCCCCCGATCGAATCTGGCACCTGCCGATCGCTGATCGTGCGAGGAGCCGGGGCCCTGACCGCAATATAAGTACACACTCGCCCAACAATCGATGCCCCTCTCTTTCCACAAAGTTCCCTTCCCCCAGGACGTGCTCCCCCGCCGTCCGCCACAATGGCTTCCCGCCACTCCCGCGACGTTCGCATGCACGACCCGCCCCACCACCTCAACGGCGCCGCAACTCCAAGTCATCCCCCAGCCATCTCCCCAGCCGTCCAACCGTCCCCAGCTGCCCCGCCCCACAACACATCCATAATCCATAAACTCAATGTCGCCAACGAACAGACCTGGCTCCTTATCGGCAAGTACCACTTTAACTTCAAATGGGCCACCAGCTCACCCGTTTCCACCAGGCCGGGTGGCAGAACAAATGGGCGACTTGGAGCACGCACTGAGCGCGTACGAAAATGCGCTTCGGCATAACCCGATGAGTCTGGCGGGCCTCACCCAGGTTGCAGGCATTGCTCGGATCAAGGAAAATTATCCCAAGGTATGTGACGCCTTCTTCTTATTTGCCGCGCGCAAAGTCTCCCGGTGATGCCGAGTCAATTGCCGCCGCGCATCCGCGGATAAGAAGCATCGCCGAATTCCCTTGTTTGGAACCCCGATCCCATCTGATCTCGTCCCGTTTAGGCAATCGAGTACTTCCAGCGGGTGTTGGCTCTGCAAGAAGACAACGGTGAAGTATGGAGTGCCCTGGGTACGTTCTTCATCCATACATGTCCAACATTCTTCTTACCAAAATCTACAAGGCCATTGCTATCTTATGCAGGATGACCTGCAAAAGGCCTACTCGGCTTACCAACAAGCCCTCTACCTCCTCCCAAATCCAAAGGTTCGTTATCTCCACTTTGTCCTAATGAGCATCGTCCAACATCCATGTAGGACGATCCCAAGCTGTGGTACGGCATTGGTATCCTTTACGATCGATACGGCTCTCTCGATCATGCCGAAGAAGCATTCTCCTCAGTCCTTCGAATGGACAAGGGTAAGCTCGACTTTATACTTTCCGTTTGGCTATGCTCATTCATCTATCCTTTAGATTTCGACAAGGCCAATGAAATCCTCTTCCGCCTCGGCATAATTTACAAGCAGCAGGGCAAATACCAAGAGTCGTTAGAGTGCTTCGACCGCATCCTCCGCAACCCACCAAGTCCTCTCGCCCACGCTGACATCTGGTTCCAGATCGGACATGTCTTTGAGCAGCAGAAGGACGTGAGTACCCATGGTTTTTGTGTCTGACAGTTACTAACTTGGCTGCCAGTATCATCGAGCGAAAGATGCATACGAGCGGGTCGTCATGGACAACCCAAGTCATGCCAAAGTCCTTCAACAGCTTGGGTGGCTGTACCACCAAGATGGCTCAGCCTTCCAGAACCAAGATCTTGCTATTCAATATTTGACCAAATCACTCGAAGCAGGTATGTTTCATTGCTCCATCACCATTATCTTTTCCCCGAAACTTACTATCCTCATTAGATCCCACCGATGCCCAGAGTTGGTATCTCCTTGGGCGCGCTTACATGGCGGGGCAAAAATACAACAAGGCATACGAAGCTTATCAGCAAGCAGTCTACCGAGATGGTCGCAACCCCACATTCTGGTGCTCAATCGGCGTCCTTTACTTCCAAATTAACCAATACCGTGACGCACTCGACGCCTACTCCCGAGCCATCCGGATCAACCCATACATCTCTGAAGTGTGGTTCGACTTGGGTAGCCTGTATGAGAGTTGCAACAATCAGATCACCGACGCCATCGACGCATATGCTCGCGCGAGCGAACTTGACCCAACAAACCCTGCTATCACTCAACGACTGCAGCTTCTCCGCCAAGCGCAAGCCAACGGAACCCAACTCCCCGCTGCCCCTGGACCTCAGGACGTCCATCCAACCGCCTACGCCAGCGCCGTCGTACCTCCACCTGGGCTCAACGGCCCACTGTCGCTCGGCAATAACCATCCTCGACACGGTCTTCGCACAGAGTCGCGCGGTCCTGGTGGTGACGTGCTACCGGCGTTAGCTGCGTCAGGCCGAAACAGTCCTCCATTCCGTGGTGGTCCACCTCCACCCGTTGTCATCGACGATCGCCATGCTCCATCACATCCGCCGCTAGCCCCTATGGAAGTGGACCGACCTCCCCATTCTCGTGATTACCCGCCTTCTCGAGACCCACACCCCCGAGGTCCAAGTGGCCACCAGACTATCATTCACGGGAACGGACCTTCTCAGGCGCCACCCGTCGGTGATCCAAGGAATGGTCCACCTCACCCTCACGCCGATCCTTTCTTCAATCGGTCCCGCGGTCCCCGTTCTCGCTCCATCTCTCCTGCCCCTCATTCAGCCCGACCTCGATCACCTGGCCATCAGAACTTTACAAATTACCCTCCTCATCGTCAAGCTGGTGGACCCGGGCAGCCAGGCCCTCCTGTTCAGCGCTCTCCCCGTTTCAACCACATCCTTGACCAAGGCCGCCCTGGCGATCGGGAAGGTTGGGACCATGAGCGTCGACCTCCTCCCGCAGACCAACGAGAATGGGAGAGAGAACGTGATCGTCGACCAAGGCACAGTGGCGAATTCGGTGCCCCTCCACAACCGATGTACCAACAGTCTCCTCCTGTTCCTACCCAGCGTGCACATAGTCCCCCTCATCCTTCGCCACGCCAGGCCCGATACCAATGGGACCAAAAGGGACCTGGCGGTCCTCCAGTCCCTGCTCATCATCCCCATGGCGCTTCTCCCCCGCCTCCTCCTGAACAACGACGGTACGATCGTGATTATCCTGTGGAATCTCGCGCCTACCCTCCTTCTCCTGGCAATACTCGGAACGTTCTTCGCCAATCACATCCTCACATGGCCGATCCCAGTCGACGTTCTGAATCGCCTCATCCCAGCCAGAGTGCTGATGCTAAGGATCGTCGACGACGAGCTCGCGATAGCAGGGACTTTGAACCTCCACAGCAACTTCCTCCTCAACAGCTGCCTCTTCAGCCACCGCCTGTTCCATCGAACGCTTCCACACCGGCGCTCCAGGATCCAAGCTCTCGTAAGGAATCCAAGCGTCGTAAGAACGGCACTCGCCGCGGTGAAGGTTCCGAGACTCCCAAGCCAGAGCAGCAGCAGCAGCCTCAGCGAAGCAATAGCTTCAAGGTCATGCCCGGCTATCCTGAGGGTGGTAACGGCGCTGGACCTTCTTCCTTCAGATCCATGCAGCCACCATATTCGAATGACAGTGACGATCGCAATGTGAAGCTGATGCAGCCGCCCTATAGCGCCAAGGGCCCGGGCTCTCCTGAAGCTGAGCGGGATCGTTTCAGCAGCAAGAGCAGCTACGGCTACAAGAACGCAGGTTCTCCAGAGCCTATTAGCAATGGGCCTCCGTCGTCACGTTCGGTGCAACCATCGCCCACTATTGCTACCCCTCGACCGGTCGTCCGCGCTATCGACGAGGACTACGACAACGATGGCATCGATGCATTGATGGGTCTCTCGCAGGCTCAGCAGTATCGTGCGCAGCCAGGTTCTGCTAGCTCCGCCGAGCACCCTGCCCAATCACCGACCATCTCTCCCGGCAGCCGACAGGGTGACCCCTCTCCTCGACCTCCTCCATCGCACCGCAACTCTGTTTCGTCGACACGCAGCCATGCCTCGCCGTCGTCTCAAGCCGCCCAACTCAAGAGGCCTCGAAGCCCTGGCTCTGACGAAAGCGACTCAAAGCGATCGAGGACGGACCCTGTCCGTCGTCGCTCTTCCGTGTCTGCTGGACGTCATACTCCCGTGCCATCGACTCGTCCTTCGCCGATTCCATTCAGGACCCAGCCTCAGCCTCCTCCATCGCACTCACCTGAGACGAGGCAGGCCCATGAGTACCCGCCTGCTAGCCCTACTCACGTTCCTTCCGTCGTCCTTCCCCCTCACCCTCGACCGGTTGGTTCGGGCCACGCCACCACTCATAGCGGCCCTGTTGGAGGTAACGGCGCTCCCTTGGCTTTGCCGCCGATCGCTACTCTCTCGCCTCAGTCTTCGACTGCACCGAGCCCAGCTGGTGAGCGTGATCGTGACGATAGGATGCAGGTGGATGGTAGTCGCTCAGCTTCGCCACAGAACCGCAAGGGACCACCTTCAACCGAGTCTGGAGGAAGGCCAGCGTCGAGGACACCACCAGGTACCAAGAACACGCCGTCGCCACCCGCTGTTGAGAAGAAGGAGCAGATGTAATTCCATATCGTTTTCGTCGTCCAAAAGCCCTTTTCGTATTCGTCTTCATCATTTAGACATTCATTAACACTTTGCTCGCCGCATTTCCTTTTTCTCATGTACGCCAGCCTATGCCTCTTCGTCGTTCTTCTACTTCTTGGAAGCGACCTTATGATCTTGTTATGACCTTCTATTTCTATGCCCACCGCCACCATTTCACACTCAGCGCACATCCACCACACAACGCAATCATCAGCTACTAGTCCTCCATCGTTCATTGGGTCTTCTTTTTGTGCACCTTGTCGCTTCCTATCTCTTCACTTGTACATAATTCACTCATCGCAACAAGTTCCTTTCTTTTTCTTTCTTTTCTCTTGATCACATCTTTTTTGGTACCATCCTGAAGCTCAACATCCAAAGCAACTGTGTTCATAGATCTTTATTTGTAGTAGTAGTAGTAGTCTTTGAGAATCAAATGAGAAGTAGATTTCATCTCTGTCATTTTGTTTGAATCGTTACACTGAGGGCTTCAGGCACGGTTCAGGTACATGTCTTGACGACGAAATTGCCACTTGGAAGTCGGGAAGGCTTACCTTTTATCGGAGTGGCTGACTTGCTACTTGGCTGATAATTGACCGGGAATAATCCTTCCGTGTCGAAGCAATATCGAAGACTCACAAAAGCAATCGGGGACGGAGATCGTACCGAAGCCCCCAAAGGCGAAGTTACCAATCATCGCGCACGCACCCCATTTATTTCGCCCTGAAAGACCGACTCGGATGCGCCATGCAGGGGTGGGGGAGAGCGGTCGAGCGGAACACCACCGAATTCGTGGAAATTCCCAAGGACACGTTATAATTCTGTTGCGGCAACAGTGTGTTAACTCTTACGACAGCCTTACTCGCACAAGCCACGGAGCTCTCTGAGAACAAACGGAAACCGAGTTGATCACCGACGACAGACGACGGAAGACGGTGGGCGTTGATTCAATTTCAACAGTTAACTTGTTGGTTTTGCCGCTTGTGACAGCGCCCGAGTAATCAGGAATGCATCTTTCTTGGGGTCTTTCTGTAGGTAGTGGGCGGATTACGAGACGTTGACCATGAGCGGTGAGCGGCAAGTTCAAGGTGGGTGCGAGGGCGGTGGTTGGGTCACAGTGACTGGATCCTAAAACAGCGTTAGAGTGGACTGACCTGACCAATGGATCTCAAGAGGTAGAGATCGCCATCTTGTGACTACATAGATATCGAATTCGAATGAGGGTCAAAATAAGGAGGCCGGTCTATCGGTTTTTAGTGGCGGGAGGGCGGACCTGTGTCCCTTTTGGTGTACAATTAACCATTGAATGGTCGCTAAACATAAATCTTTTGAAAGCTTGAATTGAATCCACTTCTGGAAGATCGTTTCCATCCATGGGATTAGATGAACGCCGATAGTGACCTAAGTACCTCTATTCAGCCACTACTTGGAACATCTTACGCGGAATCAACTTGGGGATTCAATTGGTTGAAACGGGAACAGCAAGACTTACGGAATTCCGAATGGCGTTCCAGCATGTGCCTTCCGAATTGGTTCTGAAGGGTGGAATGGTGGATATGTTTTGATTGGGCCCATGCAGCCGCTCTATGAATTGTCGGAATTGGTGATTGGACTCGCTCGGCTGATATTCGATTGCATTGGGGCCTCTCAGTGACACCATCGGTCTTGTTGGACACGGACAAGTTGATTCCGTTTCGTCTGATGTGATGCTAGTAATCATAGTGGGCGCTTCCGCATCAGCGTTTGAAAGAACTCGAGGAAGGAACAAGGGCACGGGTAAATCCTACGTGAAGGTCACACTGAAATCAATGCCGAATAAGTTAACGTCAACGGACGTTTGCATTTGCACGCCGGAGTGGTTTGTTTCGTTTTGGTAGACCACTCGCCAGATTTCCGTGAACGTGTGCGTTGTGAGAAGCCGTTACTTCAAGCTGCCGCCCGTGTTCTGATATGACATGTGCGTGGTGAGCGCGACACGACAAGTCTCGGTAGCGGCGCAGTTGCCTCCTAATCGACGTCTGCGACAGTCGGGTAGCGGGGGACGACAATATATCACCAACCAGTGGAAATCTGTTCCGCCTCCGACGGGCAACGTCCCAAAAGACTGGCGCTAAAGTCGCAACTGCGCTCTCCGACAGGATAGGGTTTCGAACTTGATGATGGCTGTGGCGGTAGGCGCATTGTATAAGTAATGTGTACAATTACAATTGAGTTGTAATAGTGAATGGTGAGTCCTTACTGAGATCTGCATCGACGCACATGCGTTGGCATGCAGAATGAATTAATGACTGACTACTGTGCTGGATTGTTTAATTGAGACAGGCGATAAGTCATAGTTAGAACTCACAAGATCTAGAACTGTAAATCGATGTGGAGAGAACTCGTCTAGGGCCTTTGCTCATCGCCGCCTCGCCAGACCCTCGTTCAAACCGAGCAGTTCGTGTGTCCGCACGCAATGTGGTCCCCGTTGGTCCCAGGCCTTCGTCATCGACGAAGTAAAGGAAATCAGACTGCTAAGATAACGACTGGGACCCCGGCGAAGGGAGTCTACCCGGAATGGCCTGCACTCCGATAAGGACTCCCGCAATAACAGAATTCGTAGTCTGAGAAGCAAAGTCATCAAGTCATTTCGACGAAACATTGACGAAGCATCTTCACCTTGCGCGATCTGGAGCCAGGTTGCTTCCTGAGTTTCAATCTTCAAGTTACGTAGCCGAGGCGGGCCATGTTTCTGGTCGCCGGCATAGAACATCGCAGGAGAGATCGGAATTGAGAAGAAGAAGGCCATTTCTGAGGCTCGGTGCTCCGTTCGTGGTGGGCCACGCAGCATCCCGCTTCGCCTGAAGTCAAAACTTGCCTAAAGGGCAGATCAGCGAGGAACTTGGGACGGCATCAACCGAGATATCACCTGTATCCCATAGGAAAAGGGGCATGGAGAGGCTATCTGACATCGTCAAAATATGGGCAAAATCCGTTATACAAAGTTCCTTGCGGGCATCCCAAAAGTCCGTCCTCGACCCAGTTCACTTCCAAATCGAACTCTCCCTGTTATGAACAGTCTCGTCATATACAAATCCATCTTTACACATATACTGATTTGCTTGTGAGCCAGAAGGTTGAATGACACCTGCGCACCAAATCCAAGGGCGGAGTTCACACCGTGACATTGACATTGGGTGCTATCCGACGTTTAGAACTTGTAACACAAGGTGGCACATCTGATACGGATCGATCGCACCTTCACCGTTGTCCAAGGCAGGGTATCTCTCGGCTAGCACTCGGATTCGACCATCCCAAACAAGACCCTCGCCCAAGTCGAACCGTCCAACTGTCCAAAATCATGTTTCCGTCGTTCGTATTGGAAATGTGAACGTGATAAGCTTCCTTCACACGAGGTAAACTCAGTCCTACGCGGTTTCATTTCAGTGTTTCATGACTTACACGTGTTCCTGGCCCTCTCCGCATATTTAAGCCTGGAAAGTTAATGTGAAGCTAGGGTCGAGACGGGCGCCACATCACTGGCGAGGATATGAATGTTACTGACTTCAAGCCTGGAGGATTCAAGTGAGGTGCTTGCACCGCTTGAGATCGGAATCTGGCTCCTAGCAAGTCCCGCCCTATAGCCAAGCTGCGGAATTCATAAAAGCATCGCCCCGGAGGGGTTGGACACATATTAGCATCATCGACGCAGCTGATTTATCAGGCGGAGGAGTTACTCACAATGGTGTTGCAACGAGCTCCATCCTGTGACCAAGGAATTGGACCCCCAAACCCGAATATGCAGTACACGGGCTCTCGCGTCCCCGTTTTACAAGCGATATTTCACTTCAGCACCTCCCACTGCCTGTATGTCCCACCGCCAGATATGGAGAATACGCGAGGTGGATTCTGACATGAAAGACACGCTGCATGCGCGGATTGAGACGCTGGTGGGGGAAACGACAATGAAATTATGGATATCACGAGGATCAGTAACGAGAGGTCGGTACCTTTGAGAAATGAAATTCAACTCGAGGCAAGCGTAATGAGATTCGAAGAGCTCTGTGGGATTTGCACAGGGAGATGGCAGGTCAGGCGGTAAGCGCGTGTTTTGATGAGATGTGAAATTGCTTTAGCTAGCTCTGGGACCCTGTGCAGCTTGCCCAGAGCAGACATTCTCATCGAGAGGCCGGTTAGGAGGGCAGGGTCTGGTAAAGCCACAAAGCAAGCTGTGAGCGGCGGCACAGAAGTTTCAGCGACGAGACCACGAGATACCAAGTAGCAAAGAAATCGAGATCGCCGTGATGTATGCACCCAATAGCCGGAAAGATGTCACAGACTCCACTCCATGCAGATAAGCAGCACGTACACCTTGATCCAGTTTCACAGAACCGACAAAGAACATCTGCAGCCCTTGGTCTGTTCTGTTCAGGACATGAGTCGTGGATGAAGTGTGTCCGCCAAGAGTTTGATGGTACAGATATGGGTGGCTATTTGCGCCATGTTTGTCACAAGGCTTGGCACTGCTGACAGCGATCACCAAGAGGCGCACAGACTCAGAGACGCTTTGCGCAAGGCACTCGAGGACAGCGACAACGACGACGGCAGCCAGCGACACCACTCAATACCGTACGGCCGATTACCTTGTCTGATCTACACTTCTTTGGCTGGCCTTGGTTGTGGTTTCTGACACACTTTCTCTCGACTTTTGTCCCACCGACGCAACGCAGACTATCATTCAAATTTGGAACTGTGCTAGGAGGAGATCCATGTCGAGATGACCGCAGACGTTGGAACTAGCTCTCAGCCAAGGAATTCGAAGGAAGAAGGGGGGAGCGTGTTGGACATTAGCCTTGGAGAAGTACGGAAAGGAGAGACTTCGAGCTTAACGGGAGAAGGATCAACGAATAATGCAACGGCGGACGACTCGTTCGCAGTCCAGGACCAAACGCTCGTTGACGGTGTCAACAGCAATGTTTCCGGTTCACAGCAGTCGCCTTCGAGAGCGGAACACCAGCAACACACAAAATCCCCGTCAAGTTCTTCAGTTTTGTCTTCTTCGAAAGTTAAGGAGAAGGAAGTAATGCCGACGGCGGCGACCAACGCCTACAGCGGAGCTTGGGACATTACAAGCTGGAATCCAAGTGGAAAGAGCAAAACTGGGGATACATCCTTCTCGACGAACCACGATACAACTCTGGTCGCAGGTTCTGGTGCCGACCAGACAGTGGACATTGCTCTCGCTACGTTAAGGAAGGAAGGCGACGAAGCAGGAGCCAGGAAAGCTGAGAATTCGGATTTCCTAAAGCCTTCGGATGGCGGAGAAGTGGAAGGCGGAAGCGGCGCGAACCTTGCACCCAAACCGTCACCAACACCGTCCAGACGTCCTTCAGCACTTCAACTCAAACCGCCTTCACCACAACCTTGGGATCTTGTCGAACCGCCAGAAGGACCTATGAAGGGAAGAAGTGTCAACGAGCTTTCGCCCGCAGACATTTCGCAGAAATTTGGAGTAACTCCGTATGTGGTTTTCTCGACTAAGTTGGATGTAACATTGACATTCTCGCCTTTGCTCTATTGTCGGCTTTTTTGAAACGTCGTGGCTTTCTGTTGCTGGCGTGAACGCCTTTCAATCATCTTGTTTGGAAACTCACTCGCGTCACGCCTGACGTCCGCCTAATTCAACACCAACGCTTCAAACTCCGGACACTAAATCCACTTGAACGACGTACGACATTACCAAAACCCTGCCGTTGCCTATTCTTTCCACAAACGACAATCGATGATCTATCTTCGCGCCATCCATCACCTTGCCCCTGGATTGTCTCATGGATGAAGAACTGGACGGCCATTGGTTCCAAAGTCGTCATACTACTTCGGCCCTCCAGCGCCAGATTCGGCATATGGAACTCCTCCAATGGGACGTATTGGCGTGCACCACCCTCGTGAGATCCTGAGGATAGAAAGGGATTATTCGGGAGGAGAGGTTATTCAATTCGCTCCTATCTATCCCCTGGAGCTTGAGAACAGGGTGAGTCTGTCGCTACTGCGGTTTCTTTATCTTATCTCTTCGCGAGATTTCCTTCTGGTGTTTTCTTTCCGGCGATTTATTCGTTCTTTCGGTGCCTGTGGAGAACATGCTGGCATGAAGGACCACCGGCGTCTTTTCTGATCACTTGCATTTCGAGGTTGTGTTTCGAATTGCCGGATGTCATGCAATACAGTGGGTGGTTTAGACATCTGCACTCCAATGTGATCAGCCTGCATCTCTTTATGCTTTATCTGTCTCTATTCACTCGTTCTTTCTCCGCGGAAAACACGCTGACTTTCTTTTGTTGATTACAGTTGACGCCCACACAGTTCCTGGAGTCGATCAATTCCATCAACGAGATACTCATCTCAGCACACAGTCTCAGGCGTGCCTTCTTGGATAACCTGATAACCGTGATGAGCCTACAGTTATCTCGGTTGTTCTTGTCAACGCATTTCCAAAAGGTGAGCGAGGATCTTCGGTACTCTTGGCTTGTAGGCTACTTTATCCAGCTATCCTTCCTGTTTTATGGTTTCTGGAATTGCTCGAGAAGGAAGGGCTAACGTGAATTTAATTCTGTGGTCTCGTAGGAAATGAAGCGGCTACGAAATGTTATCGAAGATCTCAACGTGATGCTGTTCAATCCTGTGGGACTGAATATGCTCTGGCCGGGCGACGTCGCCTTCCTCTTCGTGAGTCCCCGCTATTCATGGAATAGCATTGAACAGCATATACTGACCGATCGAATCGCGCACTTTACTACCTGCTTCCAATCAACCGCTGGCGCTCACCTCGCCCTCCTCGCTCCTACGACGATCCGTTGAACATGGCTATCACTCCATGACGCATTCCCCGCCGGGATGAACGACCAATCACCGAAACATCTCCTCGGACCTGTTCATGTTTCACCAGTTGGAAATCGAGTACTACGTGAGTGCCTACTTTCCGTTCTACCGCGATGGCCTCTGGTATCTGTTTCTGAACGATTGGGCGCTCATTCGGTTACTTGTTTGGCAGTGATCATCATTTATCCTTTCCATCTTGGCCGCTGATAGGTCGCTCCACACTCTCAAGGGGCATGGTCCCATGACACCTCGAAGGTTATTTTTAGTACGGGAGCTAAACGACCTAGACGAAAGTGGTCGTGGTGAGAAGGACGTATTGAGGCTTCTGACATCGCTTGGATTCCGTTGGTTGTCCGAAGCTTGCAACAGGGTCTAGACACGGCACATCCCTCTCGAGGTCGGTGGGAGCGGGTTACAGTTGCCTTGGATAGCCTTGCTATTTTATTTTGAGACTATGTCAGTGGAGCTTCACTCACTGACTTCTTCAGTTCTGGATCCATTCTTGTTGGGATTCTGTGTTATGGCCGAGGATCTTCGCTTTCATCATTTCTATCTTCGTTTATTCTTTATTCCTCCTTTTTGGAACATTACAACACACATTCCCTTGGTCGTAATTCTAGACACGTCTGTCTGCCTCGTGAACCCTTTAATTAGTGTAATGATATACCTACCTGTAATAACACGCTCGTTTGAATTCGAATGGAACTCATTAATATGTCTTGTCTGTTCCGATGGTCGGGGTGAATGGTCCGGTCTGATATGTGTTCGCCTCCCCATATAGATGGCTATCGAAATGGGATGGCAACAACAGTCGACGACGGACATAATATACGAGAATAGTTCAGATTGGGCTGCGCATTTGAAGTCCTGCTTCACGTCAGCTCTCATATGCACCCGGTTTGTTCAAGTGCTCAAGGAGGTGAAGCGCTGGTAAGTGCAGAAGCGTGGCCCATGTTTTCAGAGATCTCCATGCAGGTGTACCCCGGAACCCTTGACCGAACTCGTGGTGTAAAAGATCTATTCTTCTACTTAGCGAGGGAGAAGGAACTACGAAGGTTGGCCGTGAGTAGTGGGTATGCAATGAATGACATCTGACATACGGGGACTTGAGCTTCCAATGGGAGATTTATCGGCTGGCGCGAAGACATACAAGGACGCTCATAAGAGATATAGCACCAAACGTCGAGACGTCGAGCCCTGAGTTTTGTTCAAAACGTTCCAGACAAACAGGAGGTCTAGCCAATGGTGGGAATGAGGTAGGTGGTCGCCTCCTACGTCATAGTTCCCTCGCTCGACGAGGAGAGGGCCAGAACCTGGTTTTCCAAAAAAGAAGTTACTCCGCCTATACATTGGCAGAGCGTGGGTTGAATTTGAAAAGAGAGCAGGGGCCTGTTGCTCGAGCGAGGTGTACGGACGAGGTCGTAAGCCACCACGAAACATTTTTTTACTGTTCGATCGTATTCTCTAAAGATCCATGGCCCTCGAAGAAAGCCAGGAGTATTTTGGTTTGAAGGCGGTGAAGGCAAAAAGGTACGAAGGAAGACGCGAAGGTGGAGGGAATTTGGGTGAAGGTACACGAGGTGGAGCATTGAATATTGAATTGAGGAGGAGAAATAGCCTGATTTAGCGCGGTACATTGAAGAGATTCCCATCAATCTCGTAGGATAACATGCGCCGATGCCGTAGCCGCGGCTGACTGTATGGATCTTGGTGCGAGTCATACAGAACCCAATTGCCAGCGGGCCCGCCATGACACGCGAAAGATTTGGGGTTGGAATAACCTCCAGAGCCAAATTCCATCGTATTCCCAGGTATTTTGAAGAAGAAAAACATGGAGAATAGAAGGCCAGAATACTCGCCAGAGCTCCCACAAAATGGAATCTTGACGGAAGGGATATGGATCTCTGCATGTGTTCTTCTCGCCGAAAAACATAGACGCGTACGGTTACGTAGCGAGATGCCGGGAAATGATGCGGAAAATACAGAAGCAAATAATATTAAAATAATTAATTCACCCCCTTGATTACGAGTTAGTAAGCCACCCAAGATTTGTTTCAGCCCTTGGAATCGGATCCTTCAGTCCTCCTCGTACCCAACCACCATCCACAACGCCCAGAAAAGCCGGGCGTACTCTTTTGCTCATCGTCGCGAGATTCTCGCCGTCGTCGTCCAGACCGTCGAGCTCCCCTGTTACCCGTCTCTCAGGCGCCAATTGCAAGGTTGTAGGGTTGTTGTAGTCCCCGCAGCTCCCAATTGCTTATCGACACTTTACCCCAGGCCTCGGTTTCCTATATCCCACCCTTTGACCGAAGAAACAACTCGGTACACTAGTGTCAATATCAGTCTAATGCCAATGGAGACCTTCCAGGATGTACCGCCTCTCTGGGACTTTCCAGGCGCAGTGAACTACTCTCAAATGCCGGACGAAGACTTTATGAACCTTTTCTCCAAGCAATTTCCTCAGACTGGCGCTGTCGTCGACCCAATGTCCTTTGGAGGAGGATATATGGATAATTCAGTGGCCAATATGAACCAACAACAACATGTGAACAATCTCCCTCCACCGCTGCCCTCCTTGACACCCCCGTCGGAGGATAGCAGCCCCAGTCCTCCAAACTCAAATCAAGAACCTGAGGAGAAAGATGTACAGCAACCGCCCAAGCGAAAAGCCGCCGACCTTCCTCAGGATGGGCCCAGCTCGAAGAGCCAGCATACCAGTATGTACCATATGGTATCACCCTTACCTTGTACGGAGTACTGATGCGTTCGGCAGTGAATAACAACGAGAAGAAGTCCGCCACAGCTTCTACCTCTGCAACTACGTCTGGCAATCGACGCAAGTCGACGAGCACCGTAAGTGCTTCACGGCGAGGTCCGATATGAGATATGGGCTCAACGGCTATCATAATCAGGTCAAAGACGAAAGCCGCTTATTGAAGCGCAAGGAGCAGAACCGTGCCGCCCAGCGCGCGTTCCGGGAACGGAAGGAGAAACATGTCAGAGATGTGAGTTTATGCCACCAATGGTCTTTGTCCTGCTCTCATCTCTCTGTCCCTGTCTCCAGCTCGAGGAGCGAGTGGCTGAACTCGAGGCGAAAAATGAAGAAGCGACGCATGAGAACGAAAACCTCCGGGACTTGTTGGCCCGACTCCAATCGGAGAACGTTATGCTCAAGCAGCAGCAGTTCACCTTCTCCATGCCCAGAAGCACAACGGACAACAGCTTCCCTGGTACTGATATGTCGGCTTTCAATTCTGGCTTGGCGTCAGGATCGAACGGTTCCTTCGCCGCAGCGTCATCCTCCAAGAGTCCTAGGCACACTAACCCCCTCGAATGGAGCTCATCATCTACGTTCGACCCAACAAGGCTGAACCTGCTCGACGATCTACCACAGCCCACAGCCACTCAAGGAGCGATGCAATTAGACTTCGGATTTGGAAATACTGGCTTGGCGTCCAATGCTCCATATACCTCGATTGCCGCAAACCCCATGTTCATGTCATTCGCATCGTCATTCGATTCGTCAACGCCTTCAGCTTCGACAAACTCCGATAGTCCAAATCATTCGATGAACGGAGGCAGCACCAATTCTGCATTCAATTTCGACTTTAATTCTCTAACGCCATGGCCGACGCAGACGAACAACCAAGAGAATTCGCTGGACGATCTGTTGTCGAATTACATGAACAATTCGAACAGCTACGGCAATTCGTACCTGACATCGCCAGCAAGTGTCAGTCCTGTCGCCCATCACCCCAAGCCGGCAGGGCTGTCATGCTCCACCTCATCCACATCTTCGCCTTCCTCCTCTTCCACCGACCCACTATTCACACCGAAGGACATGGCCACTCCCGAATCGGACCGGGATGGCGCTCATCATGACACCACCAAATGTCCGAAGAACAGGTCCGAAGTTGCGAAACGGGTGGAGGAAGCTGGCGAATCGCCGTTTGCCCCCAGTGTACAGAAATGTCAGGATGCGCTGTTTGGGACGATGATCTCATGCAGTGGGTCTGTCAGCTTCCCAAAGACTCAGAAGAGCGACCAGAACGTGGAGGTGCTGACTGCCTGGAGGAGCATAACCTCCAACCCCAAGTTCAAAGTTCGTATCCTGAGCCGTAATTGCGGAAAAGGACATTGAATCGCTTACTATGATATAAATTATTTGCTTCTTTTCTGTAGGACACCGACATCTCGGATTTGTGTGCCGAGTTCACAGCAAAAGCACGATGTGATGGCCAGAAGGTCGTTCTCGAGCCATCCGGCGTCGTGTCAATATTGGAAAAGCTGTCGCAGAAACAGCAGCCCCAGCACTAGCGGCCTGGGGTTTATGGGAAGAAAACGCCGGTCCCCGTTCACTCGGGGATGAAGTACGGTCGACATATCACCAAAATAGCGATCTCCTCGACTTCGGCCACGGTTTTCCCTGATTCACGCACATCCCCGTTGGTCCAGGCTACTCACGCCCCCTCGCTTCCCCCAGCACCGTTGTTTTCTACATCAACTTCAAGCATCGTGTCTACTTTAGCTATCCATACCATCAACTTTACCTCGTGGTTCATCCCCGCTCGCCGTCCCTCTCGACGATCTCCGTAGGCGTCGGCAGCAGCTCCCCCACGCAATCAAAGCAAATCTCCGAAGTGTGTATTTCTATTCTCCGTCAAGACTTCCGAACTACGTTTCGTCTCATTCGCCCCTCCCCTCGTCGGCCGCGGCTTTTCGTACCGTCGTTTGCGCCATTTATAGCTCATGTCGCCAGGCCCTATCATGATCGCACTCGGCAACTTCATCCGGGCTTCCTTCTGGGAGTTGGAACACTGCGAAGGACATCCTCCCATATGGATAAAGAAGGTCTCGTTATCTCTGGCTTCGTGGGGGGATAGGGAGGTCAGGAGACGAGCACGCCAATCTCTGGGTTGTCGGGCACGGAGTCGTACGTATGGTGACATTTGCCCCTTGTGACGATGAAAAGGAGATGCCCATTTCCTTAACAGCCATTTTTGGATGGTGGTGGGCCGTTATGATTCGACATTATACCTCCATTGTTCTTCTGTTTACTTGCCTTATTCTCTCTTTTTACTCGTTCAATTTTTCTGAAATCGCCGATCGACCAGGGTTTGACAGCAATGTCCGGGGGGAGCGGTTGTACCACTGAGATCGACGAAACTGGTTCCCCTAACCCCGAGTGCTCTTGTCACCTGTCCAGATTCTGGCATGCTCTCGTCTCTTATTTCCCTTTCAACTTGTGTGTTCTAATGTCTGAATGTTCGAAATGTATCTTGATTGGGGTTGCCAATCAATCGCTTTCTTCCCCTTTTTACCTTTTCTCTTCACTTCTTGGGCCGGCTTCTAATAGTTTCTGCGCTCGACTTTCTTGCCTCTTTCCCCGCTGTCTTCTCCCGTCTCTCTGTCTCCCTCTCTCTACGGATCGATGCGTGTTGATCGAAACCCCAACTTCCTTGTACCTGTTTTTTCCTCATACATAGACCCTGATGGACCCTCTCTCTCTGTTTCGCTTGTTATCGTCATCGCTTCGCTGTGGATCGTCACTGTATCGTCTACAGATTACTTATATTTAACCCTTGTATCATTATGTCCGTTGTGGATCAAATGAAGATCAAATGAAAATCAAACGTATCGGTTGTCCAATGGGGTGGTCAGCGGTGCGGGGTACATCCGATATCACTTTGAGCGGGTATGCACTAGCGCTCGTAGTTGTTCGAGCCAGCTTGAGCGTCACAAAGATTATATATCATTCGTGGCAAAAGAAACGTAGACATACAAGGCGAAAGTACAATTGGGGTAAAGTAGTACAGAATTAAGACAATGGAAACAAAAAGACAAGATAATACGAAGTCCCAAAATGAACGCCGTTCGAAGCGAGATGAGAGCGTATACCGGGAGGACCAAGAGGACTGTAAGACAGCCCCCCCCCCCCCCCCCCCCGTCCCCCATGCATATCGTGCACGTAGAGGAATCGGAAAAGGCATGAAGAAACGAGACTAATCATCGTCACTAGGAGTGAGATAATCATCCTCCTCATCACTCGCCACCACGTTCTTCTTGATAGATCTACTCCTTGACGGAACAGGCCTCTCATCCTCCTCCATCGGGGTCAATGCCGACTCGTACGACGTCGTCGACGAATTGCTAGCAGCCGGAGGAGCCCCAGGCAAATCCGTGCCAGCGATGTGCTTTTCAAACGCCTTCTTGAACACCTTCTCCATCTCGTCGGCGTCAACGTACACCCATGACCCTTCCTGGTTGTACGTCCTTGCGTTGTTGAACATGAGCAGGAAATCATTCTTGAATTGTTGGACGCTCTTGTAGTGGGTGCCGGTATACCGTTTGCGGATCTGAGCGAGGGAGATGGGTTGGCTGATGAGTTGGTAGTAGTCGGGGTAGTCCTGTACAGAAGATAGTTGTCAGAAGAAGTGGTATAACAAGAGAGGTAAAACGTACCCGTCGATCAGGAAGCTCTCTGAACAATTCACATCGTTTCCTTCCAGCCTCAGCTTCGCAATTCGTCACAGCCTTGAAGCACTCCTGGAAGGCTTTCTTCATGCGCTCACGCACAGCAGGGGGGACATCATCCTTGCTACTCGACGGCCCAGCCTTGGTCTTGCGACGTTTCTGATATCCACCCTAAAATCAGCGATCAAACCCTCTCACAAAAAACGATATGCAAAATAAATAGACTAACGATTTCAGGCTCTTCATCTTCATCAGCGATGGATGGCGTGGCAGAATGGCTCTTCTGACCTCCACGTTTGCGTTTAGAGCCAGCGGGTAGGATGGCAGAGTATTCAGAGTCGGTAGCCTTGGCTTTGCCCTTCTTCTTGCGTCCGCGACCGTCGCCTCCTTCGGAGGCTGGTGTTCCCCGTGCGGACTCCTCCTTGAGCAGCTTGTTGGCAAGTCGGCGCTCCTTCTTCTCCCTAGCGCGCTCGGTGAGTTCTTGGATATCTTCACCCTCTTCGAGAGCCTGTGATGTAATAGCGGGGACGCAGATCAGCAATTAGTCTCGGCCATCGGGTCAAGGAGAAAAAAAAATAGAACAAAACGACTAGAATCGCGGAGGCGGAGAAATGATCCGGCGGTAGCGTAACAGCGAACGGAACCACGAAGAGTACGCAAGAAAAGGGGTCGATGACGACGACGATCGTCCCAGCACAACCAAAACGGAAGGTCTAGAACGCGACAACACGGGAAGCCAAACACTCACCATCGCCCAGGTATCATCATCCAGTCCATCATTATAGCTAACGACATTCCTCTTCCTCTGTCCTCGGCCTTCCATGACATCATCAACCTCAGCAGCCTGGAACGGCTCATCCGTCTGATAGCATTCCGGAAGTTCCTCCAACTGGAAGAGCGGTGGCGGAGGCTTGCCCTTGTTCCCAGCGGCACGCCAGGCCTCGAGCACTTCCCGCTCACGCTTGGCGTCGATTTCGCGGAAAATTTGGGCTTCGTGTTCGCCTCGAGCCAAGAGTTCGTTGAGCTCGTCGTCATTCATGTCGCCGGCTTCCTCGTTCTCTTCTTCTTGGTCGGCTTCGAGAATGGAGCGCTATGGAAAGGCAAATAGATCAGCGTTTAGTTCGAAAGGCCATTCTAAGAGATACATACCAAGAACTCTTCCTGTTCCTCCTGTGTAGACTTGTTATCGAATCGACCAGCTTGAATGACCTTGTCGTCAATATCAAGCTTGTATCGCGCACGCTGGTACATCGCCTCTTCCACACTCTTCTCAGTAATAAACCTAAGAATGAGCACAGCACGAGTCTGTCCAATACGATGCGCACGATCCTGGGCCTGCAAATCGGCGTGCGGATTCCAGTCACTGTCGAAGCTGTAGTAACCCCAAACACATTAGCATTGTCTCCAAAGATAAGAAAAAAAAAGGAAAACATACATGATAACAGTATCCGCAGTCTGCAAGTTCAAACCCAAACCACCAGCCCTCGTGGACAAAATGAAAACCATATACTCCGAATCCTTCGAGTTGAACAACTGCACAAACTGCGCACGCTCCTCGGTCTTGGTACCACCATCCAACCTCAGATACTTCCACCCCATAAACTTCAAAAAGTCCTCCATGATATCCATGACCTTGGTCATCTGGAAGAAAATGAGGACACGATGCCCGGTGGCAAAGAATTTGGGGAGGATACGGGAGAGGAGCTCGACTTTGCCGGAAGCGCGGATGAGCTTGTTGTCGATCCATCCTGAAGGGTTCATCTTGTCTTCTACAGATTCGAAGAGGAAGGGGTGTTGGCAAATCTTTCGAAGCTGCATGAGCTCATTCGAGAGACCCTTGATTCCACCGGATTTGCTGTAAAGTCATTTCCCCGTTAGCTCCAAAGCTTCAGAATGAAAGTCGGAAACACTCACCCCTTGTTATCCTTGTTTCCGTCCGCAATCATCTTGTGCTTCTTCATCTGCTTGTACAACTGACTCTGCAGCGCACTCATGCGGACCTTGATCACCTTCTCCACCTTATCCGGCAACTCACTCTCCACATCCTTCTTCAACCGCCTCAACAAGAACGGTCGCAGCACCTTATGCAGACGTTTAATAATAAGCAACGCCTCTTCTTCGTTCAACTCGATCTTGTCGCCGGTACCGCTGTTGGCGAAGGGTGTGTTGAACCATTCGTCGAAGGATTTGACAGAGTTGAAGATCTTGGGCAGGACGAAGTTGAGGAGGGCCCAGAGTTCAGGGAGGTTGTTCTGGAGAGGGGTACCCGTCAGGATGAGACGGTAGCGGGAGTGGTAGTACGTTGTGAGAGTTTGAGCGAGCTTGGATTGGGTGTTCTTCATACGATGACCTTCGTCTATAGACTGTGTCAGACACCACCCTCACACCTAAAGAAAGGGACCTACCAATAATCATATGCACCCACTTGATCTTGCTGAGAATAGGCCTATCCTTGATGATGTACTCATACGTCGTCAACAACACCTGGAATTGACCAGCCCTCATCTCCTGCTGAATCATCCTTCGCTGTTGGGGATTACCCTTGTACGAGATTGTCCGGACTTGCGGAGCCCATTTGGCGAACTCTCCAGACCAGTTGGTCATAGTAGACAGAGGAACAATGACGAGGTAAGGACCACGTTGACGCTTGACCTCAATGAGGAAGGTGATGAGGGAGATAGTTTGGATGGTTTTACCGAGACCCTACACGTATCGTCAGCACAAATCCCAATAAACGTAAGAAGAAACACACCATCTCATCGGCGAGGATACCGTTAAGCTTGTTGTTGTACAAGCTGACCATCCACTGGAGACCCTTGAGCTGGTACTCCTTGAGCGTGCCACCCACAAGCAACGACGGCTGCTTCGTGATCTTCTCCTTGATACGATGCGCAATAGCATAGTAATCCACCTTCTTATCGTCTCCCTCGTCATTGGTGACCTGAGCACCAAACGTTGCCTCCGAGGTAGGTCCATCCTCCGTATCATACTGCAAGCCCCCGTGCTCGTTCTGCTGAGCCCTCACAGCCTGCGCCAACGAATCGAGGTAAGCATCGGTCTGTCGGAGCAGGTGGGTAATACGAGTATCCTTCGCGGTGTCAATAAGCTTCATGTACGCCTCTTCATCGTCCGCCTTGAGCGCCTTCAAACGCTCCTTCGCCAACCTCTCAATCCTCTTCTGCTCCTCCTTCTCCGTCTGTGCGTGGAAGTTGAGCACCGACCTCCCCAACCTGAGCATCCGATCCTGTGCTGAGCGGTTAGCACTAAGCACTTCCCGTCCATGCGTGCAAATGATGAGCAGCTGCTCGACATGCTTGTGCTTGGCACGCTTCTCGCGGTCCATACGTTGTTTGCGCTCGAGCTGGTCGATGGTACGGGCATCGCGGATGGTGGGTTTGCGCGTGCGCCTAAAGTCGAGGCGGTTGATAGGGAGCATGGAGCCATGGGCGAGGCGTTCGGCGACCTGAGCACGCATGGCGCGCTGCTTCTCAAGAACGCGCAGGCCCTTGAGTTCAATCAGAGCACGGAGCTTGCCGTGCGCTGTTGGTGGAGGGTGGATGAGAGCTTTAAGAGCTTGCTCCGTGTCGAACTCGGTCTTGTTCTCCTTTTCCTCTGAGGGACCTTCGCCAAGGTCGATTGGTTCGTCAAAGTCGCCGTCGCCCATGGTGGACGGTAGAGCCTCGAGCTCGCGGATACGTTGTTGAATTCGCGCTTCGATGTATCGCTCTCGTTCGTTGATAATTTGGTGGGCGTCGAGACCGGCAGGCATGATGGTGGGTATCAGCAGTCTCTGTAACCGGGTGGCAAAAAGCTGTGGATCGACGTCTGCTGGTCGCTTGAGGTGGCTGAATGGGTGGCGGTAGGCATTGTAGGGATAAATGCCCGAGTTGACGTCGTCTTCGAGGAAGGGGCCCTTGGGGAAGGTCGAGGGGTCGACAGAGGGATCCTGTTCCTCTGCCTTGACCTCCTCTGTGGTCGAAGTGGCAGCAGGGGCTGGTGTAGTGGATGGCTGGCTGGGTGTCTCTGCCTTGGACACCTTGACTGCCGAGTCGACGATTCTTGAAGGCACGTCTGGGCCCTGCAAGAGCTTTTCGAGCTCGGGAACAGCATTGTTTGGGACTCGAATTGCTTGTTGCAGGTGGTCTGGGACGGGCATACCGCGCTGCAACAGTTTAAAGGCATGAATTTGGGATCGTAGAGCGTTGATTTGTGCTGGTGTGAAGGATACTGGCGTTTGAGCTGGCGCAGCGAACTGCTGGGCTTGTCCTGAGCCCTGGGGTATCGAAGCAGCATTGGCAACATTGCCATTAGCTAGCGGGGCTACATGGCCATTTGTTGCCATCTGCTGCATGGGCTGCTGTGCGCGACTGGCCTGCTGTCTGTCTGGAATGGGGTTCAGTAAGAAATGGTATATTTGAGAAATAATGGGTGTACTCACTGCTGAAATTTTGGATGAATTTCAAGAGGTTCTCGAGTTCACCTGGAGCCTTTTGTTCTGTTGGGTTTTGGCGGAGGTAGTTTACCCTCTGTTGATGTATTTAAGAGATTGTATACAAGATCAGAGGCGGGATACTTACTGCCATGACCTGCTGCAGCTGGTGTTGCTGGTGCTGGTGCAGCTGTTGCTGGTTCATGTGGGCCATCTGGTTGTGGGCGGGATTGCCCATGAGCTGGGCGGACATTGTCGTTAAATTAGACACCGACGCGCCGCGCTGACCGACTGAGATTCTTTCTTTGCGAGTTTCGTTTCCCAAAGTCAAAGCCGCGTGATGAATGCCAGCCAGAGTAACAATCCACTCAACCCGCACTCCCAATCTCTGACAAAGCAAAACCGTGGGAAATTATGTAACACACTGCATCACGTGGTCCGTACCCTTAATGAGCGCGGTCGCGTCAACAGTCATTTCAAGTCACGACCACGATGCCAGCAGAGCGAGCAGGGGTGAGCAGCCAGGAATATAGTCTGTTCGTCGCTAATGAGCCTTATAGTATACAGTATCGATGTTCCTGGTGGACGTCTCTTCGACCATGGCGGAGAAGAGAACCATCGAACTCCCGCCAGGACCAGACGGTGAACTGAGGACAACAGAAATCACAAACCTCGAATGGGCTCTGCGATATGTCAAGTACAAGGTCCAGGAGATGATCTTCCACGGTCGCAAAACAGACCAATGTGGAGTATACCTCTTCGGTTCAGAGGGTAGGCAGCACGCTCTTCCCGCCGACTAAGCCCTCACACTTGCCAGTCACCAACAACCTCGTCAATAAAAAGCAAGGCGGATACGACCATATCCAAGAGTATATCAAGATTGGCACGCCTAACATTGGTACCCTCGCAAAAATAGACGAGATTACCACGTCCGACTTGTCTGGGGACCGTAAGTCAACGTCCAGCCCTGGTCGGATACCCATCCGCTCACGCAGAGCAGCTTTGGATGCCCTGGTTGTGGGCATTGAAGCACAGAAGCTTTACCTAGGAAACAAGAAAACCTGGACCAGGAAGATCTTCCTCATTACCGACGGCGAGCGACCCATCGAAATTGAAGATTGGCAAGACATCGTCAATAGCATGCTCACCAACGATGTCAGATTGACTGTGGTGTATGTACCCTCTGCCTCCTCCAGGCCAATGCTGACGTTCCTCAGAGGTATCGACTTTGACGACGAAGAAGGAGGATACGTCTACCCCGAAAAGTCTTTCCACAAGGTCTGTCGCAGTCCACCTTGCATCCTTCACGACATCTCAACCTCGCCCAGAAAGCAAATGAAGACTTTTTCAAAGAGTTCGTCGACGCAATGGGCGACAACGGCGTTCTCGGTACACTCGAATTCGCTCTCCAGGAAGTCGTCAGACCCGAACCGAAACAAGTCAAATCAACGCCCGTCCCCACCGTTCTGCGCATCGGAGACCCCGACTACAAACCAGATGAGGCTATGACTATCACCGTCCGAGCCACGAAGTGTACAGCGCTCGTCCGGCCTGCCAGTTTGAAAAAGTACGCTTTGAGGGAGATCACTGAGGAGGATATGGCTGTCGACGAAGACGAGGAACGCAAGGCGATCTTCAAACAGTTGAAGATGCGCACAGAGTACTACGTCGACAGAAACGCTGGAGGGGACGACGAAGACGAGAATGTGAAGATGGAAGATGATGAAGACGAGGGTCTGCTTCTGGAGGGTTCTGCAGGTCCCGTGGAGAAGAAGAACAAGGAAGAGAACTGGGAGAGAATCGAGAAGGAAGAGCTAGTAAAGGGTTTCAAGTACGGAACGACCTACGCACCTTGTCCGGACGGTCAATTCCCCAAACTGCAAACAGTAAAGGGCATCGACATTATGGGTTTCTTCCCTTCTAAAAACGTACGTCTCGCCTTTCCCTCCTCTTTGAACTGACCTAACCCCACGCCGCCACAGTTCCGCCGCGAACTCTCCATGGGCGAAGTAACCTACATCTGGCCAGGCACAAACGCACCCGACCAACTCGCCCTCTCCTCTCTCATCCAAGCAATGTACAACAGCCAGAAATACGCCATCGCGCGTTGGGTCCTCCGCGACAACTCGGATCCCAAGATGGGGGTCCTAGCGCCCTGCGTCTGGGATAACATCGACTGTCTGCTCTGGGTCCGGATGCCTTTCGCTGACGACGTGAGGAAGTACGTGTTCGGAAGTTTGGACACGCTGGTGAACAAGAAGGGCGAAGTGGTGGAAGAACATCCTTATCTGCCAACTCAAGAACAACAGGAGGCGATGGATAATTGGGTGGATAAGATGGAGTTGGGGGATGCCGGGGATAAGGATGAAGAGGGGAACCGGATGCCTTGGTTCGACACTTCGTCGTCCTTCAATCCAGCTGTCCATCGTATCAAGCAAGCCATATTCCATTCGGCGGTTGTGTCGGATGTGACGACTGACCCACTCCCACCACCTCATCCCGAACTGCTCACCTACTTTGAACCACCCAAGAGGGTTCTCAAACGGTCCAGAGACGCCTTGGAAGAGTGCAAGAAGGTATTTGCTGTTAAAGAAGGTGTGTGTGTACTATTTCTCGGACATGCGATTACGAAAAACTAATTATCACCATATAGTCCCCAAACGGACCGCCAAATCCAAGAAGGACGAGCACACGCACGGCTTGGAAGAGGAAGACTCTATCCTCCTCCTGGACGCCAAGAAACCCGCTCCGCCCTCCCGCTCCCAAACGCTCGTACAAGCCGAATCGTCTTCAAACGTTTACGCCAAAGGCGAGCCGTCCACCCCACACAAGAAAGTCGAGAAGACGAAACCCGCTGCAAACGACGACGATAGCGTCACAGAGGACGAATCGGGCGAAGAAGACTATGTCTTACTCGATGCGAAACCGAAGAACGCACCGTTACCTACACCCGCTCGCTCCGTCTCTCCTGCTCCCCGTTCGAAAGGCAAACAACCTTCTTCCTCAAAAAGCCGCGATGGCGATGAAGACGACGAAGACGCGATGGACATTGACACCGGCCGCGCACCGGGGCGTATCATCAGCTCCACGTACCCCTTGCGAGACTTTAAGAAGAACATCAGCCAGGGCGACGTGGTGTCTAAAGCCGTCGAGGATTTGGGCGAGGTGATTAAAGAGGTGGTTATGAAACCGTTTACGAAGAGGAGGGAGGACGAGATGGTGGAGTGTATGAGGGTTTTGAGGGGGACGTGTAGGGAGGAGGATGAAATCGATGCTTGGAATGCGTGCGTATCCTCCTGCACCGTTTGACCTCTCAGTTGCCCTTTGTGTTTTGCTAACGACCTACCCTTCCTCCACAGTTTCATCACAGACCTGAAAAAGAAATGCCTCTCCAAACCCGGTAACCCAAAGTTCTGGGCCAAAGTACAAGAAGTTGGAGGCAAGGAGCTGGGTTTGATCGGTGAGAAGGAAGCCAAGAGGTTTGGTGGTACTTCGCAGTATACGGAGAGGCAAGTCGAGGAGGTGAGTATGCCATACATTTATTACTCGTTTGCAAGTGGTGGTGGCGACAGATGGCGGTTGCATCCGTGTTTCCGATCGACTTTTTTCTTGGTGTGCTGACGAGTCATTCTCCTTTTTGTACAGTTCATGGCCTGAGGAACGACAATCGACTCCTAGCGTTGTCCTGTGCAAGGATACATGCCCCGTCTAGTTCTTGTTCTTGATTCATTCATGGCTTAATGTTCCGATACTTCCCCTGTGGTCAACTTCAACCCTCCCCGGCTTACCTATTTACTTCGTGTCTGTGTAGTTCGGTATTCCTGGATCCTTTTTGGACTATATGCACACTTTTTCCGTCTCCTGACGGTTGTACGCATCGACGCTTGTAATGAGAAAAATTCTATTGATTCATTGGTGACGCAAGGCAGGCAAAACCACAATGACAGGAGATCTAATATGCTACACGATTTGGAATGGGACTGAGAGACCAGTACCAGGACACCAGAGGGGGCGGGTCATGAAATAGAATGACGCAACAAAAGCCGAGGGGTACATGGAGCAATTTCATTCTCTGCGATAGTACTATACCAGTCATAGCAATGACGATAGGAAGCAATGGGTGGTCATAGCAGTGGTAATGAACATGTGGAAGAAACACGCAAGAATAACGCAATTGATGTGCGGAGAAGTTTTGTTGGATTCGGTGGTGTAGGGAGAATTGAAGCAAGCGCCAGTGGGGTACTAGGAAACAGGAAAACGGAAAGATACTGTGGTGCAAAGGAATTTTCGAGACTCGAGGGGGTGCGTATTGAATGACGACGACACTGATGGATGAAATGATGGATACGTTAAAAAAAAAAAAAAAAACAGCCTCGACCTTGTGCGATGTTCAATGTGTGATACAATAATAGGATGGAATAAACTGGGAGTACTAGGGATGCCAGAGCTGAGAGGGGAAGACCGGAAAAACCAAAGCAAACAAAAAATTTCGATAAAATAAGATAGGATACGAGGAGAGTAGTAGTACTATGTAGCATCGATGGGACTGAGAATACAGAGAGAACAGGGACCTTAAATAACACCATAGGAGCAGGAGCGATGAGAGGAGAGGAGGCGAGGGGAAACAGAGAAAGGAAACATCATAACATAACATACAATGATATGCTTTCGCAGAGAGAAAAATGCTTTTATGTGTGTGGGTGTGTGTGATGTGGTGGACTGGGAGCATAGATAGAGAGATCAAAGCAGTGGGGGGTAGCGGAGTGGAGCACAGGGATATAGGAATCGAGAATATGGAATAAAGAAAAAAAAAAAGGGAACAGAGATGGTAGCAGAAACGATACAACCAATCGCCAGATGGTGGGTGGTGGTAGCAGTAAAGAAAAAAGAAAACGGCAGAAAGGGAATCAAAACCAAAAGAAAACGTCCATGCATAATCAACGTAATGAAACCTTTCTGAAAGAAAGCCTATAGAAAAAAACGTTGAACTGTCCATCTCACACCAGCAGACAACGACGACAACCTGGAAAAAGAAGAAACAAGTCCGTCACCGAATACTCCAAATTTACAACCCAAGCCCAGAAATAGCACGGGTGACTTCATCGACAGGCGTAGCTTGATCATCCCCTTCACCACGAGTCATAGGCGGGTTCGAGCCCAACGACGACCGACTCGGCGGACCGTACACGCTAGGGAACAACGGGACCGTCACTGAACTAGGACTCGAGTTTCCACCCGTGTCGCCGGTCGAAGTGGTAGGCGATTCAGGCTGAGGAATATTACCCGAGTTCTCAGTGATACGCGAGAGGGAGTAGGTAAGGTCAAGCGATTGTGCGCGGTTGTTGAGCGAGCGGGGTTTAGAGAGTTGGTCCTTGAGCTTGGCCTCGAGGAGCGAGTCGGAACCTCGCTTGATGGCATCCTCGCTATGGCGGGTACGATGCACGCCCGAACCCTAATCACACACCGTGTTAACCTCCATAGACAGCAAAGCGTAAAAAAAGAAACAACGCACGATAGGCGGCAAAGGTGTCCAATGATCAACTTCTGATCCTCCCGAACTAGGAATGAAGTTCGTATCCGGATCCTCCTGCTGCTGATTACTTTGCGCCAAATTGTAGATGTAGGCAGGCGAATTGAACAGCGCCTTGACATCCGGGGACGAATTCGCGAGCCTGAGTCGTCGATCGCCAATCACGTCAGATCGAGCCAACGACAGGTCCATCGATTCTGTCCACACGCAACTCAGGATTAGCATTGAATGACACACGCGAATCAGGGGAAATACGTACCATGTCCACGAGTCCGAGCAGCCGACAAGACCTTGCTGTCAAAGTGGGGGAACGCTTCCGCAAACGAGTCGCCCCGCTTGTGTGTGTGAGAAGTAGGCGAAGGGTAGACGTGGATGTTGTGGTTGAGCAAGAATTGCTCGAGCATCTCACGAGCGGTGATGAGGAAGTCGCTATTGCTCCGTTGACACCTAAACTTGAACGAGTAGTCTGTGGAGGGTTCGGGAACGGAGTTTCCGTTGGCGTAGGGTGCTGCATTTTTGAAGTTGGGCGATATTGAGACCTGCAATTCGCGCTTGACGCGTTCCACCAGGGCAGAAAATTCGGGTGTCGAGACGAGACGAGGGAGATCGGGGTTCGGTGGGACGGCCATATCTGCTTCGAATGGGACGTGGTCCTAGAGACGTCATTAGCGGACTGCTACATCGTCAAAAGAGACGCTCACCAGAAGCATAGCCACTGCGATTTGGACCTGACTCTCAGGACCAAAGATGGTCACAATATCAGACGCAGTTTCCTTGTCAGGGAACCTAACGCGCGAGTTGGTGTTTTGCTCGATATCATGAATAAATATCGCCTTCTCGCCCAGGAGAGTGCGGTGATATCGGCGGGGAATAGAAACTGTCTCGTCAACATAGTCCTTATCCTATACGCCAGTCAGTGATGACCATCCAACCACAGCTAATTATAGAAGCGCACCTTGGGATTCACGAGCTCCATAACAGATTGCTTGAGGTTTTCCAGGTTGATGGCGTTCTTGGCGGGCGTTCGAGCGACGACGTTATCTTCATTATCGTTATATCCTCCAAGAGCGGCAAACTCTTCAGCGTTGGAGAACTTGACATACACCCCATACTTCTTCATAATGCGCTGGATGCTGCGGCCACCGACACCGATGATGCGCTTGTGGTACGTCTCGGGAACATGGAAGGATATCTCGGCGGGAAGCTCCTCTTGAAGGAGGGTAAGCCCTTGCAAGACAGAACTATCAGGCCCTGCGATATCAATCAAGAAATTATGGTCGTTAAAGGTTTCAAACTTGATCTTGACGTTCGTGGTTTGCATAATCTTGTTGATCTTTCCGTTCTTCTTTCCACTGATGAATTCCCGGTGTTCGTTGGCCAATTCTATTTGAAAGCGTATCTCGTGATGGAATGCCTGATAGGTCGTTAGTTCAACGCACAGGTTAGTCACAAAGAGGCTGCGCCTACCTTGACAATGTCAAGTTCCATGATCATGTTGACCGCAGCCCGAACTTCGTTTTCCAAGCCGTGAAGTTCGAAGCACATACTCTTAAAGACAACCTCGGCTCCGGAGGCAACGGAGATTTGCTTGAGAAGGGTCGCGACCGTGGACGCGTTGAGTGTGGCGGGGGGTAGCAACGCATTGAACTGAATCGGGAGGAGCCAGAAAGATCCGACATAGTATGTGCAGGCCTAGACAACAAAGAACAAGGTCAATCCAGCTCAAGCGCGGGACAAGGATCTCCAAACTAACCAATCCCATGATCGAGCGAATCGTTCGCTGAATGTTGACACGGTGGTCGCCATAGACTGTGATTAGACTGGTAGAGCTGCCGATGGGAGGGAACTGGATAAAGGTTGCGTTGTCGGCCATGATAGTCTTGAGTTCATCAGCATGGTCAGTGACCATCCAATCTAGTTTTCGTGGCAGGATGGCCGTGTCTCTGGACATGATACCCTTTGCCTAAAACGAGAAACATGAGCACTGTTTGACGCTGATGACGTGGAGAAGCAGTCCCACAAACCTTTTGCAAAGAAACCTGATACAGCATATCCCGCGCCCTCTGAACGCCAAAGAACTCTCCCGTAATCCAGATGATATTCCGAGTGTTTCCCAGGTTAGCTCCACCGGACGCGGCTGGATCAGGACCAACGAGACCTTGCAGCGGGGACGGAAGATAGATATTGGTGGCAGTCTCCTCTTGAATAGTTTGAAGTGTGTTGCGCTTGCGACCAGCGACGATAGCATGGAGCTTCTGGTCAATCTCGCACATTTCGGCATGGAGCCCACTCTAATTTTTTGAATTTGGGGTTTCAGATAATGAATACCGATCCGACTCCTGTGGCGGGACTGCCAGAAAAATGAAACTCACCAGTTCGTCGAGCATAACGAGTAATCGGACCCGGGCGAGGGAGACAGAATCCTCTGAGCCGGTGATCACCAGCTCGCACACACGCTCGGTCTCGAGGCCTGACCAGCCTGCGTTACTGCTGATTCCATCTGGGGGCGTGCGGTTTGAGAGAGAGTTTGGACTGTTGACCACTGCGATATGGGCATTGGTCTGTGAGGCTATGTCGTCCAACCTGCGCCGCACTTCTGGCTTCAAGGAGGGTTTGGAGAAGGGAGAATCGAGGATTTCGGAGCGCGTAACCTTGATGGTCGAGCGGTGCTGTGGATTTCATGTTGTTAGCAAGGAAAAGATTGTGGCATTTTTGTGAATAGTACATGCCTGGATGGGACATTCCTTGAGAATCAAACCGCGACTGATCATGACCTGCTGATACGCTCCGGTAATGAGAAAGTTCCAAGCACGACCCTGGTCGACTGGCTGGTAAGAGACATGGCAGCCATGGAGGGACATGACCATGAGAGCGAGCTTCTGGATTGCCTCGCTGTCTGCTGAGAGAGCGGGGTCTGGGAGTTGGCCCTGGTTGTGAAACTGGTTGTTGGCATAAGTGTCCTGGATGTTGTGGTGCTGCTGGGGAAAATCGAGGGACGAGGAAGGAGAATGAATGTTGCGCGCCCGGCGTGGATAAGTGAAGGAGGTTGTGTAGACGTCCATGTCTAGTTGGTGGAGGATGATGAGGGTATTGGATAGGAGGGTATTGGCACAAAGTTGGTATCAACGCTCGAAAGGCCCCGGGCTTTTGGCAAATAAAAGAAACAGAGAAGATAGAAAAACTATAGGAGCAAAGAACAAGTCAGTTTCACCAAGTCCGTAGGATCCAAACTCTCAGACGTCTCAGCCCGCGCCGCACAGAAAAACATATCGGGCTTTTAATTTCACTGCTCATTGTCGTCACGGCAACATCGGCTAACTACATCACTACTAATCCTCGAACATCGGTATCCACTCCTCCTCTTCCGCCTGAAAGTCAAACAACTTTTGGAAACATCGTCCAGGTTGTGAAAAATGCGCGTATGGACTGCTCGGATTCAACCCAGTACCACATCTGTAGCAGAAATGCTTTCCGCATTTCCAGCAAGTCATCTAGATACAAAACAGTCAGCATCTCCGTTACAATATTTAGAAAATCACTTGCATGATTGCACCCTAAATTCTTCTCAACATGGCATCCACACCCAGGACACTCCGTCGTCGACTCTGCGAGCCATTCCTTATTCGCCAGTTCTTCCTGGTACCTCGCCACCAAGTTCTGGATGTTCTTTTTCCCGTACCGCTTTTCGAGTGTCTCCCGCTCTTCTGATCCTTCATCCTCCGCCAAGTACTCCAGAACAATCTTCTCGGAATGTGTCATCACGCACTGCGTAACGGGCCCGTGCCTGTCCATGACGTTCAGCACGTCGCTTTGCATAATAAGGCTATGCCACTCACCATGTTCGCCGACAAAAAGAGCAGAACGAGAACGAGCATCGGGGACACTGTCGGAACCTGTCCCACCCCGACTCTGGGTCTTCACCAGGAGGCTTGGGCACCGGCGTCTGGCATATATCCACCGGACAATGGATAATGGTGGGATCTGTGAGAATCATCGGGCTGTGTGTAAGCGCGCATCTTCAACCTCCATTCTAAGTCTACACACCTTTCTCTAAATTCCTCTTCTCGCGTAACCATCTCCACCGCGCAACCTCTGCATCAGTAAGAACTCTAGCCACCTCTTCTTCTTCTGCCTCTCGCTTCTGTTTCACGCATTCGGGGTCTGGACATCCCACCCTCCCCACATCACCTTCTTCCACACACATACCCCAGAAATCCTGTAGACACGGTCGGCAGAATACATGATCACACGACAGTTTCAGGCACTTGGCGCCTTTCAGAGTCGTCAAGCACACCGAACAGGGATATGAACTCTGCGCGAATTGGGATGACTTGGACGAGGCATCGTGCGATGTCAGTAAAGGTGCCAGGATCGGCGGATTAGAGTGAACGATCCTACGTCAATGAAACTTTAGGTTACGGCGTCAATGCTTTGAAAGGGTAGGATACGCACTCTATCACACCGTCGCTAGGCCGAACAAGGTTCAGCGCTTCCAGAAACTCTCCCGTTCGCAGGTACTCGACCCAGTTGTACAACACTCCGTCTCCCTCCTGCCACATCTCCGTAAGCAGCTGGTTCAACAGTCCAATCCGAGGTAGCCATAGATGTGTTGCGCGAATAGATGCTAGTTTGGGTGGCTCGGAAAGGGGATAGCGGGCTGGGAGGTTGATAGTGACGAGAAGAGAGGGTAAAGTTGAAACTGCAACAGTCTCCGTCAAGGGATTCGAAGACGAAGTTAGAGAAGCGTTGGACGAGAGGTCGTTGGTGGGCGACACTAGGACGGCATCTTGGGTAATAAAGACCTTTCTCTCGCCTTCGAATTCGATGGGTACCTCAAGTTTCAGAGTTCCCTCTGTTATCTCGTTCGACGAGACGCAATCTGGGTAGATAGACTACACAACGACATTAGCTTTCCTTATACCAGATACCAAACGAAGCACGCACCTCGAGCACTTCAAATTCCTCACGCTGCAAAGCCCTACACTCTTTCACCACATCAGAGTCCTCTGGATGTTCCAAGGTCCCCTGCAACACCGAATCAGTTGGCATACAGACCGAGGGTTCGTCAAGTTCGTGGGTAGAGACGAGATGCTATAAACACATCGCCTCGGGGGTGTCCTTTAGAAGATGGTAATCGAGGTACCGAAAATTGTTTACAGACAGTCAATGGAGAGTAGCCGAAAACTCACTCATCTTGACTCCCTCGACTCGCGGATAGCATTGCGGGGTAGGCAAACCCAGATCTAGGGTTAGGGTCAGAAAGAATTTGCCTTCGGCGTCAATTCAGATTCTGTTCACTATCTCGTTCTCGTTTCTCTTCGTCCCCAAAGCCTAATGAACCGTTGAAGGTTCAGAGAATAAAATGACTGTCCTGCAGTCCTCACAAAACTTTGTTCGGGCGCTCAAAAGCCCAAGCGACCCTCCAGTCGCGGGTGGACCGCTGAAAATCGCTCTCGCTGAACAAGCCTGGAGAGATACGTCCTTCCGGATACCCAACAAGACAGAAGTGATCGTGGACTGGTTGTTGACAAAGTTCCTCAAGGAAAAGCCTGCCGATATGTGAGTCCTTTCTCTGTCCTCTCAGGTTCTAACCTAACGGTGTTGGTAGAAAAGACAGCTCGATTGCTGACATTCGATATTGGAAACTCTTGGACGAGATCATCTCGAACGAGAAACTCAACTCTTCGTCATCCACGGCGTGGATTAAAGCCCTGCTAGGACGGATATCCGTCGTTCCTATCGTCACTTCGCTCCTGACATCTCTAAACGCGGTTCAAACCCTCGAAGACCTGCTCGAATATGCTTCCTCTGCACTCTCCGTCCTCTGGCCACTAGGAACCCAGAAGCTCACGACAGAAGTCTTGCTAGGATGCTGGACGACGTTCCTTACCAAAAGTATTCCATTCGCCGATAACACCTCGCTCCAGAAAATCGGGGTGTTGATTACAGAAACGTACCGACAATCCCTGAGCAACTCTTCAGCTCGCAAAAAGGTATTCAACCTCCAGTTCTGCCTACATTGTATCCTAACCAAAACCACATAGATTCACACAACCTTCATTCAAAACCACGACCACCTCAAAGCCTGGATCCAACACCTCTCTCCCTCCTCATCCGCCAACGAAGCCCTGCACAAATCGACCCTCCTCGCAGGCACAGACACCCTCTTCAACATCGACATCCTCCGCCAAATCCAAGACTCAAAGGACCACGACTTCCCACTCATCCACTCCCTCCTCGCCCTATCGAAACACCACCGCCAACTCGTCCTCGGGATCTTACCGACACTCTTCACGCACTACGTCGCTGCACTGCGAAGGCATAAAAGTGGTTTGTTCAGCACTGGGTCCTCTTCAGGAGGGGGGAGTCAGAGACCGGAATTGAACGCCACGGCTCTCCATTTCTTCAGTCTGTGCCAGGATGTCTTGAATTTGCAAGAGTTCGGAGATGAGGATACGTGGACTACGGCGTGTAAACTGCTGGATATCGTCGATCAGGAACACTTGTACCTCTCGACGGCGGAGAACGAAGCTGCTTCGCTTGTGTTGGCGAAGAACCTCGAGTTAGCGCTGAGGGGGCTTGCAGAGTGTTATAAAGGTGCGATTTGGCGCTGGACTTCGGAGTTCCGAATTATGCATTGACATTTGATCTTAGAGGAGAGATTGGGTATCACAAACGCCATCGTCAACACGCTATCCGCCTTGACACGGATAGACTGCGACCTTATCCTCCCGTCGACACCGTCCATCATCAGCCGCCTTCTTTGCGTCAGTAATCCCACTTTCATTCTCCCTATAGGTCCTTGTTAACCTAATTCTACCCACCAGATCCCGACAACCCACTTAGAGCACTTCACTTTCTTCGACCTCCTCCTTGAGTACCACACCAAAACCCGCACACTAAACGACTACATCTCCGTGCTCTTTTCATCCCTTCCTAACAGTCCTTCCTCCTCCTCGACCCCTCTCCCCGCACTCCCGCTAACCGCACCCCAGCGCTACACCCTCCATCTCTCCTCCCCCGTCCTCGACACCCACCATCTCGAAAAACTCTCCCGCGCACTCCATCAATTCCTTACACCAGGACAATGCGCCAAAACCACTACATCCACGATCTCTATCGTATCCACCCTCCACGAACGGTTCAAGGGTGCGCAAAAGGGCGGTGAGGGGGATGGTGAGAGTGCATTAGGCTCTTCGAAGAAGAAAAAGAAGAAGAGGAAGTCGGAGGTTGGGGAGGCTATGGACGTCGATGGCGAGTCCCCTTCGCCTGCTACCGCATCCAAAGGCGAACAAGACCCAGATATCCTAGCAGCATCCTTCACGCTCTCCTCCCGGCTCGCTCAAATCGTTCTAGGCTCCTTACCCCTGCACACCCTCTCCCAAGAACAACACGACGAAGTCCACCCACCGCTCAAATCCTTCTTCGCCGATTTCGTCCAACACCATATCTCCAAATCCGTCAAAGCGCTTGCGAAGGACGCTACGGAGAGGGAGAGTAGCCCTGACAAAAGCGGTAAGAGTAGCAAGAGGAAACACCGAGATGCAGAGGAGGGTGAAGGTGCTAGTGGTGATTGGGCGAGCCAGATCACACTGGGTGCGCTACTCCGGTTGGAGTACGCACTTGAACGTGCTCCAGGACTCGACCTGCGCTCTGAAGGCGACTCGAAAACCCGCAAGAGGCTAGTCCAACTCCTAAAGATGGACGACCTCCTTCCGGAGTTCGTGTTGGAAATCGTGAGTTCCTTTATCAATGCCAAGTATTCTGTATATGGATTTCTGATCCAATTATTGTATTTTAGACTCGTATTTTGCTCCTTCACGCACCGCCAACGCCCGACTCAGACGCGATCGACGTTTTGGATCCGATCCTCTCTTATATCGAACGTGAACCCCCGTCGTCTACTGTCAGGATGAGCTGGTCCGGTCAACCCCACCAACTCGTTCAATCCGATTCCGGTCGAGCTCAAGCACGACTTGGGGTGCTTCACCTCTTGTTGGAGCGGTGGCTCCCTGTCGTCGAGTACGTCTTTCTCATTCTCGTCTCGGGAGATGTAGTGATGTGAGCTGAACCTGAATGATCATCCATATAGCACTCTCGCAACTCCAGAGCAACTAGGAAGGCTAGTCAAGATAATTATGAACCTCCCTCTCGATCTGTCTTCTCTCAGCACTAGACTGGAGGATAGAGGGAGTCTGTACCCTGAACATCTCCTCCTTCGAACCCTCCGGTCTGCCCATTTCTGGGAGCTACATAACCTCCGAGGTGCGTTCCTTTTCCAGCGATACCTCGTCCCACTTCCAATACCGATAACTGACATCTATCCATTCCGCTCCCAGCTGCCTTCCTCGCCCACCTGATAACCTCCACATCCACTCTCGACGACAACACTAGGAGCAACACCGCCGAATCCGAGAATTTGATCACCCAGTCATACCGCCTCCTGCTCTTCTTCCCTGTCGAGTACTTTGCCAAGCAGTCACGCGGGGAGTTCGTCAAGAGGGCTTTAAATGCTGATCGTGTTCTGAGTCGAGGTAGGGGGTCTGAAGCTTCAGCTGTGTTGAGGCTGTTTTTGGAGAGGACGTTCAGGTTTATTGGGACTGTTGAGCAACAAGCTGTGGGTTTCGTTTATTACTTGCTCGGGGGAGGTATGATGGGAGAGGTGTACTGACATACTTTTGTCTGTGCTGCATAGCCGAGTGAGATGGTCGAGTTCCTTCTTCACTTACTCCAAGAACCAGAAGGCGAGATTGAGAAATCATACCTGGATAGTACATTGGGTTTGGCTTCATTGTACATCCTGTACGTTCCCTTCTGCCTGCTTCTCTTCTTCGCCGACTAATATCTGATTCTAACCAATCCTTGATTATCTATTTTAGCGAGATCTTCCGTCAATGCTCCAAGTCGACTTCAGGCGAGATCCCCAAGATCCTCTCGTCGTACACCCAGTATCCGCTCTTTGACGCGTCCTCGCATACGATCAGAAGACAGAGCTTGATTCGCATGGTCGACCTCATTACGAAAGAATTGGTATTTACCAAGTATGTCTTTCTCTCTCATCTTTTTCTTCGTTTCTTCATTTATCTACACCCTGCCTTCGCTTCCTCATCTTATCTACCATCCTTGTCTCATACCGACCTCCTAACGCACCGCGTCAGCTTCTCTCCAGACAACCAAACCGCCTTCCGCGACCTACATTCCCACCTCTCTTCTCACCTGCAACCCCTAATGCAATCCCTCCTCCAACTAGACGCGTCCGACCTGAAGGCACTATCTAATGCTCCAGAAGTCCTGAGCGGATGGCACGCCATGCTCTCCCTTGGTCGATGGCTCGGTGTCGAGTGCTCAATTTCTACGCTTAAACTCTTCGGCCAAGATCTAGCGAAGAGGTTTAATCTTGGTTTCCGACGGGCGGTGCAATGTTCTCCGCAGCAGGTGGAGACAGAGACCAAGGCGGAAGAGAAGGAGGCTCTGAACGAAGAATGGCTGGACGACATGGCGATTCTCCCAGTCGCCATCGTGATGCAAGAACTTTACTACCGCGACGCCATGGAACAAAATGAGCAGCTCGAGCTGGGCGTTGCTGTCTACCTCTCGAGTGTTCAGAGTGTTTCGAGTCAAGGTGTGTACGAGAGCGAGTGGGATATATTCCCAACCACCCTCCACTCCCTTCGTTTTCTAGAAGGATGGTAGCCCAAGACGTTTACTCACGTATTGCTGTTTTCTTTCGTAGGCCGTGGACGAGTGGACGACTACATGGGAAGAGCAAGCCGGCTGCTCTCGCCTGAGAGTTATGGGCACGTCCTTGAGTTGATCGGGGAGGGGCTTTCGAAGGCTAGTATTTCGCAGGATGCCCTGGAGGATCTGATCCATCTTGCATCTGTTTTCTTGCGTGAACATCCTCAAAGTGAGTGTTGCATTCCTCAAATGTAGGTCTAGGGAATACACTAACGGCCCTGTGATAGATACCCTCAAGTTGACTCAGAGCTTTGTGACGACATGTATTAACGCTTTTAATGGTAATGAAGTCTATGTCGATGGACCTGTCGAATTGCGTCTGCAAGTTTTGTCGCTCCTTAACCAACACTGTTCAGAACGAGTACGTGGCCTTTCCTTTTTCTCCCTCTATGCATCTCTAACCTTGCGTCATACAGCCCGCTGCCCTCCGCCTCCTCGACATCTCCCCTCTCTTCCTCCTGCTCTCAAAATATCTATCCCCTTCACCAGCACACGTTCACGACCCTACCACTTCTCCTGCGATCTTCCACAAACTAGTCTCCATCCTCAACGCCCTGGTCCGCCTCCGACGCGATCTCCTCCTTCCCCTCCTCCCGCACCTTGGCATGATCCTCCGACAACTCCTCTTCTGCATGCGCAGCCCCCGTGCTCAATTGGGGTCCAAACAGACTGAGATGGTGTTGAACAGCTTGCCGCGATGGATCGGAAGTAACGGAACCGGGTTGGGCGTGGAAGAAGCCAAAGCCCTTTCACGATTACTCGAGACCTTGACCACCAAGACCGTTCCCCGCACCCACACCTCTTCCACCTCAACAACAGAAAGCACCAAAGCCGAATCACTCTCCGCCCCACTCTCCAAACACGCAGCATACATCCTAACAGCCTACATCTCGCTCCTCACCGACCCGCTCTCCTCGCTCTCGTTTTTGTCGTTGAGCGTGAGGAAGGAGCTGATGCCGGGGATGTATGCGCTGTGTGGGATGATGAATGAGCATAGTCGGGATTCGTTGATGGTTAGTGGGTTGGATGCGGCGGGGAAGGTGGTGTTTAAGGGTCTGTGGAAGGAGTGGGAGAAGGTTAGGTATGTTGGGAAGGGGTAGGCTACGTCTTGGTGGACATGAGTGGATGCGCGAGGAACGCGGCTGGTTCACTTCAAGTAACGTCCGCGACGACGAAATGTCTGTACTTTATATGTTTGTCATTGTGATTTTTAAGCTTTGCAGACAGAGCGTGGTGGAAGGTAGAACGGGTGTGCCCGCGCGTCCGGTCAGATGGGCATTGGCAGACGACAGGTTTTTGGTGATTAGCGCCCGCCACGCCGTCCTCGTGACTGTTATCATTGATGAATGCCACGATGTACTGTAGCGTGGCTTTTAACAGCTTTTCTCTTACCACAGCTCTTTTCATTCCCAACCCTCACGGCACAAGGTATGCCTCTCTTCGAGAATGCCCAGAATCTCAGCATCAGCGGCGGCAACTTCAACGACTTCTCAAGTAATGGACTGGATCGTGAGTTGAACAGCAGAAATGATGAGCAAAGATGGCTTATCGGTGAATATAGCCCTCATGTTCCTCGAGCAATGCAGTGCCCCTGGAGCCATGAACGACTCTATGGAGCGATTCCCTCCTCCACGGTGCCATGCAGAGACCAGAAAGCGGGCGCTGGGAACCATAGAGCATTGGGGGACCTTGCCTAGGGCCGACAGGGAGAAGCGCCTCTTCTGGCTGCATGGGCCGGTCGGGATGGGCAAGACGACCATCGTCCAGACCATCGCCGAGGAATTCGAGGCGAAGAACATTCTCGGCGCCTCCTTCTTTTTCTCGCGGACGGACAACAACAGAAATCGAGCAGAGCGCTTCGTCGCATCGCTAGCTCTCCAGCTTGCCATCTCCGTCCCCGTACTCAAACGCCATGTCGAGGCGGCGTTGAGAGCCAATCCAACCATTCTGCGCAAAGCTTTGCCGATCCAACTCAAGAAGCTGATCATCGAACCTTTCCGCAAGATCCCTCCGCTCGATGACGACAAAGTGGTGGCCATCGACGGCCTGGACGAATGTGAGGGGTCCCGACCAAATGCACAGGATAAAGAGCGGGAGCAGCTCTTGATCCTCCACCTCATCGAGACCATGCTGGAAGCAGACCTTCCTCTCAACTTTTTCCTCGCATCTCGTCCTGAAGCATGGATCCAAGAAGCTTTCGAGGACTCCCCAGCTCTCTCGGACACCACACAACGAATGGACCTGTTCGAGGACTCCGAGAAGGACGCGGACGTTGAATTGTACTTCCGCGATCACCTCGAGCGTATACGGCATAGCAAGAGGCATCGATTTTGTTTCTCCAATCTCACCGAACCATGGCCTCCTAAAGTTACCACTACGAGCATCATCAACAGTGCAAGTGGCCAATTCGCCTACGTCGATGTAATTATCCGTTACCTCGATGACCCCTACAGCAATCCGGTCGTCCAGCTGGAGACTCTCTTCGGGGGAACTGCCTGTCGTGCCAACGGAGCTGACCCGATGCAACAGCTGGATGATCTGTATCGACAGATTTTGCTGGCCAGACCTAATCCCAGTGAGACGCAGAAAGCCTTGGCTTGGATCGTGAACACCGATTTTGAATACTTGCCGTCTGTCTCATTTCGCCTCTATGAAGCGATCATGGGATATGAGCCAGGAGAGATGGCTCGCTCCCTTCGTGGTCTTCATGCCCTGGTCCGGGTCCCCTTCGACGGCACTGAAGGCGAAAGAGCGGTGATATATCATCGTTCTTTGGTCGAGTTCCTCAAATCTCCAGAACGCTGCGGGACCGAGCTATACCTGGGCAGTTACTGGACCTTTCTATTTCGATATCGGTGCTTAATTTACCTGTCTGAGAACCCTTCCCTGGCATCACTCAGCGCAGGATCGAAACTTTCAGGTTAGTCAACATATTTCATCCTCAGTCCCTCAGTCTGACCCGTTGGCCGCTCGTGATTTAGACATCCATACCTATGCTATCGCATCCTGTCCATCCGAGGGGTGGTGTTTTCTGCGTCACTTAGAAAACACGCCAGAAAACAGAAGAATGGCTCTGCACTTTGCCCGTCTGTTCCTTGCCCGCGACCCAACCGATGACATGGGACCCCCTGGCGGCCCTTCTTGGTGCAGTTCCGCCATGGATTATATAGAGGCGGACATGGCTTCGGGCTATTTCCACTTTTCAGGCGAACCCTCACTCCTGCGCAAGAGCTTTATTCATTGGCGCTCCGCCTATCGTCGTAGCCTCAATTCTAGCCAGTCGGCTTTGGATTCACAGGACCGCCATTTCCTGCACAATCTTTTCGACGCCCTCCATTCGTTAAACACGGGCCAGGATACACTTCAACCCTTTACTCATCAACAAGGCCATGAATACCCCTGGCCCCAGCTATACTTTGACAACGTCGACTTGCACGGCTTCTTGGTGACGAAAGGTCTATCGATGGGCGGAGCATGGGCCCCCGACAGATTCCCGCAAAGCTTTCTTGTATCCCTTGTTTACAGCTATCTCCCTGGCGATTTCTACCACTTAATCAACGCTGTGCAACCCACAGCCAATCGACTATTGAAAGGTGTACATAATGTAATCAACAGGATATGGGCCGACCTGTTGCAACTCGGGGAGCTGAATGGGCCCGATCTGCCAGAAAGAGATCGGAGAATTTTAAGGTGCGTTCGTTCATTCCATGTGTATAGTAAATCACATCTTAAATCGACTTATACAGCTCACGCATGTTCGGACGCATGTTGTCCATGTTGCACCTGGTTCGCGCCCCGGACGAGATTCCCTTTCTTAAAAATCCGCATGACGCGCCCAGGCTCTGGAAAGTGGCAGGAGAAGAGTCGGACGGTTATGTGGTGCGCCGCGAAATTGTCCGGTGTGCTCTTGACGCGAACATGCCAATGGCTTTTGCAATCTTGTCTTGGTGGGATTCCATGATGGCGTCGACGGCATACCCTGACCCAGAGCACAAAGTGCATTGGCATGAGCAGTTAAGAGAGACCGAAGCCTTTATCAGACTCTTCAACGATTAAGATCCTGTACCACTTAGTTTTACGCAAAACAGTTTTCCTTTTAGTTGACTCGTAATTCGACACCAGGAAATTTCGATAGCGCCCAAGTATAACTATCTGGTTTCGAGGAAGTATCGGATCGCTAAAGGTAAAGGGCGGTGTGATTTAATTGGTAACATTGTACGCGACATACGGCGACTCGTTTCCAGCTTAGATGACTCTGTTGCACGAATGGGTCTAGCGATTTACAGTAGACGTCAAGCTTAGCTCACTCGGACGAGCCTGAGGACCTCAATGCCGGAACGCCTCAACTTCTCAAGGATCCGCGCTTCCGGCAACCAAACCGGTGATTAAAAACAGTCCGCAGGGAAGCTCCTCCGAAAGAGCCGAAAGCCTCATCCTGACCTGCAACCTCGAGCTCCAATCCATAGTTTACACCGTGAAGCCATTTTCTGAAGGAAATGCCTTGTCTCACTTGTTTCAATTAGTGTTAACACGTGGTCCATGGCGGCACCTTTGAAAACCCTACGGAACGGTACATGTACACTGTAGCCCTCAGCCTCGCGTCAACCTTCCGTTCTCAATTTTGATACTCTAGCCACCTGATACATCCAAGATGCGGCGCGGAAACGAAGAAGCATCAAGCGGATGTAGGCTTGGGATTTTGTTGCTCAGTCCACTCCAACCACGATCCCTTGTAGTTCAAGATGCTAATCACCAACGTCAATTCCCCATCCCAGATACAAGGTAAAGTCAGACACGTACTTCTCATAGCCATTCCTCTTAGCGACATCGCATGCAGTCGTGCTCCTCTTGCCGCTCCTGCAGTAGAAGATAACTTCTTGGGTAGGCTTGGGCTTGTCGAAGCCGAACTTTTCCTTGAAAGCGGCGGGGTTGAGAGCCAGGGAGTTGGAGAGGACGGAGAGAGGGATGTTGACGGCGGAAGGGATCATTCCTTGAGCAACTTCATCAGGCTCACGAACGTCAATGAGGAAGGTCGCCTGTACATGTTGCCACTGTCAGTACGGGCGTTACTTTTGAATTTGTTGACTTACGGGAGTCGGCGACTGGGTTTTGGGAAGCAACTCGTTGTACGTCAAGACCTTCGCGTCCCAATCTCTCTGCAAGTCATCCTGCTTCTCAAAAGCCTCCTTCCTGGCCAGCTGCTCTGGGGTTTTGGGCGGCTTCGATGGCGCTTGTGAAGAGTTGAATCTGGTAACATAGGCAAACGCAGGTCGGGTTGCTGGCACAATCACTGCCCTAGCACTGCGCTGGGGAATAGTCCTGGCCACACGGGCGACAGCTGTTCTGAACATGTTGAGACTGGAACGTTGGAAAGACAAGGTTGACAGTGTACTACTCAACGGCCGCACCAAGTCGGACTTGTTCGACGGTGAACGCGATTGCAAAGAGGATGACGCAGAAATGGCATCAGTGCACGTGATATGGGGTTTCCGGGGTCCTGCCAAGCCGGCCAAATTGCCTCTCGTGCTTTTCTTGGATGGTCAATATTTCCGATGATTCTCATTTGCCCAAACACCCGCTTGCCTCCTTGTTTCCTGCCTTCATCCATGTCCCCAGAAAATATCCATCTTTTCCTATTTTTTGACCGCTCCAGTTTGCTATTCAACCGTCTTCTTCACCCACGACAACAACCCATCTCGAATTGTTCGCAAAGAACGGCATTATCACCATGAAAGCGTCGTCACCGGGGAGAAGAGGCATTTCTGCCATGTTCAACGACGGATTTTTCGAGCTTCTCCCTCCGTTTTTGAATTTACTTCGACATCCTCCACTTCGCCTGCAAGCATCCTCAAATTTATAACCGCCGTCATCAAGAAGTATGCTGGGTGTGTTGGCCTGCAGGAATTATTCGCCTTTGGGTCGATGGACAAAACTGCCTTGCGCTTGGGTGGGTTGACTGGTTTCTGGATCATGGAACTGTCCCGGATTTACGATGTCGAACTGGCTTTTGGGTCCTCTCGGTTGCGCGACGGTCTGTGCTTTATCTTTTGCTTTGCCCTTCCCTTTTCCCTGGACTGGACGACCACGGTGCTTTGGCCTCACCCTCTCTCAGTAACCTCTGGTGGCGATAGGTGGCGATTAGCTCTGCTTTCCCCCTTTTCGGAACAGGTTCCTTCCTCGATATCCCCGCCATTCTTCCAGGGCTCCCGGGCCGTCGATCGACTTTGCACTCCGTTTCAATCTCAGACTCAATTCCGGCATTCGGGCAACACCGGACATCCCGACCGGCGTGACCTTCCGACCAATCTCCGCGCAGCCCAAAGAGGTCTAATTTTCTCATGGACCAGGGCACAGGAACAGGACCAACAATTCAGCAACCATCTCTTCGTCTCTGCTCTGGGTGATTTCTGTGATTATCCAGGGTTGTTCCTTGTCTCTCGTCTCCAGATACCCGCCTTTCCTACCCGCTCTCAAACTCTACTCGACCGCTCGCTCTCTCACCCACATTCTACCTTCAATTCTAATCCAACAACACAAGTATCGAAATGGACCACAGCGACCACGCAGGACACGGAGGAGATGCAGGAGCGGGGGCGGGTCATGCTATGATGATACCCTACTTCCACTTTACGACTGGCGACCATCTCTTTTTCAAAGAATGGGTCCCGTCTTCACCTGGCGCTATCGCTGGAGCATGCATAGGCCTCTTTTTGTTGGCCATTATCGAGCGATGGTTGACTGCTATTCGAGCCGTATTCGAACACCACTGGCAACAACGGTTAGTCCTTTTATTCCTGTATCATCCTACCGCTACATCTCCGCGAACACGAGCGTCATGCTTATCTGTACACTTTGTATCGCAATTATATAGAGCACTCCTCCTCTCTTCAAGATATTCAGAAGGCACCTCTTCTCTATCATCATCATCCAGAACAGACGGCAAATCGTTAGACGAGAGCGGTAGCGTGAAGATGCGAGAAGAAGGCGGCCCAACTACACAAATACCACCAGTACTCCCCCGCCTCCGACTACGCACCATCCCACCATTCGTTGCCAGCCACGATATTCCAAGAGGCATACTACATGCTTTCCAAGCTGCACTAGGCTACTTGCTCATGTTGGCTGTCATGTGAGTATCTTCCTGCCGTTTGACTCTTATTTTCGGCTAGTGCGAACTCTCCGTAGTCGCCGCTGCCATCTCTGTTGTGTCACATTGCTTGGTTTCGTAACATGATGCTAATCACGACCGCTTCTCTCAACAGGACTTTCAGAGTGGAGTTCATCCTATGTATAGTTGCAGGGTTGGGCATTGGAGAGGCTTTCTTTGGACGGCTTAGCAATGGTTCTGTACATTGACATCTCATGAGAATACTATTTCTTATTTATTTCTCTTTGGACTTCTTGGGCTCGTATCGAGTGTCACCTCAGCTCACCCTCCCCGAAACCCATAAATTCGGCCATGGGCGGCTGGGCTACTTTTTCCTCCTTGAGCCTAGAGGTGTAACAATGTGCTCCACCGCGACAGCTAGGCACATGTTCCCCTCCTCGATTGAGGCTAGACTGTCCTTGGACTGGGTCATATGCATGGTGTTTGTGACATCTCTTCACGGTGCCTGTTCCTTTGCGAAGGCACGCACCAGGACAAGGGCTCCAATTAATCACTGAGTTTTGATCATCGGTATCGTCTATTATTTTTGCGTTCTTGTTTGCACTTGAAATTAATGACTTGGGAGGACTTTGTGGTCCAGCGCTGACTTTGGGGGTCTTGACGTTCATTAAGGGTCCGCGATCGTGGGTGCAGTGGACGTGGTACTTCGTTTAGATCTTTTCTCATCGTGTTTTGATGCGCTGTTCTACTTGAGACCCCGCCTCTGGTGTCTAAGTATTGTGTCTGGTTTCCCTTGTCCTCGAGCCTCTCTTCATCGCCACCATTGCAAAGACCTCCGGCTCACATTCCAAGCCAATCACCTTGATAAGATACATTTCACCTCGCTCTTTTCGAATTTGACGTCTCTCCAAACGAGGGTGGGGAGGCCTACCGAGAGGGTACTTGCGCCATCTATCACTCGACGTCGACGCCTCCCACTCTCTATCTCTATCAACGAATGCCGATACAACCACAAGCCGCAACCGTCGCCGACCATTCCCTTGGCCACGCTCTGGATGTACCGCCAAAGTCACGAGCGGGCGACTCGCAATCGCGAAGGTTATCATGCCTTGTGGATTTAAAACACGAGGGCTGAGGGTCTGCTCTTGTTGTCGTCGGTCGCTTCCACGGTCTTTTACCCTCTGTCGCCCGTATCCCTCGTCGAGACGTGAATCGGAATAACGACAATGTTCAACGCCAAGTTCATCGCCCTCCTTGCTCTCCTCACCGCTTCTACCGGTGTCAACGCCCACTTTAGGCTGTTGTACCCCGAGCCTCGAGGTCCCTTCGACGCAAACGCGCAAGTCAATTTTTGCAGTACGTTTCCCTCTCCCACCCAACCGCCAAAAAACATCCCCACCCAACGCTAACATTCCACCCACATCCATCTTACTACAGGCGGCTACGCGAACGCAGTAGACAACCGCACAACCTTCCCCCTCTCCGGAGGTTTCTTCTCCCTGCGCACCAACCACGGCGACTGGACAGCCGGCGTCCTCCTCTCCACCTCCCAAAACCCCAACTCCTTCACCCACTTCAAAGTCACCTCCAACGACTCCTCGGCGAACCCAAACGACCTCCCCGACCAATTCGTCCGCGGTTTCGCGTCAGAGGAGGATGCGGGGACGTTCTGCATCCCTCTTGACCTGAGCTCCACTGGTATCGAAGGTGTCGAGGACGGTGCGAATGTTACTATTCAGGTTATGTTCGATGGTGGGGATGGGGAGTTGTTCCAGGTGGGTTTGAACCAGAACTTTTGAGTACTAGGAAAGAATTACTGACTAGACTCGTTGAACTTGCTGTAGTGCGCCGACCTCACTCTTTCGTCGACGTACACCATTCCCGAGAGCATTGCTACCTGCCAGAACGCTACGGAATCTGGGGGCCACGATCATGACCATGACCACGACCACGATGACCATGACCATGACCATGATCACGACCACGACCACGACCACGACCATGACCACGATAGCGGTGCCCTCAGCCACGTCGTCACTGGACTCGCCGCTGGCGTTGCTGGTTTGTTCGCTGGTTTACTGGCTCTCTAAGCAATTGGCCGCGTATATGTATAGATTGCTCTGTGCCATCGGTCCCCTGCTCGAAAGTACATAACGATCTCGTCTTCGCACTCGTAATGTCTTCTTAATGCCAGCCATACATATCTACGAATACCATTTATCCCTTCATTCTCTTTGTCTATGTCTGCCTGTCCTCTTCCACCGTTTCTTCCTCTACTTAGAACGACGATAATCAAACAACCGACTCGGAGATGAAACCGAAGAGGCCAAGTTGGATATATTGGCGTTCCATCGTTACCTTCAGAGGAAACTATCTGATCTCTTGCATCGCTTGAATTGAGAATAGAGTGCATAGATATTAATAATGAAAATAGCATTGATTCAAAATGTATAGGGGTTTCCATCTCTATAGATAGCTGCGCTAAGAACAGCGCAAGTAACCACGACCCTGCGATAATCGCCATGCCATCCGAAGCTCCAAAATATATTTCGACATGTCTAATGCAACGATCCAAGTTGTCGTGCTCGAACACACGGTAAAGTAAGATCCCTGGAGTTGCAGGTAAAATTCGACCAAGTATCCAGAGCGATGTCTAGTGTCCGATGCAATCGCCTATGTTGCCCGACCGCATGGAAATCAAATTATCCACGACCATATTAGAGTAAATTGCGCCTCCTTGGTCTTCTGAGCAGCACGAATACCAAGAACCAAGAAGAACCCAAGCAACCGGTATATCTCCAAGGTCCTTCCGGTTTCACCAACTCTAAATCCCAGTTCCCCTCGACACACAAATCGAAACCTCTCCAGTAGAATTCCAGTAGCACTTCGTCCCAACAACGCTCCGACTGACCACTAGCTCGAGCACAGAGGCAGCCTTAAGGAGGTACCAGTAGAACAGCCCTTCCCTAGTTATAACGAGCACAGAAGTCCACTGGTGCCACAAGCCACGCCGGCTTCCTCGCCCGAAAACCGAAACCTGTGAGAGACGACGGAGAAACAAGAGTTGCGAGCACGCGATGATAGCGGCGGATTGCGCCATCGGAGTCCGCCACGAACGTGCGTCGGCGACGGCAAATGGGGATTGAAGCGGCGCTTGAAAGAGGTGTAGCAGCGTTGTCGCTCCGAGGAGTGGTGAAGACGGGAGATGGGGGAGGGCGTGAAGGCGACAACGAGGAATGCGACATCTCTAGAGACTGAACAGACGTCCATCTTCGTCACCTACCCTCCAGGTGAGGACACAAATCATAGTCAGGGATCCAGGGTCCACCCATCCAGTTGCACCGAGACGACTTGGTAGGAACGATGAGGAGAGGAACAGACGAAAACGATGGAGGACGGCAAATGAAGATGGAGGAAGAGGTGAAAGGCGATGCGAGCTGGAACAAGAGAAGAAGTCGGTCTTATATGAACGGAATCAAGCCAATTTCTCGGAGCTGATTGAACTATTTGAGGCTTTTCTGCGTCTAGGCGTCACGCCATTGGCTCATCAAAAGCCTCATCCAAGACCCCGGACACCCCTTGGCAACGCATCTGGACTTGGGCGAATCTGAGAAATTCGTGAGCTTGCGTTAGGAGGTGCAAGGTGTACCAGAGAGTCGGTGGTGGATAGCGATGTTAGTATGTAATATCTAATGTACAGAGTGCCTCTCCAGCGTCTACTTCTTTCCTTCTAGTCCAGGCAAAGAGAACATCTGCAGTATTCGCCTTAATTAACAACACATCCTTGAAATGTATGAATCCCATACTTGCCTCAAATATGGTCTCAGAAGGGACACCCCAGCCCTTCACACCGGCAATTGCATTGTCCATCCTCGAACCAAGCATGACGCCCACAACTGCACCTGTCTCTGCGTCCACCACAGGGCCACCACTCGAGCCAGCCGTCGGGAACGGGGTGAACAACATATGGCTCAACGCATCATATGTTCCAGGCTGCGTCTCTCGGCCACTGAAGTCCCGGTAGCCCACTACACGTCCGTGTTTCCACGCACCATAAGTGTCGCCGATCCATGGCTTCCAGTCCCCTGCACCATGCACAGGCGTCGGGGATACAAAGTGCGCGAGAATGGGGGTGTTAAGGGGTGCTGGGTACGGCGAAAGGGGGAGAGACTTCAGTGTCCCTGGAGGTAGTGGGACTGACAGAAGCACAATGTCGGAACGTGGTAGGGCAGAGACGATGCGCGAAGCAGGGTAGACCTTCAGCGAGGCTCCCGAGCCTATACATATGAACGTCCCCGTAAGAATCGGGTGAGGATTTGAGGGTGGTATCTCCTTCATCTGGAGAAGGGGAGACTGCCGAATCTATAGGATTCTCCTTGAGCACCCCGTAACGACTCTGCAATCGGGGACGTTACCTCTTCAAGTGTATGAGCGCAAGTCACTATTAAGATTTCATCCTCCTGCCACCCAGGAACGTTCAGCCCAAACCCAGACGAAAGTGTAACCTTGTGATTGTCCCCGTCCTTTGCACAATGGGCAACAGTAACAACCTCCCGGCTACTTTCATCATCATCGAACTGGACTCTTCTCTCTTTCGAGGGCGTTGGTTCATAAGGCAGGGTTACGTCCAACACATTCCCGGTCTCATCCAGGTAGTGGCTGATTATATCATGCAAGGTTGTTGCTGGCGGTTGAGCAGTGAGAGCTCTGAGGACGCGAGAGTCGATGAAGGGTGTTTTGGACGATTCCACAAAGGGTTCAGCTGGTTTCGGGGGTGGAGGAGGTTGGGTTTGCGGGATGACATGCGGAGAGACTGTCGCAAACCTCGCTGCGGAGATGCGTGGTCGACGTCTCAAGAGCTTGGCGCTGGAAACGGGCCTCGACAACATGGTCGTCGGATTCCAAGGTTCCCCAGATTAGATTGGGCCTCGATCAATCTGGGACTGCATAATGATGTCATCCTTCCCTTATATATCCAGAGACGCCCCTATCAACTCGAAGCTGCTTCACCAGTGGGTATCCCGACCCATCGCTAGCTTCATTGCAACAGCAATCTGGGTACTTGTTGATAATTCAATTAATAGTCACAGCACATGCACTATTCGACTAAATCAAGGCTTTGATGAAAGCTTCCGGATCCCTTCGGAAGTCTTCGAAAAAGGCTATAACTCGTGGACGTCGTGGGGGGTTAACCGACAACCATTCAACCTTCTCCTTCGCCATGTCCCACAAATTCAGCAATGCGAGGGCCATGGAGATGTTTTTTTCCAGAATGCACTGTACAATGACACTGACTCCAATGGATTTCAAGCTAGTCATCCATACGCGTGCTATTTGTCCTTCGGCGAGAGGATTCTGCAGAAAGTCAATCTCCTCTGGAGTGGGAATCCGAGGCAGAAACTCAAACAGGGTGTCGCTGAATTGGCTACAGCAAGTAATAATTAGCGCTTCGACCATCAGACATGAGATAAAGAGACTGTACATTAGAAGGTTCAAGTCATCTATTGTTGCTTCGAGTGTAACGTCGGGTATTTCCCTCCTCCTCCAGTCGTCACTTGCTGCTTTGAAATCGAAGGGGAAGCTGAAATCGCTGCACGGAGAGATATTTCAATTTTTTATAAACCATTTATTCGATAAAGAGTAAGACGTACAATGCAAGCTTAGAGTCATCCGTCCGGGGTGTTGCCAGTCCGGAGATGCACGAATCCGTCCATAATCTGTTGATAAGGCTCGGTATGGCGCATTCCACTATACTTCCGAATCCGGGATATGCAGCTTCCATCAAATGCCAGAAATCCGCAGGAAGGTGTGTAAAGACAGCAACGATAGGAGTTGTTGAAAGGGAACATCTTGTAGGGAGTTTACCGGTACAACACAGGGTCTTGGTTAAACCTACAGATTGGAGGAACAAACGTACCTCTACATTGTCGAAGTAGAGTGAGGGTTCGGCGGGGAAGTGCTCGTGCGGGCCTATTTTGAAGGAGTGTGGTACACGGGGGTCCATGGCCAACAAATGGATCGAGATGAACAGTCTTTGCAGGAATTCACCATCTCGCGAACTGAGGTCGTTTGCCTTGGCAGTGAAGTGGCGACGAAGCATGCAGCGCCAATGATTGAGACATCGCCGGAAGAGCCGCGCCTCGTCCAGAAAGTAGTCAAAAGAAGACATCATCCGGGATTCTATACCGGCAACACGACTTGCCATCCAAGCGTCGGTACCGAACTGGAGATCTGTCGAGGCGTCGTGCTCGAGGAATAGGCGCGCGTAATCCAAAGCGAGGTTTGTCATTTCTTCCTGTGGTAATAGTGGAAGCCACAACCATCCCCTTATCGGACAGGATTCTGCTGCATATGTTCGTATTTCTGCTAGGGAAGAAGACTCGGCATGAGATTACCATTGAAGTTAAAGTTGTCTACTCACGTTCTTCGCGCTCCGATGATGCAGTGCATGGTGAAAAAGATCGACTTTTGGCCAAATACACCAAACACCTATAATGGAAATAGAAAGAATAGTAGGAATGATCTAGGTGGAGATCGCTTCCTGCCAGCTCTGGGCGACGGAGGTATTCCAACAGGGAGTTATGGTACATGACCTGTCTGTCTTCGATCTCGTCCCCGAGTTCCACTTCCTCTGGATCCTCCGTTGTTTCCGATCCGGCGTACAAGCCGCTACTGGGCACTCGGACCAAGGAGTGAAGACCTCGAAGGGCGCGGGCCATGTATCCTGGGCCGTCGCCAACAATCCGGTCGTAAGCTCGGAAAGCGAGAGAGAGGGGGCGACCGATGGGCCGCTGCCTTATGGGAATTAGAAGACATCCGAGTGCGTGCCTCATTTCTTCACGATTAGGGTGCGCTTCCAGGATCCGTCTGTATAGGTCGAATAATTGATCCATCGCATTAAGGCCAGAACGTGCGCGTCCTAGGGTGATTTCTTCCAAACGTGTGACAGGGTTGCCGTAGGGGTCATCGACGTATCTGATGATAACGTCAATGTAGGCGAACTGGCCGCTCGCGCGATGAATGGCGACTTCAACTGCCAGTTCACATGGCCAAGGTTCTGTGAGCTTGGAGAAGCAGAGGCGATGCTTCTTGCTATGCCGTATACGCTCGAGGTGATCGCGGAAGTAGCGTTCAATGTCCGTGTCCCTTTGAGAGTCCACGGATAGATCCATTCGTTGTGTGGTGATCGAGAGAGTCGGGGAATCCTCGAAGGCTTCCTGTATCCAAGCCTCAGGACGAGATGCGAGGAAGAAGTTGAGAGGAAGATCGGCGTCAATCATGGTCTCGATAAGGTGGAGGATTAAGAGCTGTTCCTTCTCTTTATCCTGTGCTCCCGGCCGACTCCCCTCGCACTCGTCAAGGCCATCGATGTCGACCACTTTGTCCTCGTCGAACGGGGGGATCTTTCTGAAAGGCTCGATGATTAACTTCTGCAACTGGATGGGCAGAGCCTTTCTGAGTATTGCGGGATTGGCTCGCAAAGCCGCTCCAACATGAGGCTTGAGAGCGGGAATGGAAATGGCGAGTTGGAGAGCTAGCGAAGCAACGAAGCGCTCTGCTCTGTCTCGGTTGGGGTCTGTTCTCGAGAAGAAGAACGAGGCACCGAGGATACCTTTGGCCTCGAACTCCTCAGCGATGGTCTGCGCGATGGCCGTCTTGCCCATCCCGACCGGTCCATGTAGCCAGAAGAGGCGCTTCCGCCTGTCCGCCCTAGGCAAGGTTCCCCAGTGCTCTATGGTTTCCAGTGCTCGCCTCCTGGTCTCTGCATGGCAGCGTGGAGGAGGGTAGCGCTCCATAGAGTCGTGCATGGCTCCAGGAGCACTGTACTGCTCGAGGTACACGAGAGCTAGATTTCGCCGATAAGCCATCCATATCGCCTTTGCAGCGTCCACTCACGATCGAGCCCACTGGTAGAGAAGTCGTTGAAGTTTCCGCCGTTGATGGTGAGATTCTGGGCATTCTGGAAGAGAGGCATACTTCCCAGCGAGAATGGGGGACGAAACAAACGTCTCGGGGGGAAGAAGGGACCCAGAGTCACTGGTATATCTGACAAGAAGAATGCTGTGAGGTGGAACGCCCACAACGGCAGCATTTAATACAGTCACGAGGACTTGGTTGACGGGCGCCAATCAAAAATCCTTCTGAGCCTTCACACTTCCTTGTCTTCGCAAATGATGACCATCGTCTGTTTGCATTGCCAAACGCCATGACCGGATCGATTAAGTGACAGTACCGCCGAATAACAGCCCATCCTTGCGAACATGCGAACATCCCTAATCTTGTCCCAGATACAGAACCCATCCTGTTGCATCCGGATTGGGGGCGAGACCCCTAAACAGCGTCTTCCCACCCAGATAATCAATCCTCCTCATCCTATCATCCCTCCCACCAGGCATAACCCCCAATTCCAGCCCCCATGCATTTACACCCTCTGGATCGCACCTCTCCCTCCTCGCTTTACTCGCCTCTCGCCGCCTTGTCAACCCCCATCCCCAAAACTCTTTCTCAAACACATACTCCTGAAAGTTTTCGTAGATCGAACTGACAACGTCGCGCACTTTGACGCCATAAGGGTTGGATACCATGATTGGCCACTGGAATTTGGGCGAGATGTCGTCAGCGAGGGCGTTGATGTACAAGTGGGTAAGGAAGGGGTAAGAGGCCGGCTGGGAGAGGTCTGCTGGGAGGAGGGGGCGACAACGCGTATCGTTGGGGATACCATGTTGGCATGCCGAAATATCGCACCGGATGTCCCAGTACATCCGCGGCACGCCGTAGAGGATGTGCTCCAAGAAGGGGTTGAGTTGGACTTCCCAAGGGAACGGAAGTGGTTTGGCCGGGTCAGGGTATTCAGCCCATCGTTTGGGCCGGGGAGGAAGGCTTGGGTGTTCCATACCCAGTTTCCAATTCTCAGGATGAGGAGTCAGACCATCGGGTCCGACGAGACTGTCAAATACTTGAGAGGGGGTGAGGTTGGTTTCAGAGATGTGTTGGACCTGATAGTTGACCTGCGACTCCACGCTACCTAGCGGCGCAAGATACGGCGAAGGCGTATTGTAGACCTGAACACCTCTGATGTAGGGTCGAGCGTAGTATCCCCACTCTTTCCATTCGTGCGGTTTGACTCGGTCAGGGAGGGTCGGAGGAGCTGGGGGCGAGGGTGCAGCCACAGGTTCGTCCATGACCAACGGAGCAGGAACCTTCACTTTCAATTTGTCTCCCTTTACTTTAGTTTCCACACTGACAATGGAACTCTCATCGTCCCTTTTCTTCCTCGAGTCTGCGAAGAAGGTCAATGTCGCATTCCATATCATGAGAGACCAAAAGGACCTACCAGACCCTAACCACCCAATGACCCTCTTCTTCCACTTCGAACCCGTCAACCTCCTTTGTAGCCCCTTCCTTTCCCTCCTTCCCTCCTCCTCCTCTTCCCTTTCCAATATCGTAGGTACCGACCCAGCCCTCGGCCTCCCCCGCCCCTCATTCCCCACTCGAACAACAGGCAAAGGCAACGGCACCCAACTCCCCGACAAAACACCACTACTCGCCGAACTACTCCCACTCTCCTCGCTCCTCGCAGGCGACCCTTGATTCTGCAACGTCAACTGATATACAGGTGTCGGCGTCGAATTATTGTTCACAGTTGTGATCGCAACCTGAGGTCCTCTTGCAGGAGTTTGGGGCGGGGTTGAATGGTGCTGAGTCCGTACTGTACCGGACAGGCCTGGAGCTTTCTGATCTTGAACATATACCGGCGCATTAGGGACGGGCAGAGGTGAGGATGGTGCAGGACTTGGCTGCCAGGGCTTGGATACGTCGTCGATGGGACGGTAGAACCCTCCATACTGTTGCCAGAGGGGTTTCTTCGTCGGCGTAGTGGTTGCTACCCCATTTGAATTGGGATTATCGGTCGAAAATCCTGTCAGAGTGCTATCGTCGGCCAGCGGCCATGTCCAGGTTTGTAGGACGTTCGACGAGTCTTGCTGGACAAGGAACGGGTTGGAGTCTTGGAATGCAGCTGGAGGATGAGTGGGCCTGATGGTAGTACCACTTGGCTCTTGAGGTGCTGGAGGAAGCCATGCCGAGGTTGCAGATGGCGGCACAGGTGGAACGGGTGTGATCTTCGCGGCGGGTGGAATACGTCCCAAGAAATTCCCTGCCCATGGAGGACTGGGAGATGCACTAGGGGGTGAGGACCTGCCTGCGCGAGAGGGGGCTGCTGGATTTCGAGATGACGATGCAACAGGCTGATGGTTGTGTCTGGAGGTCGACGTTGTGGGCTTCGTCCACGCATCTTCCACGATGAAGTGATTTCGACTAACAGGGCGAGACCCTGCTGAGTACTCCATGGCCTCTACAACTTGGAAGGTGGAGACACGGAAATGACAATGGGTTGGTGAGGAGGTGGCCGACACGCTCGACTTCCAATATGTAGCTCGATGTGTGATCGGCGACCAGGGCGAGAAGTCGGATAGGACAGACTATCTACAGAGGAGGGTCACAGTGATTATTAGCCAGCAGGTTAGCCAGCAGGTTCGCCAGTACACTCAATGGCGTACACACGTACATGCGTTCAGGATAGCAGCCCAATTAGTCGGTCTGCTCCGAGGCCAGATTTTGCTACTAATCTTCTAGAAGGCGAATTCGCGAGTTTTGCGCGTCGAACGTCTGTCTGGATGGTTGATTAAGGTGGTGATTAGTGTGGTGTGTAGACAGGAACGTCGTCCTATAGCCCGTGGAGAACGTGAAGCTCTCTCGCTGGCTTTCTTCACGGTAGTCCCTGGCCTACAATACAGGTCGTGCGCTGCTTCATCGATCATGAGTTCAAGCGCTAACTTTTGGAGCCACGAGCGGAGCAAACGTACCAAGAATAGCCCCAAACGCCCAACTTCTCCGGACGGGAACGAACAGTCCACAACTAAAAGGCAAGGTGACGAGTACAAGGTCGATAAGCGAGAACAAGGCGGTGTAAAGCGGTCCCTTGTCACCGAGCTTATAGGCACGGCTACAACCTCGGCAAACGCGTGGCTGGCAGGCTGCCTGGCGAGCTTCAAGTCCGCATTTCTCGTCTGGCAACCACGAGGTGGTCAAAACAAGAGAGGGGAAGAACTGGAGAGAAGTTAGAATTCGTGGCCTCGGCCAATCCTAAACCCCCTGTCCAGCCTAATTCCACTGCTCTACCTCGTGTTCTCCCTCCGTTCCGCTGATCTGTTATTATGGAAGCACGATAAGATCCTGGTATGTGGGCGCTCAGGCCTCAGGTTGAGCATTTTCTGAGAAGATCTTGATACACGAGGCGGATGACTTCATTTCGAACTGTCATGTCTATTGTCGCCTTGAGGGAAGTGTCGCGATACTGAAGAGACTCGGAAATACTTCAAAATGGCTGTGTTGAAACGTCGAGACGAAAACGTTTTTAGCTGTTGAGGTCGTGGTTTATGGAGATGAGCGCCTGAGGAAGATGTTCGGATTTCAGTCGCGCTGTGATGGAACGGCAAGCGAAGCAAAGAACGGCCCAAACAATGAACCAAGTCATTTCCCAAGCACTAGTGCTACTTATACCTGTTACCATATATTCACAGTGTCAAACACGCGATAGTCCCAAACAAAGTACCTGGAACACCTTGGTTCAATACGCTTCTCGACACTCACTGGTACCCCGAATTCGATCCAATTCATATCCGAATCCCTCATCCAATTCGCTGGCCTGTTGAAAGTATATTGAGTTGCCTTCCTTCGTTTCACTTTCCTCTGTACCTTAGACATGGATCTCAGAGGGCTTGGTTTCTACTCGGCCACTCCGCAAATTAGGCGCCCATCACCCACTTGTACCTTCATCTATTTAGCGATGCAGCATAGTCGTAATCCCATGTATTCAACTGGCCGCGCTGTTAGAGACATTAAAACGTCATCCTCTTAAAATATGTCCGAGATCGCCCTGCTACCCTCTTACACATTCCTCTCCAGCTCCCGGCAACATTTCCCCCTACTTCACTGCACCTTCTCCGATACATGGTCAACTCCGAGATTCACAGGCATCCCCAGTGCCTGACTCAATTCAGTATTCAGCAGGTCTCCCATGGGTTGGCCGTCCCGGAGGTATATCCAGTCATCTAGCTCCTCGTCGTAGTCGTAGCGCTTTGGTCCACTGTTTCGTGTCAAGTACCAGTTAGTCCTTCATCAGTTATCATTTGAAAGGGGGTGGAAGATAACGAAATGGCAGAGGAAGGTATAAAATGGAAAGGAAGCAATGACAGACCTAACCGGGGAGGACAACCAGATTTGCTTGTTGGGAGGTTGCTTGTTTATCACGTATGTACCATGTTCACCCAGGTTGAGAGTCAAGACACCACTCTACAAGAAACGATCCCAAACAGCTACCGGTTAACAGTTTGAAGTGATAGAGCAATGGGCAGACGTACGTGGTACTCAACCTCCAGGTCCGGGTTTCCGACTGTGTCAAGCAGGTCTTCGAGGTTCTCCAGGAGTGAATCCATAGTCGAGTCTGAGAGTGCATGGTATTGTTCCATCGTTAAATGACTATAGCCATTCATCCATTCCATATTCTTAAGTCAATTCTGAGCCACGCAGACAGAGCGAGCGACGTACCTCTCGTTAATGTGAGGTGCAGGTGTAGCATATCCTCGTGCGACCAGATGTCGCGGTTTGACAGGGCATGGTCTCGGTGGTTGCGCCAATAGACATGCTCGTCTCTGGGCTGTTGAGAGCGTTCGCACAGCTTGGAATGAAGTCGAGCTCTGTAGAGAATGGGTCCGGTTGACTGTCCGGGAGACAGCCCGGAGGGTTGCTGGGGTTGGTCGCATTATAACGGTATTGGACGCTTAAGGCTATGTCGGTTTGGTTTTCAAATCCGGTGTCGCTACAACAAATTCCAAGAAATCAGAGCTTCAAGTAAGGGAAACTATGGCGGTCGAACACAAGAGAAGAGTTCAAGTTGCTGAAGAGTTGCTCGCGCGTTTTCGCGTCATTCCATCAATTTCTTCCGACCACCTTCCTCTTTAGCCCATTCCGCTCGATATGCCCACCAGAGCTGAATCAGCTGGGCGCCAATGTCATTGGCTTCAAAGGATGGGTTTCAAAGACCCAATACGTATCGTTCTCGATCGGCGGACGCCGTAGTCGCCAGGGGCAGAAGTGTAGGGACTGAAAATCAGAGGAGGACTCAGTTGGCGCAGTGATAAAGACAAGCTGGGTATTAGACAATTGAGGTCGAGTCGTAATGTAACCTGGATGGAATACAATGCCGAATGCCAAATGCGAGAGTCCTACATTACCTACTACACGTAACCTGAACTTCCAATGGAGAAGGGGATGTCGTGAAGAAAACAAGGAGGATACAAGAAGGAACTTTTTATGATAAAGATAGTTGCTTTGAAAGACCGCGAAGAACCAGACCTGAAGCTCCCGCTCGAGGATCCAGTGGAATCATGGCGACGGAGATAATGGGAAGGGATAAGTGAGATCGATGCGTGAAAACAAAACAAGATGAAATGCCAAAAATATGATGCGAAAGCGATGCAGAAATGCGAGGTAATGTGATGGACCTGTGCGTGGTTTGCGTTGGATCGAATGGATGATGATGAATTGGATGGGACGTCAAAAGTGATGAAATGGGGCGTCATGCTCTGGGAGGGGTAGGAAGAGATTGGATGATGCGAGAGCGAGGCAGGAACCGGAGAGTGGAACCTATGGACCAAATGCGGGGGTAGAAACCTTCCGGACACGGGCTAAAACGGCGCCAACATCGTGGATAGCGCGACCAGAGGGCAATGGAAGTGGAATCGGGGCTGAGACCGGTCGAAATCTTCAGGAACTGCGGGTTGCCGAAACGTAAAACATAGATGGCTCCTTCATAATCACGAACGTTCTGAATGACGAGCCTCAGGCTCCATTCCCCGTCTCCTTGACAAGAATAACTCCCTGAGGAGTCTAGAAGCATTCACAGCACTTGTGAGCCCAGGGTAGATGGAAATATGGGACGACCCATATACGGAGCGACACGTACCTATTCGTGTCTCCGTAGTTTTGGTGTACGTTCAATGTTTCGTCCCCATTCTGTGGATGCTGTGGGGAAGGGTGGTGATCTCCAGGATAACCCCAATGTCGTTGAGTTTTTTCTGGACAAGGACCAGGCAGTTGTTTTTCAGCAAACGAGTGCACTGACGAGGGTGCCTGTTTAGAGACCGCTGGTACTGGCGCAAGCCCCTGGGGAGGACCCATTTTGGCGATGGTCGTGGAGTCCCCCGAGAACAATAATCGGTGTTGCTGCAGAATGTGCAATTCACGAAGCAGATTATTCGTCGACTTGTATTCCTCCATCACCACCTCGCCCTCCGCGTTTCTTTCTGTTTCATTGGTTTGGTTGGAGTCGTCGTCGTCCTCATCAGATTCGTAATAGTCCTCTTCATCGCCATCGTTGCGGCCCATAGAAAATGATTGGGGGTTACGGTGGTTGTTCCACCCCCTAGACGCGCCGTCCAAAGGAGGCGGTTGTGTCCGCCTCCTTTTTAAATTCCTCATCGAGATGTCATCTGGTCCACAGTCGGTGACGAGCGGGATACTGCTACTGCTCGATGGAACAGGAGAGGGTTGTCGTTGTCTCTTCAACATTGGCTCGTCCTTCGTCGTCGTCGTCCCAGCGGGTTACTCGTCGATAGAAATACTTTATGGACTGTTAGAGAGACGACGTTGACGACGAGAGGCGAAGGAATACAAAGGAGTGATTTCAACGGTGGCTTGTCCGTCCTGGACTCATTAGTGTCGAAGAGGCGCGTGCGTGTGTAACGATGAACGGCATCGTTCTCGGCGGAAGCAAGTGATGGTAAATTACCTAATGCTCTATTGTTAGGCTTGGCGGTTGCCGTGTCGTCCGTGCGCCTTGTGGAGACAGCGAGTTCGTCATCCAGCGCCGTAGTCCTTCAGTCCGAGTCTGCACACAGAGTCGAACCGACGCAAAGATGGACGCCGACGAAATATTCGCAGCCATGGGCATAACTGGCTTTGGCAAAACCAGCCAGAAGCGCGAGTTGGACCCTCACCGTTTCGACAAGACCAAGCGAGAAAACGTACGTGGCTTTTCCGGTTGCTATTATCTATTCCTTGCGTTTTACGTCGGGCCTTTCTCATCAACAGTAATTGTCTGACCTGCGTTATTGAAACCCTCGACAGAAACAAGAAGAGTCGTCAAAGTCGACTAGTCAGAAGGTGCAACAGGCAGTAGCAGGGCCAAGTCGAGCTGGTACGAGCAACCAAACTGAATCTGGCGACGACGAAGACGAGGTTGGACCCCGACCTCCTCCTAGCAAACAAACCTCTAAACAAGCTTCGCAAGAGGCTTCTGACGATGAGGAAGATGAGGAAGCCGACGAAGACGATTCACCACTCTTCCCGATAACCCACGAGATCGTTCTAAAGGACCACACCAAAGTCGTTTCGGCTCTAGCGCTGGACCCTTCTGGCGCTCGTATTGTGACAGGCGCATATGACTATGACTGTAAATTGTGGGATTTCGGCGGTATGACAGCTGAATGTAAACCATTCAAAACCTGGGAGGCCGCTGGGAGTTATCAGGTGTGTAGTATATGCTCCTTACCTTTTGAGTTCATGCCCGGAACCTAATGCTTTGTCAATAGATAAACGACCTTCAGTTCTCCAATGACGGAACTAGATTCCTTGTGATCCCTGCGACAACCCAACCGAGGTTGTACGACAGGGATGGCGATGAGCAGTACGTTATCCTCATCTTCCCCGCTCGAGCGTGTATAATTTTAACCTGACTAGAGCTGTTTTTATTAAGGGTGATCCATACCTGCGTGACATGAAGAACACATCGTAAGTTTTAGCGCGTTCTCGTGTTCTTCTTTCTAGCCCCTCTCTTCAGAGAACCACGGTTCTCGAGGAATCTTTTCGGTTCCTTCTTTATATCATCTTTGCTTTATCTCTCTTTTATCTCTGGAGATTTGCCGGATGGCTGACCGACATTTGATCGAATTTCACTAGTGGGCATGTCGCTGAGGTCATGTCCTGCGCATGGCATCCGAAGGACCCTAAAACTTTCATCACATCGTCAGCTGACTCAACTATTCGGTATGCTTCTGGCCCTGTTCTAGGTTCTTATCGCTAGGAGGCTAACTAGGATGTACACAGGATATGGGACGCCGAGAATAAACGGAAACAGAAGACTGTGATTGTAGTGAAATCCAAGGACCGTGGTGGTCGAACTAAGGTCTCTGTGTGTGGATACTCGCGGGATGGGACATACATTGCTGGAGGTATACCAGAATCTGACTCATCTCATATTTTCGACTGACCTCTTCATAGTGTGCACTGATGGTGCTATGCATCTATGGGAGTCCAACTCTAATTTTGCTCGACCTCGAATGAGCATCGAAGGGGCTCACACAAAGGGCACTGAAACGGGATCGATGTCGTTTTCCATTGATGGTCGGACACTGATGACGAGAGGGGGCCCTGGCGACGATACCGTGAAGCGTGCGTGTCTGTTCCTGTCTATTCCATGCAAGCCGCTCACTCTGGTCCCACATTTTAGTTTGGGACATTCGTGCTTTCAAGAAGCCTTTGGCCGTGCATAACCAACTTCCCACCCTCTACCCTCGAACCAATGCCGTATTCAGTCCTGACGACAAGTATATCCTCACTGGCGTAGGACCCCGCGGACAAGGCCAACCCGGTGGATTACTCTTCCTGAAGAAAGAAAACCTGGAAGTTGTCAAGAATCTAACGGTGGACTCGACTCCAGTCAGGGTTGCATGGCATTCCAAAATTAATCAGGTTAGTGGTTCCTCTGGTATGTGTATTTCCGAAGATCATGTATGCTGACATGCGAACAACTTGCGGTTTGATAGATCATCACTGGCCTCTCGAATGGAAAGGTGGTTGTGCTGTACTCGCCTGAGACATCCCTCAATGGAGCCAAGCTGGTGATGAGCAAGGGTCCATCCAGGAAGGCTAATGTGGAGGACTTGTCTGATGCGCTGGCCGCGCCCACTATTCTGACACCACACGCGCTTCCCATGTTCCGCGACATGGATCCTGGGCGAGGAACCAAACGGAAGCGAGAGAAAGACAGGATGGACCCGAGGAAAAGTAGAAGGCCTGAGCTACCTGTCACTGGGCCTGGGAAGGGAGGCAGAGTGGGCGCCAGCGCGACGCAGCATATCGTCCAGCACCTGGTCAGGGATACGACGCGAGACATCGATGTGAGTGTCGCACTATCTGTTCAATCTCTTCCTATCGCCTCTTTCTTTCCCCTCCAACGTCACAGGGGACACAAAGGGGCTGGAACGTCCCGGCGCTCCTTTTCTTATGGACACCCCATATCGTCCTCTTTTGCGTGTTCCCTGGTTACAAATTTGCCGTTTGATGGAAGGAGATGGAAAGAGCTTTGGCGGCGTCGTCTTTGTTCCCACAAGTGATGGGGTTTTCATATGCTCACATTTTCGCTTTACAGCCTCGGGAAGCTCTACTCAAGTATGCGGAAGCTGCAGAGAAAGATCCCCAATGGACGGCTGGTGAGTGCATTTGCTATGTTCCGCGGGCACTGCGGGGGGCCTGCCCTCTGCGGTCTGTCATGTTCCTCGCCCGATTACAATCGGCGATGAAATGTAGACGAGCACGTGCTCTGCCGGAAATGGCATCCTCTGTTTACGTGGTGATGGTGCTGACGTAAGGTTGTTTCCGAAACCTTGTTTTCAGCCTGGAAAGTGAACCAACCGAAGCCAGTGTTTGCAGAGGAGCCTCAGGAGGAGAAGGAGGACGATATTCTATAGCTGCTGTATGTATATTAGAGCGAAATATTGGGGGATTGAGGGTGTGGTGAGGAGGGAAAGGCGAGGAAGGACGTTGTTGAAACGGTGGATGGCCCCTGCGCGGGATCATCTGAACTTAAAATTTGAAAGCTATAAAGACTAGCGACCTTCCGATCCCCCTAACTCCCAAAAATCTTCCCTTGCCCCTCCCTGTGTCACGCTGTGACACGTCACGCGCCAATTATGGACCATGCGCAATCATCGCCAGAGACCGGTCACGCTGTGCCAAACGGCGTCCACGACGCCATCAACGGCGACAAACCGGCTGAGCTCATCGTCAAGCCCGACGTCAACGGTGTTTCCCAACAAAAATTAAATGGTGCCGCCCACACCGACTTTTCCCCCGCTGCAGACTCGCCCGCCACCCCCGTTTCCTCTGGCCCCGCCCCTGATGTAAAAATCGATCTCGATTATCAGGAGCAGGAGAGCGATGTCCGCAATGAGCCCATGCAAATTAAATCCATGGACGACGCCTTTAATAAGCCGGAGCCCCAGGTCCCTGTCGTCTCTCAGCTGCCCCTGCCCGTCGACCAAAGTATGTCTGGACCCATGTCGTTGTCTTGGATATAAGTGTCTCATCTCGCCTTTGTCATTTAGCCTCCGTCCCCTCTGCACCACAGGACATCAAGATGGACGACCAACCCACACAGTCCAACTCCAACGACACGAACGATGCCCAGCCAGCCCACACTAACGGCGATGTCGATATGAAGGATGACCACGACTACGCGCCGCCTCCTCCCCTATCCACAGACGCCTCCATGGCCACCTCAGACCGCCAGTCGCCCGTTCCCTACACACCGCGGGAGCGTCCAGGCCCTGGCGAGGAGGAGGATGGGCAACCGCCAGCGAAGCGGCCAAGGGTACACTCTGACGCCGATAAAGCGTCTATGACACACGTGAGTCCATTCTTGTTCCTGTACGCCGTCACGGGCGTGCTAATTTTTCGCGTCTCCCGCCGCTCTTCTGAAGTCCGCCACTCCTCCCCCAGCGTCGGCTGCTGTCTCAAATGCTGCAAGTCCAATCCCACCTGCACCACCGTCGACTGCTCCAGCCCACAACTCTGTGGCCCCTGCGCCATCGACGTCGACAGCTGTCCCACGTTCGCCGGGCACCTCGACGATGTCACTCGCGCAATGGAAATATTGCGGGTCATGCATACGATCGCTGAAGAAGCTCAAAGACTCCATTCCATTCCTCAAGCCCGTGGACCCCGTCCAGCTGAACATCCCGCACTACCCTTCAATTATCAAGCATCCCATGGATTTTTCCACCATCGAGCGAAAACTCAATTCTTCAAACCCTGTGAAACCCGACCCCAACCCGGATAATCCACGATACTTGACCGTTGAAGACTTTGTCAGCGACGTTCGACTTGTTTTCACTAACTGCCTGACGTTCAATGGACCAGACCATGTTGTGACTCAGATGGGCAAGCGGGTGGAGCAAGTTTTCGACAAGCATTTGAAAGGGATGCCGGCAGCAGAGGTATGTTATGACATCCTGTCTAGGTCGCTCTATACTCACGGACCACCCGCTAGCCCAAGCATGCTCCACCACCAAAGAAGGCGACGCCCCCGCCTCCACCTCCTGTCTCCGCACCGCCCGTGGTGAAGAAGGCGCCCCCTCCACGACGACCCTCGACATCCTTCCCTGCCCCTCGACGCAACGATGTTCCAGAGCCGCTTGCCCGCCCGAAACGGGAAATCCACCCGCCGCCTCCCAAAGATCTTCCTTACGAGCATAAGGTCAACCGCAAACCCAAGCGGGTTGTTGATGAAAGCATGGCGGAGCAGTTCAAGTTCTGCAGCAAGCTGCTGAACGACCTGTTCAAGAAGCAATACTACAACATCGCCCATCCTTTCTACGAGCCAGTCGGTATGTGCTGGTTCATACTTTTGTGGGGATCTCACTGACAAATAGCGCAGATTGGGTTCGTATGGAAATTCCGTCCTACCCGAAGATTATCAAGAAGCCGATGGATATGTCAACAATGAGGAAGAAGCTCGACAACGGCGAATACGCGACACCCCAAAAGTTCGCCGAAGATTTCCGTCTCATGCTCCGAAACTGCAGTACCTTCAACCCTGTCGGTACTCCGGTGTGCACTGCCGGTCAGCAACTTGGTCGGGTATTTGAGGAGAAGTGGAAGGCCCTGCCTCCACTCAGGCCAACTCATGTCAGCGACGACGATGATGACGATGACGACGCCGACGACAGTGAGGCCGAACGACAACGTACGTCATTTCAAAAATTCTTTCCATCTAGACCCTGGACTAAATTTTCCGTGTAGGTGCCATCGCGCTTATGGAAGCGCAGATCGAGACCATGAAGGGTAACCTCGAAGCGCTCAAGAATGCTGCACGAAACAAGGAGAGGAAGAAGAAGAAGAAGGAGAAGAAGGAACGAGAGCCTCCTCCACCACCTCCCCCTGTCAAGGCTGCTCCGAAACCCGCCAAAGCGCCAAAGAAGAAGAGCAGCAGTAGTAAGAAGGCCATCGCCGACGACGACGTTCTTACTTTCGAGCAGAAGAAGGACTTGAGCGAGACCATCGGCAAGCTGGAAGGGGCCAAACTGGAGAAGGTTATCAACATTATCCACGAAGGAGTACCGGAGATTCGTGACGTACGTCCCTGCTTCTCTTTAGTCATCATTTTTGAAACTTACATCCTTGGCAGAGTACTGAAGAGATCGAGCTTGAAATCGACCTTTTGCCAGCCTCCGTACTTACGAAGCTTTACAACTTCGTCATTCGCCCTCTCAAGCAACCACCGGTCAAGCGCAACCGACCTGGCAAGGGTACGGGTACTGGTGGTCTCAAGCGGAAGAGCATGGATGAAGACGTCGAGGCAGAGAAGATCCGCCAGCTCGAGCAGAGGATGGCACTCTTCGATAACCCCAGCGTTTCCGCCCCTCCCGCTCCTCTACGTCGAGCAGACGACAGCGATCACTCTTCGGACTCGAGCTCTGGTTCGGACAGTTCGGGAAGTGATTCAGAGTAATTTTATTCATATTCTTGGACTTTCTTTCCTTCTTGCTTCGACTTGCGCACCCTCTTGTATTCATTATATCCCCGACTTCATCGTAGTAATGTACAACCAACTGCTCTCTCAAGAGGGCCTTCCTTCTTTTCTTCTTTGCTACTGATGATGCCGTTATTCACCGTAGTAGTACCATCATTCAATTATCCATTGCATGAGCATAACGTCCCAGTTTCAAACCAATTGTAGCTAGTTAGTCGTTTCTTTTACTATTAGTGTAGTTTTCAATCCATTACGTCTCGAAATCCCACCTCCATCGCACGAATGAAAAAAGTATCATTTAGAACGTGAATACAGGGACGTAAGGATAAGAAAAGACGTAGTTGTTGCTTGCTATCGCCGACCCCGACCCTTCAAGGAGCTGTTGAACTGCTGCCAACCTGTCCGGACAGGCTGAGCAGTAGAAGACCCCGAGGGTTCGTTCGAAGATGCCGCCCTCTCGTTCGGAGGGGCTGTACTCACAATTGGTGGGGGAGAAGGGTTGGACGGTGCAGCGGGTCCTGGGCCTACAGATGTCCAGCCAGACGTTTTGAAGCCAGACGTTCCTTGTGTCGACGGTGCCACCGAAGCAGGTGCCCATCCAGAGGAACTAGGCCGCTGAGGTGCAGGATCACTCGAGGCCGAGCCAACAGCCGCCCAACCGGTCTTCTTGAATCCACCTTGCGCCACTGTACCACCGGAGACTGTACCCCATCCCCCTTTCTGAATGGGAGTTCCCAAAGCACTGGATGGTGCGAGATTAGGTACGGTCACAGGGGCAAGACTCGATGAAGAGGCCGTAGGTTGCGCCGCGGATGATTTAGGCATCTTGATTCCAGCTGCCTTTGCCATCTTGCGGAGCTCTTTCTCTTCTCGTTTGCGTTCCTTTTCCTTCCGCTTGTCAATCTCTTCCTGAGAAACCGGACGAGCATTGGCTTGCATGTCTCTGAGGCGGGCCTTGTGGTGGTGAGCGTAGGAGTTGGTGTGCTCGTCGTATTGCGAGACGTTCTTGAATTGCTTGTCGCAGAGGCTGCAATAGAAGGGCTTGAGAGTCTGTGAGATCTCGGATTCGACAGCTGCTTTGCGGGCTGCTGCTTCCTATGAACGGCTCGGGATTAGTACCACCATGAGATGAGAGGATCCGCCTCGACTCGCCTCTCGAATCCGCCGTTGATCCTCCGTTTCCTTCTGTTGCCGCTCGGAGTCGAGCTCTCGTCGCTGGGAGACAGTGGTTTCGATCATCTCAACATCCCGAGTGACTTTACCGATCCCAGTTGAGTCGTTCTTTAACTGGAAAGGTATAGGGTCGACACGAGCTGTTCATGGATTCAGCCATCGGTCCTCGAACCAAGAAGAATGGTATCACTTACCGCCCTCTGACAGCCCCAATGGCTGTCCTTCACTCCAACCCATCTTCATCAACATTGCAAATCCTCTATTGTCCGGCCTAATCTTGGTGTCGACAGTGACGACCTCCCTAACAGGACGCCGTACGTATTCGTCGTACTTGTCCACATCCATAGCGTCTGGGGGAGGTGGAGAAGGTGTCCGTGATATGATGGAGATATCGTCGTCGTCATCACCATACTTAGGCTGGCTGTCATCTTCTTGACGTGGTCGCTGAATATGTTATTCGAACGAAGAGTATGGCAGTGATATAGGCTTTTGAGATTTAAGAAGGATGCAAGGGGAGTACCTTCAAGTTGTTGCTGGATGACGGCTCGGGATCAGGCCGTGTCAGAGGTATTGCGTTCCAGCGAGCTATCGTACTCGCCGACATCGTTGTCGTTGTGGTCGTGGTCGTCGTCGAACTTGGTTGCAACCAAGTTTCAATCTTGGGCGTCGGTGCCAATGGCCCAAGCCACGCACACGTGATCCTGACATCTTGGCGCGCCGCCTCCATTACGCCGTCCGTTTGTGCTTGTCCTCCTACAACGCCGGCGGCAACGATGAGCTCGGACGGTTATTTCGACGACGACTTTGACGCCGAGGCCCTAGAGGCGATTGACGCGATTGAGGCCGCTGCACTCGCGGAACCACCAAGGCAACATCAAGCACCACCCCCGCCGGCACCGCGACCTCAGCCCCCAGCTCGAACGCGAAGCCTCGCGGCGGACTCGTCGATAGACATTTCTTTCGACTTTGACGAGAGAGATCTTGAAGCCGTAGATGTAGCTGTGCAAGAAGTCTACAGTAGACCACCGGCGGCTCCTGTGGCAGGCCCCAGCACCAGCTCGACCCGCCAATTCACCCGGACGAACTCCAATAACCTTGTGCAAACGACATTGTTCGGCGGGGTTGTCCCTACGCATCCGCCTTCAGCGAGCCGTCCGCCAAGGTCTACTCAGCTCGAGAGGACCAGGTCGGGGTCTCGCAATCTGTTTGGGCAGCAGGCGAAGAAGGTGAAGAAATGGGATCATACTGCTTTCGCGGAAACTGGGAGGAAAACGAAGAAGAAAGGGAAGAAGAAGGTGACTGATGACGACGAGGACGATGATGAGACTTTGGATTTGCCTCCACCATATGTTCCCCGTATGTTCTCGTGCTTTCCTGCTAACATTCCCATTTACTAACGGCGTTTACAGTTGGGTGAGTGGTTTGCCATTGACTGCCATATCCAGTCTCACATGGGACGCGTTGTCCTTAGACCATGGGTGCGTTTCTACTCGACTGAAGCATTGCACCTTTCTGACACCAATTAGCCTCCACCAATGAAACTCAAGCCAGACCTACTCGAAGCGAAACATTGGATATACCCTACCAACCGGCCCAAACGAGACTACCAATACAACATCGCCAAGCACTGTTTATATGAGAACACTCTCGTTGCCCTTCCGACTGGTTTGGGAAAGACTTTCATCGCCGGTGTGGTCATGTTAAACTGTATGTCTGCGCTTCCACTGGCGATCAAAGCTCACGCCCTTCCCCTAGACTACAGGTGGTATCCAGAAGGGAAAATCATCTTTCTCGCCGTTACGAAACCTCTCGTCGCTCAGCAGATAGAGGCCTGTCATGACACCTGTGGTATCCCTGGGTCGGATGGTGTCGAGTTGACAGGAGAGGTTGCGAGTTCGTTACGAGTTCGATATGTGAGTCCTTAGCGAGCACAATGGTTCTTGACGACATGCCTGAGACCAATGACAGTGGGAAGAGAAACGCGTTTTCTATATGACGCCTCAAACGCTCGAGTCAGATCTCAAGTCCGGGATATGTGACCCTTCGGACGTCGTTCTGCTCGTAATCGGTGGGTGTTCATTCATCTACACCGGACAGTCCCTCGATAATCTTGAATGTCAGACGAAGCACACCATGCGACTGGCAACCACAGCTATAACCAGGTCGTTCGGTTCCTGATGGCTAAGAATCCGCACTTCAGAATCCTGGCCCTGACAGCCACTCCTGGAAACAAGGTGGAGACTGTCCAGCATGTCATCGATGGGCTTCGTATCAGTCACATCGAGATTCGTAACGAGAGCAGTTTGGATATCAAGCCTTACATTTTCGAAAAGGTGACTTGTTCCGTTGTCCTGAATCTCGCCTTTAGACTGACCATTCCCAACAGGCTGTAAAGACCCATATCATCCGACCAACTGGCGAAGTAGCCCAGATTCGGGATATGCTGATCAAGTATATCGATGTAAGCAACCATTGTGCCCTCCATGTCGTCGCCGAATATAACTTCGTTAGAAACTTGCAGGGCCACTGAGGAGCCAAGGGTGTTTCATTTCCGCTGCGGTTAAGCTTCACCCGTGGCAGCCCATGTCCATAATGAAGAAACCGGAAGGCAAAAGGTTCTATCGCCAATTGTCACAACTCTCTTCCCTCGCCCGTGCGATGCTTTATCTTGTAAGTCGCTATCTCAACCTTTCTCCTTGGCACTCACTGACGTATTCTAGCTCACTGGATGCATATCTGCCTGCTATGACTATCTGGACGAAATTAGGAAAATCGATGGTGTGGGGGACAAAAAGCCAATTTGGAAGGACGACCCAGATTTCAAAGCTATCATGGCCAAGCTTGACGAGATTGCCGCTCAAGGAGGAGCATCCCACCCAAAGATGGAGAAGCTCAAAGACATCCTGATCAACTACTTTGGCTCGCGTATGCAGGACCCCGACGCCGACAATCCTGAAAACGCGGATCGCAGTTGCGTCATAGTGTTTTCTTCCTACCGGGCGGTAGTGGAAGAGATTGTGAAAGAGCTGGATGGACATAAACCGCTCATTCGGGCAGCGGCCTTCGTTGGTCAAGCTACAGATAAGAAGGGGAGGAAGGGTTTGACCCAGAAGAAGCAGCAAGCGGTAAGCTAGCATTCTGCACTCAATCCTTGCAACCACTAATGCCTTGCTCTCAGCTTATTCAACAATTTAAGAACGGGGAATTTAACGTCATTGTTGCTACATCTATTGGTGAAGAAGGCTTGGATATCGGTGCTGTGGACTGCACGATTTGCTATGACTCTGACAAGGCCCCAATTCGTATGGCAAGTCTCAGTCCATGTCATACCGCCGCGCCGCTCTTAACTGCTGGATAGGTTCAACGATTTGGACGAACTGGGCGCAAACGGAGCGGGGAGGTACACCTTCTGCTCGCCGAAGCTCGCGAAGAAGCCAACATGGATACAGCCAAAGCCAACTACATGGAAGTTCAAAAGGTTATCACCAACGGTGACCTCTACGAACTGTACTGCGACGTTCCCCGACTTCTCCCTGACAACATTAGGCCAGAGTGCGTAGAGAAGGTCATGGAGATCCAACCCTACGTCCGCGAAGCACCCTTTACCAGGCCGCCCAAGAACACGGACGGGAAGAGGGCTCCTAAACGGAAGCGGAACGACGATCCAGGGAGGAACATACCCCCTGGAATGTCAGCCGACTTCCAATCTGCCAACTCGATTTGGAAGCAATTCAAGAAAAAGAAAGTGGAGGAAGAGCCTGATTCCATACCGGAAGAGACTCGGCCGTTCGAAGAGTTGGGTCAAGACGGAGAGAGCGACGAGGAGATTGAAGAAGGTGCCCTTGGCGTTCTTCGTCGAGCACAGTCGGAGAAGGTTGCGTCTACCGCGAAGAAGAAAACCAAGTCTTCAGGGTCTGGTCTGCGACGGTCCAAAACGGATGCTCCGCCAAAGAAGAAGCAGGCGAAGGGAAAAGGCAAGGCAAAGGAGGAAGGAGTGATAGGGAAATTGTCCGAGATTTCCTGTAGCCAACTGGCCAAGTTGGGAGAGAGCGACGAAGATGATATGGAGATCGAGGGTCTGGCTACGAGCTCCCTTGCGCCAGCTCGGTCACTTTCATCAGGTTCAACTTCTCGAGCCTCACGATATGCTTCCCCCTCACCCGAGAAGGCTATGGATGTCATCGACCTGTCAGATACGGACGAGGAGCTATTCCCGGAGGACAAGGACCCCGTTCTCCCTCGTAATGGAATCATCGCCGCTCTGGATGCAATAGCAGAAGAACCGACCTCTCCTGTCGAGCCAGAACCAGAGCCCACTGGCAGTCTTCCAAGACCCAAGTCGCCGCCAGCTCGCAACCTTGACGATATGTCATGGTTAGTCGATGACGACGATGACTTGGACATCGAGATTGTACCCTCTTCCCCACCCGCCGCCTCATCCAGGCCACTCCCCCAATTTGAACGCGTCGAAATCGGTGATGATTCAATTGAGGTGTCGGAACCTGTTCCTAGTTTCCCGAGGGAGGTGGTATCAAAACCTGAGCGACAGAAAGTGTCGTTCCAAGAACCTCCAAAACCTCGAGCGACAACGTCATCGGCGAAGAGTAGACTGAAACCGGACATGCCGCCGCCTGCACTCCCCGCAAGGTTCACGACCGCTGCTCAACTTTCAAGCCCGACCACACCAGAGGCACCTGAACCGACATTTCCGGTGCAAATCCCAAAGCGACGCCGAATAATAGCCAGCGTCGCTTCTTCTGATGATGAAGACGACAATGAAGATCTTCGACCCCCTCCATCTTCTCAGCGTTACCTCGAACCTGTCGAATCCACCCCCGTCCGACCAAGTAAGCGGAAGAAGTCATCAAAGCCTGATGGCAAGGGTGAGAAGGCACGAAGAGAAAAGCCTTCCCTCCTGGCCAAGAACCGCAACATTGTATTCGACGCGGAAGCTGTGCATTCAGGTGATGAAGAGAGCGAAGGATGGTCTGAAGACGAGGAGGAAAATGAGGAGGACAGGGCATTTATTAAAAACTCTCCCCTCACTCAAGTGTCGCCTTCGTATGAACAAACGCAGATCTACCGGCGTAGTCTCATGACGCAGGATCCTAACGATACCCGGGGACCCATGTTTATGAACGGTCCTATTCGAGGGCGACCCTTTGGTCGCATGTCGCCTGGGCGGCAGTGGACCCCGTCGAGTTCACCTGGGCCTGACGGGGAGGGTAGTGAACCAAACGAGTACGAATTCGGGAGCTTCGTGGTACCCGATAATGGTGATATCTCTTATGAGATGAACTCGGATGATGCAGTCTTGGACTTGTGATTCTTTCGTAACGACCTGGATAGTCTCTAATTTGGACGTTCTCTGACACATTCATATGGCTAGTTAGCATGCATTTACCATATACTCATACACTCACACTTTACGCGTAAAATCTTCTTTGTGTTTGTAGCTGGACTCGCGTCGGATTATCACACTGTTGTTCTCGAGTCGGAAAGTGGCGCACGGGGGGTGGGGGGGGGGCGCCCCTCCCAAAAACTTTTAAATTGGGCATTTTTTGTTTTTTTTGTTTTTTGTTTTGTTTTTTTTTTGTGTTTTTTTTTTTTTGTTTGGTTTTTTTTTTTTTTGTTTTTTTATTTGTTTGTTTCTTTTTTTTTTTTTGTTTTTTTTTTTTTTTTCAGCTGCTGCCTCGTACCGCGGTAGGACGTTACCGGACGGAAAGATACCTAACCCGTGCACCGCACCAGGGTTCCATTTGCGTTCAGCCCCATATTTTTTCATGGCATTCCATGCGCAATAGTCCTTCCGGGTGAAGTCTTTGTAACCGAATTCCCACTTGACCCTTGTCGAAGCGCCGCGTCTATTTCCCAGCCGGGGCACGCGCCTGCTTGACATCGCTTTGACACATAATCACGAGCAAAACAATAGTATTGAACCGATGTCATCTATCTATTGAAGGTAGTACCGGGCCTTCCCAGAGTACACTCTACCGCGAGGGAGGCCGGGGTCTCTCCCGAGGATCCTTTGCCCGTGGCCAGTGATTCATCCAAAATAAAGCAGAGTATCCTCCTATATGGACTGTATTCGGATTCGCCGAAGCCAGCTCCTCCAGCTTCATGTATCCTTCGCCTGTATCTGGACCCACGACGCATTCCCTTTGCGTTATCTGCAATTTGACCGTGATGCCAGGGTCCGAATCTTCCTGACTGTGTCCAGTCCCAGTCCCAGAGCCTATTGCGGTCGCTTTGGAAGTCGCGTTCGAACTTGCATCAGCTCGGCGCCGCAACATCGACAAGAAATGTGTCGCGGAGATGGACGATGGAGTGAGAATTTCGAGGTTTCGCAGTCGATTGGCGGTCATCCCTCTAAAGAAGCAAGGGCACGACGTAGACTCGCAATCCTTCTCTGTGAAGGTGTCTCGAGCAGGCTGCATGGGTCGCTCCTCCCCAGGCTCGTACAACGTGTACGACCCGACCACAAGCGTCGTCAGCGATGGCGCGATGACTTCCCTCTCCACAGACTTCCCTCCAGCCATCGCAGCCAACTCATCCGTCCCAATCTCCATCCCAAAATCGAGCAAAATCAGCGTATGGAGTTTCGGGGAGCTTCTGAAGAGTTCCGTGAACTCCGAAAAGGTCGGCGAGAAGTAGTTGAGCCTTAGGTAGGTGAGATCCCGGAATGGATGGGCGTGGCATAGCCAACAGTGGTTGTGGATAGTTAACGATTTGAGCTTTCTTGGCGTTGGAAGGGTGAGCTGGGTATGTATTCCCCCTTGGTGTCGGGACCTCATCCGCCCGTCGACGAACCACCAAGACCACGGTAGCTCGTCCCCCGACACATTCAAGGTGACAAGGTTCGGGAAGGGGGTGGCTTGGATGGCTCTGTAGGTCGGATCCCAGGTCCACTTCGTTTCGGGCAACACCAAAGACAGCGACCGGATCCTATCTGCTTCTTTCAAAACTTGTAGGACGTCCTGCATGACCGGCTTTGGGTGTCGAACGATTTCTCCATCGCTGCGCTGTTCGACCCGCATAGAAATCTTGATGTGGACATCGAGTTCGCAGCAGGGCCGTGATCTCTCGAGGAATAGATTCGAAAGATAATTGTGCCCCCGTGGACCAGGGTACTGGATTTCGGTCCACAACGAGGGGGCAGAGATCGCCAGGTTCCGCCATTCGCGACAGACCTGGGAGAGGGTGACAAGTGAAAGGGCGCGTGCCGTTCTCCCAAACGCGACTTCCCGCGCCGCGTGGAATATCTGCAAGAGGATGTCTTCGGGGAGGTCGTGGAATAGCGTCTGCGGTGGATCTACGGGCTGATCTGCCATCTCTGAGGTTCAGAGCGAAAGTGGTGTTGGTTGTAAAAGAGACAAACGATATCTTGAGACCCTTAGATAAAGGGCCGGGATGGAGCCAAGCAATAATTATAATAGATCCTCAGGGCTGTGCATCAGCGGTGTCACCAATCGCGATACAACACCCTCGAGGTTCAAACATGCTGCAGCCTACCTACCCTTCCTCGGCGGAGAGCCCACATAGAACAGCCATAGCGAAAGATATAACAACAAGTAGACACACAGAAAACGTCAACTTTATTATCCCAATACACAATAGCGTATAACGAAACAACACTCCTACATTGTTTATGACTTGCCATACCGATGCTTGAAATACGCCGGCGGAAGTGTAGCGAGTACATCAACCAACGGACGTTCCACCACCACCAATTCCTCCGAACTCAACAGATCCGCACACAGAATCGGTCGATACGTCATAACCATCCTCACGGCTGCACCCAACTTGTAACTGAGCTCTTCATCAACTGGTTCCTTGTCGCCCGCTCCAGGAGTCGCATCTGTAATCGCGTTGGCGCTAGCTTTGGAGGCTTTGGGGTTGGGTGTTGCCGGGGGAACAGCGGCAGCACTATCCTTCCCTCTTCTCCGTTTCTTGCTCGAGCTCTTCGAGAAATGAGACGAGTATGGCGCGCGGAAGTCAATCATAGCCAATGCTTCCAAACTGACTTTACACAACCACGTCGCGCTCCAGAACAGGATGTACCTATCCTTTGAGGATGGCGACGATGAAGGCGAGGAAGACCCAAAGGTAGCACCCAACACCGCGTCGTGAGTCGAAGAGAACCGGCTCCTTTGCATGAGCGTAGACAGGTCTTTGCCCCACGCCGGGAACTGGCGCTGTTCAACATCATAAACCTGAATCGAGTTGTTCGGGAAAGTGAGAAGGAGAGTGGAAGGCGTGAGTTTTATGCTCCCGCTGTTGCCCACAGAAGAACCATCAGGGAATGTGATGTGTTGAACTGGGAGAGGGAACGAAGGAAGGGTAGTGTGGTATGCGATCGAGTCGAGGTTGTAGATGTGCGTTTTGGTGGACGTATGATGCGACGTGGATGCCGACGAAGACGACAACGTCGCTGCAGAGGGCAGGCAATGTGACGATGAAGCTAACCACTGGCCATCAGGGCTAATAGCAAGATGGGCGACAGCGGCAGTCGTCGGTTTAGGTGGTCGTGCAGCAGGCGTCAAGTCGGCGTCGCTATCCTCAGCCTCGTCCTCCGAATCCTTCTCTTCTTCAGCAGACTTCATCTCCACGTCCTCTGAACTGTGGTTGACACCATTAACCTTCGGGCTTGCCTTCTCCTTAAGCTTTCCACCAGCGATCACTCGGTCCTGGACAATCGTGTCTGATTGCAAATGGTGATCGAACCTTCGAAGAACCTGGGGACTGTCTCCGGTCAGGTCCACGACGAGGATGTATGAAGGAGCAGTCGTCGCCAGGACGAGTTTTGAAGAGTCGGGCGTGAATTGGAGGGTAAGCGAGCCTGTTCCGCGGTATTGAGGCTTCGACGATCCACGAGGAGTCGGCAAAGGAGGAATGTGGGGTTGGAGGATTGACGAGAAATCCTTTACGCGTTTTGGCGTAACCTGACCTTCGTCCTGGAGAAGAAAACATCAGAGGATGAAATGGACACAACGCCTCCGGATGCTTACATCGGTCTTTAGCCTGAACAACTTGGTCTCGTACATGTCCGAAACAGCAAGCCACGACCCATCGTCTGATATCCGGTGTGCAATAATGTTCGAAGTGACCTTCAAGTCCATCTCGAGCACCTTCTCCCAACCTCCTTCATACTTTTCTTCCTCGGGTTCTTCGTTCGAAGGCGCCTGTTCATCCTCGTCCATTCGGTCCTCAGTCTCCGTTCGTGGCGGCTTGTCCACGATCCTCCACACGGTAAGACCAGCCTCTCTAATGCACGAAACATATCTCGAAGTTTTGGAAACTTGAACACGGCCTTCCTGGGAATACGCAATCCTGCGATGATACGCGTCTTCGAAGGTAGCGACCGTACTCGTATCCAGTGGATTAGTGACCTTGACCACCGAGCTGGAGGGTAAAGCTGCAGGCGCAACCACCAAGTTCATGTCGAGACCGCCAGAGGCGAGGATGGGAGCAATGTCCAAAGGGAAGTAGCTGCGGGCTTTTTGTCGTTGTTTGAGGAAGGAGGGAGGGATTGGGGTGTGTGGTGGCCAGACGGCCAGTGCGCGGACATCGTGCGAGTGCATGCGTTTTGAAGCTGTTTGGGCCCAGCGAGAAGATTGGACAGAAGATCCAGAGGCGACCTTGATGAGTGAAAATTGAACAGTCTTTTGGTCTACACCGGAGGTGTATACTGCTGTTCCTTCCTGGAAGAACACATTAGGGCTGATTTGGAGGCTAAGAAGATCGTACTGACTGGACTGATTGTCAAGCACAAAACGTCGGCATTGTGAGCTTGGAAGCTTTGGAGCTGGGTGCAAGTGCGAGAATCCCAGAACTTGACCATTCCCATGGAGTCTCCCGAGACGATTGTTCCGTCCCTGGTAAATGAGTTCAGCAACAAAGCGGCCCTGGAAAGCGACGAACGTACCCAAGAACGCCAACACTCCAAACCAAAGTCCGCTCGCCTCGAATCTTATCCGTTCCCATCCTCTCCAAAACCTGACCCGTCTTAACATCCCATTTCCTGACACTACTATCCGAGCACCCAGTCACCAACCACGAATCCTCCCACTCGTCTTCATCATCATCATCATCGTCGTCCGAATCGCTATTAGACGACGACGAGGGTTTTTTGTTGTTATTGGTTTTGGGAATCGGCGGGCCCCAGGCGATACTCAGCATACGGGACTTGACTTTGCCTAACCGCCGAACATGGGTCAGGGTATCGTTCTCTAACGAGAGAATACGAACGGTGCCGTCTTCACAGCCGAGAGCGAGCATGGTCGAGGAAGGGTTGGCGGCTATTGACCAGATGGCACCTCCTTGGGAGTTGATCGTTTGCTGCAAGGGAATGTTAGAATAAGTGGCTGGAGATAGGTAAGATAAAGTACCCACTCGGATACGCGACGTCGCAATGTCCCATTCGATTAATTCACTTCCACCACCGGAGCTGAACAGTCTCAATTCTGAGATTTTGGGTACCTGATCTTCTTCGAGGGTGTCGGGGTCGCGAATAACGAACGCTAATGAATCCACTTTTGAAGGATACGGTCCAGGGATTGTCTTTACGAGTTGTTAGATATAATAACAGTATATTCCAATAGAACACCAACCTGCTTCACAACCCATGCCTGTGGACACTGAGTATCTTGTTCTCCTCCCATCCATTCACACAGGTCAATGTTTCCGTTTGCATGGCCAACAGCAAGGGTTCCAAATCGAACTGTTTTATTCGTAGCCGTCGACTTTTTGCCTTTTATTGAGGGCAAAGGCAGGGGTGCAAACGCGAGGGCGGTGATTGCAGAAGGAGCATAGTCGACGAATCTGCAGCGGTGTACCGCAAGAGTCGTCGTCGGTCCTTCTCTCTTTTTTTCAAAGGCCATGGCCTTTTCTTTCGTTATAAGACTATGAAATCCGAGATATTCAGTTGGTTTTATCTGGAGAAGGTTGTAAATAACATACCGTTGAGATTGGGAAGGGTAAATTGATGGGATAACTTCAAAAGTTTTTTCGGGAAGGTGCCCTGATCGGGAAACGCCCTGGCGGAGCCAGAAAACGTGACCATCCGTTTCGTGTCGCTCTGACGCGGCGCTAACTCTTCCCTTCCTCACTTTTCCTTTTCTCCAAGTTTCAAATCATGTCTTTCCTCTCTGGACGCGGTGCTGCTGCCCCCTCGGGCCAAGTTAACTATGAAAAGGTCGAGATGGCCGTCACAGAGTGTGTAATTTCACCCAGAGAAGCGCGCTACATCACTGACTGAATTCGAATTCCAGGCTTGACACCGTCACCGACTTTTTCAACCGAATGGTTTCGTTCGTATTTGCCAATTGGATAGCTTTCAAGACGCCAACTCATTTCAATTTAGATCATGTTACACCAAGTGCATTGGCGCGAAATTCCCCAACGACGGCGACCTCAACAAGGGAGAGAGCGTTTGCATCGACAAGTGTGTTGGCAAGTACACCGAGGTGCAGAAGAAAGTCGGAGAGAAGCTTCAGAATCGAGGACAAGGCGCTGGTGCTGCTGCCCCCAGCGCATTCGGATCCCTCTAGACAGTCCACCTCAACACCACTGCCGTTACCCACTACCACACTGCCTTCTCCGCCGTCGCCGCCAACAATGGACACGACGACTTGGTCAGGGAGTCATTACGGGTGCTTCTATAGATGAGCAAAAAGTCGCGCATGCGCCGCTATGGATAATCTACACTCACGCAGCATATGAACGAAACGTACGAATCCTATTGCAAGGCGTAATAATGACACACACACACATAATAGCAACCCCCAACTACCCAATTCGAACATATCACCCAATGCCCGTTCAGAGAGAGATATGGTCCCAAAACGCCGCAGAGAATCAAGCTTGGAAAGTAGGGAAGCAATCCTTCAAGGTCTTGCTGTGCTTGTTCGACGCATGGTCCTCGAGACTAGAAATCCGTTCAGTTATCGATACGCAAAGCCTCAAGCTGGCTTACGCTGGCGCTCTCGTGGTGTTCATCTACCATCCTAAACGTCAGATAGCCTTTAACCAAAGTACTGGGCGATGAACTCACAAAGGGCTGTCTGCAGAGGGTGCAGATAATGGACTTGGCAGCCTCGTTGACCTTAAGCTGGCTCTTGCCTGCCTTCGGGCCCTTGTCAGCGTTGCGCTCGCGCTTCTGAGCCGCCTTTGCACCCTGATGCCGCCGGATTCAGTACAGCAGACGGTGAGCACAGGGCGAGTTGGTTGCGTACGTTGCCCATGATGATTTTGACGAGGGAAGAAAGTTCTGAACGATTGAGGAGAGAAGGTGAGTTGCCGCCTGCACAGGGGCAGCCCTCAAATTGATCAGATTATGTCAGCACTAATGAAAGCCCATCGAGAGCGAGAACACTCGGCGGTCCTTGCGTTCGCCTTTTCCCTGCATTTGAATTGACTGAACCCTAGGGTCCAAATCCCCAGCATGTTTCAAGTGTATGCTAGCAGCGTCGGGGCCTGGAGAATGACCACAAGGTTCACTCGGATCTCATCCTTTTAGCCTATCCAACCCGATGTCCAAACTCCTGAAAGATTCTCGAATTCCAAGGAATACCTTCGCCTTAGAAATAAGAAGACTAGAAATCCAAATGCTATTGAAATGAAGCAAAGATAAGCATCACAACATCAAACGGGATCATGCGGCAATTCCTCACCACACATTGTTTTTTTACGCCTGACGATTGTTATGACTCCGTCACTTCGGATGATAAACCGACCACATCGCTTCTTCCCCAGAAAGCACCGTGACACGGCAACATATATAAACCGGGTCTCATGTGCACTTGAAAGATGACTAGGATCCTTCTTTCTTCAGCTTTGACTCGTTCCTTCCGCCAGCATCTTGCAAGCTCTTCACAGCGACGCGCAAAACTTACAGTGAACCCCTATCCGTATCGAATTCACGTCTCTAGCTTTACGACACGAGGAATGGCTACCACCGCTGCGAATGGAACTGCCCTGTCGAATGTCGTCGACGAGTTGAAGCTAGACTTGTTGACTGTGAACCATGTAGAGGAGAATGCGAAGAAGAGGAAGGAAATTGCTCGGACGTTCATTTGTACGTCCGTTTCCTCCTCGTGTTTCGCGAATGGCCTTGCTGACGGACGCATTGAATAGCGGACACCGTAACGGGTCAGTTAGTCTATCCACAACATGAATGAGAAGGGCTCATTCCCTCGAACTAGTTCCCACTGAGGAAATGTACGCCTACGCCGTTCAGGCAACCCTGGGTGACGACGTCTATCACGACCCTTCCACCGCGTATGTCCTTTCTTCCCGAAGTCCCCCTTGAACCTACTCACACACCCAAGTGCACTAGAAGCACACATCGCCAAAATCACAGGCAAAGAAGCAGCCCTCTTCGTCCCCTCCGGAACAGCCTCCAACCAAATCGCAATCCGAACCCACCTCACCCAACCACCCTACTCAGTGCTAGTCGACAAACGCGCACACATCAACCAATACGAAGCCGGTGGAACCGCCTTTCACTCCGGCGCCCACCTGATCCCCGTCGCACCTTCAAACCGACACCACCTCACTCTCGAAGACATCCAAGAGAACGCCGTCGTCAGCTCTGATATCCACTGCGCTCCTACAACATTGATCGCCCTAGAAAACACACTCAATGGGAGTATCTTTCCCCAGTCTGAAATTCTGCGTATCGCGGATTACGCCAAGTCTATCAACGCCAAACTGCATCTTGACGGAGCGCGGATATGGCACGTCGCGGTGGAGACAGAGACGAGTGTGAAGGAGCTTTGTGAACCCTTTGACTCGGTTAGTGTGTGTTTCAGCAAGGGGCTTGGTAGGTTTTGGATCCTCGAAGAGAGCTTGAGGAACTGGTGCTGACGATTTCCCTCTAGGCGCCCCGGTAGGCTCGTGCCTTGCAGGCCCGAAGGCTTTCATCCAAAAAGCACGGTGGTTCCGTAAACTCTTTGGAGGAGGCATGCGACAGACGGGTATCCTCGCTGCGTCTGCGGCATACGCTCTTACGCACAACCTACCTCAACTCTCTCGCGTCCACACTCTCGCCAAACGTCTGCAGAGTGGCCTAGAGGACATCGGAGTGAAAATCCTAAGCGAGGCTGAGACTTGTATGGTATGTGCTACCGTCTCCTTCGGGGATCCTTCTGAGGATACTTACGGTTGCGTATATAGATCTTCTACGACCCCTCTACAGTCGGCGTAACCTACGAAGAAATCGCGGACAGGGGATACGCGCTGAACGAACCATTGATCCTGGGTGGCTCCCGTCTCGTCGTCCATATCCAGACCTCAGAAGCAGCTGTTGAGGACTTCCTATCCGTCGTTCGACAACTGGCCCAGGAGAAGAAGGATGCAGGATTTGTGTACCAACTTGACGAGCAAACCAATGGAGCATTCAAGGACGTATACGTTAGGAGAGCACCTAAAGTTGCGAAGTAGAAGTGGGCTAGGCGACATGTACAGTAACTATTGGAATTGAATAAGAGCAAAACTGTATCGAATGGCGTTGGAGTGGCTGCATACTATTTCTTAGCATAAGCATCTCAGCTTTTTCAGGTGAACGTATGGACAAGCCTTTAATTGGGCAGCAGAACGGTGGGATGCTGGGCAGTCTAACTGGCCAGCTTGCCTTTTGCGCGAAGCTCGAATAGACAAACCGTGTTTACTGTATTCTGCATAACACACGGCCAAATTAGTATCTCTAAAACCAGACGAGAACGAAGTAGACCCACACTAACTACGCGACCGCGGGGTTAAAGTCGCAAGCCCATAGTGGGGCCCATCCCGTCCCAGTCAGTCAGGGTACCACTCTATAATTTCGATTCCCCTCCTTGACCCTTCCTCTTCCCATTCCTCAAATTAACAGCCACAGGCAGCGTCAACGCCATCTGCGTCGCAACCGCCAAACACACCTGCTTCTCTCTCCACCCCTCCTTCGGCGGTGCACCTTCACCAATCTCCGAGGGTGCACTCCAAACCTCGACGTAGATATCATGTCGGCCTTGAGGGTAATTAATGAACCGACCAGCCGAGTACAACCCCGCTGTCCTGCGTGCGTGCCACTCGGGAGTGAGCAGGCGGATTGGGAACTTGAAGTCGATGGCGAGGGTTAGAGTCGGAGACCATGCTCTACAACGCAATTCGATGAGTTTTCGTCTTCAGTGAGAAGGAGAAAGGACATACGCAGCCTCCGGCTCCCCACCCTCCTCCTCCGGAATCAAATGCGTCGTATTCACAAACATATCCGCCAAAAACGGGATATACGCACTCGACAACTTCTCAGTCGGAGCGGTGAACTGATACCACGCAGCCCACTCCGTTCCTCCTCCGCCCACACTATCCTTCCCTACCTTCTTTCTGTTGGGATGGTCGGGCCGGTTCTGGGCGAGAGTCTGCTCATCCCAAGCCCAGGAAACGTGGTCTTTGTCTTTCCAGACTTCGAACATGGGTTGCCGGGTGGCTTGAGAGGGGTGAGAATAGATTGGGATGCGTCGGGCGTAGGGAGAGGGTGGTTGCAAGATAAAGTTGTCCTGCGGGGAGGACGAAGGGGAAGGAACATTGGACCCAAACATCGCATGGGAGGTGATCCTCAGTTCATCCTAATAACCTCACCGTCAGTTCTCCCGGGCACCAAATCCAAAGTAGCGAGATAGGGTTGTACGCACAGCTTGTAAAAGATCTGCCGTCAAATTCGTGATAGTCTGCCCCGACTTGACCGTCGAAACACGAATCCTGAACGGAAGATTCGAGTTGGTAGGTTTAAAAAAATGCGCAGAGATATGCAGAGGGTCGATATGTTCAGTCTTTGCTTGGTGCTGGATACAAGCCTCCAGTATTAGAGCAAGGGAATAGCCTGGACGGGAGCCATTCAATAAATTTCAAAATCATTAGGCTCGTCGCCATCGGGCCTCTCTTCAAGGATAGAGCTTTACCTCCACACGGAACACTAGAGAAAAAGTCAGCTACCAATACAAGCAAAATGAATCATAGGACGAGACCCACTTTCCAATATTCCAAGTTGGATCCATAACACCTTCATACACCACCGTCTTCGCACCCTCCAGACGCGTCCGATGGACTTTAACAGCTTCGTTGAGGGGGGCCATCTGAATCGCTTCTGGTCTGCCAATAGGTCGAGCGAGTGTCCGAGCAGTTCACCGTTTAAGATCAAGGCCAAGGAGGAACCGATGAACAAATGCCAATGGCAGGATGCTCAACATCACGCGTTCCTTATATCTACCGCCTTTTGACCGGTTGTCCAAAACGCTGAAGACTCGACAATTCCCGGTAAACGTAGACGCCGGCGTACCCGACTAGTACTACGGCGTTCTCACCACACAATCGTGGACAGGCTTAGAGCGTTGAGGACGAAGCCACGAACCGACAAAGATGGCTGTGGTGAACGACAGGTCCAAAGGGAAGCAGCGCGCGGTCAAGGTCATTTATAGGGGTCAACCCCATCTTCCAAATCTCATTTCTCATGTTCCACCCCAAACCAACAAATCATGAATTAATCCTACCAAAAGCCCCAAGAAAACAAAAAACAGCGAAATCCAACAATAGAAAAAAAAACTACCTACATCGGAACGATTAATACTCAAAACTTGTCTAACGTCTAACCTTCGCCCAAGCATCTAACCCTCGCCCAAGTGACCTATATCCCTCTTACCCACGCGCAGCAACCAAGTCGAAAAAAAGACTGTTGTTTACAGGGTCAGATCCAGCCCGGCCCCGCCAACGTCGATTGGGAAACGTATGTACGTACTGCGAAAGAGTGGCAAAAAAGAGAAGAAAGAGAAATAAAAAATAACAAGCCAATAAGTATAGGATACATCGTAGAAAGTTGAAGTGTGCTTCATGCGGCGTATTCAAGAAGACGGATTGAATGGCGAATTCGACGAGGTGAGGGTGGGTCCGGTGAAACAGCGAAGACGGCAAAAGGGCGGTCGGTGGTGGCGGTGGCGGTGGTGGTGGTGGTGGCAAAGGACAAGGGGGAGGGACAAAGTAGTGAGAACTAGTGTAATGTGCGACGGATAAATGAAGTCCATGGGTGGGGGTTGCAGTAAGTTACTGGTAATAAGTCAATCAACTAATGCGTACAGAGTAGAATTGAACTGAAGCGAGCGAGTGAGGACAGAGGCAGATATTGTGAGTGAAACCGTGAAAGATCGTTCCTTGCGTGGTTTATGTATGATGTATGGTATGTTTGCGGATTCCAAGCTGTATATCGGATTTGGGATTTGCTGTCGTTGTCGTTTAGATTATGCTCATCCGGTTGAGGTTCCGACTTGCTGCCTTTTGATGCGTTGGGCTGTTGTCCATTTTGGCTTTGCGGGCGACTGTGTGCTGTTATGAGCGCCGGCAAGAGAGAGAGAGCAGCGCAGGAATACGTACATGCATCTTTGAGGCCTCGGCCAAAGTTTCTCAGGATGATCACTGAGTATACAAAGGTAGCTATCAGAAGCGCGATAGCAAGGACCGCTGCAAATCCCAAGTCAGCACAAAGTGCGCCAATTATGGATGATGTACGACTCACAGAACACTGTCAGTGATTTCCACACAAGGAGGTACTGCTCTGTATCGCGGTTCAATAGTACTCTGATGAGCTGCAAGGGAAGGTTAGCCTGTGCTCAGAGAGAAAAAGCGCGGAGACGTACCTTGTAGATGAAATAAATCATAGCTCCTACGCATCCACACATAAACGTCGCCATCATCCATTTGTTCTCATACCTCGCTGCCAGATGTCCCTCAACCAGGAGGACAATTGACAACGGCAGTGCGGCGCACGTCACGTAATACTCCCAATCGTTGTCCTGCAACACCAGCCAAATAAACTGCACCGAGAACCCCACCCAGAAGAAGACATCAAACTTGACCAAGCATTCGTACACTTGGTAGTCAGCGTACATCTTCTTTATCCGTCTGTCTGCGCCGAGGAATTTATAGACTTTCCAACCGAACTCGTTGTAGATCTTCCAGCCGAGGGCAATGTAGGCGATTTCGGCGAGAGAGATGACAATTGGGATGATGGTGGTGAGGACGTTGACGGGTACATTTGAGACGCCAGAGACGACAGTGCCTGCGACGGCTTCTTTGACTTCGCCGATTTGGATGATAGCGTACAAAAGGAAAAGGGCATTGAAGATACTGTGATGATACCCGTGGTTAGAACGTGGAAACCCGGGACTTAATTGCTCGAGACTTACGCTAGGGAGATGAATTGAAGGGTATTACGGGCATAGACGGCGTCGAGAGCCATGACAAACTGGAAGACGCTATTGGGCAATGAGCATTCGTTCGGGATAGGATGAATGATGGGGAACATACTGCGCCAGCGCGAAGATACTGAGGTACACCGGCATCCGTGTTGCAGTCGGGTTGTCTGCCTCGTCCGCCTGCTCGACGATCTTCCGTACCCGTAGAAACAGCTCTCCCTCAATCGCAAGGTCTATTGTCGTCTCCACCAGCACCACCCCAAGGTATAACCGACATGCAAGCGACTCCGGTAGGATCTAGAAAAGCAGTGATTAGCACCTCCGTAAACACCATGTCAAATGTCCATGGTTCTGAGCAACCCTCGGGGATGGCTACTGGGCCGCATTCCAATAATACAGTGGTGTGTCCATCGACCCAAAACGTTCCCCGCGCTTCCAATGGCCGCCGGTTTCGCAGTGCCTGTTTCGCCTGGAAGGACTATGGCAATGCATGCCCGCTGAAAGCGAGATTACCAGGCAGCAGACCAATGTCCACCAGCGGCGGTTCGTCCAGAAATCAAGCACCGTCCCTCCCCAAGTCGCCCAAAAACCATGAACACAACCACACACACACACACCTTTTGCCATAGTGTCCTCTTATCAGCCTCCTTCGCAGGTGTTAGCGGCGGGTACGTCGACGACATCGTTTCGTGGGTTTCTTCAGATTGCTTCGAGGAAAAAGGGATGTTTTTCATAGGCTGGGAATTCCCTCGCCGGTGGCTTGTCGGGTGTGTCGCCGCCCCGCCAATCGTGTACGTCTGGTGGCCTGAGTTGGGGGCGTAGGGTGCAGAGTAGCCGTCTATGAGTTCATCGTAGGGTGCTTTTAAATCTTCCTCAGATGAATGCGGATATGAGGGGTGCGTGTTGTCCTGCTGGTACTGCTGGTGGTGTTGGCGATATTGGGAGTGGGGTGCTGATGCTGCTCCCGACATGACGGCGAGAGGACGACGGCCTTGGCTAGTTTAGTTTGTTGATTGGTGGTTGGTTGTTGGTGGCGGTCGGCGTTCGAGTGGGGATTTGAGTAGAAAAAAGACAGTGAGATTTTGTAAAGGAAAGACAAGAAAAGACCGTGAATAGATTGCGGTAGTGGTTGTCCAGCGTTAAGCAGGTGGTGCCGGCGCCGCGGTTGGCATCCCTGTTTGTTGTTGATTTCGTGATTAGTGACAGTCGCTTTGTCGCCGCCAAGCGAGAAGCCGCATGCATTCCAGAACTCAAAACTTTGCACAGATGGGCTTCAAAGGCCGTATATTCTCAAGCAAGAGTCATACAGGGTCACCTAGCATATGGGGGCTACCTCTACGTGGACAGTCTGAAACCGTTGGTACGAATCACGGCCGGACGAAAATAGCTTCACCGTCGCCTACCAACGCCAAGAGGTCCGATCATAAATGACCCCAGACTCAGCTTCATTGCCGCTGGACGCAGCTTGGGGGACGCAAAAAGGCGTGTGGCAAATGTTGAGGAGGCGAGGATGCCTCACTTCTAGGACATGGGTCTCATAGTAGCCTCAGCTTCCCAGTCACTTGGTTCACAAGTTTCGCTGGACCTGGATCATTCCGCCTCCAATAGATCGTCAAAGCCAAATTTAATGCAACTGCTCACCGATAATACCGAGTACTGTCCGTGATCCTGCGGCAATTTGGGTTCGACCTCTGCAGTGCATGATCAACAAACAGAAAGGGATCGTCAGGGTCTCTGAACACTGGAATGTTGACAGGGACTACTCACGCGTCGCGGATGGATTGCGCGCACAAGTTGAGGAAACGTGCTTCTTTCTGGAGGGAGAGTAGTTCATCTTCGCTAGAACATTTTAGGGCGACCTTTGTTTGTCTTTACAGTCTGAGAAGAGGGAGCGTCGGAAGACAGATTCTAGAAGGAGTTACCCTGTTCTTTCCCATTGTTTGAGCAACTGAGACAACCTTCAGCATTTCAACGACTCCTGAGAGGCTTCCAATGTCTACATACCCTTGGGTGGGAGTTTTGCATAGCTTTATAACAGGCAAGCGTCGCATGCCTATGGAAAGTCAGCCTTCGACATGCGAGCGGAGTCACAACGAACGCATTACGAGCATCTGAGGACATTCGACAACGCGTCAGCGAGCTTGGTTATCTAGGTCAGACTAAGAACACTCACTGAGCAGCAATCTTCCCCGAACCCATCTTTAGATCCGTTCGTACGACCAAGACCTGTCGGCAGAAGCAGAAAGAATTCGTCAGAAAGCGCGCGTCCGGGATATGTATTCCAGAGAAAAGCATGACCCCAGCATCGCTAGGACTCGTGAAAGGGCACCACCGGAAGGGCGTAACCACCGTCGTCATGGGTCTCGATAAAGGGCGACCTCCAAGTGTTTAGGAACTGCAGATGGCCAGTAGATTGTCCGGAGCTGCCGAGGATCATGCATTTCGCCAGTACCACGTCAACGCACCATTTTACATTCATCATCCAACCCAAATGTATCTTCCGAAGCAGCTGCCTTCCCTCTCCTAGAAAAAAGCTGGCCAGCCAGAAAACCAATAGACAATGAAATAGCCACAATGGCAGAATAACTTTTCACTATTGAAATGGAATACAGATTAGTTGTATTGGCTTCGAGTAATTGTATTGAGCTTACAATCTATATCACCCATGTCCAACAAGGAGAGGTGTTTTGAGATGCGACCGCCTGGAGAGTTTGACACGAACACAGAAAGCAATGCTCGAAACCCGCCAGGCGCGTCAGAAGCGCTCAGCCCGTGGGAATTCGGTGTAAAATGGGAAAGGAGCCCCTGTTTTTACTTCAGGACCGTTCGGTGACGATAACGCTAATCCTAGGGATATGTTGAAGCCCTAGTAATACAAGTAATAAATAGAGGACCCAGTTCTTCTGACTTTATATCTCAAAACAGGACACCGCAGAAGAATTAGAACCATTTCGCAGGGGCGACCACAACTTCGGCCCCATCGTCTGGTGGGCCAATACCCTCCAGCCAGTTACTCCTGAGCTGTATCCCTATATCGCAAAGTCTCGAGGCAACCATTAAAAGACAGCCATCAATGGACCTGTAGGCAGCCAAAGAACCAAGTCCACCGACTCTCCTCCCCCGCCCCTACCCATTCCAGATAAGGCAACCTCCAGCGCCGAAAACGAATTATTGTCTCCGCTAACGACGCGCATAACGTGTCACCGGCACCTCCAATCCCTTCCTCCCGCCACGAACCACACTCATGCGATAACCTCACCTCGCCTCAAGGATTCCTTTCCTCCTCATTCTCTCGTCCTTATCTAAATAAGTTCTTGTATACCTCATAATGTCGCAACGGTGAATACAGCTGCTTTTATGTCTAAAGTGATTGGAAACTAACACATCTCGCTCTCCTTCCACAACCTCCTCCTTGCATTCACCTCACACACTCCATCCAAACTCTACAACCCTCAACCCCACCTCACCTCAAACCTCAAACCCTAAACCAATCCCACCCAGATTACGCCCAACACTCCGAGACCGCTCCTCCCTCCTTGGCGGCGGGTCCAGCAGCAGCTCACCATCCCCCTCCGGCCGCTCCTCTCCCTTTGGACTCGGCTACAACCAACCATCCCATGGACATGGATTCCAACCAAACGGCCAACGCTTCGCTGAAGACCTCGAATCCCAAAACGACGAAGCGATCGAAGGGTTGAGTAAGAAAGTCAAGTTGCTCAAGGATGTGAGTGTTGGGTGCTATACTAGCTTCCCCCAAACTTGAGGGGGTAGTTGGGAGGTAGATAACTAACCTGGTCTGTATTGTGGGTAGATCACGATAGGCATTGGAAATGAAGTACGAGAATCAACAGTACAACTAAGCCAAATGGTACGTCCGCCTTCCTCCCTCACCAAAGCACAACACTGACCACCCTACTCTCCCCTCTCCTCCCAACTCCCTCGCTATTCTCAACCACAAACCAAACCCCTACACCCCACAAACACCACCACTCTCTTCCCCTCCCACCATCCCCAACTTCAATCAGAACGACGCATTCTCAGAAACAGGCGACATCCTCTCAGGCACATTCCGCAGAATGAACAACATGGCCGAACGACACGGCTGCAAATGGCTATGGTACATAGTCTTCTTCACAGTCGTATTCTGGTTCTTCATTGTCGTTTGGTGGTTTCGTCGGTGACCTCCGACGACTTGTGGACCAGAGTTCCTGGCGACAGCTGGTACACTTGGCCTGGAGCACCCCGCCGACCTCGCCTTGGACACTGACAACTTTCCGGACTTCTTTCAACTTCAGTTCCGAAGAGGTCTTCAAGAGTCCAGGGGTGTACGATCACCTCTCGGGGCCGTGCTGCGGCGTTCTGCAATGCACTCAGGCCGCAGCAGCCCTACACCAAAACATCTTCCTTCCCGATACCTATACCCGCTCTTTTCCCTTACATTCAATACATAATCTTTCACGGAAGCCCCATTCCCTCCAATCTCAGCTCACGAACACTGCAAATCTTTGGCGGGAGAATTATCGCCATGCTGATAATGTATTTCCCGGAGGATGCGAGCGAACCAGATTGGAACCAAGCCAAGCTACAACTATGGAACTACCAATACAGTGTGAACAGAAAAAAGAGCAAACGAAATGGGAACAAAGTGGACTCGGGCGAGAACGACCGGAGACAGTGAATGAAGCAATGAATAGAATACACAGGAAGCATATCGATCAGAAAAACAAGACCCGACATTTCTAGTCGTCCCTAAACCGCGCCTTGCCAATCTCCCAAAGCATCCTCTTGCGAAGGTAGGGCATATCCTTCTGCGTGAAGATGAGCGTGTTTTCGCCTCGGGAGAGAGACTCCAGCGTTTGACATGTGAACACTCCACAGTCGTATCCGTTTTGTTGCTTGGGGTTGTCCTGAATACGCAGAACCGTGCATGAGTATTATGATTGGCTTAGAGCAGAGTAAGACGACAAACCTCGGCTACATAGTTTTCCCAACCACTGAAATCGAACGGTTTCTTCTTCTTGTTCATATGCTCCGCTTGGACGTATCCGCGCAAAGTCTGGATTCAAAAGTAACGAATGAGAACTGAAGACAAGCACGGGAACCAATACAATACTCACCTGACAAACCTCCTCTCCAGCCATATCCAAACTATCATACGACTCGAAGCGCTTCAACTTGAAGTTGATAGCAGCAGCAGTCCAATGACTATTCGAGTGGTTGACGGGTATCAAAACGATATCTTTCGAAAAGATGTCAACCTGTAAAGTAAGAAAACAAACCAACACCGTCAATTCCTGATCAACGTCGAGCCCTCCAAAAGGCCAACCCACCTTTTTCGTCCACTTGGCCAACCTCCCCTTCTCATACCCCTCCTTCGTCAACTTGGTCCAGAAGAACGTGCTGAAGTAGTACGCATTCAACACTTTACCCCTCTTCACCTTCGCCTTTCCATTCTCCGCCCTCTGATTGATCATCGCGCCGTAGAAGTTGATAACCTCGTCGTTCAACCATTGGCCTGGGTTTAACCGTCTGAGGTCGGCAGCGGTGACAGCTTCCCTGGCACATTTGGACACTTGGCCGGGTGTGTTCAGGAATCTTGAAAGCTCGGCTTCGTCATCAGGTGGGAGAGCAGTGGGAAGTTTGGGTCGGGTCGCGGCTTCGAGTTCCGAGTCGCGGAGACGGCGGCGGACGTCTAGCTGCTCGAGATTGGGAGTATAGGTCTTGGGAAGAGGACTAGATGGGTTTTAGTTTGATGCTGGGTGATAAATAACGAAGCTAGTCCACTTACGCAGCCATCGTCTTCCTGTACTTCTCCAAGTACTGTTGAATGAACTCTAGATCATCGCCAGGTAGGTTGACTCCTTGCTTGCGGTACGTATCCCGCACTTGCAGGATATAATCAAGCCATCCTAGAGAATCCCCTCGTCAGCAATGAGCCTGGACCGGAAGAATGCAATGATACGTACTCGTGAACTCCAGTTTAGATCCATCATAATGAGAGCGAGACGTATGCTTAGCATACTCCCGATCCCTAAACTCTTTCCACATTTGCGCATTCGTCTCCCGTACCCTGGCTTTATGCTAGAAATCATACATGAGCAAAAGACTTGTCCAAACGGTGCATATATCCATACCTCGCGCTCTTTTATGTGTGGTTTCAGCTTGTACTTGCGATTAGGTGGATACATGGGCGGAGGCGACGTTGCACGTAGTTTGACACCATTCTGATGGATTCTGGGTTTGCCCGCAGTTCTCGAGTCTATTGACGTTGGTGCAGTGCTGGGCGTTGATTGTACAGATGATGTAAAGGTGAAGGCAGACGTTGGGACGCTCGAAGCCTAAAACCGCGCACAATTTGTTAGCATACACCCAGGTCCAAAATAGTGAGTCTACCAACATTGGAGGGGGGACCGGGCTTGAATCCTTGGAGTTGGTGGTTCATACTTCCCAGCGACGACATTGACCCCGCTGATGTCGATGCTTGCGAAGTCTTTCTCGCGGTCGACGTCGTCCCTTGGTGTGCTCTGTCCGCCATAACCACTTCGATGGAGCGCCATGATTTTGCACTCAAAGCAATGTTTCTCGGTCTTTGCAGAGCTTCCGGCCGAGATTGTTGATGGTGTTTCGTCAACCACGATCCAGGCTCCCTCCTACCACCTGACGAAGTTGATGACGACGTGCTCCCAAACGTTTGGTTCTGACTGCTGGTTTTGTCGGCAGTGACGGTACCCATAGATGACGTCGAGGCAACTGGTAAAGGAGGTGCGGGGGTGTCGTCTTTCGTGAGGTCGATAATCTCATGGCGATATGGCGGCTTGGTAGGGATGGTATTTCTTCTTGGCCGCGGAACATGGTCATCATCGAGCTCAGCGGATTCCTGAGGCGGCGGCGTCTCAGGAGGTGTAGGGATTGGGTACTTCGAGTCATGGGCTTGCGTTAATGTGTCTTTAGGGGGTCGAGCAGTGTCTTCGGGGAGCTTGGAGCCTCTCGAACAGGGGGATGTCTGCGATGAAGAGGATTCTGCCACCTGGCTGTCCTGTGAACTGGGCGGCGTTGGAAGCACATCGTCCTCATCTGAGCTCATCGCCAATGCCGGAACTCGAGTCTGCGCCAGTCGTCGCTTTCCTCCGCCGTGATTTACGAGTCGACGAGATGGGGAGCCGCCGAAGGATGAGCGTCGTTTTGGAGCGGTCGTCTTCTGGGTGTTATGTGTAGGTAGCGTTTCTTGTGTCGCTGTATAGTAAATAACGATATGAATTGAGTCGCGCTGTTAACCATCTCAAGGAGATAAACTCCTTACGCCATAGCCTTGAGGGTATCGAGGCAATTTCCCTGCAAATCTTCTTATACCAGGCCTCGTCCTGACTGTCGTTGGCGGTCATTCGCTGCTGCTTCGGTGCACGAATGGGGAGAATGGCTGTGTCGGCGGGTCGTTTTAACGAGAGTAGCGGGACCATTGAAGAGAGAGACCCAGAAAACAAGAGACAATCGAGCAATCGACAAACAAAAAAAAAAACCTGAAACGCCGAACGATGTCGAGTGAACAACCTGCGCGTCGGCGATGTTGCGAACGGCGAGCTCGTCGGTGGTCCCGAGGTTGTGTCCTGCGGCGACGGGTTGGGTGTCGGCGTCGGACGGTTTATGTGATGATGGTGGTCGGGGAAGAGTTTGCAGCCTGCAACGTGCCAGTGGCTGCGTTCCCCCGATACCCACGGAGGCTGCGAGGCGCGGTGTCTCATGTCTATCAATGCCTCCTTGGCTCAGTCGGAAGAGCGTCAGTCTCATAATCTGAAGGTCGCAAGTTCGAACCTTGCAGGGGGCATCTCCGCAATCGCTGGGTATTTTTTTCCAGTTTAGCGTACGACGATGGCTGCCTACATATTCACATTAATTGCTAAATCCACAGATAGGTTTCTCAAAGCAATCCATAAACCCCTCTTTCAATAAGTTTCGTCGAGAAGATCTTTGTTTTCAAACAGGAACGGGCTTTGTAGAAGTTTCGTCCGTACCACAGTGCTTGGTCGACTCAAACCAAACCTGAAATGCTTCAATGGGGCTGCCTTGGAAAATGACCCTCCTCTGCTTCCATCGGCAAACGTGAGCGAGTCATAGTCGCCGACTCTTCGATCGGGAAGGGGTTAGGCAAGGACAATCCTCGCGCTTGATGCTAATGAAGCGCCGTCGGATAAAGATGAGGTGGTGAAGTCTTTCGTGACATTGCGAGGAGAGAAGGCGAGGCTTTTGCGGATTGAATATGAGGTGACGAAATAGCAATGCGTAGTCCAGTTTCAACATGATCATGAGCTTGAGGGCACATGCCGAGGATGGGTATGGCGTCTTCCTCAAGTCAAAGAAACGCAGATACACCATGACCACAACCTACAGACGGCCCAGAGCAGCAGAGGGTGGTACCAAACCCCGGTAACTCTCCGAGTCCAGTTCTCCCCTTCCTTCTGCGTTCCCTTGCTCCTCGACAAGCCTTGTGAGGGACATGATATCGAGAGCACAGAAACTCAAATATCCCTGCCCATAACTGGAGGGAGCTGTCGCTGAGAAGCTTTGGCAGATTCTCGTACGGAGGAAACGCCTATCGATTTCGACCTTGATCTTGACTTGGGTCCAATTCATTCAGGTCCCAGCAACTGTATGGATAGACCTTGCCAGGCTCGAGAATGATGAATATGGTCGGGATAGCAGAGCCAGTGGAACACGAGGATACCAGCTCGCAAACGTCTTGTTGAAAGCCTTTACTTCGCGTTTGCAGATCAGAAGTCGTTGCCCTTGTCCTCGATGGATTGGACGCGAGGGGTCAAGTCCGCTTCCTTCTGATGTTCCAGAGAGTCATCGAGCTCCTCTATCCGTTCGATGCACCCAGCCAACAGGGCAGCAGTTTGGACGGATGGCCTCGCCATCGTCTGAGCGTACAGCGTTGTTAATTCCTCGGGCAGTTCTAGCTGTTGTAGCTCTCTTGAACGGACCAAAGACCAGGAGTAGATTGCCTCGTCTAGGTAGAAACGCGGGAAGGGTGGCGGTTCCTCGGGGCCCATTGGACACGGTGATGATGGGTGTGAGAGGCGAGCATGTCAGCTGAGTACTAGGACAAGATATCCGAGAAACGGTGCAAATAAACCAGGGAAACTGCTAGTCATGCGTGACCAACGCTTGTGACAATACCAGACCGCTGCTATGATCCATACCTCGCCTCACAGCCTGTCGTAGCTGATGATCAAACGACATGGACGGGTTTCCTCGTGTCCCATGTTTCAAGCTACGCCTCGGAGAGAGGGTTAGCTCAATTCACATCGCCCTAAAGGTAGAACTCATATACAGCTTGCTATGGCAATCAGCACTTGTTCAGACCAAGGATAACAGCCACTCACCTGAAACAAGGGCCGGGGATCCGTTCAAGGAAGACCATTTCAGAGTAAAAAGTCTGGATCCGGGAACCCCAAAACGGGGACATTTCTGCCTCAAGGCTCGCTTGATCTCGCGCCTCATTGCAGTATCACAATCTCCATGCTGATTATCGTGACGCACTGACCGTTTGAAACCAGCCCATGACTTTTAGGCAGCAGCAAAAGACGAGAGAGAGGTCCAATCGGGGGAGATTGGTGCGTGTCAAAGGACTTCGGCTCATCGGCCGGCACGGGGTGGGCATTCATAAAAGGCAGGGGGTGTCCTAATTAGCCTTAGCCTCTCCCCTCTCAGACTTTCTTCTGCTTTCTTCACTCTTGGGACCGGCAGGGGTGTCCTGCAAATTGTAATAGTTCTGGTCCCCGTCAGCGCTGCACAACACATTCAACGATCTTCCTGAACCCTTTCTTGAGCACCCTCTAAGCCAACCAACCGAGCCCAGTCAATCCAGTAAACCAGTCAAACAGTTAGTCACCATGGGCATGACATTTCGACGATACCTCAACGGCGGCGGGCGTATTTACGGCTGCTCGAATTGCAAAACGCACCTGGCGTCGCTGAGCAACATGATGTCGAGGGTGAGCGGTGGAGCCTGGACCAGGCTTGAAAGGCACTGGTAACTGACGGAGCTTGTAGGCGTTCAACGGGCAGCACGGTCGAGCCTATCTCTTCGAATCAGTGTACGTACATCCCGCCTTTATTTTCCCCTTTCCCAATACCGATCCTCACTTTTGCGCAGTGTGAACGTCACCGAAGGCGAGGAATGTAGTCGCGCGATGACGACAGGCCAACACACCGTCCGCGATATCTACTGCGTCAAATGCGGGGTTACTCTGGGTTGGAAATACGTGAGTGGCATTGCTTGCGTCGGCCGCTTAGCTTGCTCATCGTATTGTACTAGGAACTTGCCCAGGAGCCTTCACAGAAGTATAAGGAAGGCAAATACATCCTCGAGCGAAACCTTCTCGTGGATGTCCAGTAAAGGGACCCGTGACCCGGATGCCTCTCATCGGTATCATTTCGGTTCTCCTCATCCACGGTCTACGGCTGCCTGAGCACGCACACCTAATATCCTGCCTCCTCCACGCGCATACCACCAATGCATGGATCAGGCACATCTGAGATACCCATTCTCGTTTCTCTGGCTCTCTCTTCTCAGCGAACAACTCGGGCAACAATCATCTGCCATGTACCACTATATTTAACGAGGCGAAGAAGACGGAACGATCAAGAGGAGGAGGGTACCGCGAGAAACGCACACCACACCTCTTCCTCGACGGCGTTTTCATTGTCGCTGACTCGAGAGGACTAGTTGGTGACACCAGCGTGGAGGGACTCGGCTGCGCTATCATCACGTCACCTGCATCCGCAACCTCGACATTTTGCATTCTTTGGACCATCGGAACTCCCCCCTTTTGATCCCCCACCTCCACTCACGAGAGACTTCTTGATAAGTACGATTTCTATCCACTCCTCCGCTTGCTTACTTATTGTATTATTACCTATCCTATTCGCGCTTGCAGACCACCCTCGTGTGCACCTGTGCGTCGTGAATGCTCCCTTTTTCGCAACCTGTAGTTTGGCTCCCGTTCCTTCTTTTCTTCCACATGACTCTCGCATCGCATTTTACATTCCTGTTTTGTCCGCATCTTCCATCTCGTCGAACCGCTCTCCTGCAATTATTTTCTCTCTTTTTACTGTATCATTGGAATGTTTTTCAATCTTTCCCCTTTCATTCATCTCCCTTCATCATTCTAGATTCAGCATCATTTTACTCCATCCTTGCTCATTCATCCACCCATTCGCCTCGCATCGTCACAGGATCTTACTTTTATTCCCAGATTTAATTTATCTCCCTTCACTCTTCCCTTCATCCTTTCTTTCATTGTCTATTTACAAATTTCTTTTGCTCTAGGTCATCACTTTCTCGCTATCGTCACAGGTTGCGGTGCCCCTTCCGAACAGACTTGGTGGTACTGCATCCTTCGCCCCCCTCCTCCAGCCTTCCAGTCTCTTCCTCATTCTTCTCCTCGGCCCCCCTCTTGGCTTCCTTTCTTCTTCCCTCTCCCACCATCCTCATACCTGATGTCACCGTGGTTCATGTGGTTGTGTCGGTCAGAGGTCCCCCTGTACATTTAGTATAACATCCCATCCTTGCATATAAACGTATTCTTCCTCACCAAATACGAGTGGACTGGGCTGGGTGTATCGATTCTGCTCCCTGGGGTGTGTGCAAGGATTTTGTTAGGATGAGAGCTTACTTGCATTCTATTCGAAGTTTATTTTTGGCTCGAAATTCTATTAGCGCGGCTCTAGGTCATAGTCCCCGGTGCGTTTGGCGATTAGTAACCCAGAGCCTATCTAGCTAACGCTCTCATCGGAAGGGGGACACTTGCTCGTATGCAGAAGATCAGAGACCATCTCGACTTCACCTCGACTCAGACTTCGGAGGCAAGTATACCGGGGATCAAATCCTTGTGTGCAATATAGATAAGATTGAAGACACATACGTGTACGTGGCGTCATAGCTTTTAGTGAGCAATGGAAATGAACTTCACAGGTAAGTAGCTTTTAGAACTGGCTTCGAATTCGAGAAAGTTCAAAGGGCGCTGTGATCCCCAGGAAGGAGAAGCGGACTTGGGGGCTTGGAGTAGGCCAAGCACTTGCACTCGCCTATCAGCGTGAAGTAGCGCTGCGTAGCTTTCCTATGCTTTGGCCTCACTAGCTCCTCCCGAAATATTCCTAGGGTAAAACTCGGTGCTATCCACCCAACACATTAATTCACAACACCCAGGTCCGAGTTCCTTTATTGTGACAGGGTAACCACCTAAGGGTATTAGTACCCTGGGGAACGGGTACGCGGAGTACGTGGCTGTAATTCGCAAAGGAAAGGAAGAATCGAATACTCACTTTGGTTTCTCGCGAACGTTGAACTTGGACTTCTAACTCCCCGCCAAATTCAATTATTGGGCGGAGTGACTGCAATCTCACTCTCGAGGGAAAATCCGAAGTCTAATTGCTTGAAGAACTCCGCCTCGTGTGGCATTCCTTGGGAAATCTACTCGTCACATCACATTGAATGAACGGCGGAGGTTTGGATTTGGGATATGTCGATTCCTTGGGGTTTAGGGAACCGACAAGAATGGTGACCACGAAGACCTACATCCATAAAGAGACGGATCATTGACCTTGAAAGGGCCGCGACGACTGTCCGGGCGGCTTACCCGGTCAGGGTCTTGTGAGCACACGTCCTCCGGCGTATTCCTCGAGAGACGCCGGTTCGAGTCGAAGGTCAGCGTACTGACTCCAGTTCGGGTAGTTCATTGATAGGATATAGACGGGGATGGTAGAAAGCCTGCGCAAGGCAAGAATGTTTGAGGTTATCTCGTAAGTACCTTTGAATTGAATAGATAAGATGGTTTCATTTAGGTACAAGTAGCGATGATGATGTCCACCTTGAGGTCATGAATTGCGCCAGAGGGTATAATCGAGGAGGAGCGAATTCATTGACATGTTGTCATTGGTCTCTGCAATGTTGGGGGAGGAGGAGAGGTGGCACTTCATAGATAAGAATAGGGATATTCCGAACCCAGGAGCCGCCTTCCTTCCCTTTGAATCCTTTGGGGACCGACCCAAGCGTCTAGAGGTAATACCAGGTTAGTGAGCGCGTCCCAGAGGGTAAGTTTCCTTCCCATTGACAAGACTAGGCGAGCCAAGCAAAGTCCTTTCGCGGACTGACGAGAGAAGCGAGGTTGGTAGTAGAAACCCTTTGGTTATAGAGTATTCCAAGTCGCGATATCCATGTGCCAGATCGGATAGAACACGGTCACCCGTTGCCTCAGCGTGCTTAGCCAGAGTAAACCATCGCGCCTTGACACTGAAACAATCCAATGCAATCCAGGACAAAAGAACCCTTAGGCATTATGAGCTGCCTTTGAGTGTTTGGTAACGAGACATTGGGCCTTTTGGGACTCGCGAAATCGAGGGGGGAAGAAGAGAAACGCGAAAGAAGGTTCTGGGAAGAAATGTGGCAGAACAGTTTCCAAAACGGTGAGACGGAGACGCGTCTCCAGCCAATGGGAGGCTTCCGTTTCGGACCGTCGCTTCCCCAAAGATTTGAAAGGGGTTTTGATGGTTTGTATCCTCATTCGTCCCCAACCCAACTCTGTCCCGTATATATTCGGTCTCTAACCTTCACTCCTTTCCACAAGTCCCACTTCTGTGTCCTTCGCTGTATTTGTACCTCTCCTCGTCGTCGCCCCCAATGCGTAAGTCTCATTGCTCGCCGTTGTCCACAGCACTGGGCTAACGTTTACCGCCAGCTACTGTTACCTCGCCCATGTCGTTCTCCCGCCCCCGCGTCTCCTCGCCTTTGGCAGAGTCGTTCTCTTCGGGCAACATGAAACCCCAGTCAATTCCCCGGCCACAACCAGCGCGACAGCACGGTGCATTCATGCCCTCGCGCGCTCTCAGGCCCTTCCCGACCATCTCGCACGCTCTCCAACCGTCCAAATCGTCGAACCTCGGAAACAAGCCTGTCAAGCTGATAGAGCCGCCCAAGAACTGCAAGATGACTTTCGTTCTGGACCTGACTCAAGCCGAACTTGGTCGACAGGAGTGAACACCTCCGACTTGACCGCGACCCTGCTTTCCTCGTCACACCCTCTATGCATCCCTCACAGCCCATGCTTGCCCCTTTTCAACTACCAAACAACGCGCCCTATCGGATTGCACCAGGTTATCATTCGCATCCTGGATCGTTACCTAGTCCTGCCCAGCTCGCCACCTAAACGCCCGCCGCTGCAACCAACATCCCGCATTCCCAGACTAGACGGACCCGCCCAGTGGCCTCTATCAAAATAGGCACCTACGCCCGCCCTTCACGGGTTCCGCCAACTCCCCATCTCGACAACGGCATCCACAAGCCAACAACAACCCAACAAGTAGCATAGGACCCTCGACGACCTTTTAACTCTTGATTTATTGCCTTTTATTCTTGCACTTTTTCCACAGACACAGAACTCTTCTCGTCTCCTCGTCTACTGTTATATGTAACGAGCTGTAAGCTACAGAACCCCCTTCACGACATTGCATGTACTTGTATCCCATATTTCTCTTTTCCTTCTGTTGTAGCCATTCCGGCTTCAGTCTCGTAATCCGTAGTTCGTAAACTACACGCCGCGGAAGAGCGCCTCCGCTGCTCTTCTGCCTATCCATAGCCCTACCTGGGTTAGTTATTCGCTATACCCCTTGTATCGTACAGACATATGCAACTTGCAAGACATCACGAGTTTCAATAGGTTTTGCTTGGTGCATTTGGGTGTGTTGGGCGCAAACCTTGGCCTGTGGCATATGTGTCACGCAGTATCACGTCACTCCTGTCATGGATTGGTCTCTCTGAGTCTCAGCGGTCTCCTCGGTGGCGAACGTTTGCGAACATGTATGACATGATAGCGAGGGAGTGGATATTTCCTGTTTCCAGAGGTTTCTGCTGCGGTTCGTGCCGAGAAACTTGGTCATGAATCGGCGCTAAGCCAACGCCCGTGCGCCATTTCTCTACTACGGACCGAGACCTTGCAATGGCAGAACGTTTCAAGGGTCTCGAGTGGGTGAAGCCAGGAACCTCGCGCGCGTGCATTATGTATATTAAAACCACGCACAGCACATCGCCACCAGTGTCGAGTGTACAGCAGTCCAGCGGGGAGCGGGGACAGCCGAGCCAGCCGTAGCAGTGACGTCGTCGTCCCAAAAACCATTTAAGCGCCCAACCCCACGCAACGGGAGAACTCGGGTGGACGGAGTAACCTAACCCTCGCGTATCAGTTCGCTGTATGTAACTCCCCCAACCAACGCAGAATAAAATGAATTCAATTGATTCATCACATGCCCGTGCCTTGACTACGTGTTGAGGCATTATTACCTGGCGTCCTCGAGTCTTGTACACGTCGGTCTTCTTGAACTTCTCCCCCAATGTTTTTGTCGGGTAGGAACGTGGTTGAAGGGACTGGGAAGGTGACGTGGAGGATGACGACGGTGTGATGTTCGCCGTCGATAGATGTGTATGTGGAGCTTCCCAGAGGACGGTGCTAAGCGTAGCGTTCTGTGCAGATGCGGCGATGAATAGGCTTGGTCTAGGAATGATTTAAGGCAGACATAATCATTATTGTTGCTTCATACCTGCTTTCAAATGAATGAATGACAAATCAAGACTAAGTTGCACAAGCTACTTGCCAGATATGAGTTCGAGAGGACGAGCTGTGTTTTACTGAGTTTGACGGTGAGAAGAAAGAGGCGCCGCCTGCGCGAGCGCTATCGTCGATCAACACGGGCGCTTCACCACCCAAATCCAGAGATCCTCACCTCGGCCATACTCGAAACTCCCTCCTCACTTCAATTCAACGAATTCAAAAAGCTCAATACACTAATTCACAGTAAGTAAAGTCTGCATCTTCATCTTTAAGAAATTCTTACGGAAGAGTAGGAAACCAAAATCACATTTCCCACCTTGATACATCAGATTCAGAGGGAATCAAAGAATCAGAGAATCGTGTCCATTTGTTCGGAGGGGGGTCCAGCCAGTCAGCCAGCCAGACAAACCCCTTGCCGAATCACGATATGTCTTTCAGATTTCCTTTTTGGACGGTGGAAGGTACACACCCCTTCGGAAGTGGAAGGCGGATGAAGGTGTGGGCTTTTGTGAGAACGACTGAGGGGAGTGGATGTTGAGTGACGAGCAAGGTGGGTCCAGGCGAGAGTCAGTGTACTACTTGTAAGACTAGAGCGGATGATGAAAGGTATCTTGGCGCCGTGCTCTATCTACGTCTCGGATCGACGCTGGTCGAGTCACGACGGCTGATTGAGAGGCATCGACCCATTGCCCAGTCGGAGGATCTCGAAAGAAGACTGAGGGAGCTTTCACGGTCCAGCGATTCTACTGTCGCCGTCGTGCCCGATACTGTATCTACAAACGTGAGTGAAGCTAATCTCGCCGAGAGAGAAGTCAAGAAACAAAAGGGCACAATATAAAGATGACGCTTATTGATGCCTTTCGAGTGTTCGAAGGTCCAGTTCGAGGTTCGAAGGAAAGGAAGTTGGCTAGACTCTACTGGGATTGGTTGGGAACTGCCGGTATTATGTATAGAGTACTTTTGCTGGCGATATGGCGGCATGATGAGTTGACCATCCTATTGCATCGACATACCATCCTCGAGAGAGGCTAGGTCAAAAGAGAGTCAAAGTCGTCTACGCTAACGAGCGATGGGAACAACCGGACACATACCGTATCAACTATGTAGCTTCCTCCACATGCAGAAAGAATCACATCGGAAACACCCACCACCTACACAACAACGACCACATACACACAGACTACAGAGTTGGCCGTACACCTGACTACCGCACAACAGCGCACATCCCGATCTTTTCAACTTTCCTCCGACTAAATCGCTGTTTCCCGCTAAATGCACCAGGGTGAATAGATCCCAGGAGGGCTTCTGAAGCAATAAAATCTAGGAACTTTACGGTTCGAGTTTGGGGTCAGTGTGAACTTGATCGGAAGAGTCGGCGCTTGCGGCTTTTCACACGTTGTATCAAAACAGTTCTATGTAATAACTTGGACGCCCTTCTTCACACTAGTACGTAGGCGCCATAGTCTGTACACCACAAAACACATTCGCAACGCGCTATATGACCCCTCCAGAGTCAGCCCAAGCCATTGCAACAAACGTCCTTGACACCTACAGGGACGCTTTGCAAAAAGCCAAGAAACAGGGTCCACTGGTACCCGCGGCTCAAGATGATGTGCAATCAGGGAATCATGGGGCAATGATCAGAAAAAGCGAAAACCCCGAAGAAACTACCCGTTCAAACTGGTTCAGTTGGCGGGTCTCGAGCTTGTCCCCCATAGCACAGGCGGGATGCGGGCGGGACGACACGGTTCGTTTTACGATGTACCCTATCCCGAAATCAATAGGAAAAGGGGTGAAGGTCGGATGGAGTTGGAGGTTGGTTGGAGGTCGAAAAAGTTCGAAAAGGTCGAGGCGGGAGTGAAGAGTGCGGTGTACATCAGCAGTAAAAGGTGACTAGCTGTAGAAAGGGAAATGGAAGCGTATACTTGCTGTCAAGTGCTCGGCTCTGCACGAAGCGAAGGCACTGTGATGATGAGTCGGAGTGACTACCTTGCCCCAGAGAAAAGCAACGAGGCGCCCAGCGTACAATCCGAACACCCTTGCACTATTAATGATCACCGCACTCATGAATGATCTTACCTCAAGTAAACTTCAAAGCAACGAAAGGCGCAATGTGAATCAAATTGACGCAAACTCGTCACTCCTGCGTGTCTCTCTCCTCGTACTTATTCTTCTTTGCAACTTGCATACTGCATACCTGATTCGCAACGAACGGATGCACGTAGCCGTTCGGAATCCGCAAGGCCCGCGCAATTTGAATCTACTTTCACAAAGGGTTCACGTGGTAAGAGATAAGGAATCTGAACAACAGACACACTCAACACTATTATCTTTACACTACATCTGTGAGAATGACACGACCTGAACCGGTATACCAAGCGGTTAGTTGACACAATTGTCGACGTACCAGCAGTTTTCATGCCGGGAAAATCTGGATGGATAGGACCGGTACCACAAGGCGAACTGGAGGATGCAATACGAGAGCCAGTAGATTGGGAAACACAGTACTCGCCATTTGCCGTCGGGAGGACATCTCATTATCATAAGGACTTGAAGGAATTGTTGGAAGATCTAAAGGCCAGGTTTTTCCAAAGACTTTCGGATAATTGCGAACGACCGGATGGTCTTCAGGTTTCTTGAGATATCATTGGAGGGAGCCTATCCGTATAGAACCCATCGGCTTATGTTACCCTGCGTAACGAAGGAGAGAGAAAAATGGTCAATCAAAAAAAGAACACATACAACAGACTGCGCAAGATAGAGTGGCAACATGTCGCAATCGTACCATGTCGACCGATTCACTCAGATGCGAAGTTCGATAAGTTGCGATTCGCGAATGCCGGTGAGCGGGAAGTGAACGAGGCTAGAGGTGAGGTGCAACGAGGAGGTGCACATGTTGCGGCTAGTACGTTGTTGGTTAGCCCGGGAAGTGATGAATTCGAAGCGAAAGGTCTAGACGGAGGCTACCACGGCAACACTGCAGGGCAGGCGAGTCTCAGTTCAACCGGTGCTTCTGGAACATGACATCAGGACACCGTAAGCTGCCCGAAAGTGCCTGTCGACGATCCTGCGAATAGCTACGTACCGAGACAATGATTTCAAGAGTGCAATGGGTCTTCGGAAGGCGACCATGAGGAGAGGCTGCGCCATGTGTGAGTCAGGGAAATCCCGAGCCTTGCCTACCGTGGAAAGCAACAACGGCCCAACGATGCGAAAAGGCGCCGCTGTATTGGCAGAAAGTGGATTGACGCAATCGACTTTGTCTTCGTGGGCATACAGCTGATATCACAAATTGAAGTTGAGAGAAGATTCGGAACTCCAAGCAAGCGCTGGGAACAGGGGTAGAACTTACGAGTTTCAATGAAGACAAGACAGCGTCGACGTCAGGAAGTGGAGTTATCGTCGAGGCAGTTGATTCAGGATGTCCATCGCGAAGGGGTGTTGCCTGAGGCCAAGGTACAGGCCGCACGCACGCCAACCGGCAAATTCCAGGAAAGAAGGACGTGAGATAGGTGCATGGTGGGTGGGATTTCTTCTCTATGGTCCGATACCAAGATTCGGTGCGGTGGGATGGCAGTTGGGAGGCAATCTGAACCTGGTCCAGATTACTGAATAAAGCTGTTGACAATGAGTTCGAAGTGACGTTCGTCGTCGATTGCGCATTTTCGGTACGAGTCTCCGGACGGAGTGGGTGGTGGATAACTCGGCCTCGCTGCCTACGCATCCAGGGAGATATTATAGTTATCGTATTCTTGTCAGCTCTGAGTAAAAAAGCGTGCCCCAAGGGAATCGATTCCGGCTGCTCATTGATGTCGGCGGATTGACAGTAGTATGGGGACTCCAGGTAGCCGCGGATCAAATAGAGAGAAGAGAGCCACGACGAGAGCTGGGGTGGAATGACGGTTGGAGCATTGTAGCTGGGGAGGATGATGGTGGGCCTCTCGAAAAATGGTCGGCAGCGACTAAGCGCATAGGCGAAGATCCCCGCACAGCCTGAATCATCTTTGTTTGACGTGTCTATGCACTCAGGGTCAGAGTGGTCGTTTAGTAGAGGGATATGCGCTCACCTATTGTCCTGGAAACGTTTGTTGAAAGGTATCAGAAGTTGACGGTCGTGAATACCCCCTGTATACCGTCTCAGGCAATCACAAAGGTATCAAGACCTATTCATAGCAAGGTTGCCAACGTCCCAAAGCGTTAGCCACCCGGCAGGATCGTAATGCAGAAGGTCATGAGGTCCGTTTCGAGCATGTTCTGGCGTCTAGGAGAAGGATGGAGCGAGTCAAAGATGCGTCAGGGGCTAGCGGTTAGAATGAGTACAAAGAAATAAAGTGTGAAATGGGAAGCCGTTTCTGACTGGAAATCAAGTGCCGTGCTGCGGTTGTACACACAGAATGGAGAGCGGGAGTGGTGAGGTTCATTCGGAGCATAGCTGGGCATTTGTTGACGCGCGGTCAAGCACGCTAATTAGTGAGCAGGGAGATAGCTCCGCGCCACGACGAGTCAAAGGAACCTGGGGTTTATTAAGCGCCCTGTCAGCGACGAAAACACACGGAGGGGAGGGAGGTAAGCGCACAGGACTGTGAATGTGGACAGGGACAATGTTTCTGGTCTCGAAAAGCCTGGAAAGGTCTTAATTGGTTTAAAGGCAGCACACCTTCCATTGGAAGGACGGTATTAAGGACAGAACCGTATGTCTCGGCCGGGGTAAACTGGCGCCGCACGAGCCGTCCGTCGCAAGGAGGACGAGTGATTCGGAACCGCTGATTAGGTTCCCCAGATTTAAGGTTCGAAATCGCGTGTGTTGTCGTTCTCGGACCCTCTCTGGTCGGTTTCTCGGTGTTCCTCGAAGAAAACGAGCCATAACGGGGTGCGAATGTATATCAGGAAAAGATGGTTCTGGCAAGAACCCTGAAGAGGAAGAAACACGTCGCAGAGGATGCCGCTGCACTTCCATTGTTGACCTGATTTGGTCCTTGGCAAAATCGAGGGTGAAAACATGACACGAGGACGCGGTCGGACGACCTGGTTTGGTCCCGAACGGGTGCAGAAAGGGTAGTAGTAGGTGTGTAGAGTCGTTGTAGACCGGTTACACTGCAGTTCTTGGATGGAAGAAGATATCAGCAGGAACTGTGTAATGTACTGCCTCTATGACTGCAAGTCAGAATATTGAAACGGACAAAAAAGAAATGAAGGCAGTGATATCTGTAAGTATTTGCGCTGACTAATATTTCCATGTACCATAATAGGGAGAGCTTGAAATAGACCGAGTCGCAGGAGGGCCGAACCAGTTGTTTGCCCATCGGCTCGTTCTCTCTCAAGGCTTTGCTGCCAGATAGTCCAAGGCTTTCCGCCTTTCTTTACGACCTCCACGAACTTCGACGACCACAACATCTGCTTTCTTTATTTTTCTTCAACTATCCTTCTCTTTTCTGCTCTCCTATCCACCCTTTCTCTCGACGCCCGGCCACATTCTGTACCACCAGCCACAGCACATATCGCCTTTCGTCTTTTCTGCACGCATCGTCCCCCTTTTCCATTAAACAAGTCTCGTTTACGACCCTAACGACAACCGACTGCAATCATGGATAACTGGAGAGTCGCTGTACTGGGTGATGGTGGTGTGGGTAAAACTGCTCTGGCAGTCCAGGTGAGCGCACTCCCAATTCCCCTCGATCTACACCACCTAATAACCACTCTATAGTTCACTCTCAACTGCTTTGTTGGTGAGTATCGCGTCCCCGTGTCTTCAATCCGTCGCTGACCGGGTGCCCCTGTCCATTCACAGAGGTAGGCACACATACCGCTATCTCCATCCGCGAATTCCCATTTATCGTCCGCCCCTAGACCTATGATCCCACAATAGAAGACGCATACCGCAGACAGCTGGTGGTGGACAACAAAATGTGCTTTGTAGAGGTTATTGACACTGCTGGACAGGGTACGTCTTCCTCCCCCCCAGGCCCTTCCCCGCTGACCATTTCCCCACAGAGGAATACGCCAGCTTGCGTGATCAATGGGTCCGGTACGCCACTTTTCCACATCGGCCATGCATACAACCTTTTACTCATCGCTCTTCACAGTGAGGGTCAAGGCTTCATCCTCGTCTATTCTATCGCTTCCCGATCTACATTCGATCGTCTGGAGATTTTCCGGCAGTCAATGCGCAAAGTGAAGCGTGGCGATCCAATATTCATGCTTGTGGGCAATAAATGCGACAAGACATACGAGCGCGAAGTGTCAAGAGACGAAGGACGCGCGCTTGCTCGACAGTTTGGCTGCGAATTCGTCGAGACGTCGGCAAAGACTGCAGAAAACGTCGAGCGATTATTCACGGACTTGGTTCGTGCGCTGCGACAGACGAGAAGCATAGAATCCGGACCAACATCCGCTCAGGAGCCGCAGAAACCCAAGAAGAAAAACAAGTGTATTATCATGTAGGAACTTTTCTGGGATCACTAGGGTGTTTGTGTTTTCGTTTCTTTAGACTGCCATCGTTTTTTTTTACCTCTTCTCAATGATACCACCCCATATGTTTTGTGTACCTCTTCCTTTTGCTCTTTTCCTTGCATGTAGCATCTCCCCCGCTTTCATCTTGATATTTGACATTTCCCCCTCTTACCCCCCTTTCTGCATATATCAGCATCAATGTCTTCAGCATCATTTCTTACTAGGGCTAGGGAGTTTCATGTGTCCCGACAGAGTTGGCTTTTCACTTTACTACTGGCATGTTCTCTGTCGATATACCGCTATGATAGTCATTTCATCAATCATTCACAGCCATGGACGTGTGAGTACACTCCCCCATCCCTTCTTGCAGTCCCTGGCCAGAGACGGCGTGGATACTGCGCTCCTCAGATTAGCACGGCGCCGCTCTGGGGTAACAGAAACTCCCCGCAGTACGCAGCCTATGGGGATTTGATCCATTTTTGCCCATAAATTGTCACCGACAATTGAACAATTTGGTTCCTTGTTATTACCCCTCGCTTTCTCCTTTCTCCCGCCCCCAGCTATATCTCCGCAATGTGGACTACTTTCGAATGCAAACATCCAGATTTCCATGTCCGTTCCTTACCCGACAATGTAACATTTGGGGTACACCGCTCTGCGATGCAGAGAAGTGAAGTCTTCCGTACGAATTCTTTCTGAATCGATGGGGTTAAAGCTCTGCTCACATATTCGACGTCCACTGTAACAGGCGATATGTTTTCCATGTGCGATTCAGGGGAATCTGGTGCAGGAAATAATGCCCAAGGAGCTTTCCCGCCGTCCGCTGTGCCTGGTGGTGACCCAGACTTGAACAAGGCACCCCCAGTGGTGGACCTGGACGAGTCGGCTGACACGCTCACCATCTTGCTGAAATTACTCCATGACCCACCTAAACCCCCTGTCGAAATCTCAACCGATCCATACACTTATCAAAAGAAATACGACACTTCGACAGTAATACCCCTTCCCCTCCTCGAGCTCGTCATTCTAAAACTCATCGACAAGTACCTATTTGACGAGGAAATCGTCAAGGGGCTCGAGGCTCATCTTTTGGCTCATGCACCTGAGAATGGGTTGAGAGTGTATGGGATTGCGATGGCGCATTACAGGGCGGATGTGGCCAATATCGTTACCCAATATCTCCTCCCTCTTGCAAAGTATAGCAAGGAGGAAGTCAAAGCTTGGATCCCCTCGGTAGAAGCCTTCCATGACATCTTACGATTCCAGGACTTCCGAGTACAGGCACTCCGCGATCTTGTCCTGAACGAGGATATTTTCCCCCATGGTACGGCGTCGACGCCTTGTATTGTCTCTATTGTCCCACTGACGTCTTTACCTATTTCGTGGCAGGATATGGCGAATGCTCCGCTCATCGCGATAGTACACGCTCGGCTTGGGATACACGCCGTAAAAGCCTGCTTGCAAGGATCGAAACAGGTCAGTTCAATCTATAATCCCCTTCTCCTCTGTCCACGGGCATCTCGGTAATCCGAAGTGCCTGTCAGCGTGTCTGGCGGATGGAGTTGACCGACCGACTGACTGACTGACCTCATCGTGTCCAGGAAGCGACGTGGCCTACGAAATGAGGTCTCTGGAAGAGACGTTCCGGGATTGCAGTACATGTCATAAAGCATGCATCGCAGCAGTCGAAATGCTTGCCGTAAGTCTCCTCCCCAATATTCATCCCGGTTCCCCATTCCTTCGTTACAGTTTTCCTTCTCGCTTATCTTTTCCCTGCCTCGATCCCGAGCCCAACACAAATGACGGAACAAAAAGCCCACAATTAATCTTTTCCCTTTTTTTGCAGTACAAATGCCGGAGGATACCTTGGGCCCTACATAAACTCCCTGAAGGGTATCTGGAGTCATAATTCGAACGATTTCACCCGTTCCGAGGAGTAAGGAAATGCGTCTATGTACCAGGTCCTTGTTTTCATTTCGGTCGTAACCCCCGTCCTCCTCGCGTGCTTATGCAGGGGTCCGTCCCGACGACTTTCAGCCGAGTCCCAGGGATCCTGGACGGACCCTTCACTTCCCGATGTGTCGCAGATATAATATGCCTCGAGGGTGTGCGATCTGATTGCTGTAGCCCTCTCCGTCCTCCGTCCCCGTCATGTTCTCACTTGAGATGTCAGCGTCAAAGGATTAGATGGTAGGCTTATACTTCGAACTAGTCCGATTTATTCACAGACCCCCAAATTCGTGGGTCTGCTAAGCTCCTTCCAAGCTCTGAGAACCACTCCCAAGAGGTTCCCGTTTCACATCCACACCCACACAGAGCAGCGATTCTGGTTCTGGTTAACCCACTGCACTGACCTTGTGACCACCAACAAACTCACCCATCCCGTCCAATACTTCTCACAACAGGAAGCTTACAGCTAAAAGCCGTTCACAAGAACCCCGACAAATGCCTGGGAACAGGGGTTGGTTGTGTCCAAGCGTCTAAAAGAAGTGGGAGAAGGCGCTCCAGAAACATGTAGACCTGCGGAGAAACTTGGTGGCACCACAAACTCTGCAGTCTATTACGCCGAAAGTAAGGAATCATAAAGTAAGCACAGCAACACGGGACAGGCACCCATATCGAGGAAGCTAGGAACAGAAGCGTCACCGAGTCAATGTCCTTCCCGAGAGAGATGTCTATCCAGACTCCCCGTTCGCGGTGGCTCGAAAGATTCGTCCGTTCGTTCGTTTCCAAGAACAGGTACCCGTCCACCACACCCCTCTCTCCTCTACCGGGTATACCCCCCAAATCCCCCTCTAATATTTCCTGAGAATAAAGATAGGTGGGGTGGTGCACCTCTCTAAGTGTTATGCCAGAAAAGCGTCCGGAGATCTTTCCAGTGTTCCGAATCGAGGTAGAGGTATTTCATAGAGTTGAACATGCCCGGTTGGATCGTCTGGCCTCGGTGCCTGAAGAGCCACATTACAGCGCCCCAGGAAAGAGCCGCGAAGACGGTGAAGTACTTCGAGTTGGGTGGGAGGGGTTTGACGGGGGTACCGGCCAGAGCAGAGTCCGGGGAGGTGTTGTACCCGGAAGACGCGCGAGGAATGAAGGAGGCGACTACTCGGGATACGACGTAGAGAACGATCTAAAGGAGTAACAAAACGGAAAGGTCAGAATTCCCAAGCTTCCATTTTGTTTTTCGCAATCCTAAAGAAGGCGAACTCTGAAAACGAACCTGTTCATTCACAGCATTCCGCTCTCCAAAGACGAAATATCCTCCAATAAGACCGGCGATAAAGGTATCCAAACTCCTCTCCTTGCCTTGATTCATCTTCTTCTGCATCAAGAGCAGCGTCTTGTAGATCGTCACGAATTTGGCAAGATTGAAGGCATGCTGTTTCGTAGCTCGGAAGATGTTTCGTGCTCTTGACTGCCAACTAACGGGCGGGAAGGAAGAAGAGAACAAGACCACCCGGATCCGTCAGTCTCAGGTTGGACGACTTTCCAGAGAAAGGCAGCAACTCACTCTCCGCGTCCAAACAAGATAGACATCACAAGTGCATGAGGGAACCGCACTTTAACGCCATAAACGAACCCATTGCGAGCGCCTTTGAGGATGGCAAGGTAGTCATGGAACGCCGGGTTCTGGATGATTTCGTTAATGAGAGCAAGTGACGTTGACATTTTCGGTTTCGGATTGGTTCGTGAAGAAGTTTGAAAGGCTAGTTCTTGACTTTGTAGATGAGTCGAGCCTCAATGAAGAGGTAACAAGTCAAGGAGAGGGTTAGGAGGTTGGTCGTCGGTGGGGGAGAGGAAGAGGGAATATCCGTCCGGGGAATCACATGTGCGCAACGCGGGGCATCATGCGGAACCAGTTTTGACCGTGAAACAACCGGAGACGAGTTTTGCTGCTCTGCAAGGCTCTGCACCGTCGATGACAGTGACTGTGGGGTATAATTGACGCTCAAGATACTTGTAGACGTGTCGTGGAGGATGTGGTCGACGATGAGGATGATGATGGAATACGCGACAGAGAATCGGATTAGGCAACGACGGTTTAGGGCATATGCCCCTATTGAAAACAGACAGAACCAACTATGTAAACCCAAGCAAGAGGTATTATTATTCAATACACGCGGAAAACACAGAGCAAGTACAACATTTAGTAACGATGTGTCATCAGGTCGTAGAAGTGGTAGGAGCAGGAGCAGCAGCGGCTGTCGATGACGCTGGCTCAGAGGGCTTAGGCTCACTGGGCTCTTCAACAGCCATAGCCGTATCCTTGTCCTCCTTAGCTGGCTCAGCCGCTGGTGCTGCAGGTTGTCCGGATGCAGAAGAGGGGCCAGCAGAAGCGGCGACGGCACCAGCAGAAGCCCCTCCACCGCCGTTCACTTCACTACTCTTTCCCTCGGTTACAGGGGCGCTACCAGTCTCGGACGTCGGGGTGTCAACGTCCATAGGTGCATCAGCCTTTGGAGCAGATAGGATTTGTGCAGCAGTCGTATGACCACTAGGCCCAGCTCCATGGGTTGCCGCAGACGAAGAAGCCATGATGCCAACCCCCATTCCGAATTTATGGCCTGCTCCCTCTCCATTGGATTCACGATCCTTGTGGGAAGCGATATCCCGTCGACCTCCTTCTCCTTCGTCATCAGAGTCTGACAGCTCCCCATCCGCTTGCCGTCGCGAATCCAATAGTCGCATTGGTCGGCGGTCATTGGGGTCCACCATATCTTCGTCCTGGTTGGGGTCATCAATGTCGGCGTCGATTGGCATGGAGGGGATATCTAAAAGCCATTTGGGATGAGGACCCACATCACTTGAAAGCAATCCACAGCACGTACCGGTCATCTGCACACTGGGAGGTCCCTGCGTATGTCGCAGATTCTCCAACACTATCCGCTTCACTCTATCAAGGTAGGCCGGGGTATTGAGGTCGTCCGTATTTGAGGATTTAACATCCAGTTGGTAGTCTGGGCCGAAATACTCGTAGTATTCGTTTACGGGAATTTCTGGAACAAATAGTCAGCGTTGAATGCCCCGGAGACGTAGGGGAGCACTTTACCAGGGTTAAGCTCGACACCAGCAGCTAGACCAGTCTCATACGCCCATGCACGACTGACATTACGCATCGTGTATCCACCACCACCAAGGAGCAAGAGAGGCTTGTTGAACGATTTGACAAACTTTACGCAGTTGGCGTGGCCTGAATGACGCGTCAATAACACATCGATCCAGAGTGTAGAAGCTCTCCCGACCTTTCATGGAGAGGTTGAGGCAGCCGAGTTTGTCTCCGGACAGAGAATCCGTTCCACATTGGAGGACAATAGCAGAGGGATCGTAGGTTTCCATCACCGAGCGAATTACCTGTCCGACATCGTCAGCCACAAGCTTCCCTACCCAACGAAAACCAACTCACCGGTTCGAAGACAGATTTGTAGTTCTCGTCCGAGATACCATCTCGTAATGGGAAGTTGAGGGAATAGTATTTTCCTTTCATAATTCCAACATCCTAATCCACCTCCTTCAATGCGTTTCTCTGGACAGTGGAAGAAAGAGACGTACGCGTAGTTCACCAGTTCCAGGGAAGTATTCGCCGTACTTGTGGAAACTGACAGTCATCACCCGGTCAGTGGTATAGAATGCCTCCTCTACACCATCTCCGTGGTGGACGTCGATATCGATGTAGAGCACTCGGTTGTGGTACCTAGAAATAGAGGAGGTTAGATTTCTACCAAAAGGTAGGCGAGGGTTTTGCACCCACCTCAAAAGCTCCAGGATACCGAGTACAATGTCTGAGGAAGGTTAGGTGCTTTCTCCTGCTGTTTGGTAGAATCCACACACCATTTACGTAGCAGAACCCACTGGCCTCGCTCTTCTTTGCGTGGTGCAGTCCTCCAGCCCAGTTGATAGCAATATCACATTTGTCACGGCTCAGACGCGCAGCACCCTCTAAAGGGCAATCCTTTATCAGAAAACACGCGGCCAGTTTAGCATGGGGGAAGCACGTACCCATAGAGCCACCAGCGGATATCGAGCAGTATTCAAATAGACCATCGAATACAGGACAGTCGTCTCCCACATTATCTAGAAAAGAAACCAAGTCAACCAATTGCGTGCCCAAAACACTTATTCCCAAGCCAAAACGCACATTTGTGTTGTTCTTTGACAAACGAGTTCATGTTGTTGGGGGTGATCTTGCTCAAGAACTCGACATACTCGTCCGAATGGAATTGGGTCATTTCGCGTTTAGTTGCTGGTTTGGCGCGCTAAATACAAGGTAAGCACTTTGCGGATTCATTAGAGGCAGGTATACACACAAAGATTTCCATCTTCTTGTATAAACCATAGTTCATGACCAACGAATGGCACATCCGGATTCGAGTAGGTTTCATCCTACAAACTCAAAACGTTGGCCGCATTCAAGAATCGAGCATGGATTAGAGCTCACGGATGACCAGGTCCATAATGGAACCCGCCAATATCAGAATCGTAAAAGTAGCACTAGAAAGAGATCTCAGTTTCGCGTCCCCCAACCGAAAGAACGGAAAGGAAATTCCCACTTACAACTCGTTTCTTCTGGCTTTCGCCTTCAACTGGTGTCCATTTGTCGCCCATTTCGTGTAATCGTTTCGTTTGAGGCGTGAAGAACTATTGCATAGTTTTATTAAGAGAGCAAGAAAGGTGCGAGTTGTCAGTACAAATGACGGGTGAATGAACGCTGCAACTCTCGTTCTGAAGATCCCATCATTGTTTGGCCCAATTGTGGCGATGGCTAATTCTTGGGCGTCAACATCCTTCAAGCGCAAAAAAAACGACTCAAGTCAAAGCTAGTCAAAGTTTTTCAATTCCATGTCAGACAGCGATGAGAATACTGCATGATGTGGTAGCAAAGAGGAGAAAGGGGTGGAAACACACTGGCCACGCAGGGGAAGCGGGAAGGATCTATCGACTCTCGTAACTCGTTCCCCAAAATTCGCGCCCCTTGACCTATACAAGGTTTAAAGATATATATGCACTGCTATTCAACTAACCTCTGCATCCCAGGCTGTCCAAACAGTGGGTTCATGCCATCCGGTATCGCGTACCAACTTGAACGAAAACAGAACGCTCAGACGACAGGGGCTAAGGCACCTAAAAGGTACAAAGCCCCTATCATGCACGATGGGACACATGGCGTCGACCTCACCACGAAGCAACTCGAGTAAAAGCTGAAATTAGATATTACAAGTAGAAGTATACTACTCGCTAAGATGTACTTTTGTACGCAGTAGCAACCTGTGTCCAAGCAATACCCCTCTTCGACTCAGAACTTGGCCTTTCCGAGCGGCGCATAGTCCCGGTCTAATCTTGCGTCAAGCCCCACTGTTTTGTTGAAGAGTGGAAGAAGCTTCACCTTGATAGACAAGGGTAGATGGTGCGAATCCAAAGTCGTCGGTGAGTTTTATTCCCTAGAGAAAAGGTTACAATTGGAAGATGGAAGCAGATGAGACGACAAACCAGTTCACCGGCGATTACGCGAACCTATATAGTTGATGAATGAGCACTATTCGAAGATTTTGAAGAAAAAGGGAGGGGACTCGCCATCGACCAGTGGTGGACACAGTGAAGACTTGCAAACCAGAGCTATCGAAAAATGGGTGAGCTTGTGTGAACGGTGCCTACAACCGCGCAGACCCACTTCTCGTCCAAATGTAGATTCAAATTCGTGCATGTAAGGCGTGATGGCGTGCAACTTGAGGGGCTGATCGAATTTGGAACCGGGAACGACGGCGTCTAACTGCTGTATTGTGTCCAAAAGAGCCTGTTTGGCGCCTGAACGACTCGTCTCCATCGGTGTATTGCGAATGCGGGTGTCATAAGACAGAACGTGGGGTGGCGGTTTGGCCATACAGTCTAACAGCAACGCAAAGTGGTCTCGTGCATGACGCAGATGCTTCCCTGGAATGGTATAAACGAGTTTAGACGATTCCAGGGGGTCGAGCATGAAGATCGCCTACCGATAGTCGAGCCAGGGAGGTACTTTGAGTGCACCGCGAGCTGATCATCGCTGGTCAAATAATTGTCCAACAAATCTATGGCCTGGTTTAGAACCGTCTTGGCCACGGATAATTGTTGAACTACAGTTTCGTCTGGGCTTGCAGGAATTTTGGCCGATGATTGCGGCATGGTGTTGTTGGCGGAGTATTGAAGAGCACCGTTGCCAACTGTGGGATGCATCATGATCAGGAAACAGCCTGAGCGGGAGACCGTGAACGTTGATCGACGGGGAAATGGTCTGGGTCATTTTTGGCGGTATAAATACTACAGGAATTCTAAAGCTCCGTCCCCCCTTTCCCCCCAGCCTCGCCTTCTCCACGATGCAGTCAGAACCCCAACGATCCCAGCTGCCACTCTCTTGGAGCCACGCACAACCCCGGGGCGTCGCCGGTCGGCCGCATGACCAGCCTGGCCTTGCAGGGATGTCTCTCTGCTCAATTTCGTACGACCCACGGATCTAAGTCGCTCGAACTCAAAGCGAGAAAAAAAAGTCGGTCTTCCAGAGCTTTGCCACGTCAACCCAGAAGGAAGACTGGTGAGAGACTGGAAGCGCACTTTTCGCATCGACCGTCGTCTGCACTCTGGTGCTTGGGAGAAGACCGTGAAAATTCTCTCATCGAAAAGAAATACACCAGCTGACTAAGCAACTGCCTTTTTCGGACTCAACGGCTGTGACGGTCGCTTCTGCCGGTGTCCTCCTCGTCATCGAACGCGACTCCATCCTCTTTTTTATTCTCGTTTTCCTTACCTTTTTCGACCCCTTTACACGATGTTCGCGATGCTTCGTGGTGCCAGGCCGTTGGCTAGAGTGAGCTTTTCCGAAAACATTGGCGGGAACCGGCTGATTGAGCGCGGTTGAAGGCCGTATCTGCAGGACAGAGGCGGCATCTGTCGATACACGAGTACCAGTCCATGAAACTGTTGAACTCAGTGCGTAAAAAAATTGGCTTATTTCGACTTGAACTTTGGCTTACTCTGAATGAATTAGTACGGCATTCCTACGCCCAAGAGCGTTGCTGCACACACCCCTGAAGAGGCTTACCAGGTTGCAAAGAACTTTGGTATGCACATCTGGCTACCCGGGTTGAATGACCCCCAAAGCTGAGCGCTTGTGGATCTTAGGAACGGATAAACTAGTTATCAAGGCCCAGGTTCTGGCCGGTGGTCGAGGAAAGGGTCACTTCGACACCGGTTTGCAAGGAGGTGTTCATATGGTCGACAGGTAGGCCCGTGTTTTCAATCCGGAACCAACATTCCATTAACTATCGTTCAGCGCCGAGCAAGCAAAGGACTTTGCCAGCAAGATGATTGGCTCTAAACTTATCACCAAGCAAACCGGCGCTGGTGGACGAATCTGCAACGCTGTATGTCATTTCCGTTATCTTCCAACTTGTTCCGCGCGCCTTGCTCAATCCCGGCTGGCGGAACAAACTAGGTCATGCTCGCAGAGCGCCGTCAACCCGAACACGAATACTACGTCGCCGTTTTGAACGACCGCACAACACAAGGCGTCGTCCTCGTTGCTTCAGCCCAGGGTGGTATGAACATTGAAGAGGTCGCCGCCAAGGACCCGAGTGCAATCATCACCACTCCAATTGACTTTGAAAAGGGTCTCTCAAAACCTGAAGCCATTGCAATTGCCCAAAAACTCGGCTTCAAGGACGAGCAGACTCAATCCGAGGCCGCTGACATCTTCATCAACCTCTACCGCATCTTCAAAGAGAAGGATGCCACTCAAATCGAAATTAACCCTATGGCTTTGACCAAGGACGGTGCTGTTCTCTGGTGAGTGTACTTCTCGCCTATCCATTTCTTCCCTGGCACGGGTGAAGAAACGTTCGTTGTACCGGGTGTGCTGATTCCACGCTGCAGCATGGACGCCAAGTTCGGCTTCGACGATAACGCAGAGTTCCGACAACAAGAGGTTTTCTCTCTCCGAGATATCTCCCAAGAGGAGCCTTCAGAGGTTGAAGCACAGAAGGCCAACCTCAACTTCATCAAGCTCGATGGAAGCATTGGGTGCTTGGTGAACGGTGCTGGTTTGGCTATGGCCACCATGGACGTTTTGGCGCTCCATGGAGGGAATCCCGCCAACTTCTTGGACGTTGGAGGGTACGTCTTAGTTCCTGTACGAAAGAAGAGAATGACTGACGAATATCATACAGAGGAGCAACCCCCGAAACCGTCAAGAAGGCTTTCGAAATCCTTTTGGCTGATCCCAAAGTCAAGAGCATCTTCATTAACATCTTCGGTGGTATCATGCGATGCGACTACATCGCTGAGGGTGTCATCAAAGCCACGAAGGAGCTCGGCCTCAACATTCCCCTCGTTGTCCGGTTGAAGGGAACCAAGGAGGCAGAAGCCAAGCAGTACGTGTCTCTGTCTCTGTCCATGCATTTTTTTACAACTAACCTGGCTCGCAGGATGATCAAGGATTCGGGTCTGACGATCATTCCCTTCGACAGCTTGGACGAAGCTGCGGAGAAGGCCGTCCAGCTCGCTCTTTAGTAGGCATACCCTCTATACCCGCCCGACATTCTCTAGATTATTAGTCAATTTACCACCTTCGATCTTATAGCCACAGACACTTTAGACTTTAGCTTAATCGCTTTCTTTAAAATGAGCACACTCTTTCTCTTCCACTCGCAACTGTAATAAGGCTCAATGTACACGATAATCCTTGAATAAAGGTGGGCTTGGTGGGAACTGTTGTGACGACGAAGTTGGGGGTAATAATGATATGTACAAGTGAATGAATATACACTGGTTGTCTAGGCGTGCATCTGCCGCGCAGCCAAGGTCATAGCAGCTTCCTGCATCTCCTGTATCGCTCTCTCCCTAACCATATTCCAAATGACATTGCGCTGCGCGCGAACATCACCCAGACCTTCCCTGATCTCCTGGAGCCGCTCCATGTACTCCCTACCATCATCCTGCAACTCCCTCAGAGTCGCCAAAGACTTTTCGAGGGTCTCCATCTGCCTCTCGGGAGCGGTGAAATGCGAAGTATCGTATGGAGCAGGTCCGCCGTTGGCATGCGAGAGCAGGAATATCTTGTGCGTGGGCGGTGTCAAGTCGGGTGCACGCGCGACTCGTCGCGTCCTTGGGTCGTCGCCATCGTCCTGTGCCTCATCTTCATCCTCCCGCTTGGGAACAATCGACGACTTTTTATGTTTGAGGTCAGGATCTTCGCTCATAACTTGCCAAAGTCGACCTAGTGCCCGCCGCATCGTCGCCTCTCCCTCGATGAGGCCGTTGGTAGCTTGCTCAAGCTCGTCCATCAGGCGAGAGCGGAATGTGTGGGTTACGGATTTGTCCATGACGAATGAAGAGTAGCTCAAGTGTGTGGATTGCGGCGGTGGGTAGGGCGATACGAGTGGTGGAGACGGTGACCGTGCCAGATGCGGGATTGTAGGGGGTGAAGGCGACCGGCGAGGTTGGGGCAGCATGAGCTTGAGGCGTTTTCGCGCTCGCTCTTGAGCCTAGCTGAGCTTCAGAGTCATTCATGATGGCAGTCTAGTCGATACACACCTCCCATTCGTCCATCCCTGGCCCCCATGCAGCAATTTTGCCCTTACGAAGCCACCGAGAGCCTTTTGCATCTTTATGTCCCCAATTTCCGTCCCTATACTCGACTCGCGAGTCTTCTTCGTCAGAGTCGTACCCTTGCGAGGGGTAATACCAAGAATTGTAGTCTGAAAGCGGTGGGATTGTCGTGTTTATGGGGCTGAACAGATTGTAGCCATGAGCAGGAAGAAAAGTAATGAGCACGGTGTGCGACGTACCTTGGTTCTTCAGGTGGAGGCGCCCGCCTTTTAGATCCATGGCTGCTCGAAGGGAATTGGCCTTGAGGAGGTCGGTTGTTTGGTTGGCCATTTGAAGATTCTGCGTACATGGCGGGCGTTTGTGGAAGAAACAGCAGGCTACGGACTGAATCTCACAGGACTGTTGACCCTAACCCTAGCATCGGGTCTCCGCACTGACCGTCGCAGTCAAAGAATTTCTGGCAGCTAGGATGTGGAAGTAGAACAGAAAAGAGGTTGTCTTGCATATGAGGACAGATACAGGTGCTCAGCTTGCATTGCACTGTCACCTAGCGCCCTTGGCTCTAGGCCTGCGCAAAGGAGAACAGAACGAGGGACAGAGACAGGGGCTGTTTACGTAACTAGCCCCTGTCCACCACCAGCGCTAAGCCTCTCCTCCAAGTGAACTCTTCCCAGATTTAATGCGATGCTCGCAGGACCTTCAAAAGATTGCAATTGAGAGAAATATTACTTGACTTCGCAGAGAATACACTAATTACAAGAAAACATAGATACATGGTACAATGGGCCGTTGAATTACAACTTTGCGTCTTGCTTGGGTGGGCGCACATCCGCACGCATGACACCCTCTTGTGCAGCAACCGCGATCAGCTTGCCGTCCCGGGTATAAATCTGGGGGAGGAGTGAGCTAAACGCTGACTGAGTTGTTATGTGAAGAAGTCCTTACCCTGCCAGTTACGACAGCCCGACCAGAGCCAACAGCGGGACAGTCAATCTGAACGACGTCGTGAGCCTGAGAAGGTCGCCAGAAGAAGTTTCAAAACATACCACATAGAGAACCCAATCACCAAAGTCGAAATCATTGCTGTTTGACCATCAGTCTCGTGTTTCCTGTCCATATGCGATTCGTTCACTCACTTGTAGAACCAAAGTGTATGGTCCAGTGTGGACTGCGCAGGAACATCAGACAGCCGTCAACCGATATGGATTGGCCAGAACTCACCATCATCCCTAGGCGATTTTGCCCTTCTTTCGCCCCTCTTCGCAGGCCAACGACTCGAGAAGCAGTTCCGATGCTAAAGAGAGGAATGTCAGCAAACAAACACCTGATGGAACAATATTCCAACTCACAATTGCAAATCCGAGGCATATCCGAGGATGCATTTCTGGAATGGCGCGTCGTATTTAGGAATAGAGCGTGCCCTCATCCAGTACATGTACCGCACGATCCCATCCGCCGAGACGTCGTGCTCCAGAGCCACCTTGATAGCCACAGGACTGCGTGACCGTTCCTACGAAATATGCAGAGACCGTCATCCTTCCGCTCCCCCTCCAAATAATTCCAAAGCACTCACATAGGCGATAGCCTCGTACAACTCTTTCACCTTAGGAGACATCCCATCCCCATTCTGAGCAATGAGTCTCCTGTACTTCTCCTCCTGGTACTCGCACTCTTCAGGAGGCGGTGCCTGCGGCATGGGCCATTGGTGATTAGGTTGCAAAGCTTCAGGCTTCTGGAAGGAGCAGAGCATCATGAAGATGATCTGGCCGTTTTGGATAGCCTTGACGGAGCGTGTCACGTAGGATTTGCCATCGCGGATGCGTTCGACGCTGTAGATGATGGGTGTGGCTGGGGAGGCGCTTAGGAGGAAGTAACACTGGTTTCAGATCGTTCAGGAAGATGGTACTGCGGGGGCAACTTATCCACGTACGTGCATGGACTAGAGAGGACGGTGAGGTCAGTTCCGAGGCGTCTAGCCAAATTCATACCACTTACATGGAGAGCATAAGATGGATCAACACAGTTCGTCGCGGAGACTAGGGCTTGACTGATGACCTGTCTGCAGCATCATCCTCTTAGCGTGTCGCCCAACAGCCTGCAGAGGCGCACATACCCTCCAAACACGCCCCGGGCACGCAAAGGCAACCACAACGATTTCGACCGAAAGAGGTTGACATCGATCTTCTCCACCTCCAACGAAGTGGAAATCTGCTCGTGTTCTACTTGGTCGGTTTCAGCCATGGTCGATTCTGGGAGAGAGAGAAAAAGGATGAGATTGAAGCTACATAGAGAGGCTTTAAATCAGACAAACCTTGTGATAGTACGTGCAAGACTCGGTTGCCGTCGCGAAACTCATATGACGCAGTATGTTACCGGCTTTCGGAGATAGTCTGGTCTATAGAATAGCCGGTGCCGATCCGTGATCTAGAGATTCCGCATAGCCGGAGGCAGATTCCTGCTCGTTGACTTGCTGAGTCTTGTAAACTCAGGCTACTGTAGCTCCTAATGCCTCTCGACTCAGTAATAAGGACTTTCTCGAAGAAACTGGAAGGGGGCTCAATGGATGTTATCCGCACTTCAATCTTCGGTCCTGTTTGATTTCGTGGTGCATAACATTCGGGAGAGAACGAATGGAATACATGGCGATTACACATATATCGAGGTAGAGTAGAGCTTCATTAATTTAATCCAAGTCATCCATAAAACCGTCAAACTCCCTCGTTTCGTAGACATCGTCAAAGTCGCGGCTGAATACCTCGTCAGCAACGATAGCATGGGCGAGCTCTCGAGCATCGATATCATCGAAACCCTCATAACCACGAGCTTCGACGTCCTCAAAGTCACGGGCCTCGATATCTTCGAGGGTAGAAAAGTCGCGAGCTTCGATGTCATCCATGTCGAAAAGGTCGCGAGCCTCGAATTCCTCCAGGTCAAACTCGCGAGCGGTCAAGTCATCGACCAGTTCAAGGTCTCGAGGACGTATGCTGTTCTTGATGCCCTTGTATGTACGGTAAGCGCTCTTGCCAGATTTATAGAGGTTTTTGGCTGCGCGCCAGCCTTGGCTGCAATATTTTTACTCATGTTAGCCGAAATTTCAAGAGGGCGAAGAGAGGAGACGGACAAGAACTTGCCGGTCGCGGCCTTCATCTGATCTTCGTTCTTCGGGACGAATTGCTTCAACTTGGACTTCCAGCCACCCTGGCGGGCGACGAGGTCGTCTTCATCCCCAAAGGTGAGCTCGCGGGGCCTATATGAGCCCCGGGGCTTGGAAAGGCCCTTTGGGCGGGAACCGGGAGGGCCATGGTAGACGTATCCGGGCCTCAAGCTGTATGAAAGGGCCATTGGTCAGACGAGACTCTCGAGTCAAGACGAACGGCGTACTGGTCTGGCACAGCGAAGGTGGGTCCGGGCTTGGGACTCCTAAGAGTACAGAATGATAGGTTTGATTTAGAAAATTCAAGCGCAGATGCTACTGAAAGACTCACACCAAGGCAGGGTTGATGGCGTACGTTGGGCTGCCAGATCCAGAGGGGCCTGGCGCTGACCTCACTCCGGGACCACAGCCAATGCACGGGAGAGCGGCGACAGTCTGCAAGAGAGCAGAAGCAACAACAACAGAGGTGACAACACGACCGGCCATGGCTAGCAAGAGGTACGAGCGAGAGCGTTGAGCGTAAATGAGAGTCGAAATTGATTGGTTCGAGGCGAAGGACGCGACGGAAGAAACTCCTTGTGCCAGACAAGATGTTTGTGGATGTATGGGGAGGCCGGCTCGAGGGGTTTCTTCAGTCCCATCCCCTCCATTTATAACAGGTTGGAAGATCAGGTTTTCCGGACTAAGGAAAACGTAGAAGGGAGAGCCGATCACATCTGAATCGCCGCTCCGCATTGTGGATTCAGTGGCCCTACAAAATAGTCAACAGGTCAACAAGGGACATACGTTTTCAGCGCTCTGGGTCCACAAATGAACGCATCTGTCAAGACAGCTGGTCGCACAGAGGAGGTCTTGATATACTGCAGACATCAAAGACAGAGTCAACCAGCTCAACGTCGGTGGTTTGCGTGGTCGACAGAGAGGTTGTTGGATGATCGCCAGTCCTGTTCGCTGGCCCTGCAACCAAGATAACCTGATTGAAGCGGGGTATCTGGCAGCAGGGTTCTGTCGGTGCAGTGGTAGCGAATCTCGAGCGCAAGCGGTCTTTCCTGAAAACGTATAGCCTGCCAGCGCTGAGATTGTACACTCAGAATCACTGGATCCTTTGGCAATGCTGTTAGTCATTCCTGCGAATGAATTGAAACACCCACCTCAACTTGCTGCGGCCCCTAGAGCACCGGTTTGGTCTGTAAAAGGCAGGTCTCGAAAGGGTGCCGGTGATGTGTGGTTGATACCTCTCAGTTGACCCGAGATTTGCTGCTTGAGCGCTGATCAGGGCCCACGTTACGTAGATCCACCGGCGTTCAGGTCACCACATTCAGCATCCAGTGAAAAGCGTTTCCGCTGGCGCCAAGCGTGCTTCGCAGTTCCACGTCTATCTCTACTGTCCAGGTTCCTGTCATTACTCGGCAATCGTAAAGTTGACTCACCCTCGAGGATCCGGAAGACCTCGCAAAAGTGAAAGACAACGTTCGGAGAGGAGTCCCAGAGAGTCTCTGAAGATTTGGGGCAGTGTCACGGAACTAGAAAGCGTGCGTGTGGTCTGGTGACTGAATAGCATGGATTTACCTACTACAGAGCTTCTGAAAGTTCACCCCAATCACTGGTCCCCTGTTTCAGCCGTGTGTCTGCCACACCGTGGCCAGTGCAGACGAGCGCATGTGTTGTCATGACGGATGAATTCAACAGATGATTCAATCCAGCGTGTTGGTCGCGGTTCAAGCCAAGATGTTGGAGCCTTGCCCAGGCGACAGGACCGAGGGCCATGGGCACTTACCAAGCCGGACGACCGGATACATGACCCATACCACGTCGCCGGAGCGTGAAGAAAGGAGGTACAGTGACAAAATCGAGCACGATAGCAATGCTCAGAAATACGGAGAATTTACACATAGCATAACAACAAGCATAGTCAGGTAGCTAAAAAAAGCGATAATCGACAACGAAGAAAAAAAACATGCTGGACTACAGAATGTATGTACGAAAGCTACCAAGCGGTTCTAGAGAAAGACTGGGGAGGGTTCTGAGCATGGGGGTACATAAGATGAGGCTGTTGCGACTGTGGATGCTGTTGTGGACCATTCAAATTGCTACCATCAGTTCGAGTCTGTCCACGGCCATTAGGCATAGGGTAATTTTGGTTCATAGGCGGGGGATGGACAAGCATGGGACTTGCTTGATACATAGGCGCATGGGACATGACGGGACTGACCGCAGGGTTCCGACTCCTGTTTCCTTGAATGCCATTCGTCATCGGCTGCTGGTGGTTGATGTGCATAGTGTGCGCTTGTGGCGAGTATGGATTCGACCCACCGCCCGGAGGGGTGCCGTAAGTCATCATTTGTGCGGGATAGGGAGACGGCCGACCTGGTGGACCAGGCATCCACATTGACTGTCCGTACAGTGGGGTGTGTGCATTCACAGGCATCCGAGTTGGGACCGGACTGCCAGCCATGGGATGTGGGTGTGCAGCATACATCATCCCTGGCGCTGGGGAATGGCTCATGAGAGGGGAGGGGTACGATGCATAGGACGGTCGCGCATGGTTGGGTATGGGTGCGTATGAACAGGCCGGCGTTGCAGGAGTAGTGTTGGCTCCGCTAGTATTCGAAGGCGTAGGTCGGGCAACAGGGGCGTTGGTAGAGGGCGGAGAGATCGCTGGCCGAGGAGGAACAGGCGCAGCATTCGAGGACTGAGGCACTTGCTGGAAAGCGCGCGTGACCTCGTGCAGGGACATTCGAGAGGGAGGTTGAGCATTCGGTGGAGGCGTAGCGCCATCCTCAGACTTGGCCTGGGGATATGTGAAGGGTATTGAACTCAGGTCGTCTGCAATGCCCTCCAGCGAATTGACAGGTCGAATCTGATCTGGCTTCTCCGTGGGTTGCGACCAGAGTGCCTTCAGGTGTTCAGGATCCGGACCACGAGAGGTTGGCTCTTTCATCGGCAAGCTGATCGAAGACCTCGCCCAAGGCGATGGCTGGTGTGATGAACTTATTACTCTCTCGGCCTAAAGGTCATGGTTCGTGAATAAAATCCCATTTAGCAAAGACACTGCACTACTCACCGAGTTGTCAGAGAACTTAGCATCCGCTGCACTGACGGATGACTGAGAGGGCTGAGGTGCAAGTTGAGCCGGTGTGGCAGAAGCATCGGCAGAACCAGTGGCAGCAGGGGCTTCAGATGTTGATTTGGAAGGTTCAGGGTTCTGTGTCTTGGGCGACTGTTCCTTCGCACTATCCACCGATTCCTCGAGTTCATCCGAAACAATGAAATTAACAGAAGTCTTCAAACTCTGGTCATCAACCACATCGATTCTCGAGTCCCGTCTGAAGGCGACAGCAGAGCCAGCCGGCATCTTCGGTGCCCTGGGACGGGCGGCAGGAGGCTGAGCTTCTACTTTGGGCGTGGGTGCGGTTGGAGTCTTAGGCAAGTTCGTTTCGGATTGTCCAGGAGCGGAGATGTCAGGAGGCGGAGAGCGACTCATCGTTTGAAGTCCGGTATCAATCGGTGACTGTGTTGCATTAGTGACGGTTCCTTGCTGCTGGGGCTGTGAACTCGCAGGTTTCCTCCAGGTCTTCGCCTCATCCGCGACAGTGGGTTTACCGAAAGTTCCCGTAAGCTTGCCAGGGCCACCTCCAAACCGAGGCCCTCTTGTCCGGGGAATAGAGACGCGGTACTTGATCTGGCCTCTGAAGAACACAGGTTTCTTGAACAACACGGTGTTCACCGAGAAATCACGTTTGCTCATCCCCTCAACGGGAGGAACGAAGCTGAGCAATTCAAAGCGAGCCGCAAAAGGTGGCTTGTGGAAGAGATGGAGTTGCCGCTTGCTGATGGGATCCCGCCGCTGCGACGTTGATGGGAGGGCAACCTTGGGAGAGGAATCGAGTAGAGGCGAATGAGGTGGTTCTTCCGCAGTGACATTAAATACTTCGTGATGCTCTTCGTCGATAAAGCCAACGGTTTTAGGACGAAGTGCCGGAGGTACCCATCGTTCCCGGAACGATGACTTGAAGCCTGACCTAGCAGGGAATTGAGAACCATCCTCTTTGGCACCCTCGTTGGCCTTCATATTACTGATGGCTCCCTTGATCCTTGACATGGCATCGTCCAGTGAAGAGATTCCGGCATCCTTGTTAAAAGTCTGGTTCCGAGGCGAACGAGGAACATGCGGATGGGCAGGAGAGGGCAAGTTGACCGGGTGACGACCGTTGGGTAGTTCAGGGTGCGAGATGGTTTCCTTGGTAGTATTAGGCGCTGGCTGCTGGTCGGCGGGAGGTGCTATTGGCGCGGGTACTTTGGACGAAGGAGGGGAGGATTCCTTGGCGTCCTTCTCGGCCTCCTTGCTGGGAACACTGACAGGCTTCCGACGCCAAGTGCTTTCTTCTGGTTTGGGGACTTCAGCAGGTCGTGCTTTATCTTCAAAGAAGTCACTGGCTACAGGCCGAGGTGGGCGCGTGCTTGGCTGTGACGATGGGACTTCCGCAGAAGGCAGTGCTGCGGGTGCACCGTTCACCAATTTCGCCATGTCTGCAAAGTCGACAACTTCCAAATCCTCTCGGACACCATCGACCGCAGCATCAAGAGCAACTGTGGTAGAGGCAACAAAACCTGAAGACGATTTACGTATTTGGGCGGTAGCAGGGGGAACGATTGGCGAGACAGGTTTGGCGGTAGCCCTCCAATTGCTCGGTTCCTCAGAAGAGGTAGTGCTGGCTCTAGAGCCAAACAGTGAAGATGTCTTGCCAGGGGCACTAGATGGCCCACTCGTTGAACGAGGCTTGGCCACAAACGGGGGAACACTCTTAATCGCATCCTCGATAATGGCATTGACAGTGCTCGCCTATTCGAAAAGTGGTAAGCGAGGCCTGACTCGAATAGACGACACAAAGGACAAACCTTGGAGGGTGCTGGTGCCGGCGGTACAGGGGGCTTGGCTGCCTCTGCTTGTTTGGCCTTCTCGAGCTCGGCAGCCTTCATCTTCTCCTCGATCTCCAAAGCTTTCCGTCTCGCACGTTCCTTCTGCGCCTCACGCTCCGCCTCTTCCTGCTCACGACGTTGCTTCGCCCTCTCTGCCGCTGTCTTCATCAACTCCTTCCGTACCTCGTCCACATCTGTACCTGGCGGAAGTAGAGGAGTTATCGGATCTTGCTGGGAGACTGCGGACAACGGCGCGAGGTTGGCTCTCGGTGATTGCGAAGGAATACTAGGCGATCTCGTGTTGACAGGCGCTAACGTTGGTTTAGAAAGCGGTTCGCCCTGGGTGAGGTGCGGCGGCAGGGGTCGTCCAGCCGCTTGTGCAGCTTTGATCGCGTGAGCGGGTACTGGTGGGGGGCCCATCGAACCTCTACCATCCCGTTCCCTTCCTCCAAATGACCTCGTCGGCCCCATGGCATGTCCAAAGTCACGGTGCATCCTTGGACTTGGGGGTGGTCCGTCTCGACGTCCAAATTCGCGGGGACTTGGCGGTGGCAAGGCTGACGAAGATCCGTTGCTTGCACCGCTGAATCGGCGGCTCCGCGGACCTTCGCTGGGAGGTTTGTGCAATACTCGAACAGGCTCTCCGAAATCTCTGTGCCTCGACATGGGTCCTCTTGAGTGGTTGTAGGGTTCTAGTCGATTTGAGCGTTCATTGAACAATTGCCGGGGACCATCGCGAGGTGAGGAATGCAGCCCGGTGGTTGAAAATGCTGGACTACGTGAGGCATCATGAGCGGAGGGTGGAGCAGGGATGTCACGAGTTGACGAGGCAGGAGAGGCGCGCGATTTAGGCCAGCTACGGTCAAAGTCGTCAGCGAAACGATCCTGTACGTGATTTGTTTCCTCTTTGGGTTCCTCAACCGTTTCTACTTTATATTGTCGCCCATCCCCAAACTCGACAACCCCTCCGAGGAAATCATCATCATCCTCTTCCATCTGCAATCACTGCTGTTAAGCCAATGCGAATATCGGTTTTGTTTACACATTACATACCTCATCCCAGTGGTGGGCGTTAGGATCGAGATGTACCCCACGGAAAGTATCTGCATCTTCCACACGCGAAGAGATAGACGGCTTTATCGGTTCGACAGGCTTTGCCTCTTCAGGTTTTGGTTTAACAGTGCCTTTAACCGCCTCAGCAGCTGTTGGAAAGTCGTCCTGTCGGATATCTGGCCGAACGACTGGAGTGACATTGGTGTTCCAGGCTGGTTTGGTGGTCGCATCCTTTGGTTTCTGAGGCGCTGGAGATGCGGCCTTGGAGTTGGACAGCGGGGGAGTACTGGCTGCAGAAGTATTGCCGGGAGAAGCAGTCGGGGCTACTGATGACGGCCGTGGCCATCCAGCGGGAGAAGATGAAAACGGGGTGGCTGTCAGCTTTGCAGCGACGAGTCGTGACTGTGACTGGGTCGGTTGTGCAGGTGGCCGTACTATTTCACAGAAAGTTAATCACGATACGCTATAAAGAAAGGAAGGGGTCACTCACCAACCGCGGCGCTTGTTTTAGCTGTTGAGGCTGTACTCGCAGACGATGAAGTAGCCGCTTGCGCATTCTCTAGGAACTTCCTGCTAATGCTAACGGAGTTGAATTTCTTGGGGGCTGTTGTCGGTGTGGTCGAGGTCGAAGTCGAAGTCGAGGACTGGTTGGAGCCGAGAGGAACGAGAGATGGACGGGTTTGAGGCTGTGGTTGCGATTCATTTGAAGATGCCGATTGCTCTGCGGAGCCTTCCTTCACCGACTCCTGGGCTGCAGCCCCATCCTCTAGGCCCCCCGATTCATTCTGTCTGGTCAATTCCGACAGCGAAGAACTTTCTCTTTCTAGTGCAGCCATAAACGCGTCCCGGGACGCAATTGCGTGTTTCTAGTCTTCCCTTGATATACTGTGATACAGAATGTAGGTTCATTGATTAACATCTGTTAGAAAGCTGTTTAAAATCAATGCCAATAGGCTTACCTGGGGATATAACCTCCAGTGTGATGAGGGATATGTTCGAAGGAGGATACAACAGTTCTGGTGCCAACTCGCTTGAACCCCGGCCGACGGCCGGTATTTATAAACGAAAAAGGAAGGTAGTCCGGGGAAGCTTTAATGAACAGCAATATCTTTAGGCCCTCAACCGTTTCAAGTTCAGCAATGAAGCTTCATTGGCAGAAAGAACTCCTCGAATCTTTATGTTGTCTCACAGATCGATGAATGCGGCAGAGTGTACTGTTCCGCACATTCAACGTTAACTTTCAAAGACTGAAACTCCGCGACTGTTCCAAGTACAAAATGTCATATTGAAAAATCAGAGTGGACTGGAAACAAGAGAAAGCAACGCAAAGCAGCTATATTTGCTGCGCCAGCTCGGCTTCCTTTTGATTCAATCGGTCAATCTCTGCGTCCAGCGCGATGTTGGCCATTTCGATTTGCAGGATGTTTGAAATCAGCTCCGTCCAACGTGTTTCCAATGAGGTTAACTGCTTGCCGAGACGTTCCTAATGATAATGTCAGTACTCTGCTTCTGCAACGTGGATATGGCATGCTGCCGGCCCATATTGATGCTCCGTGTGGATAGGATTAGATTCGGGTCAACCATCCAGAGATGACCTTGCACCAAGCATGTTGCAGTCTCTAGATCCTGACCTGCCTTTACACATTCGAAATATACACACTCGTAACAGGACCACCATACTGGGCGTGCAAGGTCATCTCCCGATAGTCCGGAACGAGTGGGAACCATGCGAGGCTCCAGGACAAACGCAAGCCATCAAAGACCAGTGCATTTCATGGAGGCAAGCGTCGCCCCTTCACCAGATCCCAGGAAAGTCGAAGGTTGATACGAATATCTCTTTCCAAGTCCACGGGGCATGCAGTATGACCAGTCCAGCAAGAATGAACTTACCTGGTCGTTCTTTCTTTCCCTGTTCACCTCTACCGTCTTCTGCTTCAACTCTTCGGCTAAGCTCTCAACCTGCTTCACCGTGGACTCGAGGAGGTAATTCTGAATTCTCCAGGCGTTCGCTCCGTACGTCTGAAGGAGCGTCCCATTTGTCTGCCTAGTACCAATATCAGTTAGAATTCAACGAGGGTTCAAGGTAGATGAACGCACCGTATCCGCTGGTGTTGCAATTGAGCACGGGCATTATCAAGAGCTGCCTTCCACTCCTCATCCGTTGCCGGTGTGGATGTTGGCGCAGGTAGTTGGTAGCGCAATGTGTCGAGCGATGGGAATGGCTGGCTGGCCTTGACTCGATCCAACTCTGCTTTCAACAGCGGTCTATCCTTGAAACGCGATTTTGTCAGCACATACACTTCCTTCTGTGCATAAAGACTGCTCACGAACAGCAAATAGTTCTACAGGCGGGGGAACGCGTGGATGGAGCGCCGCGGTTGGATTCAAAGCTTTCAATTCGCGCGCCAATTCTTGGTCGACTTTAGATTTCAGATTTGGGTACTTTTGTAGGTCATCGTCATAGTACGGTAGACTGTCGAAGATTTCAGAATTAGGTCCTTGCGACATGACTGTAGTGGTTGTCTGGAAATTGAGGTGGTCGCGGTAAACTCGCCGCCCTTCGCGGTCAGCGGTCGGGGTTTGGGAAAGAGGCCGGCAATTGCCGAAGTCAGGTTCGCTGCCAACCGACCTCGTCCCGTTTCGTCTTCCATCGTCGTCGCTGCCAACAATGGCCTCCCGTATCGCCCTCCGCGCAGGCAGCGCTCTACAAACCGTCGCCAGACGCTCGGCCATCGTTGGGGCTTCTCGAATCACCCTCCAACGGTCCTTGCACTCCTCAAATGTGTCAAGAGGTAAAGCCCCGCAACCTGTGGAAATTGACCCATATTTCTTACTTTTTGCTCAAAGCTACTTCTGCAGCTCCATTCCACGAACCTACGTCGCCAAATCCTACGGCCACCACCTACGCAGCTACCACGGAGGCACTTCACACCTATGGATCGTACCTCACCCAGTGCCTGCCCAAGTTTATCCAGCAGTTCTCCGTGTTGAAGGACGAATTGACGCTCTACATCGCACCAAGCGCCGTCGTCCCCGTTTTGACCTTCTTGAGGGACCACACCCAATGTCAGTTCAAAGCTGTCATGGATATCAGCGGTGTCGACTTCCCGGAACGCGAGAAACGCTTTGAAGTCGTGTACCACTTGCTTAGCATTAGACACGCCGGAAGAATCAGGGTGAAGACCTACGCCGGCGAGGCAGACCCTGTTCCCAGTGCAGTCGAAGTCTTCAGAGGAGCCGACTGGTATGTGGTATTGTTCTGGCATCTTTCTTACACTTGGTGACATATTCCACCTATTAGGTACGAGCGGGAGGCCTGGGACATGTATGGCATTTACTTTGAGAACCACCCTGACCTGTATGTCGCCTCTCTTTTAAAACGCGTACCAAACTAACAAGGTTGTCAGGCGCCGTATCCTCACCGACTATGGCTTCGAGGGCCATCCTCTCCGAAAAGATTTCCCTCTTACTGTGTGTCGCGGCATTCCTTCACTTGTCACTTCTTATTCACCTGTTTTCAGGGTTATACCGAACTGCGATACGATGAGGAGAAGAAGCGTGTCGTATACGAGCCATTGCAACTTACCCAAGCATTCCGGTGAGTATTTGTATACCGTATCATTTTGTCCTGGGTCGTTAACCATGCCACTTTGCAGCAACTTCGAATCCCTCTCTCCTTGGGAACAAATTGGCGACGGAACCAAGGGACGGAGGCCAGAGGAACTCAAGCACGTTCCTCCTCCGCCTGCCGAAGAGAAAAAGTAGACCACTCCTGTTCCCACCGTTAGAGGCAATATACTATCATTCTGGAATCCTATCATTTCAGTCGTTGCGCGATTCGCCCCAAACCCCTAATGTACATGGATTTGAATATTAATCCGACAAGGTATAATTTACACTTCACGAATCACTGCCCTTGTCTGCTTTGGCCTGCTCAGGTGCAGGTGCTTCGGCAGCTTCCTCCTCTGTGTCCTTTGGTTTATTCGCCCAACCCTGACGCGACACTAGGTACTCTTGGCCAATGACCTCAACGCCGAGTCGCAACCCATCAGCGACCAAGTCCTCTACCCAATCATATTCTTCCCATATCGCGAGCCATGACGCTGGAACTCCCTGTGTCACGGAGGTACTGGTGAGTTTGTGTTCAGGATCGTGGAGGTAAATAAGGAATTGGAGTTTCTGGTTGTCGTTCGTGGAGTCGTCAGAATCTGATTCGTCTTCGTCAGAATCGTCCTCTGATTCGTCTTCGTCGAGGAGCGATGAGGTGAAGAAAGGTTGGATGCGGAGGTACACATTGGAGTAGGTAGTTGGTGAAGTGATGTTTGAAGGTTTCGATTGAAGATTGGCGTTGTTCTTCACCATGCTTTCGATGTTCGCCTGGATGCATGTAAACAAAGAAACGACTTGGAAAGAAGGATGGAATTACCTTGGCAAGCTTGAGAGCAGCATCAGTTCCTTCAACCGCGTTAAGTTCTCGTGCTCCTGAGCTGCTTTCCTTAGGTTTGGACTCGTTCCCTCGGTTCACCACCAAATCACCACCTTGCACTTGTTCCATGACCTTGAGATATTGATTAGATATGAAGATAAGATGAGAGAGTCGCGTATCACCTTAGAGAATGAGCGATAAACGACAGTTTCCACACCCTCGTATCCTTGCATGTCATGGCTCAACCAGATCTGGATAACTTCATGCTCGGCAATGGGAGGTGCAACGACATTCAAGATATCTGTGAGCGTGGATAATCCAACTCGCTTGAAGTCCTGGCCTGCACGAAAGTCAGTCGCTTATCTCTCGAACGATGCAAAGTTTCAAACACACCAAGCTTATCCAATTGGGCATTCTTTGCGTACTCGAGGACACCTTCCCTTAGCTTAGCTACCTGCTCTTGGTTCGGAAGGTGTTTGACCTGCTCGTCGACGGCAGATTTAGCCTGCTGAATCGCGGCAGTAGCCGTGGACCAAACAGAACCCCATCCCCATCCTCCGCCAGAAGCGCTCGTCGATGCCGCAGGCTGCGGAGATGATGTAGTCGAGCTCGACTCCGCCTTCTGCTTCGAGCCATCAGTGCTCGCAGTCCTGTGTAACGAGGTCGTCGAGGACGACGCAGAAGGATTGGATCCCGCAGGCCCACCGCCTAATCGAACGCGCTCAGTGCTCTTCCTGATCGTCGGCGTACCAGATCGGCCAATCTGGCTGGCTGTTCGGGTGGGCTCCGTGCTCTTTTGTGTGATCTCGTCAATGAACGCAAGGACTTCTGCTTCGTTTCCCTTGGCCTGAGGTTGCGATCCCTGGGCTGGCGGCGAATTCGATTTCTTGGGCTGATCGACAGGGGTAAACGAGTCGAGATCGTCCAGGAATTGAAGGGCCTCGTCTTTTTTGGATTTCGATGTCATCGTCGATAAGTTGTCGTCGTAGTTGCTGTTGGAAGAAGACCTGCCTTGTCTTGGACGTCGTCCCAGCGACTGAACATAACGGCGACGTCACGTGGATCCCACGGCGGCGCTGCTGGGTGCAACTCATTAAGGCCATCGTGGGCGCGACGCGTTTTGACTAAGAACCACAACCATGAGCGATTCACGACCGACGACGCCGCCGCCTCGTTCACCACCTTTGTCGAACTTGCAGGCTACGCCAGAGCAGATACGACAGATAGAGATAAACAGGTTGAGAGGTTCGTCCAGTCCTCGTAGCCGTTGTTCAGTCATTGCCATGACTCATTAGCCAAGGCTGCGCAGAGAGAACGAGAAGCGGGTGCCTCGTCGTCGAGCAGTGTCAATTCAAACAACAAGAGGCCTCTGGTTAACAATCCCGCCATTACAACGTCGCCGACAGGCCCCGCCTCGTCCAAAGAGAAACCCTTGAAGCGAGATTCTCGTCTGGGAACCTACTTCGAGTATGATCTCTCGAAAATGGTGAACTCGAAGGGCGGGTTCCTTCTAGAAGATGAGAGGGATGTGGACGAGGAGGTGAGGAGGAAGGAGAAGGAACGAGAGCGCCAGCGTCAGATGCAGGCCATTGAACCCAGCAAGTAGTGTCTCCCTGTTAGTGTTTATGCGTGCTCAAGCGTGTTGCAGCAATATACCTTGACCCCAGCATGAACCCGAAATGTAGGGAATGTGGGACTGTGGACATTGACCAGACATACAAGCAGGTCTTCAGGTGTCTGGTCTGCAAGAAATGCATCAACGAGAAACCAGAGCTGTATAGCTTGCTAACCAAAACCGAATGCAAAGAGGTAAGTGGCTGAGCAGTCCGTCAGAAAGTCCTAGTGCTGACATTGGGCAGGACTATTTATTAACAGACCGTAAGCCATTCCAGGTGGCTATCCTGGACCCTGCCTGACTGTCCCCTTTGTAGCGGAACTCCGTGACCACGAAGTAATGCCCCATTTACTCAAGGCGAATCCCCACAAATCCACCTACGCCAACATGATGCTCTTCGTCCGGTACCAGGTCGAAGAATTCGCTTGGAAGAAATGGGGATCTCCGGAAGCACTCGACGCTGAATACGAACGCCGGGAGGAGGAGAAAAAGAAGAAGAAGAATAAAAAGTTCGAACAGAGCTTGAGGGATCTTCGGAAGCGGACGAAGGAAAGTGTGTGGCAGCGGCGGAAGGACGAGGAGCATAGACACTCGTATGGACCTCTGGAGAGGTGCAGTGACGGTACATCGAAACAGATATGCCACGAATGTGGGTTCACCGTCGAGGTGGAGGAGCTATAGCGCTAGTCCCTGCATTACTGCCAATATAGCCTTACTTACACTCTATGAGCCGATGTATCGCTGACAACAGGAAGCCTTTGGCCTCAGTGACCGTGCCGTTTCTCAAGTTCTCAAGCACGCGGGCTTTGTGCATCCGATCATCCTGAGTCCTTTCCCTGTCCAATGCTCTTGTTCCCTGTTCTCCGGATATCCGGCTCGTCCTTTTTGCCGCCATCCGCCTTGTCGTTACGACTCTTCTGACGTTCTACATAAGTACAAGCTTCTATCTCTCCCGAATCCAGAAGGCAGAAACATCCCCTGGCTGTCAAACCAACTCCCTCTATCTCCGAACTCTGTACAGCCTCGTATACATGCGTTAGCATACTGGAAACCTTTACACGTCTACTGCTGGCCTTATTTCTCTATATTTGTGTCAAGAATTACATAGTCGAGCTTGCTGGAAATATTTGGCTCCGATCAGCGCGTCAGTGCAGACCCAATTATTGATCGACCTTACCTTTGGAGTCTCACATGCGTTACCCCACCTGAAGATCCTCTTTCCTCTAACCACCACCTCGTATCTCGCTGAAGACACGATGGTGCTGCCAGATCTATCGAAACTGCACCTAAATGGCCTCTCGAACGGCCAGGCACCCTGGGTCAAGGGCGCCGTGCCACCTGCCACAATCCCGGACGACATCCTTAACGACAATGGCGACCGTTACATGCAGAAACTCAAGGACTATGCGCAATCGCTGCCATACTCCATCGAACCGTATTCCAGGATGCTCGAAATGCTCGACTTTATCATTCTTCGCATCGTACAGTGCGTCGAGGCGAAGGATTATGAGGTCGGTCTGGTGCAGTGGGATTCGATGTTAAACTAGTGAGTACCCGATGGTCAACAGTCATTTGCAGTTTACTGACGCAGCCGCCAGCTGGACCACCCTCGAGTATCCGATTCCCAAGGACCGCAGGATCTATCTGGCCAAGCTGTACTACCAGCTAAGCTTGGTCCCCGGCATGCCCACACAAGTTGTCGCCGTGTGCGCAGATGGATTCAAGTTGTTGACCAAGTCGAAAAACAAAATCTCCATCGAAGACATGCGACTCCCTTGGAAGCCCATCGACAAGATCTTGCGCCAGGATTTGTTCCTCAGTCGAAGGCAATTCGAATATACGTACGTCGCCCCATTCTCCTTTGGTACCACCGATGACTTAATTGAAATGCGGGATATAGGCAAACGTCATGGTGCATGGGCTACATCGCAGATAATGCTCGACGGTTCTTCCACCCGGCCGCCATCAATGAAATGCTCTCCACATTCTTACCGTTAATAGACGGCACGAAACTCGACGTGAGTTTAGACTCCAATTGACTGATTCGGGATGAACTAACCACCAGTTTCCAGTCCATCCTATCCTCACATTTCTACTTGATGACATACCTACCACTCAGCCATCCACAGTACTATCTCCCTATGATAATGCGACTCTGGGAGTCGATTAATTCCTACATGTACGACGAACGACTACTCCATTTCCTAGCCAAATTGGCGGAAATGCACGTCGACCCCACAGTTAGCGATCCAAGACGATTGGACTCAATTCCAGACGACGAACGCTCGGAAGACGAAGGAAGGCCGAATTGGCAGAAGGAGTCCCTACCCGAGGGCGCGAAGTGGAATGGCGTATATAAAGATGTGGGCATCTTCACGGAGAGGCAATGGAGTCACATCATGTGCAAGTGTTTGGGTTCCATGGGTGAGTAGCGATCTTTACATTCAATCCATTCAGATCTGATCCTGGGTGTAGAAATCCCTCTGGCGGACGGTGGTTCGTTGACCACAGGCCCAACCGCGGACAGTCAGGTTGGCTTTGAGATTGGGAGGCTACCCAAACCCCAATGGCGAATCCGTGAGTCGCCATTTCGTGAGCTGTCAATAACATTGAATAACGCGTCTATCAGCTTCGTTGGCTCGTATAATCGTCTATTCAATGGCACAAGACGGACCTATGGTCCCCCCGTCGAACTTCCCTACCCCGATGTTCTCTCCTTTGCCCACTTCTGGCATCAACACTCCCCAGATCCAGAACTCGACTCTGGGAGACTACCTTTCGGCGCCACTGAACAAGAAACCCAATCCTCTACAAACTTACCTTGGAGGATCACGCGCGTTGGATTCGCTAGCGCGATTGATTGCTTCTACCGAATCGTTCTTCCACCCTTCCAACTCTGGGTCATGGACAGGAGATGTGAGTCTCGATTACCTGCAACTTGTCATCCAGTCAAGTATTCTGATGTCGTCTCGTAGTTGACCGCCTTCATCAAATACGTCGTTTACGAGTTCAACAAGCGTTGGTCGACTTGCACTTCGTCATTCATCAGTGATCTAACACTTCTTTCTAGGATGGCACGAGGAGCAGAAGCCGGATTGCAAGACACCCAAACATCGACGTCTTACCAAGTTGATGAAGCGGGAGCTGGTCAAATCGTTGCGAACTGTCACTCTGCTAGCGATGTTCTCGCAGGATTCGACCACGGTATCGAATGTCCAAAGCTGTCTCAAGTCGATGAGTGTTCTGGAACCAGATCTCATCCTGGAACCCATTTTGGAGCGTGCTGTTCCTTCGCTGGAGGCTCTCGTTGAGGTAAGAATTGAACGATAAAATCGCCAGTTTTTCGTACTTACAGACATGATCAGACCCAACGTACGATTGCCGTCATCAAAGCATTATGTGCTGTTGCGCCTGCCATTGTGTCAAGAGAGGTGTACTACCCTGGCGCCAAGCATCTGGTGCCTCTCCTTCAGCTGTTGATTCCGGGGATAGATCTTGTAAGTGGGCTCTGCGAGACCTCGGTACTGCATATCTGGCTCACGTTCTCTTCCTCTTAGAATGACCCGTCGAAAACGCTTTGCACGACAGCCTTCATTTCGGAAATAGCCCAATACATCCAGATTGGCGACCTAACAGCATTCGATGACCAAGGCTCGTCCAGTTCCTCGGATGACGATTCCTATGACGGGCCACCCAGCGCTCGCCCAGGTCTTCCTACTCTTTCACTCGATGATGTGAACAGCGGGTTGGGCGAAGTTATACTGGATAAGTCAGAAGAGGATGCCTTGTTGAAGGTAGCCCTTCCATCTTCTTGCTTGTCATGTCACCTCGCTCACTCTGGGTTTACTGCAGGAAACGACAAGGAGCTTCCCTGACTGGGTTACCAGCTTCATCCGCAGGGTTATCTTACTTTTGGAGAACCTTCCGGAAGAAGGGCCGTCAGGAACTGCGGGTGGTGCTACCGAAGGTCTGTCAATGTCTGATGCCCTTCCCCCAGAAAATCTCACGTGTACCTGCAGTGCAACTTGTTGACTCAGTGACGAGCGCGTGCAGTCAGATCTGCGTGCACCTTTCTGAGCCCTTGTTCGACCTCGTTCTGGGGATGGTGTTCGACTATGCGAGCAACAACGTCCGATCCAACGCTGTGCGCGCCATCCATCAGCTGGTTGAATGTGTGGCCAATGCCAACCCTGTCAAGACGTTGGCCCTGTTCTTCCCATTCTGCGAACAGAATATCAGAACTGAGCTCGAGAATGGGGCAAGTTCGTTGAGGACGACTTCCTCCTCCGCACCATTGCCTTCGGACGCTACTCTTCATTGGAGTAGGTGCTTCAGTGTTTTGTCAAGGGTAGGAAAGATATTGACATCTTTTGGTAGACCTTGCTATCCTTCGTGGAACTGTATACAAGTGAGTACTTTGCCATCCAGTCACGTGTAACAGATGCTAACATATCTTGTTTAGCGATGGCAAAGCGGTAAGGAATAGACGACACTTATGCCTTTCCGTTTATTAATTCGCGATGCAAAGATTCTACCCTACAAGGATAGACTTCTATCCATCCTCTGTCTCCTCCATGAGAAGACATTCTCTAAACGTGGATACTCATGGACGGGTAAACTGATCTCCAGCTTAATGCTTACCCTCACACATACCTACCCGCTGGAGAACAAATTCATCAACCCTTCGGAGGCATCCAGTTCAGGTGTGTCATATAGTCTACCGCGAAGAACTGTCCCCTGACAGTCATTTGAAGAGTTCAAGAGGAAGCATCACCTGTATTGGGGTAAATTGTATCGCCCAGATGAAATCACCGTAAGCTATCGGTTTGGTTCACGAGATTGGGAAGGTCTCTCACCAAACGTAGATCGCATGGCATGTTCCCAGCGAAGAAGAGATCGACTTTGCACTGGAGATCTTCCGCAAGTTGGTCGAACCCACCCTTGTCTTATTGGAGGGTCTCCTTAGGCCAGGTTCGTTTCCTCTGATCTTAAGCGTCGCTCTGAGCTCATCCGTGTCTCAGGGATTGTCCGTGATGCGATTTGGAGGAATGACTTCTGCCGGTGAGCTTTTTCAGTCCCAGCGTGGGTCGCCATTTTCTCACCACTCACGCCGAGTAGCCACCTCACCTTAGTTCGCAATGCATTCTCCGGTATTCCAACTCTCTTCAAGGAACACATTTCTGCAGAAGATGCAAAGTATACGACCATGACAACCGATATTCTGTATGTCGTATGATGCAGCCTGGCTGTCATATGTGGAGACTGACAATACTTCAGAAACGAAATCCCGGAAATGATTGCCTCTGTCGACCCTCTCAACTCTGGCTTCTCCTTGACGGACCCCGACGATCCACGGTACCAGTACATTGTGGGTGTCAAGAAAAGGTTCGGAGATTTCCTCCACCGCGCATCGACTTCTCTTCGGTCTCAAGGCGAAGAGAATACCGTCGATGCAGTTCAGATCCTCGTAAGTTTAGCCCAGCCTCCATGTTAAGCAAGCTCATATATGATCAAGGTAAGGTCTATTCGAACGTACATGATGGAGTATGGGGATAGCCGGGACAGGTGCGTACATTCCTTTAGGTCTTGTGATCCTGTGTTTATCGGGAATATCCAGCTACTATTTGAACGAAGAGCAATACACTTCGGAGAAGAATGTTGCACGACAGTACGCCGGACAAAAAGTTTGGCCCAGAGCCATTTACGTTAGACGAGCTCGGTGCGCGGCGTCGTTTAGTTGCCTCTGACTTGCCGGACACTCATGAGGACCGTCAAGGTTTTACAATGCTGCTCGCCTGCGTTGGAACTCAATCGAGAGAAAGCGAGGGCCTATAGAAGACAAATTGATAGACGACATCGTCGAATGGTCGCTGTGGCACTACTCCAGCGTTCGTCAGTCCAGCCAGTCGGTCTTGGAGAGTCTCTGTTCGGTGAGTAGCATTCAGTTCAGGGACATGCTCGGTTTGATTTACGCTCTTTGAAGGTGTACGATGGTGTTCGGCGACGCGCTTTGCCTATTCTCCAGAATGCTCTGGATCCAGGCAACGACGATGACAGAATGAAAGGTGCACTTTGGACCATCAATTTGCCTTCGTTCGGGAAATATGCCATCACAGGTCCGTCTCAATATCTGCTCGTTACTTCGCCTTCGCGGGATCTCTGACGTGGTGACTTAGAGCCAACCTTGATTAATGGGCTAATGAAGAAGATCTTTGCTTCGCAGCATAATGAAAAGGCAAGCCACCTGGCCAATTGTTGACTTTCTTCTATTGATAGCTGACCCAACATCGCTATTAGCCTTCGATTCAAGATTCAGTCTCAACAGTCTTCCAAAATTGTGGGTCATTTGCTCTTCGTCCAGTGCTGCATAACCCATTCCCGTTCCAGGTCTTAATAGCTTTGTCGAGCCCTGTAATCTGGTCTACAACGTATCATGCGCTAAGGTCGAGGATGCCATGGCCAAACTGCGTACCATCGTCAAAGTGGAAGAGGATGACCGGTTGGTTGTCAAGAAGTGCGAAGCCCAGAGGGTTCTTCGGGTCAAGACTATCGATGATGCCATGAAGGAGCTGGTATGCGACCACCCATCCCTCAGCGCACAGGACAACGACTGACCTTTGGCGATCCAGACTTCCACCATCATTGAGATTGGCGAATCAGAAGAGACGCACTGGAAGTACTTGATATTCGCGACACGTTGCCTGCGTACCTTAGTTCGTCGTGATGTCCCTGTCTCCCCTGAGCACTTCGAATTCTTCCTATACGCGGCCCATGATGACCATCCTAACGTTGTGAGTATCCTCGTCACTTTAGCCATCTGACCTCGCTAATTATGATTCGCAGCGATATGTGAGTTTGCTGGAGCACTGAAGCCAACCCCACCTTTACATTTCTTTTTCAGTATGCACAAAGAGCTATCATGAAGATTGCCAGAGCTATCAAGTTGCGAACGTACTGCGCGGACGATGTCGATCTTGCTCTGGCCAAGGCGAGAAATCCTCTCAAGAAGGAGGTTCCTGTCCACCCAAGCCCTGATATGACCGACAAGTTCCTGGACGCGTTTAAAACACCAGCGACCCCTGAGGATCTTACAGTGCCGTGAGTGACGTGCCCCAGACGCGTTCTTTTTCGGAGCACTCAACTGTCTATCCTCAGACAACTGTACGATTCGGAGCCTCCAGGTTGGTTGGTCTGGGGAAAGTCTGTTCCTTTGTACAGTCTTCCACACGCAACGAAGTCCACCTTCCAGCCTTGGGATCCCAGTAGTTCGTCGACCATCGATACCCTCAGGGAAGTGGCCCTCGACTCGGCATGGTGGGAGAAGCTTGTTAGCTACTATTCCGAGGAGAACCACGAGACCACGATCATCCAGGACAACGTCTCATGCATCAAGTCTATCTGTGAGTCCTCTATCTTTCCTTCGTATATCGTATTCACATATAGGATACCAGTCCAGATACTCGAGGACGAGCCATTAGAGGTCTTCAAACCCCATGTAGAGAAGTTGATTGCAGACAAGGACCAGAACAAGCAGAGAGCTGCGGCGGAACTGCTTGCTGCTGTTCTGAATGGCAAGAATTGGCCTTCCCGGTCGCAGACGAATTACTGACCCACTACACAGGCTCCAAGCATTGGCCAATGAACAAGCAAAAAGATCTATGGAAGTGGTTCATTCCCTTCATCCCGACGATCTTGAAGAAAAATATCAAATCGGACACTTTGTCAATCTGGACCTCATTTCTTGAAGTAAGTCTTTGAACAACCCTGATCGGCGTTCAAGCGTTGAGCGCGTTGCAGTACATTTTCTATAGGAAGGATCCTCGCCGCGTGCAACCTTTGGTCGACTATCTTGTCAGTTCATTTAGGACCATGGACTACAACCCTGAGATGTCATTCGATGTCGTGAAAGTCATCTCCCTCTGGCGTGCTTTCTACGAAGAACTTGGCCGGAAATTCGTACCCTGGACAGACGAGACGGTGGAAAGATCTTGGACTCAGATCTCTAATGAACACGACGACGTATGTTTGATATCTTCCATGCTCCGCGCTTCGATAAGCTACAGCTTACCGTGCCTTTTAGGTCCGAGCCTTCATTGGAGAAATTTTGGCGTTCTCGCAGAATATCAAGGTAAATTAGGAAGTCATTTAACCTTGTAACTTGATCTTACCGTGATATGTAGTGGCAACCCAGGCCTTCCCTCCAGACACCCGAGGTTTTCGTGAGAGAATGTCAGGTTCTCCCAGCAGACCATGATATCATGGGTTTGCGAGGGACCTATCACAAGGATAGGGTGGCAGAATTGGTCGAACGTTTCAAGGTCTGGCGGCAGCAGCGTGTCCCTGGTGTCCGTGCCTTCCAGTCAACATACGATCGGTAGGAAACTTGTCGAAGTCTACCCCGATATATGTGAACGCTCACGCGACGATCCAGTGTCGGAATCACGGTCTGCAAATGGTTATATCAATCCATTCACGACCTACACGCGGTCTCAACCTTCGACTATATCCTTCCCTTAATGGTTAGTCTTCGACAGCTTTTCCTTTAACCATAACACTGATCTGTTTTTAGCCCGAGATATTCCGTTTCACAGAAGGTACTTATTTTACGCGGCGGTGTCATACAACTCCTAACTTTCTCCACCTATTCCCATAGTCAATGATAACAAGGAACTCGCAATCCGTGCTAACTCTCTACTGGTCCGCATGTGCGGCGTATCACCGCCAGTGCCACTGATAAACCCCATCCTTGGCGCTATCTTCGACGCAATCCAATCGTCACCGGTATGGATCTCATATCTTCCTCACCCTCGATTCCACAAGCTTAACCACCTTCGCAGTCATGGCGAGTTCGTTTGAAGGCTTTGCCCCTTCTGCAAGGTAAGCTCCACGTCAATCTAACGAGACCCTATTCAATCTGACAACTCATTTCATTTTGCAGTCTTCTACTTCCGACAGCTCCCTCTCATCAGCGAAGTTAAGATTGTGGAAATGCTAGAGGTAAGGCAGCACCTTCCGCCTCGTTCTGGGGTTCTTTCTCATTCTCATTCTTTGTCAGGTTCTTTGCCAAAGGCTCGATGATGAGGTGGTCGAAGTTCGCGAGATGGCTGCTTCGTAAGTTTCACAATGTGTGAGGGCTTCTTACTCAACACGCAACCGCCAACCCACAGAACTTTATCTGGAATCTTGAGATTATCACCGAGGCGAAGTGTATTGACGCTCAAGGTATGTGTTGTCTATACCTTTTGCATCTCAACTGTGGAGGGCTAACGACATTGGGGCTCATGACCTTCATCTTTCGTAGGACCGATTTGTTCGGTTGGCTAAGAATAGTCGCTTGGTGGATCGTAACCACCCTAATTACAACAAGGCCATTCGACAGAGACACGCAGCTATCCTCGGTATCTGTGCCTTGGTGGACAGTTACCCCTACACGGTGGAAAAGTGGATGCCAGAGTTGCTGACCTCTGTCCTCGCTGAGCACACTTACGACCCGGTAATTTCGGTTCCGCTCTCTTCATGGAGCGCCTCTCATTGACTCTCTGTCGGTGCAGATCCCCATCTCCACGACGGTTCGCAAGTGCGCTAGCAACTTCAAGAAGACACACCAGGATACATGGCACGAAGACTGCAAGAGATTTACTGACGACCAGTTGATTGCTCTATCAACACTCTTGACTGGTTCATCTTATTGTGAGCCGCTGCCATGTTGCACAGTTCCCTGTATCAGATGTACTGACGTTCACCTTTCAGACGCGTAGATTGGTATAATGCCTCTCGGACAATAGACTGTAGGATTAACTGTTCTGAATTTGCTCTTCAAACTGTACAGACCGAAATTTAAATAATGACAAGAAAGTCTACTTTGCCATGAATGAGAGTGAATGATCGAAGAAGACTGTAAACCAACGTGCTAGGCTATACGAACCTTTCACACTGGGGTCCGAGGGCGAGAGGGTGGTAGGAGGGCAGTCGGCGTTACGCCACCATCCTCGATAGTAGGAATCGAAGCAGCGAGGCCCGCTTCTGTGGTCTCGATACCGTTTGCTGTTCCGGCACGGGCACCTGCTGTGGGCACCCTATCAATTGGTGCTCTCCTGTTCTGGTAGCCTGATTTGACCCGGTTATTCGAAACAGACTCCCTACACGAGTCTTGGGTTAACCGTGGACGAAGACGGATGATAGAGCAACATACCGAATCTCAGCAATGAGGTCGTCAATGGCATACCAGGCCAGTCCACTATACGCAACACCCCGCCACCAGCCAAGTAGGTCGGCTGGTTCGATGTAGGCGTGGGCATGGAGGTGATCAGTTATGGGTATCTTGTTGTCTTTAAATGGTGGCGTAATAAATCCTATGTGGAATCTGTTGTTCGGGTCTTCAACAGGTTCTGTTGGGAGCATGGCTGCGACTGAGGGCGTCGGTGGTGCACTTGCAGCGTCTGGTGCTATCAGGGAGGAAAGTAACCTCGTTGCTAGATTCTTGATGCTGACGAGGAGAGGCAAATCCGTCGATGACTATTCAACCAAAGTCCAATTTACTTCCCGAACAGCCGGCAATGTCTATTCGGGCACCCACCAAGGTATATAGTGAGGGAACATGCAAGCTGGGAGCCAACACCGTTAATCCATGAACACCTTGTCCATTCGTATAGGCCTTACTTGAAAGCAACAACGAGGTGACCCTTGCTCGATACTGGGTTCGCTTTCTCTTTATAAATCGTGAAGTTGTCGTCGCGCCAGACAACTTCAGGTTGGGTTGACCCGGTTGGGAATGTCGGTGAACGCGGTGAGTTTGGTGTCGTATGCGAGGCACTGGCGACGATGCTGCACATTGGGCATCCAGGTTTAGGTGCGAATGCCATTGTGGTCGACGTGGGCGCGCAAAACGTTGGCAATCGTGCTCGTTGTAGTCGTGGTCGTCGTCGTTCTGGGACTTCGCTCGGCACTGGCCCGCCGGGCCTCAATTACGACTAAAAGCCTCCGGCCAACATGCTGTCTTGGCACAATGTTCAAACACGTGAGGCTCGTGGGAACGGTGCGTCACACAAGCGCCCACGGTGAACTCGAAAGCCGAATCTGGCTTCCCTTCTTACCACCAACAATGGCATTCAAACCTGCGTTTGAAGCGTTTCGCGAAGAGCTCGATGACTATAATGACAGGCGTGAACGACTTATTAAAGTACATCTCCACGTCTGGATCTACAGTACCCAGCTGAACCCATGATTCCATAGGCAAGTCGGGACATCACCAACTTGTCCAAAAAAGCCATATTCCTGCTTCACAGACTGACTCTAGAGCGCGAGGCCTCGAATGACGGAGGATCAGAGGAAGGTCCTTCCAGGATGCCTGATGTGGCGAAACAGGGATACGAAAAATTACGCCAAGTGCAGGATCTCTACGCCTCATTACGTCCAGAACTCGTTGGAGATCTATACTGGCGCCATGAACGCCAGGTCTCCCCAGGCCTCCAGGAGTACATCGAGGCTCTCGGCTTTGCATACTACCTGGAGCATGGGACCTTAATCTCGTTCAATGAAGTCCAGAAAACTCTGTCAGATCCCCATGGAGCTCCAGTTCGTATCGTCTGTCACGTTCATTCAATATCGCCCTTGCTAATATTATGCATTTCATCTCCAGTACTTCCCGTTGACAGTCTCAGACTACCTTTTGGGTCTATCTGACCTCACAGGTGAATTAATGAGATACGCTATTTCTGGGTTATCACGCAAGGGTGGCCGAAAACGAGCAACCGAAATCTGCGTGTTCGTACGGAACTGCAAAGCAGGCAAGGAGGAGCCAATTCTAATTAATGTTATTATCTAACCCGCCACCCTCTCATCTCCGCCTTCAACCACTTGTTTCCATCCAGATTTCGAAAGGTACACCCCATATATTCGTGATCTGCGCAAAAAACAGGCTGTCACTTCAAATTCACTGGAAAAGATCGAGGATGGTAAGCCCTGTATCCACTTGGTTCTTATCCGAATCTCCTAACGGCGTTATGTACGATGACGCCCTCTATCATGCCTCATTTCCCGCGTCTCGTCAATTTCTCTTCACCGGCAATAAAAGCTGTCTACGCTATCTTCCTTCGAAGCTCAGAATACGACTTGCCGGCGGAAATTCTGGACGACATTGTTGCACAGTCTATTTCCAACTTCTCGCGGTCGGAAGAAGGTGGCGGAGGCGGTCATTCCAATCGACGTTCGGGGCGAGGACGGACGACGGAAGGATACGATAGCGGGGATGAAGAAGGCTTCTGAAAATTTCTAGGGTGCTGGGCTCATTAGTTGCCGATTAGTATGTGGAAATTGAGCTCCAATAAGGATTGTATAATACGTACCTCAATGTTGCCACGTTGGATAGACGGGAAAGGCGAAGATCCTTCTTTTTAATCGCTTGCTGGAAGCGCCTGTACGAAAAGGCACAGTATCTTCGGTTGCATCTTCAGATTAACGCTGCTTTTGCCAAACTCGTGTACCGGGGTACATCCTCTTTCCCTCCTCCCACGAACAACTCACCGCGGCTTCGCTACTAGTCCTTTTCAGTATTGGAGAAACCGAACGGCACCTGCGGCTTATCCCAAAATGTAATCGGGGCATATCCTTCTCAAATGGAGCAATCCAGCTGCAAATACGGAAAATATATCGACATTCTCGGCCAATGAGAACAAACATGCTCCTTATTTAAACTAAGTAAACCACTCGCGGTTAGCGACAAGAATGCTAGTATGGAACGCAATGCCCTCAAGCAGTCTGAGCTATTTTAACAACTCTCAGGTCCCCGTCCACGGCAATTGTGTCCTCCTCCGCGTGTCCATCACGGAGAGGAATGGAAAACCTAACTAGGTAACTGAGCCACCTAGTTTCGTCGATGCTTCCTTTGTCCTTGATCTTCTCATGTCTGCTCGTACCTTCCGAAAGCCTGGCCACCTCCAAATGTTCTGGTATGTTCCCATCGACTGTAAGCACCTTGCCAAGGCTGGAAAGAGGGACCTCGCCTTGAGATCCTCCAGGCGGTGCATCCTCGAGGACGAAGAGAATAAACGCAGCGTCGACATTTTTGCCAATGGTCGTAGAGAAAGGGGATGAGGAAGGCGAAGCCACTTTGGCATAAAGAACCTGAACCGAGCCATTGGGCATCGAACTCGTGTTGGGAGTATCCGTCGTGTCTGTCTCTTCAGACTTTCCTTCTGGAATTAGTGGCTTTTTCGCATCGTCGATTGTGGCCGGATTGACATCCTCAGTTTGAGGGTTCAAAGTCACGGTAGCGTGTCGATCGTCTGAAGGAATAACTGATGGATCTTCCTCGAGTCGCCTTCGAATAACCTCAGATCGAAGGTCAGCGTCGAGCTTAACCCGTCTGGCATGGTCTCCATCCGAATCGTACGAATTTTCTTCCACCTCAATTCCTTCGTCCTCTTCTTCCCGAATGTCGTCTTCGATTTGGGCCTCAACCGTAAGAGCGGTTTTGTCCCGGATCCTGAAAAGAATTTTGAAGAACAGAATTATGTACCGCACCCAGATAAAGAGCCAGCCGTGGAAGATGCCACGTTTGAGGCCCTCTACAGGACGATACGGAGAAGGGGTGCTCCCAGAGGAAGACGACGAACTCGTCGAATTGTCCTCCCTGGCCCTCCTACGCAATGTTTGTTGGGGAGGATCGTCGAGCTTGGGGGCAGTCTGCGGGATGACTTCGTCCACATGGGCAAAGCTGACCTGGGATCGATTATTGCGGGGTTTCGGGATGACCTGGGGTGAAGGAGGTGGTGTAGGAAGGGTGACCTGTCCTTCGAAGGCGCGTGAAATGGAATCATACGGGGTCAGGAACGAGATCTTGCAATCAGCTCCCTTCGAGCTTTCGCCAGGAGCCGATGTTCCAAAGTCGTGTGCGGGACTGAGGATGAATTCCCCGCCCGTTCTGGGTACAACGAAAGTCACCGCGTGGTCTGTGAAGGGCGCTTGGATCAAACGAGCGTCTGATAGCTTGGGCGAAAAGATAGCGACTTGGGCAAGATCCTCCTCTCCCAGCAGTTCCGCCAACCCAGCAACTCCGACGTTGACAAGGGTCTCTTCCACCTGCAAGCCTATGGGAATCAAAACAATCTTCACGGGCGTCTTCGTTTTGTGCGATGAAATCATTAAATAGTTGATGGTATTTTCGTGCATCACTTGAAGTTGGACTTGGCCTCTGCGTTGGAGCGGTCGCAGGTGAAGCAGTGATTGTAGTCGAGAGAGGTCGTAACATGCGTGGATCGTAACGTTTCCAGTTCCATACGCCATCAGTGAGCCTGCCGAATCGATGTGCATGGTAGCACCCGGCGAGGCGTGAATGACATACGAAGGCTGGGCGCTGTATAACCCAAACTCCCGGGGGATGGCAAGCAGCAGCTCTGCATCGCCTTCCAGCGACTCAAAATCATACCTATCAAGGATGTAAATTAACACCTGTCAATGCCTACTGGAACCAAGCAACTTACGGGTCTCGAGGGAACGCCCAAATGCTATAGTCCGTGATGTTTGAGAAGCTGGCAATCGAAACAGGTGCGGTGGTAGCGTCGAGCGCGTAAACCCTCCCACTGTCTGTCCAGCCTTGGCCAAGGTCCAGACCCTTCAACCCACCGCGGACTATAACCACGCTACCGTCTTTCCCATAGCTTCCCAGCCACCTGATATTCCCAGAAGCGTACTGGATTCGATAGGTGAACGAGAAATTTCGAACGTTGCGAACTAAGACTGGGACGTAACAAACGAGTTGCCGCTGATGGACCCCGCCCTGGTCGTCTGGCTCTGCAAGGCCAATGAACGTCGACCTGGTGTCGTCCCGAGCGACTTCAGAGGTACCGTCCGGAAGGGCCGCTTCGATTTCGAAATTGTGGGCCTTCCAGCCCTCAGGTTTTGGCGAGGGCACGTCCGAAAACAGCTGAACCTTCAGCGAACCTTCCACCGCCTGTTGATACTCCTGATGCCCTAGAGTGGCTGTAAACCGAAGGATAACTGTATCCTGCTCATCGCAGCAGTCAGAGATGGGAACAGTGATCTTTTCACCAATGGCGGGCTTGAATACGATCTGCATGGCTGAGGTAGTGGTCCGAGAGAGAGGGGAGGCGGGAGTGCAGCAAGCGTCGTCGAGAAGTACCCTGGGACAGGGGGACGTGCGCCGACTGGAAGCAGATGGGAAACGATGGTGTAAGCAGGACAGCCTAGCCGTGATTCTGAGAAGATAGCAGGTATTAATATCGATAGTAGAACACGTTGTGAAGAGACCTTTACGAACAGATCTTCGGCGGCGGGTAGATGACGTCAACAATGAGAGAACGACGCGTTGTACTTATTGTGCAGGCGTATCAACGAAGTCGGCGCCGATAAGGCGAGGTTGGGTGTGCTGGGAACATTCGGTAAATTGGAATCTCTTCAGATGCGTCAAAATCCTCCTGATATGTAGGATCTGCGGCTTCATCGTCATCTTCGATCGGGATGAAGATGGGCCCGCTCCATGCCCTGGAAGGCTTGCGACGGGGTGCATTTTGTTTCGTGCGCTGATCTGCCTCGCTTTTCCAGACTCTGAGAAAACGTTGAGTTCAAGACCATGCAAGGGTAGGCCCTGTACATACTCTTTGCGCCTGGTAAATTCAACGTAAGACTGCCCGCCAGCACTCCACTCCTCATGCCCGACAGCACCGATGATCTCAAGGTATCTTTCGATGGCGTTATCAAGAGACACGTTGGGTAGCATCTTGTTGGTTCTCGCCAAGGACGTGCGGCAAGCCGGACACGTTTTCTTCCCCTGAAAATGGTCACTCAGCGACGTACGTGATGATGAAGAATAGAGGCCCACTGTTGTCACAATCCAGTGCCATCCGCAGGGGCCACAGAAGCTATGCCCGCACGGGTTTGCAACGTGTGAAGCAACCCTGCATTATTGCCCTTGTTAGTGTTTGCTTCATTCACCAATACGAAAGACCCAGGGTTGGAGCTCACAAAATGTCAAAGCACCTGGTCATTCGAAGAATGTTGGTCACTGTGTGCGTCCAAAACACGGGAGAAGAACTTACACAGGGCACTGAAACTCTTCCTCAAGTTTGGATAACAGTGCTTTAGCAACATCTTGTTCATCACACTCCTTCATTTTCCCCTTCTTGAAAGCTGGTTTTGGTGAACTAGTTACCGATCGTGCTCTCTTGACACCCGAATGTGTCGGACCCTCATCCTTGATCGAACATGCGGCTTGAGTTCGAATCAATTAGCATTCCAAACGCAATGGCGTGGTGGTGCTGTACGCACAATTGCCCTGGTTGACTGGGGCACTTGGTGAGATCAAGGTTTCATCTGACGAAGAACAGGTCAGCCGCGTACTCAAGGCTGCATCGATCGAAGCTTACTGTGTCTATTTTGGACGTTATTGGTAGAATGTGAAGGGCCTGGCGGCGAAATCATGAGCTCTACGCCACAGTGCGAATCTCTTCGCGAATGTTTGCAGAAACACGCACCGGCGTCTAGAGGTATACATAGTAAACCGGGTTAGCGGCAGATGAAGGAAATCGCCATGAGTACGCACATGGGTTCCTTGCCACTGTAGACTGCGCAGCTAAAAGAAGGCCTCCTTAATGTTTGGAGTCTTCAAAAGGCAGCAGTGCTATCTCACTTTCTGTGATTCTAGAAGGGCGTGCTTGAGTCGCCTCCTGTTCGATTCTATCAAGCGCAGCTAAAACGCTCGAGTCGAACGCCTCGTCGTCTTCAAAATAGTCATCCGACTGACTATCCAGGTCTTGGGCCTCCAATCGTGGAATTTCAGCATGTTCTTCTCCACCCTGAGCTTGATTCGGGTCTGGATCCCTACGAGGTGGTGCAGATAGAAGTCTGTCCCAGTCAGCAGCTCCAATGTCTGCGAAGTCGTCGCCAAAGTTGTCGAATTCGCTGTCGTCGGACATGGTTGAGCGGTGAACTGGTTGGTTACAAAAGGAGTTGTTGGCCACGATCAACCCATGAAACGACGCGATCGTCCCAGAGCTCTTGGCACGTGATGTGATTGTGCGACTCCGATCATGGAGGGCTATTTTTGGAACATGACGGCGGCAAGGGACGGTTAGCGAGTCCGTTCACTTCAATTCATTTTGAGCGCTGAGCGCTCTCATTTACCCCGGACAACGGGTGTGACAGATATATCACAGGATTTCGGTCCTTCGTCACCCACAGCGCGCTATTTCTGTCTCATTGGATCACACCAATTAGCTTAAGACAGATGTAAAAATAGGTGCTGTTACGGAACTCGCTCTATTGACAACTTGCGGATGACCTCTTCCATGGTCGTTTTGGGTTCGCCAAGTACGGCGGCCTGAGGGAATTTTAGAGCCAAGGACGAGGTCGAAGCAAAAATAGGACAGCCAAGAGACTTTTATCATGAAGACTTCGACTGCCCAGACTCTCTCTGGCCGCACAGTTTCCTACCTGTAAACAATGCTTGGGTGAACAGCTGACATACATGAGAAGATGGGTTCCATTAGGACTAGTTTTACACTATCGCTACAATAAGAATACTTTGTAGTACACGAACCACGAAATTTCAGCCAAAGGGTTTTACAACAAGACAGCAAAGGTATACCGGAATGACGACAGCATGAGATGGGAGTTTCATAAACACGGGCAAGAAAGCAAGACTCGGGTTCGTCTGGCAGCTTTGATCATTCGCGCTCTTGCTGCGCGGCATCTCCGTTGGTTTCTCTAGGTTCTCGCCTAGGCGCTGCACCAGCTGACAACAAAGATCCAATGTTCATTGATGCCCTCGAACGAGGGGAATACTCTGCAGACTCACTGCGGTCGGAGGATGAATATGGGGAGGGAGGGAATTGTTCGGCCGGATGTGACGGCTCGTAGACGCCCCGGTGTGAAGATGGTGAACGAGACGCTCGATGTCGTTTTCGAGGATGCGGTTCTTGATGCGAGTTGGCACCGTCTCGAGGAGGTGGAGGCATATGTGAGTGAGTTCTTGGTGGAGATTCCCCACCGGACTGAGTTCGATGGCTGTTCATAGCCCGTCGTGAACTCCGCTGATCAGGAGGGTACGACGACGAAGGTGAAGGATAGCTAGGAGGATAGGGTGCATAGTTTCCTGCCCCATTTCGTGGTGGTGGAAGGAACTCGGGGCTGCCTGTCTGTTGGTACAGTTCGATGACGGTACGCTGGAGCGATGCAACGGAAGATATCCGCTGTGGAACTGGGTGAACATGATGCTTCCGCGGATGAAACAACCAAGCCGTACCTGATCCTCTGCTGTTTTCGCGTTGAGCATGGCAAGGAGCATGTCTCTGTCACCGTCTCCCTTTGTACGATATGCAGTCAATATTTCCCTCAGACTAGGAGGGGGTGCCTTAAAAATATTTGGACCATGATAAGCTCGATGCCGAAGGAGGCGGGGAGAGACAGACCTGTTCAATAATAGCATTGGCCTGAGAGAGGGCCTGTCTGAGATCGTCCTGAGGATGACGGGGAGAAGGCGGAAGGTCGTTATGAGGGTATCGTTGCTGCATCACAGCGTTCATGGTGATATGTAGAGGGCTACAATGGGGCCGAAGAGTTTACAGAGCTGCGACCTTTAAAACGCCGGATTTGCCCTCGCCAAGATTCAAGTTTGCTTGGTATCAGTTTGTATTTTTGGAATCGGAAAATTCGTCGGTTTGGCCTAAAATAGCGCCGCTCGACCAGCACACCACGCTGTGTCATGCCCCCACGACCCCATGCCCCTGCCTCTTTCTGCTCTCAAAGGTGATCTAAGGTCTAACATGCATGAACACGCAGGCCACTATCTGGGGCTCGAAACAGAACCAGGAAAACAAGCTTCCTCGGACGGAAAAGCCCCTACCGTGTGCTAAATATAGAATCCATACAGATGTTGCCAAGACCATCTCAAACTTCGGTCCACCGTCACGGGATCGCAAGCTTGTTTCCACCCACCAACCACGAGGAGTCCGACTCCGCCAGAGTAATGAGCGCTTGTTCTGCCCCTAGCACCATGGACTCAGAAACAGCTGCGATAGACGCCTCGGATCCACCGCCTATCCCACTAGCATCCCATATAGAAAAGCTCCCCCCTCGCCCAGCGCCCACACAAGCGTATTCCTGGAGAGAACTTTCACCGAACGCTGTGGTAATATACACTCGAGATCCTGCCCAAGCGGACAGAGAACTTTCCAAGCTCAAACCAGGGCCCCTTGGATTTGACTTGGAATGGAAACCCAACTACGTGAAAGGGGGAAAGGAGAATCGAGTGGCTCTCGTCCAGCTCGCCAACGATGAAATGATTCTCCTAATCCAGGTCAGTGCAATGCACGGTGAGCATGGTTCTCATTTGTCGCTTCACCGTTCCTAATCACTGTTTATAGCACTGCCGTATAAGCTGACGGAGATATTGGAAGACCCGTCGTACATCAAGGCAGGTGTCGGAATACAAGGTCTGACTCGCATCATTCCCCCGTTTCGAATTGTTAATTATGGGTCGTTCAGGCGATGCCCTCAAATTCTTCAACGACTGGATGGCGAACGTTAGGAGCGTCGTGGATCTGTCTCTCCTAGCCAGGAGTGTGGATAACGCAAGATGGAAAGGGAAATATAACCACCCAATCGGTCTCGCCCGTTTGGTCGAGGTGTACCACTACCGCCTCCTCGAGAAGGGTAAAATCAGGCGAACCAACTGGGAGAAAATCCTTAATCTGGAAGAACAGTCCTGTTCGTTTCAATTGCTGTATTCCGGGACGTGCCTCTTATCAAACCAATTTAGACGCTGCCAACGATGCTCACGCCGGATATACGCTGTACAGGCATCTCATGGGGATGGCAGACCCAGCGAACCCACCGGACACAAGGTTCTATACATTTGATAGCATTCTGGCCACATTCTATGAACCATCTGGACTACTTTGGCGACCTCAGAACCCGGACTATGACCCTGGCCCACCGCCTCCGCCTCGAAAGATTCGGATTAGGGACGCAGGGGAAGAACGTCCCGATGGCGAAGCGGATGACGCGCAATCCACCACAAACCCTATGTCCGAGCAGGACCCACCTGCACTGCCTTCCCCACGCGAGACCTCGATCGCCGCTCTAGCACACGCGACGCGCCAGCGGCAAGTACGAGCTACTGCACCTGAAGGCATCTCTGGAGACGTTCCCGCTTTCCCTATACCATCGTATCAACCTCAGGTGTCGTATCAGGCACCAAATCATCCCAAACAACATAGATTCAACCCTTGGACCAACCACGGCGGCGACCCTGGGTCACAGAGTTACTCAGGCCAGGTCTTAAACAACCCTCCACCAATCCACCGGCAAGGGGCTAACTCTGCACCGTCACACAGCCAGCGCCCGTTTGGCGACGGGTCCTCGAACAGAAACCACCATGGTTATCGCAGGCCTCGACATGGACAGGACAGCAGCAACAACAGCAACACCAGTCACAATGGCTCGAATGGCTCAAATGGATATCGGGGTCGTGGAGGAAGGCGAGGGCCTCACAATGGACGTGGCCACCACCGACAACATTCCCAACCACACAATGCCACTCCTACCGGTGGCGCAAACCCGAGTTCAAGCTCCAGTCACACTGGAAATACCGCTGCGACTTTGAATACACAAGACGCCCGCGATCAGCAACCACAACATCAGCATTCACGACCTCGTTATCGACATCGCAGAGGAGGCCATGCAGGCGGACCAGGACCGAGAGAGCCCAGACACCCAGCTCCTGCACCTACGAATCTTCCGGTTGTCGGACCTCCTACACCTGCATGAACCGCTTGTTTCATAAATTGTTTACCGTCTTCCGTCACGGTCGTGTATTTTTTGGGAAGTGGATGACGCGTTAGTTATCTGCTCATCGTTCATCGATTTCCGATAGTGTTGTGTGTATGTATTTTCTACTTCTTCTACAGCTCTAATCATTTTTTGTTCTTCTGTCGCTGTGAGGGAAGCCTTTCTCTTGGCTTTCCATCTATTACAACGAGCATGTAGTATATTGTTATTATTGGAATCTAACATGCGCTGAAGCGATGATTATCAGGAATCGGCGTTCGGAAAATTACCACCACGGGTAAGTCGTCCTCGGGCTGACTTCGTAGCTTCTAATGCTCTCTATGTGGATATCCAATCTCCTCTCCTGAATCTGCAGTTGATGATATCCACCAAACACGTCTTTTCTGCGCTGGCGTAAACGTCTCGCGTTATCGATTGGCTTTAGTGTATGAACGGACTTGCTAGACTTGGAGTACGGTTGGAGCACGGGTACAAAGTTAAAAGTAAGTGCTTTCTCTAAATGTCGTCAAGAGCATGATGGACGACTGGAATGGAAGATCCGTGAATAATTATAGCTAGCTGTGGAGAAAAGAGAGGGCCAAGTATACACTCTATCTAAATGAACGTCGAGGCGATGTCATCCTCCCCATGGAGCGGCCGTCCCTCCGAAAAAAGGACGTATTTTTAGCGCTGCCCTTTGGAGGCACACACCGCACTTAACAAGACGAACACTGGCGGGATGGGTAATCATATCTTCGGTACACCAAGTCCACGAATAATACAGGTTCCAGACCTCCACACTGTTCAAAGATGTAGACGTCGTTGACACATTCCAACGACGAAACCTCGGGGAACGAGCGCACGCCAAAGGCCATAACCAAGCCTCAAAAGCGACAAGAATAACTCCCCGCACTCAATCGATTACTCGTCTTTCTCTTGGGTAGGTTCTTTGCCCAGGAGTTCTTTGGGCGACATACGGAGGTGACCGGGTGGACGTGGAGAAGAGAGAACAAACTTACACTGAGAAACAACCCAAGCGCAAAAAACACCTCACGAGAAGTGCTTGTCCCTCCTTCCGAATTCCAATTCCAATTGAGTTGGGGATATACTTACAATGCATACAAACTGTTATATTTAGCAAAAGTCTTGGCATAGATGGCGATGATAGAAGAGATGATACGTGTGTTAAAATGGGTGTTAGAGACCGGGAGAGGGGGAAAGAACTCTTGTGTCATGAGCTTGAGAAGCACCTTGACGTGCCGTGCCGTTCGTTCTAAATTTAGACTTAGAACTTGGGATCTTGAGGTGAAGCTTCTAGCATGGCCCATTATCCACCCAGACTCCAGCTAAGCCTACGGATGATACGTTTATGAGAAACAAATGAATGAGTGATGTGTTCGCAGTGGAGACAAAAAGGAGGGAAGCTTACCTCCAGGGATGTCGGCCTGTGTCCACCACTTCGCAGTCCACAGTCGCCCGCTATAAATAGGTAAGGAGATTCAGTTAGTACTTAATTCCACGGCAGAGATACGACACGGAATGAAGGGCTCGGACAGGGATGCAAAAGGCACAATAAGACATACCTATAGACGACTTTGGATCCTCCATCGTAGGCGACGGAAGAGGACCACGCAGAAACGCCTGCACAAAGTCCACCAGTAGGGGCCGGAGGTGCTGGGGTGCTGGATCCCGTAGTAGTAGTCGAAGTCGAAGTCGAAGTCGTAGATCTGGTAGTGGTGGTGCTAGACCGCGTGGTCGTGGTCGTGGTCGTGGTTGAGCTTGAGGGAGGCGGTGGCGGCGGCGGAGCAGGACTTCCACCCCCGGAACAGACGCTCACTGATTACGAAGGGCAATCCTTTAACAAGTAGCCCAGCATCCTGATCTGGTGCTAACATACCTGCACTCCATTCACCGTTAACAATGCTGCCCGGGGTCTGCGAAGCAAACCATTTGGCCTACGTATACGGGACTGTGATTAGCGCATGTTCTGACCGCGACGGCGTATATAAATGGTGCTCTCACCTGCCAAATATACCCTCCGTACGAAACCTGGGCCCCGCTCTGATATCCGGTCCCAGAAACATAGGCAGGCGCCGAGCATGGAGGGTACGCGAAACCACTCCCACCAGCAGCGGCTAGCGCATCCTTGATCGCTTTGTCAAACCGATTGTTTGCTGCAAGATGAATATTTAGCGGTCAGCCATTGCATCCACCATGCTGCAGATGTCCTCACCATAAGCCTGCGACGCGTCCCACAGCATCACACCTCCAAACGAAGGGAAACTGCGCCGCATCTGAGTCGCGATCCTCGACAAGGTTCCAATGTCGACGTAACCTGAACCCGCAGCGGACGGTGCAGCAGGGGCTCCGATGTAGATCTTGGTATTCTTGCTGACACTGACATTGCGTGCCCAATAATCCCTATCGCGAAGGGTTAGTTCAAAGTAGTTGTGTGACATGGTAAATGGCGAGTACCAAAGACCAAAGTTCCAGTTCTACCACGCGTCCGTTAGCTTTGCAGGTACATGTGGCCTGAAGAGTGTGACTTACCGAGGCTTGATCGAAGTTCTGGAGACCACAGTAGTTGTTGTAAAACCTGCAGTCATTTCAGAACGCAACCAACACTAACGACGAGTGTCAGATCTTACTGGACTGAAGGACAAGTTAGCCATGAATGTATCTAAGATATTGCGCACATACCATATACCGCGTCGAAGGCGACTTGGTTGAGGACCTCTCCCAGGGCCGCGTCGGGATAGACGCACTGAGGGGCGGCAGTGACATAGTATCTAAATCGCGATCGTCAGATACCAACCCATCCCATACAACGACCGGAATCTTACTTCTTCCCAGTAGGCGCAGCCAAAGCCCTAATCTTGTTCACAAAGGCACCATAATGGCCCGACGTCCCGCCCTCGATATCCAGATCGACACTACACCGTCATTTCCATCAGCACCTCTCTCTTTCACTCGACATCCAGAAGAAACGGAGCACACTCACCCATCCAAAACAGCGTTCCCAAACGGCCTCATATCCGATCGACCACCCAAAAACATATCCCAAACCGTCTGCGCAAACGACACCGCCTGACTATCACTCTCGAACCCAACAGCACCAGTCGCACCGCCCAAACTGAGCGTCACGATCTTGCCCTTGGATTGACAGGAAGCAATATCCGAGGCGAGCGCAGAACAGTCGGGAAGTTGCGTTCCGGGAAAAGTGGAGTTGTCAACTGCATTGCAAATCTATTTTTGGAATCGATGCAGGAAAAAGAGTGGTTAGTACATTTCCATAGGGTCGGACGGCAATGAGGCTGGATAGGTTAGAGCGATGAAGGAAAGGTTTTCTTACGTTGGCGAGGTTGATGGATGGTACGCCGCCTGGTCCGAAGAAGACGTGGAGGAAGGCTACAGGGAAAACGTCTATCGCGTTGTCCTGGACAAATCAATAAGCTCTCCGCGTCCTTGCCGGTTCAGCAGAAACAACCTTACATTGCAGTAGAATGAAAGTCGCTTCTGGTGGTTGGCAAGATCTGAATGACCTGCCCCATACGAGTTCTGCCCCCAGTATCTAAAGAAAAGATGGGCACAAGGAGACTGATCATGAGGAGATAGGCTCTTACACAGCGACCTGATTGCAAGCGTCAGTAAGCTCTTGATGACCGTCAAGCAAATAGACCTACATTGTCGAAGCGGTTGTTGTCAAAGCCCTTGACGAGCACCGCGAGCAGCAGGACGAGCCCCGTACAGAAGACAAGCATGAGTTGGAACGAGAAGCCAGTAGAAGAGATGAATCCCCCTCCATAGCAAGTAGTAGAGACAAAGCTTTTAAACCTGTCGGAATATACTCGACTGAATAGGGATCATGTGGACAGGACGTCCTGTCGCAGAGATCCTGTTCCAGCAGCGTACTGAGCTAGTACCGGACTAACCCTTCAAGTAAAAACCTGCTTCCTGCAGTACCACAAGAGGGTAGAGGTCTCTAATCAGCAGGAATGCTGGTGGTGGTGGGAAAGAGTTACAGTTTCAACCTCGGATGTTTCGCTCACAGAAGCGAACAACTCATGTGGAGGTAGCCGTGATACGTTCCAGCATGATATCGCACGATAACGCAGAACTGGCAAGAAAAGGCTTTCCAAGCCTCATGTGTTGAAAGTCGCCATGTGAACCACGGAGAAGCCCACGAGCCACTGATACTCATATGGCTGCACTTGAGGTTCGCCAAAGCACGAATCCACGAGAATCCCTATAGGGTGTATACATTAGATGAGAATGAAGTTACACGGCGTTTTACAACATACCAAAGTATTACAACAAGAACCGCACGCTGCTCCGAGCCCTTACAAGCATGCTGGTAGGGTAAATAAAGAAAGTGATTCTATACACATCGCCAAACGTACAGTCATGAAGAAGAGAAAAATACAATGTCGCTGGTATGTATCACCCAGATGATGCATCATCGCTTTCACCCGCGTGAGCATTGTTGGTGGCGGCATTTCGGATCGGGTCTGTGGCAAATAATCAGTCAGTCAGTCAACGGATGAGAGATCGCTCAAGTCGAGTTGACCTACCAAAGTAGGGCTGCATCTGGGCCTCACGAGCAGTGAGACGGTCTTGGTGGTCGTAACGGAGGAGCTTGTCAAGGAAATCGATGGCCTCGTTGGAGATGTATCTCTGGTTTTCCGAGGTGATGAAGCGGGTCCAGGGCTTGCGAGGATACCTGATCATGGTCACGTCAGCTGCATTGCCGTACTTTGGGTGCAATTCAGACTCTGACCTTCCGAGAATCTCGTCGTATTGAGAGTCAAGGCGGATGTTGTACTTCTCGATATAGGCGTAGAGGTCGTCTGTACCAAGGACTTTGGTGATTTTAACCAGTTGGTCATAGTTGTCGTGTCCGTGGAAGAAGGGTTCCTTGCGGAAGATCTGTATGGAGCGCAAATTTAGCCAACGTTACAAAAGGGGTAGCCGGACTGGTTACCATCGAGGCGAACATGCAACCATAGCTCCACATATCCAGGCTGTAGTCGTACTCTTGGAAGTCGACCAAGAGCTCAGGTCCCTTGAAGTAGCGAGAGGCCACGCGAACGTTGTATTCCGTCTTTGGATGGTAGAATTCAGCCAGACCCCAGTCGATCAAGCGCAACTACGGGGAGAATCGGTTCAGCGGTTTTTTTACAAAAGAAACGTCAAAGGATGACCCACTTTACGGTGCTCATGATCAATCATCACGTTGTGCGGCTTAACGTCGCGGTGCATGATTCCTTTGGAGTGACAGAAGTCCAGAGCCTGAGCCACTATAAGCGCTCCTCGAGGAGGAAAAAAAATGGAGAGAATACCTTAAGGAGTTCAAACATGTAGTAGCGAACGTCCATGTCGGTGAATCGGGGGTATAATTGCTTGAACTCGACGTTGTGCACGTATTCTGTTATCAGGCTGGGGATCTTGGATGCAGGGTCGCGGACGACATCGAGCAAAGCGACGATATTGGGACCTCCGGCCAAGTTTTGAAGGATCTTGATTTCTCGCTTGATTTTCTTCTTCTTGACAGGCTTGAGGACTTTAATAATACATTTCTCTTCTGTTACAACATTGATTCCTTCGAAAACCTAATTGAATGTTGAGAATTGACCTTTATGTGAGAGAGACGTCAACTAACCTCTGAGTACTTTCCCCTTCCCACTTTCCGCACGATTTCATAATGATCCTGGGATCCCCATTGAACTTGGAGGTTGTCTGAAGCAAAGCGTTAGGTTTAAGGGCAAAGAATGATGGAGTGCAGACTGACCGTATTCATGCCATGAAGGCCCTAAGCGAGCGTTGACATCAGCGTACACCCGGGCGACCGATTTTGTTGTTGAGCGCCCCATAGATTCCAGCGCCAGACCAAAGAGAAAACGATAGTCGATGGACACTTGAGTTGGTGTCCGCACACTTTGCAAAGCAGAAACTCGTTTGCGAGCCGATTGCTTGATGGATAGAACTCTTCCCACGGTCACCGTCCATGCGCCGCGCCTCTTTCCTCGATCATCCTGACATCCTCTCACCGCGACCTCTACCTCCAGCCAGCTCGTGTTCCTAGGGTGTCCTTCTGATATGTAATCAAACAGACTTGCTTTGGAGAAACTGGCTAGTATCTTGTTACAATGCGACAACGACCATCCAACTGGCCATCCAACATCTGTTATCTAGACAAAAATGCCTATCATTCTTCCGTGACGACTGCAATCAAATCGCAGATTCTTTCTCCCTCCTCAGCTTCTCAGACGGACCCTGGTACTACCTGCAAGGTGGCCATTCGCAGAATCCAAGACTCTGCACACCCAGCAAATGGCCAGTACGGTCTATTTGCAGGCAAAAAGATACCTTCAGGGACCTTCATTATCGATTACATCGGTACATCTCCCATCGCCTAATCCGCTTTCTTTCCTCTAACTGCATCTCAGGTGAAGTCCACTGTGATGATCGGCCCGATTCAGACTATGACCTGAGCCTGTTGCGTCTCTCGGATGGAACAAGCGTCGGAGTCGATGCCAGTCGGATGGGAAATGAAGCGAGATTTGTCAATGATTACAGAGGGATCAAGAAGAAGCCCAACGCAGTCTTCACGGACTACAGAACGCGGGTAGGCGAGTTGCGTATCTGCATCCGGAGCTGCGAAGAAATTAAGAAGGGGGAGGAAATCTTGGTTTCTTACGGCAAGTCGTGGTGGAGTAGTCGACATGAAGCAAGTTCAGAGATTAATGAACACACATGAACATTTCTCGCTCCTCTTATCAGAGATAGAATGTTAGGATGTTAACCCAAATTCAATAAGGGTCCGTTCATCCATGAACCGGGAAATGATATCGATGATCGCAACCCACATGAGGGTTCCAACCTTCCTTTCATATCAACTTTTCTTCTTGTTTCTGCTTTGATAACCGACTGTTAGACTGGGTACCCTAATTCTGAGAACCAATTGCTTGCTTGGTTTGCTTCTCCTTGCTTTTCGTTTGTTCATCTGATTTGGGAATCTATTGAGGTTCTTTGATCGAGCCAGTTTTCTACGGAAACAATCTCAGGGTGCCTAAGCAACATCTATTGCATGTCCTTGTCCAAATTTCGCTTCACTGTCGCCAACGACGACGATGAGCGCCCAACGGGCGTCCGTCGAAACTTTGCGAAATTTCGGGAAGAATGCCAAATAGAAGCAAACAGAACAAATTTTGATGGCGGCCACGAGCGACCTCTGACGTTGTGGCCGGCGTCTGCTGAGCTGGATACCTCGAAGACCCATGCCTCAACGTCTAGTAGCGCACAAGTTCTCGTCGTTTGTCGCATTTTACTCGTGTTCCAGACAGCTGGGCGTCCGGAATTTTATCACACTACATTCCCGACGACCGTATGAGCGACATGTCCCCGCAATTGGCCGGGTGAAAAGTCTCGGAAGCAAGGTGCGTCTTGCTGGAGAATCCAACGGGTGTATGACACTCAAATTCGCGAGATCTACAGCGAAGGTTTCATGCGTCAAACCCAATAAGCGCTCCCAAAAACCCATACGAAGTTCTTGGCGTGAAGAAGGATGCGACAGCTGCTGACATCAAGAAAGCGTATTTCTCGGTAAGTCGGACGGATTCACGACGGAGACGACGCGTATTGACACCTAGCTATAGCTGGCGCGTAAATGGCATCCAGACACCAACCCCGACAAGGATGCTCGCGAAAAGTTTGTCGAAATTCAGGAAGCCTACGATGTGCGTTCCGAATGCTTGTCTTCAACCATTCTGAACTAAACCACAACGTTCGCAACAGACCCTGAAAGACGACAAGAAGCGTGCTGCATATGACCAGTATGGGTCTACATCCCAGCAACCGGGATTCGACCCAGACGCATTCGCAAGAGCAGGATTTGGTGGGTTCGGAGGTGGACAGTTCAGAGGTGGCTTCCGGGCGGGTGGTTTCCAGGACTTCAGCGATATCTTTGGTGCTGGCATGGGTCGAGGAGGTCAAGGAAACATTTTCGAGGAGCTTTTCACTCAGTTTGGACAAGGCGGACGTGGTCCTCGAGCATCCGCCAACGTTCGCGGTTCCGACATCGAGACTACCATCGGAATCGACTTCTTGGACGCCTGCAAGGGAACGAAGAAATCTGTTACCGTTCAGCCTGTTGTCAATTGCCATACCTGTTCTGGAAGCGGGTTGAGAAAGGGTGCTAAACGGACGACTTGTGGCGAGTGTGGAGGCTCGGGTCAACGGACCTTTGTCATTGACAATGGGTTCCATATGGCCACAACTTGCGGCGCTTGCGATGGAGTGGGAAGTACCGTTGGTCGTGGTGACCAGTGCTCGCCTTGTGGAGGAGCAGGCAAAGTTCGCGTTAAGAAGCAGGTACAGGTCGACATCCCAGCTGGTACGTTCTTTCAGACTGGTTTTCAACTGAGTTTCACTTATCTTCACTCCAGGCGTTGAGGACGGCATGACCATTCGTGTTCCCAACGCGGGAGATGCACCCATCACCGGCTCAGGACCTGTTGGAGACCTGCTCGTGAGGATCCACGTTAAACCGTCAAGTGTGTTCAGGCGACAAGGAAACAACCTCTACTACAAGGCCAACATTCCATTCTACTCTGCATTGCTTGGTGGTCGCGTTCGCGTGCCTACTCTGAACGGCGATGTCGACGTGCGGGTTCCTGGTGGAACGCAGCCAGACGAAGAGATGGTCTTGAAGGGTCGGGGTGTTCCTTCGGTCTATGGTTCTGGTAGCGGCGACTTGTTCGTTAGGTTCTCGGTTTCCATCCCCAGGTGCGTAGCCCTTGTCTTCTATCCTGCTCCATTTTGACCGTCAAGCAGGTCCTTGTCAAAGCGACAACGGGAACTTATCCAAGCTTACGCCGACGAGGTCGAAGGAAGAACGTCATCATTCACATCCACCTCCTCCAATTCCTCGTCTTCGACCTCATCTTCGAGTTCGACCTCACCATCTTCATCCTCCCAAAGCAAATCTACTTCGCAAAAGTCTGATGGTAAGGACGTCTCCCCTGATTCGGACGGCTGGTTGTCGCGTGGAATGCGCAAGTTGCGAGACATGTTTGGCTCGTAGCTGTTTTAAGAGGGCATGTCCTTCAGCTTCGTGGAACTTTTGCTAATGGCTAATCACCTCCCCAGAAACCAAGGACAGCACAAAAGCCTCCAAGGAAGAAAACACCAACAAGGCCGATCCTCCAGACGCTTAGGGAGCCAAGAAAGACTCTCGGAGTGAGACCGCTTTGCCGCTACCCTATCCTAATTCCAGCCATAGAATTAGATTGCTTTCCAAGCCCCCTTCAATATTCAACGGTGATAATTGCACAATGCTCTAATTGGATTTAATGCATCCCTACTCTCTCGCTCATTAGAACTTAGTGTAACATCATGGCTCTAATTCAGTTGCTTTACGCTTATCTTCCCCAGTCCACCAGACCTCTTGCTAACTTACACTTTCGTCCAGAACTTTGCTGTCGATTTTTTGCCCTGGGCACGGCAAAAACAGGCATCAAATTGGTCCTGGAAAGTCTATATTGGGGTCCCTCGAAAAGGGCCAACAAAGTGTTTGTCAGGGATCTCACGCCACGGTTATGCGTGGTCCGGGGTTAGTAGCAGATTTCATGAACTGCTCAACTTGATCCAGATCGCAACACCGATTTTGGCAGCAACATAGCCTGTGGACCGATCATCCAGCTCGGCTACCGACACCTCGATTCCAACCCGTTGGCTCGTCCTGACAAAAACGCTTTCTTCTAGATCTCCCTCTTCTGCTTGTTCATCCAAACGGGTACTCAGTTTTCCAAATCTGTGCCTGATGCTACCATCCGGGCCCAATTATGTGGCCCATTGTGGCCTTCATGGACCATTCTCGCCGGCGTATTAGGGCGTATTATGAGGGTCCAAAACACAGGGCTCTCCGCTACTCGCAAATCGCAAATCTCTGGAGTCTAAATCATCGCTCTCAGGGATCGTCTCTTTTTGGTTAGCACTGTCTCTTCGCCACCAGTTGACGGAGAGTGTCCTTTATTTCCTAAGAGTCCGATCACCTCTTTGCCTCGTCTCGCCCAACGGCTTTTTCGTATAAATAACAGGTCGGTTCTCTTCGCCTTTTTTTCTTTCAATCGTTCAGATTACGACCTCCTTTTTGCGCACCATGTCCTCCAGTCCTGAACGCCACGAGCTGCCCCAACCACCCGTCGACGCGTCTATCATCGTTGAGAAGACCCCCGTCGGTTACCTCCCGTCGCCATCGTCATCGTCTACTCCGTCATTTGCATCGGTCGAGGACACCTCTACCACTTCCTCGAGCACGCCCTCAACATGCTCAAGCTCCCCGTCGTTGTCGCCCACGTCGGCTACCGATCTACCTGCACCAAGCTTTGACACTGCTTCCACCAAGACCACCCACGAGGATTCGTTGTCTTCTGCTGAAAGGACTTCCCTTTCGACCACACGATTACTCTTCGCTCACATAGGGTTCGTCTTGTTCTCTCGTTTACCCTTCCCCGTCAACCTCTCCCAAGGCCTCGACAATGATCTAACAAATGACTAACTTACCAACCTTTACCATTACATTCTTTAATAGGGCCGCGATGACTCTATTCCTAGCGACCACAGACGCCGTACGTACCGCTCCTCGGTGAGAACCACTCAAAAGGCTAACTAACAACATCCTCCCCCAACACCCAAATTGGGACCGACTCTCGATATGCACCGATTCACACCTGTCGACGGACATCTAGACTATCGTGTCCACCGCCTTGCCCACGATTGCAAGCGACCTTGGTGCTTCACAGTTCCAGTACACATGGGTTGGCGTTGCGTACATGCTTACGCAAACGGCGTTTCAACCGTTGTACGGTCGGATATCGGACTTGGTTGGAAGAAAGGTGTGACTTGTTCATCTGACTTTCCTTCCGTCAGGACCTTTTTTGCTGACGGGTTGTGTGTAGGCAGTATTATTTACGAGCATCTTAATCTTCTCGCTGGGCTCCGCTCTTTGTGGCGCCGCTCAAGTGCGTACCTCCGCCATATGAATTCATATTGAGGAACAAGCGTTTACTAACTCTGTTCCTGAAGAGCATCGAATGGCTAATTGCAGCCAGAGCGCTCGGTAAGTCGTTCATTACCTGATCGACGAGTCTAGGTCTGTTTTGACATGGGCTTCAAGCTGGTATTGGCGGCGGCGGTATTGTCAGCGCTGTCTGGGTTATGACAGCGGAAATTGTTCAGGAGCGGTCCCGCGCTAAATGGTCACAAGCGCTTAGCGTCACCTGGAGCTGTTCCGCAATCGCTGGTCCGCTGCTCGGAGGGGCATTCAGTGGTAAGTTTGCTCTCCGCCAATCTATTCTGTAACCCGTGAAGGGTCTAACCCGCCTTTTTGTATAGGGAGCACTGGCAATCATGGCTTCCTTAGCTGGCGCTATGGCTGTAAGTTCCATTCCACCTATTCCGAGTTCTTTCTCGCGTCTTTGGGACTGCCTTATTGAAAAACCCAATTGTAGTTTACATCAACTTGCCCATTTGTTTCCTGGCGTCGGTCATAATGGCTTTGGCACTGCACAAGGTCCGATTCACACAAACCCGCGATGCATCTTGGAAGCGTCTGCTGCAGAAGTTTGACTTTGGCGGACTGTGGGTGACTTGTTTTCCTCTTCTATCGCGGTTCAACTGACATGTCGCTTGTAGGGTTTTGTTTATGGGTGGAAGTGGGTGTCTGATTATCGGCTTTAGCTTTGTGACGGAGTTTGGATGTATGTTTTTTCACTCCATTTCAAACGCCACTTCTCCAATTGGTTAATAATTGCCCAGGGACTTCACCGTTTACGTTGACCACTATTATCCTTGGCTTCGTCATCCTGGTCGTGGCTGGCCTCCACGAGAAGTTTACAACTCGCGAATGCCTCTTTCCCGCAACGATGGTTCGTGACGCGACAGCGGGTAAGCTAACCACCGATACACGCGCCTATCTCTGTCTGACGCTTACTGCCATCTTTAGCTATCATCCTTATCATCAATTTCTTGCACAACTTTGCCTTTACAGCCGGTACATTCTACCTCGCGCTCTTCTACCAAGTATGTATTCATTTCCTTACTCGGTTTACTCGCTTTGCCTATCGATCATTACAAACGGTCGTGTGGACGTTGACGACGAATGGTCATTGACATCCCTGTTTCTCTTTTCAAATTTAGGCAGCACATGGCTCCACTCCACTCGAGGCAGGTATGAAACTGTTGCCGTACTCACTTGGTTCCTCGCTCGCATCTATGCCTGTCGCGTGGTTCATCGGCTACTGGCAGTCCCTCAAGAACAACACCAGCGGCCAGAACCTCGCCATCTCTATCGGATTATTCGTATCAACACTTGGCTTTGGTACGTGACCCTATTCTACCCGTTTCAATTATCCGGAGCCTGAACCTCAACCGTTTCTTCCTTCGATCTTATCGCACTGCCCTTGGACTCGACTAGGTCTACTCAATCTTATGAACGAACGAGCGTCGACGGCTTCTCAGATCGTCTTCCCGTTGATTGCCGGAGTTGGATTGGGCATGCTATTCCATGCTCCGTACCAAGTTTTCACCAAGGCCCTCAAGCCCTCTGAAATCGCGACAGGAACCAGCGCCTTCTTCCTAGTTCGCTTCACCGGAGCCACGATTGGTCTGGTGAGTCCCTTGATCCACCTTTATTTCATTTCATCTCCTCTTCCCCAGCCCTGTTATCCTCTTCGATTAATAACAACAACAATTTGTTTCCATTTCTTTTTTTTTCTTATCTCGGTGATTAAGGAGATATGAAGTCTTACTGATGATGCCAATGTCCCTTTTTCCTGGGTCTTTTGTGATTGTTTTTGCGGCTCGTCCTGTTCATCCGCTTGGGATCCTGTCAACAAATAGGCTATCGCCGGAACGGTGTTCTATGCGCGGTCGCGTGACCGACTTGCCGGGTTGCCAATCGACCTTCTCGAGGGCCACGGCTCAATCGACTATGCGGCGGTATTCAGCCTCGAAGATGCCGTGCGCGACCGAGCAGTGGATGTCTTCTCATCTGCGATCCAGGTTCGTCCGGCCTCCTAGACCCTGTTCTCTGTCTATCTCTCTTACTAATTTCCCCGTTCCTCATTTCAGACGGTGTGGACTGTATGTTGTCCCTGCTTAGGTCTCTCCTTCCTCGTAAGTCCTTCCGCTTATGCCTATCTTTTGCGGGAGCCCCATTCGGACTAATGACACTTTCTTCTTTTCGGTCCCTCCCTCCTTCTTATCTTGCTCACCGCGCCTCTTCTCTATCCAATGGTGTACGGCGAATGGAAACAGCTCTCCTTGTTCCTGCGGACCATGAAGATCGACCAATCAGCATCACCGGCCCACCCCTCTTCATCATCATCGACATCAATCTCATCATCTCAGCTCGCGGATAAATCAGATCTATCGCCTTCGACGGCATCAGCAGCTGCAGAGAAGGTGTAATGGGGCGCTGAGGGCTCTGTACGCCGCACCGCAGGCATCCGCCACGCCTTCCGCTCCTCATTAGTATACCCTTGTCTTGGTACTTTGTCGTTGGTGAAAGACGAGGAACGCCGGAAGAGGGAGGGGTGGTGGTGGTGGTGCCACTGCGGTTTGAGGTTCATCCTCACCATGCACATTCGACGTGTCTCTTGCTTGGCTGTGGACGTTTTGGAACACCAAAAATATTCAGGGGCTTCGCTTCCCTGATCGATCTAGGGTGGGAGGGTTCGGTGGTTCGGGAATCGGGAGCGCAGGACGGGGGTGCAGGAAAAAGTAAATGAAAGCTTGGACTGGGCGACAAAAACAAAATAATGAAGATGAAGACTACTGACATACATTGATTTTGACGGACGGACGACGACGACGACGACGACGACGACGACTACGATTGGCTCACGACATCAGCAGAGTTAACTACATCATCATCTTTACTACGACTCGGCGGCAGATGCTTAAGCGAACGGAAGGCGACCCCGACTCACCCTGGGCCAAGTTGCAGTGCGACTCGCGCACGGATGTGATAAACGGGGGAAAGGTGGTGGAGTAGGCGCACCGAAGTGGGCTTGACTTTACCTTTTTTTAGGTAGTGTCCATTCCATCTCGGCTTGGAGAGCGCCCTGAGGTTTCTTTGGAGTTGGCTGGGGATCGCGCCTGTTCCGGTACTACAATATTGCTACTGCTCCTTTTAACTTTTTCACCCCTATATTGTTGTTCTCGCGGTGTCCGAGTTGCGCACGCACCGCACTTGTGCTCGTTCTCGTGTTCGCTGGGCAGATCTAGGAATCTGGATGTAATGTACATACTTGGTTGGAGGGGGTATTCTGGACATATGGACCTGGCTTCTTGTCATCATCATTCCTACTTGCTCATTTTTTTTTTACATATGGAGGACATTTGTTGCTACTACGACCACATACAGTACTTACTACTGCACTGCACTTATTCGCATCTCTGTATCAATTTCAATGCCAAGTTGGATTCAAGTACACTTGTGATCGAGCGCCCCAGGTCCGGGAAGAGGTCACGGTGGGGGGAACGTCGGTATCTGACTGGCCGGGTACTCCCACTGCCGACATTGAGCGTAGGGAGGGTCAGGCGGTCCTTCCTTCAATGATGCCTCCTAAAAATTCACTATTCTAGTACCGGAGGGCACCAGCCCCTCCATTGCACTTTATCGCCACCAAACTGCAGGGTAGGTACCAAAGTCGGAGCTTGAGAAAAACTGTAATTTAAGTTCTTGCTCAGGTGAACAAGAAGGGTCTATGTACCATCCAAATGGCATCGAATCGCCAAGCTGCTCAGGTGCTTGGGGACGATGATGATGACGCACAACACGACTGAAAAGGGGCTGAAAATTCCAGGGTAATTTATTCCGGTTTTGTTGGGAGGGTAAATTCGGGTCGTGTGTGTGTCTAGAAATTGGAGTCTGGATACTTATGAGAGGCCCGTGGGCGCGATGAGATGACGCACAAGAGTGAGGCTGACGAAGCTTAGGGAGGACTTGGTATCTTGTATCCCGCTGCCATCGGCGCAGACGGGGCGGCAAATGTGATGTTAATTAGCGCCGGTCGATCGTAGATGATGGGCGTTTATATATCGCTTGCCGACCCAACTTATGACTTGGTGCAAAACATTATGAGCTCTCATTTCCGCAAAGCGAACGCGCCATAACGCGTATCCCTCATATAATTACAACGGCGTATGACTCCGTCGTGACATGGGACACACTCACTCGAGTTTCAATTGGCGACCACTCATTTCGGTAGATAAGCGAAATTTAAGTGGTGTGCCTTGACATGTGTTGCCATTGACCTAGTTCGCTGTTTAAAAAATTAGGTTTGTGATAGATGAGTTTTTTTCCCTTCTTCTTGCTTTTCAGGGTCATGTTTTGGGTTGGGCCATGCTGTTAATTGTCGAGATCGTCATCGTGGCAAGGGACTTTGGGAATCTAGATCCACTGGATCTAAGGATGGAAGTATGTACGTGAAGCGAAGAATACCCTTTGAAAGGAAATAGGGCGCGTTGGAACATAGGCGCCGGCTCCACCGCGAACACAGGGGCGTTCAGCTCAAGTCGACTGGGTTTGAAAACGAGCCGACGTCCAATAATGCCAAGAGGAATTCCACGGCCCTTGAGGCAGCTGGCACTGTGTTTCATGTTTTGACTCTCCGAACTGGCATAATTCGGGAGGTTGGCAACGATTCATATATTTCTGAGCCTCCAGCAGAATGGCTACACCGGACACCGTTGCGGATTCCGACTCCTGCCATTTCGGAGTCGGAGGCGCCATGTACATACGGGTTCGCATATCGACTTGAGACGCTTGATGCGACGTCGGTTCCCGTTTCTCCGTCGTTAGAGAAAGCGTGTAGGCTCGAAAATCAAGAGCAGAAAACCCTATTGCTCAACGTCCCCGCAGTGCTTCGTGAAATGACCGACCGAAGGATCTGGAAGAAAAAAACAAATAAATTGAAATTGATACCCAAGATAAATGACGGCGGTGGCGGACTTTTTTGATGGCTTGGTTTTATTGTCGCAGTCGAAATTGCTTCAAGACCGTCAATTGCTGGGAACGGAGAACATTGTAATTCTATACGTCAGGGCCTACGTCACACCTATTTCTCTCACGAGAGCACAAAAGATTGACAAAAGAGTGTAGAGCGGCGGTATGAAAGAGGGAAAGAAGGAGGGATAAGGTTCGCCATCAAAAAGTCGGCGTCGGAGCTTGTGATTTTTCGGGAATGCCAAGTGTACGGATCAGCCTGGGCTCCAATTGTGCTCGTGCGACTTGTCTTCTGTTCTCATCTTGCCCTCGACCCTCATCTCGCTGCCTACAATTCCTCGCCTTCATCGTCCCAAATGGCCCCCGTCATGACACCAATCTTGAGCTCGTCGCTCAAAGCGAGCGAGGAGCTCACAAGGCAGCTTTCCTCGAGCTCCGTACACAGGCTCGCAGATTTTATAACCCGCTCGGGATCCTCGTCCTCGATCGTCCAATCACCAGCCAGTTCCCCTGAAGTCCTCAAAGAGGAGGGTCTGCCTCATGTAAAGAAAAAATTGGAGCCCAGGTGAGCCCATTTCCTTGTACCGTCTGTACTGAGTCGCAGAAGCCTCAGCAGAGCAAAGCTCCACACCGTATCTCTCCCCCCACCACCATGGTTTGGTTCCCGTACGAGATCTTTGAGCATCATTAGCTGACGCTGGTCTGCTTATCTTTCTGCTATAGACACTACAAAACCCCAGAATTCGCAGTTCGTCTGCTCAAAATCCTCTCTTCGCTGCAAGTCGACCAGTGGTCTGACACACGTGTCAACCCGGAAGACGTCAATATCCGCAAGATTTCTGGCGCTCTAACCAATGCCGTTTTCTTTGTCTCGCACAAAACGAACAAAAGAGTACCAACTCTGCTTCTCCGGATCTACGGGTCCTCCTCTGGGTCCCTTATCTCTCGCCCGCGCGAGTTGCACATCCTCCACAAGCTTTCTTCAGTATATCGAATCGGACCACTGCTGTATGGCACGTTCGAAAACGGGAGGATCGAGCAGTACTTCAAATCCACCACGCTGACCGAGTCTGACATCCGAGAACCCACCGTCAGTCGGTGGATCGGCGCTCGAATGGCCGAGTTCCATTCCGTCGATATTGAGGTCGTCAGTCCTCCTTCGGACGCCACACCAACCGGTTGGGAGCTCAGTGTGAAGAAATGTGTGTCATCGTGGATGCCTGCTGCGCACAAAGTACTCTCATTGCCCGGTGTAAGCCATGCTGTACGTCAGGAGCTTGACTTGGCTCGTTTCGAGAAGGAATGGAGCATCTACGTGCAATGGGCTGCCAAGGTTCAGGACAAACACTCTGGTAGCAAGGTGGTCTTTGCCCACAACGATACTCAATACGGGAACCTGCTAAAACTTGAAGACTCGAATGAAGTCGCAGACGAACATCGTCAGGTAAGATAGTAGTGCCCGACGCTTTTCTCTCGCCTCTTAGTTTTGTGAAAACATGTCTGACCTTGAACCATTCTTTCACTTCTACCGCACCAACCTAGTTGATCGTGGTGGACTTTGAATACGCAGGTCCGAACCCAGCAGCCTACGACATCGCCAACCACTTCCACGAATGGACAGCCAACTACCACGGCGACACCCCGCACCTCCTCAATCGCGCACGCTACCCCACCTTTGCCGAACGCCGCAACTTTTACAGCGCATACATCCACCACTCGAACATGCTCGGCGAGGATCCCGTGTACGATAAATCCGAGTTTGAGCAGCTCATTGCTGCTTTGGATTATCAAGTCCGGATTTGGAGTCCCGCATCGCATGGGATGTGGGCGATTTGGGGGATCGTACAGGGTCGTGAGGATGTTGAGAATGGAGTGGAGGAACCCGAGTTTGATTATATTGGGTATGCAAAGGGTCGGATGGCGTTGTTCCGCCAGGAAATCGTGGATCTCGGTGTCATCCAGCGGTAGCTGACCCTTCCCTTCCCATCCCACCATCCTTCCCCCATTTTGTCACTTTCTTCCCTCCTTTTTGCTGCTTCTCTTCAACAGAGCTGGTATCGCAGACAGGAGGTTATAGTTCCCCTTTTTCTTTTCTTCGTTCATCGACTTCACTGGTACCCATCGGTTCTTCGTCATTCGGGTTTTTTGACGATTGCTCAACGCACGCATTTTTCTTCATTCTTATCTTTTTTCTTTTCTCAAGACTTTCACTTCCTTTCATTTTCCATTCCTCATTCCGTCTCATCTCACGGCCATCCCACGACTCACTACGACGCATACCACGACTTCGCCTCTCCGCTCCATCCATCCATTTGGTCTATTCCATCATCATCATCATCATCGTCCCCCATCTACCCTGTTGTCTTATTCCATCACATCTATCTCATCTCGTTATTAGCCTACTCCCGTCTATTGACTCCCTAGGCTCCGTTTCCTTCCCCATTACTTATCACGTATCTGTATCGTAGCCCTCCGCCTGGAATTTTACTACCACCAGGCCATATGTACTCTGTACGTAGTACCTGTACCCGTCGTTCTGTGGATGATACCATAGTACCCCTTCCACGCCCAAATTCGCCGTCCACTGTGGTCCGAGTCAGTCAGAATGGTGCGTGTGCAATTCTCGTGAGGAGCACTGGAAGAGAAAGGGAGGAGAGAGAGATGTATTGTGTATCATATTTATTCTACAGGGAAATTGAGAGAGAAATAGAGAGATAAAGAGATAAAAGAAAAATTGGAAACACAAGAGCCCGAAACACAGTGGGAGATGGAGATAATCGTGTCCTCGCGGACAACTGAAAGAATAAATTCATGGGGGAGAGAGACCAAGGCGATGGCCATGGCAGTGGTAGTGGTAGGTAGTAGTAGTCGCAGCCAATAGATGGTAGCAAGTGAGACGAGAGTCAGTCAAAAAGAAACACGAAACCAAAAAAGGCGGGGGCTACCGAGAGAGTAAGTGAGTAATAATGGAATAAACAACATAATTGCAACTTGACAACGATGTGAAGAAAATGCCAGTGTGTGGTGGTTGAACTTGTGTGTGTTGTGTGTGCTGGGGGTTGGAGTTTGTGTTGCTGGTGTGTCGTGATGAAAGGGGAAAACGCCAAGGGGGAAAAGGGAACCTGAAGAGTAGGAATGTATGTGGGGTTATGGGAGCGCGAAGCAAGATTTTGTGTGAAGGAGGAAAGTGGAAAAGAAAGGGGAAAAGAATATACACGAAAAAAAAGTCAGTAAACGGGGACGAATAGATCAGTAACAGAAAAATCCTAACCCATCACCCGGGGGAAACATCGACGAAATCGAAAACAACTATAGAAAACAGATCGAAGGAAGAAAGATAGGTATCAAAATCACGAAAGGGGTAAATGTAAGCTTTGCATGTGTGGGGAACAGTCAACCGAAAGCAACAAGGAAAAGCAAGAACAGTGTCCGACCAAGCGGCAGCCTACAACGCAGAAAAAGAGCTAAGAAAAAGGCGAAGGGAAAAAGGTTACAAGGAAAGAAGAGAAGGGGAAACCGAGCTGAAGGAGAAAAAAGGCCGTATTTTCGTCATGTCGATTCGTAGTTTCGTTTCAAGAAGGTCGGTAGAAGGTAATTTGGGGGGTGGCGGGAAGAGGAGAAGTCGTTGCGTTGCGTTTCACTAGTCCAAATACGAGAGAAAAAAGAAACTTGATAGCGGTTAACGGGGCTGTGAATGATGATGATGATAATGATACGTGATAAATCGTAATCGTGATTTGCCTCTTTGCATTCAAAAAATAAACCAGATACCGAGTGTGCGCGGTGGGTCGTAGTTTGGAGTGAGGGGGGAGAGTGGAACCTCTTGCTCTTGCTAGTCATCATAATCGCGTGTCGTTTGGCTCATCTAAACCCAGTGCGCGCGGGCTGAGCCACCAACGGTGATGTCGTTCCAGGGAGAGTTGGTCATGATATCACCAGCCTGGTTGGAACCGGTGTACCCGCTGCTGGAGAGGCCACTGCGAACCAAGGTGCTCCAGTTTCCAGCGCTTCCACCACGGACATGGCCGTTCACGCGGGCCGAGCCGCTAGAAGAGCCGGTGGTGGGAGTGGCGGCGTTGCTGCCACCATCAGGAGACGTCAACCCATACGAGTTGGCCGTCGCAGGAGGAGATGGGTTGAAGCCCAGGTCGATCTCCCCGCTGAACGAATGCCTTGGGTTCCCGCGAGTGCCGTGGCCATTCTTGTGGCCAGGTTGAGGCTAGAGCAACAAAAAAGAGTTAAATTAGCGATGTTCTCGGAGAAGGAAATGATAGGTGAAATTGGGACTTACGGGATTGTATCCCACAATCTCGCGACGAGCGGCGGCGTTGTAGCGACCAAGATCGGGGCCAGCTGTCACCGGTGCAGCTTCCTTCGCCGTGATGGGCTCAGATGCGGGGAGCAAGATGCCGTTGCTTGCAAAAGTTGGGTAAGCAGACTTGTTTTGCGGCTGCTTGACAGATCCGTCCAGGACGGAGGTATCGACTCGAAGCGAGCCGGTTGGAGGTCGGCTGTTGAACTGGAAGTTGCTATTGTTGGACTCGACAGGAGTGGCTGCTCCTCCAGATGAACCGTTCTTGGGCGACCCGTTTGCACTGTTCTTGATTCGAGCAAGGAGAGAAGTTGATGCATCGTTGGGATCGCTGTTGGTGCTCATAGAACGGGGGCGACCATCGGACTGTGAAGTCGTAGACTCGGTGGTGGAACCAGCACCAGCGGGAGGAGTAGCACCAGAGCTGGGGAGCTCGGTATGAATGAAGCAACAGCGCTTTCCGTAAGGGCAAGAACCGGATACCCAGAAAGTCTAGAAGAAAAGGGGAATCAATACGCGAAGGCGCCAAGGTATGGAAAATAAAACTCACCCTGCAGATCTCCGTCTTGTACTAAAAGGAAGGAAAAAGTGGTCAAATTATTTTGCCATAATCATGAAGAAAAAGAACGACGTACCTTGGGGTGCCTCTGGACCTTGCGAAGCTCTTCTTCTCCGTGTGCAAACTGGCACTTGGAACCATATCGACACGACCCCTTCTCCTCCCAGCTGCGGCAGAGTTCGGTCTTATAGAGACCAAGCTTGCGGTTGTTGGCGCTAGGCCCCGACGATTGGTTGCCACCGCCAGTACCAGTGCTGCTAGGGCTGATGGGATTGGCAGGCTCAGCAGGGACAGGAGGTTGTGCGGGTGGGCCAGGGGCAGGGGGAACGTTGTACGGCCCAGTATACTGAGCTTGAAGACGGGCGGCCATCAACGCGGCGACATCCTGACCCCCATAGTACTGATTGGCGTACATGAGTCCAGGAGGAGGGGGGAACATGCCGGGCCCGAACTGCATGTTGCTGTTGAGAAGGGCCAGGGCAGCAGCATCCCTCAGTGAAGAGGGGTCCGAAGCAGAGTGGTGATGAGTTGCACGGAAGACGCCATGTTGTTGCTGGACGCGGTTCACTGCGGGGTGGTGGTTGTCATGCATGGCTCCGGGAAGCATCATCTCGTACAATTGCTGTGTGTTACCAAGGGAGAGATGTGACGTATGTGTTGGGTAAGGGATGGGGGAAGCACCGGGAACCATCCCTTGACCTTGGAATCCACGTCGGTAAGGCATACCGTTCGCAGGGGGAAGGTAAGAAGGGTGCGGAGCAGGTGCGTTGTAGGGTCTGGGCTGCTGGATATAGTCCTGCTGGGAGTCCTCGCGCTCTGAGGGTTGGCTGTTGCGGATCTCGTACATGCTAGGGTGCTGCTGGGGCTGCGGACGGTGAACGTGGTTTTGGGCCAAAGATGGGTAGGAAAGCTCATTGCTTTGAATCCATTGGGGGTCGTCGCCACCGACTTGCTGGAGACGGCGCAGATCGGCGTTGGACAAGCCACCTGTGAAGGAGTGGGGACGTTCCTTTGCATCTTGTGCGGAGTTGGCAGGCTTGATGTTATGGGTGCCGTTCAAACGGTTATTGCTGGCGACTGAGCTGGTTGTATCAATGGATGAGCCCCTGGAATGGGAGATGCTGATCTGATGCTCGGAAGAATGAGGAGACGAGTTTGAGCTGGGGTTGGAGGCGACGTCCGGGGGAGAGTCGGAGTTGAGCTGGGCGACGCCAGCGGAGGCGAATTTTGACTTCGGTGGAGTGCGGATGGGCACAATGTCGTCTGCATTGCCAGACACTTCAGCAATCTTCAGACGTACGATTTCGTCGGCCAATTCCCATCCGGCCGTGGCCTCTGCGTCTACGAGCTGGCCATTGTGGTTGAGTCGCCAGCGCTGGTCGCTGTTTTCTGTACGAGCGGGCATATCCAATCGTTGTGCAGTTATGGGGGAGCTAAGCTAGGTTGTATGTAACACTCCAAATCGCAGCAAGAATCTGTCGAGGGCGGCGATGAGGCCTGTAAGATTGTGCAACACGTGTACGACGAGGACTGGCTTACCGCCTGGACAAGAACTTGGGCGTTGAGCAAGCTGTGTGCTGCTGGGGATGACGACGACAGCGACGACGGTTGTGGTGGTGGATTGCAAAGAGGCGGTGGTCGTTAGAGAAGGAAGATGTGTATAATTATGTTTTAAAAAAAGGAATCGATGTGTATAGATAAAGGCGTAAAGAGTCGTGAGACGAGGAAGGATCTGGGGGCAGGACAAGGCGAGGCAGCAGATTGAATGCTCAACCTTTTTGATGGGACGTGCAACGTGCCCCGGTCAACATCTCTTAAATAATAACGGCCTCTTTTTCTCCATCTCCTTCACATTTATCGATCTATCCATTTCATTTTCACCTAATTCTCCTTAATCCATTTTTTTTTCTTCTGACATACACTCAATACAATATCCAAACTATGTATCGTCCAACTTCCCTCCTGCCTTTTTCGCGCCAGCCGCGGACTTTAAACTCCGGAGCCCAGGATTGTCCTTTTGGCTCCGCTCTTCTCCCTCTTCGCTCCATTCTCCACCAGCCTGAGCACAACTTTCTCCCCAACTAATTTTCTCAGTACTCCCTGCCTAGCCCGTCTTCCAACGTTCCAAACAACCCTCTCAACACTCGTACGCGCGTGCCATACACGTGTCGAAGAAACAATAATTGCCCGCTTTGGACCCAAACGATCAAAACAACTTGATCACAAGTCGGGTTTTGATTGATCTCCACCAAAACTAAGCCAGTGCCTCAAGTCAGCTCGAACTTGTCACCCCATCCCCCCAGCGCGGTATTTGACATCAATTTAGCCTGCAATATTGCGGAGGGGGCGATAAGGCGCCCTAGCCTAAGCAGAAAGAAGCAGCACAGAGGCCACATACATACCGCGTCTGAATGACCTATCCCTTGCTGTGCACACACAGTGGAATGACACAAGGCCACGAGCGCTTGATCATGATCGACCCTCGATTCATATCGCGGCACATGCTTTTGCTATCGATGGAAAGAAGGATACCCTTTTTTTTTCAACGTTTTGGAGAAGGCGACCAAGACCGAGTTCTCTGACTAGGCGGGATCCGAATACGGGCCTCGTTGCGTTGATCATTTCTGTTGTATCTTCTTCGAGCTGTTCCAGTGGCGGATTGCCCGATGGTTCTGAAGGCCACTGCCATACTTCCGAAATTCCCTCTCTCCGGGCTCACTTGAGATCCTGGGATCCCGCCAATTAACCCAACCCTCCGAATTAACCTTCTTCCGAGTTTGTACTGAGCGGGACAAGCAAGCTTGGTCTGCCACCACACCGCAACACAGAAAATCAAGAAGCTCCATCTTGAAAGAAGCGGTGCAGCAGGAGAAAAGAGATCACCGGACTCGCCACCGAGCGTCTAATCCATCGATAAACAGTGATGGAGAAGCTTCACTTGTAGCAGCCCTACAAGACTTCAATTCTTCTTGATAGCACCCCTCCATTCAATGACAGCTACAACCTTCTTCTGTCTTTCCGAGTCAAGGTCCTTCTACAAAGAAGGAAATCTTGCCCCTTGATTGAGCCTTACACCGGGTCACCTCTTGCTTTACTTGAACTTTGCACCCCATCCGAAGCGCCTTCATGATCCATTGACTCAAGTATAGACTGGTCATCGACAAGATAGATCATCTTATCGCTTGCCGACGGTGCGACTATCTACCGTTAGATGCTGTTGGATTACTGGTCGACTGGTCAGCTGGGTACTCGGACGGTGTTTCAAGATGTGTTTAGACTCGACTTCGACTCCGACTCCCGAAGAACAGCAAGCACCCTTGAACGTTGCGACCCTCAAAAAACGCGGACCTGGAAGTTCTTATTAGGCACGTGCACAAGTTTCTGGTAGAACTATTCTACGGGTCACGATGGGTCCATAGGTCCTGTTCCGTGCGATGTAAGGTGTTGTCCTACTGTTACAATGTTACCTCCTTGATTGGACGAGTACGTTCGCTGTGGTAGTGGGACCCAATGAACGCTGATATCGCGGAGTGGATGCGTATCTTTCGTTTTCTACCTTCCTGCAGGACAGTGTCCACAGGTTGAGAGTCGCAAAAAGATTATTCAGTGAGCACTTCAGCCGCTAGATGTGCGACCCTCATCCGGTTATCCAGCTCCATCAGCACCTAGCAAAATCACAGCCAAGTACCCGCTTAACACCTTCCGTCTCCTACACCCCAAACCAGAGATTTATATTCTCCGGAGTACACCGGTATTCCGAAAAAACGAGTCACAAGTCCCTCGTCTGTTCACGAAGGGTGCCTGAACAGGAATCCACCATACACCCAAGCGCGTACAGCATACGGAAGCACACCACTACGCCACCCTTCTTCGGCGTACTTACGTTCTAACTTCCTCCAAGCGTCGTTGTTGACACTTCATTCAAATTTACAGGTGTCAGGAGAAATGTTATTTTCGTTATCTAAAATGAAATCGCCGTGAGCGGGGATAAGCGCTCACTGTCTCGAAACCTTCCAAACAATCGCCAGTCATACGTGCCGCCGCATGTATGTACTATAGGACATGTTTTAACACCCTTCATACAGTATCGGCCAACATCCCTCAACATCGACATACTCTCACTTCCAATCCCCTCCCAACCCAAGCACCCACGGTAGCCCAGGGTCTTGCGACCCACAGAGGGCGGCGGGCGCTTGGCCTTCTTCAATCCACTGCTCCCGCCTCCAAGGGGGTCACACACACCCACGATAATTAATTGAACCGCCCCAAAGCCCCCGACCAAGTTGACGATAATCAATCTTATCTTTTTATCTTTACGTCTACACGTCTCCATCTCCTCTTTGAAGCTGCCCAATGACCCGAATGCATAGTAGTTATGTCTTGGTGGTATCCACCGGGTGTCACTGTGGGTGTGCCCAGAGTCAGCGACAGGTACCACGGTGGTCACCATCGATACCGTATTGTTTTTTCTATCGGCTGGTAGTAGTGGGGTTGCTACCTTCATTCAGGTCGACTTCCAAGGGAAGGGTTTCGAGAATAAAAAGCTCGTCACTGACCAGCCTGGCCTTGTTATTGTATGCGAGCCAAAGCTTGGAAACGGGCTGCGCGTTGCGGTGCCAGTTACAATCCGGTTATTCGCTCTTATCAAGACTCGGCATTTGATTACTGCGTAGCCACAAGGAGTCGCCAGACAGAATTTTTGGTCCTCCGTTGGGCCCGACCTGGTTCAGACAGACCTATTTCAAAAGAAGCCCAAAATAAGCGCCCAAGAGTCGAGATCACCCTCCACTCGGCCCCTTGGCAAGCGGGCGCTTACACGCTCTTGTGGCAGTGGAGTTCCATCGATCCATGCGCGATCGAGGCGACTACATAACACCTGCCGGCGGTGATGGACTCCATTCTCCTTCGACTCGTGGCCTTCGAGCCATATCTACTGTAGCGCGCTTCGCCGCATCGCCTGCTACTACCCAAACTAGGTCACTCGTCAGATATCTCCTCATTACAAGTACCTCATCGTGTCCCTGAGACCCGTATCCTAATTCGACCTGTATGCCAAGAATGGCACACACCCAACCCAAGGAATCCCTCCCGCCCCCCCCCCCCCTCCTCCTCCTCAAAACTGAGAACACGGGGGAATGATCGATGAACGCATTCAAAAAGGGCATGAAACATGCGGTCTTGAAATTTCGGTCGAAATCAATGAAGCGATAGCGTCAAGATAACGTCGGAAACACGGGGCTGGGTACGGTGGCGGTCCGCAGACCAGTTGGCCAGCGAGGGAAGCTTGGCCGACGTGCACTCAACAATGGGGGGCAGGGCTGGAAGAGGATTTGAAGGTGCTTGTGCCAGAAGCAGCGCAGGATGCAATGATTAGATTTCTGTCTCGTGGCCTTCGAGCCATTGTTGGCGCGCCTTGGAGTGCTTTCGACGGATGGAGCAGGTCTGTCATGATGATTAATTTCGAAGTTGCCAACTTGCATGAAGACACGGAAGATCCACAGAGACGCGAGGGTAAAGATAGCTCAGTGTTCCATTCTTAAGTACCTACCCGGGGCTTAGAGCTGTTCCAGCCCGGGCGTGCACGAGGTAGATGAGGACTGGTATGTCGTCCAGCGTGATTCGGATAAATGGTTCCGTCAGATGAGCTTCCCGTGCCCCACTGAGTGATAAGATAAGATCACTCTGAAGCTGAAACACGTTGCAGGGCTTACCTTGGGCGCCTAATCCCAGCCAGCCTAGAAGCCTTTGCGGCGAACTTGGCAAAAACCAAGGTCCGAGCTGAATCTCGACTGATCACATACTAGTCAGATCACGTACCTCCAGGGCACCATAAATACACATAGTATTTTCTGTAGCGCAGTCACCCACCTCTTCACTTGCACCGCCCGGAACGCTAAAAGACTCGGAGCTCCGAGTGATTCTTCGACAGTTCATAAGCACTAAACTTGATACTCTTGCGTCCCGTACTTACGAGATCATCTCGAGCCACAACATACCTTCATAGTCAACTTCGATGCTCGCCATGACGAAAGGCTTACGACAAGCCCACCCACCAGACAGTACATAATACACACCTTGAAAGCTTGGAAGGTTTTATCCACAGCTTTCGGGACATCGGTCCTGACATTTTAGCGGTGAAATCGCACCAACTGAATAAAATGCCTCTGGACTCTAGAAACTCTGAAACGGTGGTTTGGTACAAGTACCCTGTACCCTCCGAATACGCGAGCCTCAGGTATAGGCGTGGCAAACGCGGCCTCGAGGCACGGAAACGAGGCCGCGGCAGTTTATGCGATTGAATTCAGTGAGGTCACCTCAGGGTCTCTCCAAGTCTTCTGTCGGTTAGGTACTCCTTGAATCCGAGTCTTCCTGTGTTCGTTGACTGCAGGATGGGTTCTTGAGCTTCATAACTGGGGTAGTTTTGGTAATGTAGGAGGGCTCTCTTGGGCGGGCTGTAGCCCGATACACGAAGACTAAACATTCCTGCTCAGAAACCCAGCTGGACAGGCCCATTTCAACCCCTTTCACCGTCTCGAATCCCTACGATGGGCGGGCGCTGGGGCCGAAGCTTTTAAGTTTCAAGTCCGCGGCAGTTGTAGATTGCACCATTCACAGTTCATGCCTCAGCTCCCTTCAATCTTCAAGAATCTGTCAAACAGTTTCATGAACAGAAGCAGCGCCGGCTTGGGCAGCTCAGAGCGTCGGATTTTGGCTTGTCTACCCCGAGGCCTCGGGTACCTGGCCCTATTTCCCTCAGCCGGGCTCAAACTCTGGCCGTCAGTAAGTCCACGCGATGATCTCGAGCGTTCCAAGCTTAGGGTCACAAGGCGCAAGACCTCACACCCATCCGTATAGGACCTTCAAATTTCCATAGACTGCGATGTACCAAGAGATTCTGGAGCTCAAGAACCAAGACGCGAGTTCTGCCTGTTGGTTCTTGTTCTGATTTCGAACGGTCAGTTTCCCTTACCCCCTTCACGGTCGACGCCAATGACTCTCTGATGGTCGATTTGCTTCCGTCCGCTGTGCGATTTGCTTCCGCTTTCCCCGCTTGTACAAGCCTGCTTTTCACCGATCTGCACTCCTTTCGCGTCCATTCCGCTAGACTTGATCTGGAGCTGGTACTATGGTTGGCAGATTTCACATAGTTTTGCAGTCAACGATGAGATCTCCCTGAAAAGGAGACAAGGGTGAGTCAAGCAGGTTTCTGGAGAGTCAGGTGTTTGCTAGATTCACCCCTGATCTCAAGCTAGTCCCCCGATGAAATCAAACGACCGCTAAGCGAATGAATTGTTCTGTCTGTCTGAGGGGACGAGACGTACGCCACCCCTTCCCGCCACAGTCCCGCTTCCGACAGGCGGCGACAGGTGGTGCGCACCAATATTTGCCTACATCAATGAAACAGGTTCCAGGAAAGGACAAAACCGCGTCTGCTCGTACTCCACCGCTGCGAGGCCAAGGCACCCGTGACCATGAAATATTTGTGATACTCGGGAGCATGAGGAGGCTTACAGTCAACAGCAGCATAGCTCCGGGTCATACACGACGAAGTACAGCGCGATTTCGTAAGTATTCATTTTACGGTAAGGTACTTATCGAGGCGGGGATAATGTAAAGGCTAAATGACATGGCCTTGAAGAGGCAAGTAGAGCTTTATCTCATGAACAAAAACTTATAAGTACGGCTTAGCTTGTTTCGAAATAGGCCTGAATATGGACTCCTAGGAGTGATCCTCAAAATGAAAATGCCGTCAAGGCGAGCGGCCCAATAAAGTTCTATCTGGTGTTCTATGAAGGCGGGGCTGGAGATTAACAAGTCTCCTTGGGAGCGAGAGCATATGTATTACCTTCTTCGCGCTCTGCGGCGCTCCGATTAGGCATCGAAACCCACCTTCCGCCGCTCTCAAGTCGAACAAACGTTTGTCCCCGCTCGCGTCCTCTTCTAGGTGAAATTCTGTATCGAGTAAACGCGACCCACCAAAGAGGAACCTGTTCAGTGAGGGTGCAGAGACAAGAGACATTGGTGTTATCAGAATAGAATGATCAAACTGGAAAACACGTTTCCACCACCTGTTTTCATATCTCTGTTGTCTCTGTTCCGAGAAATCGATTAAAATAAATCGAGGACACATGGTGAATGTCCATGACCCGTCTGTACCAGACTAGAGGGTGATGCATAAGGTGTAATATGTTGGCGCTCTGTATTCGAGGAACGGGGCTCGGAAGGGTCCAAATTTGCAGGCCAGGACATCGGAATTTCCTAGCCATCAATATTTCAATCAGAAACGCTCACCGCGAATAGGGGCTCAATCAATTTCCACCGAGATAAGTACTAGGGTCCTTCGCCCTACTTCTCCCACAATGAGACACACTAGCACACAAAGAAAGCGTCGCGGAAGGAAAGAGTATGTCTTCCAAATGATGAAGTAGCTCACTGACAAGACAGATATCAATCTAGCCGACTAAACCCAAAAACTCACGCTAGGGCTCATATATCCCAAGCTAGGCAGTTTCCTTCCAGAGAACTGGTCGTGGTGCAGAAAGGGCCCGCAAATTGAGATTGCATTGGTACTTGTACCGGGTAAGAAGCGGAAAAAAGTAAAGAGGGAAGACTTTCCTCGAGGCAAGGGGCACCTGTTCGATCATGATCGCGTCCTGCGTTTTGGCTTCTGTGCCAGCAGGCTTGTTGCGCAGAAATTTCCGGCATAACGAGTGCATAATGACACTTCAGGGCTGTGATCTTGGGAACTTGTACACGATAGGCAGAAGATAGATAGCGCAATCAGCCACAGCGAAAGAGAAAAGGCAGGGTACGCTTCAGGCCCGGCTGAACGCTCACACCACCACCCCGGCGAAGAAAGAAGACATGAAACGCACCCCAGAACTTGACAGTTCTCCTCCATCTCACAAGGATATAGCACCCTCTTCATGTTCAGACATAAAACGTGCATCAGCACCTGTGTCATTTAGACCGTCGTCCGGGGCTTTAGACTCGAAGTCATTTCTTTTGCATTCACTTGTGCCCTTCGATCCCTTCACATTTAGGCTCGCCCCCCTGTCGACACTGAGGTGTAAGCCGAGTTGCCGATTGAACTGGAAAAGGTATCGAGGCGTAGCCGGATAAGCATCTCGGGAAAAAGTGGCGGCTGCCGGCGTCTAAAGCCACTGCGTGTACATGTCAACCACCTGCGCGGCTCTGCGCGGCCAGCACTGGTGGTTCCGATGGTTTCCCAGTAGCTCCGAAGTGCATGGTCGCCACGGTAATCCAAGAGGCGGGGAAACGGCGCAATCCGTTCGGTCTCTGCAGGAAGAGCAATTGTGGCTTAGATCGCTTTGCCGGAAAACCCACCGGATGGCCAGCCGAATGACAAGTTGGCGGCGAGAATGTTGAAGGTGTAGCATCGGACGTAGGAGGCACAAGTCATCGGGGCAGCCTGAGATATCGCACTGATTCACAGACCAAGAAAAGCAGAGCCAAGCATGTGTTCTGTTCATGGCTTGCCAAGATGCTACTGTACAATTGCACCACTTACACGGGAACAGAGCTACACCCCAACAGTCAATAAATTAGCAGAAAAGGGAATATAAACACGTCTCAAGCATCTGTGGGAGTCGGAGTCAGTCGATGCATGTCAAAAGAAAATTGACCGTTAACTCCTTACAATATGAGGTCCCAACCACCATTGTGGATAGACTCTGCAGTTGATCCTCGTCGAACAGGTGTTGATCTTTGTGCCAGGTATCCTGATGCGTCTATTGACGGCGAAATGAAAGGGGAATCAGTCAGGGATGACCTGGGCGAGACCACAGATCCATTACAGACCTTTTTGAATTCCGATGCACACTTTCGAATGGTGGTGGAAATCGGAGGTGGGTCGGTTGCGTGGGGAGCCAGAACTGTAGATTCCAGTGTAAAAAACGACTTGAACTGGAACAATCGGAACGGTGAAACACGAACCCTCAGTGAGAGGTGGCATCCAGGGCTCGACCGAGTAAGGGAAGCTTTCAAGGAGAGCACACAACCCAAGGATAGCAGAGTGAAGTGTGCGTAACCGTGTCGCGTATTCAGGATGTTTTCTCGCCGGAAGCGTGGTTTTCCTGGCCAAAGCCGTGAATCGATTCTGCAACCACCAATTTCTCAGCATTCACCCGATTGAAATCCACGGAAAACCATACCTTGAGTGGAATAATGCTTTGACGCTGCGATGTTCGGACCACACTCGAAAGCACTTTCGCAGCCATGTCCCGAACTTCGACGTTCTCATTCGAGAGGCAGTCCAAAAGCACTCTTAGCACCCTGTCCATTTGCGACTGTGACAGGGTCAACAAATTCCTGAAGAAGAATATGGCCACCGCGGGCAGGCCGTGCAAGCGCGTACGCCATGACTGTAGGGAATGAGATCAGTTGCCAGGTGACGAGGTCGATGTCCTCACCGGCGACGACTCGATGGAAGTGACGAATTGGTCAAGGATAGGGTTGACATAGTCGGACAACGGAGTCAACGCCGACAGAACATAGAGGACACCAGAACTGTACGCTTGCAGATCGGTGTTGTCACTCAGCTCTGACATCCGAAGAATTTCAGGTCTACCGAATATTCAGATCGTCTCCCCAAAATGGAAAGAAAAAACATGAAGCACTTACAGCAGAGGAACGACATAAGGGATCACCAAATGTGCGGGGGCTCCGTATGCCGATATCCAAATCCATTGTAGTACTGGAATACGTGATTGGTCAACAGTGGCGAGTAAGAGCAGAGGAACACGTACCGGTCAGTCCCACCTTGTCGTACTGTAGGTCCCAAAGTGTCAGCCATCGCCAAAGGCAACGCACACGACCTTACTGACCTGCGATTGGTTCACCCTCGGAGGAGGCAGCCTCTCCTCTCTCCATTTCGGCAGGTTCGATATTATTTCGGAGATATGGTCCATGTAAATGGCCCTCCTATAGAATAGACTCAGTAGGCATCATCCCTGGAAACAGGACTTAAACGCACCGAACTTGCAGGGCATCGTTGGATTCGGTGCAAGCGCTCACGAAAGCTTCCGTCGAAGCATGCCACGGCTGCCACAGGTTCCGCATAAGCAAATACAAATGATTGCAGAGATGTTGCCGTAACTGTAACCATCTTTAGTACTTCACTTTTTGCAAGAAACTGTCAAAAATTACCTCTGCATAATCCGTGCTAATATTGTTGAAGAATAGGTCGATATATTTCTTCCCTTGAGACCGTTCCATAAACGCAGTGGTCGCAAGGAGCGCCCCGAACATGGTCAAGGACTTGGTCATATCAAACGCAGAGGAGCCGCTGAACTCCAATGGTATTCTTCTGATCCAATCGACCAGGACCTTGTTTCTTCTAGGGTCGCGGAACGTTAATTGAGACTAGCACTTTCGATGAGCGACAGATTCAGCTAAGAGTTCAGAGGAGAAACGCACATGGATGACTTGTTCCCAGAGAGAAAGCGTATCTGGTTTGATTTGCGCGAAGATAGCATCTAGCTTTCCTTCTAGCCACTTCCAGAGGGGCGCGGAGCTTTTTGTAGGCCAATGCTTCGACCCTGGAGCTGGATATCAGTATTCCATATTGACCATCGAGATGATCTACAACCGTACCTCTAAGAACCGACAGAACAAACTCGGCACCAGCTCGTTGCTTGAATTTATCGGCATCTACGACCAACGAATCTGCCTCTTCTAGCACTTTAGGCAATAAGGCATCTCCGTAGAACTTAGCTGGAAAGAGGGGAAGTTAGCCGTTGAACTGTAACAGGGAAACATGACGTACATAGAAGCTTGAGGTAGACCACGTTCTCCATCCTGAGATCCAAGCTCGCGACATTCTTATCCGATTCCTGCCCCCAGAGGGTGGCAATCCGTTTGACATAGTCTGGCCCACCGACAACGCTGTGGAAGGCGTGCATCATTGGCAAAGAGGCCTCTTCCCACTGGACAGCGGAAACACTGTCCGGGGAGTGATAGGCATTGACTTTAGGCGCCCATGACAAGAATCCAGTGGCGAACTTGTCGATGTAAATGTTGCTGAGGACGGAGGGTTAATCCAAATTTGCAACGGAAGTATCGAAGCGTACCCAGTCGACTGTTGAATCCCTCTGTGATACTCGTCGAGGAAGGTCGCCGGGTCATTCACAGGAACCTGGGTTTTCCATGGACTTGCCCACTTTTCCGCCCATCGATCTTCCCTCGTTTTCGAGTAAGTCCGTATCTTGACGTGGTAAAGGAGAAGTGCCGCTGTCCTGTACGTCTGTTAGGGGCATCGATCAAAGACGAACAAACATCGCCCACCTCTGCGCATGCGAACGTATCGTTTGCTGCGGGCTAACCGTCTGCTCGGCTACGAACTTAGCCAACTCGGGTGAGACTAGAACCTCTCTCCAGATCAAGTTCGACAGGAATTGCAGCGCGATTTGGGAATAGCGCCACTAGTGTTGGATAAGCCAATGTGTTTTTCTACGAGAGTTGGGAGATCTGCTCACATGTGTTGTCGATCTCTTCGCGACCTCCAAGACATCTAAGATCTGACAAGATGAGAAACTTCAGAACAACGATGCAGCAGCTCATGCGCGAGTAACCCACGATCTCCTCTGAAAGCTGCAGCCTTCGTTCAACCCGAGCCTTGTTTTTCTCGAGCACCACAGTTGCCAGGCGCTGGTCGGGGAACGAATCCGAGAATTCTGGACGAAGATCTGCAATGGCGGCATCGAGGCGCGGTGTCTTCAAGCGATAGGCAGCTGTGTGCGTATGGTCTTCGTTAACTAGCGATAGCGTATCGCTCGCCACCGATGAGACAAGCTTCTGGATTGAAGGCTAATGGGAGACAAGAAGCACATGAACATCGCAGGATACCTGCTTCGAGCACCGCACTCACCTTCTCTTCATGCTGACACTCGAGGATCGACAGGAGGTACGTCTTGTTGTATTCAAGGTCTAAAGTCCATGTCAGACGTCACAGGCGCGCGTCAATGCAAGTAGCCTCCCGACCTGACAATGTGTACCCAGCTGCAGTTGATAGTCAGCGTTATCCCAATACGTCGTCAAAGATGTTCCAACTCACCAATGCCTCTGCTCGAGAGGACATACAGAGCACCCTTGATCGCGTCAGCATCGCTTCCACGGGTCAAGCCCTTGAAGATTGTCGGCAAAATCAGTCTTGTGGATCTGACGTATCGCTAAAAGTAGGTCGAGATTTAGTGCATTAATATATCTGTAGTGAAGGGACACATACCATGGTAGCAGTAATCAAAGTCGCTTGTGCCTGCCTTCAAAGACGGTCAGCGAACTCGGAAACCATAAGTCGAAGAGCCAAACCTTCTGATCCTCGTATACTGCAAAAGCGACAGCTCGGCCAATTCTAGCAGTAATTGGTCATCTAGCTCAGACCTATATCTAAACATGGACTGGATATGAAGCCGGCTCATATGATATACGTGCGCCCTCTTCACAAAAATCAACCTCGAGTTATCCTTCTGGCGTAACCACGAGCGGTTCAACCTAAGATCCCAAAGAAAACCTCACCGAGTGAACAAACGTAACGCTAAAGAAGAGAGAACAGACTCACTCGCGGGCTTGCTTGTAATTCTTCTGCATCGCATCATACTCGCTATTGCTCACACCGTACGACCCCAAATAAGTGTCGATGCACCGAGTAACATAGATCACAGCATCGATGTGGTCTTCTCCTCCGCTGTTCTGACGCAAGATAGACGACGCTTTGACGAGAAGGCGACCGAACCTCTCGCGATAGGCAGCAACCTTTTGGTATCGCGGATCACTGGGGTCAGTGAGCACGAAACCGCAGTTAACGTTGAGCGCTTTAACAAGCATGTCGGGTACTTCGTATTCGGGTAGGAGCAGTGGTCGGACGACTTCGGGTTCTTGGATTCTGTAGATCGTAGGAAGGCCTATCCAGACGGCTCGAGCCGCTTGGAGGAACCTGGTAATAAAGTTTAGGGCAGAACTATCAGGTTGCTTCAGAGAACGGGTTACCTGCAGAAATCGTTCCTTGAAACGTGGTCCCACTTGGAAGTGTTCTCGAGGAGAGACTCGACTTTGTCGAGCATGGGCTTCTCGATGGTGTCCATGATCTCAAGTACGAAGTCGATCTCTTCCGCCGAAGGCACTAAAAACAACCTATTAGTATACGCTTCCGGTGATCGTTTTCGAAAGTCAACTAACCATGCCAATCGATTTGAACGTCTTTCGGTTCATACAATTTACCCCAATGCTGGTTGTGGGAGCGGTCAAAGTCTATGAAAGGGTTAGAGGATACATCAGAAACGCAGCCAAAGGCACTTGCCTGGCTGTTCCCATTCAGAGGTGTTCACGAATCGGCCATTCAATGGGTAGACGGAGCTCAGCGTTGTCAAGATTCTGGTGATGAGTCGACCAGTGCTCGTGTACCCGCGCTCGCTCTTGGTCTTTTCCACTGCTACCGAAAGCAGTCGAAGAATCAAAGGCTTATAGTCGAGGAGCTACGCGGGAAAATGGCTCGTTAACACAGCGTGACGATGGGAATAGCTAAATCTCACATACCGCACTGGCTCCATACCCCAGGCACCCTCGCAGTATGGCCAAATCTGAAAACTCGGTCAGCTCTTCGGCCGCGAGACATGTAGACGATTCCAGCCACTTACTCCAATGCAATGTGGTATCGGATGGCACAGCCGCATGCGTCGACGTCGTCCTCACACTCGACGCGCCATGCCTCAGCTCTTCCTCAATCTGCTCCGCACAATGGGGCAAGAATCTAGCCACGACCTTCGCCGGATTCGCCTTGGCCATCGACGAAATCAACTGGCCAAACGCTCTGACCGCATTCGACTTGGCGTTCGTTGTCGCATACTCGTAGACGAGTTTCAAGACGAGGTCGAAGATAGGTTCGGAAAGGTGCAAGCAGACCATGTCCAGCATTCCCTTGATATGTTTGAGGACGCTCTCTTCCGTACGTCCTCCTGTGACGTTCCGTTTGCCACCTTCTTCGGGGAGGTTCTCGTAGAGAGTGAAGACTCGTCGGAAGAGTGAGACGACCCAGTCTACGTCAATGTCAGTTATAAACTACGTGGTCTGAGGTAGTTTCCGTACCAGCAAAGCCAGAGGTGCTATCACGAGTCAGCGACTGCTCTTCTTCCCGACTAAGAACAGGGCCTCCAAGGTCGTCCGGGAGGTGGTCCACATGCTCGTCAACGTCCATCCTGTCCTCTCCAAAATCGCTAGTGAAAGGGACGCCGCCCTGATGCGCAGACAGATCTCCGACCTTGATGTGTTGAACAGTGTTGACGATGAACATGCAAGCGTAGATCGTCTTCGTCGGATCGTTCTACAGGAGACAACTGAGTTTTAGTCGATAAAAATGCCCAGAGTACATACCAGATCGATACCAGGCAAGCATAGATCCAGCAAGGGAACCAAGTGCTTCTGTCCTCCCAACCAAATGTTACTCGTAACCAGAGGCCTTGCAACACCGGACAGCGTACTGAGTACGCCGGTAGTCCGATGCGTCTCGTTGACAACCTCCAAACCACCGTATGCCCTGTCAAGCAACTCCGGCATGACAAGCTTGGGTTCAAGCATCGCCAACGTCCTCAGCGCACCCTGGGCGTAGCTGGCCGAGACGGCGTCTTTGGCGAACATCGAAAGCAGTGCGGGGGTTCTCAGAAGTGTCACAAATGCGCGGCGGATTTGAGGAGTCAGGCGTTGGGACTTCCGCGGCATGTTAGTAAGTAGGCATCTTCGCTATGACAAGGGTACGAAGTACCTCTGGGACTTTGCAGTTTGGAGTATCTTGCTCGTTGTACCGAGTGATAAATTCCGCGCACAGGCGTTGAATCAACGAGGTCAGCTGTATGGGAACGTCAGTCGATTCCCCTTCGCAAGTTGCGACACGCGTGCTTACACTTAGAGTCCAAGGTCCTGTATTGGACGGGTGGAAGTAGCTTTCCGAACTGTTGATAAGCTTCTCGAGAGAACTCAGCGCCTTGGAACCAGCCAAGTAGCCAGTCTGCTTCGAAGCTTCTGCAGACGTATCCCGGACTTCACCGTCAACTCTCATCGAATATACGAAAATCTTCGCTACGGCATCTTTGAACAGTGCACGCGTTAGACCCGGACAAAGTGGTGCGGTGAGATGTACTTGCTGATTCTATTCGTCTTCTTCTTGACTTTGGTACCGTGTTTGCTGTTGCTGTCCGCGATGCCAGAGGTCGTGTTGAGTTGGCCCTGATACGCTATCATTAGATTGAACTTCCTTTGTTTGTTGGGCACTCACCCCCAGAAGTCCGACCGGCATATCTTAAAAGAAGGCAAGTTGTATAAATTGGACGGAACAAAAGAATATTGCGGACGCACTGGTAGAGCCCATACATTTCCCAGACAGTAAATCCCACTGCCACTGCGTCCAAATACCCACATCTTTCCACTCAGCCGCGTATTCGCCATCTTCCCCAGCAGTACCAGCGACATGTTCTTCGGAGAGGTCGCCACAGAGTTCGAGCATGCGGTCATCCACAATGGACGAATTGAACGCCTCCCAAATCTTGAACAGAGGAGGGATGTACAGGCGACTTTGGGTGAGGGGGAGGAAAGAAGTCAATACAGGGATCATGGTCAATAAGCTCTGTAAAGGGACAAGTCAGAAACATTAATTAGAAGAGGGCAGGTCATTGCGCAATGGCCAAGCAAGGTGTAAGTGAATGAATTGTGCGACTAGTCGTTCGAATGACTCGAAGACGGGCAATCCAAGACGTGAATACAATGAAGAAAGGTCTCTTCGAAGAAGTGACACCAGACCGGACCCACAAAGTGAACATTCTGACGGGCACTTTCCCGCCTAGTAAAGGGATTTCAAATGCGCACCTCTTGAGTTAACATCGGCAGAAACGTGTCGAGCATCTCTGGGACAGAGCTGGGAGGGTAGTAGGGCCTGCACTTGTCTATCACGTAGAACAGCAAAGTGACAATGTTTCGACTGACAAAGGGAGTTTAGTCTTGCCAATCCAAGCAGTGTGACAGCGTTCGAACTCACGAGACATCGGTAGCAGGCAATTTAGGCCACAGCTCTTTCTTCACCATCTCCCACAGTGGCTCCCAAGGTAACTCCAAGTCGGAAGGCTCGAGCTTCCGCAAGCCTCTATACTTGCTTCCAATAAGCCGAGAGAGCGTATCCGCCCAACTGCGAACGCAACGTGCGTCGACTCCAGGAAGAATACACAGTTCGTAGTACACTCGAATGAGCTTCGCCCTCGTCGTCGTCGGCATTGGATAAAGCAAAGTCAACCAGCTACATAAAGACCAAACCGCATTAGCATTAACCAACAACACTTTTCACTCAAGAAAGGGTTTTCTGACCATTGAAGCAGTCCATCCCACTGGGTAAGCATGTTCCAATGCTTCGCCTCTGCAGCAATGCATATCTTTCCTACGATATCCTCCAGGATTTCTTGGAACTGTTCAACAGTTTCGCATTCATATGGGAGGGAATCTAGGTAGGTCTTAAGCGACGACAGCTGTCTCTCGTACGACGTCGACGCAGCGTCAGCCGGGACATCGAGAAAGGAGATATCGTCCTCTTCCATCCTCCAATTGTCGTTGGCGTCTTCTTTATAATACCGTGGGGGTTGCTGTTAAGTCGCTCAGGGATCGTTCGTAGGGTGGTTAGAAAGAAGATAAAGCGCCTGTACCAGGGGGATATATAGCCAGGATGACGCGTCTACACGACGCGCAAGCGCTTATTGTAGGTGTACTGTGTTCTTGCTTGGAAACGCAATTGAGAAAGGCGGTACAAAAGGGGTCAGATCACTCCTTGACGCGCGTCGGGGACCACGTGCCAAAGTCCGCCACGGGCGTTGCCGAAGTACAGACGTCACGGTCCGCCGTCCGGCAACTCAAAGAGTCCTAGCCCACGAGAAAACCAGAAATGTCTTCTCTCCTTCTGCGAAGTCTTTCGTTTGCCCGGTCGGCTTGTCGTCAGAGCGCTGGTGTAGGCGGTGCAAAGCGGACCTTCTCGTCGTCTACTGCACCTTCGAGCACCAACGGCTTCCGTCGTGGTCTGGCATGCGCGCTTGGTCTCGGAACGCTCGCAGCGTCGGTTGCGTATGCGCGACCTGTTCACCTCGATGCAGGTGAAAGCGCACCAGTTGTAGGTGAGTAACCGCCTCACACCAAATGTTCACATAGCACTAAACTCTGTTTAGTGGACCCTGCAACCAACATCGAGTTCCCCAAGGCCATTACCGTCCAGGCAAACACCAAACTACCACCACTCTCGCTGGTCGGAGTCGGCGTCCGCACCGTCTCTTTCATCGGAATCAAAGTCTACTCTGTTGGATTCTATGCAGACTTGAACAATCCTAATCTCAAGGTCTGCTGCTTGCTTTGCGTTCACAGAGGACGTTACTGAAACGTTGCATGCTCCGGTCTAGATTCCTAAAGAGATGAGTCCAGAAGACAAGGTCAGGGAGATCATCAAGAACACAGCTTGTGTAGTCCGAATCGGTATGTATCCTCTCTACCCATCTCTCAACAACACGAACTAAACAGCATTCCAGTCCCAACTCGGTCGACATCCTACACCCACCTCCGAGACGCGTTCATGCGAGCCCTCCAAGGCCGTCTGGCGGTTGCAAAGAAGGAAGGAACCATCACCGAACAACAGGAATTCGAGGCCGGAGGACCAATGCGCAAACTCAAGAGCATCTTCCCCATTGCTCCTCTCGGCAAACACGTACCACTGGACATGTACCTCGCTGCACCTACGCCCGGCAAGCCTCGCGCCCTCGTCTTCAGGGACCTCGGAGCTATCGAGAACGACTGGGTAGCCACCGAACTCGTTCTCCACTACTTCGAGGGTGACGGACCAAGTCCTCCTGTACGTCCTTATCCTATTCAGTATCGTGGTTAGACGCTCATGTCCTGGTTTAGCTCAAGAAGTCTGTCCTGGAACGATTGGAGAACTTTTCGAGATGATTCGTTAATTCATCAGGTTGACATCATACAGGGCTTCCTTTAATTCAAATTCCTAAGTCTCGTCTCCTCCTCCTGCTTCATCCTCTCCTGAATCTTAACCCTCTCCGGGACAATCCTCCTCCTCTCCGTCGTAGGCCTAAACTCAAGCCTATCCACACCGAGCGCCCTAAGCGTCTTCCTCTCCACCAAACTATACTCCCCTTCATCCTCCCTGTTGAAATTAAACGGCTGTTTCAACCCGACAGGCGGATTCGTGATAACCCTCGGAACCCGCAAATAGTTCTTCGACGCCGTGTGCAGCATGAGCGGGTGCATCAGAACCACATCTCCCACTTCGCCCGTGAGTTCGACGAACTTGGAGCACCGTTTGATTTCTTTGAGGTGAGACCAGAATCCGGGGTCTTGTTCTGGATTGGAGGTGTGGGGTGTTGTGGAGGGGATGAGGGTGAGGTCGACAGGCGTGACGCCTTCTGGGTGTTCAGCCAAATACCGAGCAATCAGCTCGAGTCCGTCGGGGGAGATGTACGTTGCGCCTCCGTTGTGAGCAATGTTGGAGAAGATGGGTACAACCAAAAGTGCTTGCTCCGGTGAATCCAAGTAATGGATCTGCGTCATTACAAGTAGTCAATCGGGAGTGGTTCTAATACGTAGAGCGGATGGGGCCACTAACGAAGAAGTCTCCGTCAACATGCCAGTTGTCCATATCCCTGGGATGAACAAACTCGGTCGCCTTTTCCAATTCGTCCGTTCCCAGGTTGACGATGAAGGAATCGCCCCAGGTGGAAGCATGCTCGTCGATTCGTTCTTCGCCGCCTAACAGGTCTTTAATCGCCGCCCACGCCTATTCATTCGCCCCGCGACGATCACATTTAAGTTCGATAGATGTTCTAATCAGCTATCTGCCCAGAGACAACCAAACACAATCCACAGAAAAGCACCTTCACACCAAAGGCGCCCATCTCCCTACGCAACTCACCTTCGGCGCAAACGTTTCCACTAACTCCCTCTTATGCACAGGCATGTGTACCCGTTCTCGGGTCCACGTTGTCTTATCCCCTGGGTCCATTCCCAGGCGCACCCAGAGATTGGCGGTCCACTGCGCTGCCTTCTCCTCGCTGAAAGCCCCCTTGATAATGATATACCCGTGTTCCAGAAAATGCGCAACTTGTTCGGCTAGAAAGAAAGAAAGAAAGCATGTACCAAAGTGAACGTGAGGATGAGAAGCAATATTCAGCGCGGGAGTTGATTGGACGATTTACGGGAGAGGTATTCGTAGGTTTTTGGCATTGTTTTCAGGGAGGTAGGGGGCGTGGTTGGGACGACGATGGGAGAAGCTTAAGCGAGGAAGGTGGTGAGACTGAGAGCGAGGTGTGAATGGGAGTGGGAATGGGAATAGATGAGATATATCAGGGGTTGTCGAGCTGTTCTGTGGTTCTGAAGGTTCTCCGGACCGGGAGAACAGGAACACATAATTAATGGGGTCCCTCGTATTGAGGGTGGTGCATATGGCCAGGTTTCTGGTGCAATTGCCTGCCATTCGTGTCTTCCCATTGGACAGGTGGGATCGAATCCGAGGGACGATTCAGAGACGGGCGAATGTCGGTGAGAATTCCATTGGTTCAATGGACGGTTGTAGTTGGGGTAGATTGAGGTTCTGATGAGGGTAGCAGTAGCATTGAGCATCCCTGCATGTTCACAGACGAGGGGATGATTGATTCTGGATTATCTGCTGAGGGTGCTTCCCATTGTCGTGGCCAGAAATTGTCTGCGGTTGGACCAGGTTAGAATCAGAAATGCAAGCAAGAGAATAGCGCGGTACCTCAACGCAGACTGACCCGTATGATCACGACAAGAATTGACAGATTCCGTATAGAAGTCAGCCGACCAGTAAGCGATTCCTAAGATAGCTCAAGTTCCACGACAAGCCAGGCAAAGGAGAAGGAGCAGAGATTTAGACTATTGTCGCTGTTGACAACGACCATGAAATCAAGTCCATTGTTCGATATTCAAGGACAGAGTGTGCAAGGAGTGTGCAGGACAAAGAGCTCGCAAGGACAAGAGGAACACCGGTCCCTCAGCCATTGGCCAATCATAGTCCAAGGTTGACGTCACGCACGTGAGCCGACGCGTCCCTCCATCACGTGCCAAAACGCGGTCGCGTTGATTGTGATCGTCGTGGATCAAAACAACAAACCGACGCGCGACATCAACGAGCTTTTGGATATAAAAGCCCGCGTCCCTTCGGGTTAACGGCTTTCCTTATCCCCACCACCTCCACCAGCCACTCTTCCTCAAGTGACACGACTTTCGTCGTCGCTCATCAACACCACCAACACACCTCTCCTCATCGTTAGCAATGGCCCGAACCAAGCAAACCGCCCGCAAGTCCACTGGAGGTTCGTCCTAGTCTCCGTCGTTCATGATGTTGAGCATATCGTTAATCTTCTCTGTGATTTATAGGCAAGGCCCCCCGTAAGCAACTCGCCTCCAAGTCCGCTGCCCGTAAGACCGCCACCGTACGTTTCCTCTCTTCGTTGTATACAAATCCTTGGTATGCTCACCATATGCATGTTGTTTAGACCGCCGCTGGTGGTGTCAAGAAGCCCCATCGCTTCAGGCCCGGAACCGTCGCTCTCCGTGAAATTCGTCGCTACCAAAAGTCGACTGAGCTCCTCATCCGCAAGCTCCCCTTCCAACGTCTTGTTCGTGAAATCGCGCAGGATTTCAAGGTACGCTTTCTCCATGCCCTCCTATATTTTTGTGATATTGACGATTATGTCTTACAATACAGACTGACCTCCGCTTCCAATCCTCTGCCGTCATGGCTCTCCAAGAAGCCGCTGAGGCATACCTCGTCTCCCTCTTCGAAGACACCAACTTGGCTGCCATCCACGCTAAGCGTGTGACCATCCAACCCAAGGACCTCGCCCTCGCCAGGCGGTTGCGCGGCGAGCGATCATAAACTCCCTCAAACAAAACAAAATGCCCCTTCCACCACCATGACTTTAAATTCCCTCCGCCCCTCATTCTTAGCACGTTGGCGATCAAGTCGTCGACAATTGGGGTCTTCGTGATGATGGCTGCATGATGTTTTTTGGGGACTGCGTTCGCATCCTCTCCCGCTTCTCACTGTTTTTCGACTCGCGGTTTTCGTTTGGTTTCGTCTATCATTATTCCCTCTGCATTTGTAACATTATTCCTTGTACATTGCATCTTTGTACAGTCCCCTGCAATACGCTTCGTAATATAATCAGCATAGAAAGCATCGTTTGGTGTGAAAGTGAGGGCTCGACTGGCCGCTCCTGTGGCATTCAACGAACATATTCAACGACGCGCTTCGCGTTCAACAAACATCTCCGAGCGTTCGGAAAGCGCGTTATTTGCGCATATTATTTTCCAGCGCGATCAGCGTCCAGGGCGGCGCATCAGATTGACAGACAAGTCACAGTCATCAACCCGCACAGAGCACCACGGGTCTTCGCTTTTACATTTTCGGAGGTGTTGACGTCGTCGCAAGTTTGAATCCAAGTTCTAACCACACCCGACTGATGCCCTCCACACCAACTGGCATCCAAAACGACGACGAATTCTTGCAATGAACGTTTTCCACCTCCAGTGTAGGACTCGTTCTGCTCTACAACGCGTTTGGAGGTCTACAAGTCATACGACAGGTTCGGCTCGACTTGGCGTACGAAGGCTCTCAATACGCAAACTCTCAACTGGTCTTTATGCCAGTCCAAATACAGCCTCAGCGCCCTCCAGTTCGAACCTAACACCAAACTCGACAAACGCTAGCGCACATACGCCAACAACACCACCAACCAGACCCTATTCGACACGGTCCAATTTCGACTTTTCCACCAGTTCCTCTTCTTCGTCGTCTTCGGGGTCGAGTTCGAGGATTTCGCAGTCCTTTGATGGGTTGGGAAAGCATACTTCTACGGATGCGAGGCATGATAGTGTTGGACCGTTCCAGTTGGGGTTGTCACAGCAGGCGTTGAGGACGGGGCAGAAGTTGCCGAAATGGAGTGAGTTGGATACGAAGGGGAAAGGTGGGTGTTTTGTCTTTTGGGTTGTATCGGGCTCGACTTTTGTTTTCGGTCTACTTCGCGGTTGCGTTTCTTGGTTTTTCGTTCTCCAAGTTCGACTCTACCTTTTGCCTTTTTACGTTTCTCTTTTCCTTATTGACCTCAAACTCGAATTAAACCACTGATTCTTCTGTTGCAAACAGTCCTCCGAACAACAGCTCGAACGACGAACCTAACTGTCATCCTCCTCGGCGCGGGCCTCTCGGTCCTCCTCATCTACTCCCTCACCTCGGAACTCTTCTCCAAAAACTCTGCGACTGTCATCTACGGAGAGGCATGTGACAAGATTCGGAATTCGCCCAAGGTGCGTTAATTACTTATTACCCTTGCCCCCCCTCCCAACCATGTTTATTGACCTCGACTTCTTTACACCACCAGATCGCCAAATACCTCAACGGCCCCCTCACGTTCCACAACAACCCACCCTCCGCCAGCAGACCACGGCACCGCAGCCGGCACGTAACCTCCCAGGTCCTAATAGACGCCTACGGCCAAGAACACATGATCCTCTCCTTCTACGTCCGGGGGTCCTCCTCCTCATCATCATCACAACCTTCATACATGGACGAAAACCTCTCCTACTACGAACGCGCTGATCTCTGGATTAAAGATAAATTTAACAATGTGGTAGGGGGAGTGAAGGAGATGGATGTGGATGGTGTTGTGGAGTGGACGAAGGAGACGGCGGGGGAGGTGTGGGAGAAGAGTGTGCGGGCGTTCAAGTATTTGTCGGGGGCGCCTGTTAATGTTTCTTCTGTCACTCCTACTTCCTCCAAGACCAAGGCCAAGGCAGAGGATGAGGGCGCGGAGGATGAGAAGAAGAGCAGTGTGTGGGATTCAGTGTTTGGGTTGTTTTCGGGGTTGAAGGGATCGGTGGGGCAGGGTGGGCCTGGGGTTGTGGGAGGTGCGTCGGGCAGGGACGAGAGGAAGTTCGTGGAGGGTGATGTACACGCTGATTTGGTTCGGGTGGGTACTTTCCGTTTCTATCTTGTTGAATAGACTGCTCATACATGGCATTCTGTAGAACAAGGACGGATACTTTGTCTTCCGATACCTCTTGGTTGACATGCCTCGTACGTTCTCGACTTTCCCTGGTATATTCAACTCGTACTAATAGTCGCGATGCGAATTTTTTGTAGATTCGAAAGACCCTAATGCAGTTCGAGTCTTTGTTGAGCGCGCACCGGGTGTACGGGATAACGAGCCCGTCATGCGATGGGTGACTTCGTCGTCGTAAAAAAAGGCAGTTCTGTTTACGCCTGGTGTTGCGGCGGGTTGTCAGCGTTGGCAAAACTCGTTCGTTGTACCATAAAGCTAATTTTATTCGTTTTGCCTTTTTGATAACTTTTATTCGCTTTCGACCACAAGTTATCCCCCTCTGGTTCCTCCGCTGTTTGAGTACGTACCATACATAATCTAATCCTATTCATCTTCAAGCCTCGGGAGATCATCCTGCTCTTGTTTGGCTTGTCGTTTCATGGGGCAATTTGTAGAACTCGGAGTGTAGTGTTTGCGTACTTATGTACTTACATGCCAGGGTTGCGATATTGCACTTGGTCGGAATCCTTCTCCTTCTCCACTCGCTCCACCGCTCAATCCCTGCTACAGTATTCCCGTATCCTCGCTTTCCCACTGGCATGTACATACTACAACCTATCATAGACACAGCAATGCACAACCCTCTACTCTCCGAAGAGTTTCTGGACGCGTTTGAGTATTGAATCTTTGGATGGGTCTGCAAGTGCGTGGTGGATTAAAACCAAGTCAGCGAGTGTCTTTATTTAACACGGGTAGATGGGAGTTGGTACGAACCGTAAGGATGGTCTTTGGACGGGATCTCTAGGAGTGTTGGGAATGCTTTCTTGTAGAGGTCGACGGTTGGTCTGATCTTCTCTGCGATCTGTGGGTGTGTGTTAGTACTGTTGTACCTGAATAGTCTAGGGGAAGGTGTAGGGGGAGGAGACGGGATGGAGAAATGGACGAAGACGGACATGTTGGTTGATCAAGAGGATAGCAATATCTTTGCGTTCGGTGAACTCCTGGAATGCGGCTTCGATGGTGGGTACTTGGGTCTCTACAGTTCCGTAGCCGTCGAGTCGTCGAAGGGGTGGTAGCGGGGATCGACGTAAATGGTGATTCAAGCAGAGGAAGGAGGGACGTGGTTAGCAGCTTGCAGATGACAACGAGGAATAACGGACACGCACTAGAATCAACAATCAAAAAGTTCTTCTTCCCCGACTCGTTTATATGTCCAATACCAGCCAAGAGGAGACCGGTAATCGAGTCCTACGTATCCAAAGCCGTTCAGCGAACCCATATCCACATCCAATAATCTACAGCAGCGCGCACCTCATCTCCAATGACAGCGATGAGGTTCCGGTCTTTGAATTGTGTCGTGGAGGCCATGGCTTCGTCGTTGACCGTCTGCGTTGGGCGGCGGTCAAGTTTCAAGCTACATGTAAGTAGGTTCGGGACAGTCGTACTAGAGAACCCAAGTTGATCCTTATTTGGCGGGGGGAGATTAGATAACGTCATCAACAGGGTAGCGCGTCTATCCCTCTAGTCTTCCACTTTCTCTCACTCTCTCCAGTCTTTCAAACACGACCCCTCCAAAAAATGCAAGGCATATCAACAATATCCGACATATTTAACCGTCCTCCATCCATCGCTGAGGATACACTACAATACACGATCTACCCACCTGCAGCGCAATCGGACAAATCCTCAGTCACAACTTTTGCAGCGTGTATCCAGTCGTTCGTACAGGACCTCCTCGTTGAATCCAAGTTTCTTTGGCATCGGGATGCATTTGAAGTGAAGGTTGTGCCTAATCCGTACTATACACGTCCACCCAAAGATAAGGACAAGAAGGATGGGGAAGGGGAGCCGGAGTATATCCTCGAAGGCCGCATGCGGGTGGGTGATTGCGTCGATGATGAATGGTGTGTCGTCTGGTTGCTGAGAGAAGTCTCTTCAAAATGGGATTTGGCAGTCAGGTATGTGACTATCTTGCCTTGCATTTGTTTTAGGTGATTTAACCTTGTTTTCAATAGCGTGTTCGACTCGGATGGAGAATTCCTCCTCATCGAAGCGGCTGAAGCCTTACCTCCATGGGTCCAACCCTCAAACTCTGAGAACCGGGTTCGTTCAATCCTCCGCCCCACTCTCTCCTCAATCTACTTAACCCCCTCGCCTTTCCATCCTTACAGGTCTGGATATACAAATCCCGCCTCCACTTAATCCCACTATCCTTCATCTCCCCTCCCTCCTCCAAGAAACACCCGCGCCGCAAACTACCTGGACGTGGTGCACGCGGGAGCGGGGGCGGCAGCGACAATGAGGACAACCTCAACGAAGACGACGATGACGAGTTCATCTCTGTACCTGACGCTCTCAAGGCTATCCGAGACCCCCTTTGCCAGACCTTTGCGCCAAAGGGAGTTGAAGAGATTGTATGGAACCGGATTTCGAGGTACACTTCCCATTCGTCTTTGCGTTTGACGCGAATATGGTGTCTGACGGTGCATGGTGCAGTTATCCAGAAGCGTTGAAGAACCATGTGCATCGCACGAAAGCTTACATCCCAGCGGACGTCGCGAAAGCACTACATCACAATCCTGCACTCGTCCAACGAGCAGTCGAAACGTTCTATACGCGGGATGCTATCCAGTTACGCGTACGTTCCTTTCCGCCTTCACTCCTCCTTTCTTCCATCTATACCCTAAAACCAACGCTAACCCCTCCCTCTCAACCACATCCAGGCAGCCCACAAAATGACGCGCTTCCCACCACCCACCACCGCCCTCCACACCGTCACCCTAACCCGCACCGCCTACGCGCAACTCCAAGGCCAAAAGTTCCACCCTCCCAAGGTATTTGGGCGGTGGGAGGAGAGGGAGGGGACGAGGGAGTGGAGGTGGAGGGATGTTGGTATGAAAATTGTGAGTTTTTGGTTTTCTTTTTTCTCTTTTGAGTTCGGGTTTTGTGCCTTGACCCATGCTTCTATCTTTTCGTCTTGGGATATACGTGTTGGGGCATGGGACTAGGGATGGAACTAACAGAGGTTTCTGGTTTTTTGGTAGGCTGTAGGATTCGAGATGCTTTATCAAGAGAGTAAGAATCGACAGAATAGTCTCGGTATCACGGCTGAACGGGTGAAATCTTCCGTACGTCCCTCTTACTCCTTCCTCCACTCGTATCTTATCTGACTTGACTTTCTCTCCCTCTCTGCTCTGATCGTATCCCGCCTTCCTCGTCCCGCTTCAAATCTCTAACTCGACCCACTTGCATATCCAATCCCATTCAACTCGGTTCCACAACTAACACCAGTCCGAAGCAATCAAAGACTCCCTCCGCAACAACCCCGACTACCTCACCTACATCCAAAACCTCCTCTCGACGGGGTACTTCCGTGATGAAATCGAAGGGTCTGAAAAGTGGAAAGAGTTGGAGACGAAGGCTGCGTTGACGTTTGTGGAGGTTCGGAGGGCTGAGTGGGTATCCTTTCTTTCCCATTCCCATTCTCATTCCCATTCTCTTTCTCCTTCCCGTATCTTTTCTTTCCCCTCTTCCCCTTTCCGACTCAAAAAAGAGATAACTAACAGAATCCTTCCACTCTACTAGTGACGCCACAAGACCAAGTTTCGCAACCCAAGTCGACAGCGCGATCGCTCAAGTAGTTTCTGCACCTCCTCCTTCGACGGTTGACGACCCAGAAGACGACGACGCATGGCTCAACATTGACGAGAGCGATTTTGATAGTATGCTTGCGAAGGCTATGGGCTCCAAGGGCAACACTACCACTACCGGTACTTCTCCTCGTAAAGGTCAAGGCGGTGAGGTTGGAGAGGGAGAAGCGATGGATACACGAGAGGACGGAGTTGCGGGTGGTGATGGTGATGCTGATAGAGCAAGAGATGAAGACGCGTTCGCTTCGGTTCAAGCTAGTCGACTTAAGGATCTGGCTAGTAAAGTGGAAAAGTTTGTGGAGGGGGAGGGTGACCTTGAGGGTGCGAGGTTTGAAGAGTGCGTATATCCATTTCCTTTCCTTTCTTCATCGAACGAATACGAAAAGGATGGGTTCTGACTTGGCTTGGTTGTGCGTTGTGCGAATAGTGAACTACTCTCGGATGAAGAATTCAGCGACGACGAGGAAGAGTTTGGAGATGGAGATTCGGATGATGAATCGGATGTTGGTGGAGAGGCGATGGACCAAGACGACGACGGAAGACAAGACGACGAACACTCTACGACTACGGCCTCATACGTGAAACAAGCAACATCGCGGATGACAGAATCCGAGAGGCAAGCGGCTATGAACGAGCTGGTCGCTCCGCTCAAGGAGGGGGAGTACGGGCAGATGCCGGCGAGGTACAGTCAGTCGCAGCGTGTCAAGCCGACGACGATTGAGACTGAGGTTGTGGAGGACACGAGGGGTGGGGGTGTATCCAAAGCTAGTTCTGCTTCATCCAAGGATGGTGGTTCCACTACCAGCCTAGATGCAAATGGTACAAAAACGAGCGATGAGGGAGGAGGAGGAGGAGTGAAACCCCTCCCCAAAACCAAACCCATCCGCCCTCCCATAATCCCGCGCGACAAATACGAAGGCGTAGAATCTGATTCCTCCGATTCCGAGCCTGATTCCGAAGATGAAGAGAACCAACCTCAGGTCGTAGGGGTAGGGGATGGCCAAGGAGGCGAAGGAGGAGGGGAGGCAGAGTTTATAGATATGGACGAAGAGGAGGAAGAGTTTTTAGAGTTTTCGAGGCAGGCGTTGGGGATTAGTGAGGAGATGTGGGAGGGGATTGTTAGGGATCGGAGGGAGAGGGGGGCGTTTTTGCCGAAGAGTGTTTTGAAGGGGGAGAAAGCGAAGGAGAAGGCGAAGGAGAAAGGGAAGGAAAAGGAGTTGGTACCGCCTAAACCGGAGCCAAAGGCAGATGAACCCAAGTCTCAGAGGGCCACAGCAGAAGGACAGAACCAAGCGAACCCGTTAGACCCCGACGCGATCTTTGACAGACCAAAGAGACGACAACCGCATTCCGGTCCTCGACCTGATGCGAACCCTGCACTAGACTCGTTCGAAGCCGTGATGCAGGCTTTGGATGCGGAACTGGAGAAGGTGAAGAGGGAGAAGAATGGTGGTGGTGCACCTACCAAGGCTTCCACAACTCAAAAACAACAGCAACAACAGCAGAGTAAACCCGTGTTTGGACCTGAACCTCCTCCTCCACCTTCCTCCACCGCCAACTCCAACGCGAAAGGAAAAGGGAAAGGGAAAGCCAAGGCCCCCGTATCGTCCATCCCACCCATATCCGAATCCAACGAAAACGAAGACGAAGAAATGCAATTCGACGACGACTTTGACATCGAAGCGGCGATGGAACAAGAGCTCAGAGCAGCTCTCGAACGGGCTGACGACGACGAGTCGGATTCGGATGTCGATATGGAAGGTGGAGGGAGGAGAAGAAGTACTAGTGGATCGACGGGTAAAGGAGGTGAAGGGATGGATTATAACCTCATCAAGAATTTTTTGGAGAGTTTTAAGAGCCAGGGAGGGTTGGCTGGTCCGGTGGGGAATTTGGCGGGGAGGTTGCAGCCTGGGTGGACGTTGCCTAGGGATCAGGAGTAGTGGGGGTTCTGCTTCGAGGTTGTGTGGGGGGGTTTATTCTTCTGTGGTGGTGTATGTAGTATAGATTTAGGTGTAGGCAGCAGAAACGAATAGGATTTCGGACTTGGGGAGATAAAGCTAAAGCCCCTATTTGAGATGTGATGACGTTTGCTTGGCATTTTGAGTTCATTGATTGAGATTTCGAATCTTGTTCTGTGACTGTGACTATCACTTTGTTTACGACGACGACCGCCACCTCTAGAATGCCCTGCTGAACGACCTAATTAGACATCTATCGACGACTTACCCTTTCTTCTCTTATTCGTTCTCGACGATTCCACTACGACGCTACTGGCCATACAACTTTGACTGTTCCTCAGCAGTCCCGCAGCCATGATCCACGCAGTACTCATCTGTTGCGTCGCCTAGTCTTTCCTCTTGTCGAGCTGAATCTGACATGTACTCTTGGTTTCCCTCCTTCCAATCCTTCCATCTCCATCCCATACCCACACCACAACACAGTCAACACCTCCGGCCTCCCGCGCCTCTCCAAATTCTACACGCCCCTCCACCAACCCGCGGACACCGTCATCCAAAAAATCTTCTCCCTCGTCTCCACGCGCCCCGCCGGGCTCTGCAACTTTGTCGAAGCGCCCGAACTCGAAGCCTTCCTCGGCCCCTCCTCCGATCCCACTCTAAGTCTGAAGGGCGGGAGTAAAGGGATAAGGAGGCTGCAAGACGAGAGGTGGAGAGTCGTTTATCGGAATTATGCGACGCTTTATTTTGTGTTTGTGGTTGATAGTTCGGAGAGTGAGTTGGGGATTTTGGATTTGATTCAGGTGCGTGCATGGGATATTTTGGGAGTTTGGGGGTGTGCGTTGGGTTGTGGGACTGACGAGGGTTTTTGTTTGTGCTGTAGGTCTTTGTGGAATCGCTTGACCGAGCATTCGAGAATGTGTGCGAGTTGGATCTGGTCTTCCACTTTGACGAGGTCCGTCACCTCTTTCTCTCTGCAACATATCCCTACCTACCCCAGGAACTCACAATACCGCTCAATTTGGACTTGGACAGGTCCACCACATCCTATCGGAAACGATACAAGGCGGGATAGTCCTCGACACCAACATCGAGGAAATAGACCGATCGGGTACGTGCTTTGTCTCCAAACAGTAGTTTCTGACCGTCCATCCAACGGTAGTGAATCTACACCTCCTCCTTTCTTACTTTTGCCTCCCCTTCCTTCCTCTCCTTTCCCTCTTCCATCTCTCCCTTGACACCCACATCCTTCCCTCTCTCCTATTTGACAAACTATATCTAACTAACATTTTTCCCTCCCTGCAGTACAACAAGCGACACGAGCACGCAAAGAATCCTTTGCAAGTGCCAACCCTCTTTCACTGGGCGCAGGAGGACTGAACCCGCGAGCTGGAACGCCAAAGACGCCGCTTGGTCTGGGATGGCTTGCGGATAAGATTGTGGGGGCTACGAGTAGGCCATAGTAGTTAATACAGTCCTGGCAGCGGCGATCGGGGGACGTGGTAGCTTCAGGAGACTCAAGTGTTGGAACGCAATAAGGACAATTACAATTCGAATTTATCCAATAGCGACTATCTACAGGCATGTAAAGAGCGAATCAACTGGCAGCAGGCGTGGGCGCAATCGACAGCCCTGTTATCAGAGACACAAAGTGTTAGCTCAGCCGTCCGGGGTCAACGAAAAGGAATGCCACTCACGTTTCTTCTTCTTTTTCTTCGTCCCCTCCGCATTAGGATTCACACCCTTGATAGCAGCCTCCTGCCCAGACGGCGCAGGCGTCGCACTAGACCTCAACGCGCTCGTGGCCGGCGTTGCACCCCCACTATCCCCTCCTCCCCCCGCACTCGCCGGCGCACCCTCATTCGCACCACCAACACCCGTAGCAGAACTCTCAGCCGCAGCAAGCCTGGTATCGATCCCAGCAGGCAACCCAATCTTGGAATGCACAGCCGTCGTACGCATAGCGTTCATTAGCAGGATAGTGTTCTGCCGTTTCTGGGTGGTAGATCCGGGCGTGGGCGCACTCTGCGTTCCCTGTGTGCCTTCTTTGCCTATACCCCCTCCACTTCCCCCACCGCCAGGAACTTGCGAAGTGGCAGGTTCAGTCGGGTCCCCATCGACACCTCCGTCCCCACCGTCATCTCCCTCGGGCCCTCCAACTCCTCCAGCCATATCACTCAACCTCCCACCACCAGCCTTATCCGCCGTCGGATTGAGTGAAGGTACCAACTCCTTCTTCGCCGTACCCGTACCACCACCCTTCCCCCCTTTCTCCCCCGCCTTCTTCTTCGCGTCGTCCTCGGGCTCGCCGACGATGGGCCAGACGAAGCCCGTGCGCGGTGTGTAGTCGGGTCGCTTTTTGCGGAGGACGTCGAGGGTTGTTTGGAGGGCTGAGACCGAGGTTAGCTGATTGGGTTGGTGTTGGTTGGTTGGTTAGTGGGTTGGTGGGTGGGGTTTGGGTTAGTTTTGTGAGTTACTGTGAGGATGGAGGGTAGGCACTCACCAGGCGATTTGAAAGCAGGGAATATAAATCAGGAGCTTGGTATATCCTGTTATTGTTGATAAAGTACGCGGCCAGTGGTTTGACTACATGGATGAAAGGACTCGGTTAGCCAAAAATTGAAGAGAACACAATACGTCAAAAACGTACCTTCATCGGGGGATATCCTCTCCCTCTTATGGATGATAAAAAACGCAGGTGGCTGGGCGTGCACAACTGCGAATTCGATACCCGTGAAACGTCTAGAACAAGGAAAAAAGTCAAAAGTCAGTACTAGCTTCCGGTGAAGCCTCCAGACAGACACGTAAAATAGCCAATTGAGTAAACAGGGCAATCGAGGTGAAAAGGGCCCCTTCCATCCAACCCATCCAACCTAACCATACTCGGCCATGCCCGAACACATATCCTCTCCCCTTCAAACCAATTCCCAATTCCCAACAACATAGGGCACACGGTAGCAAGCAAGCAAGCAAACTCGACCAAAAACGATGCAAATAAACTCGAACAAAAAAACCCCTACCTCAACTCCTCAGCCTCATTAGCAATCGGCACACCCGTATAAATCGTCTGCATGCGCAACACCTGGTTGTTGCTCTGCTTGTCGTAGAACATCGAGGTGGCAAAGTAGTCGAAGACGTTTTGTTCTGTTAGGGGGCCGTTGGCCTGGGGATATGGATATTTGGGGTTGGATTTTGAAACAGTGGGTTTGGCGGGTGGAGGAAGGAGGAGGAGGAGGGTGGGGAGTGAGGTGGATATTCGTGTTGGAGGAACGTCGAGCAGGACAGGACAGGGCGAAGATCCATTCGCATTCCAAAACAACGTCCAATACGGCCGCAATGAGCAGACGAACGACCATTCAAACGAAAGCACGACACAGGGCATGTAGAAACATCGGCCATTCAAACGAGGATGGGAAGGACATGCAAGTCGGCGTACAAAAAGTAGCGAGATTAGAACCACAAAACCGCTACAAAAGGCATTCATAGACTCACCTGAATCCACTCGTGCCAAATGAAAAACCGATTACTGTAATCATCGGTAGGGTGTAGGTCGTTGATATCCATTACGGTCTATGTATTTCTTTCAACTCGTTTCTGGATCCTGTGTATTCTGTGCAATCTGCCCAGCGAGATGCGTGTGTTTGCAATGGTTTACGAGTAACCCAGAGGTATCAGCACAGTATGACCAGTTGCCGTGAAGCAGCGAATAAGCCAGGGATGTGGGTGGTCGTCGAGGTAGCGGTTCAAGGCCATTTCGGTCCACACCAAACAAGAAGCCGTCGGACGCGTCTGCGCGCGCTTTGGCCGCCACCTGCTCCCACACCCATTTACGTATGCCTATCGCTCTCATTCATACCTTGCACTCGATTTTCAGCAGTCACGAACACGCCTGCTATTCTAACAAGTAAATAAGGTTTCATTGAATTGGTTCAAAGTAAGTAAAAGGTAAAAAAAAAGGTAGCATATGTTATCAAAGGTAAAAGGGATCCAGCACAGTCGATTTCGATTATTTCGAGATTGGGATCAGAGGTAGACAATCCAAAGACAAGCAAAAAAGAAAAGAGGAAAGAGTGTGGATATCGGTACTAGATAGAAGAAGCAAAGTATGGAAAGAGGAAAGACAGAAGCACGAAAGGTCCATGAGGTTTTAGAAATTGAAAGGAGATTAGAACATATAAACGGGTTCTTGCGACGAGGCAAACGCCGCATCAGTACATTCCAGCAGCAGTCAAGAAATAGAGAGAAGGGGACGGGGACGAAAGGAAGGGGCGGGGGTGTAAGACGATTAGGAGGGAAGGGGGGATGAAATCATATCGAAGATCACGTCCGTCACGGGGCCAGGGCGGTAAGACACAAGGCGGTACGATACGTGATACATCGTATGCGCAGGACGCGACAGCGGATCCTGTCTATACAAACGAGAATCCATGGGTATTATAGATGTGAACAACCGAGCTGAAGGGTCATACGCATATGAAGGAGTGGTGGTGGCAAACAGAATGCCGGGCTGGAGACGCAAACAAATGTCGTCAGAACCTCGAGGCAATGTGGAGTAAAGGTGGCAGTGCACTTACTGCGGGGAAGAGTTGAGAGGCAGGCTTGAGGGCGAGTGGTCTACTTGACGGGCTCGACGCATTCGCATCGGGCGCGGCCGACCGAGCCCTTGCCGCAGGTGTCGCACCAGGTACGGTTCCCACTGGCAACGCCTATCTCCTTCTTGTTCTCATCCCTGTGGATGCTAACGAGGTGCCTGCTCAAGTCGTGCTTCCTGCTGAAGGAACGACCACACGAGCGGTGAGGGCAGACGTGAGGCTTCAACCTATTAGGGTCATGGGTAGCCATGTGCGTCTTGAGGTTGTAAGCCCTGGCGAAAGCTAGAGACATGGGCGCATGATTAGCATCATTTCCATCAAGTGCAAAGGAAGTATCAAAACATACACCGCGGGCAAGCATTGCATTTGTACTTCCTGCGGGGATCACGTTGCTCCCCTTCATCGATGGGCATCGTCGGCGAAGCTGCTTGTGGTAATTGCGCGTTGAGGTGGATCGGGGAGACCGTTCCCTGAGGAAGAGGGCCAAAATCGATGCCATTGAAATAGTCTGGAGCTGCGATTGAGCTGCGGCGGGGAGGACCGTAGTCGGAGAAGCTGGAACGGATGGGGAAGCGTTTCTCAGCAGCCGGAGGGCTGCGGGGAGGGGTGGGGGGCAGCCGCCCGAAAGACGTGGGATCACCATCGTCTTGCAAAAGGTGACACTTCGCAGACTGCGGAGCGCCGTAATCGGAGCCAACAGTGACTCGTTGGAAATCCATCTCGAATTGCGAGAAGATATTGTCCAAATCGCTGGTCTGGGGCTGCTGGGCGCTCGAAAGCTGGCTGGCGTACAAGGATGAGACGTCGCTGAAGATGTCGTCTGAAGCTGCCGATTCAGAGACACCCGAGGTTGTTATGGTGGAGAGAGGCCCAACTGAGCCACGGGGAATCTGGAAGCTCTGGTCGACTGTAAAGACCTGAAGCTGATCGTCGAAACCTTCGAGACCTGAATCGATATCGAATTCGAAGAACTCTGGGGGCGGGGCGACGAGGTCACAGGGAGAATGGAACGAGAGGAAACCCAGGTCCTGGTTGAACTGCTGCTGCTGCAGATAGTCCAAGTTGGGGAAAGCGTCGATTGACGGAGGATACTGGGGAATTGGGTCAGACATAATGGGCGTTATGAGGACTGCGCTGGATGACTTGTGTTGTGGATATTGCTCTGGTAAAGAGGTTTCCAACGTCTCCCTCCACCGCTGTATCCAGGCACGTGAGCTTATCACAATCACGTTCCCACACGGCTCATTCTCGCCGCTCGCACACGCAAGCGTTTCCGATCACAGCCTCATTGCACACCTTTCTTGACTCTGGTAACAATCTTCTATACTGGTCTCTCTTCTAAGAAATACTTAACATATATCGTCGATCTCTCTTCTATGGCCTTCCACCGCAGCACAGAAACTCATTTCTGAGTTTCTCGGTATACCGGCACACCTTGATTGTCCGCAGCCCGCAGCCAGAAATACACTTTGTTTTGATGCCCAGGTTCCCCTCGTCCTCACGACGCGACGTGGACGTGTCCTTAACACCCGCAGCCGCAGCACAACTAAAATATTGACGACTTTTTGGCCAATAGACGCGTCCGTTTTTCCGGTTAATCAACGAAATAGACAGACCGCAGCATCCTTCGCAATGTCTGGTCTTCCTGTCGGCAATACGGGATAAGGTACGCGACATCGATTAGTAAAACGCGCTCAGAGACCTATTAATAGCGGTTCAAAGGTATACGTGTCTTAGGACTATATCAAATTGCTGTAAAAGGCCAAGAAGCAGAATCTTACACATCTACATCCTGTGTTGTCTGATTCGGAGACCTCGGAGGTCAACAGTCCAAATGTCGAGGACTTTGAATGGACTCAGTGATTATTCCGATACATTGTCCAGACAACCAGACGAGCCCGCCAAACGCGAAACTCTGCCCGAATTCACCTTCTCAGTACCCCTGGAGAGGACACCGCCGACTACCTGAAACCATATGGGACGCTAGCTGCCAAGTCCCCCAACCCACTCTCGTCGGCGGAATTCCACTTACCATTTGGGCCTCGACAGCCTACTCTCCTGAATCCAAGGTCAGCCCGAACTTATCAGTCCCGATGACATAGACCCGACCCTCGACCCCTCGGCGCTTATCACTTAATCTCACTCCAGGATCTGCATTCCTACCCCACCACTGACCGCTTATGGCTTTATGACTCAACAACACCAATGGCGCGACTTTCAAGACCTCTTGCATACGTGTCGCAATTCAAAAGGATAATATACCCAGACCCGGTAATTCAGTTCGTCTTTGTAAACCTGGGGGCACTGGTTTCTGCACTTCTGGAGCTAGGATGTCTGAAAGGAGTATCTCTTTGGAACTGATGATAATCGATAGGCACTACTAAGTCGTAATGGCATGGTTCTCCCTGGATCGACGGAATACTAATTTCTTCTATCTGACTCGTGCTCTTGCATTTCTTCTGCCGTGTTCCTCATGATTCTAACGTCTTCACAGAACGCCACGTCAGCCTGGCCTCAGGAGCAACACATGGGTGCGCTATGTACCTTCTCGTTACGAATCGATAGAAGGAGGTGAGACAAGTCTATCGATACCGTATTGACTCGACCCTTCCAGTGATTAGGGTGAATAGATAGGGATGTCACGACGTCGACGAAAACGACTGTGATATCGCCTTCGTGATCACTGTACGACAGCACGTCCACTCTTCGTACACTCCGTCGGCCGAGCTTGCTAGAAAACACGTCCGTGAGCAAGGCTATTAATTGTTCAGCCTGGGCTCGCAAATCCCTCAGCTTCTCGTCGGAACCACTCTCGTCAATCCCCTTCTCATCGGCCACGCCCTACACCCTCTACGTCACGACACCCGCCTTTCTGGTCCATCGAGCTAAACATAACTCCTCGTCAAAGATCACCGGACCACTCAGATGACTCTTTGGAACTCCCCTGGAACCTCCTCACCCTTCCGTCGATTCTTAAACCAAGTACATCCTCTTCCTCCAATACGACCGTTGCTCTTCTTCTCTATTGTCTCAAGGATGGCTTTGGAGAGGGAACTGGAATGGAATGGAACACCTCGTCGATGGTTTTGTTCTCTCCAACTTGGAATTTGATGCAGCGAAGGACTGGGTAAGTCCCCTACCCCTATGTATACGTCCTCCGGGCGTATGCTTCGGTGAGAAAAGCGCTCACGAGCCAGTCGGGTATGCTTGTGATAACTTAGGACCGTATGTTTGTTCCTCTTCTTCCATTTCCCAGAACATAGTCCATAGTATGAAGAACACTTCATTAATACATTGATCGAAGAATATAAGACTTGTTTTTGCCCTATTAGTGACTTTTGCATCCAGTCCTTTGGGCGATCAACGAATGTTCCACGGTAGTCCACAACAAAGTCTATACTCCCCTCTCGATTAAGTATGAGTAGAACAACGACCCGCTGAATAGTACAACGCCAGTTGTGTTGTGACGGGACGGACGACCCGAGGTAAAATGGCAACTCGAACGTTCGATCAACGATAACATTAAAACATATCTTATGTACCACAAGGGCGCTTTTTTATTCTACTTACTTTCATCTCGTCCAGTAAATGTAGCACGTTGTCTGACGGTCTCAAGTCGAGACGCGAAAACCAACTTGAGCATGGCAGCTATGAAACGGAAGTAAATCCTCACTTCCAAAAGCAGTATCTCCGCTCATGTCCGCCACCTCCCCCCCAGAAACTACAAGGGACTCTTCGATATCATGACGTTCTCGTCTTCCAAGCAAGGAACAACAACAACCTCGAATTCATCTGAATACCTCGACCTCGACGGCTTGTTCGGCACCTGGAAACATACAGTAGCCGCACAGTCCACGAAATTCGAACCAGGTTCAAGTTATTGTTCAGACTCTGACTTGTTGGATGGCGGCTTTGAGCGGTGATACAAAACTTGCAAAACGTAACTTTTGAGAATCCACCATGCGGGCCTTCGTCCGACGTCTACTTTGTATCTCGAATCCGTAGTGAGTACAGGGTAATCCAAGGCGATTCTGGGTGCAGAACTTCAACTTGAACTCGAAAATAAGTACTACCCGACTTGTGGCGAAGCTTCGAAAATTCCCAATATTCTACGCGCCATCTCTCCATCATCATCTCTCGAGAAGACAAGTAAGCCACCGAGTAATTCCTTCGTTCTTGCTATTGTAAACCTGGCCCTGCGATACCATGACTGGATTATCCGAGGAACCAAGATGCAATCATCTTGCCAGGCCCAGAATTGATGTCCGAATTGACGAGAGTTGACGACGACGTCGACTTCGAGGGACAGACAATAGACATAGGAGGAGTCTCCTCCCGTTGAGCAGCAAAAAGGATGAGAAACCCCGCTGAGGTACCAATTCATTTAGAATGCAGCCTAGAGGGGCGATCTGATCATGAAGGAAGGGAACAGCATCACTTTAGGCGCCCGCGGCTTATTCTCTTCTCCTCCAAAAAAAATGTCGATTCTGGTCCCATCTGAGCCCAATCCTCAATAAATCCTCAAGTGAGAATAGACGCGGCATGGTATGGTCGATAGCCAGGTGCTTGTATTGCATTCACGCTATTAATAACCGCCTCACACCCGTCAAAACCACAGTATTGTACTGACCAGACATCCCGCAACACACCTCGTAACCTCAGCAACCGCCGAAGCGCAAGCACCATCCCCTATTTTCAGACCAGCCACCCTCGACTATTGTTTCAACGACTTGGATTCCGCGCTCAGCTGTGATAATAACATCCGAACGGGACGACGGACGATAGCTTTGAGTTCCATGATTTGATCCCGTCAAGTCAAGCATGTAGGCTCACAATTAAGGAGGGTTACTACGGAGAAGGGTGTATTATACGATACGAAGCTAATAGTTTCAAGTTGGACCCTCGACGTCAGTTTCAAGGCACCCCGGCTACACTCCGGACCAGTAGTAGGACTATAACCCAGATGCGAAGTGGGTTCGGGAAATCGGAAATATGGATGTGTTCGGAGCGAATGCAAACACGGAACGCGTATCAGATAATGAGTTGAGAAGAAGAATAAGGACTGGATACTATGTGTTCCGACGAGTCGTAAAATGCAGAAAACCAAGTTCCCGACACCTCACAAGGGCATCAACATACGCCACCCAGCCAACTCTGAATTCTGGCTCACCTTAACCATCACAGGGCTTCCCCTTCCATTCCTCCAAGAAACAAAGTGATCTCCACAAGCACGGAGCCTCATTCCTCCAGAGTATACACAATTCAAACGGCGTCTACATAACGCGTATGTCAATCCATTATCACAAAATAGCAGCGATAACGAAGCCTTAACGTAAACCTCTACGCGACTTCGCAAGTCCACACAATTAAGCAACCCCACCCAGCTGACCCGACTTCCATCTCCATTCCACCTCACTTCGTGTGGTACGGCAAACTAAGGCAACGCTGAAAATATATCTATTATGACTACTTCTGACGGTGGTGATCAGCTGGGTGCTTCATTCCAAGTTCCTTACATTACGCTATGATCTCAGCCAATTCTAAAGTGTTCCCAACATACCTCTCGCGACCGATATCGATGTACCCACTAATCAAGACCGAGAAAGAGACTCCGCGTTTCAACCATCAATCGAGACAAGGGCCCTGTGAGCGCAAAGTAAGCAAGAAACTTGATGGAACGGGAAGTACGATTGTCAAAGTCAGAGCTTGTGGCGAGTTCGAGACCGCTATGGGTATTTAATTGAGGTTCCCGCGAAACAGGGGCAAGTAGATGGGTATGACGGCAGGAACATGCACGAGAGTAACCCTCAAACTCAATGGAAACGATCGTTCTTCTGCTCCAAGTTGAGCCCCAACTTGGTGCTTCCTGCCGATGGGGAGGACCGTACGCGCGTTGTGGTGATCTCAACGCCAAAGACAAGGCCGCAACATACCTTTCTGGGGTTTATACACCCTCGTTCTCGACGCGAATAAGCCCGTGTACGATCGCCTATACCTATCTCTGACTTTCATGCACAACCAAGTCGTGTAATCCATATTGAAAGTTGCCTACATCGACGGTGGTTATGAGGCGCGGAAGCGAACGCGGATGACTCGATGATATGTGAGCTCACAAAAGGGTAACCACATATCCAACTTCCATCTTCTTTCCCTCAAAACGTGTGAGACATGGGCAAGGAAAGCGATCCATGAATACAACAGACGAAATGAGATTACAGTGCTAAAACACAAGAGATTGGATGCGACGAGAGACTGGGAGATAGAGGCATGGGATATGACCGGGGAAAGGATGCTGTGCGTATGTGGGCGTTGACGATTTGAGCGAGAATGCAAGCGTGTGTGTATAGCGTAGCTAGGACAGGTACAACTGAGTGGTGACCTAGTTCTTTCTACGGAATGAGCAGCCTGTAAAGCGAACAAGGAGGGAACATTGTGAGCGTCGGAATACCGGGTCGATAACGCAACGGGAAGGAGACGTACCCTCGGTCAGTCTTGCCTTGCCACCAGTTGGTTGGCACAAGACGCTCGTGCACGAAGAGCAGATAACGACAGTCTGGGCGTGCGAGAAGACAGTGGTAATGGCGAAGCAACCTAAACAGAGGAGAAAACGAGGTCAACATGAGCTCGTACGATCGAAACAGAAATATGGGTCCGTGTCCCCTCTCCGCCCAAAAAATCACACTCGCAATCATCATCTCAGATCGCAGAGAGATTGGAAGGACGAATCCGACGACTGGAACCGTATGAAACGTGAACTCACCTGGGCACTTGACGTCCATGAAGTAGGAGTTGGGCGATTGCACGAGACGCTTGAGCTTGTGCTGCTTGGCCTCGTGTTCAGCAGAAGGGTTCAAGAGATCAACGGCGAGAGTCTATAAAACGACCAAAAGTGAGCTCAAGAACGCAGACAACGACGACGACGCTCTATACGCACCATGGCGAATACTTTTAGAGGGCTGCAACGAGTTGATTCTCTTTTTTTGGTGGCTGTCGCTGACGGGCGATGGGACGCGGGCGAAAGTTGTGTTGATACTGACGAACAAGGTTCGGCGCTCTTTTAATTTTATGATCCGAAATTTGGTCGGCACCGCAAACAGCCGAACTGACTCGCTCTTTCTCAAGGTGAATGTTTTTCTCCTGTTGCGCTCACACAGGAATGTATTCGGACTACTGCCAGCGGTTGCGAGCCCTACCAAGTCACTTTCCATTAGATTTGGTTCTCAGTCCCCCTACCAATTAGAAAAATCTGACTGAAAACAGATTATTTTGAGTCCCATCGTTGCTTTCCCGGCGAGCATATGGTTCGGAACGGAAGGAAGTTTCGACTTGGGAGAGGGATGATCAGAAAAGCGGCAGTAAAGCATGGTTTCTTTCTCGCGTTGGAGCCGCTGGAATGTAAGCAAACGACCCATCGGATAACGTTTTCTCATGTACGTGTTTCGAAATCTATAGACAATAACCGGAACTACCCAGCCATCATCTTCCAGCGAGAATTCAAGCTGCCAGGGCGTTGAGCACTCAGAATGCGCCTACGTTCTCTGCGCGCCTCACTTCACAGCATTTCTCTCCCCAAATGGGCATGGCTACGCAATAAGGTGGTCAATTGTAATTAGCAAAGGCTCGGTTGGCATGGAAGTAAGATGAAGCGGGCGGAGGATTTTCGTCGACCAGGAAAGGAGAACAAGGATCTTTTGTGTGTTTCTGGATGAATGACAGCCGTCGGTGAACGACTACGCTGGCGGGGTAAAGATTTCGGAAAAAGAACGGGTGTTACGAAAGCCAAGGGAGGGAACAAGGCCTGGTTAAGAAAGTAAGGTCAGTTGGATGATGGGATGTCACCGGAGAAGGCAGCGTGGAGGGCACTTTATTGTCTTTTACAAGGAAACAAAAGGTTAGTCGGTTCTGTGTACGTGTGATAGCACAGGGTCTTTATGACCCCTAGAGCTACCTCGGATTCATATAAACAGCCCGGTTTCCACTGGAATCTAATCACCAACCCAAAGGACCTGGTTTCCTTTCCTTTTCTTCGTTTTCGTTCTTACGACCCCTAATTTTGCACACGAGGTTTGTCAGATCCTGGTTCCGGCTTTTACACCCGTTGACTCCAATTCCATCTTCCGTTCCTACCCAGCCCGTTAGGTCAGTCCATATCGTTTATCCGATCGCGCCTTCAAAACGTTCCTGACCAGAAAAACATAACAGATTCCTGCCCTTTTAAGCCTCCGTCTTGTGTTTGACGCACTCCTCTGACGCCCATCTTCCTGACGCCGCTGTGCTTGCCTGCTGCTACGCGAACCTATCCCTATTTAACCCTGGTCACAACCTCTTGAGCCGACAAGCTCATACTATCTATCCTCCTCCACCGACTATTCGTTTTCAAGTCCCTCTATCGCCGGACGATACCCATTACCCTTAACATCCGTCGCTCTTCACCTCTATCACCAATCACCATGTCCTCGACCAACCTCACCGTCACCCTCTCCCATGCCATCTCCTTCCTGACTTCGCCCCTCCTCTCCTCCTACACCGCGGCAACGATCATCAAGCTTCAGTCGGTCCTGGAAGCCAACCTCACCGCGTTGTACGCGCCCACCTGGTCCGTGAAGGAGCCTCTGCGGGGCTCGGCCCGGCGATGCCTCACCCTCTCGCCAGACTGTCTCCCTCCACGTTCCATTTACTCTGCCTGTCTCGCCGCAGGTATCCAGTGGTTCGACTGGATTGCAGCCCTTGGTGGCCGGGAGTTTGATTTCTACGTGGACCCCGGATGCGTTGCCATCCGATACACGTCTGGGTCCAAGGGCGCCGCGTCTGGCCAACTGATCACCGTCTGGGCTGGTGAGGTCGTCGCCCCTGCCCTGCCCACCCCCCGGACTGGCCTCGCCAGCTTCAACGACGCCCAGAACGCCGCCATCCGCAGAGCCTTCTGCGACAGCAAGACCCTTGCTCAACAACTCCTGGAGGAGGACGACGAAGACGAGAAGATCTTCAATATGATCGCCGACGAGGTCAGCGGTCCCACACCCGGCGCCGTCTGGGTTCCCCCTATCATCACCCAATTCGCCGACTCGACCCGCTCGTCTTCGCCCCTCTCCAGCAGCTCGGGCTACTCCCGATGCAGTTCTCGATCATCAAATTCGAGCTCATCAAGCCTCTCGTATGGTGGCTCTGATGTGACTTCCAATGCGTCATCCTACGGCTCCTCGTCCCACCTCCACGCCTCTTCAGAACACCGACCCCGACGCGAGAAGCCCAGGGGTTCCCGCGTCTTCGTCGACAGCTCCAAGACGGAGGTGACGCCCTACGACGGCGGCAAGACCACTGTCCTCACAGGTGGTGTCATGCTTGGTGGCAACCCCAAGGCACAGAAGTCCAGGAAATCGACTTCTCCTGCCAGCTCCGCAAGCAGCTGGCGCTCTTCCCGAGCTTAAGAGGGTGGCGCAACTCACACTTCGCTCTTATTCGTTTCGATCCGTCCTCCCTCTCCCCCTCATAGGTCGCGTTGTACGTGACACTCTTGGTTTCGTTCTTCCCTCCCTCCCTTTCTATCTATAGCATCGCCTCGCTTTGGTTACGACGTGCAAGTTGCTCCCCCTCATCCCCTTTTTTATTATTTCTTCTTTACGCCCCCTCACGAAACGATCCAGCAAGCAAGCAAGTTTCCTCGGCATCTCTCCTCCACCCTACAACAGCGCTTCCTTCGACAGGCAAAAAATCTACGGACCCTCGCATTGTGTGCATATTTTGTGCTTCTACATTACTTTATTTATCCCCTTCGTAGCATCTACGGATAATCCTCTCTCTTCCACACTCTGTCTCTCTCCACCTGCATCGCCATCCCATCTAGCATTTTTTCTCCCTTTCTTCAACTTTGTAGCAAAAACATTTACATACTCTCTTTTTTGTGCCTTTGTAACCCCACCACACCCGCTCCCGCTATACCAGCGCTTGGCTGTCCTTTCTTCTTCTTCTTCTTCTTCTTCTTCTTCTTCTTCTTCTTCTTCACGCCTTTTAACGCCATCGCATACGACCTTTTACGGGCTATTATATTAGGCATCTTTAATTACCGCTCGTCCCGTTTTTGCCCTTCACCTCGACTGTTGTAGTTGATTTTGTTTTCTTCTTCGTGTCTTTGTTGTAGTAGTAGGAATATGGGCTTCCGCTACCTAATCGAAAAACATTGTAACTCATACTACCTGCTTGTGTGATTTCGAGTCCTCGTTCGACTTCACGCCTTCGACGAGTCGTCAAGCAATTTTTTTCTCGTCCACTCCCATGACGTCTTCCGACCATCTCTCGAGTCGAGTTCCGAGCCTTCAAAAACATTTTGGGGATATGTACCATACTGTTACATCGGGCGACTTACAAACCGACAGCAACCGCGTGTAGGTTCGGTCGGGTATATTCATTGCTATGCATGCAGCGGTGGTTGGCCACGACCCAAGTCTTCTTGATAAGGAAACAATTTATCTTCATCCAGGTACCTGAAAATCATGGTGCTTAATTAAATGCCTGCGCTTTCTTCGTTTTTCTTCGTGTACGGCCGGGTGAAGAGAGGTGAGGAAGTTCCGGGATTACGAGGAGGATATGTGTCCCCGTCGGGCTACGAAGCTGTAGGTGAGGTTGGTGAGGGTCTTCGTTCAGATTGGGGTCGTTGAACTCGAGACCGCCGTATCGTGACGTTGCACGTCGAGGCGCTTGTTACGAGCGCGGCACCCCTTGGAACTGATGGCCAAGTACGATCACTTGTGAAAACATGAGCATCTACCGCTGTGGCCGGCGGTTCAAAATGCAGGGCTTCGATCGACCATACAGGATGCGATTCGATTTCAAGCAAAAAATTGAATGGATCGGGCCAAACCCTGATCACCCACGAGGGCGATTGAATTCAGAGTCGCCGGGTTGCATACGTGCATACGTGCACCAGGCAGAGGAGGACCGTACATAGGTTGTTGAAAGACTCACGTGCAAGGTGGGATGTAAATTCACAATTCCAGTTTCCAGGAAGTTCGTAGGTGCAAATCCACCCTCTCCGGCAGTGGATTGTCTGGCAGGAGTGGTGATAGAAATTGTCAGGCTTCCATAGTTCGAACCTCGCTACGATTTCAACGTATCAGTCCAACCTGAAGCAAGAGGAGGAGTAAGAGTTACACAAATTGTGTCATTAGAGCCAACTCCGTGTCCAAAGGAATTGCAATACGTTGGTGAGGTAGACCGCTCCAAACTCCAATGTCCATCCGGTACACCCGTAACTGCGGTGTATCACAACCATTGCGGGAGTCGACCATCAATTAGGAGGTAGTAAAGCACTCTACACGACGCGAGACGTCGGCGTTACGGTTTAAGACACGTTCGAGTGCACAGGCTACTCAGACTAGTACTGACAGACTGAGAGGAGCGATCACGTTACTCACCCAACGACGCGGCCCCATAACGTCATGCAGAGTCGGGTTCTTCTCCAGTGACGGACGTTGGATTATTGGAGCTTCTGTATACCTCGGATTCCTAGTGCAGGATTTGGTTACTCCATGGGCCCTATAGGCATAAAACATTGGAGCCCTATCGTCAATCAGCAACTACCAAGAAACGACTACTACTCGCCCGTCAAAATCTCGGCCTATTCACCATCACTCTAGGCGCGTCGCCGCCGTCCAACGATCCATCGAGAAAATACAGAACCAGAGCTACTAGACTTCCCTGCACACGGACAAACATGCCTGCACCGTTCCGCGATACTATGACAATGGAGACCGTCCAGCAGCAGAAACAAATCTACGCGCGACAGCTCGCGGCGTACACCCGTCAGCAGTTCCACGCGGTTCGTAAAGCTGCAAATCACGACTCTGAGAACGGCGACCACAGACGAGACGAGCGCAGTAGAAGAGGAGACAGGAGCCGCGGTCGCTCGCCGCTCAGAAACGAGAACGAGACTGGTCAGACAACGAGAGGTGAGCAGTTTGTCGCTCCGATGGTCGGTGGAGCTGGAAGTTGATTCTGCTTTCCCAGGTGTCATTGCGAAGGATTACGCAGTAGTACATGGAGATAACCACGACAGGAGGTAGACACAGAGACAGAAAGGATGGACACAGGAAGCAGCAGCCAACAGACATCGCTGGTAGATAGGAATGACACTGATTGGGGTCGACAGCACGGGTAGCTTTATGGATTGCACAGACTTGTCCAGTAGACCGAGGATTTCACCTGATGTAGCACATCGAGTACGTCATGAATAGCATCAACTAGATTTTCTTGAGAAATCCTTGAGAAATGCCGAACATAAGTGTAGATCTTTTGAGGGAGAGGGCGCGGTGCGTTGGGGTGCGGAGACTCCCAGGAAGGTTGGCGATCCCCAGCCTATTCGCTTGTTGTCCCCACAAGCTCTAGACAAGGGTGCGTCTCGTCGATGTTGGTAGTAAAACCTGAGAGTGTGCATACTATGGTCGTCGTGGTCGAATCGTTGGAGATTGAGCGCGGTCGAGGAAGAGAATGAAGTTGAAAACGCGTCGGTGACCCGGTAACCCCGCGCCGGTGATAATCGCAATCATAAGACTGGCCAATGAAATTGATCGGTCCATCGGATCCCCAACGCTCTCGATAACATTTCGCTTCAGGAACATCGTCAATTCCCGTTCTTTCCTTGTTTCTGTCCTTTCACTTGTCTAATCGCCCCTTGTTGCTCGTCCTTGTTCGAATTCGTTAAAAATGTTTCGAACCCTGGTTGTACGACAGGCCAGGCTGACTCGCAGTCTGGCAACCCATGCAACAAACCCAGTGTCTACCAGCTCCACCCCAACCCCAGCGACGCGACATGACTGGAGAAGAGAGGAAATTCAGACAATCTACGACTCGCCATTGATGGAACTGGTCTTCCGTGCAGCATCGATCCATAGACAACATCAAGATCCAAGCAAAATTCAGCTATGTACACTCATGAACATCAAAAGTGGGTCGTTGTCGTATTTGAGCTAATTGCAACTCTAATCGACAACCATCCTAGCCGGAGGATGCACTGAGGATTGTACGTACAACGACATTGGCGCCTGACCTTTGTTTGAACCGCTTCTTAGGCTCTTATTGTTCCCAATCTTCGAGGTATTCGACGCCAACGAAGGCTTCGCGTCTGGTCGACATCGAACCTGTCCTCGAGGCGGCCCGGAAGGCCAAAGAGAACGGAAGCACCCGCTTCTGCATGGGTGCTGCCTGGAGAGATCTTGCTGGTCGCAAGCGAGGGTTCGAGAGAATCCTCCAGATGGTCCGCGAAGTCCGCGGTATGGGCATGGAAGTTTGCACCACACTTGGCATGCTTTCGCCTGAACAAGCACGTCAACTCAAGGAGGCGTAAGTGACTCCTCAATGTGCCTAACATTTGGACTTTCTGACAGTGCTCCTAGTGGCTTGACTGCTTACAATCACAACCTCGACACGTCGAGAGAATTCTACCCCCAAGTGAGCTTGATTAGCCATTCTATGACAGCGGTATATTCAAATTGGCTACACAGGTTATTACTACACGCTCGTACGATGAACGTTTGGATACGATTGCTGCCGTGCGAGAAGCTGGAATTAGTGTCTGCTCTGGGGGTATTTTGGGCTTGGGTGAATCGGATGCGGACCGCGTAGGTCTCATTTGGGAGGTTTCCAAGTAGGTAATTCCTTTGAAAGAACTGAACTCTCCCGCCAACGCTTCGTTCCAGCATGCCGGAACATCCGGAATCGTTCCCAGTCAATGCTTTGGTTCCGATCGAAGGCACGCCCTTGGAGAAAAACGAGGTAATTTACACGTATTCCGTCTCATTTGTTCGTTGCTGACGAGTTTATCAGAGGGTTCCCCACCACACCTTGCTTCGAACCATCGCGACTGCAAGAATAGTAATGCCCAAGACTATTATCAGATTGGCTGCTGGACGCAACACCCTTTCCGAAGCTGAACAAGCAATGTGTTTCATGGCTGGAGCGAACGCTGTATTTACAGGCGAACAGATGCTCACCACGCCTTGTAAGTACCGATTTCAAAGGACTCGGAGGTTGGGGTGGCTGATACAATCGTTTGTAGGTTCTCCTTGGGATGAGGATAAGGCGATGATGTCGCGATGGGGACTGGAAGGGATGGTCAGTTTCCAGCAAGAGAGCGTTGCGGAGAAGGAGAGGGGGCGACTTGAGGCTGCATCTGTAACGCCGTCGCAGGAACATGCAGCCCCCTCGCCCTGAGCTTTCCCCGAAAGAGTCGGTAAGAAATGTGATCACCAGGGGAAGGTCAAAACCATTGAATCCTGACTCTCCTGGGGCGAATTCATACCCAATCGGACATGTACAATATAGTCACTTTTTCTACTATCACATTGGGCGGCATTGGACAATCCCTTGACACAGGCACTGGGGTCATTGGCGATTTGGGACCCTGATCGCTAATGTGACGTTTGGCTAACTACAGAGATGCTAGTTTTTTAGATGTGAAGTGTAAACATCCGTCCAGATCTCAAACCAACAAGCAAATCATTCTCAAACTAGGCAATCCTGGGCGTATCGGGGGCTCGAAAACGTTCGCGGGTTTGCTGTCTTCTGGAATCCCTCTTCATGCATCAAGATTTGGGGTGATGGGTTCGACTGTAGTCCTCGAACCGTCACATACCCGGCTTCTTGACCTGTTGGCGCGCCTAACTGCTGGCTGTTCTCCCCCTGAATATCGCCCGATGAGGCGTGCCCGACACCCGTTTGGATTAAAAGACGCGACACGTCCGACGTGCAAGTTCTGGGGTTGTTCAAACAACGATTCATGATTGCGATTGCGATCGACAGTTTGTTCAGGGAATTTCGACACCCCAAACCAACCAACGAGCTGCCAGCCAGCTTTACCCCTGGAACCTCTCGTCTCGGACTACATAAAGAGGAGTGAAGCCTTTTGGTTCTGTGTAATGTTATTGGGTTCTGGCTTCTACGCAAATCCTGACTTTCTTCCCCCCTCTTCGCTCACTTGACTTCGTTTCGCTGCTCCTTCCTCGCTGACGCCTTTTTCTTCCCTTCGACGTTTCATGACCGCTTCTTCCGCTGGAACTCGCGCGCCTAATGTACGCATGCGATAGCCAGCAGAGTCAGCAACAGCAGCAACAGTACTTTTATCCGACTGACACCCACCACTACCACCGAGAGCAGAATGGGAACGAGGATGCCAGTTCCAGTTGCGGACACGGCTACTATCCTCTTCGTCTCCAGGACCATCATTACGATCGTCACAACGGCGCCCTGAATGGCGCTGCGTCGGTGGAAAATTGGGTTTATCCACCCCCTCCGGATCCAACGCAGACGCAGCCTTACACCGCTACACCAACGAGTCGCGGGTGAGTAAAAATAACTCGCTGGTTACCGCATGGGGTTGTTTCTAACCGTTAAGCGCCCTTTATAGGTACGTCGCGGTCAGCGTCATCACCGTGAACGTTGGGCTCGTAGAGGCCCACTATGGACGTCGACGTTCTATACCCATGGTTGCGTTAGTACCCTTCTCATGTTTAACTACGTCCTTCAGACGCTTGGGGCACGTTCCGCACTGGTTGGCAGTTTTCAGGAGAGGAAGGGAGAGATTCTAATTCCAATCTGACGTTTGCATCTTTCATCTAGGCGGGTCACGCTCATTGACCATCGTAGCGTCGTGCTTCTTGATACTTATGTGCAACCGACGTGAGTGTAAAATTCCATCTCCCACTGATTGTGTTCTGGAGCTCAAGCTGACTCGGCTCGTGAAACAGGCACAGAATAACAGACTACCGGACGGAATCTACTGGATTGAATTATCTGCATTTTCAGAATGGTCAGTCACGCTCCACCGGCCACCCACTCCTCTATCGGATTCCAGCGACTAACTCGGGCCCTACATCCCACAGCACCAACCTTCGAATCGGTACAACGCACAACAGCAAAGATGATCATGAACAATGTCATCGTAGGACATCGGTTATGGGAGTTTTTGTCGGTAGGTCTACGAGTCTCCACTCTCTTCACCTGAGAAAAATGAATCGTGCTAATAACCGATATCGAACTTGAAAGGTGATGGGCCTCTCACATCCCGCCATCGACACACGCGACCTCGCACTCTTCCGACCTCTCAGAAAGCGGTTAAAGAGTCGGTGCATTCTCGATTTACGGACCCTCGTGAGGTTCTTTGTGGGCAAGGACGTTGGGTATGGGTATGAGGATTCGGTACGTTCTTCTTTCAGGCATAAAGTACCTGGTTAATCGGTTCTGATTATGAAGATTCAAACCCACAGCTCGAGAACGCGATTGCAGCAATGGAGCTGTTTCGCGTTTGTCACCCCATTTTCGAGGGTATTGTGGAAGCGGGGGCATGGCCTTGCGACCTTCCGCCAGTATCCTACTCTAGGCATTTTCTATAAGCTGCGGGGCTTCTAGAGTACCGTCGTTTACTGCTTCAGATCTCCTCGACCTTTTGTCCACGGTCTCCCGTGACCACTATCATTATTCCTAAATATTCCTCTTGACTTACTGTATCTGCGACTAGGGAAACTATCGAGAAGACTCGCTTGGTTACTATACTAATCAACATTTGTATTCTGGACCAAGTAACATTGGCATCTACGTGGGCCGTGCTCATTGACCTGGGGAACGCGGTTTCAGCGACTCGCGCCTGCCCCCGCTTTTGACGGACGAAGCGAAGCGGGCCTTCAAGCCTCCGCCTTAGGGAGAGAGAGTATCGACAAAACTCGTCTTGGTTTCGTAGAGTATACATTAATCATTATTTATTTCTGGACTATAAATACAACAATGACGAGGAGCGAGCACAGAAGATAGTGGTTAAGTAGATGACACAAGTACACAGCAGAGAACAGCACAAGCCAGAGTGGATGATACTAGACACAAGGCGAGAGGGGTATCCAATGATCGAGCCGAACATAATCTAAACACCAATCCGGTGAACAACTTTTTTCTGTAGCAATCGTCAGTATACATCCCTTCCTTGTCCGACCAAAGCTCGCTCACCTGATTCGAGAACCTAATGATCTCCCTCTTCTCCAATACAAACAACGTCCTCTCAAGGGCATGTCCCGAATATCCCTGCTGGTTCACAAACTCCTTCACCAAACTCTGGTAACTCGTACTCCATCCTACCGGCAACCGCCTCCTGATCTCCGTTTCAATCCTGTTCATCTCGTCGTTGAGCTCACCACGCGAGAGGCCGTCTGCGGCACCTGCGGAGACAGCGTCCATGGTAGAGAATTTGAAGAGTCGGATGGCTTCCTCGACGTGGTGTACTTGGACGACAGGAGTGAGCGTGATTTTAGCGAGGGATTCGGAAATTCGGATGATGGCTTCGAGTTGACTGGAAAGGATATCAGTCAAGGAGGATGGTAAAGGGAAGGGAAAGGACATACCGGATGGTGATAGGGATCGAACTTCGTTCGTCGTTGTCCCGTTCAACCTGCTGAACTTGTTTTCGCAAACTGACGAAATGACTGCTGAGCATCTCTTGCGCTTCGGCAGACAGCCGGGGTGCACATTTGCTGGGAACCCAAGTCAGACGACTGCGGGCGATAAACGTTACGAAAGCCAAACAGACCTCTTGCAGTAAGCAATGTATCGCTTCATCTTCTCGAGGGCGATTTCACCAACAACCTCAGTTTCGTTAGGTCGGTTCATGTGGACGTTCATGACGTGCTTTGCGATCGCCTGCGAGGAAAACCAGGTCAATATGAGAGGATAGAACAAAGAAGAAACGCGCACCCTATCACGTGTCTCGTTGTGCTCGTCCTTCACGATGAAGATCATATCGAAACGAGACAAGATAGTCGTTTGGAAGTCGATATTCTACCGCAGGCAAAGCTCGTCAGCCAACCATCATCACAGCGATGTGCGGCAAATGAGTCTCACCTCTCCCGGGCTCCTCCCTTCATCGTAACGGCCGAACACAGGGTTGGCGGCAGCCAACACACTCGTCCTCGAGTTCAGCACCGTGGTGATACCAGCCTTGGCGATCGAAATAGTTTGCTGTTCCATGGCTTCGTGGATAGCAACACGATCTTCGTCCCGCATCTTGTCGAACTCATCGATACAGACGACACCCGAGTCAGCGAGGACCATTGCTCCTCCTTCGAGATAGAACTCGCGCTGAGGAGAAAGAGTTCAGCAGCTAACCTATCAGGTTAGATGGGTGAGCTTACGGAAACGGCATCTCGTTGCACGGAGGCGGTCAAACCAGCAGCTGAAGAACCCTTTCCTGAAGTGTATACGGCAATGGGTGCAACCTAAAGCCCTGTAAGAATTATACATAAAGGTTGGCACAGGGCAGACACACCTTCTCGACGAACTTGAGCAGTTGGGATTTGGCAGTACCGGGGTCACCAAGGAGCAGCACGTTGATATCTCCACGCAGCCTCATTCCATCTGGAAGAACTTTCTTCGACCCTCCGAACAGCAGACAAGTGATAGCTTTCTTAATGTCTGGATACGTCGTCAGCTTGTGGCCCTGTACGGCAGGGAATGGACGAACCTAAGCTTCCAAAGATACTAGGAGCGACACTCTTCGCGAAACGTTCATAGAGGTTTTCACTTCGAGCGAGTTCCTGGAATTCCTCCTCCTCTTCTGGTGTGAACTGCACTCCGAACGGGTTAAGGGCACCGGTTCCGGCTGGAGACATGGTTTCGAGGTGGATAACACGTAGGTAAGGCTGTCGTAGTGCAGCTGCGCCTGCGCTTTTCTAATTTTCGCTCAGCGAAATGAAAAGAACGATATTCGAGGAACGACTCACATTCTTGGCAGATTGGAAGGTGGAGTAAATACCAGTCGCGATGATACGCGCGCCGGGGACGACCTTGCCCGTGAGGGCTCTGTCGACCGACAAGAGCATATGTCGGGGAAGTTCTCCAACGGGAACCATGTCGGGTGCTTCTTGTAGCTTCAGTGTTTGCTGATCGGCGAATGACGACTTGGAGTGGACGATGAGATACGGATCCAAAGGACAATCCTTCTCCTGACCAGGCCCCTTCTCAGCCTCACACCTTCGTGGAAGACCCCTGTCAGATCCACTCCCCATGCCACCGATGCCTGCTTGAGGATAGAGGATTTTGATAGAACCACAGCCCTGGCATTGAAGGTGCAATTTGGTCGCGCGGGCTGAGAGGACGGAGGCTGAGATAACGATTCCGGGAACGCGAACGAGTTTATTCATAGTGTCAGCTGTGAGTTCGCGGAATTGAAGGAGGTTGAGGCCCGATTTAATGGTGATTTGGATGGGCGGGATGGACTCATTGGACGTCTCCTCAGGTTCGTTCTCCCCAGCACTTCTGGCTCGCCTTGCCACTTTTGCGGCGGCGTTTTCAAACTAGATCCCCGTTAGCACGACTGCATTGCGTTCGTCGAAAGATTCACGCGTACGAGAGGAAGAATATCGCCTGGGCGGTCTTGAATGGCGTGTGCGAGCTCATCGTTGAACAAACTGACATGTCGCAGGTCGATTTCGAGAAGATAGAGCTTCAATAGCAAGTTGGCGCGCAGTTTGTCCCTAAGGTCGCGAAAATTAGCCCCTTGAACGCGTCAATGCACATCTACCACGACGCACCTGTAGATGAATTCTTCGCCAATGCGAAACTTGCTTAGGAAGTCGAAAAGCAGCTGCTCTGTCTCTGAAGGCGTGTCAGGGCCCGTCGGTGGTGCGAGGGTGTGCACGGACGCCGTGTATATTCTGCCTTGGTCGAAGCCGGACATCGTTGTGGTTGTGGATCAAGATGAGTAGAGGACGACGCGACCGAGCAATTTGGAAATTCAGGGCAGGCTTTGATGCGACGCGTTTGCCGCGCGGACAGCTTGCACTTGTTTGTCTTTAGTAGTAAGTCCTTCTTAGCTCAGTTGGTAGAGCGCGTCACTAGTAATGACGAGGTCAGTCGTTCGAGTCGGCTAGAAGGAAATCTTTTTTGGTCTCTTCACCCAAGACTCGGCATCAATCTCGATTATTGAGTGCGGCACGCCCATTGAACGCGTCTTCTTCAGACTTGACTTGTTCCTTCACATTTGCTTTTTGTTCAGCACAGAATTCAACCATGAGCGCAATGGAAACCGATGAGCCTTCGGTCGTCTTGTCGTCGACGACAAGCTCTGGCCTTTCAGTATCTCTGTGAGTCAGATCGTCCTTCAATATCGACCCCAGGGACGGCGTCATTCAACCACAAAGGGCACAGACACCCATTGCCAATCCTCAACGTCTCGGAGCACCTAACAAGGCTGAAGCTCCAGAAGAACGATACAAACCCGTTCGGTTCGTCGTCTCCAGACCTGCTTCAAGTGGTCAGCTGTGGCTCACCATCGTAATTGCTGTTGAACAGTCCTGGGCGCCTTGCTGGGTACACAGACCGGACGAGAAGTCGAGATCGTCAACACCTTTGAACTGGCCACTGAAGCCGATGGGAGTACCGTGGACCATGGATTTCTCGTCTCTCGACGTGACCAATGTGCGTGCACTGAAGTCTGTACGGAGGAAGATCGCGATGCTAATTAGAATATTGGGGATTGGATCAGATAAACAGGTCTTCCCATCGCTAGAGTTCATCGGTTGGTACACCGTGGCTCCTAAACCCACTGCTCGACATATCGCTTTGCATGAACAGGTACGGTCCATTGTTTACAGTGCAGTTTGCGAGTACCGAGCGACTAATACGTCGAAACGATCAGTTCACAGGATACTGCTCAACGCCACTCCTCCTGCTCCTCCAACCCTCCTTATCCCTAGGCGGCGGCGTCAACTCCCAAACTCTCCCTTTCAAAGCATACGAACCGACAGTTGAAATCAAAGAGCGCACATCGCGGAGCGTGTTTGTGGAGGTCCCGTATAACGTGGAGACGGGTGAGGCGGAGCGAATTGCTGTGGATTGGACCGCGAGGGGCGGCGGTAGTGGGACGAGCTGTGCGTAAATCCACTCTTGAAAGGGGCGTGAATCAGGACTGACAGGGATGTAGTGGAATCCCATTTGAGCACCCAACGATCAGCGGTTAAGATGTTGCACGAGCGCATACTGCTACTCGTGAAATACGTCGCAGATGTGATAGCAGGTACGCTCCAGTCCTGGTCTGAATGGGTCGTTGTGCTCATTAAAAACTCAGGAACTGCAAAGAAGGATCACGACACTCTTCGATCCCTGGCCGCACTCGTTGCCTCACTCCCAGCTTCGGAAAACAAAGCCTTCAGAGAAGAATTCGATACCGAATACGAGGATGTGCAGCTCACGTCGTTCCTCTCGAGCTTGACCAAGTCCACCAACATTTTGAACGACGTGAGTATCTCTCCGTTTCCCCGGTTCCTACTTGACCATCCCACTTCGTCTTCCTTTGTTGCTTTCCTCCACCGTCGTGTTTCGACCGTTCTCTTCTACTCTTGAACTCCGGACTGACATCACCTCGCTAGCTCGTCGACAAGCACATTCTCCTCACTTCAAGTCGAGAAGACCGACCTGGTGGTTTCCGCAGGCGAGGCGGCAGGCAGGGTACGATAGACTGGGGAGATCGCCTCCACTAAGGCAGAATGACAGCACGACTTTCACCTCCTAACCTCTTACCACGCTCGTCGTACAAACGTCCTTTCGAACCCGTTCACACTTCCCATATTCGAGCCCCCAATGCACGTCAAACCCATTGAAATTGTAACAACACGTTCAAATCTCAACCAATACACTCGCATGCACCCGACCCATCAACCCCCTGTCCAGATGCATTGAGTCTCCGAGTAACAATAAGTAGATGAAGCAACAACAGCAAACGCGACAGTACCACTACAAGGAATCGAAGAGTACAACTCCATGGGAGAAAAAGGAAAACGCGCCCCAAACCATATAGCTACAGCAAGCAACGAGACAGACTAGAACTACAGGTCCTGGAGGAGCGGTTTGAACCGCGACCCTCCCTCGTAAGTGGTCACCGATAGCAGCCGGTGACGAGATGCTAGTGACAAGGCATAAACATAGAGGTAGTACACAACGTAAACGTCATGAAGCAGCAAGAAGAAAAAGGAAGACGATGTCCAAGAAGAAATCGAAGAAAGACGAAAGGCGAAAAAGAGCAATTATACTACTAGTACAGCAAGATACAACTGACGAAAAAGCGAAGATCACCATGCCGTGTTACAATGTAGCATGTCCGTCAGAGTGTGTGAGAGAGAGACAAGAGATGTCTCGGTAATAGATAAGGGAGGGTGAATGGATGGACCGGGGATATGGCTAGTCGACAGTAGCCCAAAGATGATTACGACCGATGTACGTGCTGATGACTGTGGATAGCTGGTAGGTATCTTGATGATGCCAGATATGCAGGATGGATGCAGAGACATGTGATGCCAGATGACGATGACGAAAAAATAATGCAAATGGAGATGCAAGCAGCAGCGCGAGATTGAACGTGTTCAATACTTGCCTGTAAACACAAGGAGGTCAGTACATCTGGATCAATCGACACAAGAAAAAAAGGGGCCACTGACCAGAAGTAGCAGTGGAAGGCCTGCCCCCATTAGTTACACTACTCTTGCTCACACTCGTGAACAGCCCACTCAACACACTCGCCTTATCCAAGCTCCTACTAACAGGGCTTTCCTCACCGGCGGCCGAGTAACCGCTGGACGATGTACCCGGCCGCTTCAAATTGTCCTTAAACTTCTTCCACACGCTCTTGGAGGCCTTGACACCGTCAAGGCCTCGGAGATCGGAATCGCTAGCGGCGGAAGACAGTTTCTTGTGATGAGAAGAGGATAGTTGGGAGAGATTAGGAGCAGTCTTGTGGGTGGGGAGGATGGTCGCATCGGCTGGGTTGGAAGCCGAGTCGAAGTCGTAGTTGCTGTGGTTGCTCGACGAGTAACCAGTGGAAGGCCGTGAAGAATCCTTTTTGTAGGAATGGATCGAGGGTGCAGCAACATAGGACGAAGGAGCCGTCGAGACTTCATTCGTTGAAGCAGTGCCGGACGTGCTGGTAAGCGACCGCGCGATCGTTCCGGGGGAGGTTGATAGATGATGTGACGAGGAATCACTCTCGTGCACTTCGTCGACCTTTGGAAGCTGGTCGACGCTGAACCGTTGAGTCGAGGGAGTGAGTTCGTTGTCGAACTCGAAAACGGCGTCATGAACCTGGTTTTGCAGAGCCAGTTCACGGTCTTCGGCCGCTACCAGCTCCTCCAGAGCGGAATAGCGGAGAACACTTGTCGTCGGGGTCATTAGGGAAGTGGGGAAATCCCATGAGTCGATCGAATTGGGGGAAGCGACTGTGGGGAGAGCTCTCCGTTCTTGTCGCTTAGTTAATGGGGGTAAGTCCTCTACAAAACACATAAGCACGGTCAGCCCTCGCAGACATGTAAGATTCATGACGAGACACGTACTCAGGATGGCGTTCACGAGGAAGGACTTCTTTTTGGCTGACCTAAAGAACGGTGATTGAAGGAGTTGTTCGGCGGTAGGGCTGGGGAAGGAATCAAAACTATTGGTCAGTCAAGGTTTGGTGAGAACTTCGGGGTACTCACCGCTTCGATGGGTCTTTATGCAAGCAACTATCGATCATCTCTTTGAATGCTCGAGTGAACTTGAAAGTCCCTCCGTCCCGGTCTAGGGTGGGCGGTTCTTCGCGCAAGCTGGGAGAAGATTGTACGTGTAAGTCCACCGATAACAACTGGGGATAGGAGAGTAAAATGGGAATAATTGACGTACGTGCGAAGCAAAACCCGCTGTGTGGATTCACGAAAGCGTGGTGGGTGTCCTTGAGCCAGTTCGAGCGCTGTGATGCCGAAACTCCATATATCCGCAGAGGCGTCGTATTGCTTTCCTTGGATGAGCTCGGGGGCCATCCAGCACGGCTCAAGGAAGGGTCAGTGTGTAAGTTTAAGCAGCGAGTTGTAGGCAACTGACTGTGCCAACGAATGATTTCCGTTTCCCAATTCCAGGACGGGTAGGACTGGTTGCCTCTTTTGGTCGACTGCCGGTTGTGATGGCGGAATGATGAGGTGATAGGGCCACTGAGGCGGGGATGGCATGGACCTTGCTCTTGTTCGACGAGACGTGGTGGTGTGGGTCTTCAGCGAGGTCTGCAGCTACGCCCAAGTCGCCCAACAGGACGGTCCCATCGTCGTCGATGAGAAGATTGGCGGCCTTGATATCGCGGTGAATGAAACCGTTGATGTGAAGATAGCTAGATGGTCAAGAAGGTTACGGGGTGGCCCCTTGCCGATAGACTCGACGAATACATACTTTAGACCCTTGAGTGTCTGGCGAAGGATGCACTTGACGACTTCTTCGTCCATCCCACCGGGCCAGCCGTATCGCATGACGTCTGCGACACTGCCCTTGCTCATCAAACGGAGGGCGATGTAGAGTCTGTGTCCGTCCATCCAGGAGCCACGGACACGGAGAACGTTGGGATGCTTCGACAAGGACATCAATGTTGTCTCTCGTTGCAGAAGTTGCAGCGAGCGGGGTGGTAGCGAGTCGAGGTCCAAGACCTTCAACGCACACGGTGTGGGCTTTGCATTCGGGTCGTCAGCGGGCTTCCATAGCGCCTGATAGACGATAGACGATGCCCCGAAGCCTATGGGCTCTCCGATAGTATAGTCTTCCGCGCGGTCACTGTGTAGGTTGGCGATGATAAGCGCGACGGCACAAAAAAGGAGGTAGTGAACAAGGGGCTCACCTGTAGAGCTGCCATTCATCCTTGACGGCGCCAATGAACTTTGGGGTTGCTCCCATAGAGTGTTGGAGGGAATGAGCAGCGAGGGGGTGTGAAGAAGCGTCGTCTGGCATTGTGTGTTTATAGATATTGTTTCTGGCGGGGATAGGAAAATGATATTAGTCGACAACCCTGAAAGCAAACGTTGGATGGATGATGCACCAGGACGGGGTCTGAAAGTCTTCCGGCGTCCCAGGACCATTTCTCTTCCAAACGGAACAATCAATCGTTGTCTTGGCTGTCCCTTGGCTCCCTCAATTCGGGAATTCGGCTCGACCTGCCTTTTCCGTCAGCCACCGTGACCACTTCTCCACACTCGACCACAACGACGACGTGGTCCATTACTATTATCCAACTCTGGCTCTCTCCGCCGCTCGGGGCTCTGGCGGCGGCGCATGGCGACCACTCTTCAAGCTCTTCTTCTACCCCCCAGCTCGACAAGTTTAGCGCCGGCCTAGCCGAGAACCCCTCGTGTTTTCGTGACCTATGACGTTGCGCCTGCGTACCAGACACAGAACTTGGTTCACTATCTCTGGCTCATGCTCCATCCCGAAGCCTTTTGTTCCACTACGTGAGATACATCCTGGAGCTAGAACTTGCAGTTAATTACGGACAAATTACGGAGCATGGAGACCCCTTCTGGCGAGAGTTTGAGGTTATCCAATGGCGCTTCAGGACGAAATTACTCTCACCTTCTGAAGTATACCTAGATATTCTGGGGTGCACACGTTCGACTACCCTCTCCAGGGGTTCGCGCCAAGTACATTTACACGCACTCATCCACGATAATTTCCCAACGGTACGGCATTCTCGTACAACTTCGATACCTCCTCGAGAATTCCTCTGGATCAATGGCATCAAACACAGGGCGTCGGCCTGCGAACACTAGCGCACACACCTGCTACAACGAGTAAACCGATTGGATCTTCGGTAGCCGACGCACGATTGCGTCGCATCGAGGAACGGGCTACGATTAGCGCTTGGGCCTGAACTTCACGTTGGTTCCTTAGGGGGAGCGCTGAATCCAACCCTCTCTCCCGAGTACCTTCCGAAGGACAGAAATTAGCGCCCACGATTTAGATCATCAGGACTGTGGTATTGGTGGTTTAGCCCCCGCGGACAACGCATCTCAAAGTCCAATAATAGAGCTTTAATAATAGCACTTTAACCCCGTCCATTGACAATCCTCCGAGCTTACCGAATATATAACTCTCTCAAGCTGGTATGTAAACAATCTACCCTTCGTTTCGACCACATGTTCCGATACTATTTACTTATCTATGATAGTTAACTCGATTCCAGGCCGTACACCCTTGTCGATTCATCCAATAGTAAGCTCAGGGAGATAACGAAGCGGTTTCTAAATGAACAACCGAATACAGAAACGAGTGTCCTTTCCTTCAAGAAAACGAGGCTCAGAGGCTCAGCTGCGGCGATAACGACACCACAAAATCATTCGATGACGGAAACGCCTCACCTCGTTTTTTTCATCTCGAGGCGCACAAGTACCTGGGCAAGAGGTTAACCGACTTCTTGTTCGTTTTAGCCACTCCACGAGCATAGCCAGTTGGAGCATCGCTGCACAGGTTGCAATTGCACCAATTCCGAAAGAACGGAAGGAGTACATGTATTCACGAGGCACGACGACCAGGCGACTGTCGAAGAACTTCCTGACAAGAAGTGCGAGTCGGGGCTTGGATTTCCGAATCCTTCGCCCTGCCCCCGAAACCCAAGTTACCCAACAAAGCAAAACAACCCAGCCAATCACAAATTGCGGGGAAATAAGCTCCAAACAAACCCTCTTCATATCACAAAGAGCCCTGGCCCGTACAAGTACCATATAGCGTCAATTTACATACGCCGCTCCCGCCCTACCATATCCAGCCTGCTTCTCCCCATCATACCCCGCTACACAAAGACCCACTAAAGGAAAGAGTCATGTTAAAGGGTCCTGGCAACCCGTAGATCTGGTTAAGCGCTTCCTTTTCTCGAAGGGATCATTCATCTAGTACCCCCCGCACTCGTCACGTAGATCACGTCTATTGAGTACATAGAAGGGTCCCTCAAAGGGCAACTGGCAAGTGAAAGGAGTCTAAAACGACCACGTCGATGCCACCTGGAACCACTAAGTACTGGCTACCGTCTACGACAGCGGGATCGCCGGCGTATTCCAGCATATCCTTTCACTCCTCTTTCAAGGAAGTCTGGGTCCATCGAAAGGAACGACCCTCGCAGGGCGACACTGACAGGGTACGTCATGGTCATCCGACCTAGCCAAGCGCCTCTAGCTCTGAGGACAACTCTTGGGACAGCTTGGAACGCTCCAACAAGGCCGATAACATCGACAACTGCTGGTGCTTGTCAACGTGTAACCTCGTGATTGCGCCCCCTCGCATCCTCCCGACGGGGAAACAAATACACCCCATCCGGCGCTAAACCCACCTCAGCAATCCAGGCCCAAGATAAAAAATCAAATTCGCAACGAAATCATACGGTCACGGTCATGGTTCCTGTTGAGATGTCGTTCGAGACAGACGGTGCCAGCGAGGTGGCAGAAAGGTCTGAATTGTTCATGTCAACCTTCAAGCGCTTGCCGAAGGAACATACCGACGTCGATGGAGGACAGATGGATTGAATTCTGGGGGAGACTGACACCACATCTCCAGCGTCAAAGTTTCATTGCAAGCGTCAGGGTCCAGGACAAACCCCTTACAGATCGTGAACATGCAGAACCGACGTAAATACTCGAAACAATGAACAAGTTCGTAACAAGGACATAAAAACAGCAGGGTTCCAACGTTCTTCTATAGGTAGTTAAAGACTATAGTGTAGTAGAGGGGGTAACGTATCATGGACGGGAGCACTGGACATCGAACAACCAAACTAGCCAACTAACCAGAATTTATGTCAACTCGCTAAGAGTATGCATATGCATGGAGTCGGCTTTTTGGTCTGGTAACGGCAGGGGGATAAGAGACAAAAGGGATATCGAGTGTGTACTACTGTATCTGGAGAGAAAGCATCAAAAGAGGTCGGATATCAGGTCATAAGAAGAGAAACATAAAAAGAACCCTCTTCCGAAAATAAGGATATAGCAAGGTTGCTTGCTTGCAAGAACGAGTGTGTCGGGTCTCCTCAGATGTCGAGTAGACGTTTGGGCGAAGAATGAATAGACGAATTTTCCACACAGCAGCAACAGCTTCCATCTCCAACCACCAGCACCACCCACCCCCACTATCGATCCAAAGGCTTCACCCATTCGCCATCTAATAGTGCGAAGGGGCAGTCAGCCTCGAGATCGTAAACACACCGATGATCACAACAGCCAACGCTCCGATCGAGGCAGGGAGCAGCAGGTCCTTGGGAATACCAAAGACCTCTTCCTGTGGGTTATGCACAACACCGCGTGTAGGGGGAGTAGTAGCCTTGGGTGGGGTCTGGACAAGAGGTGTATCTTCAGCCTCTTCCTCGGCCTTCTCGACTTCCTTGACCTCCTTCAACGCAGCCGCGCTAACCTCTTGCGCCTTCGCCTCACTCTTATCACCTGCCTCGGCCCATCCCTTTCCACCTTGGATGAACAGAACAACGCGCTGTTGGTTGTGGTTGCGCGCGATTGTGACGGCGTCGGCCACGTCGCTATCGGTGGTCATGAGGACACTGTCGCCGTCGTCATCGGTGTAGGACAGGTGGAAGTCGTTGGGGTCAGGAACTTCATCGCCGGGGTTGCCAGTGAACTCGGTGAAGAAGGGATCAATGGCAAGCTTGCCGGCCACGATTTCACGGAGAAGTTGGATGTCGTCGTGGCGCGACTGGAAGCGGTGGGTGCGCCCGCTGGGGGTGCGGAATTTGAAGACGTAGGTACCGTCGTCGGGTTGGACGGGAGCGCTGCCGAGAGGGACCGAGACGCCCTTCTTCCTGCTGTAACTCAACATGGAACCATTGTCGTCATCGACGACAGAGGCAGAGTCGTTGGGGTGCACCTCAGAGTGAGGGGATTGGGCAAGGTGCATGCTTCCAGGGAGAACTGAGCCAGTTGCATGCGAGCCAGAGAAGACGGACTCGGTATCGTCTTGTCCAAGGGAGTCGAAGAAGCGTCCCCACATTGGGCCACCCTCGTTGTCGCTTGCAGCAGCCTCGCCAGACATTGCGTTCATCTGAAAAACGATCAACACTTCGCAAAGAAGATAAGATGATGTTACTCACTTGCTCGAGGGTAGCATAGGTCAACTTCAGCACATCGACGATAGCGACCAATCGTCCGTCTTCCTCGACAACAGGAAGGTTGAGATAGTGGCCGTCTAGGGAGATACCATGAGGGTAATACTTTCATCAGACAAGGGAAGTACGCACTGTGCATCTTCTTGAGAGCATCATGGACGGTCATGGTAGGGGGAGCGGTGTCAGGATGAGGAGTCATCACACGGACAACGCTGCATCGTCCAGCATCCAGTCCGGCGGCGATGACACGGAGGACGACGTCCTTACTGGTGAAGATACCCGCAATTCTTGGGTGGGGAGTACCAGGGCCAGGAGGCTCCATAACGCAGACAGCGGTCGTCCTGCGCTCCTTCATCAACTTGGCAACATCCCTGACGGTGGTCTTGGGACCAACTGTAGCAGGGTGAGTGCGCGAATCCATGACGGTAGTCAAATCGGGGAGTGCGGTCTTCTCCCGCAACTTCTCCGCCCACGCGAGCATAGCAGCGGCTTGCGGGTTAGACCCAACGCCTCCGAGTTCGGATTGGACCCCAGCCATGGCGTTGAAAAGTTGCTCCGAAGCAGCAGAGCTACGCTCCACTTTGCCGAGGGCCTCATGGAAAACTTTGGTGATATCGAGGAGACCGACCACATTGCCATCTTCATTACAAACAGGCTAAATAGAGAAACTGATAAGGATATTTCGGGACGTAACCGGCGAGGAGGCAAGTACGCACCAGGTGGCGGAAATGGCGGGATACCATGAGCTGGAGGGCTTCAGTTGCACTCGTAGTATCACGAGTGACCATGGGGTTTCGAGTCATGATCTGGGCTACCGGGGTGCTGTGAGGATCGAGTCCTTCAGCAGTGACCTAAGAGCACAGTCAATGTCGAGTTCCACGTATTCACGTTGTCTCGTCTTACCCTGTAGGCAAGATCCTTTGCGGTAAAGATTCCACTAAGCCCCTCCTCTTCATCGACGACAAGAACACAATCGGTCCTCTTCGCGGCGCATAACTGACTGGCTTCCGCGACGGTGATATTCTCCGGAACGGTCAGAGCGGGACTAGGCTTCAAGGCCGCGACAGTTCCCTTGGTTGGAGCATTCTTTCCTCGACGGCTTCGAGAAGGCGGCTGCGGTTGGTGTGTCGAGATGGTGCGTTTGCGCGCAAGTTCGGATTCGATCTTTTTGCGAATAGCCTGCGGACGGAGAAAAGGAGTTGAAGTATAAGTATCGACTACCCCTTCTGGCTTTACTCCCCTATAAGCTACGCACCTCATCTCTTCTGTTCGTCTTCTTGCGCGTTTCAGAGTGCATACTGTATCCCGAGACGGTACTCATGTTGCCAGTTTGCTGAGCTGGATTTAGCGAAGAGCTTTGTCGTTTAGGCGGCTGGTTGGGTAGAGGGCTGAGCGAACGTTCAGGAAACGTGGAAGAGGCGTTGGGGTTTGAGCTGGAATACGGTGTTGGTGAAGAAGCCTGGTTTCGTAGAGAAGATGGGACCGGTATTCTGGACATGAACAGGAGGGCAAGTACTTTAGGTTAACCCAAAAGTTGAACCCAGTACTAGTGGACTTGTTTTATTGTCTTCGTGACGACCCCCAGTTTATAAATCTGTGGTCACTGTGGTATAAGTCGCCCCCAGACGATGTCCCGTAACGGTCTTGACAGCAAATTCAGGTGAAGAGCAGCGGACTCAACCCGACTTTTCGCGTCAACGTCGTCAGTTTTGTTTGAGTATGTTTGCCAGCAGCGGGACGTGGGAGGACCCCCCTATATGCCTAGGTATCTCCGATCCCAAACCCCTCCGTTTGGCCGGCATCCGCCGCATGAAGATCGGGGTTGGCTCTTTGGGCTCACCTTCGTCCGCACTTTGGATCTAACATCGCTCAGAGGCCTTCTTGTCCGCATAAAAGCAAAAAAAGAGTAGAATTAGAAGTTCCTAATGTAAATGGGATAATTAATGAATGTACGAGAGTGAAGTCGCCGTAAAACATGGTCAAAGATTGTAGAATGAAGGGAGAATAGCTGATACACTAATCCAGGCCACCGGAGGCACGTCCATAAGTCGTTGACACACGAGTGAAGCACGTCTTGACGCCCATGAAACTCCGTGAACAAGCTTGAAGACCCCGCATAAAGGTGACAAGCCTAAAGGTGGTGCCATTCACAGCTCACAGCAATGTCCTATCGGGTGATGGAAGGGGAGAACGAGGACAGGGAGAAGATGAGGTGCCTCGAAGAATGAAGCGACGGTGGAGACCCATACGCATAAAGATCGGACATCAGGACCGACGAGGTCTAAACTCCGCATGAAAGATCGGACATCACCCTTTTTTTCTGCGATTTCGTCACATAAAGATCGGACATGGGGGGGTTTTTGGTTTGATTTTCGTCGCATAAAGATCGAAGATAGCTAGGCATATAGGGGGGTCCTGACGTGGGTGCCGAAGGCGTTCCGCTTGGCGAGCGCCACGGTCGAACTTGTTTAACCCCATATTCCACCGTTCCAACCGTATTTATCTGTTGGCCCTCATGAAAGAACGGATATAGGACGTCCAATAGCCAACTAAAGCCTTCAACGTATGTGTGCCTCGAGCAACCCCGAAATTCACTCTGATTTCTGTCATAGAACCATGTCACTCCTTCAGACGCCCGCCGAAATCCAAGAACGGGACCGAAAAGCCCAAATCTTGGTGGAGACTGCCCGACAACTCGAAAATCAGAGATACGAGCTCCTCCAACAGCTCACCTCTGTAACCCAGTCTCTGTCTTCCATCTGGGCAGAATACGGACTTCTCCACAACACCTCTGTTCTCATCAACCGCCTCCCATCCGAAGTCCTATGTCTCATCTTCTCCCACTGTCTAAGCTCTTCCAAACCAGCCGAGGGACAGGGAAGCTTCCCATATGAAGCGGAGAAACGCCCACCGGAAATAACTATCACCCACGTCTGCCAGCATTGGCGACAACACGCTTTGCAATTCCCCCAGCTCTGGAGTACGTTCCGGTACAAGACGCCTAAATGGAGACGCGACCCTATACAGCGGTTTAATGCTTATATGGAACGCTCGTATCCCCTCAGCGTAGACCTGTATGTTTACCTGAAAGGCGTCCCACATGAGGACCTCTCCATCCTCCAAGCAGCGGCTCACCACGTCGAACGCTGGCGGGGCGTCAACATCGTCTCCGACGACAACAACTTTGACTGGTCGAAGCTCCAAACCGCTCTCGAACACAAGGCTGCACAAAATTTGGAGTACCTGTCCTTCCGACCGAGCTTGGTTGTGACTGGCCACACGAGTAATGGGCATGTTACCCCGGTCTCGAGGTTGGACCCCAAGATCCTCACGCTGGGTGCACCCAAGCTGAGCCAGGTCCGTTTGGACGCGACTGTTCCCTATTTTTTCCTTCCACCGCTGTCGAACGCGTCGACCATATGTCTGGACGCGAAATATATGGGTCCGACATCGGTTACTTGGGGCGCATTCCTCGGCATCCTCGCCCTCCCCAACCTAGAGAACTTATCCATCGGGGGACATGTTGTCTCACCACCGAACAGCGACCAACTCCACGAACCTATCCTCGTGGCCTCACTCAAACACCTGCGGTGGTCCAGCGATGGCGAGCGGCTCTCCCAATTCATCTCACACCTAGACGCCCCCAACCTCGAATCCCTCATTCTATGCGGGATGCAACTCGCACCTCAGCCCGTCACCCCGGAAGCCAAAGTCCACCTCCCAGCCCTCCGCTCCCTGCACATCATCGAATGTGGAGGTCTCAGTACGCACGCCATCCGTTTCTTAGCCGAGGGCAGTCCAAACCTTCGCCGCCTCTTCATGTCGTATTATCGCCCGAAAGAAGGGGATCACCTTTTGGACTACCTAAACCAAGAGTCCAAGGATGGGAACACGCATTGGCCTAATCTAGAGGGGGTGACATGCTACCTGCACCAGGTAGACGAGGTCGCTCCGTACTTGGACTTTGTCCAGTCACGAGTGCCGTCTCCGGAAGGTGAGCAGCCAAGTGCTCGTCGCAGTCTCATGGGCCTGAGAGTAAGCAAACGCTTGCTCCGGTCCTGGGAAACACAGTCGCCTGAAGGGTACTCCACCCTTCGCGACTTGTGCGCTTTGAGCTGCTGGGAGACTGTAAGAGATATCCTCCCGCAAGTTTGGCCTCCTGGGTGTCAGCCTGGTTTGTCGATGGCCAACGATCGGTCTGACCAGTTTGGGTTTGCGGTTGATTGGAACGAGTTCTGATAGATGTGCTTTGGGATTCTCTCGCCGTTATTTGTTACAGGATTTGCGCTAATTGCTTTCGCTGCTCTCACTTTGCTTTATTACTTTATTTATAATAGACGTTATTGTATCGCCGTCGACTAATAATAATACACGTCCAAACTCATATTCTGGGGCTTTCAGAATGTACGACAGATGAATGATTATCAGCACATTTACACTACCGGGGTACAAGAATTCGAAAACTATGTTACAAGAGCCAAAATCATCCCTTCTCCACCTTAGTTCCTCACCTTCTGGGCAGGAACATCAGGGAAATTAGCCTTAACCTTCTCACTATACTTCGGTGCATCCGACTCGTTCCAAGCAGCCTTGGTCTTCTCCGTAGCAGCATTAGTCTTGTCCTTGGCCTTCTTCTCTCCCGCCTTCTCCCGAGCCTTCAACTCATGGGCCTTATCCTTAGCCTTCTCCTGCGCTCCATGGGCTTCACTTTTGACCCTCTCGGTCGCCTCGTGGGCTTTACCAGCGGCGGTAGACCAGGTGTGCGAGGCGTCTTGCTGGACACGGGTGGTGGCGTCGGTGAGGGTGGCTTTGGCGAGGTCTTTGACGGGTGCATTGGGGTTGCGCTGGGATTGGCGTTGGTAGGAGGTGTAGAGGTAGTAGGCGCCGATGAGGAGGGAGATGGCGATGAAGTTGCCTGTGACGTCAGTCGTTAGAATATAACTCACAGAACTCGGCCAAAGAAAAGTGCATACCAGCAATGAATCCAACGACACCTCGGAAGAGGCCCAACACCGACTTGGTAATTCCACCGACAAAGTCCAAAGCAGTGGACACGACGCCTCGGGTGAAGTTCACAGCTGCACCAAGGGTGCTAGACAGAACATTGAATGCAACCGTGAACAAGTCGGTGGAGAGTGCAAAGACGAATTCGAGGAACGCAATGGCGGTGTGGAAGACCGATTTGAGGATATCAATGATGGAAGCGAGGAAGTGGTTGAAGGAGGAGAGGAAGGAGGAAGTCGTAGACGTTGACTGGGTTGATGTGAATCTCGACATCGTGTACTATCAGTATCGGGTTTTAGTTCTCGTGGGTTCAATCGGGGTAAAGCAAAGACGATGCTAAGCAGGAGGAGGAGGTTCGTGGGGTGTGTCTCAGTTTTATATTCCCCATTCTCCATTCGAGGAAACACGCTCCAAAACTCTCTTACGTTCCAAGATGTAGCCAATGATTTCATTGCTACGGAGACAGGAAACCTTTGGAGACTCCTCATTATCCAAAGTTGTACAAAGTTGTGCGTAACATGACACCCCTGTGTGGAGAAGAAATTAATAGACGCGTGACGTCATCCATGGCGGTAATTCGCAAACGCGCCCTCGGAGTCATGACTGTGACTGCGGCGAGCACTATCGTTACTACTGGAGATCTGCCGCAGGGGGGATGTGACGACGATTGACAGGGAAATGTCCCCTGACATGAAAAAATATTAAAGTCGCACCGCAGAAGGCCAGATTCCAATTGAGCGCATGTCAGCTTCAGCTTTGCCGGCCTATAATAATAACCATAGTACCAGTGCCAGAATGCGCCCACCTTGTCCGACCGTATAACCCAGGCAGACGCCACTTAACGCCAGAAGCCAACGACCGAGCTTCGCACAATCTCCGTTATGCGTTATAGATAACGAACGCTGATGCTCGAGAAGAACTGAGCCCACACAATGTCTTCCACCTTCTCGAGGGCCTGCTTCTCAGGCCTCAGGGTTCCCGATTTACCCCGCAGATCGATGATCGTACGCACTCCTCGCCACTATCACCGACAACCTACGCCCTTTCGTCTAAAACCGCAAGAAAGTTGAATTTGATTCTTCCAAGAATGACCAAAAAGAAGACACCAGGTACTAATACGAACGTGCTATCTATCTACAAACAAAAATAAAAAGGAAGAAAAACTATGCTACAACAAACGTGGGCTGGTTGGGTCGGCCACGAAAAATGACTAATGTATACGAAGGGAGCTAAGAAATCGTGTGTGCTGTGGGGATTGGATTGGCTGTGCTCTATGGAATGGCCAAGGATAGAATAAAGAGGAAAATGTTCGTCTAAAGTTCGTGGTAGGGGAGGGATTGCAAATAGTGGAGAAGCGAAAATGGGATATGAATGAAGGTGATTTTTGGGCAAGAAACGACAGGAAGAGGTAGAGCGGGCGGAGAGGACGCTCTACAAAATCTTTGCGCTTTGCGCCTCGTTCTCATGAATCCGACCTTCACTATCCTTCCTCCAGTCCTCCTGGAGTCTCTGTCTGTGAACTCTACGATCTTGCTTAGCGTCCTCCCTGCACACGAGGGTCAGCACTTTGACAACCACGACGCAGAAGAATATACGCACCTCGAGTTGAGCAAGCTGAGGTATAACGTCCAGAACACACCACATGTCTGCGAGAATGGAACGCGATATGGGAGGGGCATGAATCTGAAGTTGATGAGCTGGGCGAGGGGCCAGACTTTCCAGTTGGCCACGATAGCGTCGGCGTAGATGTCCTTGTATTTTTCACCGATTTGGCGGGGCGTGCGACCTTCCATGATACCCATGGAGCCAATGAACAGAACAAGCTTAAAAGGGAGGTGAGCATTCACAGACGGTGCAAGGAAAGGGAAGACCTTACCCCGAGGGGAGCCATGAACAGCTGGTCAGCCGCGACACGCTTGGTGAGAGCTACCCAGCTTATGGGCTCTTTAGGAATGTTTCTTGTCGTAGTGACTATGGTCTCCTCTGTCCATCCCCCACGAGTTCGCAGTGTGCGAAGGTTGCGACTGTAGGTTGGCCCTCGCGTGAAATTGGAGAGCTGTAATGGGAATCGAGTCTCGAGGAAAGCGTTCCATCGACCAAGGAAGGGGCCTATTTCATGACCATGTAAGACAACCAAGAGGATAGGGTTACGAGAGGACGCTTACTGATAGCGAAGCCGTAGCAGAAGAACCGGAATGTGCGAGCAATGTCGTAGGCCCTATATTGATCAGTTTCCTTGCGTGTGCCCATCTGTTTACGCGCGGAAATGGGATCAGCGGGAATCCGGATATGAAAAGAGGGGCGCGCGAGACACGTACTGTGCGTTCAGAAACCTGGGCTACACAGTCTCCTAGGGCGTTGAGACATCCTCCAGTCACTGCCAGGGTGACATTGGGATGCGTATCGAATGAATGTTGGTAGACGCGTGCGAGGGTGAGTGCAGCAGCCATGCTGGATAGGGTTAAAGTCGTCCTTTTTGTTTATCTGTGCGGCCGTAGGAGCAGTTGGTGTCGAGGTTGTCTTGCGGGATGCTATCGAAGAATTTGAAGAGGAAGAAATAGAAAGAGGTTAGGGGTGAAGTTAGTGGTTGCCGGAGCTGCGTACCGAGTAGGTATAGGCAGCCTGAATCATTCGGAGGTTTGAATTTTGGAGTTGAAGAGGGAAAGGAGTTTTAAGTGCGTTTGAGGTGTGTGGGAGGAACCAGTGGAAACGGGGCTATTGTCGTCACTATTGTGAGTTTGGAATGCAAGGCGGTGGCCTTTGAGGAGCAGTGCGGTGCTGGGGGACGTTGGAGCAACCGAGCGGGGCCAGGAGGAGACGCTCTGGCGTCAAAGAACGAAAACACGTAGCGGCTCGAAACCGAGCAGACGTTGGAAACCTTTCGAATAATTTTGGGGCTCCAAGGTAAGCAACCCGCTCACATCACTTGTTGTGGGACTAACAAGGTAAGGCTGACGTCACTTTTGATACCATTTAGGGGTTCGAACGTGATCTGGACCCCATTTTTGGACGCGTGACCGGCCATTTCACGAACGTTGTCGAGCGCCAATTTTCCAAACGTTTACTCGTCATCATCTTCTCCTGGCTCTCTTACGGGCGCCTATCAAGATGCTCTCAATCGAATGTTCAACCGAGTCGGTGATATATTCTCAAAACCCCTCGCGGTTCATTCAATGGCAGACCGGTCTTCTGTTCAGCTCACGGCGACTCTGACAGAGCGTATTGTCTCCTTCCTTTCTGTCATGAACTCTCACCATCCACGCCCTATAATCCGAGATGCATCCAAACCATCCACCTAAGCAAAAGGAATAACGACGTCGCCATCTGCTTCTGAACCGTCGAAGGAATCCCCGGAACTGGCCGTATTGCGGTGCTCGTATATAAGCAAATCCATTGCCAATGACAGTCAGAGTTCCTGGACTTCAAGATGTTTCGGCGACGACCCGCGGGACCGACCCGTGTCCTTCCTCCGACTCGATTCGATGAGTCTGTGAGTGACATGCTATCATTGGACTGTATGCATAAGTATGCTGATGAATGTAAATAGCTTGGTCTCCCCGAAGACATCGTTAAAGCCGCCCGTTCAGACAGCAGTGATCACGACGAAGTCGTCCTCATCAAGGCCGCTACGCTGGCAGACGAATATCGTGAACGGATTTCGCAGCTTAACGACCAACTTCGGCGCCAGCGTATCGCAGACGCACCACACTCATCTGTCTTGGAGGCGAAGGGAGAGGAAATCCAGGCACATCGCTACAAGTTGCGCGCCGTCAACAAGGCACTCTCTAACTGGCCCGCACGTATAGCCCAGATGCCGGTCCACATTCGCTCTGAGTTGCCAGAAGAGGTGCTTCAAGAAGCGTCCCAGATCGACAGCAATCTGAAACGAACAACCTTGGCGGAGCTTTCCAATGGCTATGGGCGCAAGCAGCAAGACCTTTATGAACATCAGCATCTTTTACAACACCCGAAACCCACGGACGCCCAGCGCGATATCGAAGCGGACATCGAGATGTGCACGATCAGAATGAGGGTCTGCCAGAGCATTTCCTCCAAATGGCGACGGCTTCCTCCGGAGATATGGGCATATATCTTCGAGCTCTTTGCGTTTTCCAAACCGGGCCCTCCCACCAAATTCCCAGGGGCAGTTTTTGCGTACCCTGCGTTGCTGCTGTGTGCTGTGTGCAGGCTATGGCGGGCGATTGGGATGTCCACACCGGCACTGTGGAAGTTAATCAAGATTGCGGCAACCATTGAAGGTGGACTGGCCGGTGAACAGGCGTTTATCCATAGGGGAAGTCTTCAAGTTGCGCTGGCTGCGCTATCGAGGATGCAGACCTGCCCGTGGACCCTTGACATAAAAATCCAGTCTCGTCGGGAACTAGGGAGCAAGGCGCCCCCGACCCAAATCGACCGTCGTAACACATTGGCCACCTTTCTTCAGCACCCCTCTATCGCCTATCTCCAGCGTGTTCGCTTCCAGACCACTCCTTTCATGAATGATGTGGGATCCATCACCCTCCCCTTTGCCGAGCATGTTACCCTCTGGCGCCACACTGACGAGGGAGAACATGGGACGGACGGGGACGGTCGGAGCGTCAAGCCTCTCCCTAATGTCCCCCGCGCGACCAAAGTCATTGTTCATAGCGGTTCCCCTTGCCATCCAAGGACGATAAACCTCGCTGGTGCCTCGTGGACCAATCTTACGCATCTCGCCATCTCGCCCTTGCATCACCGACTCTGCCAGACAATTCTCAAGCTTGCGCCATCGGTGAAGCGGTGTTATTTCTATCTTCAGAAATACTCTGACGTGCTTGCGATCCAAGGATTGCCCGCTGCCCCTTCGAGGAGCGTTCAGTCCGCACTGACCGACCTTACCTGTCTCAACGAGAACCTCTTCTCCACTGACATCTCCAGGAAACTTCAATTTCCGGCACTCACTACCCTCCGCGTGGCGATCCAGCGATACAATCGCGACGAATTTAGATGGTCACCGGGCAGTGCTCTTGCTTTAGGGTCCCTGAAGCGGCTCTACATTTCAGGAATGGGACCTTTCTACCTCGAGAACCACATCATTCCTGCGCTTCGTATGTGCCCTCAGCTCTCGGAGCTCATGCTCCTTGTGAAGCTGGACTACAAGGCGTTGTTCAAGTGGTTGACCTTCGATGCACTCCAGCCGCGTCTTCAGCGTCTTCAATATCTAACGCTCTACTGCGTGGTCGAGGGCACCACGCCCGCTTTGTCTGATCTTCCTCCTCGATTCTTCAACACGAAGAAGAAACCGGTTCCTGGACGACAATTCCCCATCGACCGTCTGGCCGACATGATTCGTTCTCGGGTTGTGGTTGGTGAAGCCTCCACTGCGGAACACGCGTCTTCATCGGGGTTGTTTCGACCACGCCGCCTCAAACATGTCAGGGTCTGGTTCGAGGAGTCCAAATTCACTGGTGTTTATATGAAGCTTCTTCGTCAGCGGTTGGAATCGCTTCCCCCTGACATCGACTTCCGGTTGGAGACTAGGATCTTTGGAGCGAAGTTACTTAGGGTGCCGCATATCGAGAAGGATAGGTTTTGGGATGAAGGGTTTATGGGCTGTTTTGATAAACCGAATCGCGCTTTTATTACCAGTGATTGAGGGATGTTGTGACGTATGTACGGACCTGCATGATGGGCTAGGAATCGGAAATTAGTGTTTGCCGCTGCTGCACGATCTTGGTATTCAAAGTCAAATAGGCGAGTCTACCTCGTGTCCTGAAATGAAATCCTGGCCGAGCTCTCATTTACACGTCACTACGGTCGTCAGTGAAGCCAGCATCCTATGGATCACCAGTCAAATTCGTTCTGCTATCGCTTGGAAGAGGTATTTATTCGCATTGCATGTAGGAAAGGCTACTGAAAAGGAAGTTCTTCCAGCTCGGATTACCTGACGACATCGCCCATGCCGCTCGTTCGGACCATGGCGAGGCAGATGGGGCTGTCCAACGCAAGGCGGTTCCCTTGCGGAAAGAGTATAGACGGAAACACTTTCAGCTTTTCCTCGAGCAAGAGCGCGAAAAGGCTGCCAATGGACCAAACCCGTTGCACGTTCGCGAGCAGACAGAGATGCTTGACTTTTGCAAACGGAGGATAGCGCACCTTGGAGGCCTTTCTGCGAGGCTTGATCAGACAACGGAGGTATATCTTGATGTCTGCACGAAGACGGGCCCACCAAGAGAGCACGGGGACCAAGTGCCAGAGTCCGAGAAGATGAGCGTTGCGGAAGTGAAGGATCTTGTCTCGGAGACTCTAACTCAATACCGACACCTACAGGACATGGTGCTCGAAGAATTGAATCACCTACAGAAACCCACTCCCGCGCTGCTGGCAATTGAAGCTGAAATGGAGGAATACGCCACGAAGGTGCGGGCGTGCCGTAGCCTCACCTCCAAATGGCGGCAGTTTCCGAACGAGATATGGACACGTATCTTCGAGAGTTTCGTGTTCTCCACCCCTCCCCCAGCGACATCATTTTCGAACGCTACTTTTCTCCCTCCTGCGTTGCTGCTTTGTGCAGTTTGCAAGCTATGGCGCGCTATTGCGACGACTTCTCCCGTTCTTTGGCACCTGGTCCATGTGCATACGTTCGTATTCCCGGATGGCAGTAAAGACTCCGATGGCATGTTTATTGCCAGACAGGAGCTTGCAAAGACCATCGTTGTCCTTGATAGGATAAAAGCCTACCCGTGGTCACTCAGTCTGGACGTTCAGCATTGTTGGGACGCGGAAGCGTGGGGTGGTCTGGCACCCTTCGGCAATGCCATACATCCCCCATCTCCATCTCACGAAACTCATCCTGACCCCCGTCATCAAATCCGACCATCGAGTCTCCTCCAACACCCTTCATTCGCGCATCTTGCCAGAGTTCGTATCAAGGGCGTTTCCTTCCAAAGCGACGTCAGCTCCATCGTTTTTGCGTCCGCGAAGCACGTCCTTCTCCAATGCACTGCCAGCGAATACTACCACGACTGGACATGGGATGTTGACACCAGTCCTTCCAAACCTTTTCCTCGATTTCCAGCTGCCACCACAATGGTCCTTCACTGCGGAACGCCACTACACCCAGCAGGAGTCAATTTGGAGGGTTGTCCCTGGGCGAATCTCACCCATCTCGCTATCTCCCCTTTGGAGCACCAAACGTGTCAATCGATTCTCAGGCTGGCTCCGTCAGTCGAGCGATGCTACTTTTGGATTCGGTCCCGGCGTGACAACGATCCTCCCCGTGATATCACTGAAGGGTTGCCCCCGCTGCCCTCTGGAACCGTCAAGTCCAAGGTATCAGAGCTAACAAGTCTTCACAAAAACCTCTTTTCGATCCCCATCACGGGGTTGGAGTTTCCGGACTTGAAGACACTCCGCGTCGTGATCCATGGATATCCCCCGGATGTGTTCACATGGGCCCCGTCCAATGCGGCACATTTCAGTTCGCTGAGGCGACTGTGCATGGCGGGGACAGGTCTCTTCTCTGTGGAAGAGTACATCATACCCATACTTTCTATGACTCCCCAGCTCTCCGAGCTGATGGTTCTCCTCAAGGTGGACTACAAGATCCTATTCGAATGGCTCACTTTCGATCCGAACCGGCCACGGCTTCAGCATTTACGGTATCTGACGGTTTTTTACGCCTTCAAGGATCCTACGAGCTCTGGGTTTGATTGTACCCGTCGGTATACGATGTCCGCTTTGGACGAATTGGTTGCCGTGATTCGCTCGCGGAGTGTCCAGCGCGACGAAGTTTCCCCAGCTCAGACACCCGATCCACTCGTGCATGCAAGAGTGTGGTTTCAATCGGGAAAGCTCTCAAGTGGATGTATCAAGAGGCTCCAGACAGGCTTAAAACCGTATCCACCTGGATTCTCTCTGGAGGCGAAGATAATGGGGGATGGTGTTCTGAAGGTACCGCACGTTGAGAGGACCCGGCACTGGGATGAAGGCTTTATGAGTTGTTTCGATAGGGCAAACCGTTCTTTCATTAGCTCTTATGTATAGTCTACATACAGAGTAACTCAGTCTCTGCATCTCTGTACAGTCGTAGCTGGGAAACGGATTCTTTATACCTGTTAGTCTTCCCCCAAACGAGAGTTGTAGGAGCTTCAGGGGTAGCCCGACTCGGAATGTTGAATCATCGGCACACTTTCGGCAAGGCAAAGCCATGCAGGACTAACACGAGCAAGCAATCGTAGAGGCACAGCCCGGCCGAAGCCCCTTTTCTGTCATTAACACCTTCACTTTCTTTTAGGTTTCCGCAGCCCCAAATGTCCAATCCTGCCCACTTAGATGTAAGTTTCTGTGTTATACTGGACGCTTCCGAGCTTACCATGCCAGATAGCGCGCAATAGATATCGTCGGGAAAGCGATTGAAGCAGATAATAAAGCCAACTATGAGGAGGCCTACAAGCTCTACCAGAATGCGTTGGATTATTTCATGCTCGCGATGAAATGTGCGGTTATTATTCTTGCCAAAATTGCGACCCACCCCTGACATTGGTTAGATGAGAAGAACGCGAAACTGAAAGACCTGATCAAGAGCAAGGTGGTCGAGTATTTGAACCGCGCGGAGACACTGAAATCCCATCTGTCTGCTGAGAAGAAGGGGAAGGCTGCGGTTGGTGCTAACGGCACCTCAGGAGCTGCGGGACCAAGCGGGAAGGGGTGCGTAAACTATGTGTTGCCCGATGATGTCTATTGACCCAACCGTCCAGGAAAGAAGACGATGACATCGACGCGGAGACGAAGAAACTTCGAGCAGGTCTCTCCGGGGCCATCCTCAGTGAACGACCAAATGTGAAGTGGGATGATGTTGCTGGCCTCGAAGTAGCCAAGGCTGCGTTGAAGGAAGCCGTCATTCTACCTATCAAATTCCCTCACCTCTTTACTGGCAAGCGAACACCATGGAAAGGGATCCTGCTTTACGGACCTCCCGGTACAGGAAAGTCCTACCTTGCGAAGGCGGTGGCCACTGAAGCGAAGAGTACTTTCTTCAGCGTCAGCTCTTCTGATCTTGTGAGCAAGTGGCAGGGAGACTCCGAGAGGTGAGTACCTTGTGTCCTCTTCCAGCAACTATCGGTTAAAGACAGGGTCTAGGTTAGTCAAGCAGTTGTTCGAACTTGCTCGAGAGCAGAAACCTGCCATCATCTTTGTGGACGAGATTGACTCGCTTACCGGCACGCGAAATGAATCAGAGTCAGAAGGGTCGAGGCGTATTAAGACAGAGTTCCTGGTACAGATGAACGGAGTTGGAAACGACGATACGGGTATCCTGGTTCTTGGTGCTACCAATATTCCATGGCAGCTCGATAACGCGATCAAGCGTCGGTGCGTCCTTCGTAGTCTTCTGACCTCGCTTCCCCTCATTCCATTTCGCAGGTTCGAGAAGCGGATATACATCCCTCTCCCCGGGATTGAAGCACGCCGACGGATGTTCGAAATTCACATTGGCAACACCCCCACCGAACTGATTCCCAAGGACTATCGCACCTTGGCGGAGAAGACTGAGGGATATTCCGGCTCCGATATTGCTATCGTCGTGCGCGATGCTTTGATGCAACCTGTGCGAAAAGTGATTTCAGCGACCCACTTCAAAGAAGTGCAAGATCCAGAGACAGGTGCTGTGAAATGGACGCCTTGTTCACCCGGGGATCCCCATGCAGTTGAAAAATCCTGGAATGATATTGGCTCTGACGAACTGTTGGAACCCCCTCTGAAGCTCAACGATTTCTTGAAGTCCCTGGACAACACACGACCGACAGTCACCCAGGCTGACATCAAGAAGCATGAAGATTGGACGAAGGAGTCTGGTGCGTTATAACCCTCGGTTGTGGATTCGTTGTATTGACCTTGCCTTTTTGTACAGGAAACGATGGTGCATGATATGGCCCCAACAGACATTTCATTTATGGGTCTGTGTTGATTAAGTTTGGCAGGAATATACGTCGTTGTAATTGTAGTTTGTTTCTTCTTGAGGACATCGCCCCGGTTAGTCATTCCCCTTTTATGAACCTGGTCTCATCACCGTCAGACGTCAGCCACTCCAGCCTCACGGGTTCGTCATTGGTCTCTTCTTCTCTTAACACCGCCGTCGACATATTTCTTTACCTCGCGTTGACATGGCTACGCCACTAAAACAAAACGCAACTGGATTTACAGCGCTTCCTGACGAACTTCTCCTGGATATATTAATCCACCTCGACACAACTGTCATTCGCAATCATGGCACTCCTGCACTCAATGACCCCATCGCATCGCAGCTGCGAGAATTTACCATAATCAGCCTTATCCAAACTTGCCAGTCCCTTCGAAGGTTCTTTCTGCCCTACCTGTGGCAAAGAATTCAAATGTTCCCTTGCCCCTTCCCCGACAATGATGCAACCTTTTCCAGCGCTAGCGAACGTCAATGGGAGGAGAGAGCGACAACGTCCTTGATCAAAAGACTTGATATGATCCTCGATGGAGACCCTGATCTTACGAAATGTGTCCAGTAAGTTCCTCTTCTTTAAATCTGCTTGCGGCCCAAGGGATTGGCTGAAATCGAACGTGGGCTCGTGCAGGATCGTCAATGTTCATCTGTACTATTCAAATCTCTCCGAGATTCTCGCCAAACTCGTTAAAGTCTTATCGATCTGCCCCCAAGTGCCCACTTTGCAACTGACCGGATCGTTCTATGGCATTTCCCGGTTAACGTTCAACTCGCTGTTCTCCGCAGAGCGTGCCAATTCTCTACAGTTCCCCACAATCAACACCGCCTTTTTCACACCCCTGACGATTGCGGCAATCCAAGCACTCCCCAATCTGCGTCATTTGCATTGGCATTCTCCGTATGGGTGGCAACGGAACGAACTTCTAAATGCATAGCTTGCTCGTCTGAATCTGACGAGTTACCATGGTCTTACGCCTACTTCTATCATCCATGATCACAAGGACGAGAGCGGACAGGGTATGTGTTTTTTCACCTCGTCCTTTACACTAGATATTACTAAGAACGACAGACTGATATTGTTTCAAGTTCGATTCAAGGAGTCTTTTGGAAGTGTCGAGGTTCTCGAGTTGGATTTGACCAGAGAGCATTGGATCGATTACGAAAGTGAGGAGCGTTTACAGTCCGACGATTGTAACGCTCTTAGGCAAAGCATAAAACTGGTTCGCCTTTCCTCCCCCGTCACCCAGAGTTCTTCTGACCAAATACTGCAGGTGTTCGAGCCTCTCAAAGCGCTTCCCAAACTCCATACTCTCCAACTTTGGTTTCCAGACCCGGACGCGCCATACTTGGTCCGGCTACTTACTCCGGAGCAAATCAATGGGTTTGTAGACGCGGCGAAGACGTTTCGAAGACGTTTTTACTCGGAAAAGCCGTGGAAACTTCGCCGGCGCCTAAAAAGAGATTAGTTGTCATTCGGGAAGGATATAGGACCGTGGAGGACGTAGCGCTGAAATGATTCGGCGTTCTGCTCGCGGCGCTCAGATCCAGATTTGGGGGTGTTGCATTGCCTCTCAAACAGGTTAGTAAATTCACACTGACTTGGTCGTGCGGATTCTTAAAGTTGTTACGGTCATTTAGGCGCTCTAGATCTTGCGGTACTTGGGACCTATTCGACTGTCCCTTGAAGCACGTTCTAGTACCACTATGATTTACATTACTTGCACGACAATGTTCCAGGTATTTCGTGGATTGGTACATCGATGATTCGATGTGACTCGGCAAGACTAGGAAATACACTTCTCGAAGTTTCCGAGTTCACGGTCACCGATTACCGGCGCTTAAGTGCACAGGTTGGACCAGCACAGGTTAAGCCAGGTAACCGCTGTTATTGAGTCGGATTCCTCGGTTGCTCTGTGCAGAACGAGGGGACGTCCCCGACTCCTGCATGGAAACCGCCTGAAGAATTGCAGCCCTCTTACTGCCCGAATCAGAACAATTAATGTAGTTCAGTTCCACAGCACCATGCATAATAATCCAACATTACAACTTGAATGAGATGTCGGCATGGCTCCTAGTGTTCCCACCTTTCCGCCGAACAATCTGGTGCACTCTTGCACATGTCTTCCTCATGACAAAAGACTTGCCGTATCCGCATTCTCTTTCTCTTTGGAGAAACAGGGGCGCCAAGAGAACAATGCGATTTCCACACACAAAAGCGGCAAGCGCCGCGAGGGCGCCTCGTTGTGTGGCACACCTAATCATTCCAGGGAGGCTATATAAAGGCAAGTACCACGAGCCCTCCTTGCTTTTGCACTCCATCCATATCCATCGATCTACTTGTTTTTTGTTTGTGCCACCCAACAGCCCCACTTGCAGTTCAGGGCTTCGATACTTATAACAGTTACAGATCCTTCGCCCCTTGTTCTCGTCTCGAGCTTATTTGTGTGCACCCTCTTCACATTCACATTTACGTTTTCCGCGCACCACCAGCTTCAAGCATGCCTTCCGCTATGCTCGCACCATCAAGGCTTCCATCATCGTCCACATCATATAGAGGGTTTGGGCTATGGCATGATGCCCATCACCACTCCTTCACGTCTAGGAAATACCGTCAGCATATACATACTAGATACCCGTCCGAAGAAAGTGATATTACAGCATTTGAGGAAGACGGCTTGGAGGAACCGAGCATCCAGATGGGTAGGACCCGCCGGAGATCACAGTGGCACCGTGGCGCCCAGCCGCCGCCCTCCAACTCCTCCCTCGGCGAGGGGGATCTTGACATCATGGATATCGACAAGCCACTGGACTATAGCTTCAAAGTAAGTCGCTTTGTTTTCTTCCGTGGTTTTGAGGATTGGTTTTGAACGAATGTTGCTTTCGTGGATATTGGCATGCAGATTCGGGATCAAGTGTGGATCCGGACCTCAGAGAATAACTGGTACCATGGTGTCGTCGTCGGACAGCACCCCAAGATTATGCCGCTCGCTTCTGATAAGGTGAGTCTTGAGTGAATGACTACAGTAGCTGATGCTGGGTACTAACATCGTTCTATTTTAAACAGAGCGGGAACCATGAGGAGCCCACGCACGGCGCTTACTACATGGTGGAGTTCCGGATTTGCAACAACATTCGAAAGTACTTTGCACCTCTGAATGGAGAGATAAAGCCGGATACAGAGGAAGTGCGGCAGCTGTTAAGGGAAGGGAAGTGGCTTTAGTTTCCTAGACGTTCATTCGATTCAGCATTCAAGAACCGAAAAATCCTGGCGACTGCTTTCGGAACTGTGGACATTCTACCTTTATCTCGCGCTTGTCGTGCCATATTCAACATCTTCAGTATACCCATCCCATTATTACCATATAATTCCACACTTGTACAATTTCTCCAATCCATTTCTTCGCTTGCATTACATTTGAATTTCGTCTTTCAGGCTCTAGTATCTATCTGCTCTGTATGTAGAAGTAATATCAATGTATCTCACTGGGACGGGTGTGGCAGGTACCTCTGCACCAATAGTACCTACCTCCACGTAGCTGCCACCATTGTTTCCTTCCTCCGTCATAGTCTGCCTCGTGCCTTACGCCCTTTCTCAGCGGACCCCACCTCTCTTTACGCCCGAGATACCAGTGCCAAGGACATCATCGTCCTGTGTACAGATACCGCGTTGATGGCATCAAAGTCTCTGGGCAAATCCCGAAAGGAGGTGTCGCGTTCATCGCGTTCAACTTTGTCTTTGGCAACACCATTAGTCTTTGTATCAGGACAGAATCGACTGTCCTCTTCGTCTTTTGTGAGCGCAGGAACTTGTTCTAAATTCACTCACCTCTTCGCTTCTGGAGAAGGCTTAGGGGCCAGTGGATGCGCTATGGCTGAAGAATGGAACGAAAACGGGAGCCAAGCCTACCGAGAGGGTAATCTCGCGAGGTAAGTTTGGGCGAACGTCTCGCGGGCTCTCTCTAAATGTTCTCTACCCATAGGGCTAAAGAATTCTACCAAAAAGTACGAAGCCTAAGACTGTGCTACCTTTTGTGCGCTAATATCCATCGGCCCTCCAGGCAGCTCGGATCGGGAGCAAACACGCCAGCACCGAGCCCAAGTATTTCTCGAATCTTAGCGCGGTTCTCTTTGAGCTAGGAGAGTACGAGGAATGTATGAAAGCTATCACGAAGTCGTGGACAATACTCAAGCACGGTGGAACTTCACTGGAGTCGAGTCCTCTGGCCATAAAACTGGCGACGCGGTATGCCAAATCGTATTATTACGCGAGAGAACCATCGCGTGTGAAGGTTCATGAAGATATCAAGAAATTTGCGAAAGGGGTGTCCGGCAATGATCAGGACGAAAAGGCAAAGGAAATAAGCTTTTGGTGGAAGTTCATCGAGAGTGGCGCACGTGAATACTCACCGAGGGAAGATGAGCTAGACCGTGCCAGGAGGACCAGTATATTCAAGACGAGACAGTACGTTATCGCGCCATCCTAGACTCCATGGTTTGCTCACTTCAACCTATGCCCTGTGTGACAGGCTTCCAACCAAGGAGTTGTACCATGTGTGTCTTCGTTCTTCCGGCTCTCAGCTCTCGGCGATCTGACCTTCCAACATCTAGTTTGGACACGACGCGGTTCGCTCACTTCTCGATGGACTAGAGCACGATCCCTCGACCGAGATGAAGCAAAGTGACCTGGACCCGTCAGAGAAGAAACGCCTTGCCTTCCTCTTTGGTGGATCAGGCGATGGTAAGTCATCACTGCCAACTTGGGACCATTATTTCTCCGTTTCATGACACTCACTTCTGCATTTTGATCTAGCCCGACATGTCTTTGGAACAGTACTTCACGCGGCCAACTCTGGATGGAATAACAAATGGCATATGACCCTCATCGAGATTCACCCAGCAACAGTGGCGAGGAACGTCCTCGTATTCGAACTGTTCACCGAAATCCAGGGAGCCAGAACAGAGGAAGAGAAAGACGAATTGTTTGCTTCGCTCGTGTATCTTTACACCTCGATGGCCATACCGGATTATTGCGTTCAGCGGTGAGGGGACTTCACCAGTGCCGCATAATGTAGGCTCAAGTCGCATTGGGTCTTTAGATTGATGAAAACCGCTGCTGCAGCGGCTGAGCGACTGCGGGCCTCTGCTCAAGGAGAAGGACCCGTCATCCTTCACGGTCACCTCTCAATCGACCGAAGTTCAGTACCCGAAATCCTCGTCGTCCTCAAGCAGTGGTGCCAACCAATCGAAAAGTCGGTGGCGACTATGATGAAATACAACCCCGTCATTAAGGAGCCTGTGGGGGAGAAGCTGACAGAGAGGTTGGAACAATTTGACGCCATGTTCAGAGGGCAGGTTGGGTTTGATCCCAACGAGGATACTGAACTCGAGCGACGTTTAATCGACGAAACGAGGGCCTTGATTCCACCTGCCACGTTGATAAACCGACACCCGGCGTTTCTCAAACTACATACCACGCGAAAGCCAACGCTCAAGGCAGTACGGGAAGAAGTGCTGAAGACTTGGAAACCGAACTTTGCTCTATTTGTGCGTCTATTATCTCGGCTTACTGCCGCCTAGGATTATCTCTCATGATCACCTCTTGACTCCAGCAAAATGTAACGACGTATGGACAGCGGCTGGGCCTTTTCGACGAGGGTTATCCTGAGAACGACCAAAATCCTCAGGACAACCTCTCTAGTTTCTTCTACATGTGTATCCGCTTTTCGAAGCACCACCAGATGATGGAACTCATGAGCGTTCCGAGGACTGTTTTCTACGTTTTCAAACAGTTCTTCATTCGCGTCATTGCAGCATTGCGTGCCCTCAGAGGTAAGCTTGTGGTGGAGATCGCGGTGGACGATGTGATCACGGGTCTTCCGAGGATATTCGCGGATTCATCGAGGCCAAAGACTTATCCCAACAAATTTACGAGGATGTGGTTGAGCAATGTTCCGTGGGTGGCCTTTATTACTTCTTTGACTAGTACTGACTCAACGCGGATAGGGATTACACAGGAGGAACCTTGAACAACGCCGTCTTCCTCATCCCGCACCTTCATCGGTCGAAGTCCAATATGATCATGTCCAATATCCTTCTAAACACCAGTGCGTTCACTGTGGTGCCAGAGGTTACGTACAAGTAAGCCGTTAAAGAGCCAATCTTGTTAATCGATAGAATGTTCACTTCCACCCGTAGCTACGTGCTCCTTGAGGAGAAGGACCTCCAGCGCTTCCTTGGTTGCCGACACATGCAGCCAACAGCAGAATTCAGCGCGTGGCGCGATCTGGCACTTGTTGCCGACATGGACGGAGCCCGCGATGCCTCAGCATTGCCGTCCAAGGCGGAGCTCCATGCCTGGCTCTCGCACCTACTCCTTTCGACCGTCAAACCAGCGCACGCCCTGGGAGCACCCAGACGAGTTGACCAACCCAACAACCTTGCAGCTTTCGTTCACCTTCTCATCTATCTCCACGAACACATGGCGTTTCCGGCGCACTGGCTGGCTGATTTCGTCGCAGCGGTGTTTGATAACTGCTTGGTCACAGCCAAGAAGCCTTACTGTGGGTTCTTGCCGATTCCTCTTTCGCATGCGAAGGATGTCAAGGCCAAACCAGAGAAAGTGAATTTGGAGTTCTGGAAAAGCGACTTGCGGCTTGTGTTCTCGGATTTGCACCCCCTTGTTCGCTTTCCCATTCGGCACATTCTCCCCGACGACCGAGTTCTCCAAGACGCCGACATGGTCCACCTCAAGACGCGCGTTACGGAGAATATCGGCGCGTATATCCCACCGCCACACAGTGATATGTCTTTTGTCAATGCGATTGGACTAGCCTTTTACAAACTGCGCAAGAACGCCAGCATCAAATCTATCCTGGCGGAACGTGGCTTACTGAAGGCTCTGAACATGAGCAAGGAGGAAGTGGAAAGGACCATGGGATCTGTCCAGATTATGCTGTCGGAAGGGTACATCGATGTGATTGAAGACGAGTGCAAGACCTGGCGGTGGGAGGACAAGAGGCTGATGCCTCCTGCGTTCATTAATTGGAGGATGGCCAAGGAAGATTACGAGAAGATGCGTAGGGAGAAGTGGGAGATGGTTCTGTATAGAACAGATGTTGGACTCGTTAGTGAGTTTGGCCTTGTTTATATACTTGGGGTGGTCAACTAACAAAGCTTTACCGCTAGTGACTGAACCGGCGAGGGCGAGCGACTGGATCGCCGTCGAGACGTGAGGTGTTAACGACTTTGTTCAATCTGTTGTCAAGGTTCCTTGCGTGAACGTCAGTAAATGCTGCTTTATGTATATTATTGACCGAATTTTCTTCTACCAACATCTTCGATGAACCGTCAACAGTCATGGCGTCTGATCTGGAAGGGTAGGCAGACACGTTAAACGTGCGGGATCTAGTAAACGCCCGGGGACGCATCCACCCCTGTCCGGATACCTTGAATTGATGGCGGGTTGCTAATCGTTGAGCGCTGAGCCTTGAGCCACAGTGTATTTTGGGTAGAAAGATTGGAATGTTTTGGTGACGTCCAATAACGAGATACCAGTACATTGGGCATCTCGTAGCCACTTTACGATGTCAAATTCTACAATTGGGCTGGTGCTCGCCCCTATTAACTGAGTATTTGATGGCATTAAGGGCAAATGTTGGGCAAACCCCGGATGCTTTTGCCATTAAGCTCTTTCCGAAGAACCTTGTCCTTGACCGTGTTGTTATCATTGGAAATCTAGCTTCAACCCTGACTTCTACCTTCAGTGACGTGTAATACGGCGTTATCAAGATTGTAGCGTCACTCAAGGCGTCTATGGCTGAAAATTTGAATGAAAAGGGCAACAAGGCCTATCGAGAGGGGAATCTCTGCAGGTAAGCTCGAGCAATAGTCTTTAAAAACGCGACTTCAAGTGCCCGCCTATTTTCAGAGCTCGCGACTGCTACGAAAAGGTGTGTATGTGTTGATACCTAGTTCTAGAAGCAGAAGAAAACTCACTGTGTTATCGCAGGCTGCTCAGCAGGATGCCGACGAGCCAAAGTACTTTTCAAACCTCAGCGCGGTGCTATTCGAGCTGGGCGAGTACACAGAGTGTACAATGGTTATCGTAAAGTCATGGAATATTCTCAAAAGGAGCGCGGCTCCACTTGCCTCCAGTCCCTTGGCCGTGAAGCTAGCGACTCGCTACGCAAAGGCATGCTACTTTGCAGGCCGTTCGGGACCATGCACCAAGGTCAACGAGGACATCAGTCGCTATGTAGAAAGGCGATCGGGTCAGGAACAGGACGACAAGGTGAAGGAAATGGGGACGTGGTGGGAGATGATAAAAGACGGAGAACGCGAAGCTTCCCCGACGGAAGAACTTGACCGTGCAAGGAACACTGGTATTCATAAGACAAGTCTGTGAGTAATGGGGCATTCTCTCGAGGCCCAACCAGATTGTACTCACCTATGCATCGATGCGTCGGCACTTAAGGGTTTCGGCCATGGAACTCTACCCCGCACGTCTTTTCTTTATGTTTCCCTTCCAAAAGAATCTGATATTTTCACCTCCAGATGGGTCACGACCCAGTACATTCGCTCATCGATGGAGTAGATCAAGACCCATCAACCGAAATGAAGGAAAAAGATCGTGATTCAATGGAAAAGAAAAAGCTGGCCTTCCTGTTTGGAGGGTCGGGAGACGGTGAGTTGTTCTCAGTGTAGACTCCGCCAATCAAAAGGAGACTCAAAGGCGATTCCAAACTTCTGCAGGGCGCCATGTCTTCACGACTCTGATTCATGCAGCTTCACTCAAGTGGTCAAATAAGTGGCATATGACCCTCGTTGACATCCACCCCATAACAGTTGCCAAAACCATCGTCATCTATGAACTGCTTGCTGCCGTGGGCCAAGCAAAAAATGAGGAGGAAAGGGACGAGATATACGCAACACTCGCTTTCATGTACACGTGGGCGTTTCTGCCGGACTACTGCGTCCAAAGGTGAGCGAGCATCGCCAGGATCATACCACTGGTTGTAATCTGCGCCTTGCATCAGGTTGATGAAAACGTGCGAAGCACTCTACGAAACACTCTCTTCGTCTGGCGGACTGGGGCCTGTCCTTCTTCACGGTCATCTCTCGATTCCCCGAAGTTCACTCCCCGGCGTCATCGCAGTCCTAGAGGAATGGCGCACACCTCTCAAAAAGTCGGCTGCGCGGATGATGGAACTAAATCCCACCATTCCTCCGCCAACAGGTAACGAACTGGACGACGAAACTAAACGCATCGATGCCATGGTCAGAAATGCAACCGGAGTCGACGTTAACGAAGACAACGAGTTTGAGCAGCGTCTCATCGACAAGACACGGGCATTGATCCCTCCGGCTACGCTCATCACTCGCCATCCAGCACTTAAAAGGGTGCTTGAAATCCGGAAGTTGACGGGACAGGCACTACGGGACGTGAAGACAGAGGTAATGCAGAAGTGGCAGCCTAATTTTCTCATTTTCGTAAGTACTCTCCACTTGTCTTCCAAGCCCCATGCTGACGGTCGTACTAGGATCGGGAGGACATTGAAAAACGTGGCCTGCGGCCATACGACTCCGAAAACGGCTATCCCCACAACCACTACAACCCCCAAGACAGGCTTTTAGATTTCCTCTATGCCTGCGTGCGATCTTTACCTCCAGAGAGCTCTAATATCAATGTCATGCGCGTTCCGAGAACGGTCTTCCAAATCATGAAGCAGTTCTTTACGCTCGTAGTGGCAGCGTTGAATGCGTTGAAGGGTAGAGTCGTGGTTGAAGTGGTGTTGGAGGATGTGATTGCCGGTCTTCCGAGGCTCTTTGCAGATCCCGCAAGGCCTAAAACCTACCCGCAGAAGTTTACAAGAATGTGGCTGAGCAACGTCCCGTGAGTCCTTTTTCTATTCAGTTTGGTTTTCCAGTTAGAGGCTGCTAATGTCGATCGGTGCTAGGGACTACACCGGAGGTACTCTAAATACTGCGGTCTTTTTGATTCCCCATCTCCATCGGTCCAAATCCAGCATGATAATGTCCAATATGCTTCTCAACACCGTTCTATTCTCCCAGGTGCCAGAGGTCACCTACAAGTAAGGACCTACTATCTTGTTCACGGCGGATATATCTTCTAACGTCGCTTCCCTGTAGTTATACACTTTTCGAGGAGAAGAATCTGCAGCGTTTCCTTGCTTGTAGGAATGTAAAACCTCTGGATGAGAACAGCGCGTGGGGCAGACAAGCACTAATCGCCGACACAGATGTAGTTCGCAAGGCTTCACGACTTCCCTCCAAAGACGAGCTTAATACCTGGCTTTCGCACCTCTTGCTTACCATCGTCAAGCCGGCGTACACCAATGTGATGCCTTGCCGGATCGACCAGCCGAACAACCTCGCAGCGTTTGTCCATGTACTAATCTATCTCAACACTGTCGTCGGGGTTCCAGGACATTGGTTGGCCGAGTTTCTGGCTTTGGTTCTTGACAATCGCTTGGCCACGACGGCAAAGCCCTATTGTGGCTTCTTACCTGTCCCCATCGACCACGAGCAGGACAAAAGGACAAAGCCGGAAAGAGTTAATCTGGAGTTTTGGAGGAGTGATTTGAGGCTCGTACTTTCGGATTTGAAGCCGCTGATCCAGTTTCCGATCAGACATATCCTCCCCGACAATTTCTTCCTCCGGAAGGACGACATCGTGCATCTCAAGACTCGCATCACGGAGAATCAAGGCGTGTTCATGCCATTTCCACACACGCCTTTTGTGTCTGCCATCGCCTTTGCGTTTTACAAACTGCAGAATAACGCCAATATTGAGTCCGTCGTGAAGGAAAGCAGCCTGACGAAGGTTTTCGAGATGAGCCCGGATCAGGTGAAGAAGACAATTGGGTCTGTTCAAATCATGTTATCGAATGGACGCGTCGATGTGGTGCAAGAAGAATATTATAGCTGGCTTCAACGAGGAAAGAGGTTAGTGCCTCCTTCCTTTGTGAGTTGGAGAATGGCTAGGGAGGATTACGAGAGGATGTGTCGAGAGAAGTGGGAGATGGTACTATACAGGACCGATAATGGAATCACGGGTGGGTTCTCTGTGTGTGCTAAGCTGACGGTGGATACTGATACTATGTATTATCAAATAGCGACCTGCCCTATTAAGGCAAGCGATTGGGTTGTTGTCGAGGCCTGAAGAATTGTATTAGTACCCAGCGAAGTTGTAATTGATCCGTATCCCTATACACTTTGACTTTCTCCGTGAGCCTCGACGATCCTTTGAGCCTAGGACTTTCCAAGTGTATCTTCTTTCCTAGTATATCCTGTCGTCAATAATACCTTTCATGTCATCTCCTTCAATGTCGAGGACTTGGGTCCTTCGTCTTAGGGGCTATTTGATGGCATCAGGAGCGGTGAGCAATTGTGGATGCATAGTCATCGGTCTGACGCGCTCTTCCACAACCATCACCCGCAGACCGACTTCGCCATGTCGAATACCGTCTCTAGCGCCCTCTATGAAAGCCTGATCCTGAAACTTGTCACTGTACTCGAGATAACGCGTGAATCCGAAGGCATAACAACACCTCAGGCGAAGCAAAAGCTTCTTCAAGCCGTAAGCTAGCATAATGCGCATTCTCGTTCGTCTCATCGAAACTGAACGCCGTTTTCCAGACGAACGACTTCAAGAACTCTCTTGCGCAGGCCAAAGAGATTGCTCGCAACATACCTGGTGGGGAGTTCACTGTCGAAGAACAAGACGAGGTCATCGAGATGTTAGAGACGCTCCGAGATCGAAAACGGTACGCGTTTGAACCATTGCTGAGAAAGGGTAGCCAATTTACACCATTTTAGTGCCAGATTAGCCCATTTCTCTTCCAAGAACTTGGCCTCAGCGCACTCCCTTGCTGATACCAAGATGGAGATCGATTCTATGGCGTCAACGCCTTTTGGAGGATGAGGGTGGCCTCGCAAGAGCCCATAGCTCCTACCTCTTCAACCCGGTGCATCATTCCAGGCCTCCGACAGGAGCGGAATTCATACAATTCCGCTCCAACTGGATTGCGTTCAGGACTACCCAGCGTCATCTCCCATGGCCCGATCATACAAAAGACAGACCGCCACCGCTCCTGTTCGAGTTTCGCCTCTCTTTTTCTTCACCTTTGCTGTTGCGCTGGTCGCTCCTTTTATTGCCTTTCTCTTCTGCTCTCATCTGAAGCTGTGCTTCCTTTTCAAATTTTACCCATTCCAACACTATACAGTTGTTCAGAACTTTCCAGCCTTTAAGCCCCAGCAATATGTCCATCTACATCCGTTCGCGCACTCGCTCTTCCCCCATCGCCCGTAGTCGCAGAGGTGAAGCCGAAGCCTCCAGTGGAAGTCGAAACATTACTTGGATCGCACCGCAAAGCAACCAAACCTACCCAGCCGGCCAGACCCTCGTCGCTAAATGGGATACGCTGTTAGCTCTGATTTTACCTTCATTCCAGCTGTGTGTGGGGGAAGACGGTGTAATGGAGCGTGTCCCAGAGACGCGGTGTGGAAGTATGGTGAACCCATCGGTTCAACAGCAAATAGATGGACTATATTTTGTGTCTCTGTATGTCTTGGCCAATTCTTGACGCCGAAGGATGCTAACGCAGGATTTGAACGACAGAGCTGTTCCGAACATCACCTCGGCGAAACCGTTCATCCTGAGGATGCAAGATACGCTTGGGTATGAGTTCGACTCACCTCCTTTTTATCTGGGTCAGGTCAGGTATGTCTGTCGTTTATTCTACTTTATGTGACTTGTCAACTCACCTACTACGTAGCGCCGGTACGATTGCGGCCCAAGAGAATTCCACGGACTCGACAGCTCCAACGCAACCACAGGAAACACCGTCGCTTCCCGCGGGAATCCTCTTCAACCTTACGGACGTCGACACCTCGGCTTCTGATTCCTATCCTCTGCTGGTCCTCCAAGAGCGACGAATTGGTCGGTACTTCAAGCGACAAGATAGCGATTTCGGTCCCTTTTCCCCCGGTGGATCCCCGACATTAGCGACTCTGTTGGTACCGTTGGCCATCGTCGGCGTCAGCCTTCTTCTGGCGTTGTTCCTTTGTTTCAGAAGACATCGACAAAAGGAATTAAGACCGTTAATTTTGACGGAGAAGAGGCTCGTGCATCCCGATCTCAGGCGTCCGTCGGTTTCGTTCAAGTCGGGGGATGATCTGGAATCCGCCGTTTCTGCGTTGGAGAGGGAAAGAGCGATGGGGAGGGGAAGGGAGAGTCCTTTCGATGCTGTTTCGCGAAACGACGTGGTTTTGCCTTCGTTGCCGTTTGACGGTTCTATGGGTCATTCACCTACCTCGTCGTCGTTTGCAGCTGGCGAGGAAGAAGTTAAACGGACGATGCGCGAGTCCGTTTCGGACCTGCGGTCGAGGTCTCTGACGGATTCCTACTTCTCATCTGTTCCTGCTCTTCCCTCGTCACCAATCCTACAGCAGCAGCACCTCGAAGGCATTGCCGAAGTTGTGGAGTCTGACGCGGAGGGTGGGCGGAATGGAACCACGCTCTACGAGGATTCTACCCAGCGTACCCTTCCACGCTCTCCCTTGCCTTCATCCCCGCCGCTACTTGTCAATGCATCAGCATCACTCAAATCCCCCATCGAGAGGCTTCAAGAAGTTAACCTGGCCTCGCCGCCGCTTCCTGCCATGATGAAGCTTTCGGAGATGTACAATTGTCGGACACGAAGCAAGTCTCCTAATGACGGTGGCACGAGAAGGTCCCCTCTGAGGGTGAAGGATGATCTAGAAGCAGGGGTGGAAGCAGGGTAAGGGGAAACCGGGGAGTGCGGATTGGGAAGAACAGGCTACCAGCGGGGTATGGTTCCATACGTCCCAACCTATACGAAGATGGCACCCTACGCGAAGGCGGGGATGAGGGGACGGCTCGAAGGTTTCACTGGGAGTTGATTGTATAGCTTTTCCTTCTACCTTCCATTCTTTACATCGTCATGTGGTCACGTATAAAAAGAGCATAGCTAGTACTATTCTTTCTATATATCCCTTTACAATCTAATACCTCTCCCCCCGCCAATTGCTGGAATGAAACAGACTTTAGGGCGAGCTACGCTTCTTGGAAGAAAGATCCGGTCAATTGTTTGGAGGCCGGAACGAGTTTGGGCATGATAGACGCGGCGGCATGCCAAATCATTTCTTTCTGAACCCTCTTTTCTGGTTTGGACGTCCTCGACTCGCTTTCTTGAATTCGAGAGGCGCTGCATGTAAACAACACTTGCAAGACATTGATTTCATCCTCCAGTGGCGCTCGTGAACACACTGCTTTCTAAATTCCTGCTCGAAAGGAAGAGATCACTATACGATGCCCCCGCTACATGTTGTTCAAGTTCAGCCTGAAGGTCCTGTTTACGTCGTGACAGGTTCAGATGGCACCCAAAGTAAGTTATGCTTCTATGGAAATTGTCTTATCTCGTTAATGAATCCCCCTTCGACATTCTCGTCCTATAAACCCAACCTATGAAACCACATTCAGAACGCGCACACGTTCTTGAACGCACAGACGACCGGTGCTTTGTACATTATATCGGAGAAGACAAGAGATTAGACGCATGGGTCCCTGAATCCTGCTGTATACCCGAGCAAGACCCTCGATTTCCGAACGACCCTGAAGGAGCCTCGACAACAGCCGGTCGAAAGCGCAAACGCGGTCACGGAGGAAGGGATCGCTCGGCCAGTCCTGGACATGCAGAACACGATATGAACGGACATGGATCGAGCGAAGCAGGAACGTCATCCCAGCCGAACGACTATCATCTCCAACTCGCGGCGCAGCAACCAGAGGAGGTGGTCTTGACGGAGGAAGAGTACGATCTCGAGCAACACAAGAAGATCACTGCCAAACGAAACTTTGAGGATGTCTACTTTGGGGATTACAAGATTAAGACTTGGTGCGTTTCGTTTTTTTCCGTCTCGTTCGTTTGGTGTGTCGGTGGCTCACAATACTGGTTTGGTGCATGGACAGGTACTACTCGCCATACCCACTTGTGGATTTCGACTTTGAAGAGAACCAAGCTCTATCGGCTGCCTATAGCAAACTAGCACATCCTGGATCTGCACCTGTTCCGCGTGCTACAGGCGGTGGTCGATCGAGAGCTCGAGCATCCGACCTTTTTGCTGGATTGTTGAACAGGCCGCATGGTGCTGAGCTACCGAATCTTTGGGTTTGTGATAGGTGTTTGAAGTATTTCTCGGATGGTGTTCCTTGGGAGATACATAAGGTGTGGTTTTCCCCGTATTTTGCTTGTGTGGAAGGCTAATGAACGTCGACTGTGTAGAGAGGTTGTACGATGGACCATCCGCCTGGGCAGTACGTTTATAAACGGGGGGCGCATGCTATTCGGGAGCTGGATGGTGCTACACAAAGGGTGTGTACTGGCTTCTACGTCGTTGTCGTCCCTTGCTCTTTGACAACCTTGCAGCTGTATTGCCAGAATCTCTCACTGTTCGGAAAGCTCTTCATCGATGTCAAAACACTTTACTTCGATTTGGATAATTGCACGTTCTGGTTTCGTATTCCTGTCGTAGGCTCGATTTAACATCACCACATAGTCCTTTTCTACGTCCTGACGGACTCGGATTCCTCTCGGGAACATATCATTGGATTCTTCTCAAAGGTGCGTCGTCACAAGTACGAGAAGGCTGAAGCTGATGTTTCTTCGACGGTGTAGGAGAAAGCATCGTTCGATGACTATAATCTTGCATGTATCATGACCTTGCCACAATACCAGCGAAAGGGGTATGGAATGCTCATGATTGAGTTCAGTGAGACCTCTGTTCTTTGTCACGTCAGTGGCCGGGGTCTGACGTAGCCCTTCATTGTTCGCCAGGCTATGAACTGTCGAGACGGGCGAAGAAGGTTGGTTCACCTGAACGACCGTTATCCGACCTAGGTCTCCGAAGCTACCTCGCATATTGGGTAGCCACACTCATCCGATTCTTCCGGTGCGTTGCCTTTCCCCTCACCCGAGCTCTCCCTGATAGCTGTGCTGTAGACATGTCCTTTCGACTCTGCCACCGGGCTCCGACGGGCTTATCGTCAAAAATAAAGGCAATTTCCCTGATCTTCGAGCTTCGACGCCCGGAGAGGTTGTCGACCCCAACTACGAGCCTGGAAAGCGGAAGAAGGCGAGGAGTATACCGCCGGTGGATGCGCCTCGGACGATGTTTGATGAGATGGACGGTGAGTTGCTTCCGCTCATCCCTTTTCTGTTCCCTTCTAACCTAAGCTTACAGATGAGGTGTTCTTGAACAGAGAATTCGAAACTGTGATGGAGAAAGACGGTAGCGCGAAGACGCATGTCAACATCCGGTGTACGCTGACCGACATTGCTCGTGCTTGCAACCTCCGAGTGGAGGACACCGCCTTTGCTTTGAATGAATGCGGTCTCTTGATGAAGCGTCTAGCCAAGGAGCGCAAAATGGCCTCATCATCGTCATCTCGAAGTGGGAGTGAAGGTGCCAATGGACGGGGAGTGAGCGAGGGGTTGAATGGTACTGTCGAGAAGGAGGGTGCTATCCATATTAATGGAAGCGATGGCGATGGGGAGATGGAGACGATTGTTATAACCAGGGAGTTGGTGGAGATGGTTGCGCAGGAGAGAAATGTGAAGAAGATGTGTATTGATCTGAGATATGTGTGTATTGGTACGCCGCCAAAGTTGGATTGATCTTGTAGCACGACATTATTATATGATACTTTGTCCGGATGGTGTGCGGGGTCTGAGTTTCGAAGGAGCAGTGGTTCTTCACTTTGTCGAAGGTGAGGCCCATTATCTTTGGGTGTTGAAGTTGAGAACGAGGCTCCCTTGCTCGGACGCGCAGGAGTGTTCCATTACATACATGTGGGTACTGGGTATTCGTACCTTTGAGCTGCATGCGTATGGTGGTGGTTTGGATCAGCACACAATCCGAGCGCTCGCGCATAGAAGGGCTTAAAAAGGAACATCGTATTGTAAACATTAGCGGAGTCCAGATTTAAATACTATCTAAATCTTCATTCACCTTTGCGTCGAGCTTGGAGATGCAAGTTCGCTCCTTTATGGACCTTACCCATGGGACTTGGATCGAGGGATAGCGGGAGATCCGAATGTACCTTGGGCGGCGTTGTGGCACCTTCGACGGTGTCTACCTTCCGTTTCGCTCCTTGACGGCCGGTATGGTGAGGAAGGACACTTCGAGTGAGCTGAATGGCCGCTGATTTTACCCTTGCCATTTGCGTCCGTTGTTGAATGAGGGCAAAGTCGTCCGGCTTGTCGAGTTTCTTCAGCTCCTCCAGAGTCTTGTCCACGGCGTCGCGAAACGCAGCAACAGGGTAATGGCGACATAGGATATTTCCCTCCTCGTCGAACCCGCTGCATAGGATTGCCCACCATTCAGCGAGCAGCCCGTGGAGAGGTTTGAAGAAGGGGTGGAACCAGGGGAATATATCGTTCTCCAGTACTGGCGGTGTCGTCTCGCGAATAGTCAGAGAAAACATAATACATTTTATCTTCCGAATCTCTTCCTTTGGGGCCTCGAAGAGATAATAGCGTCGAAGAGAAGCTTCGTAGAGCTCGTCACCTTTGACATCATCCTTGGGCTCCGGGCGCCGTTTTCCGCCGGGCCCTTCACGGGTCAGGCAGAGGAAGACCACAACCCAGAATAACGACTCCATGTCGTGTATTGCGCTGTGGGTTTCGTCGTCATCGCGAAGCAATTTATGGCTCATGAACGCGACAGTGCCCTGTTGCAAAGATGTTTGAGCAGGTGGGAAAAGAGGCAGGACTCGGTTCACTCACAGTCGCCACGGCATGTATTGCTGTGCGTTCAGAGAAACTTGGAGGGAGGACAGGCTGGACCAACGACTACCGTCAGAAGAGTAGGAGAAAGGTGTTCCAAGGGACGTACATCGTCCTCCAGCCCTGGAAGCATATCTGATATTTTGAGAGGCCTGTTGGGTGATGCGCCCGCAGACTCAAGGTAGTGATCGAGACGGGTCTTCGCAGTCGATGCATTGCTTCGACCGGTTTTTTTGGACCGGGTAAGATGAAGGAGCAGAAGAGCAAGATTGTCCGAAACCGACTGAGGGCAGATTTTGCGGAATTCAACCAAATGATCATGCAGCTCCTTGCGGAGCGATGAGACTCTTTTCGGTTTGTAGTTGGGACCAAGATCCTTCGCATGATCAAAGTCAATCAGACTTCCTTCACGCTCGAGGATTTCCATAACGATGTTGCCAATACTGATGTCGCGATGACAGATGCCCTTCTGATAATAGGCCCACTCATAGTCTATCACTTGGGGATGAGCATCACGATAACGAGCACAGAACACAGAACAAGGGCTGACCTTTCACTGCATCAAGCAGGACTTTCACTAATTCCTTCAGACTCGTAAACATTTTGATTGCTGTGCCATTCACAGGGATGACGAGCCGACATTGAACTCGTTCCATGAACTCTTGCGCAATCTTGGGAGGGTTTTTCGCTGAAAAGGTATTGTGGACAAGGTTGTGCTCGTCGCGGGGCTCTGACAGTGTCCTTTGCTGTGCCCCGCCCTTTGAGCCTTTCCCGACAATATCCTTGGCCGGCTCTGTGTGAATACCGCGGCGGAAGTCCTTCTGGGTATTGGATCCTTCAACATCTTCGCCATGGCACACAGGATCCTTCCTCCTGCCACCAAAATCCCCCAAACGGCTATAGAGTTCAAGTTCAGTAGCGCCACCCACGTTCGGTCGCCATGATTGCTTGATGATGTATAGCTGACGAAACGTCAGGCCATCCGAAATGTTGGTACAACAGCCTGAAACAACACACCTTCAAGTCTTCGGTATTGGGCTCATTGGTATAATCGCTCAGTCGAAACGCTCTCCACACAAGCGTAGCGCGACCACACATGATTTCTGATCGAGCTACACTCAGCGGCTCGACTGTATGGTAGAATTCGCCCTCGATGACTATTTCCCAACGCAGTGAATGTCGGTGCTTTGGCAACTCGTGGAAAGGTAGTCGATAACTGTAGGTAGGTGGACGGTTCGGAACAAGCATCTTCATAGCAGGGTCAAACCCCAAACGTTCCGGATTCATGGTTGCAAAACTGGCCATGATGCGAACAAAGGTCTTGGGGTCCTGTGTAGGTTGTTGGTGGGGTCCCTTTTTCGTCTTAATGTTGCAGCATACCTTGTCAATGTCGACCGTCTGGTCAGCACCGAGGAGTCCCGACCGATCGCAGTACCACAGGGACAATGAGCGGTGAAAGATAACGATGCCAAACACGAAGCGGCGATCATGCTGCTCTCGAAGAATTTGTCGAAGATAGGTGGATAATTGGATGACTGAGTCCCAGTCGTCGTTCCGGTTTGGTTTGACTTCAGCGACCAGGAGAGTCCTGAGCCACGAGGCGATTGGCTTGGGTGGGGCCTGCGACTCGGTGGGCTGGGCCTGTGGCTGCGGTGCGGCCTGAGCATCGGATCCATTCTGTGCGTCGGTCTGCAGGGGGTCCTCCTGGACAAGAGGTTAGCAAGGCAAAGCCAATTGGGCACAACTAAGAAACCACATACCTGGACCTCCTCAGCTTCTCCGCCTTCTGTCTTTTGTCGCTTTGGGTTTGGTTTATCCGAGTCGTCTGTGTTGTCGTTTTCTTCATCATCCTCAGTGTCATGCAGCTCCTGCACAGAACCGGTTGCCGCCACGGCCTTGACACTAGGAGAGGCCTCACGCACCTTGAAGCTTGCTACCAGATCCTCGACATTGTCCCCCGGATTGAGAATAGCACTGAGAAGATCTGGGCGTATCTTGCTCGCGCCTTCGACATTCGACTTGGGTGCTGAAGAGTGACAATCCAGCCATGTGGACGGTATAATCGGTGATTCGGGTGCGCGCTTGTTGACTTTCCGGACTGCCTCCTTGGTGATAGCGTTGAAGATGGCTGCGAGTGGCGTGTAATAAGCCGTCTCCGGCCCACCCGCTTTCTCAGGAAGGCCTTTCCAGCCTGTTTGCTGGGTATAGTGGTCCGAAAGAGAACCGAGGACCTCGTCAACCTCAGAGTCAGTCAAAGGTTGGCCAAGGAGCTTGAGAAGATCGTGGAGGCTGCAGATTCGGCTCTGACCGTCTAGGTCGTGAACGACAGCCGCTTTCACCTCATCTGCAGTGGTTGCATGGCTGCTTGTCGTCATCTCCGCCTTGACTTGACTATCGGGCTTGTTGCGAGATCTGAAAAGTGGTTCCCATGGGCGGCTGAAAAGTGAGAATGAAGAAGAGGACACACCTCTGAACACGGTTTGGGCACGTTCACCTTATATCGGTGCACCAGCCTTGAGGACAGTTCCTGTTTGGCAGGAGCTGGTCAGCAGACCCTTATCGATTGCTACAGATGGATTCGAACACGGTGCTCGGAGATCGACGAGTTCTGCGTGTCAAACACTGACAGCAGTGGCATGCCCTATTTGCTTGTGTGGGTCCACCAATAATGCTATTTACCTGTAGAAGTTGCCTGTCAGCATCTGAGAGAACGCTTTATGGGAGTGCAGACGCGATGAAAAGACCGACCAACACTGCGCTCAGATGTACGGGGAAGAGAAGAGTTTGCCAGCGCCAGTTCCAGAGAGGCGCTGGCAACTGCACAGCCACATTCCCAGCATGCTGACTTCGTCCCCTACCAGAAAGGCCGTGGTCATTGACATGAAGTACTCAAGGTGACACACCGAGTCCAGTGGACACCACGCGCACGTTTATCGGACTGTCGATTCACGAACAACATTGAAAACATGGTCAGGTTAGCTACCGACGGGCGCTTAATTGTAAGGCGGGGAGGCTCACAGCGCGGTCCCATACGCTCATATACCCGAGTCCCGACGGTGGCTGAAGAAGTTAACTCTTCAGTCATGCTACCTTTTGGTGTAGCGGCACAATGTGTGTCGGGCCCTTACATTAATGTACTTGACACAATCCCGTCCAACCCCATACTGTCCCAAGGTGGCACTCAACGTTGCAGTTCCAATCGATAAGCTGGAGGATGCATAATCAATCCGGATATACATTAAGTATAGACCCAGTATCCTCCAAACGTGAGGCGGTTCCGCAGAAACACAGAGAATCAAACACTTTGAGCGAGGGCAATGGCATCCCTGCGCACGCTTGCCATGTCCAGCTGCTGCTGCACGAGTACGTCATTTGGGCCTGGCTCCGCTGGGAGTTTCTCAAGAGCTTTCTCCAAAGCGTGACGAAACGCGGTAACTGGGTAGTGGCGACATAAGACATTTCCGTACCGGCGGAAGCCGCTGCAGAGAATTGCCCACCACTCGGAAAGCAGCTCATTGAGGGGCTTGAAGGAGGGGTGGAACCAGGGGAACACATGGTCCTCCAGCACTCGCAGCATCTTGTCGCGAATAGTCATAGAGAACATATCCCCTTTCAATTTCTCAATCTCGTCCTTGCTGCCCTCGAAGAGATGATAGCGTAGAAGGGAAGCTTCGTAGAGCTCGTCACCTTTGACGTCATCCTCTGGCTCAGGTCGCTGCCTTCCGCCGGGCCCTTCACGGGTGAGGCAGAGGAAGAAAAGGACCCAAAATAATGACTCCATGTCGTGTATTGCGCTGTGGGTTTCGTCGTCATCGCGAAGCAATTTATGGCTCATGAACGCGACAGTGCCCTATTGCAAAGATGTTTGAGCAGGTGGGAAAAGAGGCAGGACTCGGTTCACTCACAGTCGCCACGGCATGTATTGCTGTGCATTCAGAGAAATCTGGAGGGAGGACAGGCTGGACCAACGACTACCGTCAAAAGGGTACAGGAAAAGTCGTTAAAGGTACGTACATCGTTCTCCAGCCCTGGAAGCATGTCTGATATTTCGAGTGGCCTGTTCGACGATGCGCCATCGGACCGGATGTACCTGTGTATACAGGGTACTGCCTCGAGCGCAGCATCTTCCGGGAAGGTTGTTCGCTGGAGGTAAAGGATCAAAAGTGCGAGGTTATCTGAAACCTCCGACTGAGGGCGGTATTTGCGGAATTCAGCCAAATGTTCGGGCAGCTCCTCCCGCAGCGACGACACCTTCCTCGGTTTGTAGTTGGGGCCATGATCCCTCGCATGATGATAGTCCGCTAGATGCCCTCGCCGCGTCTCATGGTCGATGAAGATGCTTCCAACAGTGATACCGCCATGACAGACGCCCTTGCTGTAGTACATCCACTCGTAATCTGCGATGTTCAGGTGAGTGTCAGTAACAAACTACAACGGAGATCTGACCTTTCACGACGTCCAGAAGTACCGATACCAATTCTCTTAGTCCTGTTGCCTTCTCTAGCAAAATCCCGTTGATGGGAATGACCAGTCTGGTCAGAACTCGCTCCAGGAAGTCTCGAGTTTGTTCTGGACGGTTCTTGTCGTTGGCATAGGTCAAACGAAGGAGAAACTGAGCGCTGGACTCCGGCAGACTACGCTTGTCGATGTCAAGGTAACCGGTGAGGCTTGTCTTTGTGATGCTTTTGCGGAAATCTCGCAGGGTGTTGGTCTGGTGTACGTCTTCGCCAACGCACGGAACTGGTTTCTGGCCATCGAAATTGCCTAGGAGGTGGTAGACGTCCAGTTCGTTACGCCAATTTCGATCCGAAAAGGGTCGCCAATGCTGCTTGATGAGCACCAGCTGGCGGCAAAGGAGGTTATCGTGGTGTACACAATACTCCGGAGAGCTCTTACCTTGTCGTTTTCGCTGAAAGAACCTCGTTCATCCAGGCGATACGCCCGCCATACATGGATGCCTCCACCGCACATTACTTCGGTTCGATCCACGCTGACTAGTTCCACAGTTTGGTACGTGGCTCCCGCGATTTCGATTCGCCAATGCAACCACTTTCGTTGCGTCGGAATCTTGTCAAGCGGCAAGGAATAGCTGAACGAGGGTGGGTAGTTCGGCACCACGATCTTCATTGTTGGATCGAATCCCAGTTGCTGAGGTGACATTGTAGCGAGGGTGGCCATGACCCGTACGAACATGTCCGGATGCTACAATCGGCATGAGGTTCCGGCTCTGTGTACCTTGGATGTGGTACAATGCATACCTTGTCGATGTCGAGTAACTTGTCTGCGCCCAGGGCACCGGAACGGTCGCAGTACCACAGCGAAAGGGAGCGATGGAAGAACAGAAGCCCGAATGCGAATCGACGATCTTGTTGGTTCCATAGGATGTTCCGAAGGCCCGTTGCTAGCCGTACGACACCCTGCCAGATGCCCGCGCCTTCATTGTCGGAGTGGACTACGCCCACGACGAGGGTTCTGGGCCAAATTGTGCGTTCAAGTCGTGCGGTGTCTAGCGATGTACCACCCTGGCGAGACAGTCAAGTTGGGCCTCCAGGGTTTATCTTGAATGTCGTACCTGAGAATTGACGGTGTCATCTAGTCTCCGCCGCTTTGCTGGCCGTTCCATACCCTCGTCAACCGTCTCTTCTTCCTAGTGGTCCTGCTCAGCTCCGTGTTAACCGTACACAGAATCCGACAACGCACCTTGAAAGGCCCCTTGCGTTCCTGTAGGTCGGCGTCAGGCTGATTCACCGTCACATTCACCAAGTCTGGTGTGGCAAGTCTGTCAAGGTCATTTTGAAATGTCCTTCCCGCGTGCCCTTGCTGCCAGGTCGACGGTAGAGCGAGTGAGCTGGCACCTTTGACATCCACAACTGCCTTTAGGATGGAGTTGGAAATGTCCACAAAAGGTGCAGCATAGCTTTGCTCTGATTCCCCCTTGGCCTCGGGTAGTCCAGCTTCCCAACGTTCCCTTTCCGTCGAATACTTCCCGGATAGGGAGAGGAGATCGAGGATGGATGCCACCTCAGCGCCATTCAGAGATGGAGAGAGCAGCAGGTCGATGAAATCTTCGAGAGCGCAGAGGCTGGTGTGGTACTTGACTTCGTCGGACAGGAGCATCGGTTTCCCTCTGAAGTTGAGATAGAGGCTCTCCGCTTCGGTGGAGTCTGTCATGGTTGTTTTGGCAGTTCTTGGTTGCCTCTCCCGAAATGCGAGCTGTGATGTTTGTGAAAGACGGATTTGAACGACGTACGCGCAAGCCGACAACCAAAGCTGGTGGCGGAATGCGAAATGCCCCTGTCGCGTACTACTTAGAGGTCGCCTTTTGATCCGCATTAAATAAATGGACTGTCGAGGAAGCGATAGAATCACAATCGAAATCGTCGTCGTTATGTCGCATAAATATACAGTACAGCCCGAAAAAGATGGTGGTAGGTCGTCGCTCTCAAGTCTGTAGTGGGAATATTGATCAAGCAATCTCGTGTTCGGCCAGCAGCTGGTGACATGCCCTTGTTCAGACGATATGAGCAACGGAGAATGGAGGAGGTGCGCACCATGTTGGGGATCCCACTCGAGATTGGGTACTCGTGTTTACAGTTTGGGCATACCATGGCGCCTTCTTCTACGTGGATCTACAAAAAAGAGGGATATATGATATACGAAAGTTGAGAGCAGGAACTACACACCTCCAATAGAACATGATGCAGATTCTTCAAAAAATCATCATCCAACATCTCCGGTTGTTCGTTCGGCAACGAAGTATTTCCCAACTATAAAGTAATCAGCTCTAGAGTTCGTCTGTGACCAAAAGAAGATAATCTGCACCTGTCTCGCACTATCAACCAACGCCTTCCACTCGATCTTGGGCAAAAACCCCTTCAAAAATTCCGGATTAAACTCTGCCTCGCGAATCTCCAGCTGCACATCCTTGAATTGTAGAGGAAAGTTGTTGGAGGTGCAGTTCTTTACATGGCAGGCGAGAAGGTTGTGGGTTATGAGGCGGACCATTGCATCTGTTTTTTTGGGTGGTGGAAGCGGAACGAGGACTCGGTGAACACTCCCTCCCCACAAGTGATTGATGGGCTTCGGAGACGCAAAAGATTTTGGGCAGAGATAAGATTAGATCTGATGCTTTGATTGGTCTGGGCTTTTGATCCAAACATTGGAAGACTGGTGAAGCGCTCATGGTCTGTTGAACCTTGATCTCTGTCTTCGACGTTCTTTTCCTCTCATACAATCCTTATAACCCGATTCCACCTTATCATTAGGGAAAGTAAAGCACTTCCCGTGGAAATCAGCAAGTCAGCCCCAATATGCGACCACCGTCTCCATCAATACCCGAAAAAGAATTTCTCGCAGCCTCGCTCAAGGAAAACCTTCGTCTAGATGGTCGTTTACCGCTGCAGATGCGGGATCCAGTCATCACATTTGGGCCTGAGCTTGGATATGTAGAATGTGCACTAGGAAAAACGCGGTATGTTCCCTGTCTTCGTGGTCTACTTCTCTGGTTATCGAGTTGACTGACATGCGCAAAACGACTAGGGTGATAGCAAATGTAGAAGCTAAAATGGTGAAGCCGACTCCAGAGAGACCGTTTGAAGGCATTATTACGATTCATTCGGAAATTTCACCTATGGCGTCGAGCGAATACGAACCTGGTCGGTAGGTATGTAGCTTTCTTGTCCTTGGGCCTCACCTCTCTGAACTCGCATTCTTTTTTTTCGATTGGCTTTATTGTTTGTTTGTGGGCATTGCTGGGAATATATGAAGGCCCTCAGAAGAAGAAGTTACGATTACACGTATGCTTGACAAAGTCCTCAAAAGGAGTGACGCGGTGGATAAAGAGTCGTTATGTATCCAGGCTGGTCAGAGGGCATGTGGTCTTGTTTCTATCTGCGCTGGGAAATCCAGAGTAACAAGATGTCCATTATCAGGTCTGGCACATCCGCTTAACGCTCCACTTTCTCGCGGATGGAGGCAACATGCTCGACTGTGCATGTCTAGCGGGGATCGTCGCCCTGCGTCATTTCAGAAGACCAGAGGTAGAAGTAATCGGTGAAGACGAAGTGATCGTGGTACGTCTTTCTCTCTATCACCCTGATCCATGGCACAAAATGACACTCCCTTCTCCCAGCACTCCCCCCTTGAACGCGCACCAATGCCCCTTGCGATCCACCACACTCCCCTCTGCTTCACCTTCGCCTTCTTCTCCTACCCAGACACCCAACCCATCCTCGACCCCTCCCAGCTCGAGCAGCGCCTAAGCGCAGGCCTCATGTCCATCGCCCTCAACGCCCAGAAAGAAATTTGCGTACTCCAGAAACTGGGCGGTGTGCCGCAGGAGACGGAGGAGATTCTAAGGTTGATCAAGGTTGCTGTGGAGAAGGCGAAAGAGGTTTCGGAGGTGGTGGAGAGGAGGCTGCGGGAGGATTGGGAGACGAGGAAGGTGGAGGTTAGGTAGAACCGGAAATTGGCTTTCTGGCTGGAGCAGAAGGTTGTATGGCTGGTGTAGAGTATGTGGAACGAAAATACCTGATTATTGGATTTTCCCTGCCAGTGAAAGGCTGATCTACAGGCAAATAATCGTAGAAAGTACGTATTAGGCTGGTTGCTTTGGCGCGTGCCCTCATCAAGTCCTCTGTCACGTTTGTTCTGAGAGGTGAGCGTCCTCTGTCGTCTCCAGTTCATGACCTAACAACTTCCCAGATATCCAGTAAATAAATGACCACGTCTCAATCCCTCGCTCAGATATCGACTACAGGCGCCTCCCGCTCTCAGCAAGAGATCTTCCACCCCAAATCCCACCACAACGCCTTCATCCCAGCACGTACCCTCCCACTTGAAATCTTCAGCCGAATGCTCCTCCTCCCTGTATACACCATGAAGTCCAACTCGGGTGGATACAAGCGACACATATGTGCCAACGATGGTGAGACGCCCCTCTCAATTTCGCGCATTTGTGGGTGGATATACACCTCGCGAGCCTCTTCTGGGCTGAGACGTCTAGCGAGAGGTTAGAGGGTGCTCTGCTGGATGGTTAGGCCCCCTCTGCGAATCCCGGGTTTTCACCGAGAAAGAAAGGTAATACACACCCCTGAGTGTGATGGATTTTGTCGCTGGTCCGTTTCTGCACTTTCCAAAACGCTGGAGAACACCACTCAGGTGTTCCTCGTGTGTTGACCGAGCATCCGCGGTCTAGCGCGGACGCAAAATCACTTGAATTTCTAATCTCTGTGTAGGCCTGGTTTTCGTTCTGAAAGCTCGTAGGGGGGATTCAGAGAGGCCTCAAGCATGGGAGAGCACCAACACGTTGAATTTGTAGGGTGTTCTCTCCTCCCCGAACAGCACTCCCAATCCACAAAACAGGCTCGCCAACCAGCTCCGAGATGGACACCGCACGGTTTGCTCCAAACAATATCAGTGACATACTACTATTATTAGTACGCAGCCCACGGAAATCGAGATAGGGTGCCGGCGAACAGATGCTACCAGCGCTAGACCTTATGGACGTCCGTGTCCTCGGTAATCTCATTTGCATAAACTCTGAATAGCAACAATCCTCTCTGCACCAATAGTAAATCTGGCACCGCTGAATCTGCGCCTTGACTTTTCTCCATTTGGGGCCGATATGCTCGCGGTGAAAATGGAAGTTCCTCGCAGATCGACGATGGTACAATGTCGGCATTTGCTTGTAGGGCCCTATACCGACGAGCTCGAAATGATCAGCGCTCAGGCGATAACGGCGATCTACACTGCCGCATAGGCCCACAGCTTTATCAGGACCTACAGAGACAAAGTGGCGAAAAACATCTCGATTCCTAGGAGCGCCAGAGCACAATCCTTCCATTCGCACCCCATTCCCCGACCGACGTCTACCATTTCCCTCGGGCCTCCCAATTACCACCATGCACTCGCCCCGTTTTCCTCTCGAGCTTGTCGCAGAGGTACTCTCCCACCTGCAAGATGATATGGAGACCATCAAGCGAGCCTCCCTCATAGCTCGTATTTGGTACGAGGGTTCTCGCCTATACTTGTGGAAGCACATCTACCTAGGCCCTCCCAAGCCTGCGATTCGTTGCAAGCAAATGCGCAAAATCATCGAAGCTCGACCCGTCGTTGCCGCGAGGGCAAAGCGTCTCACGATAGTCGACGACGCGAAGGACCATAAAAGCGATTATGCAGATGGATGGCTCAAGCGCTCTCATGATATTCTCGCCATTCTACCTCTGCTCGTAACGCTTCACGAGGTATCGGTGAAATCTCGCTGGTACCTCAACTGGACACTAGCGTCACCGCAGCTGCGTGCCGCATTATTCGACATTTTCTCAAACCCTCACGTCCGTGAAATCGACTTGGTTGGCATGAAGTACATGCCAGTTACGCCGTTTGCTCATTTCTGCCATCTGCAATCCCTGTCTCTAGAGAGGATTGAAGTCGACAGCAGAGAGGAAGACGCGTGCTTTCCCATCAGCCGCACAAACAAGGCAGCTAACTCGCCGCTCGGAGCATTGAAGGTGCTGCACATCGGAGAAGCAGGGAGTGCGGTAGAAGTGCTGTTGAAGTACATCACTCACCTCAAGGGCGACCCAGCAAACACGGGCGTTGGCGTCCTTAGGCCGCACAAGCTATCCGTCAGCGCCATCAATTTCAAGGGTGCAGAGCAGCCCTGGTCTACCATCCTGCACTCGATGTGCTCACATGTGACTGCATATACCATTATGCTCGAATGGGCCCAAGACTTCCCGGAACAGCTGTACCAGTTCCATCGCTTTCCCCGCCTCACGCGACTTAGCTTTGTTGCTTCATGGCGGTACATGAGGCAAAGCCTCTTCGATATCCCATACACGCGACGGTTCGGCCTCCAAGCCTACTCCAGACGTAGACCGTCTTCTGGTTTACGCACTTTCCAACTGGCAGTGGAATTCCACGACCCCGGCGCCACACCCACTGGTCGAATAATGGACATAATCCTTTTCGAGTTCTTGGGATCGAGGGCGCTGTATTGGATCACGGAAATAGACGATATACTTGGGGGAGATGTAGTTGACTTTCCGAACCTGGAAGAAGTGGAGTTTACAGTAATTCTTCGATCTGCCCTCTCTGAAAATGATTGGGGCCTGGTGAAGGAGACGCTAGAGACTCATTTTCCTCGCGTCAAGTCGAAGGGGGTACTAAATGTTCGCAGGTAAGGCTCTCTATAAACAAATCTTTGGTTAAACAAGACTGACTTCTGAACTTGAACAAGGGTAACATATCCGTGCGACGATGGGATGGGCGGTACTTTCATCCTCCGGCCGCAGAAATGTATACCAACCTTTTCCAAACAAGACTGAATTATTCTTCGAGTCCCAGGGGCATGATGTAACTCATTAAGGTGAAATTTGGATGGTTTGTTCGCAACTGTTGCAAATGTCTGTAGTAAGAGTACAATCGAAATCTGGTTTTGTACATGTGATGAAATTTGAACTCATTGATGTAGGACTCGACTACATACTAATCAGAACACTCCACCGACTTTGTTAGTACAGCCAATACGGAGAATAAGTCGATGAATGTCGTTGTCATCACTGGACTCCGCGCAGATTGACGGACTCGGATGTGCCGCTCCGTTCGGATTTGAGATTTCGTGGATCGATAGCCCCGAACAGCCTTGTCTTTACCTAAAAAGGAAGGTCGACAACGCTCAGGATCCACCTCGGTGAACCTCGGTACCGCCCATTCGTCAACTAACGCCCAGACAATTTCCATAAATTGTTACAAGTCCTTACATTCTACTCACTGGGGATGCGTATAGCACAACAGATGTAGGGCCACTAGCATACCATCATCACTGGACGACACTGGAATGTCATCGTCGCCAACTTTACTACTGTCATGTCAGACAAATAAGGAGTGTAAACGCCTTGGCGTATCTAGATAAGACCTGGAATAGAACGTAAGGTACGTGTCTCTAATGTCTTAATATGAACTGATGCACTGCTATGTTTGCGCCCGATGTTGGCTTCAGGTTGCGAGGAGTATGAGGTAGAAGCATTAAGAAGATACTTTCAGTTGATTCTCCGTTCTTGGCGGTATAGGTACCATGCGCAGATACAGGAGAATGAGATTTTGTGGGCCTAATTCTGATTCTCCCGTAGCAACTGTCTGCGTTACATGTATTCTGTGAGAGACAACAATTGTTAGTAATGGAAGGCAGTTCTGTCAACTCGATTCACATCGGGATGTCGACGTCGCTGTCGATGTTTAAAATATCTGAAGTCCCCCGTATAAATAGAGAGTGAGTGGGAGGTCAACTCCTCAGAGCCCCCGTCACCTATCAAGGCAAGCAAGCTTTTGGATTATCAAGCGAATACTCTAGCTGACCTTTCCTACGCTCATCCAGCGCACATACATTTACAACATCATGAAGATTCTTCACGCCTTTATCGCTCTTTCCGCCTTTGTGTCACTCTCCGTGCTGCCTTCGGCTGCATACCACCCCGAAGATGCGTATTACCGTCGGCGAAGGACTGACGAAGATCCTTATGCGCGTAGCCTTAAAAGGGCCTATCTTCCTTCCGACAGACTCACCAGACGAGACCTCAATATTATACACGAGCTACTTTACGGTCGGGACACGGGATGCGCGATGATCAACGACTTGCGGCGAAAGAATGTCGGGAACTGCATTGCAGCCGATTGCGTATCCGTCCAAGGACGTTGTGACAGAACTGCAAATGGGTGTGAAATGGCTGGGAATGGGAAGGACACCGATGAATGCAAGAGGTGTCGATGCGTCGACAGCCACGGAGGAATAATCAGGCCCAATCCTCCTCCCGCTCCCGCTCCGGCCCCAGCTCCTGCTCCGGCCCCAGTTCCAGCCCAACAGGCAGCCAGGCGTAAGCAGCAGGCATCTCCCAAGCGTAATCGGCGAGCGTAAATGCCATGCCCATCAAGGCTTGTGATGCAGTCTTTACCCGCACCGTATGCAGACTCCCATTCGTACCGTAGTTCTTCCAGGACGAGGTCGTATTTATTTATTTATTCTGTATTCGAATATAGTCATACGTTGGTATGGCTGGATCTTACTAAATGCGACTGTTTTTCATCCATCCCAATGGACTGTTGAGGGCCATCCGAACTTTTCCGCATTCTCTCGGTTGACTAGCTGCATCGCCATGGCCGAACCCCTGCTCAACGTCGACCACAGTCGCTGACACTGCGGTGTGTATCATGCATACCGGCAGGCCCGACAGCTTGAGCAATCACACACGCTGGGTACCAATTCCCAAAACTGCGATTGACCATGTCATCGTCTCTATCAGCGCCTATTTCCCACTGGGCGCGGGCGCTTAAAACCGAGGCCAGACACCAGACACACCGGGAACACGAAACCACTCGGCCAATAAATTCGTTTCACGTTAGATTCATTGAAAAAATGAGAAGACAAGAATCAATTACTACTTTCGAAAGACGTCAATAGAGAAAGAAATGAAAAAAAAGGGTAAATGCAGAAAGAAATCATAAAGTTATGAGGAATCACAATCAGAAGACGGAAAAAGGACAATAAAAAGCGTCTATATGTATGCAGGTAGGTAGGTAGGTACTGAAAACGTATGCATGGTTAGAATCGCAATGGGAAAAAGTAGGGTAGCAGGAATGGAAACGAGGCAACTTCAATAGCAACGATGAGTTGAAGCTTGAAAGAAATGGAAGAAAGGCCATATGTACGAAGAGAAGCAAACAAGGGAACATTCAACACAAACGGAGATGGATAGAATGTCTATTACATACTAAAAAAGAAACGCAAAAAACGGAGAAAAAAAAAAGACTATGCATGATGAAGGTAAGACTAGTGTACAATTGGATTATTCTTGTTAACTTGAGGGGATAGATTTTTAAGGATTCAATGGGGGTGTTATGTGGTGAAGTGAATAGGAAGGGTTTAGAACGTTACGTTGGAATGAATCAGGCGTCAACGAGGGCATGAAATGGGAACCAGTTATAATAAGTAGTCGTCAAACGAGGATGTGATATTGAAGGAAGCACCAAGAGGAACGGAATTAGATAGCTCAAACTTGAAGAAACAGCGCAACCATGCAAAGGGAGCCGGGATAGAATTAGATGACGAGACGAGCGATGATCCTTTTGGTTCGTTCTACAAACCGCTGACACGAGACGTGGGTCTTCGTTACTGAAGGTTCGTCGCGTTCTCCGTGGCCGTGGTACCAGTCCGAGCAGGTTTGATTTTGACCATCAATTTTCTACATAGCGAACAGAAGAGAATCGGATCGAATCCGTCAGCGACATGGGAATCATTCGATCCCGGACACTGAACTCACCTGAAGCTGAACGCGCGCCCTTCCTTTCCGAGTTTTGGCCTCAACTTGAGTTTATGCCAAGGGAAACTGCTCGACTCTTTCCTCCCGCCGCTAATCGAGATATCCTCGCTCGAGGACGAAGGCGAACTCTCGTTCGAGCTCCCATCTTCCAAGCTCGAATGGGACGAATCAGAAGTCGACCGACTGTGTTCTCCAGCCCTCCTTCTCGAGCTCGATCTCGAGCGGGTAACGATCTTGGGAGAAGGGGCAAGAGGGGATTTGAACCCGACGCCAAGGTTGATATCGATGATTGAAGCACGATGAGGCGAAGTCAAGAGATTGTTGGATGAGGACGAGGCTTTGCTGGAGCTGCTACCACGTTTGGCTATGTACGTTATTGGAGGGATCGGCGAGTAATTGGGTGTGCAATGGGGACCAAGGGAAGGAGGAGGAAAGATTGAGTTAGTAAACTGATCGTGCGAATGAGACGGATCGGAAGCAAAGGAAAACGCGGAAGAACAAGAGATGACGTCGCAGCACCGAGCCATAGGGTGATACAAAGAATCGATGCTCGAGCTGTCCCGAGAGCAAAAAATTAACCATATCAAAACGATGGTTGAATCACCGCAAAGATAACGTCAAGGAAGCTTGAATGATGCAACACGATATGAGGGTTGAAATCTTTCACAGGTCCTATCGTCGTGGTGTGTGCGAAGGGTGATAGATGAACTCATGAACGAAAGGAGGAAGGGGGGAAGAGAAGTAGAAACTTCGGAGGTCAATGATGGGCGGCAGGGCCACGATGCAGCCATGATGCGATGGATAGATACGCGTTGCGCGGCGCAACACGCTGATAGTGCGTACACCGAGCAGTACGAGCCTGTCCACACACGACAGCGCGACAGGCAGATACCGTATGAGAATGCGATTTGTGCGCGCAACCGTATGTTTGGACGTGGGTGGCCGGAAATCGGGACACGTCCGCGTGCAGGCAGCGTATGGCCGACGAAAGGTGCCGCACCAATGTCCGGACGATGGTGCCGACGAAGCTCAAAGGAGCGCATGGCTCACCATGGGTGTGCAGCGAATAGTAAAGAACGTCGAAGAACACCAAGAAGAAGAATCCAAAAATTGGACCAGAAAACCGAAAAAGAAATGAGAACACAGTGGCACTCACAGAAGTAAATCTCCATCCCTCGCATACCCCTAGGAACAGCCCGTGCGATTCTCTCTTTGCTTTCCTTTTCCCAAGCATCCCAATCCGCGTCGAGTGACGAATGAATGACCACACACTTGCGTAGCGGCGAAGCTTTAGGCCTTCTTTTGTATAAATAGATCGTCGGAACGGACGAACGTCGAGGCTGGTTCGCTCTTCTTCGTCGCTCGTCGAAAAGGTGAGGAGCAATGCCCGAAATAACATCGCGCGGTGAAGGTCTGAAAGCGGCGACTGCTTGGGCGACTGTTGTCTGCATGTCCGGGAGAGGCGGTGGGGAGGACGCGGATTCCGGTGCTGGCGCGTCTGTGGGCTTTTGGTCTTCCAGAGTCACACAGGACGTCGAGGCGAGCGTCTCGACCTGGTCTTGAGAACTCGAGGAGGGCGAAGATTCCGGCATTTCCTGGCTCACAGACTCCTTCTCCTCGGATGTGGGCAGTGGCTCGGGTACAGACCCTGCAGCATCGCCAATATCGCCAATCTCGACCGGTTCTTCAGGACCTGCAGGCTCCTCGGAGACGCTTTGTGGCGCTGGCTCGACTTCGCCTCCAGGCACAGTCGACAATAAAGTGGGGGAACATACAGATTCGGCGTCGGCGATGGGGCCACCAGCTACTGCGCACGGTTGGTCATCTTGTTCACCCGTATCCGAGTCTCGACTTGCCCCATTGTCGTTATTGTTCTTCTCGACTCCCTCTGGTTCTTTGGCGTCGTTTAGAGCATTGCTGGGGGATTCAGCAGCCATCGAGGTCAGCGTTGGGAAGAGAGCGAACAAGAGGCGACGATGAGCACAGCAAGCGTGGCCGTCACGGTCGGGTATACCGAAGAAGCGTTGGTGGTGGTTGTAAGCGACGACGACGACGACCTGCGTTACGCGGCAGATATGAAAAGAAGCTAGTAGTAGGGAAAAGGAATCAAAATGAATGGAAACACGTTGCGAGCATTAAGTAAGTTGGGAGGCTGCGACTAGGGGAGAGCCAATTGCTCACAGGAATCAGGATGATCTCAGATTCGACTTTTTTGCTATGCCATCATCCAAGAACGGCACGGCCAAGGTACCGACAAGTCCTTGATGATGACCTGAATGCTCAGAATAAGCGTTATTGACTCCGGCGCTAAAGCTGCTTCTTCGAACCCATCACACCTCTTTATTGTATTTAGCATTCACGCCGTCTACTAGATAGCCTGACCCGGTTCGAACGATTGCATTTTGTCTCCTTACAAGGCCAGCAGACAATACAAGCCAGTCAGAGGTATCGATGTTTCAATCTCGCATCGTCGCCATGAAAGCACGGTAACAAACAACACCCGCCGATAGCAAAGCCATAACGATTGTTGGATTGTGAGGGAAGGTGCTTCCTAACCCATGGGGATGGGGATGGCGTGGAAGGGGTGGTTCGCCACCGCCGCCCCTAGGCCTATGTGAATACAGGCTTAGGCTATGAGACAGGATCTGCTGACTCGAGCCCCCTGGCCAGCCTAGAAGAAACGAGGTCGCAGGCCATACACCGATGCATAGCTTTCGCCTTGCGGTGTTCCTCATTCCGAAATCTCCTGTCATGAGACCAATATTATCCCTAACGCCGTCATATAGCTTTGTCAGTTTCACTCAACTCGAACCTTCCAAGTTCATTCCCCCTACTCGTCGGAAAGAAGTGTCTCACGTCGCGCTGCCGTGTCTTCCGCTTGGTTAGTTCGATAATATAGGAGCAGGGCGCCTGAGAGGGAACGAAGTCTGAATTCAAATTCCGGAGGGCACGAGGCGGTTCGTGTCCCAGGAGCCCAATCTTGAGGGTGCAAGTACAGGAAATCGAGTGCAACCCAAAACCTGCTCGCTTATCTGCCGTAACAGATAAGCACAACCCGCATAGCATAAAATACCATTGAAATACCACTTGACACAGCAACGTTCCTTGCGGGCTTACTACCACCTACACCGCTTCCATGCCTGCAGTCAGAAAACAGTCAAGTCATTTCCAAAGTAGATGATCAATATCAATGATATTGCGCTTTTAGGACTCGATGCCCTTTACCCTCTCGGTTCGTTTTCGGCGCTTGTTCGTTGGCGTTTCCTCTGACGGCAGGATGTCGGGTTCCTGATCTTTGCGAGGTGAGTGTCGAGTTTTGAAAGTGGAAATAATACCGCAGACATAGGGTGTGCGGACCGCAAGGTACCAGCTGGTAACAAGGTTTCATCACCAATATGAGGCTATAAATAACGCGACGGCCACCTTCAATACCTTCAATCTCCTTGAATCCTTCGAATCCGACGACGCTCTATCCTCGAGACTAGCACCTGATTACCATCTAATCGACCTTAGAACTCCTTCCAGAATGTCATCGAACACACAGTAGTCAGAGAGATGCGAGAACTTACCTCGTTAGTGGTAACCTGCCACATGCGAAGCTTCACACAAGTTGAAGCAGGCAGGTCTCATGAAATCAGAAATGGGCCAAGTCAACCCTCTTCTACAGGCCCTTCCAACCCCGACCTCCCTTATGCGGGAACGACTCGTTCGCGATGTCGTCGGGGTTAACCGTGTTCCTATCTTGGAGTGAGTCAATAATTAGCGCCTGGCAAGTCCGATTGAGTTGAGCCTCCTGTCGCTCTTCATGATCAAAAATGAGTGAGAATAGATGGATACTCACTGTTCTCGCGACCGGTCAAGAAGTGGAGCTGAGCCTGGAAGACATTACATCTGTCTCTCATCGGGAAGAGCGCAGGGCATTGTAGCTGAGGAGGAAGGAAGCGGCGACCTTGCCGCTGAGAGTAGTCAGAAATGGATGTTTGGTTTCTCCTTCTTCGAGCTATAAATAGCGGCTTTCGTGTGTCCGACTTGTTGGTGTTACAGCAGACCCCGAGAGCCCCAGATGGGCGCTGGGCTTCAGGACCAAAGAGCTTGCTCCATGATACGCGAAGGGCCGCGTATTCTCTTATTTACAAGCGAGATGATATCTCCATGAACCCAGAGGGCCATCGATATCACCGCTCGCTCGCACGTCCGGCAATGGTGATAGGAGAGTAGGGCCCTATCTGTCGGACGTGATTCCTCAATCTGGGTTACATGTACCTCCCGCAGTAAAGGCTGGAGCTCGAGTCGTAGGACACGGTCACTGACGAGATTCATCACGGGCGAAGCGCTTCAATGAACGTCGATTTCCTGAAGACACCTGCCTTGGATATACGCAGCCAATGTCTGTGATATGGAAAGTCGATTAGAAGGAATGAAGCGACCGACGGGTGCTCATAGGGGGGCTGACTTGAAAAGAAAGAACCAGATGCTTTCTTCTTGGGGTTATGAGACAGGCAATGAGTGGGGTGGTAGAGCACAGGCGTGGTAGAAGGAAGCTCAGAATCAGGTTGCAAGCCAGACCAATGGAGAGGAGATATGTGTATGACGGGGTCCAGAGACCACACCACAGGAGTTCAGCAAGAGGTACCGGTAAACGATTGCTAGCAAAGATGGTTGTGAGTGTCAGGGAGGCGCCTGCCCCTATTACCCTGTTTGCGTATGTTAGCATCAGAGGGTCTTGAGGACCCATTACCGCTCCTCTTCGTATCTTTAGCCTTGCCTACACCATCCCTGATGTCCATACTCGTACACCCGGAGAATCAATATTTACCTTGATCGTGCTCTGCGGGTGTGAATTGTGGATAAGACATTCGAGGCGCCACAACCCTTACATGGGGCTTTCGAATTCGGCGGTGGAAGTTTCTCTTATCTTCCTTGGAAGATATACTCGAGTGGATTGTACGAGAAGAACAGAACGTCGAAGACAAGTTGAAGAGATTAGGCTCACCGTTTCGCTTACTTCCTGGAACCTGTCTCATCGATAGAACACAGAACCTTCTCGCCCGTCATGAAACAGGCGACATGACAACTCAAGAGTCATCTATCTGCAATAACCGGCACGGGATATACTCGCTCAGTGAGAGTCAACGGACGGATGGTCGCAATCGCCTGCTGTACCTGGCACTTCAACCCAGCCTAGCCACTACGTGGTACGTTCCCGGCTGAGTGAATATACAATAGTGAATATAAAGGTGGGTCCAGCTTGAAACTGAATCCGTGGAATTGGGACATGGTGTTTTCAACTCACAAAGCCATCTCTCGACGGATGGTCCAAACCTAAGATCTAAGAGGCTACGGTGCCTGGGTTCAGGCTCCCGCCACGGTCGATCCCTGCCAAGCGAGCGCATCGCTGCGCGCTCTCCACTGATAGGGGCTAGTTCTCCAGAATTGATGGTCCGGGATCGGCATCTTTCCCGGCAGCCACGACGCTTGTTCACAGACCACGACCTCATCGCAAACGTATACGGCGGTTGCCCACGCCTAGCTTCCAAAATTTAGACTTACAACGTATAAGGAGGATAATCGAGGCCTTTTGAGGCTGAAATATACTCGGTGAGTATTCTACACGAAGCGGTTTTGTTGAGCTCGACTGGTTTATGTCATAATTTCAGGTCATCGTTGTAGGACCTCGACGAACACGTCGGTGGGAAGTCAGAACGATAACCTTCGTCGACGATAGGATCTCCGGGGTGTCACGACGCGCGATTGACTCTATTTAGTCCTCACCAGGGGCTCACAGGATCCATCTTGTTCACTGCTCAACGCATCTCCCAGGTTTGAAACCGGTCCCGCTAACGGTGTTGTCCCACCGCAAGTAACGCCCTCGAGAGACTCTAGACAGTCTGCGACATGGAGTCCTCCTCATTCGACCCCGAAACTGGTATTCGCGTCGTTATCAAGCCCTCGCAGCCCTCGTTCTTTGCAGGGGAGCCGTTCTCCGTCTCCATCACATTCGTGAACACCCACCCACCACCTCAAATCCACAATGGTTACAATAATTTCCCGGCATCTTCTTCCGTAGGCTACTCGCCGTTATCATCGAAGCACCCAGCCTACCCCGTACAGTCGCAGACCAATTCACATACGCGATCTTACTCGTATTCGCAAACCGCGTTACCCAGCCCAACCCTCCTGGCCAACCGGAATGGGAGTGCAAGTGGAAGTACACAAAATGTATCGACGAGGAAGTTCCACCACAAACGAGGGGCGCACTCGATTAGCTCTGCACCATTGGCTCGACCACCGACTTCACCTGGCACACCTCGGTCCCCTGTCATCATCAATACACCCTCATTAATGGCGAGAGCGAAGAGTTTTAGTGGAGATGACAGAGCTTCGAGGAAGGGATTGGTCGGAATCGGCGGTGGAGGGGGAATCAAGGCGGGCGGACCAATCTCCGGGTCATCATCGTCAACCTCTTCGTCTTCAAAAAACGACGTCCCCAACGGCCCTACCGAGGACAGCGCGTCTACCCAAATCCCTAGTATAACCAAGGACAAGGACAACCCACTCCCCGAGCTCATCGAACAAAGGCGGAAACGACAACTTGGGAAATCGCTATCTGTATCCGTAGTCAACCCCACCGAATTCGATGTACGAGGTATGGTGATTGATTTTGAATGACGAGGATGCAGCTAACGTCCTTCTTAGCACCACCCAGCCCCTCAACACAACACGCCCAACCTACGCAGCCGCCACCACAACCACCTCATCCCAAACGCACACACACCCTCGCCCTCTCACAAAGCCATCCTCACGCACGGAAAAACTCGGTTCTCGATGGCGACGTGGATTTCGCTTCTTTAGCCTCCCACCCCAACTCGCCATATCAACCAGGGTTCCCATCAGCACCAGGACCCTCTACCGGGCCATTGCCTTATTCAGGGCAGCAGGCTCCAAACGCGTCGGGCAGCTCTGTTTCGCTATCCCTGGACTCGATTTCCGAAGGACCAAACGCGAATGGACATTCATATCATGTCTATGCCTATGGAGGCAATCCGTCGTACCCCAACACTCCGATGGTTGGGGCCCCTTACATGGAGTCTGGGGCCTCGATGCCCAGCGGAAGATTTCCAGCGGGATCGCTTGGGCTGGGATATCCTAGCCAGGCACCAGGAAGAAGCCACGGAAGAGAACTTCTTGATGTCCCCCAAACTGCACCTTTCCCATTCTCGCGACACCCCTTTAGCCCTGACGACCAAACGCACCCAGAAAACGACAGCAAGGAGTTGATTCTTTACTCATATGCACAGTTACTGGGACATGTCAAGATCACGCCTCTTGTTCCGGGGACGGCTGGTGTCCCGGTTCCACCACCGACGAAGGAACAGAAAGATAAGATGCAGGAAGTAAGGGAGGGATTGCTCAAGAAGGGCCCTGGGGGCGTTTTGGGAGGAGGGAGCATGGAGATCAACTCTCTCGTGGCCCTAAGTGGCGGATCCGCTTCGAGTTCGGGGTCGAACAGACGGGGCGGTGTCGGCGTGAGGAGAAGCAGCGAGAGTGCTGGATTTGGTGGTTGGGACAGACCAGGACGACCGGGGAGCAGAGCGCCGGGTCAAGGGCATGCCAGATCAGCTTCGCTGACAGCCAATCTTTTCTCGTTACTTTCTCCGGCCAACTTGATTGGATTTGGGAGCCCGTCTGAAGAGGGAGTGGAAGAGGAGGTCGAACAACGGAGAGATCCAGGTGTGCATGGACAAGGGCTTCCACCTCAAACGGCACCACCGGGTTCAACATGGACAGTTCGATCACCAGTACCCCCTTCACCACTATCAGCTTCATCCGGACCAGACGGTGACGATGACGATGTGCACCAGAACTCACAACCTCGAGCACCTCCACATTCGGCGGGACTGGGCCTGGGGCTTGGGCTTCCAAGTGTGGGTCCAAGCACCGAGAAGATCCATTACCACCAGCGGACGACAACCATGGTTCGGAGTGTAACACGAAGTAGTGCTGCTAGTACTGTCACTAGCACTCATTCGAGGCGGAGCAGTATTAGTAGTTTCTTTGGGTTTGGCGCGTCGACCAGTTCGGAGACGTCATTGTCGCATCTCGATGGTGATTCTACTTTGAGTGGCGGGAGCGGTTTCTTGACGCTAGGGAGCGGCCGTGGGGGCATCAGTCAAGAGGAGGAAGAGAGAAAGAAATACGAATATGACAGCGACGTCCCTCTTCCAACTTTGGAGACGCAGCCGGCGATGTTGGCGGTAGATTTGGTCTTGCGTCCTGGTGAAGAGAAGACCTGTAAGTGGCCTTCAGTTTTGCTCGATGAGATACTCACGAAAGAAAACAGATACCTACACGCTTACTCTTCCGGATAATCTACCGCCGACATTCCGTGGCAAGAGTCTCAAATTCTCCTATGAGTTGGTTGTGGGTCTGTGTAGAGCAGGGAACGGCAAGAACAACATCAGCAAGCTCATGAAAGTTCCTATACGGCTCTATAACAGTGTCTTTGGTATGGACTTCTTCCTTCATTCCTCGACGATACAAGGTTTTTGACCGATCTTCCTAGTGGACCGACCGCAGCGACCTTACAACCTCCTCTGGCCTATTCACAAGAGGATGGATCTTGCCATGCCAAGTTCGCAAGCCAAAGTTGTCGAAGAGCCATCCAGTGCATCGACCTCAGGCTCCTTCTCCGCTGGTCCTGCGAGTGGCAAAGGCGGAAGGCCTTCGCCACCATCGAGTGCGAAACCGAAGGGTGTGGACAGCTCAAAGGGAAACGCGGGTCTTGTGGAGATTAAAGGATATGCGAAGAGGCTACTGGCTGCTTTACCCCCACCACCGCTGGATTCGAAGAACTCTGAGGAGTCTCAGCCGAACCAAGCGGCCGAAGAACATGCGAATGCGACATCTGGGGGAAGTCCAAAACCTTCGGAGGCGGAGCAGGAAAGGGCGCGACGAGTTGCACAAGCGGCTGCCCTTCGCCAGGAGTTGGATAGGGAGAAAGAGGATTCTGACGAGCCGGCCATTGGATGTCGAGAGGCTGTGGAGATTCTCACTCGAACTTCCAGGAAAGGTCGGTTCCTTCGTACTGGTATCTCTATGCGCTCATTCTAACTCGTACTCCTTCATGCAGCCTCATACGACGTGAACAAGGATGGTGTCAAGGTTGCGGTTCTTACGTTCTCCAAGAGCTCCTTCCGGTTGGGAGAGACGGTCTCTGGGGTGGTCGAGTTGAACGAGAGGAAGGGACGGGCAAGAGTGCTGCAACTCTCCGCTTTCCTGGAAGCACACGAGGCGTTGCCTTCATCGATAGCACCGACCGCTTCCAATCGCCATCTGAAGAGAACGTATGCTGAACATTATTCCTCAACGTTGATCAACACGTTGCGGACGGCGTTCTCACTCGACATTCCGTCCGATGCTTGTCCAGCTTTCCAGGCGTCTGTGGGTACACCGAGTCTATCCACTCCTCCACAGCAGCGGGAGCAACTGGGTGGGGTAGAGTGGAAGGTGCGGTTGTGCCTCCTTGTGGCCATCGCCAGTGAGACTGCGGACACTGGGACGGAGGGCGTGAGGTTCAAGAGCCTTGTCAGGGATGGGCCTAGGGGAGAGTGGGGATCCTCCTGGAAAGCTATGGAACTCGTCAAACCGTTGGAGAAATCACGGTTCGGTTCTTCGACAACCTCCTTCCTCTCCCCTGGTTCTCCCACCTCGCCTTACGGAAGCGGTGGGAAGTCGGCATCGAACAGCTCGTGGACTGCCTTCTTCACGTCGTATCTCTCCCCCAGCACTGAGAGGGAGTATCACGATGGAGATGAGCTTGACAGCGATTGGCATAGTTCGAGGCGACCCAGTCGAGATACCGCCAGCCATACCAATCTCTCGGCTCACACATTTGACACTTCGAGTACAGGGGAAAGTCAGGTCTACGATGGAGTGAAACCCGATCCGGGTGGTGGTGTGGGTATGGGTGTGGACTTTGAAGGTGGTGAGGAAGGGTGGAGGGAGGTCAAGATCGAGACGGTTGAATGCGAGGTTCCTGTCCGGGTTTGGCCTGGGAACACCGCGTTTAGGGCTGTGGATGTCGTTTTTGAGGTTTGATTTTGTGGAAGGGTTTTGCTATTCCGCTCGGGTTGTGTTCAAGTTTTGGTTCGTGTTTGATACCCATCATCATGATCCCCTCGCGTTTCACGCTTTGTTTTTCTTCTTGTACAAGGGTTAATGGTTATTTTTATCGCATATGTACTACTTGTCGTGGCAAACTAGACGCATTTTGTATCATGGATTTGGCTTTTGGTTGGATTGGCACTGCCTGTGGGTTGGTGTATTCTTCTTCGATGATTGTCTACGTAGTGCACGATTGGGGTGGTGTGGCGGCTGGTCCATGGGATTTCAGAGGTAAGGTAGCTCCAACCTGTAGTCCACATGCGTTTTTTCTGATCACTTTCAAAAGCCCCCAGTATCCAGCAACTTGCTGTACAGCCTCAAGTTGCAAGTGTGCGGAAGACGCAACGCACTTGTCTGGTCCGCGACCACGGCTCTGCCTTTCCTCGGAATAAAGCCTCGATTTCTGGCCTGCACTACTACTGAGGCTCTGAATGGTATCCAGCTGCACCGCACAACGGTTCCTATGATAATCTTTATCTTCGCACTAATTGCTAGCGGCTGCACTGTGCACAGCGATCGCTACCAGCCAAGACACCGACCAGGGACAAAGACACCGCGATCCGCTATGTGACAATGATCATTATCAACCTTCTTCGATGATGCTTATCTTGTCTGTGGGGTATATAACCGGGAACATTGGGACGTGGTTTTCTTCAGAGTGTCTGGCGCATTCCCACTCAATAGGTGCGTTCTACTAGTGGGGGACTGGCGACTTCTCTTTGACTGACCGACAGAATTGGATAGTAATTTGGCAGGACCAACACCACGGGTTTTATCTCCCTTCACAATCTTTCTATTCTGTAAGGATGCTCTGCTCTTCTACACCGTCGATTGCTGACTGACAAGTCTTCTCAGTCCACCAACCCTCTCATAATACAACCAAGCCGTCACCATGCGTTTCACTCTCAGCTCCATTCTCCTCTCCACGAGCGTCGGTGCCCTCGCTCTGACCGTTCCCCATGTCCGCCCTGCGAACCATCATGACCTCGCAAGCACAGACGCTGGCTCCAGCGAGCCAAGAGATATTGCCTATGATTTCGATTCCCTGGATGCGCGGGGTTGGGAAGACATCGAACTCGACCTTCGCGACCTCGAGACTCTACTCGAGCTCCAGGGACGAGGGATTGGCGGACTTGCCAAGGTATGTAGTTTGCACAGTTCCCGACTCCGAAGACCAATCTAATATCAAATACGTAGTTTGCGAAAGGTCCAATCCAGAAGATGGCCTCTTCGCTTCGTCGAAGCGGGGGTGCAAAATCCAAGAAAGCGTCTGTTTCCCCCAAGAAACCCAAGACGAGCTTGCCTTCGAAGAAGGCCAAGTCGAAGTCGAGCTCTGCCTCGAAGGCAAAGTCCAAGTCAGGTTCCTCGAAGTCCACGTCCGCTGCCTCGAAGAAGCAAAAGAGCGCCAAGAAGTCCTCGTCCAAGGCTGTCTCATCCGGCAAAGGCTCCAAGAAGAGCGCGAATTCGAAGAAAGGCAAAGCCAAATCACCCGTCGCGTCCAGTTCCAACTTGAAGGCCAAGGGTTCAAAGAAAGCCTCTCCTTCGGGATCGCCTAAAGCAACGAAGAAGTCGAAATCTTCAGGATCCAAGAAAAGCGCGACATCCGTCAAAGCCAAGTCCGGCGGAAAGAAATCCTCTTCGACTGCCACCAAGGCCAGCAAGAAGGCGGGAGGATCGAAGAAGGCACCGGCTGCGTCGAAGAAGGATGGGCAGAAGGGTAAAGGCGGAAAGAAGGGCGGTAAGGGATCTGGAGGAGGGAAGGGTGGCGGAAAGGGTGGAAAGGATGGAAAGAAGAAGAAAGGTGCAATTCGCAATCTGGTGAGGTTCTCTTCAACTGCCTGTTTCTGGATTGGACTAACGTTGGCCTTGCAGAATTTCAATGTTGACCCTGCTTCGATGGTAGCTGCAGGAGCAGGAGTCGCCAACCTTTTTATGAACTAGTGCTATTGTGCTGTTCTTGGCTCTATACCGTAAATCAGAAAGCGACATTGTTCTCCCGTTGAACCTCGTTCCAAGAAGATGAGTTTAAACTTAAGCTTTCAAGTTCACTGGCAGTTTCCGCCTGATGGGATCACTTCACCGAGGGTACCCCGATGCTTGACTGCTCGTTCCCATCCTGGCGCAGTTCTACTATATGAGCACCGTGGTCGTTGGGTAGCCGATGTGCTGAACATTCTGCCCTAGCCCTGCATCATCCGCGAACTTTGCTTATACAACCGTTGCTACACCAGGATAACCCACCGATGGCTGAAGAATTGAACGAAAGGGGGCGTAAGGCCTATTTACGGGGCGATTTTGCAAGGTGAGCAGGAACAAAACGCTTTAAGAGATTCACTACAGTTTATTCTCTTCGCAGTGCCCGGGAGCTTTATGAAAAGGTGCGTTCATTGCCCTTGATGCCCGTCTGAGCCGTCTCCGAAACTGACAATGGTTGTTCCCCTACATAGGCTGCCCTCACTGATGGCGAACTGGGTGGAATTGAACCCAAGTACTTTTCAAACCTTAGTGCGGCGTTTTTCGAACTCGGAGAGTATGAGAACTGCACAAAAGCGATTGAAAAGTCGTGGGCGATCCTCCAGACGGCTGCGACTCCACTTGAATGTAATCCCTTGGCCGCGAGGCTCGCCACGCGATATGCAAAGGCGTATTGTTTTATGAATACTGCGGCCCACATCAAGGTTGACGACACTATCAAAGAGTTTGTGAAAAGTCATCCAGACAGTGACCAGGGCGCGATGATGGAGGCGCGTGCTTGGTGGAACCTTCTGAACGAGCGCCGAGCTAGGAATACTGGTGTATTCAAGACCATACAGTAAGCCCTTGCTTAACTGAGCTGGTGGCGCGTGCTAAAAACCGTGGTTACAGTCTCCCAACGATGGATTTCTTCCGCGTCTGTCAACACTCTGCTCACATTTCCCAGTACTCTGACTCCGTGTTTAGTTTGGTACTGACCGTATCCAGTCGCTCATAGACGGCCGCCGGCAGCATGACCCTTTGACGGAGATGAGGCAGCGAGACCTTGACTCCGTGGAGAAGGATCAACTCGCCTTCCTCTTCGGTGGATCTGGTGATGGTCAGTGTTGTTGTCGTGCCTCCTCCTACCAGCCGGTTTGAACCCATATTTAATCTTGCCAGCGCGACACGTCTTCGGAACCATACTCCATGCAGCCAACTTGGGATGGACAAACCAATGGCACATGACCCTCGTCGAAATTCATCCCGCAACTGTAGCAAAAACGCTTGTCATCTTCGAGTTACTTTGGATGATTGGCCAGGCAACGAACGAAGAAGAAAAAGATGAGATTTTTGCTACGCTCATCTTCATGTATACGACGTTCCTTCTGCCGGACTATTGTGTCGATAGGTGAGCCGACCTGTCATCGCATCGCCTACTTCGACTGATCCACCGGGCGTGCTAGGCTGATAAAAACATCTGCAGCAGTCGAAAAACGACTTTCTTCTGCCAAAGGAAGCGGCCCGATTGCCCTCTACAGCCACCTCTCCGTGGCACGGAGTTCGATGCCTACCATCATTGCCGTTTTGAAGCAGTGGTCTACGCCTCTCGGGAAGACAGCAGCGGGCATGATCAAGTACAACCCCCACATTAGGCGGGTGTCGAAGGCTGAGGAATGGCTCATGCTGCTGGGGGAGACTGACGCCAACGAGCTAAGGGAGCTCGAGCAACAGGTTCTTCAAACAACTAAAGCGTTGTTTCCGCCAGAAACTCTTATTCAACGCCATCCAGCAATTCATAAGGCTTATACGACGAAGAGGTTGACCAGCTCAATAATCCGTGACATCAAGATTGAGGTATTGGAGAGGTGGAAACCGAATTTCCTCATCTTTGTATGTACCTCCCGTTTGGTTTCTTGAGGATAGTTTTATATTTATAGTCACTACAGCGATATGAAGACACTTGCGGCGCGCGACTCCTCAATCTTGGGGATGGATATCCATCAACTCAGCAGAACGCACACGACGAACTCCTCGATTACTATACCATGTGCATGAGGTTCTCGCGCAGGAGCCAAATCGACTCGATCTTGTCCACCCCGCGCACGACCTTCAGCGTACTTAAGCGAGGTTGTCCTGGAGGATGTTATCTTGGGTCTCCCAAGGATCATTGCCGACCCCCGAAGGCCAAAGACTTACCCAACCAAGTTCACCAGAATGTGGTTGAGCAACATTCCGTATGTATACATCCCTTTCTACGTTGCTGAAGCGATCGCTTCACTCATCTTTCGCTACCGAGACAGTGACTACACGGGTGGGCCTTTGAATAACATCATCTTCCTCGTCCCACACCTCCATCGTTCCAAATCCAACATGCTCATGTTCAATAAACTGATCAACACCGGCTTATTCTCGACTGTGGCAGATGTCACCTACAAGTATGTCTTTTTTCATCTCTGTGATCCAGTTATGCTCAACACTTTTCTTTAGCTACACACTCCTTGAGGAGAAGGATCTGCGCCAATTTCTGGGCTGTCGACACGTCGACTCCATGTCCCAGGGCAGTGTGTGGGGATGGATTGCTCTGGTTGCAGACACAGACAAGATGCTTAAGGTCTCCGCAAGGCCTTCCCAAGCTGAACTGCATGACTGGCTCGCGCTCCTTTTACTCTCCACGGTCAAGTCGGCACACAGCGAGCGAGGCAGTTACCGGGTCGACCAGCCAAACAACCTCGCAGTCGTTGTCCACCTTCTAATCTACCTTCACGACTTTATGGGTATCCCTGGAGGGTGGCTTGCAGACTTCGTTGGGGCTGTTTCTGAAAATCGATTGGTGACGGCGGCGAGGCCTTACTGCGGCTTCTTGCCCATCCCCGTCTCCCATGCGAAGAACAGGAAACCAAGGGCAGAGAAGGTTAACCTACGCCCCTGGCTCAATGACTTTCAGCTCGCCCTCTCGGATTTGGCACCATTGATTCGCTTCCCTATACACCATATTATTCCCGAGAACTTCATCCTGGAACCAAAGGACATTGTACACATCAAGACTCGGGTCATGGACAGGGGCGCGTTCATCCCGCCGTACTTCGGTGATCATGTGCTGAGACCTGTCCTTGGTTTTGCATTCTACAAGTTGAACAAGGGTGTCGACATCGCTGCCGTTCTAAAGGACGAAGGACTGATGAAGGTTATCCAGTCGGGTGAAGAGGAGGTAGCGAAGAAGTTTGGGGGTCTGCAAATCATGCTGTCGCAGGGAAATGTTGAGGTGATTGAAGACGAGTGTAGGGATTGGGAGAGAGGTGATCCTAGGCTTTTCCCGCCTTCTTTTGTTAGTTGGAGGATGGCCAGGGCGGAGTATGAGAGAATGCGCAGTGAGGGTTGGAAGATGATGTTGTACCGGACGGATAGCAGCATTATCAGTAAGTTCCTTTTACTCGCGCTCGAAGGTTTACGACTACTGACACGTTGTCCTCGTCAGTTAGCACAACCGCCGAGGCGGCGGAGTGGTTTGTTGCTACTGATGCATAATCTGAGCTATATACATATACAACGGAACTCAGAACTTTACTGTAATGACCGACACTACCAATCAGACTGGAGATCTTCCGCCAGATGCTCATCCGGGAAGGACACGGAGTCAGCCATTGTCCGTGCATGAGTATGGCGATGATTCGATGCTTCTATTCCTACGCAGACCTCGATTGACTGGATCCACGGATGAGCCACTACCTGTTCGATGGCATATCGGCGTTGACAATCGGGATCCAGCATCGCGAGGACAAGCGGGCGGCTTTCTTCGGGTTTAAGAAGCTGAAGTGCCTTCAATGGATGTTTAGTTCCTATTGGCCTTGCTACGGGCTCCTTTGGTCCGCTCGTGTAATCCTCTAAGTAGAGACTGTACTCTTTGCTGGTGCCCTTCGCAATACTCCAAGGAAACCTTTGAAAGTACATGCAGAAGTACACGATTCCGCATGACCAGACGTCAGCCAATTGGGGGTTGTAGGCTGGGTGAAGGATGAATGAGTGGTTCCTAAAGGGTTAAGGAAGTCTGGGCCTCACGTAGGTCGACGTATTGTTCGGGAGAAACGTAGGGTTCTGCTCCATACTGCCTTGTCGACATACGAAAACCACCCTTGCGATCCAGGCGGCACACAGTGACCGCACTGAACTCAGAAATCTGCATGCGTAGAGTTCAACAACACAGGGAACAAATCAAACAGCCGAGCTCACCTTGAGACATCCCCTGTCGTCGAAATAGAGGTCGTCGAGTTTCAAATCCCGATGAGCAAGTCCCTTCGAATGGAGGTAGTTGACCCCGTTGACAAGCTGTTTGAAACTGCAACTCTTTTCTTCCGGCGTCATAGATCTGAAAGTCACTTTTTGTCAAGCTCTGATGTCTTCCACTACTCGAGGCAAAGGAGGACATTACCCTTGTTCTAACGCATCGAATAAACTTCCGCCCGAATAAAATTCGATAACGTGACACCAGGCACCATTCTCGTCTTGCAGCAAATCGAACGTTTCGAGCACATTGGGGTGATTAAGTGACCAGAAGAACATATATTCCTCCCTCAACCTTTCTTGGTATGTATTCACTGCTTCACCTTCGCGTGGCTTGCGGTACCTCTAACGATGAAGAGATCGCGGTCAGAAAGATCCTGCACATGCAACGGATGGATATGAACAAGGCCGGAAGGCTTCAACGTACCCTAATCTCATATACCCTCCCGTCGCTTCCATCCAGCCTACGTGCTAGCCGGATGACAGTCCGTCTGCCATCCTGCGTGACCACCCGGAGATATACCCCGTACTTATCCTCCAAGCCCATCCGAGCTGTGCTTTCTCCGCTCCTTTCTTCAGTTGGTACCATCGAATCTGTCGACCCTTCCCATCCGGCCTTTGGTTCCTGCCCCCGCCTCCGCCGGAGGGCTCCAAGCGGATCTGCAATGTCGAAGCCGTTCTTCTTCTTCTTTCTTCCAACAATCTTGCGACTACTGTGCGAAGTCCCCGAGGACGCAACAACAGACGAAACATCCGACGCATCCGATCCCGAGTTCTGTTGACAAATCGGCGAGCCGAGTCAGCCTGTGTACTGCTAAACAAACGAGCATTAATCGACTCACATAGTAATGCGTCCGCAAACTTCGATTAGCCTCCCGATGCTTCCTCTTCCACTCCCTCACCCGATGCTTCATCTCGCTCTTCTTCACCAAATTAACAGAACTCGTACTCTTGAAATCAGATATGGCGTCAAAATACTCGTCGGCAGATTGTATCGCTCTACAGATTCAAAAGATGATAAGTCTTGCCCAGCAGAGGATCATCGAAGCAGCACTTACACCTCCTTCTTCCTCTGAAACTCCTCGTAATCCTCCTCATCAATCTCCCCCTCCTTCAAAGCCTTATTAAACAACCCGATCAGCTGCTGCGTCTCTGCAACTTGGGCATCATGCGCATGGTCGTGTCGAGCTGAGAAGCCAGAAAGAACGCTATGCGAGGCAGCCGCAACGCTTCCAAACGCACCGAGCGCTCCTGCTGCAATTTCCATGGTGGAAGATGGTGTTGATTGAAGATTAACAGCTTTTTTTTGGCTTTCTTACACTCCGCTGAGGACTCGAAAGGAAACAAGCGCCCGTCCTGGAGGGTGTTCTCACGGGTATGATCCGAAACCTTCGGAGGCAGGTACCACCAGGGACATGTTCCGTCGCAGTGTAGTACATAGCAAGTGGTACGTGTAGTGATACATCTATTCCACATGCCAGCCAATACGACAGATCGAACAGGGAGCACACAAAGGATGATAGAAAGTCATGGACAATAGATAAGATACTGGGGGAAGGACATCATGACGGGATCGTACGAGTGGACTTGACTGACAAGAACTGACAGAACGAAGGTACGTAGCAAAAAAAGTATGGGTCAAAAAGACGACGACGGCAAAGCTGACGTTCATCGAAACAGAAGTATAAAAGAAGGTTAACCATTCGAGAGGGGGGCAGGCAAACGAACAGATAGTTGGTAGGGTAGGAAGAATAAGAAGAAAAAGGGGGCGTCATGAACGGAGGCGCCGGGAGGTGGTCGGGGGACGAGATAAAAAGGGAAAAACGCAGGGAGAGCCTATTCAACAAGAAAGAAAGAAATATGTAGGTGAAAACGACTTCGGAAAGAAGATGATTTCAGTAACAAATTTCCAAGGAGAAGAATTAAAAACTCTCCCAAACCTCCGAGCATAACACCCGCCTAGAAAGCATGATTCTCCACTAAGAATGTTATGCGGGAAGAAACACCATTTTGTGCTGGAGGTGGATGAATGATAGAGAAAGGGTATACGAATGGTGAAAAGAGTGTGCATCGTGCCGGTCGAATGCTTTCGCAGCCGTTAGCAAAGGAAAAGAGGGGAATGAGCAGGCAACGCACACATTCGACTAGGTCTTGTCCGCATACACCGACCCCATTTCTCGAGCACTCACGTGGACATGCTTTGGTTCTGAAACTTCATGACAGACCTCGATCGACTGAACCCATGGATGAGAAATGACGTCCTCGATGGTATACCGACGGGAGGGAAGCGGCTCCAGCATCTTGCGAATGAGCGGCCGGCACTGCTTGGGACTTAGGTTCTGAATTGTCGCTGGACATTCACTCGAGTCCGATGAACTCGCGCAAGCCTTTGCGTACGCAGCGTAGAGCTGATCCGTTGCAGGTTGAGCAGCGCGCCACGGGAGCTCCTGGAAGTGCAGGCAATAGTACACAATCCCACATGCCCAGATATCAACGAGCCGAGCATCGTAGGCTGCGACCCGCATATTTGGAGATGAAGAAAGAAGAGCAGACGTTGACAACAAAAGGATCAAGTCAGGCTCGCTGCTACAAACCATGGGATTAGAAGACAAAGCTTACGTTTGCCCATAAACTGTTCAGGAGCAATGTAGGGTTCACTGCCGCACAAACCAGAAGACATATGGACCGTGGTTTCCCATGGTAGACGGTAAACCGTCGATGCACCGTAGTCACCGATCTACAGGCACCACAATAGTTATTGATTGCCGTGAACCGAGGTTTCAGCGAGGCTCACCTTGAGATAACCCTTTGCATCGAAGAACAAATTTTCTGGCTTCAAGTCGCGATGAGCGACACCTTGGCCATGAAGGTACTTGACGCCATTCAGCAATTGCTTGAAGCAGCATTCGACTTCACTGGGGCTCATGCCACTGGACAAAAAGAGTGATAGTTAACATATCGTAACTGAAGACCAAGAAACGTGAGATGGACTTCGGGAAGTCCACGATGTGCGCGGCCAAGGGAATTGATGGTCGTCGTTGACCACGCCATTCCTTGACGGGCGCACTCTTTTTCAATCAATGGCCAAGGCCATATAAATTGCACCATCGTGGTTCCCAAGCCCCAGCTCGTTGACTTCAAACCACGACCATAGAAAAGGGAAATGAAAAGAAAACCGTACGTACCCTCTCTTGATTGCAGCATACAGATCTCCTCCAGGACAGAACTCCATGACCTCACACCAGTGCAGGTTCTCGTCTTGGATCAAATCAACCGTCTCGACTACATTGGGGTGGTGCAAGGTCGAGGAGATGCAGAACTCTGAGGTGAGCTTCTTGACGTATTCCTTTTCCGATTCGTTCTTGCGACGCTTGCGGAACTCCTGATGGGTGTCGATCAAGTCAAAATCGGGACGATGGAGAGACATGAGCCAACTTACCTTGATGGCATACAATTTCTCCTCGCTTCTATCCCACTTGTGCGCTAGCCGAACGACACTGGTGGCGCCCTTGCCGATAGCGACCTTCTGACATACACCATATTTTTGCGTCAGACTGACTGCACTCTCCCCACCGGTACTCTTGGCACGGCCATCGCCTGCATCAGAATCTGAACGCCTAGATGACGTCGATCTCTGCGAGCTCTTCCTGTTGAGCTTGGTACCACCGCCGAGAAGGTCTTTGAGGTTGAATTTGTGACCCTCACCCTTGTCGGAGTGGACCGAGGCAGGCTTGCGTGCAGGTGCGGGGGTCTCGGGCTTGCTGCCTCTCCGCTCCCGGCTTGCTGTTGGAGCTGTCCATCCCAAGATCTTTCCACCCGAGAATCCAGCAGACATGCTTGGGGCCCTGCTTCCGGGCCTACTAGGGGCTCTGCTCGGTGGCGCACTTGCATCCCAGTAGCTGTCTGTCGGCGAGGCTGGAGTTGGGGATGGGAAGCCGGATGGGTTCTCCACGGCAGTTGCTGGGCTGATGGAGAGCTTCATCGGCGACGACTTGTGGGACGAGGGCTTGCCGTTTGTGTGGTTTTGGTCTGAGGAAGAGGAGGTGGAGACAGCACTGTCGAGCTGGACAGCAGCCAGCTTCTCGAGTGCGGCACGGGTGAGGCCTGGTTGCTTTGTGCCGGTCATAAGGGAGTCTGGCGGAGGCAAGGGGAAGTTGGCGTTTGGATCTTGGTTGATTGGGTTGCCGTTGGGTCTTGGCCCGTCCATGCCGTTGCTTTTCGCGAGGCTGAGCTTGTTCTGAAATTGATTGACGATGTGAGCGGGTTTGTCAGAGTTGTCGGGGCTTTCTCCCTCGTTCTGCGTGCCGTCTGTGGAGGCCTCGGGGATTGCCATTCGAGAAATTGTAGGTCGCTGCCCCTATGGCTTGAAGATTGCGTATGAGTCGGACTTGTACTGATACAGTGAGCGAGTTGGCTTGGGTTTCGGGGTGTTCTAGAGGGATATGCACATGATGTTCTCTTTATCCTAGTTATATACTTCCTGCGCCCCCATTTAGCCTCTTATCACTACCAAAATGCAGGAACACATACAACAGAGACAGGCGAAATGGGCTTTGTTGGCTGTTGGGCGTGAAAGACAGTAGCAACCAGCGAATGAGCAGGTTAAAAAACCGCCCGTCGCTATTGCCGTTGCCGAAGAAATCGACTTGCGGTGCTGAGACGCAGTCAAAACGATGTGGTCAATCGTAAACCAAAAGAAAAGACCGCCCCCAACCTCCACCCAGTGTGTCAGCGACACAGCCACCCTCAATCTCCCGCTTTTATTTTCCTCCGCAAAAATTATTTCTTTAATTAATTCTGCTAACCCCAACCCCTCTTCCGTATCCACGGCCGTGGCTCCCAATCTCTCGCTTGCTGGCTCGGTCCCATAGTCTTATCGACGGGTTTGTATCTGGTCCATCGCTCTTCCTGCACTGAATCAGTCCGCATGGTCGACCAGATTCAGCCAGCATCTCAGGTCGCCCTTGTGATCCAACACATGTCAGTGGCGGCCCTAACGGCAGTGATAATCATGGCGAGATCTGCCTCCACGTCCCAAGGAATACCGGAACGGTTCCCTACAGAGAAGATCTTTGTATATGACGAAAACTAAAGGGCGGACGTCGCTCTCTCTGCACAAGTGGACGTTGTTCCTCACGCTCCTGCCCCTGCGATCAAGAAGTATCATCGGAAATTAAACCAACGAAGAGACATAGCAATCCCTGACAATCAAACGAGTCTCTTTCCCAAAAGTCTAATCGACCCAATCGGTGTTGTCGATGCTCGACTTGCTTCACTGAAACAAATTACACCGCTGCTCTGGGTCCTGGTTTACTGATTCTTCGCGCTTCCTTCTGTGGACGGCTTCTCCTCGGATGCACATACATTTCTAGGGTATACGTGAAGGTATGTATGTATGTATGTGCACTGGCCACTATATCCTACGAGCAGTACCCTTTCTTTGTTTTCGCCCTTTCCCAGTCCTCCGGTGCTTGACGTCTAAAGCAGCCAGGCTCAAGTCAGTTGACCTCATTGCGTCATCGGAACCTTGTGGCTTTTCCCCACACGCCGGGTCAGATCTAGACTAGTTCGTCACCGCCCGTCTCCGTCTTGTGCCCATTGGAAAGAAAACAATACCGACCCTGTGGCATCGGGTTTACCGCAAACGACCTAGCTTCGGGTCCACTTCCGCGTTCAGTTCTTTCACCTGGGGTGCCAGAACCTTAGTCCACACAAAGGACTCTCCCGAGGCACGTAACTCCAGCACCATACCGCATCCCAGTCCTTCAAACCTAAAGGACTCGTCCCAGAGGCAGGTACCCAAGATCAAATCCCTCCGATACAATGTCCTCTTACCCCACGCCCAAATCACTTGGCACCCAATCTCGTGCATAGAATATCCGAAGGTCCAAGAAACCCAAGACTCTCTTGCGCGCGTCCTTCTCGCGCTCGGACGTTACAGCGCGTCGAATGGCGAAAATCCCTCCATCCCTCATCGCCCTCTTGTAGGGGATGTCCAGGCAGCTGCAAGCCAGATGCGTGTCGATTCTAACATAATCTTTATTATTCCATCTTCAGAAATCAAATGGAACGTGTCTCGATTTCTTGGATAGCTCAGGCTTTCACGCGCACAATTCGTGGTAAGTTACTTTTAGAATTTCGAAAATCTGCTAGTATTTTGGGTTATCTTCTTATTTGACACTAGAGGGTACTGATAGGTACCGATCTACCGTTCGAAAGCTACTAGGAAAGTCTATATTTCTCTTCAGGGACTAAGGACCCTTCGTCTTCTATTCCAGGGACCGTACGGCCTTCTGACTCTTCCCCTATACCGCCACACAGTCAGCAAAAAAGTTAATCTCCCCTTTTCTTATAGCGAAGTCTGTGAATACCGTGAGTCAAGATTCAACCGAACGTGCTTTGAAAACCCTGCAAACTGGATCTCTCAAGCTAAGTACATATTTCGGTACCGTCTTCCGCCCTCTCTCGAGTGCACCAGGGTAAATGTCACATAACGCGGGTCTCGAACAAAACGATCGTGTGCTATGAATACCGACAGTACGCTAACTCCAGCCTCAGCTCATAGTTGAGCGAGTCTTTCTCCAACTCGCTCCAAACTACGGAACAGAAGGACACCCTCTTTCTTTTCTCCAACCCCACGCAAAACCTAGTGATATTGTCATCTGCAGGTTCTAATTAAAGAAACTGACTCAAGCTTTCGCTATTCTCGCATCTTTACACCGCAATCCAGCGATTCCAACGCCTCTTGACGGTTCAGATGACGCGCAAGGCGATAACATTGTACGGAGTCTTTCTATGAGTGTGGTACTGACGTTCGTTGTTAGCTCACAAGTTATCTATCTCAGTCATTATAGAACATACCGAGGTAGATCGAATGCACAGGACTTCTCCGTTACTTCCTAGTGAGGTATACTGATACCTATCTGTGTGCGTTAAAAATACCCAGCACCGACCCACTATACTGACCAAAAATACACGTGAATCGAGGTCGAGAGATGGGACAGGTGGCCCAAGTTACATTAAGCCCACCTGACATGCACTGTACACGGACAACACTGGTCAGAACTTAAAAAGATTTGAACCCCCCTTTCCTCGCACTGTCATGGTCAACAAGCCATTGAACCTTTCATTTTCAGTCGTTAATTAATGGGCTACGTTGGAGCGACGCCCGCGGGTGAGAGCGCAGTGGCGGCCAAGTTCTCATATGTCGAGGATGTCACATAAAGTTAGTCAAAGCAAATTCGACAAACGAACGTGGATGAACACCTCTCGAGACAAAACCATGGGCTCCGTCTTCACCTTCCACCCGGGTAACCGAACCATACAACCTTCATTGAAGCTTGAATCTTTCACATCACATTCGAAATTCTAAATTTACTACCATCTGGCAGTCGCATGACACCATCTTATAGTAAGCCAATCTATTAATAGTATGTATACGCGCCGTCTCCTCCGGTTATCATCCGGTTTCGTTGTCTATGAACGGGCTATAACGCAGAGGGCCGACTCAGCGAGCAAATGCACATAGTCCATAGTTGGACTTATTGGGCTCGAAGTTCTTCTCCCGCCGATAGGTATCGTATCGTTAAACGCACGAAGGAAGGCTTCGAATCCCGAGGAGTCCAGTATGGCCAATTGCTGGAAGGGACCGGGGAGCAAACCCGAGCCTAGCTGGTATATTGGGAAAATCGAACTTTAACACAGGATGAGGCGTTTCCCAACATAACCCAGTGAGCGCCAATTCCATCGAGCCTCCGTGACGTTCGATTCGATGGATATACACTCGGGATTGCTATCGCCAAAAAACACACGAACAGACACGGGATCTTCTCTGAGTGAAGTCGGCCGTGTAATTTAAAGGAAAAAGCTCTGGAAGGATGACTCGTGTGTGCACAGTGTCAGTGATCACAATCCATGAGGCATATGTTTCGCAGGTTTCAGGAATTTGAAACGAAAAGGTCATCGAAGGTCTGTCAGCGTACTCAATTGAAACGGCCAGGACTCGATCCTAGGTTAACAGCGTGGACATAAGTGTAATTCAAAAGGGTTGATTGTCTTCTTCCCCAAAGGTTGATACATGAAACTTGGGTAAACGCCCACGTGAAGTCCACGAGGGCACCCTGGTTCCTCACTTTGGGGATGGCGCTGAAACGAGTGCCTAGCAGGATTTACCTGACCCAGCTTACTATTTGATTGAGACGGCTATTTCTTACGACGCCGACGGTAACATGGCCGAAAGACTGAGCGCAAAACATCGAAGTGCTTCCCCATTTTGGTCAAGTCCGACTCGGGTACTACAGCGATCGAGACGAAGGCCCCCAACCTCCCCGTACCTGGCTTGGTTAACGGAGCCTACAGTCCAGCATACTACTTTCCCAAATTCTCACGAGAATCAGTATGGAGCCGTCACGAAGTAATATGATACCGTTGAAAGGCTCGACCAGTGACAATACGCATTCAATGAAGTCAAGATCCGCCGTTTCCCAAAGCCAAGGTTCCCGCTTCCTTTCATCACATTTCAAAATTAGTCTAGGAGTCCGTGTACCGACCACTGGCAAGCAGGGTGCACGTATTGTTTTCTTATCCCCACAAAACGGACCGGATAAGGCATAGCTAAGTGAACCCACGGAGATGGCATGAATCACTAAGTAGTAGAATGGAATGGAATGGACATTAAGCGAGAAGACAAGCCAAGAGCGTGTGTAAGCGAGCTTGAATTGAGGTCCGCTCCACGAAGTTCTGACAACTGGAATACAGAGAATCCCTTGGGCCATTATACTCCCCAGCAGCGACCTAACCCCGACCACTACTTTGAAAGCTTAACCTCGTCAACTTGCAAGCCAAGGATAGCTTACTCGACCTCCTCTTGCCCAGGCGAGTCATTAAAGTGGATCCCAAAAGGAAAAATGGTCATGTTGCGCATCATACCAAGGCACCGAGAACATCACAACACGCTGCTTCTCCAGCAAAGTGGGCGCTACGAAGAATGCTAACGTTGAAGGCTGCCCAGTGCCAATGTTCTGGGCCCTTCCTGACGTCGACGCCAATCCCAAGTCGGAGCGGGTACCTCTTGGGCCTCTCCAAGCTCTGACGCCCTCCATTTCTGCACGATTCCCAAGTCATACCACAGTCACATTTGCCAACTGTTACAATATCACAAGCGAATGCACTGGTAGATAACAACTCGAAACTTCCCAGAACACACATAAAGGTTAAGCTGTGGAGTCGGAGAAGTAACAAGCGGAGCTCGGGACGGCGGGGCTCGATAACGTGTCAAGATCCGTCGTCCGTTCCGTTCCTGGATACAGAGAGCGTACTTGCGAGGACAAAAGCACGATGACGATGTCCATTGAGGAGATAAGCTCTTGGTTGGCGGCCTCGAGACAATAAAGAGCCAGGATAGCAGACACTGGCGGCATCCCCGTCAGGGAACGCGGTCCGAGGGCAGAGGCGCAGAGTGAACCGAGGAGGGGGTGACACGGGCGGGAGGTGGACAAGGGAAGAGCGCTATTGAGCTCTCTCTTCGCGGACACAACCACGGTAGGTTGAGTTGCACAAAGATCGCACTAACCCTCTTCGGCACTTCCTGGGACCAGTGTCGGAAGACCCACGTAGGCATGGGCTGCGAGGACGAGATAGTTCCTGATGATATTCTCCGAAACACGAGGGCGTTACAGAGCTACAGAAGTGGCGATTGTACTGGTACGTCATGGAAGAACGTCGCGCCCCAGAGTAGCCGAGCAGATGACATCCGCGAACGCGATGGCACAGACCCGGAGAACGTTCACAGAGCCAGCCAAGACAGTGAACATGACCAGTGTCCTAAGAGACTCCATAAGGATACCCCCTTTATTTCATCCGGGATGACAACATAGCAGCAAGATAACCTGAAAAAATCGTGAGTGAGCATGCGCAAGGAGGACGAAGGGTATGCCGCAACGGCCGAAAATCGGAGCCTGAAAGGCTGAAACCAGCTGTACAGCTGATGGATTAAGGTTCATAGTCACGTGAGACAACAGAAGCCCCAACACAGACGCAGCGCGGACGCCCCCCTCATCGACGACCTCCTCAAGACCAAGGCGAGTATATTTCCGCTTGTTTTCAACGTCGAGCACGCTGTCTGACACGATGAACTCTTGATCCTCCCAATTATTCTCGTCACTATGCACATCTTGGACCCCTGGACGCTTTTCCACTCGGATATCGCATCGACCATGATCTTGGCTTCAAATCGCACTGTAATTTATGGCGGACGACATGTTTGAACATCTGGCTCGATGCGCACTCAACGATGATGACGACGAACGCTATACTTCAATCCGGATTTGACGATGTCCTACAGCCAGCCGATTCAAGATGGGTGAGCCTCCCATCTCTCCAAATTTCCGCACCCGCACATGACTCACGTAAAAAAACCGTTGTCCTCCCATAGTCAACCTTCGATCACAAAAGCGCCTCGCCGCCGCTGTCTCGGGCGCCGGCAAGCGAAAAATCTGGCTTGACCCTGCTGAGCAGGCTGAAATCGGCAACGCCAACTCGAGAACACACGTGAAGAAACTCATCAAGGACGGCCGAATTATCGTTAAACCCACTGTTATCCACTCCCGCGCACGCACTCGTGCCAACCTTGCCTCCAAGCGAAAAGGTCGCCACACTGGTACCGGTAAGCGAAAGGGTACCGCCGACGCTCGTTTCCCCGCCAAGGTCCAGTGGATGCGAAGGCAGCGAGTCCTCAGACGGTTGTTGAGAAAGTATCGAGAGGCCGGAAAAATCGATAAGCACCTGTTCGTAACCCATTTTTTCCTTTTTTCCTTCAATCAACCTCATATTTTATTTCACAGCTACCATGTCCTCTACCAGAAGGCCAAGGGTAACGTCTTCAAGAACAAGCGTGTGCTCATGGAATACATTCACAAGGCTAAGGCCGAGAAGACCCGAACCAAGATTCTCGCCGACCAAATGGAGGCTCGTCGTCTCAAGAACAAGGTTCGTGCTTTACAGCTATCTCTATTGACCGCGCATGTTTTAACCCCACCAATCAAAGGCTATCCGGGAACGTCGTGCTGCTCGCCTGGCCGAGAAGAGGCAAGGTATCACTGCTGTCGAGCAGGAGGATGCCCAGGAGTAAACACATTCAATACACACCCTTGGTCTTGTCTTCGCTGTCGATCCATGCATGTTTCCCATCCCTTGAATCCCACCACTATGTACACCATGGAATCTTATGCCCATCATGCCCCCTCGCAAAAGTATGTGGGATCCATGTCCATACTCCTCGTGTAATCTGCTCGAACGACCTTTAAGTTCCCCGTCATCTGTAACAAAAAGCGAATTTCTTATTGGCACGACATCAAGGCTGCTACCTAATCAAACTACAGGATACAAAACAAGACCAGAAAACATGACGAGGATAATGAAAGCGAACACGACGAACGACTACGAACGCTTGAACGATATGATCAAACCGATAGCTGGAGACCTCTGGAACTGGGAACCAATCGCAAAGTCAAATCATTCCTTCCCCTTTCTTTGTTGACCTCGTCAAAGTCCATCACTGCCTTGGAGGATACTCGGGCTTGACACTCCTCGTCGCAAGCCACAGTGGTTGGAGTCAATGGGCCATCCTCGGTCCTAGGAGATGATGACGCAGAAGCGGAGGTGGATGACGAACCGCTAGGTGACATGGGATTCATTTGGAGGATAGGAGTACTAGCTTGCACCTCGTGAGGCGTCCTAGGAGAAGTATGTGAACCGGGAAGAGCTCCTGTGTGACCGTGAACATAGGCAGGGCTATTCCCATTGTGAGCCAACCGGAGGCCCCCGAGTGCAGAAGCATCCCCGGAATTGGTCGCCATAGTAGAAGAGAGAGACCTCGAGCGGGTATTCCTTCCAAAGATCTTGCGAGCACCGCTGGGCCGCAAAGCACTGAATGAGAATCGATGACCAAGCTTGACACCTCCGCGGCAGAACCTGGGCAAGTTTGAGGAAGCTGAAGACCTCGAATGGCCTGAATCAGAGGAGAGAGTATTACGGTGGAATCCAATTCCACTACCGATATGTTCGATTCCGGCTGGGAGCTCAACGTCCTGGTTGCGCTGCTGAGGGTCATGTACGGTAGCGGAACTCTCGCCCAAGCGAGTGGAGCTTCTAGACTTCTTCTTCTTCAACCCACGAGTCAAGGACGACGTGCTCAGGTTGAGTACGAACGGCCTGAAGAGACTGGTCGACGAATTGTTCTTGCGAAGCTTACGAGGCCTGAGGAATCCAAGAACGTGGCTACGGCCCAGGTTGGAAGAGGCGATCGAGCCTTGCTCCTCACGATCCAGTAGATCCCAGATTTCCATGCCCGAGTCTACTTGTCCTCCTTTCGCCGACTGAGCGCTCGCCTGAGGGTCGAGAAAGGGTCGAAACGTCCGGGGCTTAGGAGATTGGATGCTGAGATTGCCCTCCAGAGGTTCTGACATCTCAGTCAGGACAGATGGAGACATGGGACGAGAGGCGAATGTGACAGCGGAAGGAGAAGGGGAGAGAGGAAGCGGGTGAGAAGGACGATGGGAAGGGATAGGACTCAGTAGCGCAGGTCGAGGTTGCTCAGGTGTTGCGACAACAGGCTCGGCTCCCTCTTGGTAGAGGGTGTGTCGCAAGCCTGACGAATGGGACCTTCTCAAAAGCTCCCCACTGGATCCATTATCGTTGAAGAACCCGGGTAGTGGTGGGACTACATGTGGTCGGGTATAATGAGTTTTAGTCTCTGAAATAAATACTCGTTTAACTGACCTTCGACGAGCTTATCGGCCACCTTTCCCCAAGGCCTGAAGCATTGTGTCAGTTTCAGGTCAACTGGGCAAGTGGAGCGTGACTTACACGTTGTTAAAATATTCGTGGTTCTTAATCCCATCGACATTCAATCGAATACGCGGATTCCTTTCGACACACTAGGAAAAACTGATTACTCCCATAACACAGGCGGATGAAGAGCAACGTACCTTCAAGATGATATCCCTCGTGTGCGGATGAATCAACCTGAGAGACTCTGGAGACAAAGAGCCTTGAATGATGCGTGCGCGCAAGACGCGATGATCTACCGGGTTTCTGTCCTCTTGGAAGGGGTGCTACAGATGATTTAGGACGACAAGTCCCAAGATCGCAGAAAACGTGGCGCACCTTCCCAAAGTACATGAAGTAAAGCAACATCCCAAATCCCCAGCAATCAACGGAGATATCATGCGCCCAACCCAGAACCATCTCTGGGGCCTGATATCCATGGAACCTCGGTATCGACAAAACCAAATCACTGTTAAACGAATTGGCGTTAACACCGGAAGGGGGAATCGTGTTGGCGAATTCAAAGTTGGTAATGACAATGTGCCCCCGCTTGTCCAAGATGATATCGTCAGGGTTAAGGTTGCGATGCATGATCCCGACACCGTGGAGGTTGGCAATCCCAGTCAGCTAAGAGAGCAGGTGAGCGGAAACCACGCAGTGAGCGGAGAAGACGAACGAGTTCAGAAGCATAGAACAGGACACGCTGAGAGCCAAGAGTTCCGTACTTTGCGAGGAGCTCTCTCAAACTCGCTGAAGGCCAATAATCCTTCAGGTAACACAGTCGTCAGGGGTATGCGCGTAAAGAGTACACAGAAGAACTCACCAGAACAAGATGCACTTGATTTTCCTCTCGGAAGACAGACTTCAGATAGGGCAGGAAGGGAGCTCCCATATCTCGTAGCGTCTCCAGGATGTCTTGCTCCATCCAGGGAAAATGGTCATAGATGCGGCGAGAACGAATCTTGTAAAGGTTTCCATTCCTTTTCCTTTGGCAGATCATAACACGAGTATCAGAATCAGGGGCATTGTAAGAGGAGATGATATCAAAGTCGGACAGGCTCGTCGTATACTGGACATGATTAACACGAATCAGTGAGCAGGCAACAGATAATGAAGAAGACCACGGACCGCAAGAACAGGGCTTGGCTCATTTGCCTCTGGGATCGTAGAAAGCGCGGTGGGGAGCTGTTTCTGCGACATGACCACAACCTCCTACCCACCGCCGGCCTCACGATTAACTTAAGCAACTCCAGCTGCAGAAACGCAAGGACTTACGGAGATGTCACTGTCGTTCCCCATCTCCAAGTTGATGTCCTTGATATTCGGGAAGCTCTAATGAAGCTGGGTTAGCGTCCTTCTCGCCCATCTTCAACTAGACCTTACATGAATGTCATAGGTCATGTCGAAAGTGGGCGATCTGCTTTGGTGAGTCTGGCGAGTAAGATCTCCTTCGATCTCTGCGACATCAGCATCGTCGAATATGCCCGAGAACCTGAGGGCAACCTGGCCAAATACGAATCAGTTAGGCGATTCTAGGGAAACTGGATGGGAATGAAGCTCACCGCCAACGGAGGCGAATTGGGCCATTCCACGTCAAGGCGGGGAGGGGTTGTACTGTTGGTAGAGACTTCCCCAAGTCCGTCGACAACCGAAGGTCGAGGTGAGAGGGAGAGATCACGAAGAACGGTTCCCGTCGAGGTATCGGTGCACTGTCCAAAGGCGGGTTCGTCACCTTCAATAATAAGAGTTTGCATGAGCGTATCACACCTCAGATGAATCGCTAAAGTCGCAGAACGAGGACCGATACATGTCGGAAGCCATCGTCGCTAGGCGGGGTTGTGGATGAGAAGAGGTATCGCTGAAGAGCCAGTGAAATGGCGAGACGGGTACTCTGCGACCTTGGTCGAGAGCAAGGTTTCGCGCAACGTAGATCCAAGGCAGAAGTGGACGTTCGCGTCGAAGTGGTAAATGCAAGAAGAAGAGAACAAGACGACGCGTCTGAACAAGGGCGGGTTTTCTGAACCTCGATCATAACTTATTCCCACTGTAATTTCGGTATAGTTCATTTTATTTCGTCAGAATACATTTTCTAGAGGGTACTTTGTGAACGGCTGCCCGGATTCCAATCAAAGGAGAAAACGATAAACCCACCCACACGTTATCTCTATGATGATGTCCTGTCAGGCTTCGCATCAGCACAAGCACAGATAAGAAAAAGCTTAAACCTAAAACCCTGTGAATACGCACTTTTCACCGTGCCTTCGTCTCTTCCAAAATCTTGTTCGTCCCCTCCACGATGATCTCGTGTTCGACCTTGTGCAGCCTCTCTTCAAACGCTTCGATAGGCTCTCCCTTCTCAATCGGCACCTCCCGCACGACCACCGGCTGCCCTCTATCGACCTCCCTCACAACCTTGTGAACCATGGCTCCAGAATGGGTGATCTCACCCTTCTGGAAGGCCTCGTAGGCGCGCTGGATGGCATTCGCACCGTCAAAGGCTCCAGGGAGGGCAGGGTGGAGGTTGATAACAGGAATAGCCGTTGCAGGCGTCTCCACACCCTCCTCCCCAGCTTTCCTCCCATCCAAATATTCGAGGAAACGTTCGCTGAGAATATGCATCCACCCAGCCAACACCACGATATCTGGCTTCGCCTTCAACACGATCTTCGCAACCTCCGCATCGTAGTCTTCCCGTGTCTTTCCTGGGTTGTTTTTGAGATAGGGCTGGAGCGCGAGGTAGGCAGTGGGTATGGGTGGGTTGGCTTGTGCAGCTCTTGTAAGACCGTACGCAGCCTTCCTATTCGATAGCACCAACACTATCTCGGCATTGGGCAGTTTTGGGGTGTCGAGCGAATCGATCAAGGCCTGGAGATTGCTGCCTGGACGGGTATTTCTGTGAAGCTCAGAGGACTTCTGTAGGGAGGTTGGGGCTGGATATACCTGAGCCGGAGATGAGCACGACAATGCGTCTCTTCGTCGTCGTCATTTCTGTCGTTGTCGAGGACATTTTGTATGCTGAAGGAGGGACGAAACCGAGAAGCGACTACCAGATTGGGCGATGATCGATTTTGGACCCGGATCAACAGCGTGCCGAGGCCTCAAATTTCAAATTTCGGGGATATAATCCAGTTTTTGTGATCTCTTGGGCTATCTCTATCCTCCTCCCCGGACAGTCACCGTCGTTTCTACTCTCTCATTCTCTCTAAATCCCGACAATGGCCATTGGAAAACGCGGACCCGCCTCCGACGCTTGTTCGGACTGCTCAGATTCACCAGTCGAACTTAGCGCTGATACCAAAGCTCTACTGGACTTGTTCCTGGCAAACAAGGCTGAAGAAGAGCGAAGGTTCGCGGTTTTGGAGGAAGCAGCTCAGCTCAGGAAGATGGAGGTCGACGTGCCCCTCACTGTCGAAGAGCTGCAAGAGCTCAAAGATACCCCGATGGTCAGCGTCGCGGAATTCAAATCAACATTTGGTGAAGATTGGCAATTGAGCCAGTTCTGGTGAGTTTGCCTCGAATTACGGACCTAATCTATTCATACACCCTTGTCTCTATCTGCTACAGTCCCGTATTGCTCCTCTATGTCACATGTACCCCATGATCCAGGTCACTGATGCCGTTTCTGCCTCCAGGTACTCAGAGGACTATGCCTACCGCCTCGCAAAGGCCCTCCACGATCAATGCACCCCAGAAACCAAGATCGCCTTCCTCTGCTGCCCAACCGCCTACGTCGCATTCCAACACACCAAACCCCTCCCCAACGCCCGCCTCTTCGAATACGACCAACGCTTCGCCGTCCTCTCCCCCAAGCAATTCGTCTTCTACGACCTCGACGATCCAGAAGACATCCCAGAAATCTATAAAGGGCACTTTGATTTCATCATCGCCGACCCCCCATTCCTAAACGAGGTGCGTGTTTCGATATCTCTTAGGGAGCGTCTCTACCATTGAAGCAAGGGCCTTTTCTATTCAAACTGCAAAACTTTGAATACGGCAATTAGACAACGAACCGCAAACTTTTGAGGACGTTGAAAACGATCGTCAACCCCAAGGGATGCAAGATCCTCCTTCACACCTCGACTGAGATGGAGAACAACGGCACCCTTGCCAAGGTTTACACAGAACCTCCGTTTGGACCTCTCAAGAGGACAGCATTCGAGCCAGAACACGGTCAACTCGCGAACGATTTCGCATCCTGGGGCAACTGGGAAGGCGCTGAGACGTTCGGCAAGGACTATGGAGACGGAGCTTGACTCGAGGCGTTCGATACTCTTGGAATCGATCGATATTCCAATCTTTTCCTTCTACCAGTACCCGGACCCAACGACAGGATGGTCACGATACCACATATCTATCAATCATTGCGACTATCTAGATACACCACATACAACTGGATTTTGTGTAGACATCATAAATTCCATTCACCTCTGCCTGCAGGTCCCTCAGAGAAAGACATCGACAAGATCGGTATACAACATTTTCACCGAAAAAAAACGTCGAGTCCGAAGTGTGGCTCGTACTGTGTGTGGTGGAGGCATCCATGTATGGCGGGCGTATCGTTTGGATGAATGGGGCTCGTTCAGCGGAAACGACAAGGTACGAGTTCTCGGAAACATTGCGTACACCACACTGACCTCCTTTGCTACCAGCTGGTGCGTCTCTATTGTTCATATCTTCTGAACTGGGATATGTCACCACCAGTTGCTGGCCGAACGCGAGATTGCTTGATCAGAGCGACGACGACGACGACCATCGAGATCTTGTCGTATTCCTCAACAGTCCATTTATTTAATGCGGATCAAAAGGCGACCTCTGAGTAGTACGCGACAGAGGTATCTCGCGTTCCGCCACCAGCTTTGGTTGTAGGCTGCGCATACGTCGTTCAAATCCGTCTTTCACAAACATCACAGCTCGCATTTCGGGAGAGGCAACCAAGAACTGCCAAAACAACCATGACAGACTCCACCGAAGCGGAGAGCCTCTATCTCAACTTCAGAGGGAAACCGATGCTCCTGTCCGACGAAGTCAAGTACCACACCAGCCTCTGCGCTCTCGAAGATTTCATCGACCTGCTGCTCTCTCCATCTCTGAATGGCGCTGAGGTGGCATCCATCCTCGATCTCCTCTCCCTATCCGGGAAGTATTCGACGGAAAGGGAACGTTGGGAAGCTGGACTACCCGAGGCCAAGGGGGAATCAGAGCAAAGCTATGCTGCACCTTTTGTGGACATTTCCAACTCCATCCTAAAGGCAGTTGTGGATGTCAAAGGTGCCAGCTCACTCGCTCTACCGTCGACCTGGCAGCAAGGGCACGCGGGAAGGACATTTCAAAATGACCTTGACAGACTTGCCACACCAGACTTGGTGAATGTGACGGTGAATCAGCCTGACGCCGACCTACAGGAACGCAAGGGGCCTTTCAAGGTGCGTTGTCGGATTCTGTGTACGGTTAACACGGAGCTGAGCAGGACCACTAGGAAGAAGAGACGGTTGACGAGGGTATGGAACGGCCAGCAAAGCGGCGGAGACTAGATGACACCGTCAATTCTCAGGTACGACATTCAAGATAAACCCTGGAGGCCCAACTTGACTGTCTCGCCAGGGTGGTACATCGCTAGACACCGCACGACTTGAACGCACAATTTGGCCCAGAACCCTCGTCGTGGGCGTAGTCCACTCCGACAATGAAGGCGCGGGCATCTGGCAGGGTGTCGTACGGCTAGCAACGGGCCTTCGGAACATCCTATGGAACCAACAAGATCGTCGATTCGCATTCGGGCTTCTGTTCTTCCATCGCTCCCTTTCGCTGTGGTACTGCGACCGTTCCGGTGCCCTGGGCGCAGACAAGTTACTCGACATCGACAAGGTATGCATTGTACCACATCCAAGGTACACAGAGCCGGAACCTCATGCCGATTGTAGCATCCGGACATGTTCGTACGGGTCATGGCCACCCTCGCTACAATGTCACCTCAGCAACTGGGATTCGATCCAACAATGAAGATCGTGGTGCCGAACTACCCACCCTCGTTCAGCTATTCCTTGCCGCTTGACAAGATTCCGACGCAACGAAAGTGGTTGCATTGGCGAATCGAAATCGCGGGAGCCACGTACCAAACTGTGGAACTAGTCAGCGTGGATCGAACCGAAGTAATGTGCGGTGGAGGCATCCATGTATGGCGGGCGTATCGCCTGGATGAACGAGGTTCTTTCAGCGAAAACGACAAGGTAAGAGCTCTCCGGAGTATTGTGTACACCACGATAACCTCCTTTGCCGCCAGCTGGTGCTCATCAAGCAGCATTGGCGACCCTTTTCGGATCGAAATTGGCGTAACGAACTGGACGTCTACCACCTCCTAGGCAATTTCGATGGCCAGAAACCAGTTCCGTGCGTTGGCGAAGACGTACACCAGGCCAACACCCTACGAGATTTCCGGAAAAGCATCACAACGACAAGCCTCACCGGTTACCTTGACATCGACAAGCGTAGTCTGCCGGAGTCCAGCGCTCAGTTTCTCCTTCGTTTGACCTATGCCAACGACAAGAACCGTCCAGAACAAACTCGAGACTTCCTGGAGCGAGTTCTGACCAGACTGGTCATTCCCATCAACGGGATTTTGCTAGAGAAGGCAACAGGACTAAGAGAATTGGTATCGGTACTTCTGGACGTCGTGAAAGGTCAGATCTCCGTTGTAGTTTGTTACTGACACTCACCTGAACATCGCAGATTACGAGTGGATGTACTACAGCAAGGGCGTCTGTCATGGCGGTATCACTGTTGGAAGCATCTTCATCGACCATGAGACGCGGCGAGGGCATCTAGCTGACTATCATCATGCGAGGGATCATGGCCCCAACTACAAACCGAGGAAGGTGTCGTCGCTGCAGGAAGAGCTGCGCGACCATTTGGCTGAGTTCCGCAAATACGGCCCTCAGTCGGAGGTTTCAGACAATCTTGCTTTTCTGCTCCTTCATCTTACCCGGTCCAAAAAAACTGTTCGAAGCAATGCATCGACTGCGAACAGCCGTCTCTGGGACTACCTCGACGCTAGTGGCACATCGCCGAACGGGCCTCTCGAAATATCAGATATGCTTCCAGGGCTGGGGGACGATGTGCGTACCTTGAAACACCTTTTTCCTTCTCTTCTGACGGTAGTCGTTGGTCCAGCCTGTCCTCCCTCCAGATTTTTCCGAACGCACAGCAATACATGCCGTGGCGACTGTGAGTGAACCGAGTCCTGCCTCTTTTACCAGCTGCTCAAACATCTTTGCAGCAGGGCACTGTCGCGTTCATGAGCCACCAATTGCTTGGTCGCAGACGAGAGACACATGATGCTATACACGACATGGAGTCATTCTTTTGGGTCCTTTTCTTCCTCTGCCTCACCCGTGAAGGGCCCGGCGGAAGGCAGCGACCTGAGCCAGAGGATGACGTCGAGGGCGACGAGCTCTACGAAGCTTCCCTTCTACGCTATCATCTCTTCGAGGGCAGCAAGGACGAGATCGAGGAATTGAAAGGGGATATGTTCTCTATGACTATTCGCGACAAGATGCTGCGAGTGCTGGAGGACCATGTGTTCCCCTGGTTCCACCCCTCATTCAAGCCCCTCCATGAACTGCTTTCCGAGTGGTGGAAAATTCTCTGCAGCGGCTTCGACCGGTACGGAAATATCTTATGTCGCCACTACCCAGTTACCGCGTTTCGTCACGCTTTGGAGAAAGCTCTTGAGAAACTCCCAGCGGAGCCAGGCCCAAATGACGTACTCGTGCAGCAGCAGCTGGACATGGCAAGCGTGCGCAGGGATGCCATTGCCCTCGCTCAAAGTGTTTGATTCTCTGTGTTTCTGCGGAACCGCCTCACGTTTGGAGGATACTGGGTCTATACTTAATGTATATCCGGATTGATTATGCATCCTCCAGCTTATCGATTGGAACTGCAACGTTGAGTGCCACCTTGGGACAGTATGGGGTTGGACGGGATTGTGTCAAGTACATTAATGTAAGGGCCCGACACACATTGTGCCGCTACACCAAAAGGTAGCATGACTGAAGAGAGTTAACTTCTTCAGCCACCGTCGGGGACTCGGGTATATGAGCGTATGGGACCGCCCCTCCCGCCTTACAATTAAGCGCCCGTCGGTAGCTAACCTGACCATGTTTTCAGTGTTGTTCGTGAATCGACAGTCCGATAAACGTGTGCGTGGTGTCCACTGGACTCGGTGTCACCTTGAGTACTTCATGTCAATGACCACGGCCTTTCTGGTAGACGGAGTCTGACACGCTGGGAATGTGGCTGTGCAGTTGCCAGCGCCAGTTCCAGAGAGGCGCTGGCAAACTCTTCTCTTTCCCCGTACATCTGAGCGCAGCGTTGGTCGGTCATTTCATCGCGTCTGCACTCCCATAAAGCGTTCTCTCAGATGCTGACAGGCAACTTCTACAGGTAAATAGCATTATTGGTGGACCCATACAAGCAAATAGGGCATGCCACTGCTGTCAGTGTTTGACACGCAGAACTCGTCGATCTCCGAGCACCCTGTTCGAAGCCAGCCTGTAGCAATCGATAAGGGTCTGCTGACCAGCTCCTGCCAAACAGGAACTGTCCTCAAGGCTGGTGCACCTATATAAGGTGAACGTGCCCCAAACCGTGTCCAGAGGTGTGTCCTCTTCTTCATTCTCACTTTGTAGCCGCCCCATGGACCAACTTTTCAGAAATCGCAACAAGCCCGATAGTCAAGTCAAGGCGGAGATGACGACAAGCAGCCATGCAACCACTGCAGATGAGGTGAAAAGCGGCTGTCGTTCACGACCTAGACGGTCAGAGCCGAATCTGCAGCCTCCACGATCTTCTCAAGCTCCTTGGCCAACCTTTGACTGACTCTGAGGTCGACGAGGTCCTCGGTTCTCTTTCGGACCACTATACCCAGCAAACAGGCTGGAAAGGCCTTCCTGAGAAAGCGGGTGGGCCGGAGACGGCTTATTACAAGCCGCTGGCAACCATCTTCAACACTATCACCAAGGAGGCAGTCCGGAAAGTCAACAAGCGCGCACCCGAATCACCGATTATACCGTCCACATGGCTGGATTGTCACTCTTCAGCTCCCAGGTCGAATGTCGAAGGCGCGAGCAAGATACGCCCAGATCTTCTCAGTGCTATTCTCAATCCGCGGCGACAATGTTGAGAGATCTGGGCAGCAAGCTTCAAGGTGCGTGAGGCCTCTCCTAGTGTGTCAAGGCCGTGGCGGTAACCGCTTCTGTTCAGGAGCTGCATGACACTGAGGATGATGAAGAAAACGACAACACAAACGACTCGGATAAACCAAACCCAAAGCGACAAAAGACAGAAGGCGGAGAAACTGAGGAGGTCCAGGTACGTGGTTTCATAGTTGTGCCCAATTGGCTTTGCCTTGCTAACCTGTTGTCCAGCAGGACCCCCAGCAGACCGACGCACAGAATGGATCCGATGCTCAGGCCGCACCGCAGCCACAGGTCCAGCCCACCGAGTCGCAGGCCGCACCGCAGCCACAGGCCCAGCCCACCGAGTCGCAGGCCCCACCCAAGCCAATCGCCTCATGGCTCAGGACTCTCCTGGTCGCTGAAGTCAAACCAAACCGGGACGACGACTGGGACTCTGTCATCCAACTATCCACCTATCTTCGACAAATTCTTCGAGAGCAGCATGATCGCCGCTTCGTCTTTGGCATCGTTATCTTCCACCGTTCGTTGTCCCTCTGGTACTGCGATCGGTCAGGACTCCTCGGGTGCTGACCAGACGGTCGACATCGACAAGGTATGCTGCGACATTAAGACGAAAAAGGGAGCCTTACCAAAAATTTACACAGGATCCCAAGACCTTTGTTCGCATCATGGCCAGTTTTGCAACCATGAATCCGGAACGTTTGGGGTTTGACCCTGCCATGAAGATGCTTGTTCCGAACCGCCCGCCTACCTACAGCTATCGACTTCCTTTCCATGAGGTGCCAAAGCACCGACATTCACTGCGTTGGGAAATAGTCATCAACAAAAATATTTACCACACAGTCGAGCCGCTGAGTGTAGCTCGATCAGAAATCATGTGTGGTCGCGCTACGCTTGTGTGGAGAGCGTTTCGACTGAGCGATTATACCAATGAGCCCAATACCAAAGACTTGAAGGTGTGTTGTTTCAGGCTGTTGTACCAACATTTCGGATGGCCTGACGTTTCGTCAGCTATACATCATCAAGCAATCATGGCGACCGAACGTGGGTGGCGCTGCTGAACTTGAACTCTATAGCCGTTTGGGGGATTTTGGTGGCAGGAGGAAGGATCCTGTGTGCCATGGCGAAGATGTTGAAGGATCCAATACCCAGAAGGACTTCCGCCGCGGTATTCACACAGAACCGGCTAAAGATATCGTGGGGAAAGGCTCAAAGGGCGGGGCACAGCAAAGGACACTGTCAGAGCCCCGCGACGAGCACAACCTTGTCCACAATACCTTTTCAGCGAAAAACCCTCCCAAGATTGCGCAAGAGTTCATGGAACGAGTTCAATGTCGGCTCGTCATCCCTGTGAATGGCACAGCAATCAAGATGTTTACGAGTCTGAAGGAATTGGTAGAAGCCTTGCTTGATGCAGTGAAAGGTCAGCCCTCTTTCTACGCTCCTTTTGCCGGCGCTCATTCCCGAATGATAGAATACGAATGGGCATATTATCAGAAGGGCATTTGCCATCGCGACATCAGTATCGGCAACATCGTTATGGAAATCCTCGAGCGCAAAGGAAGCCTGATTGACTTTGATCATGCGAAGGATCTTGGCCCCAACTACACACCAAGGAGGGTCTCGTCGCTGCGGGAGGAGCTGCGCGATCATTTGGCTGAATTCCGCAAAATCTGCCCTCAGTCGGAGGCTTCAGACAACCTGGCGCTTCTTATCCTTCATCACGTCCGGGGTTCCTCGCCTCACAGGGATGCATTGGCTGCGACCAGCCGTCTCTGGGACTACCTCGACGCTAGTGGCGCATCGGCCATAAGGCCTCTCGAAATATCGGACATGCTTCCAGGGCTGGAGAACGACGTACGTACCTTGAAACACCTTTTCCCTTCTCTTCTGACGGTAGTCGTTGGTCCAGCCTGTCCTCCCTCCAGATTTTTCTGAACGCACGGCAATACATGCCGTGGCGACTGTGAGTGAACCGAGTCCTGCCTCTTTTCCCACCTGCTCAAACATCTTTGCAACAGGGCACTGTCGCGTTCATGAGCCATAAATTGCTTCGCGATGACGACGAAACCCACAGCAGCAATACACGACATGGAGTCGTTATTTTGGGTTGTGGTCTTCCTCTGCCTGACCCGTGAAGGGCCCGGCGGAAAACGGCGCCCGGAGCCCAAGGATGATGTCAAAGGTGACGAGCTCTACGAAGGTTCTCTTCGACGCTATTATCTCTTCGAGGCCCCAAAGGAAGAGATTCGGAAGATAAAATCTATTATGTTTTCTATGACTATTCGCGACAAGATGCCGCGAGTGTTGGAGGACCATATATTCCCCTGGTTCCACCCCTTCTTCAAACCTCTCCATGGGCTACTCGCTGAATGGTGGGCAATTCTCTGCAGTGGCTTCAACGAGAAGGGAAACATCCTATGTCGCCACTACCCTGTTGCCGCGTTTCGCAACGCTTTGGAGAAGACTCGGGACACACTCGAAGAGCCGGACGAGAAACACTTTTCCCTCATTCAACAACGGACAGAAATGGCAAGGGTAAAATCAGCGGCCATTCAGCTCACTCGAAGTGTCCTTCCTCACCGTACCGGCCGTCAAGGAGCGAAACGGAAGGTAGACACCGTGGAAGGTGTCACAACGCCGCCCAAGGTACATTCGGATTCTCCCACTATCCCTCGATCCAAGTCCCGTGGGTAAGGTCCATTCTAAAGGAACCTTTCGTCTTTATGAGGCTTGGTACAAAGTCGGTTGAGGACTGGGGCTCATGGGTAGTATCTCTGAAAGTTAAACTAGAATTCATGTAAACCCCGCTAAGATATAACATAGAGTGCCGACAATATTACATACATATCTCTAGATTCGAGGAGTCCTCCACTCATTTCAGCCCCTCATGAACTACTTTCCGAGTGGTGGTCAATTCTAGATCTTTGTAGCGGCTTCAACTACACACGGAAATATTGTATGTCGCCATGGTGGTATACGAAAGCGAGACTGTATTGGGACACTTGGAATAGAGGGAGGCTGATTGGCTCGGTATCAAAAGGAACTTGTCGACTGACTGTAAAGAGCTGAACCAACAGCACTTAGACCCGTGTAATTGGACAATCATCAAATATAACACCCGTGCAACCACCTAGAGCCACAGGCTCGGGGTCATGGGCACTCTAACAGAACAAAGAACCACTAAAAAATTAAAGAACGAAGTGTGTTTTTAACCAGGTCTTGGTTTGTTGATTTAGACGACTTTTCCCATCGGTTTACGGCCAGAGATCATGTAGAAGATGGAGCCCTGGAATCGCGAACGTCAACGAGGTTGGGGAAATGCAGGCAGTGAAACCTACATTATACACGCCTTTGATATCTTCTCTTCCCATCTTTCCGTCTGCTGGCCAAAGCATGATGTATGTTGCGGTCCATTCGAATATAGCGGCAAACCACCCGAACTAGAAGGGATGGAGAAAAGAGGGTTCAGTCGTACTAGATCAAGGTCGAAGGTAGGGCACACCCACAAAATCCCAAGGGTTCATATTCGCCCGAACCATGTACATTGCCTCGGGAAAGGTCATATAGGCGTGGGGCGGCTGAGTATACATGTCGAACATATAGTTGAAACGGTTGTCGTCGTATTCTCCGATCCCAGTGTAGACCTCCGAGTCAGACCCGTGTTTTGCCTGTAGAGAGAACGAAGTGTCAGAGCAGTGTAACGAGGGTCATCCAAGAGGACTGGCTCGAGCACTGACTCGATGCATGTACTTGATCTTCAGACGGAAGAATGGGGTCGGGTATCCAGCTTCCCATAGTCATATACCTATCCCGCCAAGGCGTAAATGACGGATAGCGTGTCCAAGATGGATAAAGTCCACGCACGAGAACCCAAAGTGCACAATGCACATCGCCAAGAGGGAAAGGGCAACGCCAAACTTGATGTCTCTGAAACCATTGTAACTGGCAAAGGGCGAGATCAATGCAAGGTCGAAGAGGAAGACAGGACGGACACACGTATCCCATGGCCAGATAATCCCGTCCCCATCTCTGTCGAAGAACGCGACATGTCCTTGAAGAGGTGTGTTGGTTTTCTCTGGGTTGAAGCCGGTGCCTGGAGCGGGCTGAGCAGCGTCTCTGGGGGCTACCATGACTATTCGAGCTGCATCCAGAAGGCTTTGGTCAATGGCGGGCGCCCAGAATAAGGAGGCTGGACGACACGTACGACGATGAGCGACGACGCTGACGGCCTGGGCGGGTCTCGTCAAAGGTGGGGGAAGAAAGAAAGAGGCTGAGTAGCAGAGGTAGGGTGAGTAGCTTTTATACGGCGGGTTAGTTTGGGCGAGATGATGTCATCCAAACAACTCGAAGCTCTGCGAAAGCAAGAGGGAGGCGCGTCGGTCCCATTCCTACGTGCATTGGCCAGTTATTCAGAAGCCGGAAAATCCGATTCCATGGCGTATCCTCTGTCGTCGTTGGTCGTTGGTCCACACGCTGAGCGCAGGCGTTAGCTATGACGCCCGAGTACAGTCAGCACTGTAGAGTTGGCCCACTAGCTGCAACTGGTGGCTGGCGACGATCTCGACGCGACGATTGGCGGAGTATAGCCATTTTGAGACGCGACGGTCAGCAGATACGAGACTAGGACAGCTTGGATTGGACGGCCGCAGACGGCCGCCGTCGCCACAATCACAACTCTACAGCACCCAACTCCTGAATGTTTCCGGTTCGCCGACGGGGGACTGCACGCGCCCCTGTTGCAAAGTCGACGCGTCTCCTGAATTGCGATGCCTAGGGGCGCTTTTCCCATTCTTTTATGGGAGTTTCAAGTCTGATTTGTGTGAAGCTGGTATCTTGGTCCTGTTCGCCGTCGCATTGAGCAAGTTCGCCACGAATCAAACATCCAAAGCTCGTCGTCGTCGTCCTCAACGTTCGAACTTCGCGCCCGGACTCCGGCAAACACGGTTATCACACGTGATCACTTCCCCACACCGGTCTTCAACCTGGCTCCGATACCCGGTCGAGTTCCCCGCTCTCGCGAGCGCTTTTATAGCTCGAAAGCGCGTCCACCCGGTTCCTCGAATCTCTTCCCCACATTCCATCCTCTCTCAATCCTCAACCGATAGCAATGGCCGACCGTCTCTCCCAGGTCTCTGGACACCTCTCCAACACTTACAGCCGCGGCTTGCTCGCTGGCGAAGTTGCCATTATTACCGGTATGTCAAGTACCCCTCTTGTGGGTATGATCTACAGTACTGATATAGGTGCTGTATGAAGGTGCTGGCCAGGTTCGTTTATTGTTGTTCTGGATGAACAGAACGTAGATTAAGCTCCGCATAGGGTATTGGCAAGGCCACCGCCCTCCTCTTCGCCAAGGAGGGTGCTAAGGTTGTCATCAGCGAGTGCGTACTCTCTCTCTCCTACCCAGCGAGCTATCTTCCTAATTACATTTTCCTCACCAACCAGTATCGATGCTAAGCGCCTCGAAGGCGTCGAGGCCGAGATCAAGGCCCAGGGCGGCGACGTTCTCTCCGTTGCAGGAGACGTCGGTGCTGAGGACTTCCCCAAGAAGATCGTCGACGCTACCGTCGCGTAAGCCTCCTCAGCCATACCCACCATTCGCCTAGATCTAACCTTACATCTCCCCACCTCCAGCAAGTTCGGCAAGATCAACCACATCGTGAACAACGGTAAGCCTTCCCCTGTCCACCTCCCCTTCACCTCCTCACCTCCTACTCCCAACAGCCGGCTTCACCTACGACAAGATGCTTCACACCACCCCCGACGACGCCTGGGACGTCATCATGAAGATCCACGTCCGCGCTCCTTTCCGCCTCATCCGCCAAGCCGCACCCTACTTCCGTATCAAGGGATCCAAAGAAAACCGCTCCATCGTCAACGTCTCCTCCACCTCTGGCTTGCACGGAAACGTCGGCCAGGCCAACTACGCAGCCGCCAAGAGCGCCGTCCTCGGCCTCACCAAGACCATTTGCAAGGAATGGGGCCAGTTCAACGTCCGAGCCAACTCTATCGCTTTCGGCTTGATTCACACTCGGTGAGTGTCGCTCTTGCTTCGGCTAATGGTTGATGTATGGGACGTTGAGGCTGACGGGGGTGGCATATATAGATTGACTGCCGCCAAGGAGGCCGGAGAGACCATCGAGGTCAACGGCAAGAAGGTTGCATTGGGTGTTCCAGGAGCCAAGGGCCCTCACCGACGACCAAAACGCCTACCTCGGCATCCCCCTCCGACGAGGTGGATCCGTCGAGGATGCCGCTGGTGCCGTTTTGTTCCTTTGCTCACCGTTGGCAAGCTATGTCTCCGGCCACACTTTGGAGGTCACTGGTGGTGTTGGCATCTAAGGGGCCGTTCCAAACTCTCGCATTAGGATTGGGACCCGGAGTGGGAAGAGGGAAGGAAGAGGGTGATGCATGCATCTGTATACTATCTCATCGCAATACATATTTATCGCCACCTTCACTGATGACCATGGAACCTTCTGACTATTCCTTCCCCAGGTCTGGCACTGACCTGATATCATAACCAGTGACATCTGGATCCACAATACAGGTATAGCTCGTATAAGCCATAAGAAGAGTAAAATCCATAATTTATATCCCAGCAAACCCTCCTTCAATCGGAGAACCGCGCATTAACCGCCAGTCCTAGCCGGCACTATGTAAATTCTGCTTCTACTCAAAACCTACTCCTTCAGCGCCCCCGATTCCCCTCCTCACTAGACCTAATAACCTCATAAAGCGTCATCTCCAATCCCCCCTCACCAAAAACTCTCTTCATATCCTCCTCAGAAATCTATTGGCATTAAAATGTATGTGACTACATACGAAGACAGAGGAATTCGATAATACCAAAGGATCTATCATGTAAGCCATAACACGAGGGACTTAAGTCCTGGCCCCGGATTGCCGTCGTCGTTCGAGTCTTGCTTGCGTTTGCCATTTTTCTTCGTCAACGCCCTTGACATGAGAAGGGCCTGATATATAGGTTGACTTGACCGGCGTAGCAGGCTCTCCAGCTGCTGGACCATTCAAATTTCAAAAACTTGGCGATGAGCTAACTGCAATAATAACAGGATAAATCAGTGACCACGATGCCTATTTGGAATCAAATAAGAATTAACTAACTTTTAGAGGGTCAAGGCAGTAACCCTACCTCTGATTCACCCACAGGATGTCGGCGACGACGTGGAGATCCTGGAGGGGTGGCGACTGTACTCAGAAGACGGAGTTCGCTGGGAATGTGGCTGTGCAGTTGCGCAGCGCCAGTTCCAGAGAGGCGCTGGCAAACTCTTCTCTTCCCCGTACATCTGAGCGCAGCGTTGGTCGGTCATTTCATCGCGTCTGCACTCCCATAAAAGCGTTCTCTCAGATGCTGACAGGCAACTTCTACAGGTAAATAGCATTATTGGTGGACCCACACAAGCAAAATAGGGCATGCCACTGCTGTCAGTGTTTGACACGCAGAACTCGTCGATCTCCGAGCACCGTGTTCGAATCCATCTGTAGCAATCGATAAGGGTCTGCTGACCAGCTCCTGCCAAACAGGAACTGTCCCTCAAGGCTGGTGCACCGATATAAGGTGAACGTGCCCAAACCGTGTTCAGAGGTGTGTCCTCTTCTTCATTCTCACTTTGTAGCCGCCCATGGAACCACTTTTCAGATATCGCAACAAGCCCGACAGTCAAGTCAAGTCGGAGATGAGTCATGGCGACAAGCAGCCATGCAACCACTGCAGATGAGGTGAAAGCGGCTGTCGTTCACGACCTCGACGGTCAGAGCCGAATCTGCAGCCTCCACGATCTTCTCAAGCTCCTTGGCCACCCCTTGACTGACTCAGAGGTTGACGAGGTCCTCGGTTCTCTTTCGGACCACTATACCCAGCAAACAGGCTGGAAAGGCCTTCCTGAGAAAGCGGGTGGGCCGGAGACGGCTTATTACACGCCACTCGCAGCCATCTTCAACGATTATCACTAAGGAGGCAGTCCGAAAAGTCAACGAGCGCGCACCTGAATCACCAATTATACCGTCCACATGGCTGGATTGTCACTCTTCAGCTCCCAAGTCGAATGTTGAAGGCGCGAGCAAGATACGCCCAGATCTTCTCAGTGCTATTCTCAATCCGGGGGACAATGTCGAGGACCTGGCAGCAAGCTTCAAGGTGCGTGATCCGTCTCCTGGTGTCAAGGCCGTGGCGGCAACCGGTTCTGTGCAGGAGCTGCATGACACTGAGGATGATGAAGAAAACGACAACACAAACGACTCGGATAAACCAAACCCAAAGCGACAAAAGACAGAAGGCGGAGAAACTGAGGAGGTCCAGGTACGTGGTTTCATAGTTGTGCCCAATTGGCTTTGCCTTGCTAACCTGTTGTCCAGCAGGACCCCCAGCAGACCGACGCACAGAATGGATCCGATGCTCAGGCCGCACCGCAGCCACAGGTCCAGCCCACCGAGTCGCAGGCCGCACCGCAGCCACAGGCCCAGCCCACCGAGTCGCAGGCCGCACCGCAGCCACAGGCCCAGCCCACCGAGTCGCAGGCCCCACCCAAGCCAATCGCCTCATGGCTCAGGACTCTCCTGGTCGCTGAAGTCAAACCAAACCGGGACGACGACTGGGACTCTGTCATCCAACTATCCACCTATCTTCGACAAATTCTTCGAGAGCAGCATGATCGCCGCTTCGTCTCTGGCATCGTTATCTTCCACCGTTCGTTGTCCCTCTGGTACTGCGATCGGTCAGGACTCCTCGGTGCTGACCAGACGGTCGACATCGACAAGGTATGCTGCGACATTAAGACGAAAAAGGGAGCCTTACCAAAAATTTACATAGGATCCCAAGACCTTTGTTCGCATCATGGCCAGTTTTGCAACCATGAATCCGGAACGTTTGGGGTTTGACCCTGCCATGAAGATGCTTGTTCCGAACCGCCCGCCTACCTACAGCTATCGACTTCCTTTCCATGAGGTGCCAAAGCACCGACATTCACTGCGTTGGGAAATAGTCATCAACAAAAATATTTACCACACAGTCGAGCCGCTGAGTGTAGCTCGATCAGAAATCATGTGTGGTCGCGCTACGCTTGTGTGGAGAGCGTTTCGACTGAGCGATTATACCAATGAGCCCAATACCAAAGACTTGAAGGTGTGTTGTTTCAGGCTGTTGTACCAACATTTCGGATGGCCTGACGTTTCGTCAGCTATACATCATCAAGCAATCATGGCGACCGAACGTGGGTGGCGCTGCTGAACTTGAACTCTATAGCCGTTTGGGGGATTTTGGTGGCAGGAGGAAGGATCCTGTGTGCCATGGCGAAGATGTTGAAGGATCCAATACCCAGAAGGACTTCCGCCGCGGTATTCACACAGAACCGGCTAAAGATATCGTGGGGAAAGGCTCAAAGGGCGGGGCACAGCAAAGGACACTGTCAGAGCCCCGCGACGAGCACAACCTTGTCCACAATACCTTTTCAGCGAAAAACCCTCCCAAGATTGCGCAAGAGTTCATGGAACGAGTTCAATGTCGGCTCGTCATCCCTGTGAATGGCACAGCAATCAAGATGTTTACGAGTCTGAAGGAATTGGTAGAAGCCTTGCTTGATGCAGTGAAAGGTCAGCCCTCTTTCTACGCTCCTTTTGCCGGCGCTCATTCCCGAATGATAGAATACGAATGGGCATATTATCAGAAGGGCATTTGCCATCGCGACATCAGTATCGGCAACATCGTTATGGAAATCCTCGAGCGCAAAGGAAGCCTGATTGACTTTGATCATGCGAAGGATCTTGGCCCCAACTACACACCAAGGAGGGTCTCGTCGCTGCGGGAGGAGCTGCGCGAATATTTGGCTGAATTCCGCAAATACCACCCTCAGTCGGAGGTTTCAGATAACCTCGCACTTGTGATCCTCTATCTCCATCGATCAACCTTCCCACATGTTGCTGCGGTTGAGGCTACTAGCCTGTATAACCGTGTACCTCTGTTCCGATGGCGCATCGCCGAACAGGCCACTCGAACTATCAGACATGCTTCCAGGGCTGCAGAACGATGTACGTACCTTGAAACACCTTTTCCCTTCTCTTCTGACGGTAGTCGTTGGTCCAGCCTGTCCTCCCTCCAGATTTTTCTGAACGCACGGCAATACATGCCGTGGCGACTGTGAGTGAACCGAGTCCTGCCTCTTTTCCCACCTGCTCAAACATCTTTGCAACAGGGCACTGTCGCGTTCATGAGCCATAAATTGCTTCGCGATGACGACGAAACCCACAGCGCAATACACGACATGGAGTCGTTATTTTGGGTTGTGGTCTTCCTCTGCCTGACCCGTGAAGGGCCCGGCGGAAAACGGCGCCCGGAGCCCAAGGATGATGTCAAAGGTGACGAGCTCTACGAAGGTTCTCTTCGACGCTATTATCTCTTCGAGGCCCCAAAGGAAGAGATTCGGAAGATAAAATCTATTATGTTTTCTATGACTATTCGCGACAAGATGCCGCGAGTGTTGGAGGACCATATATTCCCCTGGTTCCACCCCTTCTTCAAACCTCTCCATGGGCTACTCGCTGAATGGTGGGCAATTCTCTGCAGTGGCTTCAACGAGAAGGGAAACATCCTATGTCGCCACTACCCTGTTGCCGCGTTTCGCAACGCTTTGGAGAAGACTCGGGACACACTCGAAGAGCCGGACGAGAAACACTTTTCCCTCATTCAACAACGGACAGAAATGGCAAGGGTAAAATCAGCGGCCATTCAGCTCACTCGAAGTGTCCTTCCTCACCGTACCGGCCGTCAAGGAGCGAAACGGAAGGTAGACACCGTGGAAGGTGTCACAACGCCGCCCAAGGTACATTCGGATCTCCCACTATCCCTCGATCCAAGTCCCATGGGTAAGGCCCATAAAGGAGCCAACTTGCATCTTCATGCTCGACGCAAAGGTGATTGAAGATTAGGGGCCCCGGGCCAGGGCTCATAGATATTCTCTAGATTTCGTCTGGACTCCGCTAATATTTACAATGCGATGTTCAAAAGTAGGATCACCCAGAAACAATACAATAAATATAATGACACACCCCAGCTCGTCCGAGCAAGAGACCCTCTTTCTCAACTTAAACACCAAAAGATAATGCCCTCACCTCCGACGAAGTGAACCGGTGTTCCCTCAAAACCCTGGGTCCGCCCACCATCCAGACAAAGTGTCATATTGATATCACGCCACAAGAATAATCCAACTTTGGCGGTGCACCAATACACACATATCTCAAATCAATGCACATCTTCTTCACATTCCTCTCCTGCGCAACCATCTCCACCAACTCTCTAGTTATAACAATCGTCTCCATCTCCCCGTCGCCATCGCCTCCATTAATATGGATAGCACGAATCTCCTCGGCAGTTAATAGTACCGGTACCACTCAATCCCTCGTCCATTGGCACCTTCACTCCCACTTCGAGATGATGATGAGGCCATTTTGCGCTCCTTGGCTAGACGCTTCATCAAGAGACCGCATTCGTTCAAGGCCAAGGCGAGAATAGAGGCTGGTTTACGAGACAAGCAATTGAGGCGGTGGAGGTTGCAAGCGCGAGCAATGTCGGGATGACATGCGTCTTCGCGCTTTTCTCCATCACAGTTTCGAATTCTCTGTTCAAGAACACCTCATCTGTAAAATTGGGTTAGAAGGGACAACAAATGGATGCAGCCACCAAGAGCACCGTCCTCGGCCTCACCAAGACCATTTGCAAGGAATGGGGCCAGTTTAACGCGTCTGAGCCAACTCTATCGCTTTCGGCTTGATCCACGCTCGGTGAGTGTCGCTCTTGCTTGGCTAATGATTGATGACTCCGGACGTAAAGGAAGCAGGAGATTGACTATTCCTTCCCAAGTCTGGCACAGACAGCTGATATCATACCCTTGTGCAGTGACATCTGGATCCAGAATACAGGCTGAGGTATAGCGTGCATATAATAAGATCAGTTCATCCATAAATGCAGTAAAAGCCTTAACCCAGCAAATTCCCTATACAAACAGAGGGACCGCGCACATTAATCGCCAGTCTAGCCGGCACCGTTAATGAACCCGCTCATCTCCTGTATATCCTCCATTCAAAACTTACTCCTTCAACACCCCCTTCGCAACAAACAACTCCCGATCCCCCTCCTCACTAGACCTAATAACCTCATAAAGCGTCATCTCCAACCCTCCTTCACCAAAAATCCTCTTCATATCCTCCTCAGAGAAGCCCTGGACCGCAACGATATGTTTATGGCTGTCGGGGATCGCGTCGCCGGTGGCGAGGTGGTCGATGACGACGAGGGTGCCGGTAGGCTTGAGGTACCCGGCGAGGAGCTTGGTGATCGCTGATGGGTTCTCAAAGTGGTGGTACGAGGAGGAGCACTATAGGTGAGTGAGGGAATTCAAAGGTTACATTATGACGGTGGAATGGGTGGTAGAGGAAGGGACGTACGAAGATCATATCGAACTTCTGTCCTTGGAGCGCGCCCTTGTCGGTCTCGATGTTCACGGCGATACCCCTGCATCGATCCAACACGCCCTCCTTCTCAGACCGTTCATTGAACAGCTTAACAGCTTCGTCGCTGATGTCAACTCCAAGCACGCTCTTCACATGGGGAAGGATACCAGCGGAGATCAGGCCTGCAGTTCGGAACGATGATAGTCAGCCTCAGTGCCCATTAAAACCTCAATGTTTTCAAAATACACCCACCAGTTCCACAAGCAAACTCGAGAACAGTCGTGTTCTCTTTATCAAGGGTGTTATACTTCAAGAGCGCTTCGATGGTCCTGTTGAGTATACCAAGGGTCGCATGACGTCACGACAAAGATTTCTAGCAGAGAAACTAGCCAAACATACCTCTCCCGGCGCTCCTTCGCATGAGGCCACTCGTTAAAGAGATGCGTGTGTTCATTGAAGTGCGCCCTGTTTGCCTCGGCGCGGTCTTGGTGTCCATGATTTTGGGGGGCATGTCCATGGGCATGTCCGTGAGCATGGTGGTGGTGATGGTGGCCAGCAGAAGACATCTTGACAAGGTAGTTTCCGAGGTTACGAAGTCGGATAGTAGTAAGTAGCAGTAATAGGAGTAGTATGAGTGAGAGGATAACAAATCTTGTTCTGAAGACTCCACCCCTCCTCGAACCCGGCTTTTATATTGCTAGAAGACGCGACTGTGAAGGTGGTTCACGTTACCGTAGTCTTACAGAGACCTAACGTAACAATTCAATAACAAAGATAAAGCGTGACCTGTTTGAAATTCGGATGATTTCGGGGGGTGTGCACATTGCTGTGTAAGCCGCAGGATCATGGGATTGGGCGCTTGACTGGGGCGGTCGCCCTTTTTGATAAACGCCCATTCCAGCTTGTCAATGATCACGGAAATGATGGCCTAAAATACACTTCCAAGCCTCACCAGAGTAACGCGTCAACATTAGGACTCAGGAGTTGAATTACTTGGTGTCCCACAAGGGATTCGACCTTCCGTAGACTTCGGAAGAACGTATCACGTTCCACTGCATTCCGGTTTTCCGTTCCATCGTCCACCCCACCAGCCTCCCCCACGTACGACTGGGTCGCGTCCCATACAGTCGACAAAAACTAGTGCACCGGCCTCCCACACGCAGAGAGAGGTTAAAGACGGCACCGAGGCTATACTATCCCATTCAGAATCTTCCGTAGAAGTTGCAATCGAAGATTAGGAGCTCCTCCTGCTCATTGCCGTGTCGTCGTCCCCACCCCATAAGTGACATGATGCAAAATGGACGCGACGAATATTTATTCTCTCGGTCCTCCCATCATCGAAAATTGCCATGCCCCACAAGAGCGCTTGACCGAAGCTGGACATCAAAAGCGCAGGGTCAGAGGGTCCAACGTCGATCGTGCAATTGAATCCTGCAAAGGACAATGAACAGTGAAGCAGGGCGGCGGAGGGAACGAAGTAATCCGAGGAAGAACTCCACCGAGCCTCGGTACCAGATTTCATCCAGGTGGTGAAGCGTGACGGTACCGTACCCTGCGGGGTTGGCCATCCAATCATAGCTAAGATATCGGAGTCGCGTTCGTCGAGCATCAATCAGCTCCAGCGCATAAATCGATCGCGAACAAAAGAAGGGTGTCAAGACACTCCATATCTCTAATTCCTAGTTGAAAGGATACAAAAAACAGCAGCGCCGATACAGGAATGAAAGGTCTAAAATCAAGTTCGATACAGTAAGATACAATGCATTGCGGGTATAACAACAGAACAGGGATGAAATTGCAACACGGGTGTTTCAGTTCTATCACCACAGGAAGCAAGAAAGAAAAACAACAATGCAACGTGAGCAGAAATCAGCAAAAAAATAAATCAGTATACTACAGTAATGAGGCCAGTTTGCGTGGTGTCAGAAGTAAGTACGACTCGGGGCATATATCAGTACAACAGCAACGTCCAAGAAATATTTGTGGAAAATGAAACTATCCGATTCATTGAACCCCCAAAAGCAGATCCCAGAATCCCATGAGAACCCATGATCAAAGCTTTGCAAGGAAGAGTCCAAGAACGACGTAGATGATGGTGACGGGTGGCGTGCATATACAGTAGGACCAGAAGATGGTGCGACTGATGAGACGTTCGAAGGCGTCGCCTGACACGGCTTGTGTGATCTACCAAAGGGAGAGAAATGAGCTTGCGGCTAAGGGATACGGAAACAGAAGCGACGAACCTGAGCCAGCGTGAGAGCAGGAGGAGAAGCGAGAAGGATAATGTTGCAAACGACGAAGACAGGACTGAATGATAGCGTTAGAGACCTCGAAGGGACCGAATCAAGTAAAGACACATACTCCTCGAAGACCTTGTGGAAGTCGTATTTTGTCGCGAGCACAACCAAAGGCATGATCACGATAGGCGTGATAATCATCCTAGCAGCAACGGCCAAGATAACAGTTTTCGTCTCTCCAGGTTTCGACTGCTCCTTATTAGCCCTAAGCTCTTCGGGAGTCTCGTCCCTCTGATAACTCTTCCAATCGAACAAGGCCTTGATCTTTTGCCACGTCGTTTTCTTCTCCTTTGGTCCATCCAAGGAAAATCCGTCATTAGGGCCCGAGTCGGGTGTGGGTTCGGGATAGAAATATGCACCCAAGACGACCAAGGTGAGAGGGACGGAACATTTTCCGGCAGTGTTGATAGCGTCGTTGATAGGGTGGAGGTTGTGGGTCAAGGCGTACTGCAAAGGTTGGATACACGCGACGAGCAAGGAGACGAGGGCGGCCCAGAGAGGAACAGTCATGAAGTCATTAATTGCTCTCCAGTAGTGGCGAACACGGCGCTTGAACCGATGTCGGAACGAGTGACGATGGCGCTTACGACGGCGAGCTTGGTTTCCATTGGCGACAAACGAAAGGGGTTGTGTCTCGTCACCATCGTCGTCCGAAGTGTCCGGCGAATCGACCGAGTCGTAGTCACATCCGAGCTCTTCGCAGGAATCGTTAGGCGAGTTGGGGAATGAGCGATAGAAAGTGGTCCTTCGACGGGGAGCGATAGGGCGAACGGAAGAGTCGCTGGAGGGGATGACCTCCGGGGAGTGTACGATACCGTAAGATTTGGGCGAGGCCACGAGGACTTCATTTCCTCCCTCGCTGACCACCGTGGAATTCGAAGTCGAGGGCCGCGTGCCAAACGCGCGTTCCACGTCTTGCACAAGCAAGGGAGTACGCTCGTCCACCGTAGCGTTCTGGGCAGCAATGGTGTCGGCGCGAGCCAACAAGCGAACACCATAACTGTACCGGACGACCATTCCAAGAGTGGAGTACATGGTCAAATAGGTAAGCGCCCGGCCAAGCATAATGTTCTTGTCGTCATCGGCTCCCCATTTGAGGTCTGGGACGGCCACAACGAGGCTTTGCATTAGGGCGATGGGGAGTGCGTTCGAATTCATGAACATTGCGGCGGCCATGACGAAGCTCCTGTGGAGATGATGTCAATACTTCTTGTTTACGCCAGGACGTGGGTCCAGGGCAGAATGTGGCGAAGAAAACGTGCCTTTGCGAAGACCTGAGCCTGAATATCCATCCCAGGAGTGAACCAACTGCCATGGAGGTTGCGGTGACAATGATAAACCAAATGGGAATCACATATAGCTGCTTGAGTTTCTCTAGGTTCCAGAAAGGACAGAATTAGAGAAGAACTGAATAGGAGGGTGGTTTGCGCGCACCTGGGGTTAGGTACAACGCCACTTTTGAGAATAGCAGAGCTGGTGTGAACAACGACACATTGAGCTTGTTGATTTGCTGTCGGCGGTATAGATTAGCACCAATTCGACAGCTGACGACGTCCTGAGCGCACCTTCTGTGTCTTTTTGTCAAGGATACCCTTAGAGGCGAGAATATATCCAGCCGAACATATCAACACGACCTCTAGGATGGACTGTTGAGAAACAAAATTTGTTCAGTCGACTGTTTCAGAGATAACAAGCGCGGTGGGGGGACATACGTTGAAGACTGCCAATAAAAGCGAGCCAAACGGAGTCTGAGAATCGCCATTTGCGCTGGCGGCGTATTGCATCAAGATACGATGCTAGTAGTTTTGTGGGCGCTTGGGAGAAAGGGTGAGGAAGAAGAACGAGTAAAGGCGGAAGTGGGCCATGGATTGGTATTTAACCGCGTTCCTTTGATACGGCGGCACCGCCACACACCTTACACAGCGCTTATGACGCACGTTCCACTGGCTTGGCGGCGGATCGGAGGGCTGGATTGTGTGGAGCGCCCAGGAGCAGAAGCAACCCCAGGAACAGCTGCGAACCTTCTACGTCTCGCGAAGGCTTCAAAGAAACCTCTTTTACCTATGCCAAGTACTCTAAAAGCCACCTAGCAAGTCACAACGTCGTCCCAAGTGCTATAGTTCGCAGTGAATCGGCAGCCATTATCTATGCCAAGAGCTCGAGATAAGCAGTGCCACCAGAGTCTGGATCTCACAGCTTTGCAGCACTCCTCGAACGTTGGAAATCGTTTTTCATAATTGGTTCTTGCACACCGCTACAGCAACTCCCGTGCTTCCGCCCAGGCCGCTTGCGTAGATTTCGTTGGATTAATATTCTGCGCAGACCTCTGCTCAGATGGACTGAAGCCCTGCCGAACTATGGAAACGCACACCTCACCACTTGGCGTCTTTGTTGACACCACGACCACGTCGTCGAAAGCTAGTGAGCTGCTAAAGGATTCCAAGTCCGCGGCTTTGGGACTCGCAATCTACCCTTGGGTGCTACAGCTACGGCCCCAAGAGTTGATTTAAAACTCCACTCATCAAAAGGGTTCTTCGAACTGGGGGAGCCATCGCAAGAGAAGAGGGGAATGGCGACTTTCGATACATCTCTCCACCCGGCCAGGTCATTCAATGGTCGGGCGTAGTCCATATTTAGCTTGACTCGAACTATGTTGGGACGGCTTCTTTCTTGGCCTACAATCGACCCTTTCACCTCCTCGCCAGGTCCAACGGGGACATGACTTCATTGATTCACCAGCGTCTAACCGACCAGTCACCGCTTTATCGCGACCTGGAGTTCTGTGGTTCGTTGCATCCTTTCTCGTTTCAACTTGCCTAGGTCATATCGAAATCCGACCCCTGAAACCACCTACATGCTCAACTTCGACCTGAACTTGGCCTTTCCATTCCACAGAGCATTCTACTCCTTGAATTCAGCTATCGAAATGCTTCTTTGGAATGCACTTCCGGCCCCATCCAGCAGAGAAAACCTATGAACCTCCCACTCCCACCAGACTACACAAGGCTAGATTCTTCCTAGTCAAACGACCTCGTCTTGTACCAATGTTTCAAGTCCAATTAGCCTGCCTAATACCTCGTGCGGCGCTCCATACCAACAAAATGTACTTTGACCTGTTCCTTCAGTGCTATGTACAGATATCGACGCCTTCCCTATTCGCATACTTTATTCACGGACATCGATGTCGATTCTCTCGAACCGACTTCGTTGCTCTCGATCGCAGGGAATGGTCTTCATTGGAGTCATCTGACCTCGCACTCGAACTTTATCAACCGTCCTTCTGGAAACTCCAGGTTCACTATCCTCTAGCCAACCATGTCCGCCCAACCTGTGCCGAATTTCACGGGCTTTGCCAGCCCAATGGCAATAGCATTCGAAATCCACTCACCCAAGGGTTGCAGCCACACGTCTGAGACCCCGAACGTTATCTCGTGACGACTCGTGACCCAAATTCTACTTGTACGGTTAAAACTCGGATACTAAAACGTTACTCACTCCTGAACTCTCTTTCCAACTCCCAAAAAAGATCTACTTATCACTCGAATACAAACTAAACTAAAAACGTACACAGCTTTATAGCCCCCATTCTATGTAGCCAATCTTTCATTTCATCACAACTACTTCGAGGATCTACGACGTCCGTGGCGTTTCTTAGCTTTCCAGAGGAGGAAGGTTGGACTCGAGAACAAGGGTACATCAAGCACAAACCCTCCGTCGACAACCTGCGGCAGTTCTACATAAGTACATACATAGTTAATCAGATAAATTTCAATCCCTCCTTCCAATCCAAATGTTTACTTGCCGAAAAGACGCCAGTAATTTTAGGGTGCTGATATTGAGCGCTTCTTCAGCGGTTTTTGAATTGGCTAGGGATCCACGGGGCCGATAGACGAACCAGTATATAATTAAGTAATTGAGGCACTTTCTCAGTGCTTTTCGATATCAGAAAAGCCAAGAGGACCCTTAGATGCCGCCGGCGTAAGAAGTTATCGCAAGGTTGTTTACATCCCACTACAAGACCCTCTTCGAATTTGATTAGCAGGCTGGACCGCGATTGGCGGGTAGGCGGGCATTGGAAAAGGAGGTGCGTTTCTGACAGCATCGACAGGATAAAGTCAGGGTCCTCATCCCTCCTGACCGCGAGTTCACCGTGACCGTCGAACGAACTGGGGTCTCTTTGCACTGGCCGGGGTATTATCGATCGGGAGGCCGGATACAATTCCAAGCGAATATTCCACGACCGAAACCACCCCGCAATCGATATCTAATCTTCTAATCTGATCTACAATCGTCATCCATCACTCAATCCCTCGCCGACCGGGGATGGGAGAGAAGGGTCGTGTGTGTTCTACACACGACAAAGACGCGTGAATTGAAACGCGATGTAAGATTCCCGCCATCGTCTTACGAGGGCACGAGGACTATGACAACACAGAAGAAACCCTCAAGACAGCGCGCAATTGTCGATATGATGACGAATGACGATTGCGAAACAATGATGATGATGGCTACAAGTACAAAAATGCATACACACAAGGGTGGAAACGATGAGCGGGGAGGGTGAGGATGGTGGTGGTGGTGGTGATGAACGATGACAACGACGACGACGATGAATGGATGGGCAGAGAAATATGGGAGGAGAAATCCGACACGAGCCCCAGAAGTAAAAAGCCGAGAAAGAGAGAGACAACTCGAATAGAACAAGAGAACCGAGACCGCCAGCCAAACGTCGAAGCAAGTTACTTCCCAACGCCGTTGATCTTCAAGAGTTCAACCTCGAATTTGAGTGTCGAGTTGGGAGGTATCACAGGAGGGAAGCCGCGGCTGCCATAGGCCTGTACAACGACGAGAACGATGAGCGCATAGCTTTGGCGCACGTTGATGGGTACCTACATAATCCGGAGAGGCCGTCAAGACGGCCTTCTGTCCGAGTGATAGTTGCGGGACGCCTAAATCGATAATCGCATCGATAATCAGAACCGCGCCTCGTTCGAGATCATCGACGCGCCCACTAGGACAGGCGGCGTCGAAACACCAAAATCGCACCTTCATCCCAGCCCAGAATCACCTTTCCGACACCAATTTCCGTCTCGAAGGGTGAGCCACTGTCGGATTAAGAAGAAAGGAACGGCGTTAGAACGTGTTAGACGCCGGAGAACGAGTCTTGTTACACACCGGTCGCGACTAGAGTCGAACTTGGAGCCATCGAGCAGAGTACCAACGTAGTGAATGGTAACCTTGTCTGTCGAAACCAAGAATCGGTACATTTTGCCACTGTCAAACGTGATAGAAAAGGTACATACCACCCTTCTTGGGGAAGGTCTTGCCGTCGCCTGGAACAAGAGTTTCGATAGTGACGCCCTAGACAAAGAAACGAGGCGTCAGAACCGTCCTGTAAAGCAAAGACGACATGGTTCAATTGAAAACTGACCATGATAGAAGTTGGTGGACCGGAAGGGATGAACAAGGGAAGAGGATGCTGCTCAAGCCAATCCAGAGGCGGACAACTTATAGGGGCGGAGCAGCGGAGTGCGGATCTTGATCCGAGAGATCTGGCAACCTCCGGAGTGGTCACGTCCCAAGCCCGGCCAGATTTCTGAGATAAAACCCAGATAAAATACAAAAGATAAAACACAGCGCATACCCGTGCCCCCCGCGACTCCCAAGTCAGCCGGAAACCGATCTGGTTTTCAAAATGTCGCCGTTACGTGGATTATCGATATCGATGATGATCCATAGGGACTTACGAGACTTCGGAACGTCACTAGACGGCGTTTGTATCTCTATATTTGGGTCGAAATGAATTCTGTTCTCGAAAGAGGTGGCTCCAGTGGACGGTTTGCTCCAGATAGATTCAATCATGGTCTCTGGAAGTTTTCCACCATAGAGCTGAGTGTCAAACCAGAGTACGATAGCTAGAGGACGGACGTTTTCCGCACCAGAGAAAGAGACATCAGCACAGAGGCACGAGAAAGGGAATGTCGAAACGGCTCCACCCTCTTCTCGATCGATGAAGGCGTAATGTGCTCTCCGGGCCTTGGAGAAAACACTATGATCATCCTTTGAAGAGTCCATATCGCGACAATGACAACCCTAAATCAAGGAAGGTGCCTGCCCCGGAAAGAGATTCGACGGCCCACTACCGTCCCGAGAACGCCTTGGATGGAAAAAAGCGAGCACACGAACTGATTTGATTGACACATTTCGCCGAGCAATACCAGGAAAAAGCCTCTTGTTCGGCGCAAATCAGGAAGGATCAGACTAAACCAGCGGTAAGAGGTATGCTATTTGGTCGCCGGAAGAGCCGAAAGAAGGGGGTGTGGATGGAACTTCGAGAAAGACAAGCCTCAAGTCACCGCACCGAAGGAAAAAAAGGTCATGTTACACAGAGAGAGGCCTGAACGTCTTTCGGTTTGGGTAGGCGCGTTCCCCTAGTGCGGACAGCGATTCACGATTATCGATCATTGCATTGGGGAAAAGGTTGTGCAAGCCGAGTGGCAGGGGCTCGTTCGGACTCCGTGGCGAAGATCCTTTTTCCAGTGAGCTTCACAAACATATTTGGCCCCTTCGAAAGTGGGACAACCCAATCAGGGTAAACGAGCATCCCCAAGGAGGCAAGAGCATGCAGAGAAGCACAGAGCAAATCAATGAACAGTCGGCGCTTGCCCCGGAGTGCAGTCATCCATGATCGTAAAAGCCAATGATAAGGAGGGACAGGATGGCAGACGACACACATCAACGAGGCCTCGGGAAGGTCACTTGAGTTCAATACACACCCAACCAGCCCGCGAAAGGAACAAGAACAAGACAATAAAACGAGCCTACATTCCATTTCATCAGAATCGCGACCAAACAGAAGGCAAGGCACGAATGAAATGGACAAAACCTCCTGCCACGAGTTTGTCACATGAAGACCCAGAAGCCGAAAGGTGACCGCCCAGAATTTCGACAAACAAGACGACATGAGCACAAGTCCTGTATCGGTGAAGCCTGTCTTGCCGTGTAGAGAACCTCGATTTCGTGCATAGCGCTATACCCATGTCGGAACTGAAAGACCTGAATGAATTCATTATGATGATGATGGTGATGATTGAAGACGCAGGGCCCGGCAAAACGCGCATATTCATAGACCCTACAGTGGTCCTCTCCAAATCACAGAAGGCACATTACGATGAATTGAACTTCGAAGTTGAAGACGTAGACTCCGATTCCGATGACGTTGACTGCCCTTCGTCGAGGCACATATTAGAGTTTAGAGAATCAGAGAGTGCAGTTTCCACCTTCCACAGTTCGAAGCGTGGATAGCCATCCAGAATTCGAGAGCATCCAATTCAGGACTAGACCATTAATCGAAGAAAAAATGACGCAAAACAAACGAGAAGACGCGTCTATTTGTCGAGCGGTGATTTAGCCTTGATGGGATGGAAACATCGCCCTGAGAACAACCTCCATGGGGTATGAACATGGCGACGTCCATGAACCAATATCCCATCACAGAAGCAAGCCCACCGAGCCGCTAGACCGTCGCCATTTGAAATCCCAAATAGCAATGAACCACGAGTCGGACAGTCGTCCGGGATCCAATGTGGAGGTGGCATGCCAATCCAGGAGGAGGGGGTGCGGTGTTTACCCAACCCGCATCCAAGATGGGATTGAAGAACCCAAACGTCGTATACTCAACCACGCGCATTCTGGGGTGCTCGCTGCACCGAAAACAAACAGGAGATCACTGCAATCAAAAAAGTTAGAAAGACAGAACTTCTCTTTCTCTCGCAAATGGCAACCCCCACCGACCGTCTGGACATTAGAGAATTTTCGGGTTTGAAGTCCCGATAGTTTGTCACAGTTTATTTAGTGTTGGGGTGAGATCAAAAGTACCTGGGCTGCGTGCGTTAGCGTTTGCAACGAGGCGGATTTGCCGCATGCGCAGGGATATGGACGATGGTCACGAGAGGTCATGAGACAAGTTTCGCACGTCCAACTTCCCTGGATTGTGGCCTGTTTCACAGAGATCAAGGGTGTAGGCCGAGCGAACGGAGGGAGAGAATGACGGAAAAACAGGATTGCCAGAGAGGAGGAAGGTGGAGCCCAGGGACAAGTGTTTGGCCTGCAAAGACCGACAGGGAATCAGGCCGTGTCTTGAACACGTCCGATAGCACAGAAAACGAGGCCGTGACATCATGTCTGTCGACATTCGAATCACTGCTGGAGGAGGTGAGCTCTATGTGGATGAATGATAGATGTGAAGACGTGAAAGCACTCCTTCATGGTCACAGAGGATACCTAGAGTATACTTCGAGATCCGACGGGGTCGCGGTGTTCAGACGGTTGAGAAAGACAGCCAATCGAAGCTCTGAGATTACCAATGTCGCGTTGTTGAGGTCCTGAAAGGGTCGATTCGTCGCCAACTAAAGCTTCACGGGAAGAGAGAAAAAAAAAATCGAGGAATGTGAGGGTCAGGGGAATGAAGAGTTCGGAGGCAAGAAAGAAATCATCGATTCAGCTGCTGAGCACTTTTTAAGAGAAAAACCTAGCTGCAAACCCTTTGCCCGACTCGTCTACATGCGGTCTGCTGCTGAAGGGCTTGAGGACATCGTTCTCGACTTCGGTCCGTGTTTAGGAGGTTTCTCATCACGTGTCGGATAGGAGTCCGATCGCGTGACGCGCCTTGGGCGCTTAGCCACGAAAGTAATCTTTTCAGCTCCAGCGGTTTCGAGGTGTAACAAGTGAGTTTATTTACGAAGCTCAGCCTATTGAGTCTCGTCATCGAAGAATCCATGGGTCAATACATCCCTCCATTTACTCCCTGTCCCAGACCCGATGTCACTGGTTTGAATTTTGCGCTGAACCACGAGACTGGGAACAACGGAATACGACTTGAGCCGTCCCGAGGTTATCAGCCAAGAGATGGCTTGGTCAATCGCCCTTGAGTACGCAAACGGTGGGTAGCGAAGATGGAGTAAAAGACGGCGGGCACCCCGATAAGACAATGCGTAAGCGTGCGTGCACTTCGGGCCGTTGGACGGATGGAGTGACGACCAGAACAGTGACCTCGACCGGGAGAGTAGACGTAGAATCGACTTTTTGTAGCCAGTGGGAATCGAGATGGCGGGATGGAGTTTCTCGTTTGACCAGCAATGTCCTATGCAAGACGCGATTTGTTGACTGCCTTTTGACGACGGAGGGCCGGAGACTCACCTAAGAAGACAATGTCCCAGTCGGGCGGGAGGAACTTCCAAAGGTGTAGTAATTGTTCTTGAATATCTTGCTCCATGTCGACATCATCCTCTAAGACTATGGATACCTCGCTCGCAGACGATTTTCCATTGGCGATCGAGTGGATAAGCTTCGTATGTGAGTGCCAGCAGGCGATTCTGCTAGGCGTTAAAACCATATGTTCTGGTAGATGGTTGATGTCCCAGGATCCATTCAAACGAGCCGCAGATGGAAAAGAGAAAATCTTGGTAGCGCAGGGGAGCGGTACATCGGGTCTGTCCAAAGCGGGCCTGGCGGCATGGTTGGAAGGTTCAGGCCAAACCCCACTATCCCAGAGATCGAGTGGAAGGGAGGATCGGGCGAGAGCATCGATGTCGGACGGCCAGCGGAAGGCGATTCTCTGCTGCATGTCCCCAGGGGTCGACTCAGTGACCTCGTCTTCCGAAGTCACAACAGTAGGCGGGCCTTCACGCACAATTCGAACCCAGTCGAGGATGGAGGAGACAATCGGTTCGTTGGATGCCGTCGCCTTGATGTATGTCCAATCAAGACCCAATTTATTCCGCAGGACCTCCATGTCTGCTCGGCGATCCTTTCTGGAGGGGAGAGAGATGACATAAATCTTATTGGCCACGCCAAGGGCACGCGTCGAGTTGGTACGGGCGGGAGAGGGAGTTGAGACGTTTGTTTGGATGAGAGAAGGCAGCGAGATGATAGAGAGAAGGCGAGTAGTGTCAATGATAAACGTCGAGAACAGTGCTGCATAAACGAGAACTAGAAAGAAAAGGGAGAATAACTGGGCGTTGCGAGAATAGCGTGAAGTCTGGCGGGGAGCGAAAAGAGGTTCGAGTTCTTGGTCGATACGGGTCTGAAACGCGGCGGACATCGCGGCTAGGGGATAACATCGACGGGAAGGATGAAGGGCAGAGACGGCGGGGTCGGTGAGTTCGCACGCAACTGGGATCGGTGACATGGACTTCCGCTCGATCTCGGACTCCTCAAGCAACCCCAGCTGCCATGTTCGTCAATAATTGCTCTCTGAGCTGGATAAGTTTCATTTGTTCCTCCCGGGCTTTCTGTAGTTCGTGTCTTGCTAGCTCTAGATTCTGTTGAAATCGAATAAGTTGGTTACGCAAACTCCTCCAACAGCGTATCCATAACCCACCGGAGGAAGACCTTGAAAAGTCCTAATCTTCGCTTTCTTGTCCTTGATATCACGGGCAAGTTTCCGATTCTTTTCTTGTTGTTGTAGAAGAGCGGTAATGGTGACTTTGGGAGGATGGGATTGAGCCTGCAAGGGAATGTGAGCGAAAGGTAAAGCAATATGGTTGCACGACGGAAACTGACGATAAGAGCCTCCAATTCTTTATGATATTCTCTTGCACTTCGAAGTAAACTTTCTCGACGGCGCTCCAAGTCTTCTGAACTCTCTTCTGAAGTTGACGATCCAGGCTCTTGAAGGGTTTTTCTCCAGCTGTAAAATCAATGAGCTGGCTATTTGACAAAGGGCTTGCTGGCCACAGGCTTACTGCTCGAGAAGTCCGTTGTGGTGCCTCAAGTAGCCTAAATGTTCACGAAGTTCCTGCTCTGTCGCTCTCAAGCGTTCTTGCGTCAAGGACAAGGAAATCGACTGGTCCACAAGTCGGCTCAAAACGGGTGAATAGCTTTTTCCGTACAGTCAGAAACTTTCAACACTAGCACGGAGGTAAAGCCTACCTTGCAAAATCTATGCTGTCCAGACCGAGCAGTTCGACAACCTCCACAAGTACGTCGAGCTTGTCCGAGAGATCCTGGGGTAGCGGTGGGATTTCATCTTGTTCATGGCTCAAGATATATCCAACGGACATTCATTTCAGACAGACTCACCCATATCTGCAGCTTCTGTTGACATTTCGAGAATCTTTTCAGCCAGTTTTCCAGATGTAAACACGACGACGATGGAAGAAGAGAACAACCCTATTCAGGGGCCCGGCTGCAATCCCCGTCGCGTCGCGTACGAGGCGCGTACACACATCCAAATAAACGATGTCAGCAATTCAACAACAACAATGCCGATCAAACCATCGACGCGCCCCTTTCTCTCCATCCACCGTCACCACTGACCGTCCCCCGTCGATGAAGGTCACAGTCAAACACTGGCACGCCGTCGCCTGCTGGAAGTGGGATACCGGCAAAGACGAAGATTCAGACGACGACGAGGAAGGCCATGTCTGTGGTATCTGCCGCGTTCCCTATGAAGGGTGCTGTCCATCTTGCAAGATGCCCGGAGACGATTGCCCTTTGAGTGCGTATTCCCATATTTCAATTCAAAACGGCCTATAAGTTAACGGGTGGTGTGTACTGTGTAGTCTGGGGAGAGTGCTCACACGTCTTCCATATGCACTGCTTGTACAAGTGGCTGAACACCGCTGCGTCGAAGCAGCAATGTCCTATGGATCGCCGGACTTGGGGTGAGTATATCATCTCTCACACTGCGCCAACTTGAAGGCTATATACTCACCCTCGTTACAGTCACGGCCGAACGGACAGTCGGTAAAGACAACGCACCCGCCCAAGCGGGATCTTGAACCCAACCCCTTCGCACTCGATACCATTGCGGGCCTTCCCCATCCGCCGTCCTACTACTTGCGGGTATTCTGAACCTGGGCTCGCGGGCCAACATCGACACACTCTGCCCAGCTTACACCGATGCGATACCAGTCCCCGACCGGAAAGTCAACGGGGGCCCTCTTTCTCTTCGATGCGATACTACCGCACCACTTCAAGGCCCAAATCGCCATTGGTGCCTACACCTATCTCGCTAGCCGCAGCTCCGGGGAATCCATTGGCCGCTTATTCAAAGTGGAGAGGATCGTCGTCTCACTGTGCTCGAAGACTCACGAGCCAAGGTCCCAAGGGCTAGTCCCACTCTCCTTATCTACGGGGTCCCTCACGTTACGCAGCTACGTATCCCGTCGACTCTGCATCAGCTATACCTACCCTCCTCAACCGTTCGCTCCGTCACACCATACTACTTCCAGTACATACGCGCCAATCCAAATCCAAAAGAGTCTAATAAATTAAAATCTGTATTCCTAATGTTACAAGGGGTAGTAATACTTCGTGAACCAATTTCTGTAGTATGTACGAACAAGAGAGAGTTATAAAGAAGAAAGAAAGAAACAACTGTAAGAGAGGATTTGCAGCACCTTGAAACTGTGCAGACATGGGCCCACTAATATATTCTCCTAGTCGTCGCCTTCCCCAAGGCCAGCGCACCGCACCACACCACCCTCGATTCCTCCCCAGGCCACAGTGACGAACGTCCCGTCCCCGCGTAGAAGCCTACAAGACGACAGATCAACTCGAGGAGAAAACCCAAACAACAACGCGAAGCTAGAAAGAAGACAGGTAGTAGGTACAAAAACTGAAAAAAGCGTACATGCAAACGACCAAAACCGACTCCAACCACACTAGCATCTCGATACAAATACATGTACAACGACAGCGAATGGGGAGAAGGGGAGAACGACGATTAAGACAAGTGGAGGCTGCGTCCAGCACTAGGTGTGGCAGTCGAACTGAGGACGGAGAGCGGAGAACGTAGATGGGAGGAATAAGATAAACAGATGAAACCATCGGAGCGAGGGACTGTAGCAGCCCAAGGCGGGCCGTGTGTTTCGACCATGAGCACCTTGGGAGGTTTCTGTCTTTGTGCATCTTTCTTCTGTATCCAGTGTATGTAATACCTGAGTCTGATCTGGGAGTTACGTTTTCCGGAGATTGCCTGCGCTGGGCGTCTGCGGCAGTGCCAGGACGAGGTTGGTTGCGTGCGAAGCGTTGGAAGAGAGTGAATGGGTGCGAGCGCTTGGACTAGCGCTTCAAGTTTGGTGGCGAGTGGGTGGAGGACGCATTGACGATCCAAATGACGAGGGCATTTATGTAGTACGCGTATCGTTGCTGTGAAGGCTGGTGGATAGCCCAACAGCCGTTTTTCGGCTGGACCGAGACCCAAAACGCGTGTAGGGTCAGGTCACTGGGCGCCACGGTCTGTCGGGCGTCGCAGGTGGCTGCTGGGTCAGAGGCCCGTCGAAGGAAGGAGACAAAAAAGCAAGCCCATCCGAGACTTCGTCGGACGGATCGCAAGTCATACAGCTGGGGGGCATCTGTAGGGAGCACCGAGTTTCCAAGGAGGGTGAAGGCAGGCAAGATCCAAAAGGATAGGAAAAGAAATAAACCACCAAGTCCAAAAAAAAAAGGCCACGACCAAACCCAGACACTATACATGGAATGAAACGAAAAGATAAAAAGGGGTGGAAAGAATACGTCGGGCGTGGGGTGAGGTGGAAGACTCGGATTCGCGGACTTTTGCCAATGGTGCGAATCCACGGGTTCCAACCCCACCAGGCCCTGCGAAAACTCTGAAGTTCTGAGCGAGGGAAGAAAAGAACCTGTAAATTTCTGAGAAAGAAGAAGAAGAGGGACCGATAAAAAGGAAAGGAACTGTAGTAGAGGGATTTGCATATCTAGTTCTGAACGTGGAAGGAAGAATGGGTAAATTGAAGAAAATACAGGAGGAAGATTTCAACCAGGAGTAAAAAGTAATCAGATAAGGAGGGAGACCGAACGACGAACAACGAACAACAAAAAGTTCCTACATAATATTAAAATACTACAACTTTTGGACAACAACAACAAACGAACAGACAGAAACGAGAAAGAAAATATCCCGGGTGTACGTGCGTTGCGTGGGGTGTAAAATGGTAGACCATAGGTAGGTAGATAAAGGGTTGCATAAAAGGGGGGTCGTAATAGCTGAATCAAAAAGCGAAGGCGAATAATGGAATGGTAAAGGAGGTAGTATGCAATATGAGCCGGGTCTTCAGCGTATCACATCATGGACGATCACTGGTCATATCCTGCAGGTCCCTGCAGCGAGGCCATCCATATCCTAGTCTTGTACAACCTACCCAAATAAAACAGTCAGACGGTTCCTTCCACGGGTCTAAAGGAAGAAAACGAACCTGAACAACTCCCTCACAAGCTCCCTAAAGTCAATCCGCTTCTCAGCAATAAAATAGAACGTCAATTTTCGGCGATCCCTAAAGAGCGAGGGTAAAACATCAGACGCCCATCCACGATACGGAGAGAGTGATGGAGCGCATACCATTGGTACTCCGCATCGATGACCTCCATAGGCAACTTCTTCGCCCGAACTTTGCTCTGGCAAAGTTGAAGAGCCTTCTGCTCATCCTGAGTCTTATTCGCAAGAGACCTAAGCAAAAACCTCCATCAGATCCCATCCTCCACAAAAGAAAGAACCAAGAAACTCACTGCGTATCCTGCGGCCCCGCCTTCCCATAAATCAACTTGGGATTGATCTCCTTCTTCGACGACCCTCCTCCGCCGGGACCCCCACCACCAGCCCCACCAGGACTAACAGGCTGCCCATCCGGGCCAAACCCACTCCCCGCAGCAGCCGCATTCCGCTCCGCCTGCTGCTTCTGGAACGCCTCAACCTCCGCCAGCGTAATCGTATCGTTCACCACCTTGCCCAAGTCCTTCCCCCGGTCCGCTTCGACGATCACAAGGTCGCCCACATGGATGTCCTGCGAGTGGTCCATCGTGTAAAAGAGGTCCGTGCGCCCGGCTTTGAACTCGACGATGTAGAGAGGGCAGGAAGCGGGGATGGCGTGCAAAGGAACACCTTTGCCCAGTTCGTTGATGTTACTGGGCTGTTGTTGTTGAGATTGTTGTTGGCCACCCGTGGGGTGGTGGGTGTCGTGTGCGTTGGAGGAGCGGCGTTGTATTTGTTGAGGGTAGAAGGGCTGCTGTTGCGGGTTGATGAGCTGCCTGGTGCCGGTGGGTGAAATGGGAGACGAGATGTTCGCTTGGCTAGAGTACGAAGGCGCACGAGCGCGGACATACTGCGAACTACCACCATGTCCTAGGTTGGTATTGATATGGCCCGGGTTGACGCCGGAAGAGATACTCGTCTGCTGGGTCGAAACGTACTGGATACCCTGTCCAGGAACGTAACGCGCGGTAAGCTGCTCAGACTGGTTTTGAGCCTGCTGCTGGGCGCGCGAAGTGGAAGTCTTGGTACTCGTGAAGTATTGCGAATCGCCGCGATCAAAGAAGTTGCTGGACAGCGTTGGGCTCTGGTTGCCGTTACCTCCAGCCGACAATCCTCCATCGCTGGGTGTTCCGATTTGGCGGGAAGCAGTGTACGATCCTGTGGGGATGTTGATAATGGGCTGGAACAGTTCCTTTGAGACTGGGCTTCGGGAGAGCGGGGCGTAGATGGGCAGCGAGGAGGGCTGGCTGGGAGGATGATGGGAGGAAGAGCTCGGGGGTTCTTTGGCGTTAATGTTGAGCATACCAAGATCACTGGCCAAATCATCGTCATCGAGCATCAAACCGCTTCGTCCGAATCCAGAACCAAAGGTCGGACGAGTCGCGGTCAAGTCTTCGGGGGAGTCAGATCCGGGGGCGTTGAATCCAACGATGTTCCCTCTCCTAGGTTGCACGACGCTAACACTGTGGCGTCGACTGGTAGTTCCACTACCTCCACCTCCACCGCTCTCATCGCGAGGTGGGTTCATCCCTGCCCAGAGCTCGCGGAAGGGCCCATCGTCAAGCAGGATCTGAGCCACGTCTCTACGGAAGGGGCTCATATTCGACACATCCGGCTGTTGATGTCTAGAGATGCCATTCCCCACAAGTGATGTGCGGGTTGGCGAAGAATAGTCATTGGATGGAGATCTAGCCAAAGCTCCAAGGGAACCATACCGGCTTGTACCAGATGGTGGAATGTCATACGCTCGGTTTCCAGGGATGTTGAGAGGATTCGAGTTGGTGAGGTACGACTCGTTCCAGCTCTGCATGGCTGACGATCCGTTGTATGGGCTGCCGACGGTAAGGCCAGGACGCGTAGTCGCCAACGAGTGGGATCTGCTGCGGCTGATGTCTTGCCCATACGAACGCCCTCTAGAAAGCGAGGGCGGGACGTAGCGCTCGTCGTATGTGTCGGATAAGCCTTCTGATTCGTCGTCTTCAAAGGTGGATGGGAAAGCGCGTTCGCGCATCATCGAGCCGAACTGGGTTTGAGGGCTTCGGATGGGGACTGGTTGACCGCGACTGGTGTTGCTTCCTACGATGCGCGAGCTGCCCCAACCACCGGCTCCCCCTAAGCTTGATGGTATGAAGCTCTGGGTGGACGGGGAAGAGAGATAACCCTGCTCTGAGGATCGGGGCGGTTGGCTTGCAGCCCTTTCTCGAATGCCATTTTCGGTCAAGGACGAGCTTTGGAACCTACTCCTTCGGTCGTCGTCGTCCGAGGGCTGGAGCTGATGGGACAGACGTCCAGAGTAGGTTCCAAAGTGAGGATAAACCTCCTCAAAGTCGTTGTCGAGAGTCGCCAGGGTGGAAGCGATGGGTTTTGACTTTGTTGGATGTTCAGGTCGTAGGAACCAGGGCGACTGGGAACCTTTGGGCGTAACGTTCTACAAATCTAGCACTTGTCTCAGGACGATCGTCCTTTCTGTCGTCGATCGCGCGTACCAGAGGGCGAACCTAGGCAAAAATGGGTGTCAATAGACGGGCAAAAAGGTGGAGATTTAGACCATGGCTGACCGGATCTAGTGAATTGGTTGATTTTTGGTTGGATGTCGTGAAAGAAACAGTGTAGGGTCTATGTTTTGAAAGAAAGACGGTGTTCGAAGCAAGTCTATGGGATGAGGAAGGTGAGAGTTTAGAATCGAGCGGGTGAGATGTATTGGGTTTGGCCTGGGAGCGGAGTTGGTCCAGCTGACCCTCCCGCCCTCGACCTTGTCATCACATGTTCCTTCCTAAACCAGAACACTAATCTCTCCCAACAAATATAAACCCACCACCATGGGGACTCAACAAAACGCTAATTCTGTGTCTTCTCAATTGTCTTCTTGATCAAAATATCCACCGAGCCAAGTCGAGCCCCTGATACCTCTGCTCTAGCCAGTCTACAAACACAGGACTTTCAGCGGCTATCTCGAGAACTCCATCCCCGACCCACTGTCAATCTTCCTTTCTTCCCTGCCAATTCACCACTGGAAGGAAGCTCCCCACCAATTGACTCGGCTTCGAAATAAATAACTCGCCCGTGCGAAGATACCTCGCTCATTTCGACCGTACCCATGACGGGGGAGATGCCCAAAGACCGCCGTTCAAGCCACATCGGGGAGTGACACCCCAAAAGATGTGTATGGCTTTCTCTGATTTCGCTGAGTTCTTCTTGTCCATGTCATGATGGGTTCGTTGGTTACTGACTTGATACATTGACCGGTTCTCCTGATTACCTTCAATTCAGTACTGTGACCTGTGGACTGTCCTGGGCTATCAGGAGATTGACGCTCGCTCCCTCGCAGTGCGCACGAACCACATACGGTGCTATTAGGGGCCGTCCATTACTTCTGAGCTTATATGGCTCTCGGTGCCGTTTCGACCTCCACGAGACTCCACGCTACTTTCATAAGTAACATCTAAAGGCACTACTATAGCCTCCTCTAGGCGGCTCGGCGGCACCTTATCTGAAGACACCGTAGGCTCCGTCACACCTGACGGAGCTCGCCAAGTTCCAATTCATCACATAACAACCCAACCTCTATCTCTGGGCTATCTCACCGGACCATCCTGACCCAACCCAGCCAATGGACGACGTCTACGCTGCCACGATGACTCTACTTTATCAAATCCACCTCACCGAGCGCCAAAAAGTGGGTTAGGGTGGGCCCACTTACAAGTATCTCCATACCACTTACCCCCGCACCACACGCACCCCTAGTCCAAGTAAACCCCATACTTGCATCGCGATACTTGTTGGGCTTATTACTTACATCACCCTCAATTCCACTTCAATTCCGGAATCATCATCAGGGAAGATCCCAAGTCCAAGTTCGAATCCAAATCCACAATCGCGGCAAGTACCTTCGCTAAACCGCAGATCCCGAGTTTGCTTCTTTCGTTCCCCACCAATTGAGACTTGACTATGGCACACCGTATGGCATGCTGGGTGGTACTGTGTACGGCGCAGAAGATCTGGAGATGTACGACTCTGTCTACTTATTTAGTTTCCTCTATCCTCTCTTCTTTAACCCAGATATCAGCTTCCCTGTCCCACTTTCCCCCACCCAATAGAACAAATATTTCTGCCGCATATACATTCCATCTCCCCACTCACGGACTTACTCGTCCCACTGAAGCGGAGACTACTACTTATTCTTAGATCCACCACAACCCTGCCACAGATCTTCCCTTCCACACTAGTCCAGAATGGGATCTCCAAAGAAACATAACATTGGAGCGACATATGTACCACTTTTAAATTCAGCCCATCCAGAAAAGCAGAGTGACGAAAATAAGCAGGGCGAGCATGTCTATAGTGGACCTTGACCTAATAGTAGAAGGGCGAGTCCACTACGGTCCTGAGTGAACTGTCCGCATCGATGTTGTCATGCTGTTTGAAAGCCGCTGGAATTCCGACATCTATCATCGAGCAGAGGATGCCGTGCAGTTGTCGACAGGTATCCCGCGGTACATCGATGTACTACACTCGACATTTGATTGACTGCCTGAACACCAGCGCTCAACGTCTCAACGATGACAACCATCAAAGATCGCAAAAGCTTAGGAGTACATCTACGGGCGCCTAGCTCATAATATCCATACGACCGTCCTGAGAACACTACGAGTATGCAGCCGGCAATCGCACCCCCAAAAGCATAAGCCAAAACCCAAAGTCGATATTCTCGTCAAGTTTAAGCTTTCCGAATCCCTGATCTGCATCCACTCATGGACGTCTGGACGGTCATCCGACCATACAACCACGCGATCATGACTCGCCCCTCAGCTTCCTCTCTATACCCCCAAATTCAAGTTGGCTTCGGAATAGGCGACGCAGATCAAAGAGGAAAGTAAACGACATGGACGAAGGACCGAAGCCTGGTCCCACTGGTAGTGGGGAATTCAGAAGCTGGATGCCTGAGGGTCTCCTGGAACCAATGTCCATATTAGCAGTCGCACATAGTTAGGAACCACAGAAAAGAACGTTCGAACACCTCCACCCAACACCGCAAATGTCGGACGACAAACATTCGTCATTGGGTGGAAATGTTTATCGAAGTCGAAGAAAGATTGAGAAGTTGAGAAGAAGCAGAAAGAAACTGAATTGAGAGACCACTGAGGGGGCTTGGGAGCTGCAGCAATAGAGGCTGTCGAAGAATGCGAAGTCCCAACTGGAGAGAAGATTGTCGGGCGCACCTTCCCCTTGGTCCAGGGCCTTCGCCAAAGGTTCCATGCACCAAAAAGGTGTCAGAATAGGTTCGCGCAGCTGACAGAGGCCAGAGGCCATCCCCTAGAAGCGACAGCGACTCCCTCGAGAACCTGGAGAGAACGCAAAACGAAAATACCTGTTAGCCCCCTCTAAGCGCAAATAGTGGCAGGGGCAAGCTGGAAGCCAGACCCACCGGGCAGAAACCCATGGGTCAAAAAAGAGTGATCAGACACCCGTGTGTCATTGCTGGACAAGTCTACAGAGTTTTACAGGGGATAATGGTGGAAGACAGAGATAAAAATACAACCGCGTTGGCGGTATTGCACAAACGATGGATGGCGTTCGAGGGGGAGACATGGTCGACATCGGAGTTCAGAACTTGTTGCGCTTCCTCGAAGGCTTGGACGACATCGATTCTTGCGAGGCCCTACAACCGGCCAATCCCAAACCCAAAAGAGAGAAAAACAGAATCAGTTAAAATCATACCCAACACCCCCACGCAACCGCACGCCTCCCCACCACACCACACCACAGTACACCGCTCATCTCATTAAGTAGTACTCACTTTCTATTCTTCCCACCTCGAACGTTCTCCTTATCAACAGGTGGATCATCGATATCCATTCCCATTCCACCTCCACTAGGCCCAGCACCTCCCAGCGTCCTCCCCTGTCCACTAAACGCCCCACCCCCACCCTCATACGCCTCCCGATCCCTGTTCTCCCTATCCCGATCGAACATCTTGCGCACGCCTTTACCGAAACCGGAGCCGTAGCCCCCTCCTCCACCTCCTTCGCGGTCTTTGTGCCCGTGCTTCTCGGAGACGTCGCGCAGGGTAGCTTGGAGTTCCGCGTCGTATTCTTGTTGGGCGCGTTGGCGCTGCTGGGCTTGGTTGGAGAGAGCTTGGAGTTTGGTGTCGAGGGTGGAGAGGACGGAGGAGGTAGTAGTAGCCCTAGATGAAAGCAAACCCAAGAGTCGGATTTCGGATGTCAGAATATCTGCATCCAGATAGTGGAAGAGGAGACGACGCACCAGGTTTGCAAAGCGTTCAAGATGGCTTCCAGCCCTCCTTCCTCGACGTTGACGTCCCGTCCCATGGTATACTCAACCTCGAGCTGCTCATGCTTCTGGTCGAGTTTGCCTTGCAAGATGTCGAGATAGATGGCATCGATGATCAAGTCTTCGAGTTCGCGGACGGTGGTGACGTCCAAAGCTTTCAAAAGATCGGCGTAAGGAAGGATCTAAACCGTGCATTCAGTCATTATGAAGTTCTTCTCTCCTTGTCGCTTAACGGTGAGACGGGATGAAACGCACCCTGCGCTCAGAAGCCAACGAGACGATGGAGAGGTGCTTGAGTTTGGTGATTTGGGCGGGGTTGAGAGGGGGGAGCGAGTCCTTGTGCTCTGTACGTGGGACGTGAGGATTGGGTGCGCATTTCGAGAGTCAGACGTACGAAGGTAGTCCTGGTAGGTCTTGTACGCGAAGAGCTGGAGCAGGGAGTAGAACTTGGCGTGCTGCTCGCTCTTTGCCAACTGTATCGGTGCCACCGGGGTTCAACAGCGCGGCATACGTTTAAGTATCGTAAACAGAGGTTCGTTCAAAGGTCACAGAACCGTTATCGTATCGATTTCAACGATCCAAGGCGCAAGATGTTCAAGAATTAAGAACGATTCGCAACCGATTCGTCAAGGAATTGAGAGCACCAAGACAAGCACAATCCAATCAGCTATTGCTCTCTTTTCAAAACAAAACACCAATCCACACACCTCTTGGATATTATTCAAATCCAACAACTCCCCAAAAACGAAGACTCCAGGCGCAGAAGTGGCGTCTTGGACGAGCTTTGCAGCAGCTGCACCTTTTGCTGATTTAGCCATCAACAAAAAGGGCTCAAGTTTGGCTGAGAAGTTTGAGCCCAAATCCATCTTGGTATTTCTCAGTTGAGGAAGTTATTGGGATTTGGAGCTTGGGGGCTTTGTACGTGGACGGGGTAGACGACCAAGGAGATCAGGACCTCGTTAATGGCCCGTACTGAATGTCGCGAGGCCGTGTTGTTCGGACTTTGGGAAGCTTTTGCCAAACATAGGCAAAGTCGCAACTGGGGGATCGTCGAAGATCGACGGTCTTTTCTTTTCGTATTCTGGAGAGACGCCGATAAAGCATGCTCTCTCTCCTTGGCTCTGGATAATCCCCCCACCGCGGACGGGATTGGCTCTTACTAGGACTTTGCATTCAAGTATACAGTCTGTGCATGCCACAGGCATAGTTGCGGGCTGACTTATTAACGCCAGGTGTTCAGCTTCAAGATGGCTAGAATCTACGTGCGGTGTTAATGAATACTACAACATACACACGTACTTCCACAACTCGCGTGCTCTACAGGCACAGACTGCAAGAAATCGGAATCGACATAGGCCTTGAGTCGAGACAAGGGCTAATGCAGTCAGTGTTGTGGCACAACACTCAAGCTGGACCCGTACATTTGTCTTTAGACCAGTTCCTCTGCGCACGAGCCCGTGATGAGCGAGGAACGTGGCTTGCTGTAAATTCACTCACGCTGTTTCGAACAGGAAGGGCAGCGCTAAACAGGAGGCTCTCGAAGAGAGGCTTGAATCCAATCTCAAAATGATACGCTGATGGAAAATTTGCGACTTTGGAAGCACTCTGGAGGCAAGGTCGTAGGTAAGGCGGGGCACTATCTCTCTTCCATCTTTCATTCACTTCTCTTTCTCCATTCCCATCGGAGAACCTTCTCTTCGTTCTCCGACAGTTTCCTTGAAGCACATACTCTTTCTTTCCTCCTCGCTTTCACAACTACCACAACATCGATATAATGGTCACCATCCGTTTCCAAATTCCGCAATTCCCAGCTGGGCGGAAATCCGACCTCCCCCCAGATGTCGACCGCTGGGTAGAGATACAAGTCGAGGACTCAGTCGATCTGCGGGAGCTCAAGGGGCTCGTTTAATCGCATTGGTCCGATCTCCTCAACTCTGTCGGCCAAGGCCACGCTGCCCCCAAGGTGGACGAAATCCAGCTCCGCTGGGATGGATCGACCGAACAGCTCACGGGCACTACCCAATCGACGACAGGCCGAAATTTGCTCATCGTTGATCCAGTAGACAAGTATACTATCTTCTTCAAGACAGAGGCTACGAGTGGACCGTTGCGGGTGGGCGACGACGATACTGTCGCCTTGCTCAAGAAGCGCGTCAGTGAGAAGACGGGCGCGGTGGATGCGCGGTGGAGCGTTGTCAATCGTACGCAGGGTGTTGACTTGGGTGATGATGACAAGTCTCTGAAGGAATATGGAGTCCAAGATGAGGACACGCTGTGTGAGTTGCTGGTTTCGAGAAGAGTCCGTAACCGCTGCTGATCAATTGGCACCCAAGTTTTCAAATTTGAAGGGTCCTCAGGGAATTAGGTCATAGTGATTCTGCATGGGTCAAGCTCAAGTGATTCGGAAAGTCTTCTACTTTAGTAGACTTCTTATATTTCTGTCGTATACGTAAATCCGTCCGTCCTCTGTCTTGCAAGAGTCTATCGCCCTGAATGCGAGGCCGCGTTGGTCGGACTTCAGTGAGAAGCCCTCGGCAAACATGGACAAAGCTTTGGCCTCTCTCCGACCGCAACCTTTGGCTTCGCTCTGACTTTGGAATTTTTCTTCAGGCGGCGATCACAAATGTCTCGATATTCTTACACGACCTCTGTATGTGTAGTGGCCCCGACGACAGGCGTATCTACCATGGACAGTGCAAAGCCCACAATTGGCCAAACGATGTCGAACCCTTGTAGTCACGAGGACTCTACTGGCGACTCTGTGGGCACAAAAGTCGGTTTGCATTTGTGGCTCATATCCACCTGTTGGATCTCAAAGCTCTCACCCTGTGTCGCTGTGTATTTCTTCAACCTCAACGCTCAACTCCGGACCCTCTCCGACTCCTTCGTCGGCTGAAAGAGCTCAACCACTCTGTGGCACTTACAGTCCTGAACCGGCCATCGCTATTTCTGTGCTACGCCACCTGTCGTTGGACAGTAAGATTGCTACTTCTGCGACAATGGGAGACCATGTGAAGATAGCACTGTGTAGGTCCAAGTCTTTACTTCCCCTGCTCCGAGGAGTAACTTCGAGGGAACAACACTGACTGGAAATTATGATCACAGCGCTTCCGCCGCTCGCTGAGTCCACGAATACATCCTCTCGCCTTGTCACTTGGTGTCGTTTGCATACCTCGAGGCGTGTTCGCTCGACTAACATCGCCGATGTAGATTTCCGAGTCGAAGCGATGATAATCGTTGTCGTATCAATGTCTATATTGGTTATCTGTAAGGTCAGTCACTAGTCCCGTCTGAGATCTAATGCTACTCCCTCCCCTTCTCAGTAACATTGACTGGGCTTGAGGACCTTCGTGTCGGGGCTGTGCAGTGGAGGTCGGAGAGGCCCCTGTTCGAGGAAAGTTGGCGATGTCCAGGCTGCGAGACCCACCATTAAGGTCGCGCTTTCCCATGGGTCTATACAGCCTTAAACGTGGTCCACTGGGGCTCACCGCTTTTTACTGTCCCGCGCCCACGTTGGCCTCATGCAGTCCAGAACTGCGGACGGAGTACTTCATCGAACACCGCAATTTCCAATGCATCGCGGCTTCGGAGGTCCATGGCCTTACTCCCGGTCAGGGGGTAGGCCTTCTTGTACTATGGCAGTCATTCTCTTATTCCAGCAGCTGCTTGTGGCAAGCTTTCTGGAAGGAACAGTCCTGTCACTCGATCTTCTTCCTGTCTGGGTGAGGGCGGCTAACCTATCCGAGTCGGCACAGCCCAACGGCTTTCGTTCAAAGCAAACGCAAACAAAGGAACAAAGCAGTGGTTGGCGTCGGCTCAAGTTGTCCTTCACCTCAATCCTCGCAGCATTGTTCCTCGTTTCTGCAGAATTATCCCGGGTATGGCGATCATTAGCAACGAAATCGGGAGGGACAAGGGTTGAGGTGTCCCAAACACATCACGACACCCATGAATAGAAACGTGCTCCATGGGAGATGACATCTTTATGAGCGCTCCATCTGAGCGCGACAACAACCCGATCTCAGCGATAATCTGTGGGCGACCCTGAAGGAACCCCTCGCCTCGATAACCTTGGCGCTCCGGGTGCCTCTTTGGGAACCGAAGTGCTTCTACAGCTACGTGTAGAGGTTTTTAATCTCTGTGACAGAAATCCTATCTGGGATTATCCTGCTGGAAAACGACGGTTTGCACAAGCAAGCAAACCGCGTCATAATCACGATTGTCACGATTCCTTCAACGTACGTACCCCCTTGATTCATCTGTGTGTCCATTCCTGTCAAACTGATCCACGCGTTGTCTTTCTAGGCTTGGCCTTTTCCCTCGTTGCCAGCGTCACAGCGCCTTTCCAAAGGTTCCTGTGTAAACAGTGTTTACCCCGGCAAACATTTGGATGAAGGCAGTGCGATACATAACCAGCTTCCCGGCCTCGCCTCTCGCAACCACATAAGCTCGCTCCGAAATCTTTGGGGCTCAAGCAAGGCCATTTAGCCCCGAGCTACTCCACCACACACAAACTTTCGGGCTTCTCTTCCCAGCCCTCGCTTCCTTCCGCAATCAGCTCATCCTTTTCAACCATGACCACGTACGCGCAACCTGAAGGCTTCAGCGCCGTCCAGCAGCACGATCCAGATGGATACGCAGAGTCTGCGCCCAGTACGCCAACCATCTCTCGAGATCCCAGTACATCGACTACACGCGACTTCGGCCTCTCTCCGACCTTCATCGCAAACCCCTATGACCCCTCCATGAGCGAGCACAGGGGATCGATCAGCCACGAACCCGTAGTGATCCCGCGCCCACGTCCACCCAAAACTGAACAATACCAGGACCTCGGTCATCTACGAGGTCTGGCACCTCCGAACGCCTCCTTCCGCAACTCGGAACGGACGATGAGCATAGCGGGTTCGACAAACTCGCGGATGTCCCTCTACGAGTTCCACCAGCCGAAACAAGAGCCAATCGATGCCGAATCCATCAGCATCTACGACTACCCCGTGTTCTTCCTCTCTGCCTCCGTGTTCGCCTCTTCAGTTCTCTACCTCTTTTACGGAGGTATTCGACTCCTCTCCCGACCAGACGTTCGCAAGCACAGCGTCAACTCAGCCGCGATCGCCGCGGCGGCGCTCTCCTTCCCGTTCATGCTCATCACCGGCGCCATCGCACTGGAACGCAAATTGCACGAGCTAAAACAACGTCGGAAACACATCAAGAAAAGTCGATCTAGTTGGTCCAAGCGTCCGATCCTATTGTTCGCGACGTTCCTGGCGTGGTTCACCGCGTTCCTATGGGGTGCAGGGTTCATCGGGATGATCGTCGTTCATACCGACTATGAACCACATACGCATCGACACCTGAGGAATCGACCTGAACACGTGGGGTTCGGCAAGGACTGGAAGAAAGGAGAGAAACTTGGAGCGGCTATTTTTACGAGTCAGGGCGGTATCTTGCAGATACCCGTTATCCTTTCGATGGTGACATTTGTGCTGTCGGCGACACTTGCGATTGTCCAGCTCATCCAGTACAGAGTGTCGAGACCCAAAATTCGGGACAGGGAAGTCGTGGATCCAGACTTGTAGATCGATCGATGAACGGACGGACTAGTAAATTAACGCTGCATGGGACTTGTTATTAACACTGTTTTACGAACAATTACGAGCTATTTTATTCTTTCTCTTCCGGTTATGTTGCCATGTGCTGGACCATCAGACGGAGACGGGAAATTCGGGTGGTCTTAGCGCTCGTTCATCGCATTGTTCAACCAGACAATTGTGCCACCCTTGGACCACGGCTGTCTGTTTAAAACGACGTGAGTAACTGGACCTCCTCCCCACCACATCCACTGAATTTCTGTCTGCTCGTAAAATCCCTTTGGCTGCTGGCAGAGCATTCGCAATTGACCAGACCCTAGGTACCCGCCGGAGAAACCAGCCTCTCTCACCCAAGTCGACTCCCACCAGTCTTCCCCACCCACTTCCTCACAGAGCCACGTCGTTCGCTACAGTGGTCACCTCCCCAACAAAGACGTCCCAGCAGCCAACCTCCCCGTGGAGCTTCTCGTCAAGATTTTCCTTGACCTGACAAAGCTCTATGGCTACGGCGACTATTGGGAAAGCCCCGGTGGTTGACAACAGAAAGTTCCTGCCTAACCGACGCCTATTTTCTCGGTGCCTTGCTCAACGATGAGACAGACGACTCCGGTGAAGAAATAGTAGAGGGATGGCCCCTCATGGAGAAGCTGCAGATCGGGCGGGACCTCCGGGATGGTCTACAAATCCACGTCAGGTATAACGCCGACGGCGAGGAAGAGCCAGCACCCACTCTCTGTGATGGCATCCTGGAAGGTGGTGCGCCACGCCTTCACCACCTCGAAATCCGACAATGCATCCCCTCCTGGATTTCCGCTCCTTTTAATTGCGCCCTCAAGACTTTGAAATTATCCCTCCCCGATGTACCTGGCAACCCTTCCGATTTGGAAATAATCTTGGATACCCTACAAGACTTGCCGCTGCTCCAGTGCTTCGAGCTCACACTTGACGAAGGGGATTCGGCCCTTTATGACTGGGAAGAAGACCAAGGGAGAGCAGTTGGAATCGTCCTGGACAACCTCGAGGATTTCATGTACCGGGGCCCTGCGGAATTATGCCTTGGGCTGCTGCGAAACCTTGTACTACCCACATCACCTCCACCTCTCACTCGCTTCCACTGCACATACCTCTACGCGGATCGCCCACAGATCCTGGCCAGCCTTTTCGCAGAAATAGCGCCCGCCACAATATCAGTCTTCGGCGGTAGAACTCGGGAGATGTACATGCATCGCCGCCTATGTCATCCCATCACATTCACTGGGTGGGCGCAGGACCCAGACGGCCAGGGAAGGGCGATGACGTTCGACTGGAACTTCTACGATCGCATGGCTGGACGACAACCATGGAGGATGGGCCGGTGTGGGAGGGCAAAGGCAGGGGACGAGCGTATGGAGATCGCTGAGGACTTCCGGCAAATCGTCCTGTCCTTATTGCCGCTCTTTGACATCAGGAGTCTGCAAGTGGACGTGGAGTCGCTGAGCGAGGATGAATGGACGAGGTTGGGTTCACTTGCCTCCCTGACAGCCATTCAATTTGGCGCAGGCGTTGCAAGCCAGTTCTTCGATAAGTTGGGCGGCGATCCGGTACTACGGGAGATTCTCGAAAAGGGGAAGGATGAAAAAGAAGGGGGCCATAGTGACTCGGAGGAGTCAGCGAAGCCAATGTTTTCGACCATTCAGACCATCACGCTGGATGATGTGGTGGTTGCAGAAGAGGAGGAGGAACTCGAAGACGATCTTCAGTTCTACACCACTGTCCCAAGGGAACGCGTGAAGAGTGTATTGAAGGCGAGGCAGGAAGCGGGATGGGAACTCCCCAAACTGGTGCTATCAAAGTGCCAAGGGCTCACCGAGCAGGACATTGACTCTTTGAAAGAAGCTGCTGGAGAAGTGGTTCTATAGCTTTGAATCTTTTAAAGCTTATTTATCTTTTACTCTTTGCCGGGCTCTCCCGTTCTTGTAAATATATCTTCTCTCTCTAAAGTGTCTCTTCCTCACAATCTGAATTCACCTTTTTTCCAATTAAGCGCCCTGTTACGGTGTGACGTCATGGCGGTTAAACAGATCATCAAGTCAGCTTAGGCGAGAAGTTCGCAGTCTTGTGCAAATGTGCCTTGTTCCCTGCGCTCGACTATGCCATTGCGCAGGGGTGAGAACTTGGGACGAGATCACTTATTATATCTAAAACTCAAAAAATCGGTGATAAGAATATAATGCAGAATTACACGGAGTACTTCTTCTCCCTCCAAACCCCCGCCCACCATGAGGATTTCCGAACAACGTGATGCTAGAGAAGCCCGACGTGACAGGAAATGTTGAAACAGTGAACTTACAAACACTGCCTTCCCCAGCAATTCTCAAGGACTCCAAGAGTATTTATAGAAGCGCGCAGTTGAAAATCTTGCAAGACGACAAGAAATGGTCGCCCTATCATCCACTGCTCTCGCCACCCTCGGCTTCGCCTTGTTTTGCAAAGCTCTTTCCATCCCACCAGTCAAAGAGTGGAGCACGGAACAGGTTGCAGCACGACTCGCCGCTATTGACGACGACATTTCAACCGCCGCTGCACCGGATGGATTCTCTATGGCATTCAGTGCAAGGGGTACAGGATGCTCGAGTAGCAACACAGTCTTCGCCTTATCTCGTAGGTAGCTCGCATTTTGGCCCAATAGCACTACTCACGGGAGTCCCCGTAGCCGACAAGACATCGTTGACCGTTAGATTTAGCAACATGAAAGTTCAATCGGGGGCTGGAATTCCGGCTGACGATCGGCTCAAGACGTGTGAAATGACGCTGAACACAGTCCTTCCCCGAGGCTGGTCGTTTGGGTTGTCGAGAGTGGAAACTGTGAGTCCGCAAACGCGTCACCCGGCAGAGAAATCTAATTTCTAACTTCTTTCCTCAGCGTGGATTTACTACTCTGGGAAGGGGTCTGGCGCTCTCCCTCTACGGAACTTACGACTGTAGGAGATTGAGTTGCGATGTTCTCATCTGTGGATGATACTAACAGACTTTCTAAAGTTAAAAACGCTCCCGTACCAGGACTGATTCAGTCAAGGAGCCTCTACCTTCCCGGACCTGCCACACACAATGATGCCACGTTATTCCAAGGCAGCTTTGACTCCATCCTCTTCTCTGCGTGTGGAGATGGCAATAGGAGCATTTCGGTGGAGTTCGAGGAGAATGTCCGTGCGCAATTTACCGACAGTTCGGGAACCGGGGCTGGTTCTGCTGGGGTGGACTCCGTAAGCTATTCCGATAGTTGTGGCCGATCACTTGCTGACTTCCTCCCCTCTATCATCACTGGTGGGATTATGAAAACGAAGGTGGTAAGTACTTCCCTAAAATTAATGTCCGACAAACGAACTGAGAAGATCTTCCTTTCTCGTGATCTAGACTTTTACCTTTGTTTTCAGACAATGCTAGCTCTGGCAACAACGTTTTTTTCTTGTACATCAATAGCTCTTGTGTCTGTATACCCTTTTCAGCTACGAACCTGTAGCTCTTGGTACTCGAGCACTCCCATTTAAGGAAGAACGCCACTGCAGTACTTAAGCGCCCAGGAACTTGGGCACGATGATCCACATGGAACGCATCAGGAAGACAAGATCGCATTTAGATCTTTTAATCAAGCTGTCTCATTTGCCTATAATCCGTCAGAGGTGAAGAGAATCACAGCAAGAACGGATTTGTTGGGAATTTAGAAGATTAAGGGCATCAATGATCGCAGTTTAAGCGCCTGCCCGGCGCTGAAGGAATGATCATCTGGGCCTGCGTTGGAATGAACGCAAGGAATGTACCTACGCTGGGAAGCCCTTCTGATGTTTCTCTACGCATTCTGGACTTCGCGTCGGTTTGATTCCGTGTGGCTCACTGATGGGGTTATACCTGTCTGGTCTTTCTCAATTTGGGTCCGAGTGCTGCTTTACCCATCTGACCAGTTTCAGGCATGTACCCTCCTACAGCCCTTCTAAAGCAGCCATGCGCTATCGCAAACAGGAAAGGTGCCATCCGAGCTCATGATCGCACATGACGTCCTATCGCTCTCAGATAAGATTGAACCGAGAGGATGGCTCCTTCCCTTGTTTCGAGTCGAGGTTGCTGTACAATGAGTGTGAAGAACGAGAGAGAAGGATTAGGACAAATTAATTGCGAAGTCTGTTGTCGGCACAAAGAGAGACAATGCTTCAGATGAACAATCAAGAACCCCCGACTTTCCGATGTCCTCGCAACCCAAGAAGCGACCTTGGTACAGTGTTTCATAGTCCACGGGTGACTTCGCGTGAGCTCGAGGTAACGTACATCTATTGATACTGTCTATATAGGAAGAAGCAAAGTCGAAACTTCTTATCGGTTTTGTTGAATGGCGAGCAGTGCACCAGTATAAATCAAGTGAGAAACCAAGGTATTGGTGGTATTTGTTTTTATCTTCAATCGCACAGTTGTTTACCCTGGGAACTTCCTCTAGACCTTTCCTCGTGGCTCCCAAGGTCTGTTCAACGGCGCAAAAGGCCCGTAGTTCATCCCGACATACGCGTTCCATTAATAACGACCCATTTCGCCCCGGCTCTTATCGACTAAGTAGTACGTCCGAGTATCCAGCTGACCGCGACGGTAATCAACAGCCGCTGTTCGAGACAAGAGAACCTTGGTGAAATCATCATTGTGGCGGTATGAATGATCGTCCATTAAGCGCCTGTACCAGGGGCTGATTAGCTCCGTGCCGGGCAGAAGTCATAGTTGAGTCCTGTCACTTGTTTTGTGTCGTACTTTGGCCCTGCGAGTGTGTTTCTCCGCGTCGCCACATCCGTGAAACCCGAAAGAATGAAGACGAAGATGGAAAGAGGCTGACGATCTACGGCTAGAGTTAACTGCGGAACGTGAATCCAAGTCCACCTTGGTCAAGGAAGAGATAATGACGGCGATTCCATACCGTCACTCGTTACGTTCGTGTCCCTGTGTGTCGGTATATTTCGAGTATAAAAGGCTTGCGAACTGGAGGCAAGTCAAGGCAACAACCATTCGAGCTGTTTCTGTGCAATCAAACATCTCTAGCAACAATATCAATGTTCTCTTTCAAGTCGTTGATCGTCCTCTCTCAACTCGCCCTCCTCTCCGTGGCCCTCCCCACTCTTGAGGCTCGCTCTCCCATCCCTCCTGCAGGCTTCGCTATTTTGTCCACCAGTGCAGCTGGTACTGGATGCTCCTCTAGCAGCTCCAGCACCTTCACCCAAATCTCTCGTCCGTATCGCGTTCGCTGCACCGATTACGAGCTCCCAACTCTGACTATTCGATCCCGACTCGTTCTGCTCACCATTTACAGCTAGCGCCGGAGCACTTACCACTGTCTTTGCCGAGCTCTTTGCTGAGATTGGGCCTGGCATCTCCGCAGCCAACAACCAGAAGGACTGCAAGATCACCGTCACCGCCTTCGTACCTGCCGGGTGGTCGTTTGGTGTCGCCGAGGGCAGCATTGTACGTCTATGTCTGCTGTCATACTCCGAGTGCGCTGTGAACATCGGCTTACCCCCCACCCATTACAGCGCGGATACGAGCAACTCGACGCGGGAGTCACCTTGGACGTCGTCTCCACTTACACCTGTACGCTTTCTCTCCCCTTCTCTCCCCCTTCTCACTTCTAACCCCACTGACACACCCACCTTAAACAGTCCCAGGTGTAACACCCACCAAGTCCCAAAGCGTCAACCACAACGGTCCAGTCCCTTACCCAGGCACATCCTTCAGCTCCCAACAGACATTCGACTCGTCCGTCGGCACCTCCCCTTGCGGCGCTGGTGCCGGTGACGGATCGACTGTTACCCTTGAAATTGACACCGACGTTCGTGTCTCTGGAACGGGCACTGGGTATGGCGCTATTGACTCTGCCGTACGTTCTAGTTCAATTTCTTGGGATTTTTTGGGCTGGTAGACTCACAGGATTGCTTGTAGGACGTTATCTTCGGTTTCCACGAGTGCTAAGCGCCGAACGCTTGAACGGCTCTTCCACGTCCCAAATGAACGAGTTTTATGAATTTACTGACAGATTACGATGTACCAGAATGTAACAACCACTATCTAAATGATTTCCTTGGCGGATACTGTCCTGCTATTCTCGAACTTTTCGTTTCCTCTTTCCCCGGCTTTAAGCGCCCGCGTTCGCGACCGTGCTCCCCGTAGTTCCCGTCAAGCGACCATATAAAGGAAAGAAAATGCAGTTACAACGCCCGCCTAGCTCAATCGGATAGAGCGTCAGACTCTTAAAGACTAGGCGATCTGAAGGCTGCGAGTTCGACCCTCGCGGTGGGCTACTTTACTTTTTCTTTTTTGAACTTTGCACTTTTTTCGCTTCATTGCGTTCACGGTTTGGTGTTTTTCAAATTTTTACCCATTCATTCATTGAACGGTGGCGCCCGTCATGGTCATCGGGTCTGGCGCCTTTTTTGCCCATACAAAGGCGCCCAAGTTCAGCCCCTCAATTACTCCCAATATCCTAAACCCAGACTTAGAATCGAAGCCAGAAACCCTTTCGAATCATGTATTAAACCAACAAACAACAGGAAACAGAAAACAGGAAACATTACGCATTGCGCCAGTGCTGAACTAAACGTATCGTAGAAGATGACGAAAAAAAATACTAGGTAACAACCTGTGGGGTATACATACTGTACGTAGGGGGACGAGACTAGCAGGGAAATAGAAGGAGATAAAAAATGAAGCAGAGGTAGAGGCAGAAAGGAAGAGAAAGCGAGAGAGAGAGAGGAAGAAGCAGACGTAAGGATTGAAGGACAGGTAGTGTGTAGTTTGTAGCGCGTACGTGGTTAGTCGGAACGGATGGATGGATTGTGTTGCGTGTGTAGGTAAATGAAGGTCGAAACTTTCGTCATTAGTATTTACGAGTGGTGGAAAATAAAGGAGATAATTGAAGATCGAACAAGTGGTAAGTAGTAGAGGGCGAGAGAGAGATTAGGGTATCCTGTGGTCGTAACTAACTAACTAAAAATCGAAAACGTATAAGCAAAACAACAAGTCGAGCAACAGAAAATAAAGAAGGCGATGTGGAAACAAAAAAGATGGAAGACAAAGACGGAATAAAGAAGATGAAAAACGAAGACGAAAAGATAAAGCAGCCAAAAAGCTATCATAAACAGGGTCATTAGATATATTCATTAAATTCGGGTCCTGGCGAACCCGAGAGTCGTAACTTGAATCATTAAACGGGGTCGTTGTCGTTGGGTCGTTAATTAGTGTTTGGGAATCCACCTTCCTCTTACTAGTTCTCCTGCTCTTCCTGGCCCCACTCCCCTCACATCCTCGCCGCACCACCGATCGAACTAACACCCTTGAGCACATCCACACCAACCCCCTTAAGCGCCTTCATCCTCAACGAAAAACTCGGTTTCCTCTTCCCTCCTCCATTCCCACCACTCTCCCCATCTCGGTCTTTATCCTTCTTAGACCCTCCATGTCCACTATGCTGTCCACGACGAGCAAACGCCGAAGGCGGCGACGCTGGCGATTGCGAAGCATGGGAATGGGATTGGGAATGAGAGGAAGAGGAGGAAGAAGAGAACAAAGGCGAATGCGAGAGGAACGGTAACAACGGCGACCGCCTCGAGGGAGCCGTGAACGACGGAGGCAGGGCCTCCGCTTCCAACCGCGCACTGGCGAGCGCGATACTACCGCCACTCGCCCTCCTCTCCCTCTTACCCGGCCCGCTCCCGTCTGAAACTTGCAAGGATCCATCGGACGTGACTGTTGCTGCTGCACTTGCGGTTGCTGCACCAGGTGTTCCACTACTCGTCGCGTTGGCAGGACTCGTAGAAGAGGTAGAAGCAGAGGCGTTGTTGATCGCATTATTGATAAAATGCCGCGAGACGAGTGGATCCGAGAACGTCCTCGAATGCGACGAACCAGGTCTCGAACCCGGCCTTGAAGGAGGGCGTCCATGTCCGCTCGGGTGGAGGGTCCGTTTGAAGTCGGTGAGGGGTGGTGGTTGAAGGGTGTTTGACGATGTCGTTGCTGCGGGTGCTGAAGGCGTAGATCCTTCTGCTACTGGTGCCGTAGGCGTTGCCGACGCCGTCGAGGGCGAATCTTGAGGCCGAGGCGAGTCATCAGGGAAAGGAACCCTAGCATCCCCTCCCTCCTCATTCCCTTTCCCCTTGTCTCCCTCCTCCCCCTCCTTCTCCTCCCCCTGCCCTTCATCCCCACTCCCACCAATAGGCCCTTGCTCAATCACAACAGGCACAGGCGGGACCGGACTCGACCGCGCCGACCCACTCCTGCTATTACGCCCACTCCCACTCGGTTTAGGACTAGGCGTCGCAGCCGGACTCCGAGGTAGAGGGAACAACAACTCGTCCTCGTCCTCGTCGTCATCAACATCCGCTTCGCTACCTCGCCTGATGAGTCCCCGCCGCGTAAGAGTTGGTGCGTCGCCGTCGGAAGCAGCGCGCCTAGTAGGCGAGGTGTACGCGTCGTACGAATGGGAGGTGAAAATCTTCGTAGGGACGTACCCCTTCCCACGCCCCTTCGTCGGCGTCGTAGGCACCGAAATCGTACCCGTCCGTCCCAAATCATTCGCAGCGCGTGTATTTATGGCCAACGGGACCGCCGGAGGCCTCGTCGTCGTCCATTTCGCCGCATCAGTCGAAGGATATGACGATGATGGAGAGGAAGAGGAAGACGAGGCGGTAAACCCATGATAACTATGCCTCTTCCTCCTTCCCACTTCAAACACCTCGTCGCAACCAGTAGTGCTCATATCGAATTTCCGTCCTCCCCGTACTATGCGTCCTTTGCCTTCCCGTTCCCGTTCACTCTCGCTTCCACTACTCCTCCCTCCTGTCCTGGTTTTACTCCCACTCCCCCTCCCACCCCCACTCCCACTTCTACCCCCACTCCCACTCCCAGTATCATCAGAATCACTATCCCCCTCCTCCTCAGGACGAGAACCACCTCCAAGCCCCTGCTGCGCAGCCTTCAACCGCCTCAACGCCCTCCTCGCCTCCCTCAACTCGACCTCCGCATCACTCAAAATCCTCCCACCTCCCTCACTCGCGTTCTTCAGGCATCCTTTGAGTGGGGTGGAGCGCCCGCTGGCGTGTGGGCTGCCGCGGAGGCTGCCGCGTGGACTTCCGCGTAGACTGGCGTGCGGGCTTTGATTTTGACTTGAGGCGTGCCCATGGGTGATGCTGCCGGGTGGACTTTGACCGTGTCCGTGTGAGCTCCTCGTCGACCCCCTCGAATGAACCGAACGGATCGACCCAGGCGCCGATACCCGTTGTTGTTGTTGTTGTTGCTGGAACTGCGGCTGAACAGGCGTAACAGTCCCACTCGTCGGATTGCTACGCGATAGCGAGGGAGGGAGGGTCGTCGATTCGGATTCTGAACCTGAACCCGAGCCTGAAGCCGCTGAACCGGAGAGGGAGGAAAGGGAGGAAGAGGAGAGAGACGAATCCCCACTGGACGCCCGCTCGTGCGCGTTCATAGCGCGGGGCGGAAGCTGAAGTGTATCCCTCGACGAACTCGCCAAGACCGTGGTCGTCGTTGTCGTTGAGGGGGAGGGCTTGAGACCTCCCGCAGGATTTTCACCCTCGGACTGCGAAAGACTCTCCACACTGGACGAAGCTTCGAGGGGTGTCGTAGAAGATGAAGACGCAGAGGCGGTGGCAGTGGTGCCCGACGAAACCATACCACCAGTCTTCCCTTGAAGACCCTTGGGCACCAACCCCAGCTCCATGCTCCGCTGCAACCGAATCTTCTTGTCCACCTCGTCAACCGCGATAGCGGTAGGCACGAGCGGGGCAACCAAAGGCGACGCCTCGAGATCAGTTTCGAGTTCCGAGTCTTCCGTGTCTGGCGCGGTGTTGTTGGCGTTGGCGTTGGCCGAAGTCATTGAAGAAGCGGCGTCGAGCGAAGCGCCCTCGGTTTCAAAAGACGTAGCAACCTGGTTCGCGCTCGTCTCAGGGGAAGGAGAATCAACTTGATCAATCTTAACATCCGGTAACGGTTTATCCTTCCCCAACAAACTAGCAGCCGCACCCAAACTAGCTTGCTGGCCTACAGCAGCCAACGTGGGTGTAACAGGACTCGGCACACCCAGCGTCGGACTCCACATCTCCTCTCCTCCAGCTTCACACTCCTCTAGGGATACACCAAACGCTGTAGGACTTATCGCCCCTCCCTCACCGCTCGTTTGCACTCCTAGAGTTCCTTGCGACGAGGAGGAAGTGGTGTTGGGGGAGATGGTAAGACCCGTAAAAGTAGAGACACTCGAACTCCTCCGGCGCCTCTGCTGAATCACGCGTTTCGTCGCGCCCCGACTCCACTTTTCGCACCATTCGCCAGTTTTGCAGTGGTGTTTCTCCTTGTCCTTTCCTTTCTCGTTATTCCCCTTCTCTTTTTCCGTGTCCTTGTCATCCCCCGCTGACCCTCCAATCAAAGGCGCAGGCGGGCACTTGGACCCCCGATGCTCCGGGGGTTGCGGGTAGTTCAAGAGCGTAGTACGGAGGTACGAGTTGGTGACTTCTTCGCAGTTGGGACAGCACGGGCGGAGGGGGATGGTTTCGGGCGGAGGCACCGATTGGAGGTAGGATAGGTCGGGTGAATGCATTCCCAATCCTGGATTTGGCGATGCGGATAAAACTGCATTGGGGGAGGAGGATAGAAGTGGGTTAGGGGAGGAGGATAAAAGTGGATTTGGGGAGGAGGGAGAAGAGGACGAAGGGGGTATCACGGGTGACGCGGAAGGAGAAACTGAAGCTTGGGTTATCGTATCGTTTCGGCGGTGGGATAAAGTCCTGCTTAGGTTCATAAACGTTGATAAGACAGGCGAGCTCGGTGGGGAGGTTCCAGTTGCATAATACGACGGGTGTGGGTTGGTGTAAATCGGGTTGTTGTATTGTACTGGAACGGGGATGGGCGAGGAGCCAGCGGTAGGGGTTGTCGTCGTCGACGATGATGAAGCCCGCGCAGAGACGTTGTGGGTGTCGAGCGCGAGACGGGGCTGGTTGTTATGGTTCACCAGGATTGGGGAAAGGGGCGGTGACGGTGTCGGGTCTCGCGATCCTTTACGTCCGCGTTCGAACCTGCATAGTCATTAGAATCAGAAACTACATTCAACGAATAACAGAAATAGAAGACTCACGTAGGAATAGGAACCTTGAAATTAATTATAACCCTCTCCCTCTTCTCCTTCCTCTCATCATCTTCAGCTCCGCTACTCACATACCCCGCCCCTCCTCCTCCTTGCCCACTCGCACTACCCTTCTTAGACGGACTCTTCCACAAAGGCAACGAATAACTCCTATTCTGCATCACAAGCCTCTTCTTCTCCTTCCGCTCTTTAAGCCCCTCATCGTCTCCACTGCTCGCATCTCCATGACCCGTCCTCGACCTCGATCTCGATCTCGAACGTGAACGCGAGCGGGAGCGCGACCTCGACTTTTCGAGTTCCTTGTAATACTTGCTCCCCAATTGCGGTATCAGCACACACTCGGTATCAAACCGCACCAGTTGACGCGGGCTCCCAAATTCAGGCGGGGGCACGACGCTCGTCGTTACGTATTCCCTAAAGTAGTCGGCATCGTTGGGTGTGGCGGGTGTATCGCGTGAGGACGAGGACGAGGAATGGGACGAGTGGGATCCTTGGCGCTGCTGTTGTTGTCCGGGTTGGAGCTGTTGGTTGCGTGGGTCAGACGAGGAGTCTTCGGATGGTGTAGCGGGGAGGGATTTTGTTAATGCCTCGGGTATACGGGAGAGACTGCAGGGTATAATGTAGGATGGGCCAGGGCTTGGTATAGGCGACGACGACGAGGACGACGAGAAGGCTTGTTGTTGCTGTTGGTGGTGTTGTTGTTGGGTCGCGCCGCGGTGTGGGGAAAGAATGAACATCCTTCGTCGTCTCTACGTCTCTCCTAACCAGCTCTTCAAATCACAGTCAAATCAAAACGAGAGTCAGAGTCAAACCGAGAAGGTAAAGGTGGGGGTAAGAGTAAGTAAAGAGAAAAAAAAGATGGGACAGTAGTAGGCGGTCGGAGAGACCCTGGAGAAAGGAGAAAGTTGATGATGATTGACAGTGAGCCAAAAGTGGTCTGATCACATCTTTCCAAGAAGATCAAAACCGAAAGCTCGGACTCGGACCTTGTAGTCTTTCCGTGTCTCTTGCTACTCGAGTACAGTCGTTTGCATACTATGGCTCACCAGTACATCGAATCCACCACTGAATCGAATTTTGATTGCAAAATCGTAACCATTCATCAATTCGATCACTAATTTCGCCGATGGCACTACAAATTACTGATGCCCCCGCCTTCCTTCAAACCATCCTACCTCCAAATCCCATCCGTTTTCTTCAAAAAAAAGTGCACCATCTTCATTTAGTAGTCATCTGGAATCGTCGTTCCAATTTTCAGGTCGATTGGGCCAGTGGAAGACGAGATTCAATTCAGTGGTGGATTCGATGTACTGGTGAGCCATAGTAATTCCGTTCAGGTCGTTCAAACAGAAAAACTAATTTGATGTGATGGCGGCATGTGCATATAGGTTCGGCTCATGTTCGAGCGCGCCAGAGGATGTCAATTTCTCCAAGCCCAGCGTAGCGGAAAGCCAAAAATTCATCGTTTTTATATCACCTTCAACCACTGACCCTAAAACCTCGCTCAGGAGGTACCACGGAAAGTAGAAGTGAAAGAAATTGCTCACTCTGCTGCATCCTGGATGAGGCTTGGCTGCACAGACCGGTCAATCGCATCACTGATCGGCTCCTTTTGGCCGATTTTTTGTTTCCCCAGCATGAACGAAATTATGCAAACGACTGTAATCCCAACTCACTTCTTGGTCTCACTCTCCGTTCTTACAGTACTCACAATCCTCCAATCCTTCGGAGCTTACGCTGTATCTCTAAGCACAGTTTACCCACTCCCAACCCAGCCCCCGGATCCCTTGTTCCAGACTTCGATACTTGTTAATGTTCAATCCCAAACCAGAAAAAAAAAAAACACACCACATCGTCCGATTTCCCAAAAAATAGGTTCGAGGGGGAGCCTCATGGCACGCGTTCCATCCATTCGTCACATTCCACACCGCACCGTACCATGCCTTCCTCCAACAATCCAATCACAGCAGACTAAATTCCAACAACAACTGTCCGACAACAAGCACCAGTCCAATTGTCGACATCCTGAGCATGATACACACGGAGTTTTCCCCGCAAGGCGAGTTAAGCCCGGGTAGTGGGCGCCTCGAAGACGCTGTTAGCCATGCTTTTGGGCGCTCTTTCCGAGTTGTCCTACAGCCCCCTATGTAGTGCTGATGGTCCATGACGATTGATCACCCTCAAGCATACGGTTGCGGTCCCGAAGCGCGAACCGGCACGAAACTCGAGAGAGGACCAGGCGGGGAAGAACGCTTCGTCTTCGCCGGTGAGGAAACGGTTCACACCTCGGGACGGACTAGGTCTTCAAACCGGTTAAATTAACCGAACCCCTCTGAGTCCCTCGAAACCCTCTTCCAAACCTCGAACCTCGAGGCTCACAGGTCGCAGACCAGGACAGGGTCCATTCAAGTTTCACATCGGTACGGACTCGATGACCATGAACTGGGACGGACTCGCGAATGACGAACTTATTGCACAAACAGCAATTAAACGAACCCTAGGCCTTGAAAACCCTCGAACCCTCTTTTCTTCCGGCTCCGAAGCCTCGAGGCTCACAACTCCAACTCGACCGATCCTTGTGCTAGCAGACCCTCAGACCCTGACTACTCTCTCTTCCTTTGGCATTCGCTTCTGCCAGCCTGAGTGCACCCCCGCCTGCCTCGAGCCTCAACTCGGGCTTCAAAACGACACCCGGAGACACCTCTCGCTTCAGTGTTCCCGACATCCCCCTCACCCCGTTCCGTTCCGCTTAACCAACCCTCAACTCAACTCAGCTCAAATCCAAGTTACCGTCCACCCAGGGTCGCCAGCTGAGGATTCAACGTTCAACCTTTCCGGTTCACATCCATGACGTCGACGACGAACACACATGGCACAATGCATACCTCATCGTCCCCCGTCGCCTATCTGAAACGTTTCGCACGCAGCGGATAGCACGATCCAATCGACACGAGCGCTCAAGTTTCAACGTCTCCCGGCTGCTCATATCTGTATACCTAAGACCTCCGAGCCTGACGACAACAGCTCGACTGTCTCGCCAAATTCCCCGTAACCACACTTCTCCTTAGGCACGTTCTACTGCACAGGTCGGCCGCCTCGCGCGTCCGCAGTCCCTGCGCAGCCCGCCCGCCTAACTTCCCCTTCGAAATCAACGTCGCATGTTTCGGCGTCGGTGAATCTGATGTGCTGTGTTGATGTGCTGCGTCGGTGATGTATGTGCTGCAGCGGCGGCAGTCGAGCTGCTGCGGCCCTCGAACTCGGGAGTATCGACCTGGCAGCGGATCGTGTCTGAAACGCTGCTCCAACCATACGTCTGGAGGCTTGGGGCCGGAGTCACCCAGACCTACCTACCACTTTCCAGCCTTCTTCACCTGTCCTTATCTCTGAGGTTCTTGGATGCAGAACCGAGTCGGGAGACGGGCTGTTGGCGATACCGGAACGAGGTCTGCAGCCAGTATACTGCGCCTTCTAGTTCTATCGACGTCGATGGACGAGATAGCACGAACACAATATTGATCACAACCATTCTCCTCCAACTTCCTCAGGTGCGAATATACAGATTGATTCAGAGTTCAAGAAATCCCCAAGATATAGTAGGTGGCAATACGGCAACTACAACGGAGACATAACCGAAACTACTTACGAAGCTACAGTACTACTCGTAAACTACAACTACAAGACAGCGCAAAAGTATGTACAACGAATGAGAACAATGACGAGGCTAATCTACACATTATACATCGACTATACTACGGTGCTGGTGAATAGAAAATGAACCTAGACCAAAGGATAATACGAATAACAGAATAAGTTACCGAACGGGCAGTCTGAAGGAACCATGGCTCCAAAGGAATCCTGATATCTAAAACCAGAACCCCATCGACCGCCTGGCACTAGGCCCATAACACCCGCTCATACCACTAGCACTGGCATCATCCACCTCAAACTTCAATGTACACTTCATCCCATTCTTCGAATAATTGATATCCAACGAGTCAACGCGCAAATCGCATTGACCCAGCTTCACGGATTTCGCGAAACGAGGACCACCGCCCCGTGTCCAGGCGTTGCCTTTGAGTTTGGTGATATCAGCCCCGAAGAAGTCGACGAGCTGTGCAGAGTTCTGGAGAGAAGTGCGCGTAAGGAGGGAATGGAGAAATGAAGTGGGCACAGACACGCACGAAATGTATAATCGTCACAGTACTCGTCGGTTTATTCTGAGGCGTAGGCTGGATAAGCGTCCCCTTGCCTCCAAACAACGCTTGGAACTCTGCAAACTCGAGGATTTCGTCAAACTTGATGGTCTTGGGGCTGCCTTGGAATTTGACGTCGGCGGCTTTGCAGTCCTTCTTCAATCTACCCGATGCAAATGGTAAGTGCTCTGTGTCGAGAAATGTCCACTGAGGGAGCGACGTACCGATCCAGGATCTTCTTAACCTGCATTTTCCTCTTCTTCTCGTCTTCTTTGGATGGGGCGGAGCTTGAGCCAGCCTCAGCGCTGACATCTCCAGAGGCGTTCTCTGCACCTGAGGATACCCGCGCGCGCTTGGCGGGTCGTTCGGAAGATTGCTCCTTGACTTGTTGTGCAGCGAGCTGGTCTTCCAACTAACGAGGGAAGATAGGGGTAGATTGTCAGCCTGAAGATCGTCGACGCGACATGGGATGGGAAACCTCACCTCGAAGATCCGAGCGCGCATGGCGAGCATAATGTCCGCCGTAATGGGAAGGGAGCCGTTCAAATCCAACTCGCCTAGAGAAGATCGAGGAAAGGACGCGTCGGTCAGCGGGACGATTCTTTGGAGGGTAGTGGCGCGACGCGACGCGATACAATGTGGCGCCATCGACGCGTCGAAAAAGAGCCAATTCGATGGAAAAGCAGAGAATCGACGCAAGGCGGGTTAATTAACTCACTTCCATCAGCCAGAGTAAGCTTTCTCTTCTTCGTATTCACGAGCGTAGCAGGGGATGGTCGTTTCATCGTCGCGTCGAGGGTGGTTTGTGTCAAGACCGAAGCTTGAGCTTGGTTTACTTGGGTAGCTGTGGTAAGAGGGGCGGACATGGCGAGCGTTTTAAAGGATAGAGATAAGATGGAGACAAAGGAGGAAGAAGAGATTGCATTTTAAGGACGGACTTGAGCTGGCGGCGCTTAAATTTGGCACGGCATGCTGCGACGCGTCGGTTAGTTTTCCCACAGGCGCGTCGAGCGCGATTCCACACGTGCTTCCGGGCGATAAGATAAGATAACAGCCTTCGCGCTTGATCATCGCCGCGCCTGCGACTTGGACACGAACGACCATGGCAGCACGAGCGTCAACCTCCTCCCTAGCGCCCGTCTCCCTCTCCACCCTCTCCGACCCCCCAATCCGTCACATCGACGCCACAGCCTACGAATACTTCCTCATCGAAATGGTCTCCACCCTCCGCGAATCCGCAGCGTACGCAACAGCGCGCTCCAAAGCCATCGAGAAAGAAATGGCCGACGCAGGACTCATCGTGCCCACGCCAACAACCGTAACTGGACCCCCCGCAGCCTCAGGCAGCCGGGGGTCGCAACCCCCCGGCCCCAGGGACTCGGTCACCTCCCTCCAATCCACGACGCGCCCCAAATCCTCGGCCTCAGGCGCAGGCGGCGACGCCGACGACCCAACCCTCGACCCCCTCCGCCACCGCCTCCTCGCCATCGGCTCCCACACCGGTGCCAACCTCTCCGAACGCCTCTGCCTCCACCGCCCGCCCTTCACCGACACACTCGACGTCATCAAGTTCATCTGCAAGGACCTCTGGAACGCACTGTTCAATAAACAGATCGATAATTTGAGGACGAATCATAGAGGCGTGTATGTGCTGCAGGATAATAGTTTTAAACCGATACAGAGGGTGAGTTTGCCGTCGGGACCGGGGACGGGTGGGAAGGCGGAGGCGGTGAGGAGGGCGAAGGTGTATACGTTGATGTTTGCAGGGGTTGTGCAGGGGGCGTTGGAGAGGCTTGGGTACCCACCGACGAGCGTGACGCCCGAGATTAGCAATTTGCCAAATTGTGAGTGTACCTCTTTTACTCTGGGCTGGATATGAAGCTGACGAGCTTCGCAGGCACGTTCCAGGTGCGGATGCCGAAAGGCTCAACATAGCGGTGGTCGCTGGGTTGTTCGCGATCTCCATCTCACACGATTCTACATCCTGTCGATACCCTTTTCTTGCAATGCATTTCTTTCAATGTTCTATGAACCTGCTACGATACTCACACTGCATCCTTGCTGATCCATTGGGGAGTTGCTGCGAATAAGGTCAGCACCATAACTTCGCCCCGATTTGACGCTCCATTGACGATCCATCGCCAGAGAGCGGCCAAATATCCGCAGGCCGACGGGATATCCAACGATACAATTATTGGGCATGGATGGAGTTTGTCCTCAGCATGTGGCATTCCGTTCAACAGCTCATTCCCCGATGCTTGATATTCACCACCACCCAAAACTGCTCCACCCGACCAAAATACTTGAATGGAATATGGGACACGGGGGTCGAGTTAAACAGTCTGTCTGCAACCCTGGATGAGAGCCCTCCTTTCATCGACTTGACAGCGCGAAGCCAGCCAGCTATGTAAAACCAAACACCCCAACCTGTACTTTTAAAGCTTCACCGTAGAGGATGAGACCGACCAATGAGATCTATCATGCAAGTTGAAATCCAGCAGCGCCCTAATATACTACTATGCAGGCTATATATAGTTCCAAAAGACATCTCTCCGTATACCTCTACCTATAAGTAACCCAGAATGAATACGTCCTCCACCTACTTAAAAAACGAAACAAAAACGAGTGCCGAATGCTAATCGAGCGACACCAGCAGGATTCGAACCTGCGCTCACAAAGTGAAACAGATGGTAGAACGAATTCTAATCTGTCGCCGTAACCACTTGGCTATGGTGTCTGATGGCAACGGATAGTCGCGCGCCTCTGTAGCCTTGGGGGCGCTCTTGAGTCTAGTGCGAAGGTGACTCTCTCTTCTCTCAGAGTCTCTACGCTCAGTGCGCACTGCGAATCTTTGTCTTCCTCCATACACGTCTTCGCCCGCTCCCCTGTCGATATCCGGCCCTGATGAAGTGTTTCGTTTCAAAACCAGCTCATTCATTTTTGAAATTGATATGGTTAGTATCCCCTAATTCGCAAGAGCCAGAACAAACTGTGCAGTTCGGGTGAACGAACTGAGGTTAGGCGACAATTCGCCTGGTCCTTGGCTTGGCCGTGACCATGGGCCGCCACCATGTTCCTGGCGTTGATGCAAAAACGCCCGTGATGAAACTGTATTCCCCATTCGAACATCGCGAGTTCACCGGACAGTCCGAGCTCGTCGTCGCCAACGCAGACTGAGAACTCGCCTCTCTCTCCCGAGCTCCATCGATCGACTTCCTCCAACGCACACAGCCGTGCACCAGGATGCATTGTACTATGCTCCTGGGAGCCTGGCGATGGCACTGGCTCCTCATCCTCTTGCTTGCAAGTTCCTTCCTTCGAGCGACCGCGCAGAGCGCCATCTCCCGTCTCCCCGCTACAATCCCGCTGGCGCTAAAGTCGCCTTACTTTAACTCATGGCTGCCTATACCCAGCAATGCGACGGAGGTGTCTGATCCTGGAAACGTGTGGCCTGTAATGTGGCAAACACATGTACGTCAACCAGGTTCTAAATGTGCAGATTATGGGATCTCGTAACGACTGACGCTGTTGTATTGGTGTTGAATAGCTCACTGGGTGGATTGGCTTTATCCGCGTAGATGGACGGACGTATCAGTGGTTGGGGATTGGTGGTGTGCAAGCTGCTACCCCTTTGGGGGCGTATGTCACCCCGACACAGACCATCTTTCGTCTCCGTGCCGGTCCTGTCGATTTTAATGTCACTTATCTCAGTCCCGTCGAGGTGCATGGACGCCCCTCTTCTCTTCTCAAAACCCCATCACTGACGCTCTCAACTCGACACTGTTTCCCTAACTCAGCCTTCAGATTGGGCCCGCCAATCCTTCCCGTTCTCGTATGTTTCAATCGACGTCGTCTCGGGAGACGGTGAAAACCATGCCGTGCAGATCTACACGGATGTCAATGGCGGTGGGTCGCATTCTTGTGGCTGGAAAGCCTCAACTTCCACCTGACCAAATTCACCTTGACCGACATCGATAGAATGGATTTCCCCCAGTCTAAGTGCAACCACCCGTTCCACAACGACACGGACCGAGCACGTTATCTTCCACTCGTTACAATGCGTCAACACCACCACTCCTATGGCTGAAGACAACGAAATAGCCCTCGACTCTACTTTAATCCTCGCCTCTCCTAATGTACGGCGCTCTCAGCACGAGTTTCACGCTTTCAATTCCTCGTTAACACCCAGTTCGATAGACAAACACAGTGACGACTCAAACAGGCCCCTCCGCCAACGTTCGCGCTTTCTTCGACCAAAACGGGGGCCTATCCAATGCAGAAGACGGGTCAGAAAGACCTATTTCACCGTAAATGCTCTTTCCTCTATTCTCAGAAAACTCGATGTGGGTAGGATTTTCTGATTACTATTTCTCACCCCCCTTTTCTGTCTCTTTCACAGAATGTACCCTGCTATCAGCATTGCTGTTGACCTTGGAGGGGTGTCGGATACTAGTTCCCCTGCTCAAGCGCTCTTCGCTGTTGGAGTTCTCAGGGATCCGGTCGTGCAGTACTCCAGAGAGGGTAGCTCGGAAGAGGCGAGACGGCCTTATTTCTTGACCAAGTGGTCTACCGTTGAGGATGCAGTAAGCATATCCACCTTTCACATCTACACCTAACTCACACAAATAATTCGCTTTCCTGTAATCCAGCTCGAGGCATTCCTGGAGGATTTCCCAGCTGCATTATCAAGAGCGACCGAGTTGGATGCTAGGATCATGTCTGAAGCAAGGTCTGCCGGTTCAGAGGAGTACGTCGACCTCGTCGGACTGTCTCTTCGTCAAGTTGTGGCCTCTTTCGATATCACCACTTCCGAGGACCCAGATGCGAAGGACGTCAAAGCTTTCTTAAAGGACATTGGTACCAGCAGGTACGTGTCTTTGTCAACTGAACGTCCCATTCCAAATTCCGCGTTCCACATGTGTGGTCACAGTTGAACTCACAGCAGTCTGAATTCCATTTTACAGCCGTGCCAATCCAGTTGATGCGCTGTACGCTTCGACACCAGCGCTACTCTACCTCAACCCCTCTTTGGTTGGGATATTGCTTGACCCGCTTCTGGAAGCACAATCGCTGTCCAGTTATCCACATCCATACGCAGTGCCCGATTTGGGTGAGTAACATCCTTCTTCCTGGTGCGCGGTCTCCTCACCTTCTTTTAGGCGCTCAATATCCCATCGCGACTCGAATCGAATCGGAGGAACATAGGGCTTTGGGACTTGATAGTAAGTACCCTCACGCGTTACCCGAAAGTCCTTCATTTTCTGAGCTCAGCTCCTTGCCAGGTTCCGCGAGTATGTTAATCATGACCTATCTTCACGCTCAAAAATCTGGAGAAGGACACTTGTTAAAGAAATATGTACGTCTCTGCGCCTTGTCATCATAGTTACCTTCACCTGAGAACTGACATCTCCCTTTCCATTCACAGCACGGTCTTTTGAAGCAATGGGCCGACTTCTTAGTGGAGCACGCAGCCAGTCCAAGTGAATTGTATGGTCCTCTGCAGTACATACATGTCTTTACCAAACTTACGATCTTGGTTTAGCGTAACATCAGACGGACTAACCCAAGCCAACAACGCGAATTTGGCGCTCAAGGGTATCTTGGGCGTGCACGCCATGAGCCTGATCAACCAAGCGCTTGAGAAGGAAGGGCAAGGAAGCGAAGACACTGCACATTACGCTGTACGTCATTCGACTTTCCAACCTCCCCTGTGCTCAATTATCTTCTTGACCCTATTTACCTTGGTGCAGGAGACCGCTGAGCGCTTGTACACCGAATGGAAACGCTCAGCGTTCATCTCCGGAAGAGTAATTTCCAGCTATGGGCAGCCCGACTCGTGGAGCTCTGCATGCAACCTCTACCTAGCGAGGCTGCTTGGCGCGGACTTCGTTGAGGACCAAGTCAGTATTTGGTGCATCGGATTTTCCGTTTCCATCGTATGCTAACATGCTGACCCTCTTCTAGATATTCGACGGCCAGACCGCATTTCTTAGCTCACAACTGGCGGCAACAAGTACGGTTTATCCTCACCTTCAACGTCATCTCAACTTATAGGTTTATCTTGTCGCCTACAGGGAACACCTTTGGTCTGGGACACGACAGTAATGACGAATTCACCGTCAAGTCCCGTACGTCCAGCTTATAATTACTCCCAAATCCTCCAATTCCTAAATCAGCTTGCGCTCGGAACTGCATCCAGATTGGACCATGTTCACCGCTGCAACAATGACCGACACTGACGCTCGAAATCGATTCGTCTCTATCATCCACAACCGAACCTTCCTGGAAGGAATGACGCCCGCTTTTGCTACCACTTGGGATGCCCGGAGCGCTAGCACTTTGGGCGGGCGAGCTAGGTGAGCATCTAGGCCTCCGTGAAGTCATGTCGAGGGGACATTGACCGTATGTATATTCAGCCCCGCCCAGGGAGCTATGTTCGCGCTAATGGCAACGAGGTAGGTTTAGTCGGGCGTGGCAAAACTATAATCGTCTCTGAAGTCAATCCCCGTAGCATCCCTGATAAGGCAATCCAATTCACCTCAGGACCAGGAACGGGGGCAGGGACAGGAGGGGGTAGCGGCGACGGTGGTAGCGGTTCAAACTCCTCGGGTTCGAAGGTGAACCTCGGAGCCATAGTCGGCGGAGCAGTGGGAGGACTAGCAGCCCTAGCATTCACCATCCTCGCCATAATTTTCTTCATCCGCAAAAGAAAGACCAAGCAGACGAGCCTCGAGGAGAGTAAGCCAAGTGGACACACTGGTGTTACGACTCCCCCGCCGGTGCAACCGGCAGCTACTACGCAAGAATCAACGCCCGGCACGGTCTCATCCCCTCTCAGTAACCAGAGTCCGGCGTCTCAAGTATTCGTTAAACCTCCGTTACCACCGAGTGCGAGTCTGTTGACAACCTCAGGGGCTGCACCTTCCTCTCCTGCACCCCCGTCAGAAGGGGCCGCCTCCATCCTGGCCGCGTCGACTGCATCCTCCGGGGCAGGGCGTCGGAGTAGCATCAGCAAGTCGGGCTCACCCTTGTTGGGTGGTCAGTCTCGGCAACAGCCCGAGAGGGAACGTCCCCTTTCAGAAGCAGAGGATTTGCGAGCCGAGGTGCTTGCATTGAGGAGGGAAATGGAGGAAATGAGAGCGCGGACGGCTCTGAGTAGTAGCAGCAATTTACCTGACGAACCTCCCCCTCAATATTCATCATAGCCAAACTTCGACAATGATACCCCAATACAATCTCGTGGTTGTTAAACATTGTCTAGATCAAGCGACCGCCCCGCGTTGATGTAAGTTCGAAGGATGTACACCGCAAAGAAGCAAAGAGCCTTTCAGTGACAAGAAATCGACCAGTGGTGGTGGTGGTAGCTGCAGAGGTAACCGCGGATGCCGTATCTTGTAAGATATGCTCAACCTAAAGCAATACTGTCAATGTGGTCAAGCCCGCACGTTGGGTCCCTTGGAGAAACCACTGTATCGTCACAGACCGGAACGTTGATGTCGTCTTGAATGCGATCGTAGGTCCGCCCGAAGTCCACGATCAACGTCAGCCCCAAGTGTTTTCACCGCAGGAAACAGTCCAGAATATAGGCGAGTTCGCAGCCAAGTGATCGAATTCGAATCGAGCGACAGTTAAATCCAGAGTCACCGAGACGAGTCTATAGCAGTCGGTTCGAATGAACATAGGATGCGGGGAGCACGGCAGCCAGACGCGAGGGCTCCATCATTCCAGCCGATAACGTGCCAGCAAGTGGGTATACGTGTCGGAGATCTAAAGCATGTCAGCCAACGAACACGCAGAAGACCTGAGAATCACTCGGAAAAGGCAAGGAATTCATACCTTCTCCGCTCGTTCCTTCCCACCGGGAACAAACCGACAGATAGAGATGGCAATTTCAAACCATCTCTTTGCTTCGTCAATTAAAGAGGCGCTGTTGAGGGGTGGTGACCCCAGAATTAGCAAATTGAGAACGGTGAATATAATTCGGGTCTCCACGTACTGTAAACACTCCGTCGCCGTGTTGTAAGAAGTAGCGAGGAGCCATTGGCGCTCGTCCATGGGATAGGCCTTCCATTCCGGTGGCCCACAGGGATGTCCAGGCAGAGAGCGAAATAGTATAGGGAAAGAAGAGCAAACGGGGTGAGATAGGAAGAAGATAACGAGATGGAATGATCAGTATCACCATAATGGAAGGCTGAGAATGAGATCTCACCTCCTTCGCAGAATCATATTCTTGAATAACGCTAACTGCATGTTCAATGTACCCAACTGCTTTCGTTCTGTCTTCTGGAGAATTTCGGGACAGAATGATAGTGCAGATGGCACGTAGCCATCGGGCAAATCTCTCTACCGAAAGGGATTCATGCTCCAAGCTAGCATTCAGAATAGCCTTTCAACGCAAGATGTAACTTGTCAGCCTGAGTTGACCCAAGCGAGTGGGCTACATTACCTCCAGACATTCCTGAAGGACTATGAATGCGGTCAACGTCATCAGCAAAGGCAAGTCATAAGGAAGGAACAATCTCAGACTAACCTTGGACGGGACAATCCGCAGCCACCCACTGTCGAAATAAGTATGACGGAAGCAGGGGTTGAGTTACTCGGCCGAAGATGGAGTTCAAAGAAGCAATGTTGTACGCACCAGCAGATCGGCGAACGCTTCGTAGGTTCCAACAGCCATTGGCCCCGATTTGACAACCTCCTGCGGGAGTTATTACACCAAATATAGCATGAACAGAATAGATATCTCGAATTGACAGACCTTGATCACCGCAGAAACCCTCTCCCAATCTTTCAACTGGATCAAGAACTCCATTTCGAACACTCGTAAGACATGGAGGATGTATTCCCCTCGATCGCCCTTGTCATCGTCCGATGCATGCTTAGACAAGACTTCTCGTATAGCAGTTTTCGATTCTCCAATGTCTTCAATGATCTTGCGAAGGTGCTGGTCCTGTATGGTTCAAAGAGGTTAGTTCGTCGGCATGCGCCTAATACACGAGAAGGACTAACGTCAATCCTGCCCGTGGCACTAATCATTTCTCTCGCGGAGAAAACTTTAGAAACTCGTGGTAAGCAATGGCCGCAATGCAGTGCCAAACTCCATACCTCGCCCAGTCACCGCGGCGAAAATCGAGTTAACGAGATAAACGCAAGATTCCTTGTCAATATCAAGGGGAGACGATTTCCAGCACGTATCAAGCAACTAATGTGACATCAGTTGAATCGAAGGTGAGCTTACTTCCTCAAGGCCGTGGAAGTTGCACTTACAATTCGGGCCATGTCAAACAACTCCGAGATTTGTTCACCACACCCTTCCCACTCGGAGCAACCCTGGACGGCGCAATTATAGGCAGTCCTCCACAACCATGAGATATCCTTCTGAATGAGAGACACCGCCTTCTGTTCCAATGCCGAAAGCGCGAGGATCTTGGCTTCGTAGATTCAGCGAGCAATGAAATTCAGGGATGCGTTCGGAAAGTCGTACCTGTACGAAAGTGGCTAACCAGGGTATCGATAAGGGCACCACTAAAACCGACGAGTAGGATTAGTGAGCGATGAAGCCGGAAACCAACTGGATCACACCGATTTGCCAAAGGATCCACCAATAGGCCCAGGATGAGCTTAATGATACATCGTAACAGCGCCATTGCTTCCACTACTATCTCCCCGTTGGAACCGAGTTTGAGGGTTTTTAGCAAACCTTCCAACACTACGAGCAGGACACGTTTCAGCTCCGAACGGTGAGAAATCTGTGTGGCCAGCAATAGCATCCTTCGGTCGAAGTCCGGGGCAGCTTGAATATCCTTAATCGCTCGGATAGCTGAAGAACACGATAAATAACTTTCGGGGGGTGGGGTTTGGCGGCTCTACCTTCATCTTCCAAACCTTGATGTAATGTGACGCTCAATTCCACAATCCATGAAACCGAGAAGTGTCGCACGAACCTTGGTGAAACGCTGTCAAGAATACAATGTATTGGGTAGCGGCCTCGTCCATCGGACAGTGGCGGATGATGGTAGAAGCTTTGGCGTACTCCCGCTGCTCGATGTAGCATAAAGCCGCCTTTCGAAAGCATTTCGCCGTGCAGGAAGGTGCATTCTTCTTGAAAAAAGAATGAGTCCCAACCAGAAACCAATCTGCTGCTTGGGTCCACTTCTTTGCTTTGTAATACCGGCCGCCCGTCTGCCAAAGGAGCTGCGCGATGATAGAGCGTCAGTAGGAATCGATGTCCTTCTCCCACATCTAACCCACAGTGAGGCACGCGGTAACGGATGCTCTGCTAAAGTCGACATCCGTTTCGGATAGTACTGGGAAGGCATGAAAACAATTAGTTGCAGACCAAAACTTTGATTTGCGAAGTAACTTACATGTGAAGACTTCATCGAGAATTCTCAATGCCCTAGAATGATTGTCGTCTTTGGAGCAATGGAAAATGATGGAAAGTGCTAATCGATCGGTGAAATCTGGTTCACCCTCTTTCTGCTTGACCGCGCGGCGTATACAGTGCTTGTGAACTTGGGCGACCAGAGTTCTGATAGGTAGACACACGTCATGAAGCGTAAAGGAACAGCTGGGAAGCAAACATACGAATGGGTGGCCAAAGCTCTGAGCTCCTGCAGAATGCTAACTTGTGTCAACGACGCAAGGTAAATTCAATAGAGCTGCGCTTACTCAGTGAGGTTCGCCTCTGACCATCCCGTGTGGTCGACAATGGCTTTGAAAGCTACAGAAGCCTCGTTATCACAGCCGTGAATGGAAGGAAAAGTTGAACCAGCCTGCGTACCATCTAGCAGAGTTGACTCGGACGCCTTCCTTCGCTTCAAAACCGTTAACCTCAGCCACCTAAGCTCTTGGTATTGCGGGTTCGCCTATACCTCTCAGTTTCGTATGGTCCATTCTCATATAAAAACGAGCTCACTTTGTTTCCAGTTGCCTCTACAACGGGAATAAGTTCGTCCAGGACAGCTTCTGCCCGATCATACGATTCTGTGATAAAGTAGGCTCGAGCTGTCGCAGGCTTGTTAGATAGCTTGTTCACTTGAGCAGTGGGAAGAACGACCAACCCAAAGTCCGCAGCATCGACATCTGGTGAGACTGCGTCAACCAAACGGAGACCCACACAAAGATCGCAAGCGAGGAAGATAGTTACCTTGACCTCCGAGATACCGGAACCTGAATCATCGTCTGGCAACTTGTCTAAGAGCGCAAACCCCCGTTGCAACCAGCCGACCGCATCTGGCGCATGCTTGCTGTCGTCGTTAAGGAGGGATCTCCCGATGTTATGAAACTTCAGAGCAATGTACTTCTTCTGAAAGCGCGGATGCATCAGACACCACAGAGACCTAGTAACGCATCTGAACTGACGACTGGGGCCGTTAGGAGGGCCAGACGCTGGCTATCGTCTAGCGTCGAGTTGAGCAAGACCCTATCAATAATCATCATGTATTACCCACCTGCTATCTTCTTGGACATGAATTCCGCCAATGTGTGATTTCCTTCGTTCCATGCCTGAGCTAGGAAGTAAGGCCCTGGTATCTAGGATCAAGAGCAAAAGTTTTTTTACCACTTCCATGCGGCTACACAAGTACATCAGGACAGCAGACGCCATTGGACCTTGCTGTGTGTCTTCCGAGGACTGCATAGCCCTCAGCATTTCCTCAAACTACCGCTGAAAATTAACGGAAGCTTCGACTAACAACGTTGGTGACCCACCCTTGCAGCACTCGTGAGCACACTCCCCGCGCCAGCGTTATTGCTTGCTTCTGATTTGCAGATGAGGGGCAAGGTTCACCTTCGATGGCAATCGACCGACCTGATAAACTAAGCCCCGTTTTGCACGCCAGCTGGAGGATGTGTAAAAGTGCTGGTGGGTCGTGAGCGAAGATGAAACTCCGAGGAAATTGTTGCATTACTTTCGACGCCAGGCTTTGGCTCTAGACTGGCTTCAATTAGTCGGAAAGCGGCATATCTGACTGCAAGATTGCAACGGACTTCAGTACAGGATCATTGCCGAATGCTGCCAGAGAACGCACCCATGGATATCTGCATTCGGCCTTCCTCGCCCTCGCCCTTCCCAACGGCGCTAGAGATATTCCAAAGGCTAACTCCTAAACACGCGATTTAGCTTCCAAGCAAGGCCGCTCTTTCTCATTTCATGCCTTCTTGGTCCAAGGTATCCAGGAGCTGCGGCGACAATTTAGATGCCTTCGGTCGACGCTCAATGAACGCCTCTGCTAATGAGACTATCTTTTGCAGGTCCTGGGTAGTCGAAGATGGCCCGGAGCCCTTCAGATAGGCTTGAAGATTTGGTTTAACTCGCGATAGCAAATCTGTTGAAATGGGTTGAAAATCGCTTATCCGTGAAATTTTGAAGCCATCTCAAAGTCCAGTGCTTTACCCATTATCGAATCGCACGTCACCTGCGTCGAGTTCGCCTTTGCCTTGTTGTGAGATGTCATTTTGCTCGAGTTTTCATGAATGAATGGATCTGGAGGATGTAGTTTTGGTTCAAGGGCCGGTCGCGCCCACCCAAACGCGCTGCGGGACGTGACCGGCGCGATCATGTGATGCTCCGAGTCTCCGACAGACCGGACTCGGACCTAACCGGAGCGCCGGATGTCGGCATCTTCTCAGTTTGGCCAAGGTGAACCAGTCAAGCGTGAGCAAGCCGGGTGAGGGAAGCGAACCGAGTTTGAACCAAAATGAACTGATGGGTTTTGCAGGGACATTCCAGCCATCGCCTTGGCCCTTCTCCACCATCTCGTCAACATGGCTTTTGCGGCGCTCTGAATTCCGCCTGAACGCCCAGGGTCGCTGGACCGTTCGAACAAAAGACGCCACCATTGCCAATCCACTTTATCTGACTCCGATCTTTCTGGCGCTGTGGTGCTGGCAAGGCCACCACCATCTGGTGGAACATGAATTCGATCGCCTCGCACAGGGTATCTATTGTCAACCAGGGGGATGCCAACAAAGTGGGCGCTGCTTCGTACTAGGCCACGGGTTGATCATTACTGGAGAATACCAGCCATTTGGGGCCGTAAAGGGGAGGATGGCTAGCGCTCTGTTGCACGGTGGGAAACGAGGACACGATTGTGACTTCAACTTGACCGGAACATACAAGGCTTTGAAATCGGAAATATGGATTGCTTTCTCGCGATCCTGACGAGCATTCGTCGAGGACGGCATTACTACACGCTGTTCTGATCGAAGGGAGGCGTATTAGAGGTTTGTATGTATTTTGGGAATACTCACTTTGGTGCGTCCCAGTCCTCAAGTCCTTCGTGACCGTCACGGATTGACATTCATTCTAGTGTGCCCGGACCTAACATTTGTCAATGTATGGCGTGGGGTACGATGGTCATTGAATACACCATCGGAGCTGGGTACAGGCCGTGAGCGATCGCAGCAGCACCGGACCTCGGTGAGTCACCTGCAAGAATGCCATTGTTGTTGATCTCCAGGCCATGTATCCAAGTATCTATCACCTCGTCGAAACCTTGCCCAATATCAAACTTCTGTCGGATACCCAATCCCGCCCATTCTGTACACGGCACTTCCCTTGTTCTTCAGAAGCGCAGATGCGTAAAGGACCCCATTTCCATCTTGATCTCTGAAGCATGTACTATTCTTCTGTACAAATCTAGGGGTGTCTAGTAACATATTTAATCTAACCGCGGAACTCTAACCGCGGAGCGTATAAGAAAATGCTTTCAGTTGGGGCAACATATGCACACACGAGGCTATCACACTCGAAGTCTGCGCTAACAATGGTTGTATCCTTCCTGGCACGGTGCGAATCAGTTCGCTCTCATTCAGCGAAAACGAGGGAAACCAACGTCGATTCTCGAACGACTTAACCCCACCCCGCTTCCGAACCACGAGGATGCTGACCTGAAGGAGCAACCTGAGAGCTCCTCTCGATAGCCGGGATGGGAAACTGTTCCTCCACGACCAGAGAACCAGGTGACATGAAAATGTCAAGGGGCTGGGTCTCTCAGTCGATGATGAACAACCACGATTAACAAGGCTCTTAGAACGCCCCCTCATTCTCGGCGACGCGGAGAATTATTGGCGTGTGCACCAGCTCCAAACATGCGTGAAACTCGCTTTCTCCTACTGCTGCACAATTGCCACCATCTTACAATTGTGGCTCGTATCTAATTGGGATTCATTAGGCTCTTGGGGAAAGCACCAAGGCACTCGCACGCCCACCCCTGGCTCAACCTAGGCGTTTCCTTTATTCATACGAACCGTAACAAGTTTACCTTGTGGAACCTTTTTGGTATTATCGATGTCAAGGGCTTGGGTGCGATCACACAGCCTTGATGATCGCGGTTTTCATCCGCCCCTCACGTCGGCGGCGTCATGATAAACCTTTGAGGACTGACCTGACCATAATTGTGCACACAGTGTCCAATCGGGAGTTGGACAAGGTTCTACCGATGAATTCTATAGCCGCTGAGCGCCGACTTTGAGCGCTGACTACGGTTGACACTACTCACCATACAGCATTAGATGTATCGGGGCGGGACGAAGGGCGCTGGGCGCTTATAAGACTTCGCCCATGACGACATCCTGATGACTCAATCTCTCACCATTCCTTGTGGTGTCACACATTTCACAGCAAACTGTTGGGTGTTTTCTGGTGTTCCATGAGGCGTGAAAGCCAGCGCGCATCCAACCCTAAATTCCACGACGAGCTTGGAGTCTTGACGAGTGCCGACTACGCTGACCTCACGCAGGCTTTTGGTACCCGATCCATTGTCTAGAACCCGGGGTGGGGTGGGTGCAGTTGGACCTAAAAAATCGCCCCTCATTGCCCCTTGCTCCTCTCCAACGCTAAAATGCCCAAGCACCCGGATAAATCCAAGGGGTCACGTTCGTCGATTTGAACCCTTTGAGAACCGCATTGGCAGATACCTGGATGAATCACATCCTTCGTCAAAAACGCGGTGATGAGCACCGGCGACTTTAGCCATTTTTTTCTCTCAGTGCAGTGGAAGTTCCTTGGACTTCCAACCCATCTTTTCCAGATCCAGAACTAAGTATGGCGATGAGAGAGAAAAAAAGAAAGAAAAAGGTCTGACTTCGTCCGTGAGCGTCACCAGTCGGTCATCCGCAGTCCCACACACAAGCAGTGCGGGTCTTCTTCCCCTTCCTTTGCATTCTTGCAGGGACACGGATGGGATGGCAGTGGGTTTTGAATCGTGGCACGTCAATACATCAGCAAAGAGGGGAATAAAATCTCATAGAAATCTTGTATCCACGGTATGAGATGGATATGACGAACAGAGACCGCGGAGCACCATTACAGCCGTTTGCATTAGTCTTTGCGCGAGCGATGTCGCAGAAACCAATTGATGGCGTGTCGGAAAATTCCGTGGGGTTCCCACCTGCCAGGTTCCAACCAGGTTCTTCCTCGAATACATGGCCGATTTTACGAATTGTTGGTGTGAAAGGGACATTTCGCTGTTTCATACCATTGGAAGTACAAAGAGAGACGGTAAGGGTACGAGGATGAGGCAAACATCTCATACCGAAGCCTGAACGACGGTCGTCGAGCGTGACTTGGGCTGCCATACGGAGTTTTCCGACACGCCATCAATTGGTTTCTGCGACATCGCTCGCGCAAAGACTAATGCAAACGGCTGTAATCACAAGAGTACCTCATACCCAGCGGCAGATAGACAGACAAGCACCACTGGGTATGTATTACTTCGGAGCAAAAGGATGCGTGCAACGTCGGAGCAGCGAAACCCTCTATTGAAAGCCTAGTTGCCGTAACCTACATACCTCCTTGAAGGGACCGTACCAGGGTTCTTGGGTAACTCCTAGACAAAGGAAGGAAAGCGAAAAAGAATATCAACAAGTCATCAGGTTTGACGTTGGATATGTAGGATTGAGAAGTCATCAGCAGCGAAGGGGGCTTTTTACGAAGCGTACTACGATTGCCTTGAGCGCTCCAGCCCTCCCAATTGCAAGGCCACGAAGCCCACACCTCAACCCCCTGCTGATAATCAAGATGCTGGAGCCTTTCCCCAGTACATACACGCATTCAATGGTTCCATATCAGCAACGCCAATGCCGAATGATAGCGATACAACAGGATACGAGACTAGTCAAGACCGAAATGCACCGCGACCATATGTTTCGTCCTACCCGGCGAGAGGAGGAAGGCTTGTGTCTCGGATGCACAAAGATCATATCATTGAGCGACAAGACTTTTTCAATTCGTCTGATGGTGGTCAGTCAAGCAAACCCAAAAGAGACTAATCAAGCTCTGCCAGCGATGATAGCCTGGAGGAGCACAAAGTAAGTGGCTCCGGAAAAGCCGGTTAAATTCCAAAAATCGCCCTGCATGCTCATGGACCGAGGTCATCAGTCAGATGGCCTAGAAACCACGCGTAGAAAAAAGTCAACAGGGCTGGCTCAGCAAGCGTCGGGTACACAAGCGCATTCCCTCTTTCAGTGGCCCATCGATTCAAGAGACGGAGGCGCGGCAAAATTTACATTGCAGTCTCGGAAGAACCCAGAGGCAGTTGGCGACGCTAGTGCCTTAGCAAGCGAACGACGTCGTGCCGAACCCCGCGAGCGCTTCGGACATCTGGGCCATGATGATGATGACCCAGGGGGTCACGAACAAAGATTTCCAGGGGTTGGTTACCAAGTCAAGTAGAATTCTATTGATACTGCTCAGATGGGCTATACAACCCCCTTTACTAGTATGGATTACCCAAGCTCCATTATGGACTTTGAAAAAAAAAATCCAGGGCGACGAGCCCGAGCTTCGCAAGGATTCCCAATCACCCGAACTCTTCTCATCCCAAAACCACACACGTCGCCCATCATTTGGGGGTACGAGTAAGCAACACCTGCTATGTACATTCTAACCCTGAGCGCATCCAATCTTCGCTTACTTATTTACGCTTGAGAGCAGATGCAAGCTGTAGTAGGTACAGTAATAAAGAAGGGGCGGCAATAGCCAGAACCGACAAGGCAAACCCAACTGATCTCGGCGATTCTTTCGCTTTATCCCAGCAGCTCCATCCACTTTGCCTGTCATCCACTCCATACCTACATGCATACTCTATGAGCAACGGCGAGGCGACCGCCGAGTCTCCGACCACGCCCGCACCAGTTCCATATTCAATCCAACTAAAAGCCCGCTCGTCATCCCTGATTCCCGTCCGACACGCACTGCCGGCGTCAGAACAAGATATCAACATACACCATGAGTAGTATTCAAAGTACGTCCCGGAGTAGCGAAACTCCCCACTTGGTAAGGTCACTGATACCTGTCGGTACCTTCCAAGTTCGAATTCGAGTTTCCCATTCAATCGCCTCATATGGTGCCCACTGATGAGTGCGTGCGTATGTAAATAGCAGCGGTTGCTGCCAGAGAGAACGAATTTAGAGTGTCTCAAGTGTGCTGTGGATCTCAAGCTTGATGTTGATTGAGCGCTCCCTACGAAGTCGACCTGACTGAGATCATTCGGCCGCTCCGAATCGCAAGCGCCCGAAAACCACTCTACAGATTTGGCTGCTGCCTCTTCTGACCCCCTCTGATAGATTTCCAAGACCGGGTTATGTACATACTTCTACCACGTAAAGATACGACTACCACTCTGGGTGCACCGGTTACTTCCACTGAATCCCTTTTCGCTTGCGACTATCGCCCTTAAGAAACGTCTGTCAATGGTCCTCCTGTCGACGTCCCTCCGGGGTATTACTGGGCGCTTCGTTCAATTTCCATCCATAACTCCTCACTCAATAACCTTCCACTTCAACTTGTGACACCTTTCTCCGCCATCCGGAAAATCCCAATACTTCCTTTCCAACCGATGATCTCCCTCATCCTGAAACACCGGTACCCCGATTCTCTAACAGGCCCAACACTAGTTCATTGATCACTTGAAACATCTCGTCCTTCTACCGCTCAGGCGGGTAGTTATACGAGGGACTCCCCACCCAATCCACGAACTACGAACTGATGTCTAACAAAACAAGCCCTTACCTAGTAGCACTTACGACTCGTTGAAATTGATGCAAAGGAGCGTCGACGAACCGAGGGTACGGCTGGTCACAGGACGAGGCCTTGAAGGAGATCACTGCTCCTCTCCGGCGATTCAGAGAGGGACTGTCAGCCTCCAAGGCAACTTGGTCCAAGCCAAAACTCAAAACCAAATCACCCAAAAGACCCATAGTCGTCCCAAAAAAAATTTACATTTTCATTTCAAATTTGTTTCAAAGTATTGTCTATACAGTACGATACGATAATGCGGCGACTGGTTCTGGCTCTGGATGAATGCATGATACGGTAGTATGATATGGTAAATGCTAACAATGGTGTGGTATGCAGCGCCCGAACGGGCAAACAAAACGGCAGGTAGGTAGGTATGCAATGCCCGAACAAAAAGATCTTGAAGTTTGAACGTGAGCTTGAGCGTGAAAAAAGGGATGGGATGCGGATACCAAGAATAAGAATAAAGTAGCGTATGGATGGACGTAGGTACTATGTATGTAATGCCGAATAAAAAAAGAGTATGCTTGCTTGCTTGGTTCTTGAAGGTGGACGATGCAAGTGGAATGCGTCAATGGTAATGTAATGTGAAAAGAATAATGCAAGGGGATATCAAAGGGATAAAAAAAGGGAGGATCTAACGTACTATACTACTTACTATACTACTAAACTAAAAGGAAGAAAACGCGGTGTTGCGAAACAAGTTGAATTGGATTGTTGTCGTCATCGTCGTGAAAGAAACGCGGAACATGGATGTCATGAGGGGGAAGGTAGAGTCATGGAGATGAAGGAAGAGTCGTCATCGTGAACAAATCAAAAAGAACTTGAACATCATAGCCTAAGCCCAAGAACAAAAGTAAAACCAAAACGAAAAGACACGAACAAAAAACCCACAAAATCAATATTCACGATGACCTCGAGACCAATCATCGCCATACCGAGGTTGGTGGTTTTGAACCGTCGGCGGCTGGTGTGGGTGCTGCGGCGGTTGATGATGCACCGCAGGCTGCTGGTGGTGGTGAGCTGGATACCCCTGCTTCACAGCCGTAGGATGCTGATACCGATGCTCATACTGCCCAGCATACCCCACTCCATACCCCTGAGGCTGAGGAGGATACCCATACGAATACCCCCCATGCCCCCTCCCACCGTACCCCGAATAATCCGTAAACGGAACATGCACACCCGCAGGACCCGCATTCGCGAAAGGTGCAGTAGGCACAGCACTCTCCTGTACCTGTGTCTGCGCCTGCCCCGGTGGTGGCGGTACAGCCTCGGACGAGGAACGCGTTGTCGCCGTAGTCGTAGATCCATAGTACACACCACTGGCAGGAGCGCAGCACGCATTGCTCCCCGCAGACCGTGATCCACTGCCTTCACCGCCATTCACATACTCGTCACTGCCCACATCACTCCTCCCGTCCTCGTCAAGAAGCTCCTGTTGGCGACGCACAGCGAGCGAGACGACAGCAGGGGGCTTGGCCCAGATGTTATCGTGGTAGTGTGGCAGAGCAGGGACAGCGGACGTGGAATGGACAGGATTCGGATGGGATGCTGGTGCTGCGGCCGAAGAGGACGTTGTTGATGATGCGTATGTGACGGGTTTGGGATCGCGATACAACGGGTAAAGGTCGGACTTGGACTGGACAGGTGAGGGATGGTACGATGCCGAGTACCACGAGCCCGATTGAGGTTGTGAAGGGGGCTGTGGCTGGTGCTGCTGTGAGTGCTGCTGCTGCTGCTGGGGGTAAGCAGAGCCGGGGTATCCGAGATCGCGCAGGTAGATCCCGCTCGGACTCGTGGACGCACTCTGTACCACACCGATATGAGGTCGGGGAACGGGATGTGCCAGAGGGGGGAGAGTGTTCTGGCTTCCGAGTGGAGGGGCGAGACTACTCGAGCCATATGTGGGGGAATACTCTGGTTGAGCAGCGGACTTATCGCTGACGTAGTAACCAGAAGTCGATGGCTGACGGCACCCGCTGTGAGTCCTCGAGTAGTCGTAGGCGTAGTACCCGTTTGTCGATTGAGTCTCGGCTCCACGGTACCAACGCATCAACTTGCCCTTCCTCGTTCGCAACCTTTGACCGTTGATCTCCTGCTCTTCCTCATCTCCTTCGCCCATCTCGTGATCTTCAGCTTCGGCGGGCATCTCAATGTCCTCACTCGCCTGGCTTCGCTCCCTACGAGAACGAGATCGCGTCGGGCCGTCCATCGGCGAAGAAGCGAGGGTGTAAAAGTAGAGTTCCTGGGGTTGAGATCGCTGTCGCTGATTCTCGACGGAATAGGAATAAGGAGCAACCAAGGTCGAAGGGACGATGGGTTCGTGGTGGGATGGCGGCTGTACGACCGGAAGGGGCTGGTGCTGAGAGTGTCGCCGCGATTGCTGCTGTCGTTCTGGACTGACATCACCGCCATTAGCGAGGCTCATGCTCGCGAAGCTCGAAAGACTCTCGAGTGGACTGTACGAGTGCGGACCACCGGCAGAGTCGTGGGAGGAAGACATCCCAGTGCTATAACTGGAATCGGGAATCTGCAAGATCATGGAGCTAGGTCGTTTGCTGGGAAGGTTGGCGAAAGAGGCAGAAGTGGGAGAGAAGGCAGCTTCTGCAGTTCGCTTGTTCGAGCACGACGGCTTGGGTTGAGAGGTATCGACCCGTAGCTGGGGGGCCTGTTGTGTAGGTTGGTGATGATGGTAAACGCCGGTCGAGGTTGACTCCATGTACGAATCGAGGGTGGAAGCCGAATCGCGTCGTGAAGACCTTGCTCCGTAGGAACCAGCAGGTGTGGGCGATGTCGAGCGTGCTCGCGGATAGTAAGGGGCAGTAATTGCACTCGAAAGAGGAGGCAATCTTGCTGGCGTAGCATAGACTTCCGCTTGTGTAGCATATTGCCCTGGGTACGACGAGTCTTGCTGATGTGACGGAGGGTGAGGTGCCGTGGAGAAGTGGTACGAGGATTGCCTGTGGTACTCTGCAGCTCTGCTTCGAGCGTTGGTTGATACTTTGCGAGCATCGCGTCGTCGATGTGAATCAGCGCGGCTTCTCGCAACCAAATCACGCTCCTTGGCGATGACCAGACCCTTGAGAAGGTTGAGCCAGGACTCGTAAGTTGGCTTGTCGACGTAGAGATTGAAGTCGACGCCCAAGAGGAACTCGCGCTCCATACGATTGATCTCTTCAAGCTCAATTCCCGACACTTCGGACCAGGTTTTGTTGGTGTAGGTATTGCTAACCAAAGACGCGTCAATGGAGCTGTAAAACGCGAGCTAAAGGAGACTTACTCGTCCAAGAACTTGTTCGCCATCATCAGGCCAGCAACGGCGATGCGAAACTCGCTCCCTCGCTGTGCGGGTGTGAACCGATTCCTCTCCTTCAACCGGTGAATGTAATGGAGTGACAGAACGATGACCGACTGCGAAACCTGTGTTGTTTCGAGCAGCTTTTGCATAAAAGAGATGAATGAAGGCGTCGCGACGAGTTGGAGGTGTGACGGGGGCTGTCGTTTTGGCGAAGGTGGGGAAGTGCGGGCAGGGGATGACGGGGAGTGGCTTGGCGATGGGTATGGGTTTGACTCTGGGCCGCCGCTGACGAGAGTGCTGTTGTGAGACAGCGAACCGCCGTTAGCCTCTCTCTGACCATGTTTCGCCACCGGACTGCTTGCAAACCACAAGTAGCAGATCATTTCGCAAGTCTTCTCTGCAATAAAGTGTGCGCTGCGATTCCGGGTAAAGTCGAGCCAGTCGATGCATTGCGAAGGCACATCCCAAACAGACACAGACTGTTGCTGAGACTCTGGTGCAGGTGGCGGGTGCTGGTGCTTTGAAGAGAAGGGGTCGGCGTCGTTTATTGGCGGCAATGTTGATGACGATGGGCCGACCTCGTCTGGCGGTGTGACTGAGGACATTCCGTTGAGTTCTGTACGCGCCAGAGAGGGATGAAACTCACGTGGCTGCATTGCAGATAGTTGCTTGTCAAACTGTGCTATCGGTGGGAGGGCGACGCGCGAGTGAGGCGGATGTGAAGTTCTCCGGGACTCGAAGGTGGAAGACATTGGAGGTGTCAAAGGAGCCTGGAGTTGCCATTGGACATGTTGGGGGGGATAGTTGTGGTAAGACATTGGGTGATTGGCGACGGACATTGTGTGTTCATTGGAGGACTTTAAGAAATAAAAATCTTGGGAATGGACGAGTTGCTCTTGATTTAAAAAACATGATCAAGACCAGAAAGAGAATTCGGCGAGGTACGCTGGATGCCAATTACAGCGTCACCCGAACAGGAAGGTCCTCAGGCCAAAAACGATCGGTCAAGGGCACTGTTTACTTGTTCCGTCGCCCGATTCCGAATCCGATTCAAATTGCTCTCCGCAGGCGAGATCATCCAAAACCCAAGATTGCGATTCATCGCGAACCGCCCTTTCCCCGCTTGGCCCTTGCCGGCAACTTGACAACACGAACCAGCGCACAACCACCCCAACCCAGCTCGTCCGACCCAGCCCAATGACTCACCCCATCAATCAGCCTTTTCAAATCAATTTCATCCCCATCCACACGCCCATCTTCACCGCAAGAACACCCAAGAACCACCCCTGCATCAGAAGCTCCCTCCGTCCAAAGGGAAAAACGGAAAAAATGATAGACACCCTCACCGACGTGGTATGCAAGCTCCTTCCTGCTGGCCCCAGCCCTTGCGGCCTTTTGTGGCTTAGCGCTTAGCCTCTTCCTTCTTGCTTCGTTTCGCCATTGTTCGCCTGTATTCGATCTCCTTATTCCCGGCATGCATCTCTAACATACCCAGACATGCTTGATTACTTACCTCCGCCTGTCATCTTATTCCCACTCCCGCTTCCTCGTTCTCCCCTAAACTGCCAAAGATAACGAGAGCCAGGTCTCACATCTGAGCTGAGCATCAGCAGCAAGGTCCTGTTGAAGGTCTGAGTTAGAAAGGCAGGTAGGGCGTATGTAATGCTGCCTTCCCTTTTCCCTCGGGCGGTGTTCCTTTCCTTCAAAAGAATCCACTCTGCATTCTTCAGCTTTCCATATCCATCCGGATAACCCCCCTTCACCCTTCCGGAACTTATCCAAAATTATGTAATTACATACATACCTACCGCAAGAGTCAACCTGGGCCATCCATCAGTTTGCATCAGGATTTCATTCAGCCACCGGGTGGCACAGAGTTCGCTTCGTCGTCTTCCACCATCCTTTCCAGCATTGGAGCTGTCCGCACTAACTCAGAGCTAGGCTCGTGAACCAGCTCGGTTCTTCCGAACTCCGCTGATTGATGATCAGTTCTCCACTGATGTGGAGAGGGTTCGTCAGAACCGGCTGGGCGAAACGGGGACAGTTTTGGCACGAGGGGTACCGTGTGAACGAGCACTTAGAAAAATATCGCGCTTCAGCGTTTGGCTGATATACAAAATCGAATCCCTATTCACCGTCTGTCTGCCAATCGACCTGAAATTTTGGGAAATTGTTCGCATAGACGTCTACATTCATTTGGCATAGTGTGTATGGGAATGAAAGGGAACGAGTGGACGATATTAAATGATTTCAGAGTGAAGACGCCGAAAAACAGGGAAAAACTGAAGCTCACAGGGAGGAACGATAGGTAAATCCTCGAAAAAGCGAACAATAGTCGAGGGTACACCTGCGGCTCGTTCTGTATCAAAATAGAGGTTCATACGCATCGGTATCTGCAAAAAAGCTCGAAATTCAGAATCTGCTTCTTGGGAGCCTTTGGCAAACACCTACAAATAAAGCCGCTGGCTCTACGCCAGGACATCCTCGAGCATGAATTCGTCGATATCCTCCTAGTCCTGCTCCTCTGCTTCCTCCATATCCACAGTGTCTACGTCGAAATCGACGTCTTCTAGGCACCCAGGAAAACTACCTGCAACGAAGCGTCGAAAAGGTTATAACTCGTCGCGCACCCCATTGGGGGAGTACAACGAGACGTTCAAACGCATGCAGGAGCGACGGCGCATGATTCCAGCTGTCAATGTGAACGAGGACTCGACACTTCTACACCATCAGCCGAAGCCGCGCCTGTTTCTGCGCGAACGCAGAAGGAATCCGGATTCGTCGACGATGGGAATGCGAGCGAGGGTGAGGGCGAGAACGAGGATGGGAACGAGAGGCCCCCGGGAGCAACCTTGATTTGTTGTCCTTGGACGAGGACGAGCTTGAAGACGTCGAGTTCGACATGGACACTGTCGAGCCTGAGGAGGAAGAGGAATCGGACGAAGATTGCGACGAGTTTACGCTCGACGACGTCCAGGGCATTTATTTGTACGTGTTTACCAAAGCCTCCCGAGCTCCAAATTCTGAAAACCCTGGCTTCTCGCAGTCCCCGTGCCCTGTGCCCTCCAATTAAGCTATAAAACGAGTTGTGAGTGAGTATCCAGCTATATTCCTTCCTTTGATTTGGAATGCCCGCCCCCCTTCTTTGCCAAACCGCATTTTTCCTTGTTTTCTGTCCTTTACCTTCGCAGAATCCTTCCTGTTGCTTTCCGATTCTGCTTTTTTCTCACTTTGTGTCCATATAATGAATGTATAACTCTATGCCAGCATACATGCCAATTTACAAGGAGATCGGTGGGAGTATATTGGATAGGGAAGGAAAATTGTTTTTGAGAAAGACGCTGAAGAGTGAATTTGCCTAAGTCCTCGTTCACACGGTACCCCTCGTGCCAAAACCGCGACCGTTTCGCCCAGTCGGTTCGGTACCCTCACCTTTTTGATTCTCCGACATCATCAATCAACACCACCATCATTCGAACTGAGGGGACCGAACCGACTGGTTCACGAGTCTAACTCAGAGCATGCACAAGCAAAACAGCGAACGCCTACCCGAAATTCAACGTCAACAGCCCCCATTCCCATTCAACAGCCTTAGCAACCCGAGGCGTTCCAAGTATCCCGTCTTTATTTACATAGAATGCCATGCCATCGCTCCGTGGCCCAGCTGCTGGTGCCAGGGCCATCGGTCGGCCGGGGAAGCGTACGGCTCATGCCGCAATGCTTACAACATCGGTCCGGGACTCCAGGCTTTTCGGCCTTTCAAATCTCCTTTTCCGGCTTCGCAAACGCACGTGATTAGCCGTGGACGTGTCGCGGCGAAATTCGAACGACGAAATTCGCGTTCACCATCCCTCCACGTCCCTCGAAGAGAGAGCGCCCTGCTGGGTCGCCAAAGCTGGGTCCTTGCTGATACATACGAACTTAACCCATGGCCTGTAAGAAGCTCAGCGACGACTTGATCTCCTGATTCGAGGACGACGTGTGATGACCCTGCCAACTTTAGACTTGGTGCGCGAAGGCACTCCTATTCTTTTCGAGGTTCGACGATACACGCCCTGCACACTGCGCAGGAAGTGCCAATGGCTGTCTACCGTCAATCGAACAACAACACCAACAGCAACAGGGACTAAATATCCGACTACTCCCGCGTTCAACCATTCTATTCTAATTCCCCCACTGACTCGCGCTTCTGTTCTGAATCCATCCGACATCTTGACGTCCATCTATCCACGCTCGGTCGGTCTCCTCAACGGCCACCACCATTCCTGCATCTACCCATTGAGACTATATCAGTTACTACTGTAACAGCGCATCCACCCAAATGATTTGATTCTGATAACTGGATTTGGATTTTTAGGACGACGGGCTAATGGCGGATAGATCACCTATTTTGGGCTGTGATTCAGCTTCTATTGGGGGAGGCAGCTCTTCTAATGGGATGGGCCCTCGCGATTCTTCTATTGGGATGGGCGTAACACTGTTATGTACCTTATTCCCAGCCAACGCTGTTGCCGTTACCTCGGGTGGGTTGACACTTTGCTTTTTTACTGAACGTTGATCGTTAATTCTTTACTTACCTTCGCAGCTCTCTATTCGTGGATTAGGAGGGCGAGATTTGACTCAACTGGCAGAGGCAGTGTCCAACTGCTTCTCGGTCGACCATTGGATTTGAGTGACAGGCTTTCCCTTCGACGGTATGTTTGTCGAATGTTCGCCTGCGATTTGCGACCATCGATTTGGCTTTCTCTTTCTAGGCAACAACTCGAATGCGGAAAACAGGTTCCAGATTCGGATTGCCTCACGGCGAAGCTCTGTTCTTGTCTGGCTTTCGTTGATCACGATCACTGCCCGGCGTCAGCACTGCGACGATTCCTTTCCTTCGCTGAGGCTCGACCGGATGGGCGCCCTTACCTGATCGTTTCCTTGATCACTTCCTTGCTTACCTACATATCTAGTGTTTACTTACCCTTTTCACCCCAGGAAGCTAATACATCCACACCTGAGTGCGATTCAAGATTCCGGATAGACTTCGCCCTTTAACTTGCACTGCTTCAGTTTCCATTTTCGGTTAATCATCATCGCCGGTGCCCTCTGCACATAGGCTATGACTGGAATGTGAATTGAAAGAGTATGTGTGCTGAGTGATGGCTGTATCACTCGCATTCACTCACTCGGCGATTCACTCACTCTTACTCGTCCTAGTTGGTGTTACGCCCCTTCGCCGCCCGTGCTCGGAGAAATCCACCTGTGCCCATCCGCCAGCGCTCTACTTTTCTATCGCTATTCTCATCGGCATCGTCTTGGCTTGGAAGCGAGTACCTGGCCCCCTGTCCACACAGCACAGATCGAGCATTTTCGTGGTCAGCTAAGCTCGGCGTCGCGCTCGGCTCTCGGGCTATCCACCACTCTCGGTCTGCTCACGATGACTAGGCCTATGATCCAGATGCCTATACAGTAACACCCATACTCGTCGACCTTCTATGGTCCAGCTGGGTGGGTAAATTTGGCCCCTGCTAAGTGCTTAATCTTTACTACTCGGTACGGTATGTATGTAAGCTTCGAATTCGCAATCGCAAATCGCTGTATTAATATTCTTTTTTGGGGGGTGAAGATGATGAATGTCAGTGGCCCGGGATCGTTTTGCTTTTGCTTCGCTCTCGTTCTCCATCGGTTCAGCGTGCTGGCTTGGAATATAGCTTGCCCTTTCTGCATAACTTCTGTGGGCTGTTGCGAGAGGAAAGGAAGGGAAGGGAAGGGTGCTTGGTGCCACGTATCCTATACGTGGTATGCGTGCGGCAAGCTATACATGCGGAGGTGCGCTATCAGATATGTACGCAGC